AAGACAAATTCGAAATACAAACCCAGCAAAGCGCGTGTTAACAGTGGTCGCCAGATACAGACACTGTTCGATCCCCGTCTCCACACATGGCCCGGATTACAAGCCTGAAATGAGTCAACATCAGAGTAAAGATTCAAGATACCGAGTAAATGACACAACAACCGAACAGGAATAAGGGTGATGGCAGCTTCGAAGTTTGTGCAACTCTTCATCGATCAGCGGGGACCATTCGAACCATGAACCATGGCTTCGCCGACCACTTTACCAACAACCAACTCGAGAAACGTAACCGTTCGAGAAGAAAAATAGACGCAGTTCAATGAGTCAGAAGGTTGGTCGTACCTTGATGTTGTGCATCTTCATGCAGTGTTCCTTAAACATACCTCCGCCGTCCAGGATCCCTAGACTGGACCTGGTACATGTATGTGTGTTGTTGGTAATGCTCGTTGGTTGTTTTACTTCTGTTTTTTAGAAACACCACGCGGGAGACAGGGATTAAAGTTTAGTCTCACTATTCTGCAGTGAGGCCTAGAGTTTAAGGAGAGTTAGGAGACTGTTAGAATCGGCATTTGGAGTAGCCTCGGCGTCTACAGAGGAGAGGAGAGAGGGTTGGGATCTGGGGTGTCCTTTCTCTCCTGTGTTGTTTATAGACTTTGTTATTTTCCCCGTGACTGGAAATTACCGAAGAAACTGGGGAAATACCAGGCTCTACTAGTAATCGTGCTAGGGATTTGCCACTCCGGGGAATCACATTGGCCCCTGTGTGGTCTGAGCACGAACGACATCTTAGTAAATGCCGAAGTCGGAAGTACTGGTTACATAGTTACAGAGTAACTAGTTATAGAAAATATCGGCGGTAGTATTAACCTACCCACTGATCCATGGTTCCGACCAAATCACCCATGGACCGTCCGCGCGTACAGAACCATGTTCATATTGGGCTTCAACTACTACCTGTACACGTTTTTCAGACATAGTTAGTTACAGTGACAGCGCATTTGTCATCTAGTCTCCACAAAATAGTTATACCGAGGTCGCATTGCGACTAATCAAGCCAATCAATCTTGAGCCTGTTGATTGCAGTTCTAAAATTTCCATGGCGTGCCTGAATACGGAGTAGTAAGCAGAACTCGGAGTCGCCGCTGGGGATCTAGGTTCCGGCCGAAGACCCAGTCACTGCCAAACCAACGTCTCTGAGCCGCATGCACCTACCTTAAAAGATGTGGTAATGACTAGGGTGAAGGTGGCTTTCGTACCAGTTTCAGCCAACGGAACAGTCTGGAATATCAAATCCAGAGAATGGCTTCGAATGGGAACTTTCCTGTGTTCCAATAGCGATACCCAAACACGATGGGGGCCAGAAACGGGACAGCAAAGTCAAGAGCGATGGGATTAAGTCCATTGCTTTATCACGCGTCGGGGCAACTGTAAAAGTCTATGAACGGGCACTTCTTGTGCTGACTGGCTAACACGGTTGAAACTGAAGGTTCTGCTGACGTTTTGGATCCGACGTAAGGTCTAGACGTTAGCAGACAATGATATGATCAACATAGAATAATTATAGTTAACGGCCCGGAAGAGTTAAACCCGACCTGCCAGTAGGGACGAGGGTAGTCGCCCGGGTAGGCATGCACCTCGTGAAAGAGCCTGGGCGCAAGTTAAGATGGCCTGATACCCGACCGCCCATTTAACTAGGGGATTGGCAACACACCCGCCAAACCAGGGCAAAACAATCGGTCAACCCCAGCACATGCCCCGGGAAATGACTTCATTCCCCGAGATTTCGCATAGAGTTTAGCCTGTGCATACAGTACGTGAGTGTCAAGTACGGATACAGTAGCCAGTGCTGGGATAGACGGGATCCACGTTGGATCGGCGGGGTTTTAGTACCGGGATCGCCGACAGATACGAACTCCATTCGGCGGTGTAATTAATGCAGCTGCGCCTCAATATTGGGGGAGTGGAGTAGCCTTTGACAGGGCAGAAACCAATAATTGCCAGATGACGACGTCTGAGAACTCCCTCTTCCGCTTATGATTGGTATAGAAGGCCAAGGGCTGTGGCTAGCACTTGTGGCGCTACTCCGTACTGTGTAGTTTTGTTCGTCTTGATCGGTCACCCCGATTGACACCTTGCTCTGTCATTTCCCCTGCACCGGCTAGGGCTACGGGGCGTAATTAGGTGCATAGTCTAGACTGGGGTGGTCAGTTCAGAATGTCGAGGGTGTAGAGGTACGATATTGGTTTCTTCTCCTAGGAACTGAATACAAATGTGCTTTTCTCAATTCTCAATGAACTACAGTATAGACAGTTGCACGAGGCCGACAGACAATGACAGACTGATGATCAAATAACCAAGCTCAATCTCGATCGGATTTCGGATCGGATAAAAAGAATATGGGTCCATGTGGCGGTGTTCGGAAGAAAGTTGGGTTGACATCTGCGTAGACCCATATTTTATTGGTTTCCTGCGGATCCATCGTACAAAAGATCGGCCACTTCGAACAACTATCCGCGGACTTGCAAGGTTGTTAAATAGAATGTAGTCAATCAATATGTCTCATTGCTGAATTGTGAATACTTGGGAACGCAGGTTTACCAAGAGGGCAGACTGTTTCCCCTCGAGGCAATACAGGGGAAGAGCAAGAGGCAACCTTGGGAAGCAGGCCAAATCGCGATGACCAAGAAGGCATGCGGCTCTTCCAATGCACGGGAGCCAAGGAGAACTCCGTACATCTGCGTACGTCGGACGAGCGAAAAGAAAAAATTTCAAAAAGCAAACTCGATGTCATGATCGCCGATCATCGTTACTGAGAAGGAATAGCGCAGATAGAGGCACGAACCCACGAACCCACCGAGCCGACTGCCCTAAGGAGTGCCCACCGATTCACAGGTCACTTCAGAGACCTGATTGGTAATTGCACCTGGCAGTCCCTCATTTCATTCCTGTGACACATGGACCAATCATACTTCCCGTGCACGCGGTTGTTCTGCCCAATTATGGAGAGGGGAACAGAAGTGGATTGGGGCTTGTTAGGGATGAACCAAACTGATGGGATTCCGATTTGCTTTTGGTATTTGTGTTTTCGTATCTTTCTTTACTTTTCCAACTTGTCCTGTTTTATGCCTTGGGCTTTTACTAATCGTTTTACCCGGAAAAAGCAATAATCACTATGTAGCCAGATCTGCGATCTGTGTCTATCATATGTATTCTGTGATTGATGTCCCCATATCCCGCTGTTCTGTCACAATGATCTGGCGCAGATCAATATAGGATTTGGCGGAATGTCGGAACCAGACTGGCGGGATAGTCCATTTCCGATGAGGACTTTGCTCCAATTTACCCCAAAGCGCCCGGTGCGGCGGTGCCATGTTTGATCTGTTGGAACTTCAGTTTACAGTATGCATGTCCTTGTACTGTGTAGGGGAAGGACCAATTTTGTGACGTTTTCCCAATGTGGGAGGTAACAAGCCTCGATGATGCTTATGGGGAAAAGACCCTTGTCATAAGCTAGCAGTGCTGCAGGAGGTGCCCCTGCTCTGCCTAACGGACTCGCCGACAAAGACGCAAAGAACATTGAAGAAATAGACGAGACCATAGATATGGAAATTGTGTAACGGTCGGGAATCTGACACAGGACTTATCATGATTTCTTCTGAAGATGTGCTAGATCTTTCCCATATCCCATATTGTACATACAACATACACAGTAGCACAGAGTCTGGGCCGATAAAGCATTCAAGATGAACTAGTGACTCGCTGTCATAATTGCTTTTGATTAGAACATGGATCTTCAATAAATTCGATTGCTTTAGCATGGAGCAAGATGTTTCTGTTTGCTGCAGGTACTATGGGGAAATGACAGTCCCAACTCCCATCCACCGGAAGAAATCCAGGGATAGGGTATTGAAGATCATACCTCATAGGGCAAAAAGCCCAAGCAGGTAACGGCAGACAGCTGTCAGAACCCAGAACTACATAGGTAGGGACTATCAAGAAGGCTATTGACTGGATACTGTGTAGGAGAAATGGGGCGCCTGAAATGGCCGTGCGTATGGCTCAACAAAGTACTGTGTACCTACCGTTTGTCGAATTATCTGCAAATCATGTCTACACTGCGCTGCTTAATACCTACGTAGGTAGAGGCACGATATTACTTACTAGAAATAATTACTCGAGGTGAAATTTAAATGAGAACTAGATAGATCCTCAAAGACCCTTGTTCGAGCAATTCCAAGTGTAGATAAATAATAATAGCCCGAATAGTGAAGGTCCCAGATTTATCTGCATGGGCGCTAACTTTCCCTGTCCCTGCTCAGTGCTCACAGCCCCAACACGTTCGACAGGTTCGTGCCAAAAAATACAGTATGTAATCGTCACTGGTTTTTTATTATTTTGAATATTTGCTTTTTGCTATTATTTTGAGTCGATATCTTTTCAGATTAATTCTATATTTTTTTTTCCTTTTTAGAATAAAATATAATTCTAGACACAAGAATAATTGATTATCGTACGGCCCATCGTCACCATTTAACAATGTTTCCTCCTCTTCTACATCTATAATATCCCTTCATCCCTCCCCCAGTCTTTGATGACTTCGAATCACTGATTTGACTCGACTCACGGTCAAGGGCTACCCTCGTCTTTGTTTGCTTGACTAATACTTTCAAAACCTCGTCCATCCGATTGAATCTTTCCTGCCGATCGACATTGCTTCGGTATTTGCGTCGGTGAATGTGACCTTCTTCGGCTTCTCTGCAATAACCAAGTCACCTCCTTGCATGAAGATCCCTCCTGACTCTCAATTGCGCACGTTGCCTCACACTGCCGTGGTTTGCGTCTTTGGTTTGCATCTTTGGTTAGCCGAGCGGGCCGCGATCTCATCCACAAAACCTTATCACCGGTATGCCCATGCGCCGCAACACTCAAGAGACAGCATGTACTAACCAGCTTCCTGTCCTTAGGATCGCCACCGTACATTGCGATCTCCGATAGAGAACATGACGACGTTTGAGAGCCATCCCGATTTTACTCTGTTTCCGTTCCAGTCTCGGTCAAAGATGATGGCCCTCGAAGCTACAAGGTCTAAACAACCTTCATACTTCGATCCCATGACCATGGACCCTTCAATGTTTTCCTTCCCCATGGAGAATATCCCTCAATACGGCCAAAATCACGAAATGGTCCATGCTTCAAATTCCTACTATGATACCCAGTTGTTCGAGTCCGCGGAACCCCAAAAGCCTACATATTTCTCTACAGTTCCACCTACACCTCCTTCGCTGCACGCCTCTCACTCCGAGGAGTCTTATATGCCCGCCCCATCTGCTGCATCGGGGCCATCCATCGCCAGCGCACCTTCTTCCGCCATGGGTTCGCCATACTCGGGAGCCACTCATACCTTCCAGGAGAATTGGGTGAATACAAATCATGGGTTGGGTTTGCCGGTTGCGGTGATGAATGACCTCTTGCCTCAAGAGTATATGGGCAATCCGGCAGACCTAGATATGCTTTACCAAGAGAAGTTCCCGGACTCGTTCGTCGGTACGTTTCGATGGGAATTTTCCAGGCCGTCGAGTATACTGACAATGCAAACTAGACCCCTCGTTAATCCAACCGGAACAACAAAGCGCTGGAGTTACCCCGACTATCTCATATCTAGAACAGTCACACTCTTCCTACTCAAATGTGCCTTCAAATTACTTGCGAAACTCTCCCGCACTGTCGCCGCTCCCCGACACCGTGGCGCATCATCCTTCGCCACGTTCATACCCAGCACAACATATCGGGCAGTCTCCTCTGATGGCACCACACGGCTCACATTCCCGACCAGTCTCAATCTATGATAGACGATCCTCAATTTCTTCAATTCACTCTCGGCGCTCGCGACACAGCCCAGCGCTAAGCAGCATTGAAGGTGATGAAGAGACCAGAGAGAAAGGGCGCTGCCCTCACCCCGATTGCGGTCGGGTATTCAAAGATCTGAAAGCTCATATGTTGACACATCAGTCAGAACGGCCAGAAAAGTGTCCAATTCTGAACTGCGAGTATCATATCAAAGGCTTCGCCCGTAAATACGACAAGAACCGCCACACTTTGACCCACTACAAAGGAACAATGGTATGCGGTTTCTGCCCTGGTTCCGGCTCTTCTGCGGAAAAGAGCTTCAACCGCGCCGATGTCTTCAAGCGTCACCTCACCTCCGTTCACGGCGTGGAGCAAACCCCTCCAAACTGCCGAAAGCGCAGCCCGGATGCCGCCAAGAAGGGCACAAACTACAGCCCTGATGCAACAGGGAAGTGCTCGACCTGCTCCTCGACCTTCAGCAACGCACAGGACTTCTACGAGCACTTAGATGACTGCGTCCTCCGCGTTGTGCAGCAAGAAGAACCCTCCGAGGCGATCAATCAGCAGCGTCTGGCGGAGGTTGCCTCGGACGATGATGTCAAGAAGACCATGGAAAAGCACCAACTCAACGACGTGGCTGGCCCCGTCGATCAATTCGACGATTACGAAGACCAAGACGAAGATGACTCCCTCGATCCCTCCACCTGGCGCGGCCTGAACACCAAAACCAAATCCTCCAAGAGTAACATCCCCTCCTCTCGCCCCATCATTGGCTCCGGCAACGCCATCTCCAAGAACTCCAAACCCGCCCGCGCTGTTGCAACCCGCCGCCGCAACAACCGCGGTAACTACCCCCAGTCCTGGGGCTGCCCCAACAGCAGCATGAAGACCAAGAAGCGCGTGCTGTGCGTCTTCGATGGCCAGCGCCGTCTGTGGAAAGACGAGATGATGCTCAACAATGAGTTCGAGGTGCGCTTGAGACTCCCCGGTGGCGCAGGCGACGGTACCAACCGCGATGCCTACGTCACTGATCTGGACGTCGAGACGTTGAAGCGCGCAGAGGGTGTCTTGAATGCCAGCGCGGAAGAGCGTGGCCCTTGGATGGATGGTCCTTTGCCTTATATGATGGGCCAGCCGGCGATGCTATTGCCGGAACTGTTCCAGCCGAATGATGATGAGGTTTCGCTCAACGAATTAATGGCTTAAACGATTCTCCTTTCTTTACCCTATTCTTCCCGTCCGGTGTCGGGGGACTTGGAGTGTATTTTTCTGTCGCGTCACGTTCGCGGTCTTGACGACTGAACTGTCTGAATATGAATTATGGATGACACCTCGGGACTGACCTGAGTGACGTATCTCCAATAATTCTGGCCTTGTTTCATTGTGTTTTCCTTACTCTCATTCCGGGCTGCATGTGTGGCTGATGCCCGATCGATCCTGCTGGACAGGATCTGCCAGGATACTGGTATAATTAGAGACGGGATGCAAATGTCTTTGTAAACAAATAAATCTAACCTCTTCTCCATCTTCACGGTTTTACCTGAGTCCACGATATTGTCAATGTACGCAGTAGAGCGGAAAAAAAGCACAGACCCGGTCTCCCCGCCGATCTCCACCTCCCCATGTCCATTCTGCCATCTTCTTCCCCGTCATTCTCCATTCATCCTACATCATGCAACTCGGCCTTTCAGACACTCTGCCTGCTCTGGTAGCAAAGCGCTTCACAGCTGCTCGAGATGCCGGCCATCTCGTATTCTCCCCAACCCATCTCTCGATCATCAATGCTGCAGGGATATCGGTGAGTGACGTTGAGAGTCCGACCAGAGCGAAGCTAACCTGACCAGTATCAACTGCGCTACTGTCCTGCTCTTGCGAAGAAACCATCCAACCTGAAACCCGACAATGAACCGAAGACACCAAAGCCCGACCCCTTCGAGAACCCAACCCCAGAACTGCTGATCGCCCAGATCCCGCCGGAGAACCCTACCTACAACCTCATCCTCAACAAGTTCCCAGTCATCCCGAACCACTTCCTTCTCGTGACGAGAGACTGGTATGCGCAGACGGATATCCTCGATAAGACAGATCTTGAAGCTACATACGAGTGCCTCAAGGCCTGGAACGCCGATGGCTCGTCTTCCAAGAACCTCTTCGCCTTCTTCAACTCCGGCGATGATAGCGGCGCGAGCCAGCCGCACCGTCACCTTCAGTTTTTGCCTGTTGAAGCGATGCGCCAGCCTGGCTCGGAGTCTTGGCACCCGCTGATTGACATCCTCACTTCCCAACCCACCTCGCCCGGCCCGTCGTCAACACCCAAGTTCCAGCACCTGTCAGGACTCCCTTTTTCCCATTTCGCCCTTCCACTACCATCCAATCCCTCCGCCGATGACCTACACTCCATTTATCTCACGCTCTACAAAGCCGCTGCCGCCGCGACACGTGGACAATCGCCCAGCGAAGATACCGAGCAACCTGCCACAGCAGGACCGGCATCAATAAGCTACAATCTTGCCATGACCCGCTCTACGATGATGATCTGCCCACGCAGACAGGAGACGGCGCTTGTCCCGGTTGACTCTGCGACCGCACGCGATGTGGTTGATCCAGGCGTACTTTCGCTCAATGGCACTATCCTTGCTGGGACGTTGATGGTCAAGGCCGAGGGAGAATGGGACTCCTTGCGGGAGAACCCGGAGCAGTTGACGCAAGTACTTACCACCATTGGGTATCCTCGCACGGATTCTCGTGGGCCGTCGCTATGAAACTGATATGTGGGATGATGCGTCCTATCTTACAGTGTGTCGATTGCATATCTACAGATAGAGGACGTGGTAGACTACTCCTTTGACACAATCAAATACTGTTGAGGCAGTAAGGATGGGGTGCCAAGGGAGAGGGGAGACAATGTAGTCGGAGAAGGCAATCTCTCCAATAACTAGACTGTCAACCCGTAGCTGATTTCATAACGCCAAGGCAGCGGAGCCTCAGACGACCCAACAGATACATGTACTGTCTATCATTCTAGAAGCAAGCAAGAGCTTCGTCAGATATCCCCCAATGCAACACCATACGCCACGTTCCATACGCTTTCTTGATACCAATGGACCGCTGATATGCCGCCCCAAGCATGCATCTCTGCACCGGGTCCTGGACGTGGAGGATCCGTCGTCTGACCTCGATCTTCTTATACCATATTAGCTTCAATATCTTCTCGAACTTATCAACATTGACCGGTATGGTGTTTATCACTTCGAAGCGCAGATCAACATCGTAAGCGAGAAGATTGATCCGAGACATTATGTTGAGTTCGACAAACTGCAGGTGGAATTCGTGAGTAGCTATGGTAGCAAGATCCGGCGCGTATAGCTCCCATTCATCGAAGTCGGTCCAGTTCTATGTCTTCCCCGTTATTGGTGGAAGAGTCCTGCTTTTAGCTACAGACTGTGAGAGGCTGAGGGCCTTACAGTAATACACGCTTCGTTCACTCGTGACTCCGCAACCATGGCGATAGTTTTGAATACCTACAATGTAGTTCATGCTTGATAGAGAAGAAGGTTGACTCGCCAATGCTTAGTGTTAAACTGCTATCGCTCATAAGTGCATCGGTAGCAATCTTTGTGACTCATGAGCATAGTGATGATGCCTTGTTCTGCCGTGAAGGCCACAAATAGGATAGTTGTATAGTGTGTTGTAGGAAGGGCTTTATTGTGAACAGACTAAATTCAACAAGAGAACATAGAAGGAGTTCTTTGTTAAGTGATTCAAAAGTAAGATATACGTCTATCCATCTGCAAGAACCTAGAGGGAGATGGAGTATTCAAAAGTGTCTACGGCGACCTGAGTATAAAGTGATTCCAAAGTAAGAGATACTAGATCTGAGCACGACGCGAGTCGAAAGTACTATGGAATGTCTAACCAAAGTGCTAGGCATATGTTGTTACAGGAGAAACAAACATGAAAGTAATAATATTATTGTTAAGTCGAAATGACGCAGGTGTATAAGTAGCCATATCTTTCAGATTCAGGGTCACTAGATGTTGATCGACCTAGAGATTTGCTCCTCGTCTCATGTGAGAAAACATCAGCGAAGAAAGAGTATGTAATCCCCTCACGATTCTCCTTAGTGGAAACACAACTCTTAGGGTTCGGCTATCAGCTGTGCGCCACAAGACAGCGGACGCCGGACGGGGTGGGTCTTGAGGCTGGGAGACGCGTCGTGGATCCTCACGATCCAGGGAGAGCGCGGCTAGAAAGATTCAGGGTCACTGAATGTCGATCGACCCAGAGAATCGCTCCTCGTCTCGTTGTCTAACAGCCCGTGGGAAAGCAAAGACATAACTGGATAGACCGCTTCATGTTTTCCTCCGCTTCAGCTATCAGCTGTGCGCCACGAGACAGCGGACGCCGGACGACGTGGATGGGCGAGAGGGGGTTCGAGAGGGAGGTTGGGGGGGGAGGTTGAGAGGGAGGCTGGATGTGGATAGCCATCAGAGGGCGCGGCTCTCCGATAAGTCGGAGGAGATGGACGTCACCCTCGGCATCTTTAGGAGAACCAACCGCGAGGGGACCATGTTGCGAGCCTTCAGAAGGCGCGAATGGCGTCTGGCTGTCGGCTGATGTCGCCTTCGATGTCTTCAGAGGAACCAGCCGCGAGGGGACTATGTTGCGAGCCTTCAGACGGCGCGAATGGCGTCTGGCTGTCGGCTGATGTCGCCTTTCGACATCTTCAGAGGAACCAACCGCGAGGGGACTATGTTCCGGCGTTCTGTGGCGTCCCTGGCATACAAAGGACTGTCTTTGTGAGTCTTACAGTCTTTGTGTTTGCAGACTCAGGCTTTCCTCGCCATATTTTGAGGAAAAACGACTCGCTTGAAAAACAGCAAAAAGGTATCATGTTAAAGAACGCCGAGGATATGCAGGTGAAAGGACTTTGTCATCCCCTTTGTTTATCCAGCGTTTATAAACAGCGTGAATTCCAGAGCCTGGAACGCCAGACCCTGGAATTCCGACAGCCTGATGGCCAAAGTTCCCAGTTTCATGGGTTCATGACCAGATTCTTCTTCCTGATTTCCCTGCCTATCCAGAAGGTAGTTTCGTGGCCTCTCAGGACCTTTTCACGGCCGTTTTCGAACAATCCGTACCAGCGACGGGAAGCCGGCCATGTTGATAACCGGCTTATCAAAGCATCATGTGGGTGTAGCCAAGGTGCGCGAGGGGCGGTGTGGCAATGGAGATTAGCCGGACCGGACTATCTTGAAGTCGATTGATGAACAGAACGCAGAAGGCACGTGGGCTCTGCGTGGCAGAGATGCACGTGAGAGTGACTTGGGACCGGAGATGAGAATGGGACGGATAAATGTGAGACCGGATGTTGTCTCACTCTCTGAAGCACCTGACGGATGGCAGGGATCGAGTGATTGGTCTTCCGGTGTTCGAGTTCCGGTGTTAAGCGTGGAGGTGGTTGGACTAACGTGAGACCGATCGGTAAAAAGTACGATGAGAGACGCACTGGGGCGCGGATTAAAATAAAAAGAGGAAGAAAAAAGAAAAAGCGAGGTCACGAACGGCGGATATATAGACGTTCCGGGACCATGTGACTTCCAGTGATTGTGAGTCCCGACAACCTGTCAAGGACTCAAGTCACAAGTGTCAACCTCTTAAGCCACAAACATGGCTGGGGCCGCCCAGACCATATGATGTTCAAGGAACAGGCCGCTGATTGGCTGTAATGCTCAGCCTAATGCCCGCGCCCTGCCAAGGTCCCTCCTTACTGGGCTTTCTCCTAACTAGTAGTAGTGTAGGTTTTAACTAAGCCTCACCTAGACCCCCCGTCTCTTTCGACTTCGCCTCCCGTGCTAGCCGGGGCATCAGCATATAACACGGACGAGATCGCCACTAATTCGTCGACGACGTGACGTCCCATAATTATTTTCCTTGCCTAGCGACCCGAACATTTTCTTCAACATGGAGCAAAACAATGCATCCACGGTGGTTAGCCCACCAGCGTCCAACAATACAGATCCTACAACAGCGCCCACAGTATCTTCGCCAACTGACACCACGCGGTCGCACACAGCACCGGAGACAGTACCGACTGAGCCACCAGCGACAAGATCACTACCCACTGACGACCCAATGGCAATCCTGCCAGCCGTAGGAGCACCACCACCACAATACGACGAGTACGCTTCCCCAACCCGAAAGGGCGAGACATAACATTCCAAGCTCATGTAAATAGACACAAAAACCACGCCCTAGCACCACTAGAGCCAGCACAGAAAACCACCCCAGCCAGCCCACAAGCCCAAGGTCTCATTAGTCCCCAGCTACAGGTTATCCCAATAGCACAACTAGGCGAAGTCCCCCGGCGCGTCCAGTGTCCATTTTGCAATCAAGAAGCCTTGACCAGAACAACCAAGGAGTCGACAAGCTCTACATCGTGAGTATCTGACCCTGCCGGTCTCAATCGGTCTCCACGCGATTCCGACGCATGCTAATTGGATTTACAGCATGGCCGCCATCTGCTGCTGTATTTTCGGCGGCATTATCTGTGCTTTTCTACCCTACTGCATGGAAATGTGTCATGATACACACCACTTCTGTACGAACTGTGGGGCGCAGGTTGCTACGTTTCCGCACGAGGGGCCTGTGCAGCAGTTTTCGCCGCAGGCCCCTGGGCCGGTCATTGTTGCACCGGGGCCTATTAGGCCGCCGGAGGCGGTTATGAAGAATTAGTCTAGGGGTGGGATATGTGTTGGGATTTATGTGTTTTTTTGGGTTTGTTTTGATACCTTTTTTTTGGTTAGGGGTCATGGCCTATTGTAATATGTGTCCAATGGAAGTATGAGCTTGGTCAAGTGATTCAATGTCCGACAGCGGTTAACTTCCATTGATTATGACCGCCACAGTGCGATGGCGCTTTGCCTCGCTAGTTCTTGGTGAACTTGGCAGAGTTATCCGAGGACACGGGCGAACGTCATCAGAAGTGAGTGTCGTAGATAGACGTTTGGCACACTCAGTATTCTTTCTTGGAGCTTAGTTCTCTCTCGATAGAGATATGCCCACAGTCGTTTGTAATCCTCAAATTCCCTTTCAGCCACGGTGTCACAGTACTTCATATCGGCAGCGAGATCATGAATAGATGCGAGGATCGAAGTACGGAGTTCTCCAGTGTCTCGATTTGCGGGGCTAATACGGGCATTCTGAATGGGTGTATAGTAGATGTGTCTGACAGCGACGTGTTTTTGAGAACTTGGAGGGGAGGGCATCCATGAAAGTTGATTGATGGGAAACCTATGAGTGTCGTTGGCCAGGTCGGTAGTCATCATTTATACTTCCCAATGGAATCTCGAAGCGCTACGCAAATGACAGGAACGTGATGCATAAATGTAATGCTTTGATAAAATTCCTATGAGTGCGAAAAGAGCTACGAGGGTTGGCTTCAAGCTGCCTTTCCATTAAACATTATACCCAAGAAGCTGACTTGGAAAAGGTATGCCTATAAATGCCATTGTCCCTAAGCTTTCATTTCGTTACATAAACACTCGCGATTGTGCCAATCTGGGCACGCGATCGTGAGTATATCAAAAGTAGGAAGGTTTTGGTTATGGGTCGATCAAAGTGATATGATCATGATTGATACGAAAGATTGATTTAGTGGCAAGACTGGAAACAGGATATGCAGTTAGGTAGTAGAGTCGGAATAGCAAATAAATGGGTAGAATTTATTGAGCTACCTAAAGTCCTTTATGTAGGCACAGATTTCCGGAGAGTAGAGGCACCAAGAGAAAAGAACGTGAAGGGAAATACGGCATCCGCATGAAGACCCGAGCACTGTGACTTGAAGGTCACCTTGGTTGATGGTTTGACCGTGGTGTCTTGATATGTAGAGTCGACGGTGGTGGACCAGACGCTTTTGTGAGACCATGTCTGGTGGCAAGTTCCATGCACGGAGAAGTACCTATATCAGAGGTTCGAGGATACGATTCATCCTTGAGAGTGGCAGCGTGGTGGTAATTGTAGGGTGGCGGCCATGATGCACGGGGGCAGGGTGAATGATAGAAAGCCGGGGCATGTCCTCAAGATGATGATCAACACGTGGGTAACCATGTCTGGGTGGTGTTGAGTAAGCCGGCAAAGGCTAAAATGAGATGGTCAACGGACCATATCGATAGACGGGTTGTATGGTCAATGGTGTTTGGCGGTCAGATGAAGCTGAGACGCAAGGACCAAGGAGGCGAAAAGCCATTGCTGGGCGTGGTAGATAACGGGTAGTATGATGATGGTCCAAGTATCGGGAGGCCGATGAGTGCGGATGATCGTTGTTTTAACTGGCTATCACGATGTAGAGAGTGTTTAGTGTCAGCACCACCGATATTGAGCGGTAGCTAGAATGCAGAGGGCCCCCAGGAGGAGGTTGCGTCTTGGTGGTTCGTCACAGATGGTCAGGATGGCAGGGCCAAATTTGGATTGAAGATTCTTGTTTAACGGTGTGAATTACTCGCAGTCGATGCGGATGTCCGAAGGCTTGTTTGTCAATGACGTTGGAAATGAGTGATCAGGAAGGCCAAGGAGAAAAGGTTCGTAGGTGGATACGACTTGGTCGCCCACTGGTGATTGGTGAATGTGAAGGAGATGGTGAGAAGCCCGTTGATGAACGGGTCAGGAGGGAATTCTCATTTTGAGAACAGGATAGATGGTTGAAGGCCGGAGTGTACAGGCCCGTTGGTTGTTATGGTGAATTCTAGATGACGATTTAGAAGGCTATAAACGAATGCGTCGACTCCAATATCAAGTTGTGGATGGATAAAGGTAGTTGGTGCAGCCAGGAAAGAAAATTAGATGGAAGGTTGGTTTTGGCAGTGGACAGTCATAGATAATGTTTGGAGGTCTGAAAGGCCTGTTGGTGGATGGTGGTAAATGGCGGTTGGTTGAAGACGACGAAAGATGTCAAGAAGGCTATGATAGGGGGCATGGCGGACAGCATTGTGAGAGAGTTAATATGATGGTGGGTGTAAGAGCCAAGATGGGAATTTTGACTGATAGACAGGCAGATTGTTTTAGTAGCAGGTGGTAAGGGTTAAGATATTGACGTGAAGGCCAAATTGAAGGACCCGTAGCGTAAGATGGCAAGCGGGTTTGAACGGAGGCATATAGACGGTGGAAACGGTTGTTGGTTATCGGTGAGAAGATGGAGACAAGTTGACGGTTGCTGGAAAGGCTAAGAAGGCATGAAGAGCTTGTGAAGGATTATCTTGGTGGAGGGTGGAGCAGACAGTGGAAATGGTTGGTGGTTGATTCCAAGGCGGAAGTGCGAAGCCTCAGTAGGAACAGTGGAGTGAGTGGAGGATGCCGTATCCAGCCTTCCGATTGTCCTGAAGCCGGAGAGGCCCGCCACGGCAAGGCTGGATATGGTGAGTGGATATGGTTAAGCAGACATGGAAGGGCGAGGGCTGTTGACAGAAGATTGGGCGGTACCATATCCAGTCTCCCGATTGTGCTGAGGCCGTGAGGCCCGCCACGGTGAGACTGAAGATAGGTGAGTGGAGGTGGTCGAGTGGAGGTGGTGGTCGCGGGTTGGTGGTCACGGTTGTTATATCCAGTCTCCCGATTGCCCTGAAGCCTTGAGGCCCGCCACGGCGAGACTGGACATAGTGAATGGAGGTGTTCAAATGGACGTGGTTGCGGTTGCCATATTCAATCTGCCGATTGCCTGAAGCTGTGAGGCCCGCCACGGTGAGATTGGGTATGGTCGTCAAGTGGATGCGGTTGCGGTTTGGTGGCTGCGGTTGCTATACCATATATCCCGATTGTCCTGAAGCCGTAAGGCCCGCCACGGTGAGAATGGATATAGATGAGTGGACATGATTCAAGGGGCGGAGGTAGGTTAACGTGGGTGAAGGGTAGTTACCATATCCAGCCTCCCGATTGTCCTGAAGCAAAGCCCGCCACGGCGAGGCTGGATGTGGTTGAGTGAAAACTACTTGAAGGTGTGGAAGCATGAATCGGATGAAGTGGAGTGGATGGAGGAGGACGATAGCAAGCAAAGAGTCAAAGCAACTTGAAGGTTTGAGGAAGATCGAGGCAGCGAGGCATGGAGTTAAGGAAGGATAAGAGGAGTAGTCAATGTAGAGAGCCACGAGCCACACAACAAACATTTCATGACGTATAACATGCCATGGCATCTTGTCATGGTGCACCATGACTGAATGCCATGACACCCAGAGGTGGAAGGTCCCTAAGGTAGATGTTCTGAGGTTGGAAGTCTTTATGAGTGGGTGTCTGTGGTGGGATGGGGATGATGGAAAAAAGGAAGAAATGCGTAGAAGGAAAAGAAAAAGAAAAAGAGAAGAAGAGGAGGAGGAGGAGGAGGTATTTATACCGTTGGCTGAACTCGAGCCAAGTGACTAGTCCTTGAACGAGGAGGGGCGTGGATTGTGCCTTCCTTATTTGGGGAGGAGTTCTTCTTAGATGAGAAGGAGCACAGACGGTTCCTTCCCTTTTCGGTACGGACCCAAAACACATGTATGAAACATGGGGATCACCAGTATTTATCAGGTAGGCCAAGGCCTAAATATGCACCATGAGAGTCGAGACAGAGAGCAGTTGGTTCATAAGAGGGAGAAACAAGTGGGAACGTACACTCTCCGGTCCTCTGGCGTGGATGCCGAATTCCAGGCGTATAGGGAGCCTTCCGCCAACTGGCAAGCTTCCAGCCAACTGGCGAGCCCTCCGTCAACTGGCAAGGCTATACACAATACATCCTTGTCAACAAGACTACTGTACCATTTTTGAATGTACGTTGTCCTTATCTCTTTATGCCGAAAACGCGAGGAAATGGTTAGGTAATATCTATTGCATTCGTTCACGGCTAATCCCCAGGTCGCGCCAGGTGCTCCCAGCATAGTAACTGCCCAACGCTAGTAATTTGTAAAATCAGCACACCAACATGGCCTAAGATCTGTAATATGTAGTACGGGCGTGACGACATAGTTCTATAAATCCGACAAAGGGGGGTCAGCCTAGCCATAATGAGAGCAAATACATGGAGGGGATAAACGATTGCCCGCCTCCATTGCCTGCCACTACCTATAAATATTGACTTCCAGGTGAACTCCTCTTCCTCTTTCTTCCTCTCTTACATCTCTCCTCTCACGTCTCTTCTCTCGCCTCTCACAGCTCTTTTCTCTCCTCTCACCTCTGACATCTCTCCTCTCACATCTCTTGGGGACTTCACCTGGGATCTACCCACGACCAAGTCGGTTCTTCCAGATGGTATATATACCTGGCCACCTACTCGAGTGGCCAGATGAGGAGTGCCTAGGCACTATCTTATACCCGAGGCACTAGGTACCGTAGGTACCTTTCCTACGCAACTCATCGGGCATTCCTTCACTTTTTCATCCTACTCTCATCTCCCCTTCACGTCCAGGTATGACTTTAATCCAACTCTCACTCTCCTTCAATTCTTATCTAACAGACCTTGCAGACTTTGTGAAGAAACCCGACCACCGAATGTCTACTCCTGCCCGTCAAAGCACCGACGCGGATGGGGAGGGTGTTAGTACCTACCACGACATATAACTCCCACAACAACCTACTCTACCATGGAAACACCGAGTACCTGCAAGTTCTGGAACTCCCGAGGTCATTTCCTCATTTCACCTTCATCCGTTCATCAGCTGTTCGGCTCAGACTCAGCCCATGCGTCCTCTGCCAGGCGTTTCCCATCCACCACGGACTCATAACCGCACCTGAGTCCTTGCTATTGCGTGGCTCGGATTCACGCCATATCACAGCCGATGCCGAGCTTGGGATAGGACGGGGTTCCTTCGTCTCATCTGTCCCATACGCTGTTCGGGGCGGCTCCCAGAAAAAGGTTCCGGGGGCGAATCTAAGCACACTCGTGCCGTTTCAGAGTCCGGTGCATACGCATGGCGCCTGACCGCTACGAAGCCATCTGGAAGCTCGCAGACGATCATGGGATGACGACCTCTGGTTGACTCGGAGCATCATTGGCAGGCTATAATGGTGTTCACTGTTGGGTGGCCCATGTGCCCCGCGTTACCACACAAGCGCAAAAATGGCCTGGACGAGCCCTTGCCACAAACATCGTCAACCTGGAGTACGTCAGGGACCTCGAAGCCTCAAGCAGCCTTCTGAACTTTGGCAATCCACATCCTGGGTCTCATCAATTAGGACCACCTCTGGCATTTTCGCAAAGTATCCGAATGGCTCTCCAATCTTCCCCTCTGATATCGTGTACTACCGTTGCAACGAGCTAGATTGTACATGTTTCAGATACAAGGAGCTCGGCCACATTGGCCGCGTAATGGCTGTATGGGCAGAAGAGACCCAAATCAAGCTCCAGATACAGTCCCTTCTACGACAGAGCGACATGACAACTGAAATCACAGAGGCATTTCAATCTAAGGGACCATGTTTCCCAACCCTTTGAGCTCGTCCCTGTGACGAACAGGGCTCAGGAGTCAGGACTCAGTGATGTACTTGTAGAACAGACAAGACATGTGACAAGAACAGCTGTGAGAACCTGTGACTTGAGGAGGAAGGGGACATGTCCTGTGACTGGGAGAAGAGATAAAAACTTTCTTGTTCTCTTTCTTTTCTTTTCTCATAGTTGTTGTTTCGTCTAAATGCACTCTTTTATCAAAAGTATTTGGCTGGTAACAGTCCCTATCATCAAAGAAAAAGCCATTCTGCCCTGGCTCGGTATTTCCTCCGCAAATTTAGTATCGATGGTCTCCTTTGGGACTTTTACTGGATTGCGAACCTCCTGGATTGCAAAGCTCCTGGACTGGGAAAAGACTTCCAAGATCCGCCGCGCATTTATCAAGAGTGAGTTTACTTAACCATCATATTATCACAACATTCATATTCTAATGAGCTGATTTTGACGGATACCTGGGCCAATCTGGCCACCCAGGTCAAGCTGAACTGGGATATCGGCCAGTACACCACCGAACAAGAGGGCGACTGGAACCATACCCTCGATTCGGAACCTTCATCTTCCACCGCCGATTGATTCGATAGACAGGATGGCTCGTAATCAGAATAAGCATCTGATTGTGATGCAGATGGGGCCCCTTCGCATCGAGATCCGGGTACAATTCAAGAGCTCCATACGCGAGCATGGGATATTACATTAGATACTACTAGACTTCGACACTACCAATCAATCAATCAATCGATCAAAGTTCAATTAACCTATTGCAGTCAGGTAATTTTGTATGACTATGCAGGCAAAGTACACACCCATAATCTTCACTATAGGTAAACGCAGTCCCAGTTCGAGAACATCTAGCAAAGAGAAGAAAGCAATACGTGTCAGAATTCCTCAACTAAACGCTGAAGAAGAATGCCAGACCAGCTGAACACATACAAAAGAGCTCAAGAATCCATTCAAAAAGAGAAAACCGATCAAAAACCACAGCACTCAAACACCCGCTCCTAGACGTACACGAAGTAATGCCATGTCACACTCAAAGAGCAATATGATGAATCTCACACCACTTCTTCTTACAAGTCGCATTCCCAAAATGATACGAACCCCCCGACTCCAAATATATTCCGCAACCTTCTTCCACGAAACCTTCGGCGGCTCATCCATGCCCATACCAACAGTAGCGTATGTATGTTTATCAGCGTGAAGTGTAACAGCTTCGCAAAGGAGTCTGATCTATCCATCCATTCATGTCAGCTCCAAACTCTTGGTTATTGCCATGTTCGGTTTATAACTCACATCTTTCTCCTGCCACTTCGGCTTACGAACCCTCTGATCCTTCGACTTGGTAAGAGTGCGATACCGACCACGAAGAGTCGACTCAGCCTCCTTGAAGCCGCCGACACGCTTGATATCCTTGTAAGAAAGACCGCGGCGCTTGCAGTCAATTAGGAAGGCGTTGCGCTCGTCGCTGTAGTGGAGACTTGCTTCGATGCTTCGGTCTTCACCGTTGTGTGGAGAGGGCTCAGAGGAGCTGGTTGTTGGGCTGAGGGATGATGGGGTGAGGCTGGTTTGTTTCTGGGATGGCGAGCTGAAGGTTGGGTCTGGGTAGATTGGGTGGGTGCTGGGCAGGTACATTGTTTGTTGGTGGGGGTAGTTGGGGGGAGGATACATTGGTTGATGGGGTTGGGGGGTAGGGGTTGTGGACTGGGAGTGATGAGGGGAGAGAGGCCTGGGGGTGGCTGGATGGGAACATGGGGGTGTTGTGGATGTAGGGATTGGTTGGGGACTCATTGTAGTCTTCTGTACGTGTGTAAGTGTTGTTGATGGTGGACCATGGGGCATTGTATTGGGTTTGGTTTTGCCCGTTACTGGTGTCTGGGGTGTGGTTGAAGTCGTCGGTGGGGTACCATATGTCAGTCGTTGGTGGTGTCCTCCAGAGTGGCCAGGATGTAGCATTGTGATTGTTGAGTGGCTTTGCATCTGGAGGCGTGGCGACTAGCGGGTGAGGCGCGTGGTGAGTGTGAAACGAAGATGCACCCATGTCGTAGTTGGTAGTATTCGACATTTGAGTGGGACTGGTCGAAAATGACTGGTGATTCATTGGTGAATCAGAGGGCCCGAAGGACGACATAGGAGAGGTCTCATCAGTGCCGAAGAGGAAGTTGAGATTGTTTCCTGCCATCAGTGCAGTGCTCTTCGGGGTGGGATGGACAAGCCCAGTATGAGCTTCGACGGTGCGAGTGTTGAAAGGCTCGTCGAATTGCTCGAAAGACTCCATATCAGACTCGCAGTATGTACTGCCATCGCTCGACAGAGCGCCATTGAGGTCTGGGCGTGCCATGAATGGTGCCACACTCTGTGCATAGGCAGTCGAGCGTGCGTCTTCCATTAGAAGGGGCATGCTGTGTTGCTCTTCCCTTGAAGACATGGGATGTCCCGTCAAACGATGTTGGCTGAGCATATTTCCAGAAAACGGCTGGGGACGGTGCAGAGCTGGAGTTGTTGAAAGATAATGAGGTAAATGGGAGGGCAAATTGGAGTTTGCTTTGGAAGAGTAGAAAAGTGAAAAGGTATCAGGGGAATGGGAAAGGTGTTTATCAAGATCTTCCCAGCCCTCAGGCAAGCCACATGATGGGTTAACAGAAATCAGGTCAGAGGTGGGTAGGTATTCCTTCTGGGCCATCCATGGCTCTACCCCAGGGAAAGACAACACTTCCGCCATACTGACTAGACAAGGAAAAACAATAATAATTGCATGCAGATACGCCCAGAGTAGACGTCCTGTCTTCCACGCTTCGCCGCAACTGCTTGTGTAGTACGCGGGTTGTCGCTGCTTGCGGATGACCGCTACTTGGGAGGTTTCCTCTTTGTCGACCAGTGCACACCGGATAGACTGTGGAGAATTCGAGGAGACCTGCAGGGCTGACCGTTATGAGAGATTAGCGCTTTGTTGTATATGGTGAGGTTTCACCGGAAGGGAGAGAAGGGAATGGGCATTGCTTACCGTGTGAAGAGGATAATAGTGATCTTGCTCGCTGTCACAGGTACAGGAGATATGGCAATGGACACGATGAAGATCCCTTGAAGAGATCTATGAGCAGGGAGATTTCGTTGAACCTCAACGGTTATACTTTCGAATGGGTATGAACTGAGCAGGTTCGGAGGATTGGTGTGGGGATTGGACTGTAGGTCGAGCCGTTGAATGCAAGTCTCAGATCTGTCGGCAATTCCGCTGTCAAGCAAAAGAAGGTGAAGCCTCAGATCTATATGGTCGATCCCCCAGATCGCAGGTTGGTGGAGAGATTGTTTAAGAGACAGTATAAAAGGTTAAGAGTCGAGGATAGGGGATGGAAGTAATCAAACTTATATCGATGTATCAAGAGAGGCAGCGAGAATAGGGAGATTTATGTCCAATCTAATCGCGCCTGAACATAACGTTATGAACCAGGTCTATCATAGCTAATTTCAACATCTTGGTCCGGCTAATCTAAATAGAGGCCCGTGCCATTGCCAGATGAGCAGGAGAGAAGATTTACCTGGTCTAGGCATTAGGAAGAGTCGGGGAGAGACAAAGAAGAAGAGAATATAGACATGGGTTGGTACTTCAAGCCCACTGAACCCTAGCCAGGTCAAGAATCCAAGTCTGGAAATCTCCCGTCCCCGGTCGTACGCCCTTGATCCACTTGCCGGCCGTTTCAGATCTTTTCTCTATTGTCCAGCGTTGGGTGTTGGTTTAGCCTCGATTCTGTGGGCGAAGACGGCATGTCTAGGAAAGGTCTGAAATGGGTGGAATAGTGGATGCGTTGTATTCTCGACGGCTTCCTGAAGAAGATCTTCGCTTCCCTCCCGTTAAGGCCAAGTCAGTATATCTCCGGAAGGCTAACCTCTGACCTTGTTCTTTAGAATCCTCATCTTATCCGTTAGCCGTTAGCAGGGAGAGCTTGGTTAGTTAGCCTCGGACCTGCATCCCCGTTGGGAACGGTCTGCATTAGCATCCCGCGGACAGCGTCGATCCCCACTATGTACAACCCAGGCTAGGGCAATGCATTTGCCTGCAGGTCTGCCTGATCGACAAACTGTCTAGGGACTTCATGCCTTGGCAGTGGCTCCGCCAGTTTTGTAATGTTCCATCCTGAGCGGATAGCCGCAGCGAGCTTCTGGGGGAGGCTAATGGCATCCGGGCCAATCAGACCAGAGGGGCCAATCCAACCACTCGGAAAAAGCAAAGTGGGCAGACTAGCGGTAGATGCATTTGCCAGGCCGGGGACAGGTGGGAGGTGAATGTGCCGACAGACGTGACCTACCTGGTCTTTGAGGCTCTAGAAACCAACACCAGTGATTAGATTAGTGCCAGTGGCATGTGGCATGTGCGTTGGAACGGTCTCTGGGATTAAGGGCTGATGATCGACAGATCTTAGCAGGGATGTTTTGTTGGGTCAATTAGTCGTTCTGTCTGGAGCAACCATATCAGGACTCAATGATTTAGACGAAACAGGCAGCCAGTTGCCACGACTCACAGAAGATAAGGAAATGTAAAAATAAACATTGCGAATCTGGACGATGAAATCCTCCGAACCCCTTTTCCCCGGATCGCCAACATCCTCCGGGAGTCAACACGGACCTGTTCAAAAGAAGCTTCTTTACGGCAGCTGGGATGGCCTAGGTGGCGTTGAAACCGGGAATATCGAAAACGAGCCTGCAGCAGCACGAACGCGCAGAGATTTCGTCTGGCGCCCTGACTAGGGGCAGAGATTAGACGCTGATATTGTGGGCTGAGTTCGAGGTTCTTTCTTTGAACGTTGTTCTGTTGGTGTTTTAGTCTGTTCAGCTGCCGCCCTAGTAGTAGTGGGCTTCAGACGTTGGCAATTTCCAGGGTCCAGGTAGTTGGTCGACCGCTAGGTTTCATCTCTCGCATATGCAGATCATATTTGTTTTGATTTTATTCTGGGTAGTATTCGGCGATTTAACCAGTGTTCGTGTCGGTACCCAGAGACAATCTGAAACAAATCCGGGGAAGGAAAAGCCGGGATGGAAACAGACAGGATGAGTTTTGTCGCGAACGGTGAAGGGCGATCAGTGGAGACAGGTGGGCTGTGGAAATCAGTGAAAAGAAGCAAAAAGCCGAAAAAGCAAAGAGAGGTTGTTGTTGTCTAATTTGAAAGAAGCTCCCTGGCAGCCTGTTGGCTTTGGATTGGTTGAGTTAGGGCTCGGGGGTTTCCGACTACCGGGATCATGGCTGCGTACTTTAGACTAGGCCTGGATCTCATCTCTGCTTTTTACCATATGTCATATCTAGAAGATCAGCTATAAACAAAGGATATCAACGGGCTAAAAACAGAAGCAAATCCTCGCGATAGCTCACAATGCAAGACATAGAAGCTAGAGGAATATTCTTCAGCCACTCATGGGACTCGACTCCTTCCTAGCAGAGACTGACTCAATTGCCCCAGACTGGGGTATTCACCCTAAGATGAGACAGATGAGACACAGCACCTAATCCGGAGGTGGAAAGAACAGTCAGCCTACCACATAGTCGCGGCGCGCTGGTATCCAGCTATGCACTGTCGCGGTTACTGCGCTAAAACTCCTCCTAAAGACACGATGTGATACAATGTTGAATTTTGTTTCACAATATTCTACCTACCACCGAAGGTCTCGGGAAATATGCGGCATTTTCGAAGTGGGGGATTTCAGGCTATAGCCCCCAGAGCCAGCGCTGTTGTCACCTATTCCCGAGGTGTCGGGGAGATACTCTTCTTGCGCCGAGATTGAGCAATCATGATTATTTCGGAACTCCAATTTCCATCTAGATTGAGGAAGAGGTTGCTACCTTCCCTAAGTCAATAAGTCGCATGAAGACTGTACATTGCCTCTTGCACATATTTGAGTGGAGAATGGCATATGTAGGATGCTGGGAGGCCACAGAAAGAGCCTAGAAATTTAGCAATAGCATACCTGGCATATGCATAAACATGAACTGCATCCTCAGCGAAATGAGGGGGACATCCATCTGCTGGCAGAATCTGGCAGAGACAAGGAGTCATCCCCGGTAGGGGCCAGACGTTTGACGGTTGACCTCCCCGTCGCGTTCCCGCTTCCGTCGGCCAGCTGCGTTGTCCCGGGATCTCGCCAGTCTAAGAGTCGGTCAACAAAGAATGCTGCTGGCATAACGTTATGTTGCAAAGGAGTGGCCAGTGACAAGACTCACAGTCAAGGCGTGCTATGGTCGAGGGATAATCGACGCCAGTTGGCTAGCTGTTTCTGATATTGGCCTTGACAAACACTGTACATTGGCTTGTCAGCTTAGACAGGGACGAGAGACGGCAATGTTGGTATTAAGGATAGGCATAAGGAGCCCTGAGTAGTTTCACATATATTTAATGGAATGAGCATGGAATTTGATAGTCTTGATCATGGAAACTGAGTGACGAGGGAGAACCCCCAACCTATCTCCCCACCAATCTGGTCAACATATAAGACACCGGTATGCTGATATGGCTTCTTATTCCGATTGGGGTGGTGGCCCCAGAGTAAGCTCAATCTGAGAACACGGTGATATGGAATCCGCCTCGAAGAAAATAGAGATGTTGGAGAACGCAACTCATATCTATCCTGCCATTCAAGTTGCAATGGAGGAGACACCGTCGTGAAAGAATGGAACAGAATGCTCACAGAAGTCGGTAGTCGGTAGATTGCACGATCTCGAGCTGAAAGATTCTCCAATATAGCTCTTCCAGTCCCCGTTCCTAGGTTCCCAGATCTGCCCTATTTAACACTATGATACCTTACATTCTGCTACGTTGAACACTGCATCTCATCAACCTCATACTTATGGAGCATCTACCTCAACCTCCCATCCCCACCATCGCGCCGGAAATATATGACCAAACTTGAGGAAACAAAGCCAAATATCCCAATTCAGAGCATCTAGGCTCCGACAAACGACCACCCGGCCAGCCGCACCGTCATGTTGGCAATACAAGTAAGTCAAACCAACCCTTTATCCAATAACGTTTACTCTCAGTTGGTCATACAGTAGCCACAGAGGTTGCAGCCTAACCCCACGTCTGAACGTGAGAAAATGTAAATGCCCCAGACAGTTCGCAGGAACCTTGAAAGCGGCCTAGCCGTAAAGTGCTCTCGTGGAACGAGATGCTGTGTTCATCGACAATGTGATGGCTGCTTGTCGTCAAATGTGTGTGGCAAGACGTGCTTACTGGATGGTTGGTGCTCTACTCTAACAACGGAAATGTACATAAAACGGTGAAGTCGCATTAGTGCCTAATCTGTTTTGAGTTGTTTTGGGCTGGGATGACTAGGAAGAATGAGAGTCATACCAAAGTCAAGGGGTTTCACCTCCTAGAAGTGCTAGCTACCTGGCCAACAGGAGGGTAAAGATTATTATGGCGGCATAGATGGTGCATTGAAGAGTCGACCCGCCAACTGGTCCCGGTCTGAGCCCCACCTCCAATCCCCCCCCCTCAGGGCTCTCAGAACCCACAGACCTTGGGCAACTAGCCCCCGGTTGGGCCGCCGGAACAAGAACCGCCCCCTCCGAGCCCCGGGCCCGCTGGCGTGCTCGCGGCAGATCTCCCTCCCATGACCGTTGAACCAACTGGCCAGTGGAAGGTTCCAAGTATCGAAGTGCCTCCCTGTCGATTACCTAGATAGAGCTGGAGCCCTAGGTACTTATCGGAGTTATTCTGGCGTCGACCCCAGCTGAGACGGACAGGGGAGTTACCGATGGGGTAGCCCTGCATCTGGTTGATGGCCATCTCGGCGGCGCGGCGCTGAACGAAGTGAACGAAACCGCAGCCCCTTCCAGGGAGAATATTGACGTGGGTGATTTCTCCGAAGCCCTGAAAGGAAGAGCGGAGCTCATCCTCGGTGACGTAGCCGGACAGGCCACCAACAAAGACAGTGGTGTTGTTGGGGTCAGTGAACTGGTTCATAGGCTGGGGAACACCGGGGAAGAGTATGGGAGGGCCGGCCATGGGAGGGTACATGCCAGCGGGGCCGGGCATATCCATACCAGGACCAGCGTTGTCGGCAACACCGGGACCCCTCTTCCTGGGAGTAGCGATGGAGATGCGCATGGGGCGGGTACGGCAGTGGACACCCTGCATCTCCGTAAGAGCACGCTGCTGGTCGCTCTCATGGGAGAAACGGACGAAGCCGTAGCAAAGAGACCGGCCGGTGATGGGGTCGGTCATGATCTTGGCGGACTTGAAAGAGGGGAAGCGGCTATAGAAGAGAGAGACGAGGGCGAATTCGGTAACCTCAGGGCCAAGATTACCAACGAAGATGGAGTACTCGGAGTCGCCCTGAGCCCGGTTGAGCTTGAAGACACGGTTGGTGAAGGGCATGGGGGTGCCGTTCAAAGAAAGGGCCTTGGTAGCGGCGGCAGGGGAAGTGAATTCAACGAAGCAGTATCCAGCATTGCTTCCAGATGAAGTGTCAAGGATCATGTTGACGTTGACCTGCTCGCCCATCTGGGACCAGAGGTTGCGGATGAAATTCTCATTGATCCAGGGCTCGAGATCACCCATCCAGAGGGTGGTCCTGCCATCAGCACCCTGCTGGGGGAAGCTTTCGCTTTTGATACCGTCGTAAGACATGGTTGCAAAAATCGGAGTTCGAAAAGTCGACGTAAAGATATAGGATGGCCGAGCGAGTAGAACTTCGTGGAGTCGTTAAGGAAAGACCGGCGTGAGATCAAGTCGTAACGAAGCCAAGCAACGAGACGCGCGTGAAAGGCTCCTGAATGATAGGAAAACCTGGGAAAACACTGGAAATGCGCGAGGCAAAAAAGAGTAATCAACAACAAGGGAGGCAAACCAGAACGCCCGGATAAATAAACAAAAATTGCAAACCGAGATCTTCGGACAAAAAGAGAAGGTAGGAGGTAGAGCAGTCTGCTGGGGGTGGCTTCCCTCATAGGCCTGGGTATGGTGACTGGAGGAACACTCAATATCGACAGCTGTCTGACGAAACTGTATCAGACACAGCACCAGAATCAGACACAGCATCAGAATCAGACAGAGCATCAGAATCAGTTACAGCATCAGAATCAGTTACAGCATCAGAATCAGTTACAGCATCAGGGTATTACTGCTGTCTTGTAGTTTCTCTGTCATGACAACGGTAGAAGGGAGGCATCTGGTGCTTGGTTGAGAGAATGGTCTCGGGAACTGTTCCGGAGACGGCTTTGGCTGCTGCGAAAATGATGAAATTGTAACTGAGTCTGGTGCTGCAACTGATTCTGATGCTGTAACTGATTCTGATGCTGTAACTGATTCTGATGCTGTAACTGATGCTGATGCTGTAACTGATGCTGATGCTGTAACTGATTCTGATGCTGTAACTGATGCTGATGCTGTAACTGATTCTGATGCTGTAACTGATTCTGATGCTGTAACTGATTCTGATGCTGTAACTGATTCTGATGCTGTAACTGATGCTGTAACTGATGCCGATGCCGAAAAGTCTGGTGGTGAACTGTTACTTCGCAGCAAAAACTGCACGGCTGCCGATAGTGCAGTATGTGAGATCGTTGCCCGGGCGTGCCAGAGGTAAGCGTGCCAGAGGTACGAGATACCAGGATACCCCCATTCTAGCATACGGTGAAGCCGGCGCAGACTCAGATCTGGGATTCAATTCGCAAGGGCGGCCGTCGCGAACTGCATGTATTCGGGTCCGAAGGTCTGCATGCTGGCGGTGCGGTACGGTACGGGGTTCGCCTTCGACGATGATAGCTTCTAGCAAATCTCAAAGTCGAATTCGATCTCTACTACTTGTCTCACTGGTCCTAGTCCACTTCCCAGACCTTTGTTGCTCAAACCGGCCATCCTGGGGACGCCACATGAGGTGGGAAGAGCGCAAAGGCGGCCTGACATCGGAGACAGGACGATGGGAGGACTGCAGCCTAGGAGACAGTAGCAGGGGATGTCCTAAGACCTACTGTGGACCGTCAACTGACAAGAATCATACTGGAAAAATTGATCGTGAGGCAAGAGATGTGTATTCTTTGAGTCTCTGTCTATGCCTGTGTCTGAGCGGTGAACACCACGCATGACGCCTGGGGCATGATTCCTGGAGGTGGCGCAGAGGCAATCAAGGAGTCCGTGTCGTCCAAAATTGGGTCAACACTGAGCAAAGTACCATATTCACTTGCGAGGGATCATGGGATGACCACATCCTTTCCGATTGAGCCGGTTGCTGGTACCTAGTGACCAACTAAACCAAATAAAATTGTCTACTGTGGGAAACTATCCGGATATGGAGGTTTTCTTCCACTTGTCCGGAACATACTAGTGCCGTTCCGCACACTGGACCAAGTCCGATCACGTGGCTTGTCTTGGCAAGGAGCGACCCTGCTTCGACAGTCCTGCAATTGACCGAATGGCGGTTGCTAGAGCCTTGGGAAAACATAGGCTTGGCATCGCCGCCTCATTCATCCAGGAATTTCTAGCTGAATTCAACTGTTCAACAAAGGACATGGTCCATTTACCTACTTCCTTGGAATTGTAGTGAGAAATAGGTATAGATATGGCCGGACTACGATCAAAACATGTGAAATGAGGCAAGACTGATAAATTGATGTGGATATGACATGAGGCATTTGGATTCGGGGTATCAAAACAAACAAAGTGACTCCTGGAGGAAATGCAAAGAGAGCTGATGAGTCTTGTGAGGATGAACCTCTGCGCTGAAAACCACCGCTGGCGGTCCATAGAATAAAAACAAGATTAGGAAGAATCTTCGAAGCTGGAATCCGAGGAATCTGAGATCGAAGAGTTCCTCATTGGCACGGGAGCACCGATGCTCTCCAATCCTCTGGACTTTTCCAAAGCTCCATTGGAGGCATTCAATTCAGCGGTCGGAGCAACCCCGGCTTCCTTCTTGAGCCTCTCATAATTTTCACCAGCCTCTTTTATCATAGCCTGGATCTCCACCTCTCGGATCGCAATGTCCGCCTTCTCCTTCCTCATTTCCTCCAAACGGCTGATCATCTGAGTCTTCAAGCCCTCCATAGACGCCAGAGACATGCGCAGCCTCTCAAAACTGCTAGCTAATTTCGGAAGAGAAGTCATCTTCGGCGGGGTCTTCGGACGATCAATTGCATCTGACTTGCCATACATGGCCGCCTTGATTTGAGCAGCTTCGTAGGCCGCCTTCTCCTCGAAGTCAGAGTCCTCTTCGTCGGAAACACCCACGGCATCATCAATAAGTTCACGCATAGCCTCGCGGTCCTTGCGCTTCTTTTCACGCTCAGCTTTGCGTCCCAGAGCAATCTTCCCGTCTTCCGTAAACTCCTCAAATCCTTCTGCAAAGTCCTCATCGTCCCGGACCAGTCTCGTATCTTTTTCTTTCTCGCCTCGAGCCGCAGCATCCCAGTCAGTAGCTCCATCGTGATCGTCCAATGCAATGAAGTCGTCATCCTGCGCGCTATGTTCTAGGGCCAGGCGTGCGCGTCGGGCTTTCTTCTCTCGAATCTCGGCTTCGCTGGGAATGTGCGCCTGTCCCGAAACAGTCATGACCTCCCCGAACTTGGCGGCAACATCCACAGCTTTCGTAGTCTCATCATCGGTGAGTGTCTTCGGCGTTGAAGGTGTCGAATTGCGAAGCTCCTTCAAGTAGTCATCATTGTAGCTAGGCCGGTCTTGATCCTGACCAAAGCGAGCGGATAACTTCTCAGGTGCCAATGCAGGATGGTGAATGGCGCTTCTCCCCAATGGTTTGCGCGGTTTCGGTTTGATAACTTCGCCTTCTTGGTCCCCATCGTTCATTGAAGTCTCAGCACCGAATGATAGCTGCAATTTCGATTTCTGCTTCGGCTTAAAGTTTGTCGGACGTTTGACAACCGGCTCTAGGGTCACTGTTAGCTTCAATCTTCAGAGTGAGAAAGCCGGGTTAAAAAAGTAGCCACCGCCGACATACCTGGCGCAGCCCCTCCATCTTCATCCTCATCATCCCCGCCGATCTTCCTCGGCTTTCTCCGATTGGCAAATTTCGAGCTCATCGTTCAATCTCCCGAAAATGTACGTTCAAGTAAAGCAAAGAAGTAGTGATGCAAGTTGGTGGCGTGAGTGAGCTTAATAGAACGGCAGCTCTTATCGCAATCGCATATCCGGAACAACTTTCCGCCGGCTCAGCTTGGACCAAACTCCCAAAGCCACCGCGGCCATGCCAGTTGAATCTTGCCAAACCTCATACCCGACCGAATCCTCCAATATGCCTCAAGCTCAGCCAGAATTGAAAAAGGTGAGCGCTGCTCCTGCTATGTTGCGCTTTTTACCCCGGGGTCGCTGCTGACGTACCCTTTTTGCAGTACATGGAGAAGCGGGTCTTCTGCGAACTGAACGGCAACCGCAAAGTCATTGGTATTCTCCGTGGTTACGATGTACGTTTTGACCCGTGCTTCAGTGCCTACCCTATTGTGACATATCCTATCCCGTCACGATACACGAGAGATACCGCTACAATACCGCGAGACGGTGCGGATGAAGCGCAAATGCACTAACGATGCTTCGCGCAGGTCTTCATGAACATCGTCCTTGATGAGGCATTTGAAGAGAAGGAAGGTGGAGAGAAGGTGGCCATTGGCATGATCGTACGTTCAATTCCTATGGGCGAATGTCAAGCACGCGACTAATCGATCTTCGTGTCCAGGTCATTCGCGGTAACTCGGTCGTGATGCTCGAGGCTCTCGAGCGCATAACCGACAAATAAGCGATACATCTACACGCACGATCTACGACGTTTCTTTTGAGTGAGGGGCACGTACATAGGCACCACTCCACCGAGTGCTGGGAAAAGAGCCAATGCTACTGGGAGTTTCTGGGTCGGTTTCTCGTATGGGATCAATCAAAACCATTTTTCTGTTCCGTTTTTCTTTCTGCTTCGTTTTCCAGGGCGTATTTTAGACTACCTTGGCTACCTCAATGATTCTCTGGGTGTCTACGTTGCAGGGTTTACCAAGTGACAATCTTAGGCACAGCTGATGTGATATTAAAATCAATAGACAATGCAGAATCAAGCTCGTGCCAGGAAGTATGGTTGATTTCCGTAATGTTGCCAAGCATGAAAAAAACATATGGATAGAATACAAGACACAGTTGAAGCAGAGGATACTCAGGTAGGTCGGCCACCAAACTTGAGTTTTAGCTTGGGCGTGGATGTGGCCGGAGTTTTGGTTGCGCTGTGCGCAGGGGATGGTTTGGGAATGTGGAGTTTAGGAAGCGTCGTAGAAGATGGCGTGGTATGACCCGAGTTGCTCTTGTGCTGCTTGAACGTAATACGAGTGGAAGAAGGTGGGTGCATTCCATCCTCCCGCTTGCGCTTGGAAGATGGTCCGATGCGGGCTTTGGCGGACTTAAAGAAGCGTAACTTGCCATGTCCCAAGTTTTGGACATTCCAGTAGCGAGGTAGCTTCAGCCGCACTAGCTTGAAAGTGACGGGATCGTACAGGCAGCGGCAAAGATCAAGGAGCTCGGAGAGCTCCAACATACCCATGGCCGGGGAATTGCACGCTGCCCACATGCACTCTTTCAACGATGTGTCCTCGGCAATTTCCTGCTTCAGAGCTTCGATGGCACCAGGAATGGTTTGGCGTCTTGCAATGTCTTCACGACGGATTTGGGTAGACGATTCTTGTTCAATAATCAACCCATCAGTCTGCAGAGTTTCCGCCGGCTGAGGGCGACCGAAGGCAATTTGTGCCAGCACCTGGCCAAAGAGGCGCAGAGACTGATGCCGTATCCATGCTGACGAATCGGCGGACAGTGTGAACATGAGCCATCGAATGAGCTCTGGGCTCCGAGAGATATCCAGGTCGACCAAGCACTGGAAGGCCTGCATGCGGAGAAGGTCATAGGTTCCTGCTCGGGTGTACGGCACAAATCGCATCAAATCCATTTCGATGATGTTGGCTTGCATCAGTTGCGCCTGGCAATGAAGTGCAGCTCGAGAGTAGAGATTCTGGAATGAGCTCGACCATTCATCCATTCGGCGGTAGCGGTCAAACTCGGCAATGGCATCCTTATCCAATTGCTCCTCGGCTTGAGCCTCAATGACACGTTCCATATCGAAATGGTCGATGTCTTCATCTGCGCGTGACTCACTCTTGCCTAGCATGGCATGGCATAATGACTTCATCAAGGATGCAACATAGAAGTTATCCGAGTACTCGTTATTAGAATTGTCGTTGAACTTCAGTTTATCGAAGAGGAATCGTTTTACCCTCAAAGGGGTCTTGCCGCTGTTGTCACGGACCTTGGAGATCGCATCAGGGATGACTTGTTGGAGTATGTAGGCTGCACGGTCGGAGAAGTCGTTCGAGCGGGTCATTGGTGAACCTGGGAGACAGAAGAGCTCCTGGAACGCCTTCTCAAGATGGTACAGCCCAATCCAGTCAACCTCATCCTTGGCATGTCTCACCAACGCACGTGCAGCCGTGGTACGTATACCATGGAAGTATCGGCTGTCCATGAGCGTTCGAACAAAGATCGTGGAAATCAAAGGATGCTCTCGTTGCGCAGCCATGTATTGTAAAGACTGAGAATGTTAGTATGACCTGCCCAAGACTGTTGGTAGGAAGATAATTCACCTCGAGTTGGGCAACAACATCTCGATCTTGTTGAAGCTGCGAAAGATACATGTACCCCGGCATACCGAGGGACAGTTTACAGACCCATTCGAAGTCTGCATCCATTCGGATCCACTCATACGACTCCTGTCCCATTCTTTCTTCGTCCTCCTTCGTCCAGTCAGCGAGACGCCAAGCTTGCGTTTCTTCTTCGCTCTGGAGCACATCTCCGAGACAGTACAGAAGGACCTCTTCCTGGACTTCAGGATCACCAGAGGCAACTGCTCTTTCTCTTTGTTTTTTATTGCGCTTCAGTCTCTTGTACTTCGTATTATAAGGGATATCGAACTTGGTCACGCCTTCCTTGATCTCAACGATATGTTCATAAGGGGTCCCATCTGCTTCGTGAATCCGAAGGGTCATGGACCCTGTGAAGACCGGCTGGACTGCGCCCGCGTAGACATGCCGGACCTCTTCTTTCACATCACGCAAAAAGGAGTCCTTGTCAAGATCACGAGGGGCTTGTGGCTCTGACTGAACCTGTCTGATCATCATTTCAACAACCAGCTTTTTCTTGTTGAATCGCTGGGTCGCTTGGAATCGCGGACAGCCTGCACCATAGACCCATTGCTGGAAGAAAACGTCCAGCTTCGCGTGACCGAGTCGCTCGCAGGTTTTCTGGAACAAAGACGTCGTGACCGCTCCATTCGGTATGTCACCCATGCGAGAGTTCAGGAAAAGTCGCGAAATAATGCGAGACATTGTGGCCTTGCCACTCGCCTTGGTCAATCGGCGATCAAGGATGAAGAGGACCAAAGGTGCTTTTAGTGCAACAAATCGATATTCAGAAGGATCGACCTTGAGAATGTTACCCATATCGTATATCGAAGGACGCTCAAAATCGAGCTCACAAATCCGATCTGACATTTGCTTCAGTCGGAAACGGTATTCATTGTTTCCGCAAAGCTTTCGCATGAAAGTGTCTGTGATGTACCACGCGACACCGACGGTCACCCAAGTATCCGCAGGCTCGCTAGGAATGATATTGATGCCAGTCCATTGACATGCCAGACCGTGCACCTGAGCCCGAGTAGAGTCATACATCGGGTCGATAATTTCTGCTGGGAATAGCAGATGACTACTGCAGATTGACATGCACGCCGTCGGGAGGCTGTCCGTGGGAAGATCATCCACAAAACACATTTTGTAACTGCCGAATGGATACGATCCGTAAGAAAGGGAGAAGAAATCGATCGCCTGAGCCATGGGAAAACTGGCATTTTGGACCTCGTCGGCTCTACCGGGGAGGCAGAAGGCGTGCAAAGGAATGGCGTTCTGACCAAGTTGTTCGTCTTGGTCGCTTTCGCGGAAGTCGGCCAGGTTAACATATTCGAAGGGTCCAATTGCAAACCCAATTTGCAGAGCACTCAGGGGTGAATATGATGCAAATGAGACTGTTTTGCGCGTTGAATCTTTTGGGTCGATGATGTCGTCAGTCAGTTCACCGGAGCAAACCACGGACATATCCAGGCCTTCATCATCCGTGGACAGCTGGCGGGTGTGTGCTTTTGAGCGGGACGACGTTGCTGCACCTGCAGTATCTCGGCTCTTGCGTTGGAAAACATCACCAAGAGAGCTGGGACAAGTTATAGACACCTCCCAGGTACACCGTGATGACATGTCATCCACGCATGGAAACAAGGGACAGCCAATGCCCGACTCCAAGGAGTTGGTGGTATAGGCATGGGGATACCGGCGATCTCCATTGTCAACCCCAACGAATTGTAAACCATCCCGAATGTGCTCGACGACAAATTCGATGTTCACTTTTAGTGATGTAAATTGCGGCAAGTTTGCCTCCTGCACTCTGGCACTAGGACCATCGACATTGTCGACAGTTGATTGCAGCGCGATCTGGTCTTGGGCTTCGGCGGAAGACGGGTCCAGTTCTTCGATGCGGACGCCCTTGGGAATCGTGATGGGCAAAGTGGGAGTTGGGGGAGTTTGTAGGAGGGTATCGATCTTCGGTATTAAGCGCTCGTGGTATTGGACTCCATAAAGTTGCAAGGAATCATATTGATCGGTGTATTTCGCTGTCGCAGTTCTGCCATTCACGCTCACGCGCTTGATCTCGCCTTGTCGAAAATTCAACCAGATGACACTGAGATCTCTGCGGCGGGGATGAATGGTGATCTCTGTGCTTCCTTTCAGACTTTTCGTGGCTAGGTCAATCTCGAGCTCGACTTTCTGATGGCCCACGCTGAATCCTAGATTGAACGGGCGTGCCGTTCCACCAATGGGTAGTTCGACACCCGGCATCGTGAAGATTCCTCAGTGACGAGATGCGCGGGGAGCGCTTTGAAGACCATCCACCGTCATATCCAAGCAGAGCCGAATTTGATTATAGTAATGACGCAGAGAAGTGGAGGAAGGGTTTCGCGTAGCGCAAGGTTGAATTCCGGACGACAGTGAAGTGGATGGGAGATGGCCGATTATGCGATGATGTGGACGAGGAAAGAGAGACTCGGGGGATGAGTTGAAGAGGATGAGAAACGAAAGTGCAGGTGAAGCGCAAAGAGAGAAAAGATAAGGTGGATTGTTTTGCGCTACTCGAGAACAATAGCCCGGGTCTCGGTCAAGGTCAAGCTTCCCTTGTTCGCGTTCCCGATGCGGAGCAAGGCACGTGATTTCGACCTGAAAATCACTTTGGAACATTCCATTCCTCCTTTTCTCCACGTATTCTTGTGAAGACATCTGTTTCATAAAGGCATGGTTTGATTTACTGTGCATCTAATTTATTTACTCTCTTCTTCGACCGCGCTATGAACTGAGGTGTCCGCGTACCTTCCCTCCTTACTATACTACAACTCCGCGTGTGACACCGCCAATCTTCGAAAATGAGCGCGATCTATCGAATGGTCCAAGGTGAGTGGCATGGAGACTGTGATCAGCGCCCTTGATGTCCCTTTCCCACGCTAATTTCAAATGTCCGAAACCTACAGAGACCCAAGAATCCCTCTCCGACGAAGCCCTGCTACCCCTTAAGTCCTACAAGTACTCGGCTGTGGACAAGTCGTTCATTTCTCGATATGTCTTGAAGCACTATGTATGACAGCCTCGGGTGGTTTTGATTACATTGAACCAGCTGGTTGACTTCTCTCCCATCTTAGTGGAATGCTTTCGTCGAGGTTGTGCCGATGTGGATGGCCCCCAACATGGTAACCCTTCTTGGGTTCATGTGGATCGTAGCCAACATCTTCATTATCGAAATTTTCGTGGAAGATTTGGTTGGGCCCGTAAGTGTTGATCGTTCTTTTTTTATCCGATGTGGCGAGTTAACCAGAGTTTCAATTCCAGGGCCCCGCATGGATATACTTCAGTTTCGCTCTTGGCATGTGGATGTGAGTACAGACTACCACTGAATGTATAGACCCAACTCACATCAACTAGGTACTCTACTCTCGACAATGTGGACGGTAAACAGGCACGCCGCACTGGAACTTCCAGCGGTCTCGGAGAACTTTTTGAGTTTGTACCACTCCCCGACCGGCCGTGGATAGCCCACTAATCAGGAACACAGTCACGGTATCGACTCTCTGAACTGCACACTTGCTAGTCTACTTGAGACAGCCGCAATGGGCTTCGGCTCGTCTGAACTTGGTGCTTGGACTGCAATTGTTCCATGTCTGGCTATGTATTTCTCGACATGGGAGACTTTCCACACCCATACCCTCTACCTCGGCTACTTCAACGGGCCGACTGAGGGTTTGCTCATCGCCATTGGAATCATGGTCGCTTCTGGAATTTGGGGCCCCGGAATATGGTCTCAACCCATCGTTAACTGCATTAACATCCCCCAGATCTTTGGCAACAACTCTGTCAAGGACCTGTGGGTCCCCATCCTTGTGGGCGGCTTCCTTCTTGGCCATCTCCCCGGATGTGTTCTGAATGTGGCTGCGGCCCGCAAGAAGCAGGGACTGCCTTTCACCCCACTGCTTAAGGAGTGGATCCCCATGCTTGTCTTCACTGGCTGCAACCTGGCTTGGCTATTCTCACCTTGGTCGACCGTTCTTTCCGGCAACCACCTCGTTCTCTTCTGCTGGGTTATTGCGTTTGTATTCGGTCGCATGACTACCATGATCATTCTGGCCCACCTTTTGAGACAGCCCTTCCCCTTCTGGACTGTGATGCAAGCTCCCCTGATCGGCGGTGCTGTCCTCGTCAACCTGCCGATTCTTGGGTTCCCTGCTATTGCTCCGTGGCTGGAGCTTTTGTACCTCCGTTTGTACTTTGTCTTCGCCCTGGTCATCTACATGCACTGGGCTGTGCTTGTCATCAACCGCATCACCACTTTCCTCGGCATTAACTGTCTCACCATCCGCAAGGACAAGTCTGCCGCCAGGGACAGAGCCTATCGCACACTCGGTGAATCGTCCCTCATACATCTCGATGAGTCTCGCGCTTCGACTGACACCTCCAAGACCCATTGAATTAGTATACGACCGTCTTACGCCGGATAAGATCCGACAATCGACCTTTGTTTGGAATATTCAGAGATCGGCTCTCCCACAAAAGCACCCAAAGCGGTGCGCATTTTGTTTAAATTTTCGAACCCTGTTGTACTTACGACATGTCTATTTTTCCCACATATCTTGTCTTGTCGTGGAAACAATCCGAAACGACAATCTCAACCCGAGAGCGGATTGGACGAGACCAAGCATGGAAAATATCGTCTTTGTCTAGCATACCTGTACTTACGGCACTATTAATATTTTGTAAATAGATGAAAAATCCAAGTTCATGTTCATTCGTCTTTTGAACAAGTCAATCATATTAGATACAGAAGCATTAAAGCAATACAGAAACAAGCAAATAACATATGAACGCTGGTAAGAATAGCAAAGCAGAAAAAATCACAAAAGCACCACAAGCAGCCAACTCGAAAAGAACCACTTCAGCAACTTTTCATTTCTTCCCACCGAGTCCGAGAGATTCAGTCACACTACCAAGACCGAGTCCCTCAATGACCTTGTTCAATCCAAGAGTGCCAAGCAAATTGTTCAGAATTCCACCAAGACCAAGCCCATCAAGCAGACGACCAACCAGATTGAGCACACCAGTAAGCAACAAGCCAACGGCAGCGATGATCTGGAACAGCGGCTCAGAAAGCAAACCCCAGAGGGGGTTCAACTTCTTCTTGGCATGAGGCATGTCCTCGATACGCTTCTTGCCATTGTCGATGCACTTGACGACCGTCTCAGTAAGCTCCTTGATCAGATCGGCAAGCTGGTACTCCTCGGGAGTGGCGTCGCGGGAGGCAGCGCGGGCCTTAGCGGTCGCGGCGATGCGGCCATCAGGATCAAGTGCGCGAATTGCGCCGTTGCATTCTTGGAGGATGCGGCCGCCTTCTTCGAGGAGAGGCTTGACGGTTTGGACGACTTTCTCCTCGTCGAGCTCGTCCTTGGGGGTTCGGTCGGCTTTTTCGCAGGCCTAGGAGATGGATTAGCAATGAGCTTTGAAAGAAAGATTTCAGTTGGGCTGGGACTTACCTCGTCGATCTTTTTGCAGACAGGCTTGACTCGGTCGAGGGTCTGGCTGAGGATGGAGATCATCTTCTCGGCGAGTTGGCGATCGGTCTCGGCCTTGTCGGCGGCCTCTTGCTCTTCGGCAGTAAGACCTTCCTCCTCTTCCTCGGGCTCGGGGATGTTCTCGAGCAAAGTGCACTCGCCGATCTTGTTACCGTCATTGTCGACAACATAGCCGTTGTCGTCGACAGGCTTTCCGATCAATGTGGCGAGGTTGCCGGAAGTCAGTTTGCCAATGAGATTGCCATCGGCATCGCGAACTTCGCCCTCCTTGTTGACCTTGCGACCAGACATGGGATTGACGTCGCGCTTCTTCTCTTCGGGTTCCCAGCGCTCAGCCTTGCCGATGGTGTTGCCGTTCTTGTCGAGGACATCGCCATCCTCATCAACCTTGCGGCCAAGAAGACGCTTGGCGTCACCTTCGATCAGACGACCGATCGTCTTCTCGCCGTCGAGAACAACACCATCCTTCCCGACGACAGCGTTGTCAAAGCCGTAGAAAGGCCCCTCGGCCTTCTGCTGCTCGCCGCCAGGAATGAGCTCGGCACGTCCGACAACCTTGCCGTTGTCACCCCAGATCTGGCCCTTGCCGTCAACCTTGCAACCAGCAAGACGCTTATCGCCTTCGGCGACACGTCCAACGACAGCACCGGTAGCGGGATCGACGACATTGCCAGACTTGTTGACAACCTTGCCCTCCAGAAGAGACAGGTCCTCTTCGGCGGGCTCCTCCTCCTCGGGCGGCTCATATGGTTCAGCACGACCCTTGACATTGCCGTATTTGTCGGTGATCTCGCCATCCTCGTCGACAGCACGACCACGAAGCTTCTTCGCCTCTCCTTCAACAAGTTTGCCAACAATGGACCCATCCTCGTCTTCGACAAATCCATCCTTGGTGACAATCAGGCTCTCCATGCCAGCGAACGGGCCCTCAGGTCTGCTCTCAAGCTCATCCTCAGGAATGAGCTCAACACGACCAACGACCTTCTTTCCATCGTAGATCTCGCCGTCATCAATCTTCTTGCCGACAAGCTCCTTGGGATTGCCCTCCACAACACGGGCAATCGGATACCCATCAGGCCCAATGACATATCCAGCCTTGTTGCAGGAGAGACCATTGACAGCAGACCAGTCAGGACCAGCTTCCTCCTCTTCCTCTTCCTCTTCCTCTTCCTCTTCCTCGAGACGCTCAGCACGACCAATAACGTTGCCCTTGCGGTCGAGGATTTCACCATCCTCGTCGACACCACGACCGCTCAACTTCTTCGCATCGCCTTCGACGAGACGGCCGACTCGTCGGGAGTCCTCATCTTCAATGAAACCGTCTTCGCCAACGACCAGGCCTTCGAGTCCGGAGAATGGGCCTTCGTCCTCGTCGTCTTCCTCGATGGGGAGGGTCTTGGCCTTGCCGATAACGTTGCCGCGGTTGTCCCAGAACTGGCCCTTGTCGTCGAGGGTGGCACCGAGCTTGGCGAGTTTCTTGGGATCACCTTCAGTTAGTTCGCCGACCGGCTTGCTGGTCTCTTGATTGATGATGTAGCCGCGCTTGTTGCAGACCATACCCTCGAGGGTATCGAGATTAGGGATCTCTTTCTGGGCGTCGTCAGCAGCATCCTCGACATCTCCGGCTGCGTCGTCTGCAGTGTCTTTGGCGTCTCCGGCTGCGTCGTCTGCAGTATCTTTGGCCCCGTCGACTTTGTCCTCGAGGTTGATCTTGCTCTCGTCAACGGCGCCTTCGGCATCAGAAACATCCTCCTCCGCTTCCTCAGCAGCTCCATTCACATCCTCCTTCGTTTTCTCAGCAGCACCATTCACAGCTCCCTTGGCCTCATCAGCGTCGAGGTCATCCTGAGCATCCTCGTACTGATCCTCAACATCATCCTTGGCGCCATTGGCCTCCTCAGTCGCATCACCAGTGGCCTCCTCAATCGCCTTCTTCTGCTCCTCAACAGGAATCAACTCAGCACGACCAATGGCATCGCCATCCTCATCGACAACCTCTCCATCATCGTTAAGTGTAAACCCAATAAGATCTTCAGGGTCACCCTCAACAATCTTTCCAACAACCTGACCAGCCTCATTCTTAATTACACCGCCATCAGAAACAGGCAGTCCATCAAGCTGAGCAAGTTCGGTGACAACATTCTCCAGGTCAACATCACCAGCCTTAGACCGCGCTTCCTCCGCGGTATCGTTAGCTTGCTCGGCGACATCATGGAGGATATCGACTCGTCCGATCAAATCGCCTTCTTCATCGAGAATCTCTCCATCGTCACCAACGGTTTGGCCGACAAGGTCCTCAGGGTCTCCCTCGACAACCTGGCCAATCGGGTTGCCATCTTGTCCGAGAATGTTGCCGCCATCAGCGACCTCCAGACCCTTCAAGGCAGACAAATCGAGAGGCAGCTTGTCGGCAGTGTTCTCAGCTGCATCCTTGGCGGTCTCTGCGCCCTTCTCAGCACCATTCTTGACAGTCTCCGCGCCCTGCTCGGCGGTCTCCTTCGTCTTCCCAGCAACGTCCTTGGCCTTACCGGATAGACCAGAGGTGGAACGGCCGAGCGGTGCGGCAGAGCCAGCGGCGGAAGGGGCTTGGGAAGCTGCGTCGTCTGGAGGGGAGGCTGGGCGACGTTGCTCGGATTTGGACTTCTTGGCTGATTTCGGGGAGGGCGTCTCAGGAATGGATTGCTCATCGACGTCGTCTTCGATTGGCTCGGGGGCCTTTTTGGAGAGTTTGCTGGCAGTGGATTTCTTTGTCGACTTAGGGCTGTCGGTGGTGCTGCGCTTGCTGGCTGAGCTAGAGGTGGAGCCGTTGCGGGCCTTGGAGGGAGTCCCGGTCTTGGAGCCTAGCTTTGGGGGTGCTTTGTCGACGGCTGAAGACATGGTGCTTTTCGTTGCTTTGTTTTTGGTTTGGGTTGGGTGATTGTTGGTTGAGCTAGTGTGTTCAAGGTCTGGGGTATTTGCAACTTGAGTATCGTTCAGTCGTGTTCGTCAAAGTAGTCGGCGTATACTTCGTAAATTGGCAGTGCGTGGGTTGAATGATGATATACAAGTTTGTAGCTTGAGTGGTATAATAGGGTTTCGGTAATTAGAAAAATGAGTTTCAGGGACATGCAGAGTGTCGAGGGTTTATATGAACAGTGCAAGATTCTGATATCATCGGCCAGATCCAATCACCTAGCTGTCTGTATACCGGTAGATTTTACGTCATGGGCCGTAACGGTACCTAGGTAGCTGCTTCTGTAAATCCTGCACGTACACCCGTTGGACATGATCGTGGGTCGTCATAGGTCAATCTATCTGGCACAATGTATAACGCACGGGTGCAGTGGCTTGAGAAGCGGTTACCAGCATCATCAGCATCATAAGTGGGTCAATTCGACAGCCTGCCAAGTGGAGAATTGGTGGATCCAAAGAAGGTTGTATGTTGGGCGGGCGAATCAGAGCATCCGATCTGGTATGGGGAGCGGAGTGTGGCTAAATCGGGATATAGAAGCACTCCTTCTGTTTCTTGTTTGTAGTACTTTGTACAAGGATAGATTGATGGTAGTCGTGGTTGTACCACTCGGGGGCACCGAGATTCAGACCTATTTCTTGCAATTACTTTGGATAGACATTAGACCTTTTTCTCGTTGCACTAGTGATGGGTCATGGCCCTGGGACCGGTGGACATTGGAGTCGACTATGTCATGTTCCTGGCCTGAAGAATCCTCGATGTCTAGGGTGTACCCATCAATGGTCATAGTGATGGACAGGTCAGACGTCAGAATGTTCCGATCCATGGGTCTTCCCCGGAGCCACGCTATCTCAAGCATGGAGACCTGTCAATGAGCGAATCAGAGATCAATCAGGCATTAATAGGCGACCTATCCATTATTAGTCTCCACTGCAATTTGCCCCCATTCCCTGTGGCTGAGCATGGAAGATGGCAGTCGCTGGTTCGCCAGCCCTACCTATCAAAGCCCAGGAGCAAGCCGAATCATCATTACATCAATGTTTATAAACAGTGCAACAATATATAGTAAGAAGTTAAAGAGCATGTTTATTTTCCCGTATGAGCATAGAGGGATTGGATCTTGTAGGCGGCTGTTGAACCGAATTAGCATATTGTATACCTGAGAAAGTCGTACACCAATGACACTTTCACGAACCACGTAATGTTCGTGCAACCACATTTTCATACATTTAACAGGATCGGTAACAGCAATATCGATATCTCTCAAAACCAGATAGCAGTCGGGGTAAGTCCCTGTCAGAGAGAGGTATGAGCGCAGGCCATGGAACTTCGGCCGGATGAGATCATTTTAATTTATTTCGGTGGAGAGTTCAGCCACACAAGTCATTGTTCTGATATCATTGCTGAATTCAAGGCATACAGTGTCAACCATGTTTCCAGCTTATTCTCTATCCAAATACTAGTATGTTATGATAATGCACGAAAAATGAAGTTCCCCAGGTTGGTGGTAGGTTAGTGTAACGGCTACGACACCCGTTAGATGGGGAAATTCTCCGGTTAGCAACTTCCGAAATCAAGATTTGCCCCAATGGCTTGGCATCGTGACAGAGATTGTCTTGGCTATGTCGCACCGAATGTAGCAATTATTGGTAACATCGCATAGATAGCTGAGTCGTTGCCTATTCAACATGGATGGAAGCCACCCTGTCTCTCTTTGTACTGGTCATTTTCAAGATATCAAACTCTAGTGATATAAGTATAGTAATATGTGGCATTGGTCTCCGACTTTGCGATCGGGATCGATCGGCGTGTCTATTTCTATCGCTGTGCCCATACAGTAGTAGTTAACTAGCGCGATCTCTTCGCCACCGCTGCTGTTGCGTCTTGAGCTGGATAGATCAACGTCTCCTAGACATTACAGAAGCGATGCATCCATCTCAGAGACGCTGTACTTCTCTGGGACTGTAGTATCATTAGTTACACGGCCCCGGTCCTCAGAAAGCAACTCGTTCTGTAAAGCGGTCTCTCACGTTCCTCGCCCCGACCTGTGGGCTTCTCGTGGAGTTGTGTCGGCGGGCTGGTTTCCCTCCCTTTAAGAGTGTCTCGGTGCAGGCGCGCTCTTTTTTTTTATTTTTGGTGTGGTGTAAAAGGTCTGCCTACCTTGGGCAGGTTTTCGTGTAGAACTCCATCACCCTTAGTGGGGTGCGTGCAGTCCAGGGTTCCTGGATGCAGACTATATCGCACTTTTCTCCGAAAGCAAGCTCTAGTGCCGATAGGTGGCACGCGAATCTCCTTGCTGTGTTGGCACGGAGTACTTTGGTTTTCGCCCTGGGCCTGTTGTGGCGGCGCCTGCCGCTTTTCGGTTCTTGGATGTTCCCTAAAATTAAGAGAACTGGCGGATGGAGGCCAGTTCTATAACCCCATTCACGCGCTTAGGCGCCGCGGTGCAGTGGTCGTGCCCTGCTTGGTAAGGGCCGTGACAGTTCGCACACCTACGGTGCTTTTGGCAGAGCGGCCCGATTGGGCCGTCATGGTTGTCGACAGTGTCGCCGCATTTATTGCAGCCGAAGTGTGGCAGAATTAGCTGCTGCAATAAATGCGGCGACACCGCCGACAACCATGACGGACCAATCGGACCGCCATGCCAAAAGCAGCCGAGGTGCGCTAACTGCCACGGCCCTTACAAAGCAGGGCACGCCCAGTGCACCGCGGCACCGAAGCGTGTTAACGGGGTTATAGAACTGGCCTCCATCCGCCAGTTCCACCAGAAACAGTCCCGGGCGGCTCACACTGACACAGAGACCCCCCGCCCCTCGATTCAGGGTCTTCAATGAAAGCGCCACAGCGCGCTACATCAACAAGAGACTTGCCCGACAGGTCCACAACACTGGGTGCCAGGCATACTGTCACGCCCCGAAGCGTGGCAGAATTAGCCGCTGCGATAAATGCGAGTTGTACGATGTACAGCAAGCAATCCCAGTATCGGCTAATATGTCAGCTTGAGCTAAGTCCCGAAAAATCAGTGCGTTGTCACGTTGTGAAGCAGGCGGAAAATTTTGCAAAGATAATCTCAGTCAACTGTACAGACATGAAAAGCGAATGAGGTTGAATGCAGAAGAAAACACTAGTTATGAGATGTGTGTGGTCACGTGCCATTACCCAACACGTTTTTAAATTTGGATACTCCGTAAGTGTAACTACGGAGTATCCGTAGTCCGTACTCCGTAGAAATTCACGATAAGATAAGGTCACGTGTGGGGCCCAGCAACGCGAGGAACGCGCATCGCGTTCGGACTATGCGCCCTTGCACCTGGCGTCCACCTCAACTTAAGCCGGTCCTGGAAGTCTCAAAATTTACCCTCCAAGTCCAATTCACCCCGCCATGACGAATACCCACCGGTAACTACAATTAATTTACGATCCACGTCATGTCCTCACCATCCACACCACGCTCGACGCGTTCCGCGTCGCCCGCCGGCACTTCGCCGAACATTATGACTCCAGGCCAGAAGATCAGGGCCATGCTGGCTGCATTTGACAGCGATTTAGAAGAAGACAATTGCAGAATCCCCGAATCGACAAGTGCACTCTCGAAACTCAATCTTGGGCGTGACACGATGCCAACTGCCGAGACACGCGAGAATGGCGCAACCCACGACTCCGAATATTCAGATAGTGCGGATGAGATGATTCGACCAAAAGGCCGAATGGCCGCAAGATTGCAGGGTAATGTCACATCGGCTGGGTCCAAGGATGAGGACTCGGCCTTTGCTCGCGTCTCAAAGGCTATCCGGTCAGAGCGAACACAAGCGGAGAAGCCGCAGCAGATTGAACCCGAAACCGAACCTACACCGAACTATGAGTCCAGTGACGATGATCTACCCACTGCTGGCCGGAGACAAAAGAACATCACCTCCAGCTCTCCCAAATACAACGATCGAACCAGCCAAACCCCTCCTCCTGCCAGAGCCTACTCTCCCCTATTCGTATCCTCTCCCAGCCAGCCAGATCACGACGCGGACATACAACATGAATCTGTCGAATATTCTGATACGGAGAAGCCCAAAGGGAACCCCCGTTTCATGGCACTTGTCGCCCAGAAGCGCAAGGAACGCGAGGAGCGGGAGAAGGAGGAGAAGGAAAAGCGAGCTGCCAAGAAAGCTGCCAGAAGAGCTGAGAACGAGCATTGGTCCGGGGAGAGTGGTTCTGACATCCCGCACTCTGCCAGCAGGCTATCTCAGAAGGCGCGACAACCCCGGAAAGCCAGCAAGAAGGCAATGGAGGAGATGAGGCAGGAGACTCAGCGCATGAGCCGTAACATGCAGCTGGCTCACCAGGCTCAGACAAAGAAGAAGATCACCAAGCAGAGCTTGTTTGCCCGATTTGGCTTCATGCAACCCGATACCCCTGCCGAGCAGCCGGCAGGAAGCTCATCCGTGGCGGCCAACTCACAAAACTCATCTGACGGAGAACTACGGACCAATACAAAAGATACCCCGCATACTTCCCCACTTGCGGGCCATGCAGAAACTCACAAAGAGACTATAGAATCCGAGCATGTCCAAGGCGAAGCGGCGGATGTGGACATGGACGCGGAAATGGAACCCCTGCCTCTTCCGTCAGACCTCATGGTGTTCAAGGATAAGGCCGAGTTGGCTGAAGAACCTGCGGCTCAGGAAGACCCAACCGCTGCGCCAAAGGACAAAGTTGAAGGCACGACGGCAAAGAAGGTTTCCCACCCATTGACACAACCGCCCATCCGCGTGCTGCTTTCTAGGAGAGAGGTTGCTGCACACCAGAGAGACTCAGATGACTCAGATAGTGATCTTGAGGTTGTCACATCCCCTGGAAAATGCCGTCGAATCGCAGCATTCGAGAACCTGAAAACCAGACAGATGCAGGAAGACCCATCCATGACCAAACTAAAGGCATTGGCCCACCTCACATCTCCCACCAGAAAAGCAGCATCCATGAACTCCGCAGAGCTCTCTGCAGATTTGTTGCGGCGCGCTCGACAGCAAGCAGCCAAGGAGCGCCGTGAGCGCATTGAAGAGCTCAGAGCTAAGGGCGTGGTCATTGAGACCGCTGAGGAGCGTGCGGCGATGGAAGACGACATGGAGAATCTTGTCGACAAAGCACGCAAGGAGGCGGAAGAAATCCGCCGACTGGAGAAAGCTGCTAGGAAGGACAACGGTGACGATGACGATGAGGATAATGACTACGAGCTTTCTGGCTCTGAGGAAGAGGTGGATAAAGAAGCAGCCGATGAAGACGATGCAGATGATGAAGATGACGAAAACGACAGCATCAACGGCGATGGGGGGTTGGTCGACCAGGAGGCTGACGAAGAAGATGACAGTGAGACTGCTGCTTCGGACGTGGAGGGAGAGGTTCCTGTCGCGAGACGCAAAAGGCCAACCAGAGTGGTTAGCGATGGCGAAGATGAAGATGAAGATCAACAACAGCCACCCTCCACGCCCATGAGGGCCCCAACTCTTGTCCCGCAGTCGGCGGAACGACCCAAATTCCCTGGCATGCGGACCTCGGGCGATATGTCCTTGGGTCTTACTCAAGCCTTCGCCTCTACTTTGGATGGAAATGGCCTTGGAACCCCCGCGTCCACTATTCCTTTCTCGCTGCCCGACCCTGGTCGGCCAGTACCCCAACTTCAGAAGCAGGAATCGGAGGTCCTGGTTCCAGACAGTCAGCCTCAGCCCCAAGACAAAGACTTCCGAGAGGGCTATACACAGAGCACTGTGACCCGAGTATCAGAGTCGCCCGCACCATATGCCTTTTCCGAGTACTCTCACTCTCAGCTCCCCGACCCGACACAGGATGAAGGCTTTGTCTTTTCACCATTCGACCCTGCGAAACGGTTCAGAGATACCCCGCCGGCGTCCACTGTCGACACAGTACTCATAGGCCAATCGCAGTCACCTATCGCTGACCGCAAGCGCAAGATGCTACGACGAGGACGTGTCTCTGAACTCCCTCTGGTCGATGAGGGCGATAGTGAAGGCGACTTTGAGGTCGACGCAAACGCCTTCAACGTCATGAAGAAGGCCGCCTCGAAAAAGAATGCAGCACCACGGTATGACAAGAAATCCAGCAAAGCCAAAGATATCGTCGATGAAGCTGCCGAGGAATCCGAGGATGAATATGCAGGCCTTGGAGGTATCAGCGACGAGAGCGATGGAGAAGAAAATGCCATCGATCGCCAGATGATCAATGACAACAGCGGCGAGGTGGTCGACGAGAAAGAACTCGCCGCACTCAACGCGTATGTTCAATTCCCCCTACCTTGGCGGCGCAATGCTAACATGTTCACAGTATCCACGATCGTAATCGCGACGAAAAAGACGTCGCCAAGCTCATGAGAGACATCACAACCGGAGCCCTCCGTCGCCGCAAAAATGCAGACGACGACTTCGACCTCGACGACTCAGACGACGAGCTCCTAGCCCGTCGCCGCCAGAAACAACGCGAATTTGCCAAGATGCGTCGCGCCCTTCTGGCAGACGAGAAAGTCGGCGAGCTAGCCGAGAACCCCAAGAAGGCAGCATTCTTCCGCGCCGTCGAGGACCGCGAATTCGACGATGATTTCAACATCGATTTCCTAGAGGAATCAGAAGGCACTTCCCAGGCCGAAGCCTCCCAAGACGCCACTGGAACGGAGGACCACAACAGCGCCTCCGATTTCCACAAGCGCAAACGCCCCCTGGAACCCTCAGCCGAGGACGCAACAAATCGTCCACCACCTCACCTCCGCCGCACACCGGCCAGCGCAATGTCCAAGAAACCAGCAACCCTAGCTGAAATCCGCGAAACGCTCTCCTTCCTCACCGAAACCCACGAATACGAGTCCTTCCAAGAAGCCGCCTCACTAGACGCAGACGAAGATCAAGATCAAGATCAAGACAACGAAGACTTCGATCACTCAGCAGAAGCAACAGAAACCGACCAACCACAAGAAACATTCATCAAACCCCAAAACCCACGTCGCACCCGCGGCGTCGTGGTCGACCGCCTCGCCCTCCTCCGACAAGCCTCCTCCAACTCAGCAACAACGTCAACCACCTCCGCAAACTCCAAACTCGCTTTCTACAGCGGCAGCGGCGGAGAAGGACCCATCGGGTTCCGGCCTCCACAGCTTCTGCGCCGCGTTACGTCTGGATCCTCTTCTTCCGCGAGTTCGAGTTCTAGTCGTGTTTCGAAGGCTGCGGCTTCCGGGCCGAAGAAGGGCGGTGCGGTTAATTCTTATACGGCTGCCAGAGAGAGGGAGCGCGAGAAGGAGTTGAGGATTAAGGAGAGAGGTGGGGGATCGAATATTGCTAAGTTGCTTGGGAAACATACTGGTGGTGGGCTGACGGCTTTGGATAAGGGGCAGTGGGATTAGGGATTGGTATGCGGTGCATTGGAGTTATGGTGCGTGGCCTGGAGTTATTGTTTTGGGTGATGTGATGGGTTATTGTATGTAGGTCATATTTTCAGGGCCTTGTTATGGTGTGATTCATAGTGTTCAATTGAGTGTCAACAATGTATGTTCCTGCGTGTTAGACCAAGTGTAGGTTGTCTGTTGCGCCTGGTTGTCGCACTTTAGTCCTTTTGTTCTATGCAATACGCTTTCCAACTACTCACTCACTGGTTACTCATATAAAAAGACTCGACAAAAAGATGTGCATCATCCGTGAATCGAACACGGGCCTCGTCGATGGCAACGACGAATTCTACCACTAGACCAATGATGCTGGTGGACCAGGTGGATCAGAACGCTGATTCGCTGGTGATGCCAAGGTTCTCCGTTATTGCGCTCAAGTACCAGTCGCTGTTGCCATATGGGCTGGAGGCCATAATCCGGCAAGGCAGGTCACTTCACACTCACACTCATGACGAAGATGCTAGTTTTATGTACCTATAGGCTAATGTATAGAGCACAGCGACTAGGTATGGCTGTATGACCTACACATTATTCCGATATACACGACTAGGTCCAGACTATCTACTTCTGCTCATAATCATAAAACCCAGCGCCATTCTTAACACCCAACTTCCCATCCCGAATCATCTCGCGAACATAATCCCGCGGTTCCGTAGGAATCCCAGCCCGCGACTCAGCATAGTGATTCTCAATATCCAGCACCACGTCCAAGCCAACAACATCCATCTGCTCACATGGTCCCTTGGGTGTCTTCAAGACGTCTTTGAAGATAGCGTCGATCTCGCTGGGCGTTGCGACACCCTCGGACAATGTTAGGAGTGCCTCTCGCTTGATAGCAGCCCAGATGCTTGAATCAGGGTCAGCTTGGTTGTTCAGGGAAAAGACGAGGAGCCGGTGATGGCTTACCGGTTGTATATGTAGCCGATAGAGTCTTTCTTAACGTGAAACGGGGAGAACCCGTGTTCCTTGCATTGCGATAGCATGAGTTTGATCAATTTGGGGTCGCTGTCTTTGTGGCCCATGATTTCGATTGCTGGATGTCGAGTTAGTATGGAACGACAAGATAGAGGTGGCAATAAGCGGTACCTGATGTCTCTGGTGGCCAGTCTGGGATGAAGATATTAGCAGAGTACATCAAACAACATGCAGTAGGCCACTTACAGCAATGTGCGCTCATAACTCTTTCGCCATGCTTCAAGCTCAACCCCTCAATGATCTCAAAGACGCCGTAGCTACTCGAATTCGAGGCGATGATGGTACCTTCTGGAGCAAGCTCATCAAGCTGAGTGACAATCTTCTGCTTCAACTTCAGGTTCTCCGGGACACACTAATTCCCTTCATATCAACAGAATGACCTTGGTAACGAGGAATTTAGTTGTATCCATACCTCAACAACAAGCCAAGCATCCTTCAGCGTAGACTCCAAAGAAGAAGGATCGGATGTCTCAATCTTCCCCCAGTCGCCGTCGTGATCTTTGGTCTCCGCACGCAATTGGTCAACGTACTTCAGACCATCTTGCAGCTGTTGCTCTTGGAGATCTACCAGACGAACGATGCCGCCTCGGCTGGACCACTTTGGCGAGCTATTAATGATGATATGTGTGTTATGGTTGGGAGACATTACTTACCATATACGCTAGACGTCTACCTTGAGTACCTGCTCCGAGGATCACGACTGATCCCTGGGGTTTCTGTATGCCTTCCATGTTGGATGTCGGAGCAGAGTGGGTCCTACCGGGTTTTGGTTTGCTGTGATGAATATTTTGGGTCGATAGACAGGATTGGCGGGTGATCGCTTGAATATCAATAATTCAATATCCAGTAAAAAGCAACTAGTAGTTGTTCATTGTTGTCCTAAACGCGCCCCGGGATTCGAAGCGCATTTGCATCCGAGGCCGGGGGGACTTTGCCGATATGCGGGGTGCATGGATGGTGATTGGTCGAGAGGAGGTCCGAGGTAGTCTGCGGTGGGCCTGGCAGTTCTACATAGTCACTACTAGTAGCTTTGATAATTGCAACTCGGTCAAACGCTCAAAGGGCTTCATTCAGATTTCAGTCATGTCATATTGTATTTGTATCTAGCAAGTCTTTCAAAAATAGAACACTAGGAGCGATCAGCCGTCACTAACTAGTCCAGACTCCAAGGTAACTATTTTTACTTTCCCCCGTGCTGTTTCTGTAAGTGCTGGATCTTTTCTCTTCGCGCTGCTTGGGCTTGTTGAAACTCGCGCTGCTGTTCCTCCATCTCCCTCTCCAGTCTTTCAATCTCCTGCTCCTGGGGTGGCTTCGCCTGGCCTGGTAGATACCGGTCACAGCTCATTGTACGCCTTCCAACCGAGCTTGGTGGCGATGTTAGATCGATAATGTTACTGGTAACTAGAGACCAAAGTTAGCATACGAAGTAGTGGATAGAAAAAGGTATAACTATACCATCGGGTGTGTGTGGTCTCAATCCAGATTTTCGAGTATGACTGGGCGTGACTGTCGTTCGTGGTGGTTGCATAACGTGGTCAATATCTAATGATGATTAGTTACTCCTGGAAATGACTGGATATACATGGCCTTACCCTCAACGTCTAGATCAATTAAGGTCTCGGGATCATGCTTGACGGAGCTAGCCACGCCTTGCCTTTCACTGGCCTGGCTTCCTTTGGGGGTGCTTGGGGCCTTGGCTCTCCGAGCAAAGCCAGGAGAAACCGGTAGTGGGTGCCAAACGTGGTCAATACCTAATAATAATTAGTTACTCCCGAAAATGGCTGGATACAGATGGCCTTACCCTCAAAACATGGATCACTCAGGGTCTCCGGATTATGCTGGACGGAGCTAGCCAGGCCTTGCTTTTCACTGGATTTCAGACTTCCTTCGGCGATTCTCTTGAGTTCCGCTCCTGCCATTGGTGTCGGATTTGCCGGTACAATACAATCCTCATGACCTAATAAGACTTAGTAAAAGCTCGGTTTAACCAGGGATAACTCGTAATACCTATCCAGTCCTGTTGCTGCGCGGAGCTACCAGTGCTTGGCTTTGCTCTGCTATTTGCTGAAGGAGATGCTATAGTCGAAATTAGTGATAGCCTATCATTACCAGTTGTTAAGGGAAATAAATACCTGGGCGCCTTCTTTTCAAGGCCGATGTAGGTGTTGTTGCGGATGTTGGCGGGATACCGTCCCTTAAATAACAACTTATATCCCTTATCGCCCGGGTGTCATGCTCCTGTGCACTATTGATTTGTTAGTGCCTACTAGTCTAGTAGTCATTCCTGATAAGTCGACTCGCCGTGAAACAGCCTGGGCATCATCAGCATCATCATGGGCCTCCCAGGAATCTTTGACGTTCTATTCTCCGTCTTCCATATCAGAGTCCTCGCCGTAATCGTGAACAGTATCGCTAGAAGTTCGGATCAGTGATCACTGTTAATCACTAACATATAGTTAGGATATGCTCACAAAGCGGTGCCGATCTGCCAATCCCCGAGACAATACAATCCCCAGTAACGTTCTCGTCCCTAAATGACGGTTAGTACTAAGAAAAGCCTGGTAAGGGATACTATGGAATACTTACACAATGCATATTCAGAATGTGTTTTCTGATAGTTGCGGCAGAAAGCGGCGGGTTAGCAATATGACATCTCAAGTGAAGGGAATGTGAGAACCCCAGGTATCGCGAGGAGTACCCGGGGTCACTGGCCAAGAGACGCCTAGATCAGGGCAGGAAATGATCCAAGTAATGCCAGGATAACCCAGCTATTGATCATCATGCTAGAAGCCTGGAACTGATAGAGAAATGATGAAAAATTAGCGAGAATTAGAGGGGACCGGCCTTACCTAGTGGAAGTGATGGTGACGAGAGGGAAGAAGAAATAGAGAAGAATTATGAAGAATGACTGAGAGAGAAAACTATTTAAAGGATCAAAAGGGGAGGCTGACGACGACGGGAAGGTCAGGCCCGAAGGTGCATGACCAATTTCGGGCCTGACCAATCAAGATCCAGGTCTCAGAGCAAACAACTGCTTTTACCACGGCTTTTCCGTTCTGGATCAATACCCCGCACCACCTATCTACCCTTGGTGTCGCCACCAGCTGGTTGAAATTGACCCACACCTATCTTATGGGAATAGCGTTTGACGCTAAGGATCCAGATTCTCGGTTGATTGGTGACACCAAGTCTCTATTTGGAGCGGTGTATATAGAGCTATGAGTTCGTGCATATGAGCATTGGTCTACAGGCCGCGATCCGGTACTTAGTATCTGTACGAAGCCAGTGGGCGCAGCTGATTCCATTGGGAGCCGGGTACGGAGATACTAGATGGAGATAATATGTAGTTAGTTGGTAGGTTATGTTTCGGAAGGCTAACTAAATACTGGAATTTGAATATCTACGTTTCGGATGGCAGGCTGGATAAGTTATCAACCTATCTCTCGTACTATCAAGAATCGGCTTAGTATAATGCATACTAGTACCTATCATATGTAGGTGAAGCCGGAAGTACAAACGAAGTCAGTTACTGCCCAGTACCTATTGTGAAGAATTACATATGATTCTTCCGCTATCAGCTCTACGCTAATATTGGCTCCGCGGAGTCGGATGTCCGACAAAGACCGGCCCTCGGCAGAGATAAACTCTCTTCCCCTCTCTTTCCTGAGGCTCTCAAGAATGTGATCCCATGCGTAAAGACTACAGGGAGGCGTGGAGGGCGAAGTATACAGAGGGGTACATCCCCGTGAATAGTTACAAGATAGACAGACACGAATACAATTCCATTTGGTTGAAGAACAAGTCCACATGCTGCTTAGTATACCTTCTAGTGTGACTAGCCTACATGGTACTCTGGTAGCTAGTAGTAATTACTAACCATCAGGGTCCAAGCACTACTAAAAGCAAATTAAGCAATTGGTTATACTTTTCTGAAAATGATAGCATTAGCCGACTCTCTTGTTGGTTATAATGCATGAAGTATTTCTCATTTATAAGCGAGGGAGCCGTTAAGATTAGATGATATGTCATATACTTACTACTAGTGACCACTGGTCGTTGCCAGTTCGAGTCAACTTTACTAGTAATAGGTACTAATAACTAGTAGTCGTTAGTTTAAGCTTTAACCTTAAATCTTATCTGATGATCAAACGTTCTGCCAGATCTTTGGCGCGCTAAACCTAATCGGATTGCCAAAAGGCCAAGTCAGCGTCGCTGGAAGAAGCAGGCGGTGGATAGGAAACTCCACCGCCTTGCTCAGGGGAATCCCCAATCTACCTTCTAAATTGGTATGACCGTATGACCGTATGACCGTATGATGGTCGTTACCACTTACCAGTAATTATTAGACGTGGCCACTGGCAACAAACTAGGGGTGGGCACGAATAAGGTTTTTGGTCACTCGAAAACCGAAAAGATTCTCCAAGGTGTGCCCGAAACCGAAAATAATTTGGGGGGTCAGTGTCCGCATCCGAACTTATGATCCGAAAAGATATCTGAAAGGTTCCTCCTTCAAAGAGCATCATATGACAGGGATCAATGATGTATTAGCAAACAGGCTGTTTGCTGCCTAGTCACATTTGCATCGTTTGCAGACGTGGAAGTGTATATCAAGCTATTCGTCTTCCACTTCTCTTCCTCCTTCTTTCCCTTCTCTCTATCTTCATAATACTCATGTGCTGAGTTATCTGCCGAGTTATCTGCCTCACCCATCATCTATGACGAAACCGACTCTCATATAAAGCTCTCCGTCTCCTGCTTCCAGTCTTTCTCCTTCCACTTCTCTCTCCAATACTCGCATCCGAGGCCACTTTATTCAACTGGGGCTGATGGAAGGAATGATCGACGGTATTAACGCAGACCGTCATGCAAACGAGACGAGCCGCCGCAAGAACGGCGACAAGGTCCAGACCCGCACACGTCATACGACAGTTCCCGATCTCGGGTCGTAGGTTATTATCAAACAAACTCGTCGCGAAGTTACATACGACCAATCTCAGTCAATGACCTCGTTGCCACTTATACACTGATTCATCACTATCACTCAACGGAGAAACAGGATGGTCACTCACCTCCTCGGCTCTTATAAACCCATCACTGTCATTTCAAAGGCACAGAGCTCGCTGCGCATACGGTGACCACTTCGACTGTTCCCCTCAATGACACAAATCCCTACTTATATTGGGCTCGGAAACTACAAGCGACCGGCATAACAACAAACGACTCACGTCATCGAGTGCTTGGGGTTACGGCATAACAGAGACCCAGAGAACGTGGTACATGAGTGCACCTGGGCCCGAAGGAGGTGGATACACCGTTGCGAGAAGACACGAATGCAGACCCAGACTCGCAATGCATTAGTGCCAGGGGGCTAGCCGCCAAGGCGCAAGTTGAGCAACTGTTCACACACGATCGCCCCGCCGACAAGAGTCAAGACAGAGGCTGAAGACAACAGCGCATTCGACATGACTGCGCTCCTGGAAGCCTTGTCGGATCTGGATGAATCCCCCGATACGCTGCCCCCGACGCCGGTCCACAAGCCCTTGGAAGTGCCATCCACACCTCACTCTCCAGAGGCCTGACATACAGGTGTGGTAACACCTTGCGCAATATGCGGGTATGGACACGATAAGGTATGCCTCTCTATCCCTGTAGTTCCTATATGCAAGATTGACTGATCTTTTTCATAGGTACAAGTGCAAAATATGCTGGACCAAGCCAAGGACAACGCCGTATCGGGCCCAAATATCGCCGATTTTCGGGACAGGGAGCTACTGGCCAAGCACTTCTACAGCACTTTCGACAAGGACGCTTTTTTGCCAGCTTTTTCTGGGTTGAAAAATACCTGGATTTCGATGCTTCCGGACCCGACGCGAAGTGGTTTCTCCGAAGTACGTATTCTGGCTATGTTATCCATGTTACTTCTCCCCTATACTAATACCTGCTTGCACTTAGATATTTGGGCCAATCTCGCGGCTCAAATAAAACTGAACCTGGACATGGAAGCACAGGGAGAAGCCACGCTCGCCAGAGGGCACTGGTGCCAGATCCTCGAGTACTGGGATGTCATGGGGAAGCAGCCCCGGTTTGAGCAGGTGAAGCTGGCTTCATTCAAGCAGCGGGCCGAAAGGCCGAAAAGACAGAGAACTGCGAAGGTGTATACAGGAATAAACAAAGCGCGTTCTAGTTTCCTTTAAATACATAGATTGCTTCTCTTCATTGCGTATCTCACGTCTATATCTGCTGCACCTCTCGTATGATGATCATATCCACGCTGCGTATAGTTTTGGTTGCTGCAATCTTCCGTTCTCCACGGCTAACACCGGGCTCATGAGCTCTGAAAGCCAGGGGTATTTGGTGGTAGACAAAGGCATGACCAAAACGAATTCGATCCAGACCAGCACAAGCCTGGTGGCCCCGAAAATTGCGCGCTGGTTGCCGCTGCGAAAGGGGAACCTTCCAGCCGACTTGCCCAACAAATTCTCTAGTGGCGTGCCTGACGGCGCTTGAGTGAAGCTGGCCCGCGCTGACCTGGCAGAGAGTTAGCCCAAATCAAAGCATCTGGCTGAAGTGCTCGAGGTAGAGAAATGGACTTATAGTCCATCAAATCTCCCGTATGATAAGTGACTCCTATTCGGGAGGTGATCTCTGTATGCGGAGAACAGGGAAGCTCGGGGGTATCTTGTGGCTTATGGCTCACAGTGATGGACTGCATCACTGCCATCTGCCAATGATGCTTTCATGAATACTTCTCGAGCTTCTCGGCGAGTTGTAGGAGATCACCGAAATCCCTCACATCAGAGTCGAGTGTGGGTGGAGGCTCCCGAACCAGGTAGCTCTCCCAGCCCGCATCCTTAGCAGCCACATAATCCTTCTTGAAATCATCACCAACATGCACAGACATAAATCTGGTATTTCTCCCTAACCACGGACGGGCAACGCGTAGAGCCTGTCTCCTCGCCACGTCAAAAATCAAGCGATGAGGCTTCTCCTCACCGGCCTCGTAACTCGTAATAACCATATCAATATCGAGGTCTAAATTGTGATCTTCGCTGTTGGCAACACCAACTCCCCTGACACTTCGCTCCTCAAACCCAGGAAGGTCAACACTCGACCTGTCCTGGTCGGCGCGCACATCACCAACTGTCAATCCCAACGACTTCAACACAGCAGGGACCCGGTCATCCGAATTCGATATGATACCAACAACAATCCTATCAAAAGTCCATTTCTGTTCCCGTTTAAGCTTGCGCAGTCTGGAGAAGAAGGGCAACACGTCGTCGAAGAGCGTATACCCCTCACGACCAGCAAACCGATCTAGCAGAGCTTCCACCATGCCAGCGGGAAGCTCCACGTCATGTCCGCTGTGTCTGTTTCGTCGCTCAAGACTACTCTCCCCAGTTTCCGTCATGGCACGCGCGAAGCTCCCCTTGATCACCTCCGCCCACCACTGCCTCGGTCCCCCGTACTGGCCGCGGAGAACGTCCGCACGACCGTAATTCGGGTATCGGAGCATTTGCGCGCGATATGTATCCTTGAATGCGGATTTGAGATTGTCTGGTGTAAGGGCATGATGCGATAGTCCGAATTGGCGGGCGGTCGCGAGGTATTGTTCGGGGATGGGGGCGCGTGGGTGGAAGAGTGTGCCGAACGCGTCGAAGGTGAGGAGGAGTGTGCGTCGAAATAATGGTGTTGACATTGTGGGAGATCAGGAGGCGCCTCTTTGCTGGCGCCTGGTAATTGACCTGGTAGACCTGGAGAGAAGGGGGTGTTGGAGGTGTTGGAGTGAAATGGGCCCTACGCAATGGACCCACTCTTTGTTGATTCCCCTCACCAATTTCCCCAGCTTCTATTATGGACTCCTCACTCCATACTTGTATTCTACTCATATCTCCTTGATTCACTTACACCACGATGGACCATCAGGCCTTCAAATTCTGATCGTTGTAGATCAGGGGGATACCGAAAGAAGCACGCAATATGTACCTGTATGTACCAGATTTTAGGCCGCGGATGCGCATTTCCCGATCGGGGTGCCGCCGCTTTATGAGGGGGCTCAGGGTCATGCTCACTGAGTATTTCACAGCACAGGGTGATTAGTCAGTGCTACTCAAGGTATGCTTAGTAATGTCAAAATAATGCTCAGATTATGCTCGGTGAGCACTCAGGTTATGCTCGATGAGCACTCAGGGTCTGCTCAGTGAGCACTCAGGGTATGCTCAGTGAGCACAACCTGAGTGCCCAAATCTGAACCCATACTGCCGGTCAAATTCTCAACACCCTTCTCCCCAAAATTCGCTTTCTTTAAAAATATCCATCCTAGCCCGCCAGCCGGAGCTCCCGACACTAGAGCCTTTAGTGGATAATCTCTGCCCAGATACACTGGGAAATCGGAAGAGATTTAAATAGACTATGCCTCATTTTCCTCCAGATCATGCTTCTTCCACATATATATTGTAGTTCTTTAGGAAGTATCATACATCTTTATGGAATCATGCACGGGAACGCATGAGAATCAAGACCGCTAGCCTAAAAGCTCTTAGTTGCATAAGGCTAGTCTCTATCAAGCGTAGATAGTCAAACACCCCATATATTTCCTATTAGAGATAACACATACTAATGCAGGACGCGGCGCAGGCTAACTAGTTAGTTACTTGGTGTCGCCATTATGTCACAGCAACTTTATTGTTTTCCTGAGTAACATATACGAACATACGAATACGCAGTGACCAGCGCAACCGAATATGAGCATAATTTTACAGAATTCCACTTATCCGCGTATCCCGTCCCTCGTAGAGTAGCGGCTAAGTGGTCCTTCTCTTCACCGGCGTCGGATACGAATTTTCCTAGTTCGACCCTACCCCTCCTCAACCGTGATAAAACTGTGAAGTAGGTATAGTTCAGCACAGGTCTGCAGGGGCCCTGAAATCTTAGTGGTTGCACTTCGTCGCCCTGCAGAGCGGAGAGTTCACTAGCGAAAATAGCAAAAACCAGGTTCCACCCATGCAGTGGGTCGCGCCTCCACTTTCGAGCTGTTGTTTACTCTTGGAGGGTGGACCCAAGAGGCGGTGTAGATGGCCACGACTGTGTACAAATATGGTCATCCGAAGAACAGATTGAAGGATATCAACCTTCCAACTTGATTGCCAAAAGCTCGCGGACCTTTCGACATCTGAGCCATGACGGTTTCTGTGCTGCCATCTGTACACGCTGACAATGAATGGTCTCCTTTGCAATCCGTGATCGTTGGTCGGGCTGGCATTGCGTGCTTCCCGAGCGCGCCGGTCAAAATGATTGAAGCAACGATGCCCTCAGAACATGCCAGCAAATTTAGACCCAAGAACATGTTCCCGCCAAGCCTCATCGCAAAGGCCGAAGCAGAACTTGATATGTTTGCTTCGATTCTTGAAGAGAATGGGATCAAAGTATACCGACCGTCAAAGGACATCGACTGGCTAGCCGAAGATGGATACACTGGTGCCATGCCGCGAGATGGCCTCATGAGTGTCGGCAACACTCTGATCGAAGCTTGCTTCGCGTGGCCCTCGCGGTCTAAGGAGATCCAGATTGGATTCACTTCTATACTCGATCAACTAGCTCTTGATCCTCGAGTAAAAGTTATTCGCCGCCCAAGAGACACGTTTGCAAATACCTTGCTCGATGATGACGGCACCAAAAATGACAAATGGGTGATCAACAACAGTCGTCCAGCGTTCGACACCGCTGACTTTATGAGGTTCGGCACCACGATCATTGGCCAACTCAGCCACGTCACGAATCAAGCAGGTGTGGATTGGCTCACTAAGAGTGTGCCTAATGGGTACACCGTTGAATTGATTGAGGTGAATGATCCAAATGCCATGCACATTGATGCAACAATTCTCCCTCTTCGCCAGGGGCTTCTAGTATTCAACCCCAAAAAAGTCACCGAGAAGGCCTTAAGGAAGCATACGGTACTGGCAAATTGGGAGCTCCGGCCATACCCATTCACGCCTGAAAGCCGAGTGGAACCCCCCTATATATGACTAGTTTATGGCTCTGTTTGAATGCGTTAGTGTTGGATGGGCAGAGGATGGTGGTGGAGGCTAGTGACATGAAAAGTCGTGAATGGTTTGAGTCGCTGGGAATGACATGCATTCCCTGTCCATTTCAACATGTTAACAGCATTGGAGGCTCATTTCATTGTGCAACGGTTGATTTGGTGAGACAGGAAGCCTAGTTGATTCCTTTCCACGATACGAATATGACGGTTATCGAGTACCTGATGAAAACGGGAAGGAACGGCAACAAGGGAAGGAGCAGGGACGCGAGGAAGAGCTTTGTTGATTGTTTACCTCCTGCTCTTCTCTTTCTTTTTCTTTCTTTTCCTTTCTTTTCCTTTCTTTTTCCAGACTTGTTACCTTGTGTGCAGTACGGCATCGAATTGATCTCCTTGTTTTCTTTTCCCTTTTTTTTTGCCCTTGACAGTAACAACGAAGATGAAGCGAGCTATCTTGATCAGAGGGTGTTAAGATTCAGATGTTGACGATTCCGAACGGTGTGCATTACGGGCTGCAAATTATACTCAATTTTCCGAAATCGACCCAGATTGCCCCAGCGGTAATTAGGGCTGTGAGCCTGTGGCTAATGCTAAAACAGCACTTGTAATTGAACGAAAATGGCCATGTGGCCTTTTCATGACCAATCAAAACGACTTGGACTTTCTTGAAACTGTGATTATTTCATAACATGAGCTCGTATCATATCGATTACTGTTGTACTGTTATTTAGAGCCACTGTAAACTGTGCCTACTGCAGAGGAATATATGAGACTTGACGAACGTCTTCCAACAGCGCCTAGAAAGGCGATCCTGGAGACGAGGCACTCATAAGTAGTAGGTAGTGAGAATGGCTTGTTCAATGTCCATATGCAAGAGCAATACTATTTACATAGGGTGCAATATGACTTGATCTCTTGGTAGCGAGCAACCCTCCTCAAACAAGAGGGGGGCTTTGGTTCATATGAGACAAACCTCGGTCGCTATAGCAGGCTTCCCGGATCTCTGTGCCGTTGAATGAGAATAATCTAAGTTTCGAACTAGCTGCCGTAAAACTCCGTTCTGTTGTAAGGCTATATTTGCCGTGTCTCAGTGTAGCCGGGCAGCGACCACAATGGGTCATGATACTCATGAACCGTATTACCTTTGACTCCTGGGGCAACAAATTTCGATACTCCAGTATTCTTGTCGTAACTTTCGAATGTTGCAGCCAAACGTTTCCCTCCGCCTCCCGGCAGATCTACCACGAATGAAGGTGTCATGAATCCAGCAATCGTACCTCGTACATGGGACTCAATGTGGATAATATCGCGCAGTGGTGTACGTAGATCCTCGACGCCCTGGACCATATCGCCCTGATATACATAATACTTATGACGATTAGTGCGCATCAAGTCAAGCGTGAGTGCATGAACATACCGGTTGAATATTATTGTCGGCTAATCGGCGAATAAGCCGTTTCATCGTGTCTACATCATTGTTCACCCCATTGAGTAACACGGTCTGATTCCTCACAGTAACCGCATTTTGAAACAGTGTCTGCGCCGCCCGTTCCGTTACCCACGAGATTTCTTGTGGATGGTTGAAATGCGTGTGCAGTGCTACGCTCTTCCCTTGCTTCCTCCCCAGCTCGCTGATTTCAATCAGTGCGTCAGACCATCGGTCATTAGGATCCAAGATCCGCGAGGGACACACCGATAGACCCTTACTGGCGAAACGGATGCGGCGCACGTTTCTGATCTTCAGAAGTTCTTGCCCAATCTCGCGCAGCTGCGCAGGTTCCAGGTAGAATGTATCCCCGCCAGACACCACAATGTCCGTCACCGTGGGTGTCTGCGCTATGTAATCAAACATCGGCTCCCAGTACTTTCGAAGAGGGAGGAACCGTTTCTTTGTCACAGTCTCCGTCTTCATCCCGACCGAGTACGATCGTGTGCAGAAACGGCAATACACGGGACACACCGAAGTCGCTGAGAAGGTCATTAGTCCACTTTTTGCTCGTCACATATCCATGTAGTAGGGCAATACCTAGGAAGAGCACCTTATCTGGGTATCGGTGAACCAGCCCTTTCACGGGGGAGTCACGGCTCTCGCTGAGCGAATCGAGTTGAAGCCGGGGGTGGTCCTGTTGGAAGCCAGATGCAAGAGGAATGAACTGCCGTCTGATAGGATCTGAGTAGGGGTCGTTCCAGCCAATGAGCGATAGGATGTGTGGCGTCAGGCGGGTGGCCATGGGAGCATGCTGCAACCCCGCTTTGACATCTGCTATGAAATCTTCTCGTGTCGTAGCCTGGCCATTGGCCAATGGAATAGTGGAAGGCACGGTAGACTCGAGGAATGCGAACAGTGAGGACGCATTTTGCAAGGAGTTTTTCATCTAGCCAGCTGTCAGCCCACGGTGTACATGACCGGCCTTACGTACATACCTGCCACTTATAGTCGAGGAATTGAGTCTCCGTAATATCACGCCATGATGGAACTTTCCTCCAGTATTCAAACTGTGCGACAGGTAAGGATTCCAATGGGGCTTGAGAGCTACTGGTAGAGTGCAATCGGCGTCGAAGCCCCCATTGCAGGCTGACTCGTTTCGTTAGAGGGCAGGAGAGCATACTTTTCTTTAGTGAGTAAGATTTTGAGGTGAAGTTCAGCATACTCGCGAAGGACGAAGATGAAGAGCATGCATGTCCTGTAAGAAATGCAGATAATATATAAGCCAGAGTTTTGCAAAGAATGGTATCCCTCAGAATCCATTATGCGAAATGCTCCCAAAATCCCTTGCTCGTAAAGAAGTGGGTTCCGTTTGTGATCGGCTACGTGTTCCAGGAACAGCAGTCTTCCATCATGGCACTTCCGGAAGAACTAATTTAGTAAGCGTTATTCGAATCTAGTATATTGCGGGGCGCCAACTTACTGATCAATACATGGTATACATGCCCCATAAGGCTGGGGCTGATCTAGCAATGCGAATGCTACTCAGTCCCCTAAATTCAGTACTGTAATCAACGTGACATGTCCTTACAGAGAATGTTCAACGAATTAAATTGATGCAACACCTTACATGCGCTGCTTGGATACCAATAAAATGCCCTCAGAATTTGTTTTCTCGCTGCTATTTATTGTAGTAGGAGTTAGTTTCAAAAAATCCTATCGAATAAATCCAGCCAGGCAAATCATAGATGAAGTGGCTAGCTGAGATACGTCAGTGATCATCGTGCCAACACTACCATCCTGCTATAGGCTAGAGATCTGCAAAATGAGATCTGCAAAATGAGGCATAATGCATTAGAGTAAACTAATGAATGAATCAAACTACCGATATACGCCACTGTAGTTTGTTGTATAGCGGTGAAGTGGCTGGCTGACCTATAGCGGCAAGTATCTACATTTCTGTAATATTCTGCTGTATCATACTCATCACCAGCAGTAAGGAGAGCGTGGAGTAGATTCCTATCCGGTTGGTGATACTAGGGGAGTATAGGGGATATGTAGTATAGAAAGGCTGGGGGGTGGTGGAGCGAATGGGCAAGTGTAGCCTGCGACCGAGCGTGATTATTGGTAATTACCGTGAGTACCTGGAATTTATATATTTCGCTACGAGATCTCAACCCGGCGTTCTGACGACCTGGGTTGGGTATTTCAACGAATCTGGGCCTGCACCCAATAATAGTCCGTTTAATCCTAAATTCTATTAAACTTTGGTCCTAACAGGTATTGAACAGCATGCTTGATATTACGCCGATAACCTAGCTAAGATGACCCTAGCACCCTGTCACGAAGTCCCCAGGAATCGTTCATCGATCTCTTGCAAACATAGAGGATCGACAACGTACAGATGTCGACATGTCATCGTTGGCTCGCCGCAATGTTGACCTTCTTGTTGAAATAGCCTCTTCCAGGAGAACCCGCAAGTTCTCCAAGAATCAGTCTCTTTTTTCCAAAGTACCTTTATTCGGACGCATCTTCATCTTACCTAGTCGATAGGCTCTATCCTGTAAACGCTAATTAATGGCCTAATTCTTCACGCATCTGACCTGTCAATCATTCGTTCCTGCGGACCCACAATCATGTTGCCGTATATGAAGGAAGAATTGACAGGAAAGGATAGATATTCCGCGGTATCTGAAACAATTAAAATTTTACGTACAGATTGGAAGGGTTAAATGCGGAGTGTCAAGCAACCCACCTAGGAAGCGAATGGTCTTTATACACCCCCTTTCCCCGACGACGATTTACCCTTGTTCTCACACTGTTCGAGAGAGAAAGGATGGTTGAAACGCGGCCCATTGTGATCCCACTGTTCTATGAAAGTTTTTCCCTCTACCGATCCCGCGGGTACACCGCCGAGGATTGTGTCGAACTAGACAAGGACGAAACTATCGATGCCATAGTCCGATCCCTGCGGGAAAACGGCTTTGAAGTTGTTCCGGTCGGTGACATAAAGGAGCTGGTGCAATGTATTGCCAGAGGGGAACACGAAAGGTGGGATCTGGCATTTTCAATATCTGAGGGGATGTACGGTGCTGGGCGTGAAGCCCAGGTCCCAGGGGCTTTTGGAGGCATACCAGATCCCGCACGTTTTTTCAGATGCGGCGACCTTGGCCTTGTGTTTGGATAAGGGTAAAACCAAGGTAATTTATCACCAATATACGGATATTTTACGGGTCACTGATACATGCCAGATGGTGCTCGAACAAATGGGCATCCCGACTGCCCCGTTTGCCATTGTACCTGCGTCATGGCCCATCGAGAAAGACATCTCCCAGCTTCTGCACCAAAGTCGCTATGCTGAGGATTTAAAACAGATGCCTTTGTTTATTAAGCCAGCCTGTGAAGGGTCATCTAAAGGAATTTATCCGTTCTCTAAAATTGAGAACATCTCTGACCTCGAGCTGGGTGTCCGAAGGCTTCGGGAAAGGTTCCCAGGGCAAAGCATTTTGATCGAGAAGTACCTAGCCGGACACGAATACACCACTAGCATCCTCGGATCCGGAGACTCTGCCCGAGTCATCGGCACAATCCACCATAATTGGGAAGGGAATGCACCGCAATCAGGGACAGAACAGAATAAACAGTCGGACAATGCATTTGGTGGAGGCTTTTACAGCCTCGATAATAAGAACGAAGTTCCAGGCGAGACGATGGACCGCATGGTTTACTCGGAGGATAGCCCTGTGGTCCAAGGAGTAGAGCGTCTCGCGTTGGCAACCTGGCGCACGCTCGAATGCTATGACGTCGGCAGGGTTGATATTCGGTGCGCAGCAGATGGGAAACCGCACGTTTTGGAAGTGAGTGTGCCCGTATATGATGCATGGCCTGGCCACTAAAAGTGATCATCTTCAGGTTAACCCTATCCCTGGACTGCGCCCGCAATGGTCTTGGCTTGCCATCACCGCCCTGAACCACGGGATGACACACGAGGCGCTACTGGGTGCAATTGTTGAGTGTGCACTCAAAAGGTATCCAGAACTAGAGCATCAAAAGCTCGGAGCCCCTTCCCGTGGTTAGCATGGCAGCAACTGAATTGGCTGTCGAGTACCTATCTGGCGCCACTTGGTGTCTACCGATCTAGGTCCTAGTATATGTTCCCGAGGCGAAGGTTTAGTGGTACCTCCTGCTGCGCATAGTTATAGCTTTTTTGTCTCAGCAACACGATATATAGTCAAGCTCGGGATATCAAATTTCTTATGCTTCCCACCCGGTGTATCCATCTGATTATGAAGATATTTCTTTGGTGGATGGTGTGTCGCTAGATTAAACGGAGACCACTTTAGAATATACATAACTCAATACTGAGGTCATACGGATGCACTTTTATAGCGTGGGCCAAGAATTCGGTGATGTGGTGAATCTAGGAACGGGCATTGCTGCAGGCCTATCAATTGCAGCTTATCCCGTCGTGCGCGTGAACTCTAAGAAGTCGATGAGACGGCGAAGAGAATCATTTCGAAAGTATGCTTCACCTGCCACTGACGGCCAGCAAGAACCACCAGGGCTGGGCCTGGGCCTTCCATTCCAAATACAAGGAGGTATCTTCCTAGAGACCCTAGGATCGTATTTGATACCACTCAATTCGCTGTAGATCATCTAGTTCTCGAAGAAAACAAGTTCCTCAATATGTCATGCTGGTGGATACCAAGTCAGAATCGTTTGAGCAAACAAAGCTTAACAGGAAGAGGACTCACTTCACCACTATGGTCTTGGTCTGGGTGTACTCTGCTAGGGCTTCCTGGCCCAGCTCCCGCCCTAACCCACTCTGTTTGTATCCTCCAAATGGAACAAATGGAACGCTTGCGTCCAGAACACCACAGCAACTGACACCAACCATCCCACTGGAGATTGCGCTGGCTACACGAAGAGCGCGATTGATGTCCTGGGTGAAAACCGCACCAGCCAATCCAAATTGCGTATTATTAGCCTGGGCAATGACCTCCTCCTCATCGTTGAACCCAATAATCACAACCACAGGACCGAAAATCTCTTCGCGGCTGATTTCAGCATTGGGACTTGGGTCAACGAATATTGTTGGGCGCATCCAATGGCCCTGATTCGGTCAATTTCTCAAAACCTTTCTCGAGAGTTTGAAATATATACCTTGCTTGAGATAGCATCCCCACCAGTGATAAGGGTTGCCTCCTTTTTGCCGCGATCGATAAAACCCTTGACTTTACAAAAGTGCGCCTGGTCCACGAGGGGTGGAAATTCGACTTCTTTGTCAAGTGGATCGCCAAACAATTCATACTTAGCTTCAAATGATGTCTGCATCAGTTCGACCACCTGTTGCTTTATACTCGCACGAACATAGACACGAGAACTGGCAAAGCAGACCTGACCAGATAACACCAAAATTCCATTCACGCACCAAGGAATCGCAATATCCAGTTTGGCATCTGGGAAAATGATGCTGGGACTTTTCCCTCCTAATTCCAATGTAATCCGCTTCAAGTTACTCTGGGACGCGGCTTGAGCGATCTGTTTCCCAACGCCAGCACTGAATGAAATCTGATTGATCCCCATATGCTTTGCAAGAAGTTTACCGGTATGTCCTCCCCCAGAGATGATATTGAAAACACCCGGGGGAAACCTGCTTCATTCGCCAACTTCCCGAGGTAAATTGTTGACAGGGGAGTTCTTTCGCTAGATTTCAAGATCAGGGTATTACCAGTTGCCAGGCATGGCGCAGCCTTCATGGCCATTCCCATGATAGGAGCATTGAATGCGGTAATCGCCGCGCATACACCCAATGGCTCTCGCTGGACGATTTTGAGGAAGCCATCATTTGTAGGATAAGACTCTCCGTGGATCTTACCGCACCAGCCAGCGTAGTCTGTTCGAGTCATTATCCCTTTTCTGCAGATTTTCTGCCAACAGAGGCCTTACATCTGAAGATATTGACTGCTTGCGGCAGCTCATATTCACAAAGCAACTTGACAGGCTTCACGTTGCACACTGCTTCCAAATGGGCGAGCCTGTCAGCATCCCGCTCCATGAGATCAGCAAATTTATGCAAGATTTGGGCCCTCTTCTCGTTGGAAAGTGCGGCCCAACTTGGAAACGCAATGCTTGCTGCGGTAACTGCAGTGTCTACATCCTGTTCCATTGCTTCATGAACATCTGAGGCGACTATTGATCCGTTTACAGTGCTGTAGCAGCTCAAGCGGGCTGGTGTCTGAGCATCGACATACTGAGGAATAGTTAGCTCTGTGTTTGGCGATCGCAGTCAGGGCTCCATACTTTTCCTCAAAGGAAAAGCCTGGTCTCAAATGATTTAGTCGCTATATCTTGCGTCATTATGGATAGCTATAGCACGATAGAAGTTGTGAGGTCGAGGAGTGGGCCAGGAGGATTGAATGTGGCATCCAGGAGTTCTTTTTATATTGAGAATAGGTAGCGAAACTATCACGTTGGTACGGGGGAGGCAGAGGAAAGGATCTAGACCTCCAGGAAGTACAGCGAGTAGAAGGCGATAGAGTCCCGTGCGGTATCAAAAACAGTCTTTATGGTGTGATAGCGATCGAAGATCGGCAAGGAAGTTGTCGACAGAAAAGGCCATTGCATCATTGCCCCTCTGCCAGGGAAGTTCGTCCCACAAGATCTTCGGATCGACCAGAAATAGCAAATTGCGCATGGCTTTAGATCGATTTGCTTATGACATATTACGCAAGGAGAAAGAAGCCGTGAGTACGGCGACAGAGTGGATCTCAAGGTTAGTTCTTATGTACATATTGAAGTGGGAAGAGCGCGATGGCGGTCTGACGTCGCAGACAGGACGATGGGAGGACTGCAGCACAGGCCAGTAGTAGGGGACGTTCTGAGACCTACTAGGAACCGATGGAAATCATACTGAAAGACTGATCACGAGACAAGAGATGTGTGTTCTGAGATGCCGCCGATGCCTGAGATGCCGCCGAGGCCGCCCGTGATGCCTCAAATTCCCGGTTCCCAGTTACCATCTGCTGTTCAATGATCTCAAATTGAGATGGTGAGCGCCGGGTTGAGCGCTGGCAGATAGGCTGCCGCGCCGATGAGGCTGGAGGGCGGCCTCGGCGGCATCTCAGGCATCGGCGGCATCTCAGACATGGGTCATGGAGGCTTAGGAGGGAGGCTTCGGAGGATGAAGGGCCAAGAAGATCACGCCGGGCGCCTAGGCCAAATAGGAGAAGAACGGACGAGACGACTCAGGAACGCTCCAAAGGGGGTGCGATTGTCACATGACATGAGGGAAAGCAAACACGTCAAACAAAATACAATCGTGGAATGGGCTGTTCGACTGGAATAAGCACTTAACGTTGCACTGCCAACAACCTAAACCCGATGGAAGCCTGCAAGTATTTGTAAGGTACGAACTAGGTCCAGGTACAAGATTATCTATATGAATAGAACAACGCACGAGGAGGCATAAGGATAAAGAGCGCTAAACCTAGGGGGTCAGGGTTCTTTGAAAAATTCTGCTTCGAGCCGCGCCAGCCAAAGACCTAGGTCTCCATCTCAGTATTCTTGCACACGATATTCTCAATGGAAGGTCAAAAACGACGCGGCGGACGTGGGGGATCGCGCCCCTCCCACCCACGCGTGCCCCCCTCCAGAGCCATCAACCCGGGCACATCCGTCAATGTCATCCTCAAAGCCGACCAGCCCACAGGGCGTACAGAACCAGGCACAGTGAGCGAATTACTCACGCGTGGCGATCACCCACGAGGCGTCAAAGTGCGTCTTACCGACGGGCGCGTCGGAAGGGTGCAGAGCCTCCGGAGCGGTGAGCCGCAGGAAATAGATGGAGGGACAGAGGGCACACAAGAGAGCGCGCCCGGGATTCAATTAAGAGCAGAGGGAGGTGATTTGAACGGGAGACGCAATCGTTTTACCTCGCGTGATATGCGTCTTGATGGGCGGGAGGAGCCTTCAGCTGAACCCCTTGGGCTGGACATGTACATACGCCCCGCGAAGGGAAAGAAGAAGAGCAAAAAGACACAGGCTGGACGGAATGAGCAACTGGAGGAGAGGCTTGAGGATATAGGCGGTGCGACTCAGCTACCGAGCTCTCTCAAATGTCCCGTGTGCGCTGACTTCGAGGGCGACGAAGCCGCTGTGGCGCACCACGTTGCTGGTCATTTCGGAGAGTGACTGGCCAAGCGTACCGAGCAAACCATACAAGAATTGCAGCATAGTTCAGCTATCCTTGCAAGATCATGCAGAGTCATTGAACCTTGGAAGTTCTGCTGTCGAGCCTTGGAGTTTAGAGCGGAAAGATCGTGACAGGAACTGCCTTTTTTCTCACTGCTTCATTCACTGAGACTGGAACAAGGTGATCGACGTCCTCTGTGTTCACTATCTCGCGTGTGATATGACGAGGTGGTTCAGCTACTATTCGTTTGATGTGATGGGACACCTTGCTTTTGGGAAATCGTTCAACATGATCGCCGAAGGGAAGGAGGCCTATTTTCTGAAGACTATTCGAACAGACATGACAAATATTGGTCATCTCAAGCATATGCCTTGGATATTCCCTATATTCATGAAAATTCCACTTCTAAACTCGAACAATCTCAAGTTCTGGAAGTGGATAGAAAGCCAATTCTTGGAAAGAAGTGCTGTAAGTGCACGGTAACTTAGTAGCTTGGGATAGAGATTGTGCTTATCATTGTTCACAGAAAGAGCCAGAAGTGCGAGATATCTTTTCTTGGATCCTGGACGCGTACAAAAAGGGCCCTCAGTCACCCCAAGATACGCTCAATCTCCACGGAGACGGTTATCTGATTGTTGTGGCGGGAAGGTAAGAAACAATCTGAAATCTAAAAAATCGCCCCCTTGCTCACACTGAATAGTGACACAACCTCTACAACTCTATCGCATCTTTGGTTCCATCTTGCTAGAAACAAGCATCTAACCAAGAGGCTTCAGAAAGAAATTGATGGGATTGGAGAATTGAATGACGATACGATCTCCAAAATCGAACTTCTTGATGCGGCAATCTACGAAACCTTGAGACTGCACCCAGCGGTTCCTTCCGGTCTGCAAAGAATCACTCCACCAGAGGGCATGGTCATTGGTGATAAATATATTCCCGGTAATACCATTGTCCAAATGCCGTTTCACACGTTGTTCAGAGCTGTGCAGCTCTTTGTCATCTTATCAAACTCTCATCCGGATTTATTAGATGCACGAGCGTTTGAACGCCCAAAAGAGTTTATTGCGGAACGTTGGACCACCAGTCCCGAGCTGGTCAAGGATAAGTCCGTGTTTATTCCATTCAATATAGGTCAGATATTGCTATTAGTGGATGTTTGCAAGGGAACTAATCATATCTCAGGACCTTGGGCCTTTGTTGGTAGACGGCTTGCGCTCATGGAGTTACGGCGCGTGACGGCAGAGCTCCTCATTCGATACGATACCTCTTTGGCTCCGAACAAAGCGAATGACACTTTCTTGGAGGATGGAAAAGATATGTTTACACTTTCTCCTGCACCGCTATTTTTGAATTTTACCAAGAGGATGTAATCTGCACGCAATTGGACGCCAAAATAACTTGGGCTCAATTCTCGGATCAGCAATCATTTCTTTTCACCAGCGATGAAGCGGTAGAAGAGGCTGTATGGGCTAATCTCAATCCATGCACCAAATCCATGCAACGCTAGTTAGACCAAATACCAGTAAGCTTTCTATGTAATGTGTGTAGATTGAAACAATACATGGCTAGCTAGCCGACGCATATCAGAATAACTTCTCAGTGATTTCAAGAAAATCCTGTGCGTGAAGAAGGATGTCATGCTCGCCCGGTCCTGGGAGTCGGTCGTAAATAGCGACGAATGGGATGACTAGCGGGGCCCCGATAACTGTGTTAGGCTCGACGTAGACCTCCTGTACTGAGTATGGCTGCTGAGTGGTAATTGGTTGGATGGTAAGGGGAGGGATATTGGGGGTTTGTGCGCGGAGTGGGCTAAGATGTGCTCGAGTGAGTGGGCGTGGAGCATTGCTAGGAGCTAGTTGCCATCTTTCAAACGTGACCTGGCTCGACTTAATCGAGACGATGATGACAATGCGCACCAGACCCTCGGAAATGATAAACCATCTCCTAGCGTCTTCACGAAGCCGACTGATGGATTCTGAAACGCCTGCCTCGATGACAAACGTCGGCCATGACCCACTTGGAAGCCCATTAGGGCAGCGAGCTGGTGGTAAAAATGCTTGGTCCCCCTGTTTACCTACACCAGCGGTGGGCTTATAGGTTGATGTTCCAGCCCAGACCATCTCTGACCACCTAATTGCCATTGCAGTAAGCTTCCTGTCGATTGCTCGACCGAGATTGTTCGAGGTTGCGTCGTGGCGTTCTGAAGGGACCACTTTAATCAGCCCAGTCGTCCCCTCCCATTGAAAACGATAGTTGATAGCCCCGAGGCTGCTATCGTGCTCTTCGTCGAGCTTTTTGATTGTTCGTGTCGACAGATTGAGGATGACCATAAATTGGTTACCATCTCCTTTCTCGCGTAGAGACTTCAGTATCTGCTCAGCTTCAAGTCGTAGGCCTTTGAAGTGTGAAAATGTCCGCACAATATGCTCCGGGGGAAGGGCGGACATGAGGGAAGTGAAAGATATGTTCTGGTCGCTCTCGGCCATTTTGTGAGTAGGGCTGATGGAATCGGAATCAGCGTGATAGCTTGGGGACGGACGGCGAAACCATAGTGATCCGGGTAAGCTTCTAGGATTGGAAAGGAATGGTAATCGCCGCACGTGAATGGACGAGAGCCTCCAACCTCCAACCTCCAACTGAGACGATGAAGGTAAGCAGAATTGAATTGATTCCTTGGTCTAAAACAACAATTGAAGACTGGGGAGAAAAGAAAAGAGAAAAGAATCAGCAAAATATTTGATGCCCATTTCTCAAGGTGTCGGTTTTGTCGACCTTAGGCGTTGTAGGCATTCCTCGTCCAGGAGTTGTACCCGAAGGATATATGGACCATCGAGCTTCGCCTTAGCTGTTGTCAGTTCCTTGGGTGAAAGAGTGCATTCAGACTAGAACACAACTAGGAAGACGAAAAGAGAAGAAGAAAGAAATTAGTCAGGAGGCCTTTCAATTCCCCTCTCGTCATAGGACTCGGACTCGACAAAGGTCAATCATCAACCCAACCACATGACTAGTCTCACCCGCTCAACCCTATTCATACACGTCTGATCGTCACATGAGCAATGACAAAAGCAACAAATGAACGTCAGAATTGCAGTCTACGTTGCTTTCTTGGTCATGGTGACCTCTGCTCCCTCGCACCTTCCCTCGCATATATATAGGCCGCTTCTCACCTAGATACTTCTCCTCTCTTTCATCCATCTTCTCACCTGTGATTCCATCGTCCTCTTCGTCTCTCATAGCACCCATCATTTTTCTGGGCCTATGCCTCTTTTTATTCGGTTGATGGCTTTGCGGGTGACCCCTCGGGCCCCTCCAGTAGGCGTTTCTCCGTGTGCGGTTGTAGGGCTTGGGCTAACATGGTTGCAGGCAACAAGCAGCAATCACCGATGCGATGCGGATGGCTCGGCGAGGTGAAGAAGGGGACTGGCTCATGGAACTATTAAAAATCGGCGAAACTCATGGAAAGGCCATGATGAGGGCCATATTCTGGCAGATCGTGTGCTTCCTCGCCGTTCGGGACATACTGAAAAAGCTCGTCGAGCGAGTTGACGAGGTCCTGGTGGCGCTTGTCGGGCATTTGTAAGTACTTTTCATCGAGATTCTCTGATGCTTGTTCCATGTTGCTCCTGTTCCGATTGCTCGGGCGTTGTACTGCTGTCGTGTCTGGCGCTAACATAGGAACCAGCGTTACTGCCTTTGTCGAACCTCGAAGAGCGAAATAGCCCTTTCCTGGAGCTCACAGGAAGATGGGCCCACAGTCACTATTCCGCTGCCCCCGTCTGAGGACTGGATAACAAAACTTGAGAGGCTCATAAAGCTGGTCGAGCGGTTGGGCTACCACAACTTCATTGGCACCGTCTTGGTCCTCGTGGGCTTGTCGTGCGTCTGGCGGTTGGCGCACGCCGCTGGTAATTGCCTCTCTTCTTTTCCCAATATCATCCAGAAACTGGGACACGCCTACAAGCTCCAACTACCCGATTCGATCAAAGTACATCCCGTGTTTGCCCCGGAGAAGCTCCATCGAGCAAAGAAGGCAGAACCGATACCCGGCCAAATGGGCATTATCCTGGATCCGGTCCCCCCGGAAATTGTCAGCAACGAACAGGAATAGGAGGTGGATGAGATAATCGCGGTCCGACTGCACTACAAGAAACTGCAATACAAGGCAAAGTGGACAGGAACGGACGACGATGACACTTGGTATCAGTCCTGTCAGTGGTCAACTGTCACTCATCACTTAGCTGCCCAATTGATTCTGCCGGCCTCGGCGGTCAGGGATGGCCAGGTCCGAAAACAATTGAATGTGCATCTGAAAAGAAATAAGTTGGATCTTGAATCGAAGAATTAGACTTGTTGTCGTTGACGGTTTGCTGATAGACTCGTCAACTGCAGTTGCATTTTGCACAATGCCAAGCAAGATCATTCCGAAGAAGGCCGTCGAGTCCGCCACTCCGGCTCTGCTTGAGGACTAGATGTTGGAATCCAAGGGTACACTCGGAGTCTCGTGACTCCGAATTGTCATTCTTGATGTGTCATCTGTGGACACGTGATTGGATTCTCCTTTGTTTTGTTGTGTTTTCGTGTAGACTTAGGAATTCAGACTTATTGACTTTTTGCCATCCCGTATCTGCAATGAACCACGCCCGTAACTTGCGTTACTAGATTCTAGAATCGGAATTGCTTCATAGAGGCCGTTCGAGCCTTTTTTGGAAGTGTCTGGTTCCACTTCCACTATGAGTATACGTTCTCTACGCGCTGAGATCAACTAGCGTGGCGGCAAAGACACTGGGCCCATGGATCTTGGCAGAGACCGGCAATGCCCTTTACCTATTAGCCGCCATACTAGGTTAGAACTGTCCACGAACTACGGGTGCTAGCAGGTGGCAATGTTAGTGTCGTTTCATCATATGCACCTAGTCATGGCTATCTTTAGAATTCTCTACTCTCCGTGAGGCCCGATCATTCTCGGCTCCCGTTTCTGGCTTAGGAAGGAAATTCTGCTCTGCTATTCGAGATTGCTGTGATTCGGTACATGGATTGAATTATAAAGCTTTGGGCGCCTTGCCTGAGACGTTGATTCCCCGTTGGACTGATAGGACTCTAAATACCCAATGCATCTCCGTCTTGACGGAATCTGAGACCCTTTCTTCTTCTAATATTATAATACAACTTTAATATACCTTTGTCTAAAGATTTATTTGCACCATGCGACTAAATCGACACCTGCGTGATACCAAACCTCTCATTGTCTCATCGAAAAGTACCAAAGATCATGACAACCAACCACCCCCATCCAACTCCTGGATCGAGCATCTTCTATTTGTTCTCCTCGTTATCCCTTTGACGCTGAGCATTCTGTTGGTATACAGTGATGCCTCCAGCTGGCATCTTCCAGATAACCTTTATGCTTTTGTGAATACATATCGAACATCAGTCCAGACAGCAGTCCAGATTTTCGGTGCGATTCTGGCAGCCATCGAAGTCTTCGCACTCTGTCGCCTGATCAACTTCACAACTCGCATCCGATTTACACAAACCCCAGTCTCCCTAAACCTGCTTGGGTTCTGGTCAGCACTGTCCACCCCAACAATCAACTTCTGTCTACCTTTCTGGATGATTGTCGTCACAGTGCTTTTTGCCAATCTGTCTGCCGTCATATCAGCACTATGGACTGGTGCTTTGACACCCGCAGATGCTATCCGCACCCAACCCTCTTCCCTGCTCATTCCAGATTGGTCCAACATAAGCTTAATCAAAGAATACCCAGCTCAGATTGACAAGACAGGCTTGTCAATTCGTGAGACAAAGGGTTACTTCAGCTACTCAGTAGGCATGGCCTTGCTGGGCTCATTGCTATCTTCCACAAACTCAGCCTCCCCAATCAACGGCGGCATTCGCAATCACCCCAAAATAGACAACACTCGATACAACTATCACGGCCGGTCTAACGGAGTCGGCGCCAGTGCCGGCCTCTCCGACGATAATCTCGTCGCCATACCCCACGCAAGAAACTATACCTTCAACGAAGTTGGCCTGGACGCGTCCGTTGACTGCATATACAATACCAGCTCGATGTTTGTACTACAAGTCCTTCCAGATACCACTCTCTACGCAGCTCGCGGGCTCCTTCCCGACAGCAACCTTACCATTCCCGAATACTCGGTGTACATTGGTCGAGGCGACGAGGCAATAGTTGCATTAGGGGTATCGGCGGCTCCCACCGAATACACTGCGAAGCGTTACATGGCCATCGCCGCAGGGAAGTACTACAAGGATTTGAATCAGGTCCAGTGTGCCGTCACATTCAATCCGGCATTATTCAATGTCTCTGTCGACATCCAAGGACGGAACATCGCCGTTAGCAAAATAAATAAATCTGAATTATCATCAGTTGGCCCGGTCCTTGATATCGATCCCCATCACAACATAGCCCACATCGTCATGCGACAACTCGAACTCATCTCCAACGATTTGACCAGTTACTATCGCTCAACGCTTGGTGATGCCTTCAATGCTAGCATTAGTGATTACCGCACATCCGTCGCTGGCGGGAATCTATCGGAGACGCAGATTGTGATGAAGGGAATGGAGAACGCAATTACATCCTTGGTCGACGATATGCTGGTGGCATATGCGTCGGCTCAGTTGGTAGTCGGTGAATACAGGAAGTCGACGCCTGTCGTGGTCGAGGTCTCTGTTCTACGCGTCGGATCGCGGGCTTATGTTATTGCCAGTGCGGTGGTCACGGGTTTGATTGCGCTTCTGGTTATCGGTGAGGGCCTTCGAATGCGATGGTGGAAGGATCTTCCGACTTTTGATTATCAGGATAATCGAGCATTGATTGTGGGTGCGTCTAGGGGTGGGAGGGGTGTTGCAGAGTATGTTGAGCAGGTGAAATGTAAGGATCTTGGCAGGGTTCCGGTGATTTGGGAAAAGGGCCAGGAAGCGTGGGATCATGGGGAAATTGTTTTTCAACCCATGCTAGATGACTCGAAAGAGGATATTGAGGATACGAGACCGTATAGGTATTCGGTTGCTTGGATATGATGCCAAAACCTATGTAGTACAATATAAACTGCGGGGCACCACTCTGGTTATGGCAGACGGCTGCCCGAAGGTAGAATCTTCATCCAATAAAATCTGCCCCAGGTTTAACTAGGAGGCTGTGCAAAATACATTCCCATAGACCATGGAACATGATGGATCGAGCCATTACAAAACATTCTGTGAGCTGTTTAATCCGCCTGCTGTAGACCACCCATCACCGTATCCCAGAGCCGCACGGTCTTATCCATAGAGCCGGTTCCTGTATGCGCACACCTGCGCGATCAAGCCGTGTACCTGTACTTATTACATAAGTCCTTAGCGTACGAATTGATTATCTCTCTCTCTCTCTCTCGCAACTAGTTAGTAGTAGTACTACTACGTGTATAAAAAGAAACATCCGGAAGTGCGGGCCGGCCCGCTCCGGCGGACAACGAACCGATGGAAGTGGGGCGGCACAGATCCATTGATGATCCACCCACTGGCCAATCACTCGTCGTCGACGACCAGACGGGTACAGGAATTGGGAATAAGTACTGTAGTCGGGGAAAGCAGCATATCAGAGCTGCAGGATAAAAGGAGAAATCTGCGACGGTGTTGTACATCAATGCCATCTATGATGGGTCAGCTAGCTCCAACAACAGAACATCCGGCCATTGTGCCCGGCAGGTATCGAGGAACTCACATCTCCAACTGCAGTCGATTCGAGGGTACGGCGATCTTGCCCAGGTACGTCAAGGTGGATATTGACACCAAATCTTAGAAAGGTGCCGACGGCCAGCTTGCCGCCGTCGCCGTCACTGTACCAGACCTTTTTGTTGTTGTTGACAAGGATCTCATTCGGTGTAAATTTGCCAGACTCAGGTTTTCCGCTCTCTGGAAAGTCAATTGGCCAGTATGCAGTAACATTGGAGAAGTCCTGGATCACTCGCGTCTCCAGATGGCCGATGAAGCTTGTGGCACTGTTGCTGAAGGACGTACTGTTGGATCCGTTGAAAGAGGCGAGCTCATAGCTGATGTCAAGATAGGGGCTGAAAGACACGAAGCTGTTTTTACCAGCACTGATGGTAATTCCTTTCAGATCGAAGGATCGTGTCGCGCCATGAATCGGATTACCCATATCTGCCCTGGAGAAATCGACCTCACTGAAGCCGTCAATGCCATATGTCAGATCACTCTGACCGCTGGCCGTGATAAAACCGTTGGCCTGTGAGACATAGAGCTCGTCGTAGTACTCAGCAACCATTGAGAAGCCAATGTACATTTTAGCATCAATTCCACCAGCGACATAGGCTGCAAAGGCTTCGCCCCAATCTTCTCCCTCCACTTCACAATCTCTGGCAGTCTGATACCAAACCAGCTCGCTGATGTTCTGCTTGATAGGGATGGCATTGGTGCTTTCGTACTCAAAGTCTGCATGTGAGCGTGAGGACGTGTAGCTCCTCTTCCAGTCCTTGGGGCTGGACGACCAGAACCTTTTGACTAAGGATCGTGCTTCCATCACGCCGTCGTCATCCTCGACTCCGGGCGAGTCCACTGTTTTGTCCCAGTATCCTTTGACGTTCGAGTAATCTAAGCAGATACTCGTTCTGTTGGTCGTATCACGCCGGCTCAAGCCCATATTGTAGTCAAACTTGAAGTCATAGACCTGGGACGTAGGGTTCCGCTTCTTGATCTCGGCGGACACAGCCTGGTCTAGAGCAAACAATCAGCGTTGATTTTGATTATCCCCCAATGGTAAAAAACTCACTCTGGGAAGGCTCCAAAGAAACAGCTCGGGCGAATGTGTCAGGAGCACACTGGAGCTTGCGTGTTAGAAGGGCCACATCACAGCGGCTAAGGACAAAATACTTACATTGTCGGGCATCTCCACGATGGTGCCCTCGACGCCTCGCTCCATCACTTGGAAGCACCCATTCAGATCATCACTGAGGCAAACGACTCGAGCTGTATGAATGTGGTCTTTGGGAGCATCCGCAACATCTGAAGGGCAGTCGAGGAAGTGAAAAGGCTCTGGCTCGTTGTCTCGCCTTCGCAGTCTCGAGACGGCATGGGACTCGCCAGCAACAAGAAGGAAACCAAAGCCACCTCCATTGGGACTCATAGAGTCACCACCTCCAAAGGTCGAAATGCCGTAAACGGGTTTCGTGGAATTTAGTAGACGAATGTCCGAGGGGAAGATGTGGGAATAATCGACAAGATCAAATGCAGATCCGGAACTTCCCAGAGCTTCTGAATCAGACACAGCTCGCAAGGCGCTGAGACGATTATCGTCAAGATCAATCGCCCAGATCATCAGACCGGAAAGACCCATTTTGTTGGCATAGTCGATTTTCATCTTGAACGTAGTCTCGTCGTCAAAAGAAACCCAGCTATTGTCATCGTATACCATATACCTGACAGCAGCCTCTTTGTCAAGATAGGCAGTGCCCCCAGTATCCTTACGGATCTGCGAGATTTCCCTATATGAGAGAATCCCTCAGTATCAGTGCAGGGACCTTTTGCACCAGCACCACTGAATTCACATCCGGGCTTCCAGCAGGAAGCATCACGAAGCTTAAAGGTCCGGCCATAGAATCCTAAGCCAAGGACAATATCAGAAGGATCGATATCCACTCGCCAGAACAGATCAAGTGCTTCATCGATACCAGTCAAGTTAGTGTGAGCGAGGACTCGACTGCCGATTGGATTATCTCTATCCCATTCACCGTGAAGGTCATATGCCATCAGATTGATCCAGTCAACATTATCAGCCATCGCCTTCAGATCAAAGTGGCGAAGATACCAGTAGGATGTTGGAGATGTGAAGGTGACAAGATAGTCACGGCCGCTGTCTTTGATTGCATCTTTGAGCTCCTTGAGAAGCTTTGCATAGTTGGCTCCATCATCGGCAGAGCCACCACGGTCATCGGCCCCAGGATACTCCCAGTCAAAGTCAACACCATCGTAGCCATACTCGGAGAGAAATTCAAGAAGGTTATTAATGAATGTCTTCCGGTTGGTTTCACTGGACACCATTGTCGGAAACACACTCTGCCAGGTTCCGGGGTCATTGAAAGTCCATCCCCCAAGAGCAATCATGATCTTGAGCTTCGGATTGCGCTGCTTCAGATCACCAACGATCTGATATAACTTAGGAGATATACCGTCCATGTTTGTAACCTTGAAGTTATGGCTGATGTAGCCAAAAGAAATGATCAAATGGCTAAGCAAGTTAACAGGAATTTCACCAGGCTCCATGGTCCCACAATTATGGTCCATGTTCCAAGCCTCCCAGTACCCAATAACGCGCTTCTGGACATTGGATTCCTCGGCCGATGGCTTTGGCTGGGTACAATGGGATTGACAGCCCTTGTCGCAAAATTCACTGGTTGTGCCGCAGAATCCATATTTGGAGCAGCAAACGTTCAGAGGGCAACCTTGGCCAGGGATCCTCGCATATAGTCCACAATCGGCAGTTGCGTTGCAGTTGGACATGCAGCCGTCACCACAGTATGCTGGACCATATCCACAGTTGCCGCTTTCACCACAGCAAGCACCGTTGCTGCATGGCTTGTCTTTGGAGCATGTGTATGGATCTTCGACATTGTTCATGAGATCAAGGAAATCAAGGCCTTCTAGCAAGTCGGCACGGGTGGAGGTAATGAATGAAAGTAGAGAAGTCAAAGAAAGTAGTAACAAAATGAGCGAATCAAGGCGGCTCGAGGAGGCCATGCTGTATAGTTTCGCTGTATATGGCTGTGCAGGTTGAATAAAACCACTGTAATTACCTTACAGCGGTAAATAATGCGCAATTGTATCGAATACAAGCCCAGAACATAGCTGACTAACCTGATTACTGAAATGGCCAGGCTATTTTCAATAGTCTCAAGGCGTAATTGCACTTTCATGCGTCGATTTTCTAGGTTCTAATATGTCTTCTGAGATGTCCTAGGCATCCTGAAAGTAGGTTGTCGCGCCTTGCCCATATATCTCCTGTTTGAGCCAATCTCACACACTAGACCGCACAGTGGGCTGTGCTTCGGAGAATTATGGGGACAATTGAGAAGGGACGCGAACGTAACGAGAGTATTCGTTAACGTAGTGGTGATAGAAGGGGCGAGGACTCTTTTCAAGTGTATATGTGGCGTCTTCAAACTGTCTCTTTCGGGTGCGGAACTCCACCTGGGACCTTCTGAGTCTCTGAAGGAGTACTATTGTACCATATAAATCTCATCTAAATAAGTAACATGTAAACCAAGTTCGTGAAAGGCTCAGATATCTCACAGACATTGGTCTCTGTCGATGCCTGGCATTTGATGGAGAAGAACGGGCGCCGCGGATCAAACTCACTTGCGTGGAAGGGGCTATCGTTGGTTCAGCTCAATCGGGGGAAGCACACCATTTGCGTCTGGGTAAATGACAAAAAGAGCATGTGCATGTACTGTGGGCTTTAATACGTGTAATCAGACCGAAAGATCAAGCTAGGATCTGTTCTCTCTCAAATCTCAATGGATTGTACGCTACCAAATTCAGTCAGCCACGGGCCCCCTGAAAATTCTCGCGCTCCCCCTGGTAGAATAGTGAGTCACTTACGTCTTCCCATTAGGTCTTGGCCATATACAACAGATCCAGAGCTCAGTAATATGCAAGAAATGGTTTTGCAACTCTAATCGGATGGAATAATTGGATATCTACCAGGTCGGCGGTTTCCTTTGCAGCATCAGAAAATCTGCACAATAGTTAGGTTTTTGCTCTGGCTGAGGGGCTGGAAAGAGACAGGCCCCGGAATGCCGACGGTCGCTTGAACTTATGAGCAGTTTTGAGGAGAAATGCTTGAGACTTGGATATGTTCACTCTAGGAGGGATCAGTGTTTCTTTTATATACTTTGACTCTCAGCATTAGCGGCCACAGTCCCCGCAAATTCCAATGGGCACCAGCACTTGAGCTCCTAGGATCTATACTCATCTCACCAATCATATTGTCGTGGCACGGAGGGTCTGGGAGCTCCTAGGAAGACCTATTAGGCTTCATTTAGTTATGATGAGGGATTTTCTAAGTGCTAGTTAGAATACCAGGTAATGAGGGACTGCAAAGTCCGTTATGGGCAGGTAGATTATCCAGTAGCACGACCGGTCTAGAATATTTTTGCGAATGTCCAGGTCGCTAGAGCTGAATTCGTACTCCTTTGTTCCTAGGAGCAAGTGGCGGCAGCAAGAGCGATAGTCCGTTAGGAATCAAGAGGAAAAAAGAATCACAATAAATCACTAAATTGGATTTAAAACCCATTTGACTGGACTTTTCTGAGATATTCCTCAATATTGTAGAACCAAAAATAGGGGGTGGGATATTTCCCGCAACTATGTAGAGATGTGAATGCGAGACTTGACGAGTTGAATAGTGGCATAGCCGCAGAATAGTAATGCCAACAAATGCGGCCCCACTGTGCATTTGCCTCCCAGCTAGAGGCGAAATAACCAGGATCGACCGCCACATTGATGACGCTAGCCTTTCGTTAAGGGGACAACGTTCAAGAGTGCTGGGTGAACGACTGCATTGGGATGGGGCTAGCGTGGTGCATTTTATTGAGGTGAGCTGCTGACTTAGCTGCTCCAACTTTGCTCAGGCGACGCTCAGTGAGCGACTTCATCCGGCTTATGTAATGATCAGGCGATGCTCAGTGAGCAAGTCAGAGTACTCAGGTCACGCTCAGGGAGGGGGATCAGGCTCCTCAGTGAGCAAATCAGAGTGCTCAGGTCACGCTCAGTGAGCGAGTTCACCCGGCTTACGTAATGATCAGGCGATGCTCAGTGAGCAAGTCAGAGTACTCAGGTCACGCTCAGTGAGCGGGATAGGCCCCTCAGTGAGCAAATCAGAGTGCTCAGGTCACGCTCAGTGAGCGGGTTCATCCGGCTTATGTAATGATCAGGCGATGCTCAGTGAGCAAGTTTAATGATTATGTAATACTCAGGGACGTGCTCAGTTTTACTCAGTGAGCAAAAAGCGGCTAGGGGTGAGCACTAAAGCGGAAATGGAAAGCCATGTCGGGCGGCCTAAAATCTGGTGTATATGTGGCTTGAATTGGAGGCCAAAGCATGGACGGATTTCACGATGAATAGTTCGAGGTTTTCTGAGCACGCAATGTGGTGCAATCAGAGGCCTAGGATGATGCATCGAGCTATGATGCGATCACCGTACCTACAGGGTCTGAATATCGGACTTGCGCCTTCTTGTTGCTCACCTGGACATAGTGGCCCGGTGTTGTGCAGTTTGCACATTGGAATCGAGAAATGGATTGAATCTTCTATCCTGCACTAAATGCCAGGTTGTTTGCTTCGAATGAAGTGGAACAAGCCGACGCCGTGGTAAACCCCTATCAATTCCCCTGAGGTCATCAGACTAGTCCAACACAATCTTGGATCCCACGATGATACCATCACCACGGCTTGATTCGCAATCCTCTGGACGCGCGAAACACAGATTCTATCACAATTGACATTGATGCCCCGCCGAACTATTTAATACACCAACCCAATTGGGACAGATATGCACGGTTGCAGCCAGCGTCAAGGTTCCCTCGCGGAGATCATCGTCGTTCTTACGAGCTATTCGGACGGATAGACTGCTGGTCTCGATTCTTCATCACGAACGTCGGCGACAAGAGCGGCTTTCTTCTGGCAAGCTACCTATTAGTTCATGAGTGCTCCCGAAGACGTCAACGGACGGGATGAGGCAAGTATCAGTGCTGATCCCCTGACGAAAGCTGTGGTATAAAAACCAATGCCCTGAGGGATGAGCCCCAACACTTTCTCCTCGTCATTCTTTAACAGCAAGTCCCCTTGAAAACCGGCTCATATCGTCCGTTCATACTTAATCTCTTAATTGAAAAGATGAAGACCTTCACCTTCTGCGCGGCCCTCCTGGCCTCGACGGCCCTGGCCCTGCCCGCGGGCACCTCTACCTCTTTGCCCACTGGCGTTCCCACAGCCGTGGCATCCGTGCTCCCCACCACCGCTGTGCCCCTCCCCACCGGCACAACTAAGTCTCACGACCCTCTCCACAAGAACCTCGCTGTCACCGATTCCAAGGGCCTCTTGAAGGACGTCCCTCTTCTTGGCGGTGGTGATGGAGATATCCTCGTTGCCCTGACCGATGTCCTATACTCTATCGTTGGCCGTCTGGACCTTTCCCATCTCTTCGACCCCATTGGCGACATTATCGCTCTTGCTCCTGATCTCAGCGCGGTCAAGTCCCAGATTCCCTCTACCCCCGGTGCAAACTTCATTGCTCTCAACACCGGTGACGAGAAGAACTCTGTTGCCCTCGTCAAAGTCAACAGCGCTGTCAAAGACCTCTTCTCCGTTGCAGGCCTCGATCGCCTGGGCACTTCCGCCGGCTCCCTCATCAAGGGTGAGAAGGCCAAATAGGTTCCCCGTCCGTCGGGTCCCCGGACATTATCATGTTCCGCAGTATAATCTATAGCCTTCATGAATATTACACCTCTGATATAAGTCAATCGTGTTGGAGCAATCAAGGCGCGCTGTACAGCATAAAAGTATGAAATGAGGTATCAAAGAAGGCATCATAATTTACATACATCACTCAGTAATGTGGCGCGTGCCAATAACTCTCCCCATCTTTCCCATAAGGATCAGAAGCATCCCTACACTCCGGCGTCTCATAATCCTGAACTGTCCCCATGGGCCAAATAGGCACCACGCAAATTTCATTCACCGCACATCCGCGACATTCCTTCCACGTCGTCCAATCAAGGTGTCGAACAAGCTTCCGTATAACCGCAACAGCCATATCGAGATCGTGCTCTTTCGCTGCGAGCGCTAAATCAGAACAGATTCTGCTCGCAACACTGCAAACAGCGCGAGCTGCAACACTTCGGTTCTCACTTGGCCAGGCCGGCAAGAACTGCGTCGCACAGCGCTCGATCTCAGATACGTCGTCCCGGGCGCTGTAGTCAATGAACGGAGACAGAACACGCTCGATCTCGGAGTGCAGATCCACGATTGAGTCGATGTCACCGGAGCTGAAATACGCCAGCTCATTGCTGTACCGCTGAACGATCATATCTGTGATCATTTGCCAGTCGTGGTTGACTTCCGCTGAGTGGTGAGTCATTATCATCCCGGTTATCTCACCCCGGACGGTGTTCCGCTCTTCATCGGAGAGATAAGCGAGCCGAGGCAGAGTTGCGTTATGTTGGAAGAGGTCTACATTGTGCGAAAAGGCCGTGACGAAGTGTTCGAAATTCAAAGACACACGGTTTCCACCGATCCCATGGTAGCGTGCCGCAACAGCGCGCATCCAACGCGAAGAATTGGGACTCTTCACAGACTCGACGTGAGGTGAACGTCCACGTCGACCATCTCCCCCAATATACGACTGAGGTACCTGGGGCACTTTCGCGTGCGTAATCCTCACCGGAACGAGATCTCGCTCAAAGTCACACAAAATGATCTCAAACCCAGCCTCCATGCGCAACAACCCATCAATCCTCCCCTGCCATTCATTCTCCGCTATTTCACATGCCAATCTAGCGCGCTCGGCATCGAGTCCCATCCACCCGGGCTGGTCACCAAATAACCCATTGAATAAAACCGCATCCTGGGAATCGAGCGTGCCCTTGTCTGTTTTCGCAGCTGACATGCCATCGATATACAAAAGGCGCAGATCTTTCCCTGCGGCGTATGTATGCAAGTATCCCTTGTCTTCATCTTCATTTTCATTTTCACGTCCATCGAATGCCACCGCAGGCTGCCTGGACAGGATATCATATTTCCCGTCCCGTCTCCGCAACTCCCCATGGCCCACTCCCTCCTCCTCTCCCCCGACCTGGACGCCCTACACCCGGCGGCGGCCCGGGCCCCCACCGCGGCCGCGCAAAGACCAAAGCATGCTCCGGCTCAAACGCCAGCCACTCCGTCCCATTGACAGGCACTGCCTCGGGCGTTCCGTGGTACAAGTACGTGCCGACAGGAACAGAGGCAAGGAAAAAGGAGACGCCGTTGTGGTGAAGGGATGATCCCCACTGGCGCATTGAGTCGTGAATCACATTGAAAATGTGGTTTGAGTTTCTAACTGGAGGTGTAGCGCTAGATGGGGTTGTGGAGAGGGCGGTTGGTAAGCTTAGAAGGCTGTATAGCGCAAATAGCCACGGGTGTCGCATATTTTCAGTGACGGCTGGCCCGGGATGGGGGGTTTGCGGAGACAGGGAAATATTGGTATTGTACTTCGGGAATTTAATCAGATGGTGAATCGGGCTGCAGGCGGGGATGTGGCGGGTCATAAATTTAGTCTAGGCCCTAGGGGCTGGGTCCCGCCGGCCCCCGGGATAAGCCGCGGCATCGCGTTCACGAATTTTAGCTAGGGCAGAGTCCGGCTAGGCATCGAGTTCATGAATTTAGCTGGGACATAGTTTCTCTGGCATTGGCTTCATGGATTTAGCTAGAGTCACCATAGCTCGAAGCTAATGGTAACACCTCCAAGTCTTGTGGATGGCCCCGGGATGGGATCAGCCCGAGATGCCTTCATCGCGTCCGTCAAGTAAACAAGGTTGGTATGCCGAACGCATATCTCACAAACCCTCCCCTTGAGTCGTACAGCCCTTAAGCTCTCCGAAGAGAGAGAGCCGCACGTCTCAGAGAGAAGCGACTGTCTCATATATAACACACTAGGCTTTCATCATTAAGTATAAAACTTGGAAGGATGAGGAAGAATGGAAGAAGGGAAAAATGCGAAGATCCCGCGCTTTTAAAGATTTATCCTTTTGTGAAGTCGCGATGTTATTGGTCAATGAGCCTCACCGCTGGCTTACAAATTAGGAATAGCCTAAAATCCTCAAATGTCCACACGCGCTTATCCTAGGGAAACTAGAACGCGCTTTGTTTTACTCCTGTATCCATACACCTTCGCAGTTCTGCCTTTGAGGCTTTCGCCTTTCGGGTCCGTGGCTCCGTGTCTTGATTTGAAACGAGGTCAGCTTGACTTGTTTGAATTGGATTTCTTTGCATTGATGATCGCATACTGGATGTCATCGCTGACCGCTGTTACGGTCGATGGCTGGCTCGTGAAGAGAAAGAAACAAAAAAGAAGATCGTTCATTCCCGTACTGCATACAGGGTAACAACTAACAAATCTGATGGATGTCATGAGGAAGTGTTCAACATCAGGGAGTAAGTGTTCCCATATCGTTTCACCGGAAGCTGGCACAGCATGCGGCGTAACATCGTCTCGATGACTGCGTTAGATCGTTCCGTCTGTCCGTCTGCGGCAGGCTGATAGGCGTTAATCCAAGGCGAACCTGCCCCCGGGTAAAGAGGTATGTCCAGAATTCGGACGTGGAAAGAGAAGAACAGGAGGTAAACAATCAACAAAACTCTTCCTCGTGTCCCTGCTCCTTCCCTTGTTGCCGTTTCTTCCAGTCTCTACTTCTACTTTTCAAGTGACCCTGTCTGCTTCGCTTGCCTGGCCTCAGGTACTCGTTAACCGTTACAATCGCAAGGAAATCCAATTCCAATAAGTCAAGCTGACTTCATTCAAGGCACGGAGTAACAGACAGCGGCAGCAGAGTAGGGACCGTCAAGGTTGGAGGGCGGTGGGTTACAGGCGAGGGAAGCAAATAGGTTCTGTCGCAAAGGTCCAAGGTCAGAGGTGCAGTCATCGAAAGCCTGGAATCCTCAGGTTTGCTTCGCACCATGTCACCGCCGCCCGTTGCAGCCTATGTCTGATATTGAATCTTGTCGCTGTCCTTGACGGGCCTCTATGATGATACCAGCGAAGGTAATGCCAGCCGAGTGCTTTCTGGAAGTATGAGATAATTGCCCTCTCTTCGGTTGGGGTGGTATGCGCTCTGACCACAGCACCAAAGGGCATACTATGGCTGGTGTATGGACACTTTTCTGTAGAGTGTTTGTCTTGTCCAACAAGGAGAGGCCAGTATGAGGTCAATGCCATTAAGACCGATCTCCATGGGCTGCCTCGTACCCAGGACGCAAATGAGACGGGCTCCGGTGGCTGAGCATGTGACGTTGGTATAGGTGGTAGCGCGGGGGCTAGTGCTTTGTGACTGAGCTGCGCGAGGTTGGAGCTTGGACGACGTGGGGTTCTCAAACCAAAGGTTGCTTTGTCGCGCTTCCAACACTCGGGGGACATGTGCTGTTTTTGCAACGACTGCACTCGTCTGATGTGCCATGTCTGTGTGATCCCGGCAATGTGACGGCCAGTAGGAAAAGTAAGCTGAGATTCCCGTAGCCTGTGCGCTAACGAAAGACAGAACTAGAGGAGAAAAAGAAGAAGAAGAAGAAGAAGAACAGTTGTGAGAGAACCCTTTATGCCAGTCCTGCACACTCGTTCCCCTCAAGTCACAAGACTTATTCCAGCGAATTCCTTCCTCCAAACCTTGCCATGCGTCACAGGCAATGCAACCTGTGAAGAGGGTTCTCAGGTTTGACCTGGACTTCTATACTCGCTTGTCAAATTCGCCCATGCATTTGCACGTATTGAAATCGTTGCAAGGATGGGCGTTGACTGAGAGAGAGAGAGAGAGCAAAAGTGGAAAAGGTTGAGCAAGCGTCGATGACTTTATATACGACGACGATGAAAGGGAAGCCTTGGCCGTCTTGAGCGCCGTTTGAGTGGATCCCGGCAATCTGAACAGGCTTCCACTATGTGCTGGCTTTCGTTGTCGATTGATATCCCGGCCGCTTGTAGTCTCCGAGCCCAGTATAAGTAGGGATTTGTGCCATTGAGGGGCACAGTCGAAGTGGCCACCGTATATGCAGCGAGCTCCGTGCCGTTGAAATGACGGTGATGAGTTTATAACACGGCCATTGATGAATAAGTTTATAAGAGCCGAGGAGGTAAGTGATTGTTCGGTTTCACGAGTTTGAATGACACTGATGAATCAACGAATAAGAGATAAAGAAACAAAGATGTCATTGACTGTGATTGTGCGTATATAACTTCGCGACGAATTTATTCCATAATGATGACCCGAGATCGGGAACTGTCGCATGATGTGTTGGGGTCTGGACCTTGTCGCTGTTCTGGCAACCACTCAACTCGTTCGTCATGACAAGTCTGCGTGAAGACCGTCAATCAAGTTTGCTTCCACCAAGCCCCCCGTCAAATGGACAGAGTGGCCTCGAATGAGAGTTTTGGAGAGAGAAGAGGAAGGAGCAAGACTGGAAGCAAGAGACGAAGAGCTAGGTTTATATATAAGTAGGTTGGTTTCAGTCATCGTGGGATGCGGCAGATAACCCCCGAAGCGCAGGAGTATTTTGAAGATCTAAAGAAGGGAAAGAAGGAGGAAGAGATGTGCATGAAGAACCTTATAATAATGATGTCCATTTGAATGAGCATCCTGAGAGAAGTTGAAGAAGGAGGAGGAGAAGTAGGAGACGGATAGCTTGATATAGACTCCCACTTCTGCAAATGATGCAAAGGTGACTAGCAAACAGGTTGTTTGCTAGGTAGTCCATCATCGATGATATTCTTTGAAGGAGGAATCAGGAAGCAAATCATTCAACAGAGTAAGCAACACAGCAAACATGTCAGGTATGAGCATTCCGACTACCTGTAGGTGATTCTAGACTGGTCATGCTGCACGAGGGGGGGTGAGTATCAATCTACTAAAAGCATACCTACAAAAATCGAAACATGTAAAAGAAAATTGAAATGTAGGGATTAGAAAGCGACAACGACCATACACTAGACCTCCTGGCATAGTTGGCACTACTGCACCATAAGGGACCGTGATGTAAAATAACGGCGTTACACATCTGGCTCGCATGTAAAAATACACGGCAGAACATTTCTCCTAATAGGGGAGGTCAATGAAATCAATTACCCCTCGGACTGTTATGGGAGAGAACAGTCTTGCCTCACAAGTGGGAGGAGCATGGGGGAGACTCAGACAAAAGATTAAAGAACGGAGAGAGCGAGCAGGAGATGGATAAGTGTCCCCAGGGTGAGAATGAGAAAGAGAGACATAAGGAGAAGGATAAGGAGAAGGTGGTCGGAAGGTTATAAGATTGAGGTCTCAAGGAGAATTGAGAGAAGGGGGAGATCACGAGATTCTCAACCCCGGAGCCAGGAGACATGTCTTCACCAGGACGTGTATTTTTGTCTCGCATGTCGGTTTCGAACTCGAGAGGTCGCGAGGTCAGGTTTGCGGCGACCTGGCGACTTCCCCAGTCGACCACTTTACTGGGGATATCTGATTCAAGCAATTTTCTAAATATAACTGAACATGGGGATAGGAAAATAGATTTCCCGTTTAGGAAACCGGGGTGGCAGAATATAGGCGGTGTAAGCACTGGCTAAGAAAGGAAAGCAGTCTCAACTCTCAACTCTCGAGTTCAACTCGACAATATCACTATGGCTTATACCAGCCCCCCCCCCCCCCGCGCTCCCCGGGGAGCTCTGGGGCTGCATTGAGTCATATCTATCCAATGCCGACATCAAATCTTTGCGTCTGACATGTAAGCAATTCAACAATGCAGTGTTTCTTCGACTCAATCGTGTTTTCTTATCCGCCAACCCCCTCAACATTGAGGTCTTCCGCAACATTGCATCACACGACACGTTCCGCCATCAGATCAACGAGATTATCTGGGATGAGGCGCGCTTGTGTCGGGGTCCAGCCCGAATAGTTGGGACTACTAATGAGGGACATGAATTGCTCTCGGACGAGGATGAACCCGAGAATGACAGAGAATGGGCTGCGGGATACCACACTCAATACTGAGAGGTGATTACCGGGCGCCATGAGTCTGAAGAGGATGGGTCTGGAGAGGATGAATCTGAAGAGGGTGATGGTCCTGGATGTCCTCGATGGTTCGAAAAGGCTTGTGGGGAAAACTTTTGCGTTCTAAAATGCCGGGAACGTCGTGATGTGGATAGGCCTGACCATATCGCGCGCAGGTAACAGGTGTTCGCTCAGCCTTCCCTGAGGGAGGCCTGGCAACATTATCAGCAGTTGCTGCATCAACAGAAGGATGTTCTTGCCGGTCGGAGTGATTTGGAAGCGTTCGCGTTTGGCGTTAAGCGGTTTCCTGCCCTGAAGGGAGTTACCATCACACCTGCAGCCCACGGCAACCTCATCACCCCGCTTTACCCGACCCCTATGATTCGTGCTTTCCCGAAAGGCTTTAATTACCCCATTCCTCGTGGTTGGCTGTACCCTAGAGCCACTTTCGAGCCCGCTACTCCATATACGTGGAATCAATACCCAGAACTTAGAGATCGGTACCGCGGGTTCCGCACGGCAATGCGTGTCCTCGCCAACGAACCCAACTCTGTTTCTGAGCTGGTGATGACTTCTAACTCTATCCCCACGGGGATCAACTGCACAATCTTCGACGAGCCCTGCGAAGAGTACAATCATTTCGCTACCGTGCTTAAGAAGCCGGGCTTCCGCCGTCTGGATATTGCCTTGCTTCTCGGTGGTAAGCGTGAGGAAGACCTCGAAGCATGCTGGCGATCTCTGCTTAATGGACGTCTGCGCCGGGCGCTCGGTGAAGCAAAAGAAATGGAAGAGTTCAGGCTGCATGCAACATTTGATGATGAGCTCTACCCTGACGGAGAACCTCCCCCATTACAGGGAATTGTGCCTGTGGAACAATGGTCGAAACTGCGCCATTTCGAACTCTCCGGCTTTGTTATCTCACAGGATAACTGTGTCTCTTTCCTCAAGACGTTACCAAAATCCGTTCGCTCCATTGAGCTCAGTATGCTGTATTTCCTTCGCGGCAATGGAGACTGGTATAGTATGCTGGAAGAAATCAAGCGAATGGTGTCGGAGAGCACGCTGTGGGGAGACCGGGATGCGGGATCAAGACCCAAGATTACGATCGGCGTGCCACTCGCGGACACCGGCCCTACATATGGACACGGTATATGGATTGAAAAGGAGGTAGAGGATTTCATCTACGGTGAAGGAGAAAATCCCTTTAGGGAGCCTCGTCCCTGGGAAGTCCAATTTGGAGTTGGTGTGATGAGGGATGCATTGGAGCCCGATTTTGAACATCCATATCATGACCATACGTCCAATCGGTACTTTGATACAGATGAATATTTGCAAGACAGATACCTCAATGAAGACTGATTTGCACATGTGCGGAAGAGTCAGCAGCCTTAACAGAGAAGCAACAGAGAGGAACTGGCTCCAGCGCGATCGGTCACCCGTGACCCGTCGTATGCTTACTGTGCACATTGTGTAGGACGTGCCGACGATACCCGTGGAATTTGGGTAGTCTGACAGTCGAGGTACCATGAAACGAAAGCTTTCATCAGCCACCCGCATCGATCGGACCCACTGCACTGCGAGCTGAGCCACAGCCATTATCCATATGGTGCCAGCTTCTGTCCCTGACTCCCCAGTCCCTACGAGCACTCTCTGCGGATAGCCCTACGGCCCCTACACCGCCTGATCCTAGTCAAGGCAGTCACTGCAAGGCCTACGATCCAGCCTTCTAGTCTAGCACCATCTTTCTACAGGAGCGTCCTGAGTCTGACAATGAGTAAGCCATCAGGGAGCTCCGAGCCTGCTCCATGGCGTCACCTGCTTGCCTCTCATCTAAAGCAAACACCCGAATGGGAGTTTACAGTCGCGACAAAGAACTTGCGGCTGACGTGGATTCTTCCCAGAACTTGATCTCCACCCCAAGGGCCAGGAAGCTATGGACCAGCAGGTGAAGGGTGGTGGTAGTCCACCAGTCTTCGAGAGTGATATGCCGTGCTTCACCACTATTGAAGGTTTTTGAAGCTGTATTCTGGCTGAAGGACCTTATGACTCAGTGGCGCACCAAGGGCATAGCATATGCTATTGGAGACCCAAAGCGGGAAATTAACCGCAAGAAGAAGCATCCACAGCTGAGATACTGAGAGTCATTGAGAGTGAAGAGTGGTAGTGGACAAGACGTGGAGGGATGGACCCCCGAGAACGCTGTCACAAAGTACTCTGCACCATTCCCCTGTTGCGAGAGATATGTGTTCTCCATAATCTCGGCTCTCTCATGTCTGTATTTGCTCCGTTGGAGATGTTGCAAGATATACCCAGAAAAAGCCCGTCTGTCTGTCATTCCAGGCTCATGCTAAGTGGTTACTAGGCTCGTTTCGAAATCCCCTCTAGGATAACCTAGGGTCACGGTATCCAGCGAACCTGGTCTTGGCCTAGGTAAAAAGGTTACAGATCTTGATGATCCAGTTTCCAGAGCAAACTTCCGTGTGCTTCTTATAAGGCCGGCAGAGGTTGAACGTCTACACTTTGCCGATCAGGAAGATGGCAAGAGATGGAGTTGGAAGTTAACGGGAGGTAGCTGTGATGAGGATGCTGAATGGCATAATTTGTACACAATAGTCTGGAAAGAACATTGTTCTATCGCTGCTCCTGAATCTGGTCACAGTTTCGTAACGAATCGTAACTGATTGCTGGCTATTGTGTGAGGGATGCAGTTTCTGAGTGTGAGAGCAATGTGAGAGCAGTGCCTAGTCTTATGACTTCTCTTTATATTGTGTGAAGGATGCAATTTCTGAGTGTGAGAGCATTGCCTAGTCTCATGACTTCCTTTGATTGTCGAGGTCGTCGTATATAACGTCGTCGACGCTTGCTCAACTTCTTCCTCTTTTGCTCTCTCTCATCCACACTTCCAACGTTTTCATTACGTCGTTGAGGTGGGTACAGCGCTTCTTCTGCGCTTTGCATTTCGGGCACGCCATCTCGGTGTCGGTCACTGTTGATGCGTGTTTGGTTAGTCGTGATGATTGCGTGGTGGACAAAGAAGACGTGATGGATAGGGGAGATTTACTCATGGCGGTTGTGATGAGAGATCTCTTAAAGAGTTTTGAAAACGGGTCGTCGCGACGGCGTAATGGGTAGCACGTATTGAAAACAACGTTGCAAGTGTGGGTGAGAGAGATCAAAAGAGGAAGAAGTTGAGCAAGCGTCGACGACGTGATATACGACGACCTCGACAAACAAAGGAAGTCTCTCACCCACACTTTCAACGTTTTCATTACGCCGTCGCGACGACCCGTTTTCAAAACTGTTTAAGAGATCTCTCATCACAACCGCCATGAGTAAATCTCCCCTATCCATCACGTCTTCTTTGTCCACCACGCAATCATCACAGCTGACCAAACACGCAGTGACCGACACCGAGATGGCGTGCCCCAAATGCAAAGCGCAGAAGAAGCGCTGCACCACAAGAACAGGGTCAGTAACTTATTATACCAGAGCATCTGAGACAACTAACCTTCTTCATGCGCGCCTCCATCTCCGCGCCAGTTCTTGGCATGCGTACGACGCCAGCTTCGGTCGTCACGTTCAGAGTGTCGGCTGCTAGGCCAAGTGCTCATATCCCCCTCACCAGCAGCAGTGATGGGGATCATAACCGGGGTAATCCCGGAAGACGGCATGATGTCAAAGATCGACAATCGACGAGAAGTTGGAAGGAGGCAAAGCAGTGAGTGGTATGTCGAAAGTCAAGAGGAGAGTTGTTGTCAAGATGAACTATGAAGAACACGTGCTTCATATTTGGTTTTCCAATCGTGGAGGCCTTTATCGATAACGATAACGATACTGGCATTGCCGCATGATCACGGATCTGTCGCTTCGTACATACCGCTCACTGCTTTGCTCTCTTTTCCTCAAATCTCGGCCTTTGCACTTCAGAACTTTCCGGTTGGCTGTTCTATCATCACCATCGAACACATCAGAATTCATCTGAACTTGCGAGTCGGGAAGACGAGCATGCCGTCTTCCAGGAATAACCTGGTCGTGATCCCCATCACTGCTGCTAGTGATGGGGATATGAGCACTTGGCCTAGCAGCCGATACAAACCACGCGACGATCAAATCTGGCGTCGTAAGCTTGCGAAAAGTTGGATGAAAGATGTGGGCACTTAATGACCCAGCGAACCATATACCGTCTGAGCATGCTGAGGTACTAACCATCGCCAAGCAGACTAAACTATACAATGCCAAGCCCAAGCCGAAGTCACTGCCGGATGCCGAACCGACCACCTTTAAAGCCACACCGACCCGAGCATTTGATAGGTCCAACGGCCTGGAAATAAGATCCGATCGGACACTAAAAATATACTCGGGCCGAGGAAGAATGTTGACATCCGAATTTTTACCTACGCACCTTTCCAGCTCTGGGGCGTACAAAAACCTCGAATAATATAGGAAATAGGGCTCGTTGCATGGTATCCGGCATCGGAGCGAACCTAGCTTTCATTTCCCCAGTTTCAACAGACAAAATTGATTTGAGCTTTTGGGCAGACTACACTAACTAGGCTTAGCGTAAAGAGTCAGACAGATGTTGACGTTCTGGATTGTAGCTCTCCTCCTGTGTGTTTGTAGCAGATGTATTACAGTATTGCAAGTGGCTCAGTATCTTTCGAGATGATTATCCATGCCCCATGGAGATTGACTAGAATAACATGTCCTCGTTGTATGCTCTGTGGTTCAGGCGTTGAGGACTCCAACCAGCATGAATAGAGCCAGTCCCGTCATGCTGGGGCATCAATCTCGCTTACAGGTAACAGGATCAGCAGATACATAGCTAAGAATAATGATAATAATGTTTCATTGTGACTACATACAGGTTCTCGAACAGAACCATGAACAGACCTTAGCAGCACCCCCCCCCCCCCCCGTAAACACCCCGGGTATCATGGCTATGCCGCTGAAAGGGAAACGAAAAAAGCACCGGACAAATCATACAGAATCATCAAACAGAAAGAATCAAAACCGACATGAAGACCGACATCAAATCATACATGATAACAGAAAGCGATCTATGCAAGAGTAGCCGTCGCGGGAGTCTCGGACGCATGAATCTGATCCTGACGGTGGAGCGACTCGCGCGCCGTACTTACGATAGTCTGCCCGTTTTCATCGCCCTGCGGAGCTGAAGGCCCGCACTCGACACCGAGGAGCTCGGTCACACCAAGTGTTTCAGCACGACACTTGCCCTGGAACCATGTCATGCCATCTGGGATGCGAACGTCGTCCTGCGAGGACCATTTGCGGCCCCCCGTGACGCCGAGGAGATCGTACTCTAGACTGTGCGTGCCGAACATCAGATATGCGGCGGGAGCCTCGTAATAACGGCCGATGACGGCGTCCAGGGCGACATTGCACTCCTCGCCATTGGCCATCTTGTACCAGGGGCCGTAGTGGTACATACTGGGTTGGCGGAAGGCGGTGAATACCTCGTTGGGTGTGAGCGGTCGGGGGTTCTCGTCGGCTGTGGGGTCGTGGAATAGGCATGAGTAGGACTTGCGCACGCGCGAGGGGTCGGTGGTATATACCCGGCCGGAGATCAGGACTCCCCTATGTTCGGCTAGCAGTAAGGGGTCGTTGTCTACGCAGTCTATGAGCTGGAAGAGTATGTTTGTGATCACCATCACATCGGTTATCTTTGGGACTGGGCCTTCTTCAAGATCCGGGTATTCGAAGCCCTCTGGTTTCAGACGGATGGTGTCCGAGACGGCGAGGAGTTCGCTACCGATGAAGATGGCCTTGCAGTGGATACTGCAATTTCTGTCTTTGCCGACTATGTGGTATTTTCGCACCACGCTCCAGGAGGATATCACGTTCATGGCGTTTAAAATAGATGGGTGCGATTTGTCCCAGTTCTGGTCCTTGAGAAAGATTTTCCAGGCGTTGAAAGGCCTGATATTCCGCAGGGGAACGTAGTTGTACTGCTTCGAATAGGTCTTGTCATCGCCCAGAGGGTGTGGTAGAGCCTCCACGCGGAACCAAGAGTAAATCAGACCGTGTGGGTCGTCGGGTGTTTCCGTAATGTCTCTCATGTACGTGTCTTTTAGAGGCATTTCGGTCACTACACCTGCACGCCAACAAGGCAAACCATGCCAAAGGTGGTCATTGCCAAGGATTTCATGACGGCCAGTCACGGGATTGAGCGTCAGACTACCGTCTTCAAGACCGTCCCAGATCCAGAGAACAAGCTCACCACATCGCGGGACGTAGGCAGGATCAATGCTCGGTTTCACATCGTAACGAGTAATCCATTTGTGAGCCAGAATGCTGTCGAAACTGACCGGTTCCTCAGCATATTCGTCAATTTGGCCATTCTCTAGCAATTTCACGACATACGGTCGCCAGAAATCTGGGACTTCGGCGTCGGCGGGTTGGCGCGTATTGTCGGCTCGGGGGCTTGTTAGTGTATGATTTGTTCCACTGGGGTAATGAGTACTCACATGGAGGCGGCACAGCGGTCCTTGCCACTGGCTCCGAGGCTGAGCCCATTTCTTTCATTCTTTTTGTGGGTGGCACACGGCTTGCGAGCAGCTGTCGAGTGCTCCCTTGACTATGGTGATAAGATGGCGGAAGAAGGTGATACTCGAGTTCAAGGCTTCCCACTCGGATCCCCGAATAGATAAGGATTGCTATTTCGCAAGTCCGTCAGCCAGAACCAAGTTATCAAACTCATGTGAACTCACCACGCGGGGGGCGCTAGGTTTCAAAGTGCGAGGAGAGGATGGAGATGGAAAGACAAGACACAAAGGGCAACACAACAGCCGGACAGAGCATATGCCGCAGGAACCCAGCGTGTGTGCGCGTAACAATGTGCATAACAATAAGCAAACGCAAACAGCAGGTCACAAGTGCTTATGCTCTGTCCGGCTGTTGTGTTGCCCTTTGTGTCTTGTCTTTCCATCTCCATCCTCTCCTCGCACTTTGAAACCTAGCGCCCCCCGCGTGGTGAGTTCACATGAGTTTGATAACTTGGTTCTGGCTGACGGACTTATTATATCTGAGCATCTGAGACAACTCAGCTTGTTGATAAGTGCCTGCATCTTTCACCCAATTCTCGGCAAGCTTCTGCCGCCAGTTCTGGTCGTCGCGTTCAGTGTATGGGCTGCTAGGCCAAGTACTCACATCCCCATCACTAGCAGCAGTGATGGGGATTACGACCAGCTTATTATTGCGAGAAGACATGCTCGTCTAAGTCGTCTTCCGCACTGGGAAGCCCAGGCCCCAGGTGAGTTCCGATGGGCTGGTGATGATTGTTCGATGGTGACGAAGTCGATAAAATGAGAGCAAAGCAGACTAGCAGTGGTATGTCGAAGCTAAAGCTGAGGAGAGTTGTTGACAAGATGAACTATAGTCTATGGAGAACACGTGCTTCATGTTTGGTTTTCCCATTTTGGAAGCGGCGAGGCCTTTATCGCCCGATAACGATACTGCCATGATCACGATTCACCGATCTTTATCTTCGACCATACCCCTCCTGGCTCTCTTTTTATCAACCTCGTCACCATCGAACAAATATCACCAGCCCATCGGAACTCACCTGGGGCCTGGGCTTCCCAGTGCGGAAGACGAGCATGTCTTCTCGCAATAATAAGCTGGTCGTAATCCCCATCACTGCTGCTAGTGATGAGGATGTGAGTACTTGGCCTAGCAGCCCATAGTCATACACTGAACGTGACGACTACAGCTGGCGTCTGGAGGTTGCCGAGAATTGGGTGAATGATGCAGGCACTTAATGGCCCAGCGAATCATGTTCCGTCTGAGAATGCTGAGAGCCCGAGGTAACCACCGCCAAGCAGAATACATAAACTAAACAATGCCAAGCCCAAGCCGAAGCCGAAGTCACTGGATGCCGAACCGATCACCTTCAAAGCCATCCCGACCCGAGCAAACGCGCCGATCAAGCCTGTGTCAGGTACACCATGTACCAACAATATACCTCCCGAATAAATCACAAATTGGCCTTCATGAGCTCCGCCTCCGTCCACTCCCACAGCCGTTTCCCCTTGTCTTCACTAGTCGACCATTTATTCCGGCGTTTCAAAATTCCAACAGGTACATAATATGCTCCATTAACCAGCTCGTCCTTTTTAGCTCCAGCAGCAGCCCACAACGTGTTACATGCACCCTGGGCAATTGACGTGCCAGCCACACGCAAGACCTTAGAGTACAGAGCGACGACTGGAGATCGAGAACTCAACGACTCATACAGATCTGTCAGAATGATACCAGGATGAACTGCCACCGACGTTATTGAAGGGTAGCGCCTGGCAAGTTCCGCAGCAAACATGATATTTGAAGCCTTCGATGCTCCATACCGAGCGGTGGTGCCGACCTTCTTCAGCTTCTGCTGGTCTAAGATTGTCTCAAATGGCGGTGAAAATATATGTCCCACGGATGCCAGCGACACGGCGCGGACATCCGAGCCGGGCTCTTCGGCAGTTTTGAGCAGTGTTGGTAGCAGCAACTTGGTGAGATGGAAATGTCCGGTGTGATTTGTGCCAATCTGAATTTCGTGTCCTATTTCCGTTTCGCCCGGAGGCAGAGCCATGACCCCGGCGTTGAGAATTAGGATATCGAGACGGGATGACAGCTCTTTGAATTGCTCCGCCGCATTTTTGATTGATGAACCCGACATCAAATCCAATGGAAGCCAACTAATGTCGACATCATTAGAGACGGACAATTTCACATCCTTGATGGCTTCCGCTGCCTTTGATTCCGAGCGTGCAGCAAGGAATATCTTAGTAGGATTGTGCTTGGCCAGCTGTAGGACGGTTTCTTTACCGAGTCCAGCATTGCCTGCCAGAGCGCATAGGATTAGATGGAGGAATATGCCGTTAAATTCGGGCTTAGCTTACCGCCTGTGACTAGAATGACCTTGCCAGTTAGGTCTGGGATGTCGGTTTCAGGTTTGAAGTGAACTGTACCCAAGAAGTTGAGCGAGTCCATAGCAGCGGTAACCCATTCAGACATTTTAAGAGGCACAGATAACGTATAGGAAGAAGAGATACTGCGATTGAAGTTGTATTCGGCGTTCAAACGTTTAATAGCCGATGGGAGCACGCTAAGTACTTCGGGACGGAAGAAGCATTCTTCCCAAGATAGTGGAACCTATCCGAAAGTCTATCTTTAGATGCCGAGGCGACCCACGGGACGCGGACAGGCAGCGCCATCATACGAAAACCAACGTCTCAGGCCATGGTCTTAATCGAGGACTGCTTGTGGAGTTGTGATCTTGGCGATATAAATCGTGACAGCTAAATCACCAAGGAGAACCTTGAATCTCATCAGTGGATTGGGAGACGCTCATGTAGCTTCACCAACGTCTTGGTAGTTCTATATAGAGAGCAGCTTAGTAGCACAGGCTTACTGCTGCAACTTTCTAGTTCTGAACATTTTTCGTGACATATGCTTGGAGGTCCAATGTGATATTCAGCACCTCACGTTATTTTCAGCTGCATAGTGATTTCATGTCGAAATATCGCCTGCAGCAAGAAGTCGTTTGAGCTTCCAGAGGGCTACCATAGCCTCGATGCCGATTTGATCCTCAGGCCTGAAGAACAATGCTTTGTGCTGGAGTTGACCATGGCTCTCACGGAGCTTCTCCAAATCAGACTCGGAAAACAGCACCGACAGATCAAAAACAGGAACCTTCGATCCAGTTTGCGTGAGAGCCACCGATTCCAAAGCCACCTTCGAGTTCGACACATCGCCAGCAGCCACAGACAGCTCCGAGCCAAGCAAGAGGACTGCACCGCCCTCCATACGCTCAAACGAATCCAGACTTCCGAGAACCTCCTCCAGCGCAACATCCGAGTAGACCGGCAGATCCAAAGCCCTCCAAACCCCATTGGGAGTTCCAACACGCTTATATTTCTCGAGAACAGCACCCAGCTTCTCAATCACTCGGCTCCTCATACCATATAGTACAACATCCGGCATATCCTCTGACCAAGAGATCTGCTTTTCTACATGCGCCGTAATGGGGCCTGTAGGTTGTTTCCAGCGAAACGGTATCAAGCGCGACATCGCGTTTCTCTTCGAGCGACCAGTCCCGCGATTTCTGACGAGCGGAGGTGTGATACATCGAAGAAGCGGCAGGAGCTCCGTGATGCGAAGCAAGAGCTCGCGTCCGGCGCTGTTGACTTGGGAATCTGGGACCACCGGTTGGAGCGGGGAATCCTCTTCCGGACTAGCTACCTGGGTATTTGCGCTTCCAAGTGGGTCTGCGATAGTTGCCTCCGGTGATGAGTCGGGTATTTGGGTCTTCTTGCCGTGCGACGAGTCTCGCAGCAGACCCACAGGCATCATGTACAGCTTCTCTTCATCTGGTTGTCGAACGAGTCCCCACGTCCCCAGAAGATCGGAAGGAAGTCTTGCGGCGGTAATAGTACACATACGTGGCGGCGAGGCCAACATTACTGCCCATGGGTTCTTGCGCAGGTTGGCTTCCTCCTCTGTCGTGGCGCGTCTCTTGCGAGTCTTCTCCCTGTGACGTGGGTGTCTGAACAGAGGGGACTGTGGAAGGCGCTGCGATGGAGGTATAGGTTTTGGACCCGAGTTATCCTCCTCCGTTTCTGATGATGATTCGTTTGATTCATTTTGTCGCGCGGTCGAGATACCCCGACTGGCTGCTTGCGCTGTCAGGGGACGGGAAGTCGCTAGCAATTGGCGGAATGCATGAAGACGCCATTTTGTATATGGTATACGTGCATTGACGCACTCCATTGTTCTGTCTGTGCGAGTTATAGACGCTGGGGTTAAGTCGAGCGAAGTTCAGAGCGGAAAACATGACTTCGGAGTTCCCGCAGGAGCCAATCGGAGCCCCTTATTTGCGGCAAAGTCGTTTACAGTGTCAGTCGCTGATTGGCAGCAATTGGAATATGCCATGATATGGCTTAAAGTGCCCGATGCCATTTCAATCAAGAAGAAACAGGATGATCCTCAATGACCATCTCAGACTCCAAAAAGGGCGACATTAGGGTTAGACCAAGGCTGGTGGCCATCTTCCTGCAATGCAAGCTCCTTATCTTAGCGTCTCCCTTATCGCATGAGAAGGTTCACCGTCCAGCGTCTCCCGACTGCATCAACTTCAAACATTCACAGTGCTTACGCATACTTCTCACAATGGCCCCTAAAGCTCCTCTCCGCCAGTTAGGGCGATCTATCTTTCACACGCCAATCTCATTTGTCCGACCCATTGCCGGTCTTGTACGATGCTTCTCAAACCAAGGATCCGCACCCGCGCAGCGCCCGCGGAGCTGGACACCAACACCATTCGTGACGGAGACTGTGGTATGTTTTACATTCTGGCTATATGACCTAGCATAGTCTGCGCAAACACTGATCACATCGAACAGGGAGGTGGCTGGCACACTTGTATGTTGCGCAATCAAATCTGTCATTGAGGCTTGCATATGCCCGAAAGCAACCTCACCCTGCTAACTTATACGCGCTACAGATGATATCTTCTCTCGGTTAATGAAGGTACAACACACCTACCCATTATAATACCCTCACAGCGCAATATACTCACCAACTCCACAGGAACGCATCATCTGCCTAAACGGCGCAGTCGACGACACCCTCTCCGCATCGATAGTCGCCCAACTCCTCTTCCTCGAAGCCGACAATCCCTCAAAACCAATACACCTCTACATCAATTCCCCCGGCGGCTCAGTGACTGCCGGTACGTTACAACCCCACGACACCCCCTAGCATCCCCGTAGTCTGTCTGTGTCCATACTAACAAGAAACTCCACAGGCCTTGCAATATACGACACAATGACCTACATCGCCGCACCCGTAAGCACAATCTGCGTCGGACAAGCAGCCTCGATGGGCTCCTTGCTGCTTGCCGGCGGTGAAGCCGGCAAGCGCTACTGTCTCCCGCACTCGTCGATCATGATCCACCAGCCGTCGGGCGGCTATTTCGGGCAGGCGTCTGATATTGCGATTCATGCGAAGGAGATACTGCGCGTGCGCGAACAGCTCAATCAGATCTATGAGCGACATCTTACTGGCAAGAAGAAGTTGTCGCTTGATGAGATTGAGAAGCTTATGGAGAGGGATTACTTTATGGGTGCTAAGGAGGCGCTTGAGCTTGGTGTTGTTGATGAGATTCTTGATCGGAGGGTGCAGAAGGGGGGTGCTGGGGAGGAGGATAAGCCTCCTACTGCGTGATTGTATGGGTCTACGGTGGTTCCATTGATACTGGTGCTTTAGGTGTAGTATCTGTACCTTGGTTCTGGGTCCATTAATGGGATGCTTTATAGTAATATAACAGTTTATGCCAAAGAATTATGGATTTACTCGCTCAATGCGACCATTAGTCCCAACCTGAAGACCCAGGCGCTGACGTAGGAACGTCGCTGTTTCTGGAGACGGAACGAAACCCGTAGTTGGCTGTGCCTGCGCATTTGATTGGCGCCACTGGTCACGCAATGTACCGAAGAAGCCCATACTGACGATAACGGCCTGGCCAGCAGCGAATGTATCCATCGGGTGCTCGCCCCGTGTGCCACGGCTCGACTCGACATCGACCGGCTCCGCCAAGAGCGTTGTGCGCTCTTCCTCGGCCTCGTCATCGAGGTTACCGCTGTTAGGTGACTCTGGACTATCGCGGGCGGAAGGTGTCGTTTCATCTGTTGCTTGGCGTTGAACGCCGCGCTCCTCGGCATCATGGTCCTGGAGCTCGGCCTCCGTCTCGGGGCTTGTATTGGCGGCTGTACTTGTAGGTGGTGAGGTTGGAGTGGGCGTGGGTGTCCCCTGTGTCTTCACCCGCTCGATGATCAGGCCCAGCATGATGACATCGATGATGAAAATGGTAAGATCGAACGCAAGAAGACGGGAAGTCGAGACGGGAGCCTGCCCGATAAAGTCGATGAACAATCCTCCGTGGAGATAACCACGAGTTTCCTCGCCGGCTTCGGGACGAATGACGAAAGCATGGAAGAGGATGCAGATGAGGTTACTGACGAGGATGGCGCCGACGTATGGCTGGCTGCGCGTGGGCTCAAATGGTGGTGCCTTTGGCGTGAAGAAGATCAATTCGACGATGGCACGAAGAGCGAATAGAATGATGGAGCAGCTAGACCAAGAAGGCAGACGTTAGGAGCTTGTCGTTATCGCGAGAGGCGGGGGCGTTAGGGGTTAGGCTCACTCCATGTAATACAAGGCGGAAAGTTGACAATAAATTAATATGTCGAGGTCGTGCAGCAATCGATCAATTAAGACGACTTTCGCTGCCGATTGGACCTTCTTCACGCGCGCGTTCTGACTGCTGAGGGTGCCAACGGGCCTTGGGGGTTCTGCATCGTCATAGGATATGCCGGACACGTCAGCGATGTACTCCGCATCCCGGTAGACATCGACGTCTGTCATAGAGGATCATCAGGGCTTAGAGATAGCCAGAAAACGAGATAGAAGGAGTCGAGGTTGAGACTCCCCGTTAGATTGGTGAGAGCTGGGGTAAACTATGGCTACAGGTTAGAGCCGGGATGTGGCCGGAGTTTCTTTGGACCGGGGCCACGTGCTTGGCCTGCAGGTACCTACGACATGTTTATTTCGGAACATTCATTGGTCTATTTTATCACTTAAGAGATGTGACTATTGTCCTGAGCTCGGCTTATTTATATTAATTGTGCTAAATCTATATCGATTGATTCGATTCTCAAATAGTCTAGTCCACAAGGATGGTCCTTGACAGCTCTGAGTAGTGCTGGAAGAAGCCAGTAAAGAGGCGAATGGCATGGGCAACATCATAAGTACCACCTGTCTCGCGGATACTGTGCATGCTAAGCTGTGGGTTACCTAGATCCAGGGTCCGCGCGCCCAGCGCAGCAGAGAGCATAGGACCAATGGTGCTACCACAGCTGGAATCATTACGCACGACAAACAGCTGCAGAGGAACGTGCTCTCCAGTCTCCTTGGAGGTCTTGCGCGCAACTTCCTCCAGAAGGACAATACCAGGAGAGTTGGTGGCATAGCGAGCGTTTGCGTTGATCTTGATGACCGGACCCTTGTTCATCTCCGGCTTGTGATCCGCCTCGTACTTGTTCGCGTAGTTAGGGTTGACTGAGTGAGCCATGTCGGCAGAGACGAGGAAGGAGGTGGACAAGGTTTGCTCATATGCAGTTGAAATGTCGAAGTCCTTGGAGGTGGCCGAGGGCAGAACAGACAGACGGCGGATGATTGACGGGAGAATGTTGGAGTCCGCGCCCTGTGCTGTGCGGCTGCCAATCTCCTCGTGATCGAACAATGCGATCAGACGGATTGCGTCTTCATTATCGAGAGCTGACTGGTCGGCTACAGAGTCAATCAGAGCAATGGTAGCGCAGAAAGTGCTGTTCAAGTTATCGAGACGAGGAGAGAAGATGAACTCTTCCAGCAAGCCGCCAAGGCAGGCCTTGTGGGTGTCGAACAGGATCATCTCAAAGTCCAGAATGTCAGCAGGCTTAACACCAGCTTCCGCAGCAATGAGCTCGACAAAGTGAGAGTGGTGACGCTCCGTCACAGACTTCAATGGCGAGAGATCGGCACCCGTCTCTGTCTCAGTGGTGTTGGTCTCCCCAGTACGGTTAAGCTCAGCAGCAATAAGGCCAGCGATGGGGGTCATCTGGGTTTCCTTGTTGAATGAAAAGTCCTCCTTGCGTTCGAGATGAATGGCCAGGGTTGGGATACGCAGAACTGCATATGTTAGTATGTCGCATCCATCGGGTCAACGTAAAACATACTAGGACGGTCAATCTTGACGAGCTTCTGGACAATAGATCCATCGCTTGCACGGGTCATCACCCGACCTGCGACACCAAGATCACGATCGAACCCTACACGGAATTAGAAAGAACAGCATGGAGGGGTAATTGAGGTCACGAACAAGTGTGCCAGATGCCTCCACCGTAGGTCTCGACACCAACCTGTACGAAACCTTCCCCGCTTTTCTTGCTAACGGGCTTGACCCGCAGCACTGGAGAATCAGTGTGGGCACCGATCATAGAGATGGCATTGCCGGGCTGTATTCCGGATTAGTTCAAGATCGATACTATGATCAATGCAAAGTCACTACGTACCTGCCATTGCTTGCCAATTGCGAAAGCCACAAGGGTGGTGGTGTTACGAGTCAGATAATACTTGCCTCCCGGTTGGCAGGTCGACGCCCAAGAGTCTTTCTCCTACGAATAGATGAGACACAATTTCATTGATTCAGACATTTTGTAAGAGCATACCTTAATTTCTTGGAATCCAGCTTTGGCCAGAAGCTCTTTGGCTTTGTGGACGGCATGGAAGGCTAGAGATAAGACAGATCAGCGACATTCCACGTCATGGGATCGGGACCACATACGGGTAGGAGCAGCGTTGACAAAGGACAAGAAGTCCAAAGCAGGTTGTTTGGTAGCCATTGTAGAGTATCTCTTTGACGAGCGCGTGATATTTGGGAAAATGCGCCTGAGGACCATTACAGGGATATACTGTCGTTGTCAAAAGAGTGGGAGTTGGCTTTTGCCGGAGGTCTTGGCGGTGACTGAGGGTGGATACCTATCGGACATAACAAAGCCAATCCTACTACAAGCCTACGGGCACTAAAACAAATACCTACATTTTACTACGTAGATTCACTGAGTTTTGCTATTGAATAATCATGTGCGTGCCATTATTTGATAGTAAACCCCACTCCAGAAGTCTTGGACGCTTCCATAAAAATGGTGTAGGCGCAATTGATTGGTACTGAGCTCGTTGCTATGGCCCAAGCTTCAGCGCGACGCGTCGAGTTAAACTAGGCGCGTAGACAAAATTTAACCAATCTGCGGGTTTCGCGTTCTCAAAACAGTAAACAGTCCAGAGAGGTCACTCACATCCCCCACTTTGAATCACCCAGTTAAATCTTTTGAGCGCGTCCCTGCCAGTAAACAGGACCGATGCCATCAGTCTCAATCGTAACAAAGCCATGCTGACATGGAACACTTTCAACGGACAGTTTCGGCAACTAGCATAAGCCAGATGTATTAACTAGCGTGGATCATAGATCGATTGCTCCACTTTCCGATAGTCAATGGAATCTGGAGTGTAGTTTCAAATAAAGGAAAAGTCCAGGTTGATTGAGCTGGTTGGGGCTCGATTGTCTTGGCCCAATCCGGTTAGCTCACCCGACGCGTGACCCAAAGAGTCGCCCTGCGCAACTCCGTCACTCCCTTGAAGACATTCATTCATTCACATGCCTGTGTGTTCAGACACCTCTTTGTTGATCTTGGTCGGTGAAACAGGGTCTGCTTCATCTCTATCCTTAGCACATCGTTTATCGTCAACCATCAAAGTCGGCGGCTAGCATTCCGCTCCTGGAGCAACAACAACGGACCCTCATTGCGATTTGTCGCCCTTTAACAACTCTCGACCCTGCACCCGCGAATATCATTACCGTCGAAATTCTTTCAGTGAATATCCGCTCCGTCTCATGCAAACAATATTATCGCTTTGATTCATTGCATTTGCGAGGCTCGGAGAGACAACCAACCGTGGCCATGGCGGAAAGACCTCAGGGTACAGCGAAGGCCGGGGAGGGGTCAGCAGCAAGATTCCAGCCAGCTACCTCGAACGCAATGTCGCCACCGACTTCGAAATCGGTATCAGCTCCTGATTCGAACACGCTATCACCACCTGGCTCAAAAACACCGCCAAGTATGCCGTCGAAACGCACGATGTACTTCCCAGACACTTCGAACTCTGGTAATCGGCAACAAGAAGACCGAGGAGAAGCGGTTGATCCCTCTGCACTGAGAAAGGCATTGAAGAGCTATGAGGTCGCGGGAGGTCGGCGAGATAGGACCCCCGCCTCAAGTCCATGTCGCAAGAGACAAAGGGTATATGGTGACCGGTAAGCCAATTCTCAAAACTTGTGACGAAAGCGATGCCCTCGCCGACATCGCGACGACATGTCCACACATGCCTGACTGTGATTCAGATTCATCCCCAATCGTGATGGACAAGACCTGCAGGCGACCTATAATCTCTTGCATGAAGACGGTTGCCCTTCCACTCCTTCAAAGAGCAAGAGACGCCCGCCGCACTCCGAGCTGCATTTCCAAAAAAGTATGTCAATGTTAGTGCGCCATGAGAGGTATATACCTTACTGACCTCATCGCAGCCGAGGAAGCAAATCGCACGTTCTCCCGAGTGTTGCGGAGTGAGCTGTTCGGAAACACGGTCCCTCAGGCCGACTTCAACCCAGCTCCATCTGACCCATTGCTCGGCTTCCGTCACGGAATCCTCGACAAAACTCGATCCCGCACACCCCCTGCTGTTATTAGCTCCAATTTACCTCCCGCTAGCATTACACCCTCTACCCCACACAAGAATGTTTTCAATTATGGTCCTTCCCGACCAGGATCTTCTAACCCTACCCCCTCCAAAACACCGCGAAGTTTGCATGGACCCAATCTTGATGTCCGCTCTGAGCTGTACAGCCTTTCTCCTATTCGTTATGGCAGTCAGCGTATCCTCGAAACACCCCGCAAACAGGCGCGGTGGGTGAACAAGGTTCCCTACAAGGTCTTGGATGCCCCGGATCTCCAAGATGACTTCTATCTGAATCTGGTCGACTGGGGCAGCACCAATGTGCTTGGTGTTGGATTGGCCAATTCTGTTTACATGTGGAACTCTCACACTGGCTCAGTCAACAGGTTGTGCCAGCTGACGGACGACACTGTGACCAGTGTAAGCTGGATTCAAAGAGTAAGCAAGAAACTGCCTACAAGCCTCCTATTCAATTTTGACTGACGAACTTCCAGGGTACACATCTTGCGATTGGCACAGGTAAAGGTCTCGTTCAAATTTGGGATGCTGAGCACTGCCGACGGCTGCGAACCATGATCGGGCATACCAATCGAGTAGGTGCTTTGGCGTGGAATGAACACATCCTCACATCCGGCTCTCGCGACCGCCTCATCTACCATCGCGATGTTCGCTCTCCGGACCAGTACGTCCGAAAGCTTTCTGGCCACAAACAGGAGGTCTGTGGTTTGAAGTGGAATACCGAGGATGGACAGTTGGCGTCCGGTGGTAACGACAACAAATTAATGGTCTGGGATAAGCTCAACGAAACTCCTCTTTACCGTTTCTCCGAGCACACTGCCGCCGTCAAGGCTATTGCGTGGTCTCCTCACCAGCGCAATCTTCTCGCTTCTGGCGGCGGTACTGCGGATCGCACCATCAAGTTCTGGAACACACAAACCGGCTCGATGATTAAGGAGGTCGATACTGGCAGTCAGGTCTGCAACCTCTCTTGGTCCAAAAACTCGGACGAAATTATCAGCACCCACGGCTACAGCCAAAACCAAATAGTCATTTGGAAGTACCCGCGTATGGAACAAATCGTCTCGCTGACAGGCCACACTTTCCGCGTCCTTTACCTCGCCATGAGCCCTGACGGTGAGACCATCGTTACAGGAGCCGGCGATGAAACCCTCAGATTCTGGAATATCTACGACAAACGAGCCCAAAGAGACACTCGTCGCCAGAACAGCAAGATGATGGAATTCAGCACCATCCGCTAGTTCTCCAATTCCCCGACTCCTCCCAATTCCTCACTGTTCTAATTTGGCTGTTCACTTGCATTCGGCACGGAGTTTTTAGGTTCACGGTTACGACAAGACTGGGAGAAGCATTGCATGGTTTGAGTGGACATCTGGGTCTTTTTATGCGTCGACATATATTGCATTTTTCTTTTCGTCGGAGGTTCAAAGCATTTTATGGATGGACGTTCGGCGCCCGTACACTCTCGGGATGGGCACTTTTTCTTGTTTGTGACGACTTTTTTGCTTTCTTCCCTTGGCCTGACTCCGGTTAATTCAGCTCAGTCATACTTGACCGGCTTCCTGGAGTTCGTTGACCATTCTGCCACCTTTGAGGCTTTCAGCGATGGCGCTTGCGGTGTTTCCCGGTTGCCTACATGTGGCGTTGCACAGTGGTAGTGCTCTGTTAGATTTGCTTTTTACAATTTCATGATGATATTCTTTGAGAAAGAACCAGCCTCATTTTTTGTAACTGGAGGCTGGAGGAGCATGATCGGGCGTACGGGATACGGGTTCTTGCTTCATCCGGAAAGAAGCGCCTGCATAGCCATTACGGTACTAGTCAGGCTCCAACAGGTTAATAGAACTTTGATTGATCGATTGACGGGCAGTCCCGATGCTTCGACTTGCCTCAGTGCCCTCAGACCGCAACCATTGACGAGGCTGAATTCTGTTGGATTATGCCACGCTAACCCGATTGGGTTACTCCTCCATCAACTGTCGCTGCCCTTTGAAGCGAACCTGCACCTAGCTTACTTAGCGCAGCTATTTACTAGCCAACCTTTTGTTCACCAATACTTGGGCCTCACTGTACCGCTTTGGCTTTCGCCCTAAGCTGGGCGCTAGACAGATTGTGCCAACTGGCCATAGTGACAGAACGTATCCCGTTCTAACCACAATAGTCTTAGGCAAGAAGTCGTGTTACTGCCGAAAGTAAAGGAAATTTATCACAGATTTCATCGAAAACAGAGAGCTTTCAGAGCCGGATAGATGGAGAACAGGAAATCTTCCTGTGGTAAAAAAAAAGCGTGTTCAAACATCATAACTTCGCAGGCCCTTGTTATACATCGCCTTAATGGCTACATCCATAACCTCCATAAAACGCTCAACATCCAGGTAAACATCTTCAGAGTGCCAGTCGCCCTTTTGGGATGAAGGTGGGTCTGATGCATGCGTGCTGAAATAGTCATGACCCCGTAGAAAAGCAACATTGCGAAAGCCCTTGTGGTTTAGCCCAGGTGGTAGAATTTCCACCATCGCCGATCCAGGAGGCAGGAATATACCATGTGTGAGACCTGCTCCATGGACACCCGCCAGTATATCTGATTCTCGGATGATCTTCAATTGATCTTTGTAGGAAACCCCGGCAAAATCAATTGACTGAACGTTCACCAGAGGAAATTCTTGCTGGAGCCGCTCTAGGTATCGCGTTTGATTGACGAGTTTCCGCCCCGACACTCTGTTGATGAAAGTCAAAGTAATGTTCTTACTTTGTCGCGGCTGGGTGCCATTCAACCCGTACAAGGTCAAGGCCCGATTGGCGAATGTATCTAAGAGTTTTGACTTTTCGCAAGAGTTGACCTCCCAGTCGCCCTGCCAGAGCGTATTCGCTGCACCAGCAAGTGGCACGATAATGTTTTCAAAAGTTGTGTTCTCCGGGAGGTTGTTTAAACGGACGATTGGCTTCTCTGTGAACAGTGACCACATATCAAAATATGGTCCGTCTGGGTGGTCATCAACAATGACAACTTGGGTGTTTGGTGCATCGCGTTCGGCGATATAGAAAGGAGTAGAGTCTGTCGATTTGGGTGTAATTTGTAGAACATCCATACTCAGTGTCATGGAATATATCTCCATCAACGAGTGCCAATGATTGGTGGCGCCTTCTCGCTTGACCAATATGGTGTAATTTTCAGTATCCTTTGAGGATGGTTGGGTTTCATTATCATCTGAACCCAGCGATCAAGGACTAGGCGTGGCCCAGTGTCATACCAGTACTTCTGGAATTCGTCGAAGCGTGGGAGCCTGGGCGCGTTCTCAAATACCGTCTGTTCCAAGTCCGACTCAGTTTGTTGGCTTAGTTCGCACTGCAGGTGGAATTTGCCTCTGTCGTGGTCAAACTTGGCTCCCTTTCCGAAGCAGAACGTATCCCATCGGTCGCTCACAGTCCGCGTATGAAAGCAGGTTAGAGCCGACGACTGGTTGCAGTATTGAGTTGCCGAATCACGAAGATTGTTAAGGAATAACGTCCCAAACCGCTCTGCACAAAATGGTAGTTCCGTAGGAATGGCGGTGTATTCAGCAGGGAGACTGAGGGCATGTTTTTCTTCGCCAACAGTAGTGAGTGTGGCCGGGTGATATTGACAAGTTGGGATTGGCAACGAAGAATGGTACATGAGAAACAGTATTGTGACCAGCACAAATGATCCAACCAGTGCTAAGCGATGCCGTTGACGGCCACTATTGAGGGCTATCGCGGGCATTTTCATTGAAGCGTGATAGCACTCTTCACGAGCCTCATGGAGACGGAAATTTCGATGTTTTCCGCCGCCGTTTGTAGCTCCGAATCATTGATTCGAGTGGCGATAGATAGTTTGGAACTTTTCTTTGAAGGGGAAATGCGGCATACGTCGGTTCAAGAAGACCTGGCAAGTATGCGATGTTCATTGACGCCGAGTCTAGCGCTGCGTGTCCCAGCGCTTCTTTGTTGATCTCATCTTGAGGGCAGTGCTTTAACCCCACCTGAGGGATAATAGGCTGTACACTGTCAGGTGCAAACCTTGGAATATTGTCTCTTTCGAAGCCCTCCAGGGTCTCTCGTAATACCCCATCTTCCACATATTTGTTGTCTTCTGTCCGACTTCAATATGACTCGTTTTTGCTTTCCCAGGACACTCGTGCCTCTGTTCCATTTGGTAGATTTCAGCCCTGCTGCCTTCATACGATCTACACCAAGCTAAGAATGAATCGAAACGAAGATGCACTTGCGCGTTTCTTGGGAGTCTAGTTGGTCACAAATGTTGGACAGACGGGATGTGATGTTTTCGTGAGTGAAATGATCCAATCAAGGAGACCTGATTAACTATGCGGTACTGTATACATTCATGAGCATGCCTCTAATTGCCCAAGGTTTGGCTCAGATGACGGGGAAGAAAGAGAAAAGCTATAAAGGGGGGATTTTGAAACACCAAAAGAAAATCTAAAGTACCAAGCGCGCCGGCTCAACAGACAAAAGAGTCTTGATCCGCTCCAAGAATGCCCTGGCGCGAACCTCCTCATCAGCAGGGACAGTCAAGCTGAAGACATTAGAAGCAACATCAGACTCACTCTCAACCGGACCCGCAGACAAAGGCTTCTTGTACGACTTGGAGCTCAAGAAATCAATAATGTCCTCGGTGACAGGCTTGGAGCGAACCGGCTTAGGAACCTCGACAGCGTTAAGCTCGGGAATGTAATCACCGCGGGATGTGCGAAGTGGCTCAGCGCCGAGAACCTCGTCGAAGAGCTCATCGGCGGATGGCTTTTCGCTAGCCAAACGAGGCAAGTCGTCGTTGGCAAGGTCTGTGGCGATGGCGAGGAAGCGGGACAGCGGAACTGTCACGCCCAAGTTATCCTGGAGTTTCTTCTGAGCTGACAGCACCGCTGCCAGGGAAACTGAGACGGCGACTGAGGACATAGGGATGGGTGCGGCAACCTTCTCCTCGACCGCGGCCGGCGCGGCCGGGGCGGGAGCCGGCGCAATCTTGATGTTGCTCAGATCGAGGTGGGAGAGCTTGGCCAGCTTGGCGGCCTGAGTTGATGGGTATTCGGCGGGGATCTGGCCGATGTAGGCGAGCACGTCACCCTTGAGGAGACGGCCCTTGGGACCGGAGGCGGGGATCTTGGAGACGTCGGACTGGGGGATGCCCTTCTCACGGAGGAGCTGGGCGACCGAGGGGTAGAGGGGATAGGCGGGATTTTGCGTGGTTTGAGAGGTGGATTGCAGGCCTGAAAGGGAGAACAGTGTTAGCAAAAGCTCCATCTGGATTGTAACCGGAATAGTGACCTCCGCCGTTGAATTGAGCTCAATGGAGCGGTTTTCATTTGCGGAAATCTTGTTCGACATGAATCTGGGCAGGAAACGGGAAACTCACGTCTGCCGACGCTGAAGACCTTCTGTTGCCGACGGGCAAACATGGCCGGAACCTGGCCGACAGTGATCTTGGCTGCCATTGTGTATGTGAGGTGATGTGAGGTATTGGAAACCTGGAGCTGTTGCGCCGCCGATGTAGATCGTCAATCGGTATCGCAACTCGCCGTGGACGCTGTATTCGAGGTAAACGAGCAGGATCAACTAAGAGCCCACCACCACGTGAAAGTCGCGTAAATTTCCGAGTTTGATATCTTTTGATCGTGTGGCTGAAGAGATAACCTGAAGCAACATCGAAGGGTGTTGAGGCCGTTGGGAGCTCTCACCGGCGGCCGGGTCGGGAACATTTTTCTGCCGCATTGCTGCTTTGGAACTGTTGTCGGCGCTTTCCGACGGATTACATCGGGCAAGTGATTCTTGAACAGGTGAGTTCCTGCGCATACTCAATCTTTGGCGGACAACCTGTCAAATCTCGCCGGAGACTATCCGTGCCAATTGATTGTGTTTAATGGACCCAATGGCCTTACTAACCTGAGCCTCGACAGGACCGCGCAACCATGTCCGTCAGACCACCCACCTTATCAATATTCTGGCAACAATGCCTGAGAAGCCCAGTGCAGACTGGCTTTCGAATGAACCCGAAATCGTCATGGCGTTTCTTCAATTCTAGTGCGCCTCAGCAGAAGGCCAAGGGAGTGCCCAGAACTGTCGACTCCCCATGGCAAGCCGCAAGCCCGTACGGCAACAAGAGCCCCCGTGCCCTTGCAAAGCTTCAAGCGAAGGTCCTACAAGCCGGAGAAGTACTCCTGTTCAAAGCTCCTTCCCATCGCCCATATATCATCACCGCATATGGCCTGTCCGCATTTTGCTTCGCTTATGCCATCTATAACTCAAATGCGGTCCTTTTGGATCCTTTGATCCCCCTTCCGATGTGGCAGAAATCGCTATTCGGCGGTATCTGTATCATGATGAGTTTCGGAGGCACCCTGTTCATCGCCCGAACCGGCGCACTGGTCAGGAATATCAAGGCGGTCAACTCTAATGGTCGTATGCGTGTTCAATTCACAGTCCGGAGCATGATGCCTTTCAAGAAGCCTTATCAGGTCGAAGTCGCGCCAGGCGATCTCTCTTTCAAGCGCAGGATCTCCGTCTCTCCGGAAACCATGCAGCGGTACGAGGAGGACAGCACTAGACTTGGCCGTGGGTTGGAGACGAAGTCAAGTGTCTTCGGGACCATCAGGTCCATTCCGCGGCGAGCCTTCCAGTCTGTTCGTCAGCTTTTCACCAACGAGGACTTCATCATTGTGCAGCTGGCAGGTCACAAAACCCACTTCCGTCTGGACGCCAATGGGTATATCGCTGATGACCTCCTGTACTTTGGACGCATGGTGAATGTCAAATTGCCATTTAGAGATTAAGCAATGACTCCTGTCCAAGTCTCAGCGGTCTGTCATGTTTTGTCTACCTCATCTCTGTACATCATTCTGGCCTTGTCTCTTGTATAGCCTTACAACCCTTGTACCATTACCAAGAAGCACGATTTCAAATAAGAAACACCGTAAGCTGTACCAGAAGTGTATTTATAAGTAATTACCCCTATAATATGCAGCGATATAGTGTCTTTGCTCTACGCTGCGTACATCATTAGTTTGGGAGCCACGTGATTGGCCCGGCGCGCGCGCGTTTTGGGTGGACGCGGTTCACCCGCTATCGCGCTCCTCCCACATCTTGCCCACGGCCTCAGTCTTTTGTTTTATTAACAGCGTTTCTTGAATTTTTCAGCGCGTCGTTCCCTCAGGGAAGCCGCCGGCAAGATGGGCAAACTCATTCGCTTGGAGCTTTTCAGTATGTACGGCCGCAAACTGCACTAGAAACACCTACTAACTTTTGCGGCTAGACTTCAAGTCCTACAAGGGACATCATGTGCTACTATTCGGAGATGCGTATTTCACATCAATCATCGGACCGAATGGTTCGGGCAAGTCAAATTCGTAAGTGACCCTTGGCCGGAGCCTTACGAGTTCTTAGGCTGACGCGCATCAGTATGGATGCCATCTCTTTCGTTCTAGGAATCAAATCGTCGCACTTGCGGTCAACCAATCTCCGCGATCTCGTGTACCGTGGTCGTGTCTTGCGCCATTCCAAAGTCGATGGAGAGCCCGCAGCCGATGGCCAGGAAGGCCAGGATGACGAGCAAGAGGAGGAGCCGGAGAACATGGACGCTTCCCAAAATGCCCCGAACGACCCGAAATCCGCTTGGGTCATGGCAGTCTACGAAGACGATGCAGGTGAAGAACAGCAATGGCGCCGGTCAATCACCAGTCAGGGTGTCAGTGAATACCGCATCAACGACAAGATCGTGACCGCCCACCAATACAACGAGGCGCTGGAGGACGAGAACATTCTGATCAAGGCTCGAAACTTCCTCGTGTTCCAGGGTGATGTCGAGGCGATCGCATCCCAGTCGCCGAAGGACCTTACTCGACTGATCGAGCAGATCTCCGGCAGTCTCGAGCACAAGGCCGACTACGAAAGGCTCAAGGCTGAGGCGGAGGAAGCCGCAGAGCAGCAAACTATCCAACTCAACCGCCGACGGGGTATCAACTCTGAAGTCAAGCAGTATCAAGAACAGAAGCGAGAGGCGGAGAACTACGCTAAAAAGGCCGAAGAACGCGACCAGGCCATTATTACCCACATTCTGTGGAAACTGTTCCACTTCCAGCGCCTGATTGATGACTCCAGTGCGGACATCCAGAAATACCAAGATGAGCTCAAGGAATACCGCCGTGGCGTTGAAAAATACGAAAAAAATGTCGAAGACGCCAAGAAAGACCATGCTCAAGTCGGCAGAGACGTCGGTAAGGCTGAGAAGAACATCACGAAAAAGGAGAGGGAGATTGAAGAGCTCAACAACTCCCTTGTGCCTGTGAATGAGAAGATCGACATCACGCAGAAAAAGGTTGAGAGGTACTCTTCCAAGATTGCTGAGATCGAGAAGGAGCGCATATCACAGTCGAACAACGGCAAGCAATTAGAGAAGGACCTCAAGCTTGTCGAGAAAGCCCAGGCCCAGTGGGAAGCAGAGTGGCAGAAGACCATGAGCAAAAAGGGTGGCCAGTTGAGCGAAGCAGACCAACAGGAGTACTACAAGCTCAAAGAAGAAGTCAATCGTCGTTCATCGGCCGATTCCTTGAATCTTGATAACTTGCGTCGGCAGCGGAAGACCGAAGCTGAAGCAGTCAACAGCTTGAAGGGCAAGTTCCAGAATACCGAATCGCAGGTGAAGACTGTTGAGTCTGAAGTGCAGAACATGACTGAACGTAAGGTGTCTCTTAATGAGACTATCAAATCCACATCCAAGGACATGGAGCGGAAGAAGAAGGAACTCAATGCCTTGACTTCCGAGCGTCTCAAGGTCTCGCAGATGCGGACAGAATTGGAGGAGAAGCTTCAAGTTGTGTTGAAAAAACTTCTCGAAGCCGACGATGGCAAGAAGCAGACCGAACGCGAACTTCGTGCCAAGGAACTGATCTCGACCTTGAAGCGCATCTTTCCTGGTGTCAAGGGCCGAGTCAGTGATCTCTGTCGTCCAAAGCAGAAGAAATACTCCGACGCAGTCAGCACCGTGCTAGGTCGACACTTCGATGCCATCGTTGTTGACAACGAGAAAACTGCCAAGGAGTGCATTCAGCACTTGCGTGACCAGCGAGCAGGCCAGGCTACGTTCATTCCGCTCGAGACCATCCAGGTCAAGGCCTTTAATTCGAACCTGAAGGGCATGCATCGCGGCATGCGCCCTGCCATTGAGACCGTTGACTATGATGACTCTGTCGCCCGAGCAATCAGCTATGCCTGCGGCAACTCCATTGTCTGTGATGATCTTGCGACGGCCAAGTATCTCTGCTACGAGAAAAACGTTGACGCCAAGGCGGTCACCCTCGATGGAACCGTCATACACAAGGGCGGTCTCATGACTGGTGGACGTGGTCCTCAGCAGAATTCCAAGCGCTGGGAAGATTCCGAAGTGGAGAACCTGTATAAACTGAAGGAGAAACTCATGAACGATCTTACCACGCTCCCCAAGAGTCACCGTCGAGGTTCTGAAGAAGAGACCCTGCAGGGTGAGCTCGTCGGTCTCGAGCAACGCCTCAATTATTCCCGTGACGAACTGAAGGCCCTCGAGAGGAATCTTGAGAGTAAGCGCAACGAGCTGGACTTCGTCAAACGCCAGCTGGAGGACCTCCGACCCAAATACACCGAGCGAAAGGAGACCCTCGATGAGCTCGATTCTACGATTGAGACGTCCCAAGCTTCGGTCAGCACTGTCGAGGATGAGATCTATCGCAGCTTCTGCAAGCGCTTGGGATACGACGACATCCGCGAATACGAGGCCCAACAAGGCTCTTTGCAGGAAGAGGCCGCACAGAAGAAGCTCGAGTTTACAACCCAAAAGAGCAGAATCGAGAACCAGCTCAGCTTCGAGAAACAACGCATTCAAGCTACCGAGGACCGTGTCAACGGCCTCAAGGCTCAGTTCGAGCGTGACCAAACTCTGATCAAGGAGTTGCAAAGCCAGCAAGAAAAGATTCGCAACCAGCTCGATGAATTCGAAGCGGAACTAGAACTCCTTCGCGAGGCCCTCGATAAACAGAAGGCAGTCTACGCCCAGTCAGCTGAGAATTTGGCGGAGCAACGTCGTGAACTCCAGAAGCGCAGCAAGCACGTCGAAGCGGCGTTGAATAATGTCAACGCGCTTGAGGCGGAGATACAGAGAAACTCTTCAAGTCGTTATGCTCTTCTGCGTCGCTGCAAGCTCGAAGACATCGATATTCCTTTGACCGAATCTTCTAATCCCCTCGACAAGCTCCCCATTGATGATCTCGTGCAAGCCGTCGACCCTGACGCCATGGATGTGGACGGAGGAGATGAACTCGACGAGTCTCCAATCCTGCACGATTACGGTATCGATGTTGACTTCGATTCTCTAGGCGAGACCCTGAAAGAGGTTTGTTCTTTATTCATGTCTCCAACATCCCATCCACTAACACAAATCTCCAGGAGGCCGACGACAAACTCGAAGACGAACTCCTAGAAAAGGTCCGCGTCCTCAACAACGAACTCGACAAAATGGCACCAAACGCCCGCGCCATGGAACGCCTCGAAAGCGTCGAAAACAAACTCCGCAGCACAGAAAAGGACTTCGAAGACGCCCGCAAAGCAGCCCGAAAAGCCAAAGAAGAGTTCGAAACCGTCATGAAGACCCGCTCCGATCTCTTCAACAAAGCATTCACCCACATCTCCGAGCAAATCGGTCCAATCTACCGCGAACTCACCCGTTCCGCCAACTACCCTCTCGGAGGCCAAGCGTAAGCCCCCCTCCCTACCTTCTTGACCTGAACCCCCCATCCAAGTAACTTGTAACTAATACACCCGGACCAGCTACCTCGACATCGAAGACTCAGACGAGCCCTACCTAGACGGCATAAAATACCACGCCATGCCCCCCCTCAAACGCTTCCGAGACATGGAACACCTATCCGGCGGCGAGAAGACAATGGCTGCTCTGGCACTGTTATTCGCAATCCACTCGTACCAGCCGTCTCCATTCTTCGTTCTGGACGAAGTCGACGCTGCGCTCGATAATACGAATGTCGCCCGTATCGCGAATTACATTCATGACCATGCTGCGCCGGGAATGCAGTTTATCGTGATTAGTTTGAAGACGGGGCTGTTCCAGAATAGTGAGGCTTTGGTTGGTATTTATCGGGATCAGGTTGAGAATAGTAGCAAGTCTTTGACTCTTGATGTGAGTTTTGAGAATGTGTTCCACCTTTTGGGAGAATAATGCTGACCTTTTGTGATTTGCAGCTTCGGAAATATACCTAGGTCTGTTGCTTCGAGTGGTGGTTATGTGGACTATGTGATGACCGTTTGCTTTTTGCTTCTTGTTTCTATGCTTCGTCTTTGTAGATTATCGAGTTTAGCTGGACTGTTTTCCTTCATTTCGTCTGCGGCTGTTCATCGGAATATGACGATTGCTTTGTTTGGGCAGTTCTAGATTGTCTCTATGGACCAGGCTGCTAATTGATACCAGTTCATTTACTTCGTTTTTCGAGTCCTGCCAGTCTTCTGGCATATGTTGAATCTCCGGGTCACTATCATTGTCGATTCTAGGTAATCTGCAACTAGCTGTATCTGGTCGACCCTATGAGATGAGTAGATATTTTGAATGAATGATACTCGTGGTGAGCAAGTGTCATGTTTGGAGATAAAAAAGTGTCATTCTTGGAGATAAAGTAGATATGGAGAGGATATGACACAAAAAGCAACCTCTCGAACCGGTGCGAACCGACTACCACCAAGGCCATGTAGCCTCGGCGTCCCCAGATTGGGAAGACTTATTGAAAGCCTTGTAAGAACAAAAAGCACAAAGTCAAAAAGCAAGTGGTCCCCGTAGAAGTGATCGAAATGTGGACCGGGAATAAGAACCGAAAATTGAAAAACCAGAGATGCGCCCATGGCGCCAGGCTCGCGAACAACAAAAAGGAATGCGGCAGTAGTCATCCCTCGCACATTCGAAACAGACGCCACACTTTAGGTACCGATCCTCGCGTTCATAGGGCTCGTGCCCTGGGTAGAAGTGGCCTTGGGAGGATGCGGGAGCCCAGAAGCAGACTTAAGGGCGACCAGTTGAAGCTTCCGAAGTAGTGTTGACCTTTGTGCGGTCAGTCAGGGCATCGTCCCAAGGCTCCGGAAGGTAGGTAGGAATGCGCCTGAGGACGGTCTGGAATACCTTGGGGTCCTTGCGGATATTAACGCTGTGCGTGGACTTGTTACCGATCTTGAAGTCACAGGTGACCATACGGTAACTCTTCGGCTCGTCGCGATGGTACTCATAGAGGCGGACCTTGAGGCCGCGAACGAGAATCCCCCAGCATCGTCCAGTAGCCATGGGTGCGTTGTCCAGCATGGGCATCAACAGGTCCCACTGGTTGTCATAAGCGGCAGTAGGGTCGAGGGAAATCTTGATGATGGTATGCAAAGTCTTGCCGTTGTCACCCTCCTTCATGACAAAGTAGTTGTGGTGGTTTTTCTCCTTGTCAGCGAACTGCTTGATGGCCCATTTGTCCTTGGGGTAGAAGGCGTAGTCGACGAGACCTTGCACCATGTTGATGACATTTTCCGGGGTCGGGTCTTTTTCATAGGTCTTGATCAAGTCCGCAATGGCGAGTTGAGACAGGTATGTGTCCGCCATGATGAAGGAAATGATTGGTATTGATGAAATCGATGGATAGATGGCAAGGTTGAAAGATTTGTGTGAGAGAGAAATCTTTGTGGGTGCAAGTGTGAATGGAAGAAGGGAAGAAGGAGAAGAAGATGAAGATGAAGAAGAAAATAAGGACAGTGGCGAGAAAGGAAGGTGCGATCTAAGGCGGTTGCTCCTTCGTCTTTGGGATAGCACAACTTATGCAAACATCAGGCAGTTAGGTACATAGTCAAACAAGACTAGAGAAGGAAGGAGTCCTTGGTTCCTCTGACCATATGACATCTCGTGACCTCTATCCAGTTGCCCTGAGTACTCAGGTTCTGACTAGTGACTACTGTAGTTATACATGTCCCGGCTATATGACAAGCCAAGTACGGGAGAAATTTTAATTTTGTTAGATACACTCTAAAAGGAGGATATTCAGCCGTCAGAGAAGAAGAGGGCAAGTGAGAGAAGAGGATTGATATAGATCCCTCACTGTTTTGTAGACCAAAGAGAATATTCACCACCCAGCTAGGTCTAACTGCATATCTTCCATTTGACCTCCATTGGAGGGCCTACCGCAGTTTGGCTCTTACCTTATAAAAAACATCATGATTGCCACAGTCAAATCCTTAACCATAGCGGCATAAGCCACGGTATACTACCTGATCTTGTATCATCACTTTCCATTGACACATCCTGGTGCTGTATGTAGTCAGGTCATGAGTTCCTGAGATGGTGACGGGAGAACAAACACATCTCACTGTCATCCTCAAGCTCAGAAAGCAGCTTGAACTCAGTCGAAGCATGGCACTCCTCCTTCGTGAAATGCGTGTAACTCCATCAGTCACGACGATTCATCTGCCTCCCCAGATATTCTTTGAGTACACCAACGGTGCAGATAGCTGACACACTTTAGTGGGCATTGCATAACCACACCATAGCTTTGAGCAACGCTCTCACTGCTCTCAGATGCCAGCAAAGGGTCCGAATTGTCACATCCCAGAGTGTCTTGCAATACCACTCTCCATTGACAAGTGTCGTCGTCGGTCTGCAGCCAGCCCGGGTATGCATCCTCGGGAAGAACAGCCGACACTCAATATCTGCTGCATCTTGCAGACAATTGGATCAACAGACATGCATGACCCGTGGCATACATTGTGGGAACTCGTGGGCTAAGATTGTAGTCTAGCATGCAAAGTAGCTGGACTACGACAACAGGTCATAGTGCCACTGGGAAGGGCCAAGATCCCGGTGGTGCCTATAACGTGGACGACACCTACAGGAAGAGTCAAAGATTGCCCAGCACTTGCCTAGGCATGTGCAGCCGATTACAGATGCCAAGAGTAGAGATATCAAAACAGCAGTCTGATACTAGAAGACCGAAGGCCATGTTTGAAAACCAAGTCATTGTTACAAGTGCCGGGACTGTCTACCAAATCGCTTAGGCGACCGGAAGTGGTGCTATTGCCGACATCACCGACACCAACCAATTGTAGGATAGATCGTACAGCTTCAGCAGCGGGAAAGCCAAGTGTCGATACAATGTACGATCGACGAATCAATGATTGAGAATCAAGAGCTTCCCAAGATCGAGCTTTCCTGATCGAGTGGCGCAATTGCCACTTGGCATTGTTTGACCGGCAGGGGTAAATATCCACCCAGATCTAAGCTCGGAGCGATCTATGGGAAGGATGGAGTTTAGAACGCTTAAAGTTCCCCCTAATATGATGTCTACCAAACTTCCGACCGCCGAAGCGGCTCAGCGGGGTTCTCCAGGACTATATGGTGTTGGTTCGTGCATTTGACACCGAGTTTCCTCCAAGAATCTTCCGAATTTGGACAGATACATAAGCCCTTATCTGCAACCCGGGGTCGATAGGATTCTAGTCTATCCCTTGACAGGCATCCAGGTGGCGACATCTGAACTAGCGCGGTGGAATCTGAAGAAGAAACGCGCAGATAAACGAGAGCGACGGAGGTACGAACCACTCATCGTCAACCAAGTTTCGACATAACCTATGGGCTTTCATCCCCCACATTAGCACCCGACGAGTACGGTGAGAAGAAGCCACAAGCACAAGCGACCAGATGCAGTTGGCATGGGGGTGTTCATATAGTCACCGCCATCAAGCCAGTGATTAGAACTGTGACACCGAATGTCAAATGAACACTGCGAGTCAAGATCGACGGCCGTCGACCGAAGGTCAAAGTCCCAATAATGCACGTCTCCTGCACCGAGGCCCTGAGACCCGGGCTCAGCCATCTGCACAAAACTTGTAATGATCAAGGAATGTCAAAGAGCGGGAGTCCCGGGAGTATGGCCCGCGGTGATCATTGATGTGCATGTGCAACCGCGCGATGTAAATTCTACAGAAGGAAATATATGGCTTAGTCCCGCTACAATTGAACGCGAAAGGATAAACGAAGCGCGGTTGTCAAAGAGAATCCTCTCAGTGTGCTGTGCAATGGTGATAGTACATACTGTAGGAGATACATGGAGGACCAGCAGTGTCCACGTCCACGAGCTGATGATGTGTAGGTTCGTGTATGATCCACGTAGCCACCTGGACGACATCAGCATGAGTACTGTGTACATCAAAGCATGCTCTATAATTATACAACAGCAGGTAACATTGTATCTCTCCCGCCGTTGATTATTCATCTCTTGGGTGCTGCGCTGCTTCCCCCCCCACAAATGCGCAAGGGGTCCCTGTCTTATCCGTGCCACTAATGGAGCGGAAATCAGCCTTCGATCCCCTTGTGGGGATTTCATGTCCCTGGGTGTGACAGAGTTTGAGTGGCTCAGGGATAGGTTCAAAACAAACTAATCTGCCTTCGTTTTCGGGTGCAATGTATATGTCTAGGCCGCGTCTTATCCATCTGAATGGAACTAACATGGTTCATGGAGATTTACTTTTTCTCGCTAACCGTGCTATGACTAGTCATTGACTACTCCGTACTAGTTAGTTAACTACACGCTGTTTAATTCCGAGTAACTTGTTCAGGTACCTATAGGTAAGGTTGTATGCTAAACCTATCGCGTATAAAGAGTACAATAACCTGAGATTCCAGATTCCAGAATAACTGATATTCTCAATCAGCGACATAGATAGGGGAATTATCAGTTGATGCCCCACGGTCTGAGAGATGACTTCAGGAGACACTATATGGACCAAGGTCGATAGAAAAAGTTGAGTAGATTCCAATGGAGTGATAGGACATTGAGGTCCACATATACAATCCTCATGTCAAGCTGCAGGTGCCCATTGCCCTCACTTGGTGATTACAGTAACATCAATAAGACTGCCTAGCGAGAATAATCAATGATCTGGTTTGAACGACTTCCAGTCGTCCATTTGGGAGACTATGGCAGACAGCAGCGATTAGTAGGCCAGTAGGATATCGGGACAGCAGCTAGTTATTCGCTTGACAACGTTCATATCTGATATCTAAACCACAGCCAAGTGGTTGCTTGAATCGTATATGCAATCCCGCCATCTGGCGTCATTACAATTCAAGTGCAGGTGGTTATTGCATTCCCCGTATATATTGCACGACGCCACAACATAGCATGTCCGCGGCCATGGAGCCTCGTTAATCGAGATCAAATAGATTGACACGGTTAATTTATCCGTGTTTGTGTGGGTCCAGGCCAGACTGAAATAAGTACGGACGGGAGTACCCTCGAAAAGAAGCAAAGCACAAATAATGAACCAAAATTGAAGAGACGGTGGGGGAAGGAATATGCACAATGATAGTGCCTAAAGAAAAACTGGATCTTGCTACAGCTGCAGTATGCCGCCGCTACAGGACAAGGTTCTGTTGGCACAAGGAAATCATCGCCAATGCAATTGTTCATCACCATGTCTATGCCCATGAAAGGAGACAATTTCCGGAAGCCGTGTTGGATATTGGGTGCCTGATCAAACCCGTAATGATGGGCTCCTAAGTTTGGGTTTCAGGCCCCCGCTCCCAACAGACACTGTCGATCCGGGACCATGGGACCGATCCTAATGGCGGTTCCATGCTAAACTTCTCGATATGGACACAGACAACTGCCCTGTGGCCTGTGGGTATCGAAGGTTGCTTCAACTTTAGCTCCGGGTTGCTACGTCCGCTTATGCACAATGCCGCAGACAACAGACATTGGAATGATCGAATGAATGGTCCATGATAGTGGCGTTTCGATAACTCGAGCTGGTGCGTATTTAATTGGTGATGCTTGATAAAGAGACCACCGTGACTGAAAGGAAGGTGGGAACGAAGGAAGGAAAAAAGAAGAAAAAAGAAGAAAAGAAGAATTGTCCAGGCCTTCCTTCCTCATAACACCGGATGTAATATCCACATGCCCCGGATGTTGGAAGTAACGCCCGGCTTCCGGGAAACTGGTAAATAAGCTCAAGATTCGATGGTCGCTTCGACTTTAAAGCGGGTTGTTCAGCCGCCAATAGGCGCCCTGGGGCGGGGTTTTGGCCCTCGGGGCTCGGATCCCCTGGACCTTGGTGGGGGATCAATCTGCGGATACGGGCAGAGGGAAAAGATCCCCAGGTCTTCAGGCCCCGCCGCCCCAGTCTCATACTTTACTACTATTAGGTTAGAAATAACCCGCACAGACAATCAGCGTCTGGGCCGTGCGCACGGTGGGGATAACCTTGCAGAAAGTCCGACACCTCGGCGTTCTTGACTGAGAGTTTCCGGTTGAAAAGAAAGTTGACGGGGAATCAAGCGAAACAGAGCATTGAGCCGTGGCTGCAGCTGGGTAAAGCTTCTGGGGACCACGGCGCCGTGCGCTGACGCCGACTTTGAAATGCAGGCATCCCGACTTAAACAATGCATCAACTTCTTTATCAGCCTCGCTTGAGCTTGCAGCACCGATGATATCAGTGGCGTGGAGGATGGGTCGGAAAGACCGCTCTTCTTTTCCATCGTCTGTCGAGTGTCGTGGCCTATGCCGCCAAGAATTGCCGATCAGTAGATGTGATTGGTTGGATGCGTTTTTCCACTGCGGTTAGTGATCCATCTCTTCCCCAGGTACAATCTAGGTGCGAAATAGATTATGGATACAGCAGCTCGCTGCAGATAGCCTAGAAGTTGACTGCCTAGCGGAGACCGCGTCGAGGCAAGTTGAGGTATCGCTCATCTCCGACTTGTACATCCCAAATATTGTCGATATTTTGTGGTTAGCAGTGTGTAAACGTAGAAATTGAGACGTTCGATGAAGTGTTTGGGCTGATCTCGGATCCTCCGAAGGACCATGGTTCAGGAAAAGGTTAAGTGACATTTATCCATGGCCAGGGATCACAGCCCTAATGAGCGTCCGTGCGCAGAACGGACTCGGCCCATCGACTATATCGTCGCGGATGCAAAAGAGAAGTGATACGGAGGCTCTCGTATTGCCACCCTATCGGCGTCGCTGCTAGTTATTTGTCCTTGCATATTAACACTAAACCGATACACATTTCCAGGAGACCCCGATGTCATGTGGAGATCTACTAAATCTCGGGGTTTGGCGTCGGAACTAGCAGATGGTGTTAGGTTCCCGCATTGTCGTAGTATATGTATCTCGTCCGAACCCTGCCCCTGATCGAGAGGTTCGGATTTATTATCCATTGGAAAGCTGCATTTACCCTTGACAACACGGGTCACCATTTACCTATAAAGGACTTTTGACCCTCGCTGAGAGACTGGGCCATTGTGTATTTTCTGATTTGTATTCGCGGCATCCGCCATCACCACATTGAACGGAATTGGTGATCTCCGGGAATATTCATGCTATCTGACGATATGGACGCGAACCGAGGATATGCCTTCCATGGAGAGGGGTTGGAGCGAAGACATTCTGATGGCAACATCTCACAGCCAGAGCCAATGAATATGGTAATATGCTTTGCCATCCCAGATTCGAATGCAACAAGGATAGACTTAGCTGACTGGCTAGTAGTTGATGACTCCTAAGCAATCCCATACTGTTGAATTCCCACACCCACACTTCGCCATGATATATCTCGACCACAACGGGCAATGGCAACTACAAGCCTCACCCTCAATCGCAGGCTGTGAAGGGGCAATCTTCACACCTGAAGTTACAGATCGATTTATAGAAATGACTGGTCAAGTCTCACAGACCAGCCCACAGTTCACAAGTGAGCCATAATCCCCGGAATCAAGTTTGAAGAACAGCAAGATTAATTAAACCTCCCCCCTTGCAGACCAAGCCCACTCCCCCCACTCTCCCTGGGAGGAGTCGTCGCCGTGGGGTCAGACCCCTCAGACGAGACAAGAAATGATTCCATTCCAATGGGCATCGCAGCAAAGCCGAAAGAAATCAAAGCGGAACGGGAGTATACTCAAGACCCGACCCAAGTCTACTTCGCCATCACCCACTCCACCACCACCTGGACGGACCGTCCTTCGTGTCGGAAACCGCGCCCTGCTGCGACGATACTACGAGAAGGCGTTTGAGGATTTCCAGCAACTCAACTGTCGTGCCATTGCGAAGTCTTATATCAAGCTTGTCGAGCCCAGAAAGCAGGTCCATTACCCGTACAATGGACGTAGGGTCATCGCCGGTGTTTCACAGCGTGTCGATCCGGAGTATACGAAGCCTGCATGGTGGCCTGCTGGTGTCTTGCACAAGGAGCCTGATCACCTGCTCAAGCCTGGTGAGCATGCATATATGGACACGGTCGACAGAAGCCGGTCTCGGGACTAACTGGTGATAGATCGATTAAAGCTTCTTGTGCATATCCTATGTGAGCTCAAAGACAGCCACGGCGTTACAACGGACAAATTACGCGAGGCCGGCCAAGATGTGAGACGTCAGATTACACCCGCCCACAGGCTGCAGGTCCTTGACGAGATCTATTTTGTACGACAGATGGAAGAACAGTATCTCGATGGTGAAATCGGTATGTGTCACCCTCTGTCGATAAGTGATTAGCAGCAGTTAATCTAACTCTGGTTCTTGATTCGTTATTGCAGACGCCAATACCATGATTCAAGTAACACAGACGCAGTTACCGGAGGCAATCTTCCCAGAAGGCGACGAATTGTCATCCCGCGCGCATGTAGCGCCAGTACCAACATCATCAGTCATTGAGATGGAGCAGAATACGCATGATTCTGGTGATGAGCTCAGTATTCCCACACTGGAAGAAGATGACACCAAGACACACCACTCACATACTCTTCCACTCTCGCCCACAACCAGCGAGTCAAGTGGTCCGCACAGCCCAACGGGTAGCTTTAGCTATCCAATGGGCATGGTACCATCCGTGAATGTCATTCCTCCTCATGAGTCTCCAATGGTCACCAAGTCTATGAATCCAAATCCGGGTTATCTGCCCGGTTACTACGCGCAACCATTTGTGCCTGAAAAGGGGACTGGGTTCTGGTCAAATGCCAACTCTATGGGGCACTATGGGTATTAATTTTGTTCTATTTGTCTACTCTTTTCATTCTTGTTTCTAACGATCTAGCTCTGGAGTCTCGGCTGGGTATTGGTTCGGGTTTCATCGGGGTGCTTTTCCAATTATACATACTGTTCGAGGTAGTTGTCACCTCACTGTTATACACGCAAAGTCAGGAGGATGAAGAACGAATGTGGAGAACTGCAAAGAATTACAAGAATTACAATAATGATGAAAGTTTTATCTAACACTATGCGGTGCTGTAATATATGTAGGTTTAGGTGTACGTGCAGAAATAAACTCGTGTAGGCCAGGGCTAGGTATGGAGTAGGTACTCGGCAGAGTGCACTCTGATCTCGTGCAAAATCAGCCTGCATACAATCAACATGTCTGGTTGACTCGTTTTTACCTCGATGGGATCAGATGTCATTTTGTATTCACACATGCGAAGAAACCTAGACTGTCAATGGGCTGTTTTCAACCTCATCACCAGCCCTGAGTTCATTGTCATAGTGAAGACCCTGATTTTGACATTCCATCAGCCAGTTTCGGATCACTCTGCCGAGTACTCCATAGGCCTGGCCTATCTTCCTCCATTGAGATCGATGCCACTTTGTATTCACACATGTGAAGAAGAAAGACTGTCAATGGGCTATCAGAAAGTTCATCGCGTTGATCCGAAACTGGCCGATGGAATGTCAAAATCAGGGTCTTCCACTATGACAATGAACGCAGCGCTGGTATTGAGTTTGGAAACATGATTGAAGCATTGAAGCTGAAGGATGCACTATAGAGCACTCACCACCTGAGTCACCTCAGAGACAGAATAGGCTCGGATGAACGGACCAGCAGAGATATCTGGAGGTTCAGGTGTTGTCATCCAAGTGGGAAGGGTATTGATGAATGAAAACCCTGTTTCGTGAGAACGCGCTATATGAATTTGGCGCCTGAGGCCAAAACACACCTGGCCCAAGGCCAAGCCCTGATTGGCCCCGATGACGTCCACCCCGGCGCAGCTCCCCCAACCAACCAACAGCCACATCACATGCACACCTCAGTTCCTCACTTTCTTGCTGGCTCGTTGTTCTGGCTCTCACCTCATTCTCGACTGCTGTATCTGAACAGTAGAAGCTTTGTATCGACATCTTTCTGTCACGCGCCACTGAACTAGGGCTTGTTTACTTTGTGGATCGCCAACCACAGCTCACCATCCTTACCTCGTGAGTTCGACAAAAAGTGTGATCTGCTAAGGTAGGATTGCCCGCACGTTTTCTTCTCTCAGCCTCTACGTCTACATAATGGCAGTACTTCCTGCGCTCGCGCCTGGTTGGAACTGCTCACTGGACAGTGCTCTTTGCGTTCGTCAACACCATCGGAATGCTAACATTCAATCGCTTCCTTAGTCGACCATATCCCAACACCCGGGACGGCCCGACGATATCCTTCTTCCAACAACAGCTCCTGATGGAAGGCACGCGCGCACGAAGCAAGTCCGAGTCCACCATGTCAGCTAAGTCAGTGGCTTCTACGCCAAGCGTGGACGAGCTTGATGTGCCCTTCCCGGCCGACGACTTTGCAGACAACGATGGACTAAGCTCTTTCCCTTCAACACCCGGCAAGCTCTCGCGACAGGGCTCTTTCTCCAACAGCAGCTCGTATCAGGAGGACTGGGAGTCCTTTCCACCGCTGGACAAGCTGACTATTTTTGACCTCCTCGACAACATACAGCTCTCGCAGCGCTTGGAGAGATGGCAGCAGACCATTGCCATGCAGAGGGAGAAGGTGCGCATACAGCGAGAGAAATTCAAGTCTTCTTCGTTGATCGCGAAGGAGCGTGTGGTGGACGAGTGGAAACGCCGAGCACCCACCGCCGATGAGAAGTTGGAGAAATATCGCGCTCGGATGAAGCAGGGCGTAGAGCGTCTGGGCAAGCAATGGAACCAGACGGCCACCGTCACACTCCGAGAGAAGGTTGCTTTTATCGCCGGTGTGCTCAATATTTTCATCAGTGGCTACCTGGTCGGTGCTAGCCCACAGCACTTCTACATATGGTACAGTGCTCAGCTGGCACTATTCATGCCTATCCGTTATTTCACTTACCACGCCAAGGGATACCACTACTTCCTGGCTGATCTCTGTTACTTTGTCAACTTCCTCTGCATGCTGAGTGTTTGGGTCTTCCCTAACTCGAAACGACTTTTCATTAGCACTTTCTGCTTGACCTTCGGAAATAATGCCGCCGCAATCGCCATGTGGCGTAACTCGCTGGTTTTCCACAGCTTGGACAAGGTTGTCAGGTATGTTAGACATCTGACAGAACGATGCATATTTGCTAAACATTTCGTTCAGCCTCTTCATTCATATCATGCCACCAGTCACCCTACACTGTATCGTTCACTTGACCTCAGTTGATGTGCTCAAAGAACGCTTCCCCGCGGTCCACAACATCAAGTATAGCCAGCCAGGGGATCCAGAGCACTATGGCCTCAGCGCCATGATCCTCTGGTCCACTGCCCCATATGTGATTTGGCAGCTCATGTACCACTTTCTGATTACCGTGCGCCGTCGCGACAAGATCGCGGCGGGTCGCCCGACCAGCTTCACCTGGCTGCGCAAGTCATACTCTAAGTCGTGGATTGGGCGATTTGTGCTGAGTCTTCCTGAGGCATTGCAGGAGCCATGCTTCATGTTTATTCAGTACGCCTTTGCTCTGTCCACTATGATTCCCTGCCCAATCTGGTTCTGGTCCAAATGGGCCAGTGCTTTATTCCTCTCTGCGCTGTTCATCTGGAGTATCCACAACGGAGCGACCTACTACATTGATGTCTTCGGCAAGCGCTTCCAGAAGGAGTTGGAGCAGCTGAAGACAGACGTTGCACGTTGGCAGAGCTCCCCTGAAGGAGCGGTCAGTCCTTCTCTTGTCCCTGAGCCCAGCCCTCTCAGTGAAGCCCTCAATGAAAATACTGAGGAGAAGCGATCCAACGTGGATCGAATTCCGTTGCTGGATACTGCCGACGCTTCTTCTACTGATATTCTGAAGAAGACGGATAAGAGCGAGGATTATACGGTTCGAGAGCGGACTTGATAATCAGGGGTATCTCTTCATCTGTTGACAACCCCTCCGGCGGAGTCCTCCCAGCGCTTGTCTTTCGTGGTCATATAATACCATCGTTTATGCCAGTCTTTATATACCCTAGTCGTTTATCCTTTGGTCGAGATGGAGGTACCTTGGCGTCTCCGAGCGAGTTTTGCATCGAGTTGATTTGCAATAATATAATGTGTTAATACGTCATGTAGTCTATGAGAAAGTTATTCAAAGCCAGTCATCCAAGTCGTTGAATAAACACCGCAACATCTATAAATAATAATACCTCTACTCCGTACACGCCATCCTTGTGGTCTGGCCGGGTCTCTGTTTAACTCCGAGCAAAGCCCGAGGCAACATGGCAATTGGCAATAGTTGGCCAGTCACGTGCCGAGATGACTGCGGCCGGACATCACAGCATCTCATCGGAACCGGTTCCATTACATTCCAAACTTTTGTAACCGTCAAATTACTTTCGTTTTGTACTTCCTGTGGATATCAGGATAGCCGATTTCGATCTTCGTTGTTGCGTCCAGGTTTCCCTCGCTCGCACCGAGCATTCACCTTTTCCCCCAACGTCGCCACCAATGTCCGCTACGATGAGATCGACCGGTTTGGTCCGCGGAACGCCTGCATTCCGGTCTGCATTGATCGGTAAGTTGTTGAGAATCTGCAAGGACAAAGGTGGATATAGTTACTGACCAGCCTTCCAGCCCGCAGTCGTCCCAGTGCATTGAGCCCGGCCTCCATTGCAGCCCGCAGCCTCCTACGCAATGGCCGCGACCTACCTTCTCAAATCTCGGCGCTTGCCATCCTGATGCCCCAGCGAGGATACGCAACAGAGCAATCTACTTCAAATCAATCCTCCCAAAACTACCCTCCCCCCGGTTTCAATGCTGAGCAAGCCAAGAAGCCGCTCGCTGAGCAAGAAACACAGCCAACTGCCATTCCGAAGACACAGATTGCCGCGACTCATATAGATGCCACCAAGGCTCCGGGAGTAGCTAAGACGAACCCGGATGACCAGAAATTGGCGGAGAAGAAGAACGCGAAAAAGTTGACATTCCGACAGAAGGTCAAGAAGGAATTGCAACACTACTGGGATGGCACAAAGTTGCTTGCCACGGAGGTCAAGATTAGTTCACGGTTGGCGTTGAAGATGGCTGCTGGTTATGAGCTCAGTCGCCGCGAGCACCGTCAGGTAAGTTTGCACCACGATTGATTGTGCGCCGTTCCGGCTAACATGGTGATTTATAGCTTCAACGTACTACGAAGGATCTGGGACGTCTCGTTCCTTTCTCGATGTTCCTCATTGTCCCCTTCGCCGAACTCCTACTCCCCGTCGCCCTGAAGCTCTTCCCCAACATGCTGCCCAGCACCTACGAGGGCCAGAAGGCCCGCGATGCCAAAGCATTGAACCTTAGCTCGACTCGCAAAGAAGTTTCTGGATTCTTGCGCGACACCCTGCGCGAGACCGGTCTGCCCTTGACCGCTGCCACCGTCAAGAACGACGAATTCACAGACTTCTTCCGCAAGATCCGCACCACCGGTGAATCGCCCTCAACAGAGGATGTCATCAAGGTCTGCAAGATCTTCAAGGACGATCTCACGCTGGACAACCTCTCCCGACCCCAGCTAGTCGGTATCTGCCGCTACATGAACCTGAACTCATTCGGCACCGATGCCATGCTCCGCTACACCATTCGCCACCGCATGCGCCAGATCAAGCGTGACGACCGTGCCATCTTCTACGAGGGTGTTGAGTCGCTCTCCGTCCCTGAACTGCAGATGGCCAGTGCTTCTCGCGGAATCCGCACCCATGGCGTCTCCCCCGCACGTCTGCGCGAAGACCTCGGTATGTGGCTGGAGCTGCGTCTGAAGCAGGGCGTGCCCTCCACCCTTTTGGTTCTCAGTAACGCCTACCTGTACACCCAGGGCGGCAAGGAGTCCGAGATGGCGTCTCAGATCGATGCGCTCAAGTCTGTGCTCTCCAGTATTCCTGAGGAGCTGTTCCACGAAATCGAGCTCGAGGTCCACAATGCCGAGGGTGCTGCTACCAACAAGCAGCGTTTGGAGGTCATCAAGGAGCAGGAGGAGTTGATTACGGAGGAGATGAAGCAGAACAGCGAGAACGAGGGCAAGGGTGTTGCTGCGCCTAAGGATATTGATGATATTGATGAGAAGGAGGAGGCCAGGATCGAGGCCCTCGGCAATGGCGACAAGCAGGGTGCTGAGGCTAACGAGGCCTTGGAGGAAGGCGAGCGAGCTGAGAAGAGCTCCGATCCCAAGGAGGCGAAGAAGAACGAGAGCTCGTAGTTTGTACGAATATTGGCGCTGCATGCCTCGGTTTTGGGCTGTGATATAGATTTCTTATGTTGGCTTTTTGAATCCCTTCAGTTCTCATCCTGTCTTATTCTCTCCACTATGTTGATAGACCACTTGATTCCTTTTGTTGATATCTAACCCGATACTATGGGAAGTGAATCGCATAAAGCAAACCAATCTCTAGTATTAATCCGATCGAATGAAATTTCTCTTCGGGGCTGTTTATACTCCAACCGGTTACATCATCAAACCCCGACTTACCTCGGCTACATTACGGCCCAACCCCATCTTCCCCCAGCCAGGACAGCCATCTACTCCGTACATATAGTTCACGATATCACGAACCCCCTAGCAATGAGAAGACATCTTACCTTCCTCCAAAGAGCCCGCTTCAGCACCTTCCACTTCAACCAGACCAAATCCAACCTCAACCCCAACCCGACCACCCTCCAAGTACCCAAAATGGCGCCCCTAAATGCTGCCTCTGAGGTACGTGTAACTTGTTCTCTGCATCTACCCGAAATTGACCGCGTGTCCCCTGTGTAATGTGGACCTCATCTGCTGTGTCCATTTTGCCATGCAGATTGATCCCTACCTGCTTATTTCCCCCTTTCCTCTCTCAACCCCCTGCTTTGAGCCACGGGTTTGTCTTAAATTTGCATGTTTTCTTTTGCCTTTTGTTAGCGGGCGATCGTACCTGGATCTGTATGCCTTACGGGTCTTGAGATAGACGGTTCGTTTGATTCGGACTTCAAGTCTTACGTCTGACGTTGGCATTGGGCTTGAAACCTGAATTAGGAGAGACAGTGGAAGATTCTTTTCTTTCCGAAGAAAACAACTCTGAGACTGGACCTATCAGCTCGAACCAGTGTTCAGAGCTTGGGAGGTTTTCTTTCATGAGTTCGTCATTCGTGACTGGAACCGAGACCCTATCTCACCATCCTCCCCTTCAATTCCCGTGGATGTCCATCCCGTCGTGCAAAAGCGGCGTTGAAACCCCATCCCCAGCCCTGACGTAACAATATGATGGAATTGGCTTGAGAGGAATGGATGAGAATGATTAACCTAACTTGTGATGTATCAGGCCGCCATCGCCAGACTCCGAAACTACGTCCCCCCGCCAACGCAGTATGACATGCTCCCGCTGAGCAGGCGGGCAGCGGTGCTGATACTGCTCTTCGCCGATGCCAAGGGGGATCTAAAAGTTGTTGTTACGATGCGGGCTAAGACATTAAGTTCATGTACGTTGTTTCCTGTTTCCTTGCAATACGAGATACTCTCCGATAGAATCCAGCCTTGTATTCAGGACATGCATGGCATAAGGCTAATCTTATTTTGGGTGTAGATGCAGGTGATGCTGCTTTGCCTGGTGGTAAGTTCCTGACAAGGGGAGATTAACTGTATCTTGAAGATCTTCTCGAGAAGGCAAAAAGGACAAATAAAGGAGAAAGAAGCCAAGCACAAACAAAGCGATACTAACGAACCCAGGCCGAGCAGACTTCCCGACCGAAACCGCCTTCCAAACGGCGCGGCGCGAGGCGAGCGAGGAGATCGGGCTAGCCGACATCAACCAGAAGCTCCCACCGCCGTTCAGAGTGGAGCATCTCTGCGAGATGCCGACCAATCTTGCCAAAACGGAGTTGGTGGTGCGTCCCTGCGTCGCGCTCCTTCACGGCTACGACCCGCAGACGGGGCTGAGTGCCGATCCGGAGGAGTCGCTTATTCCTATTTTGGACGCCAGGGAGGTGGCGGCTGTTTTTACGGCGCCGTTGGAAGGGTTTTTGAAGAGTCGGCTTGATGGGCGGGAGGATTGGTATCGGGGTTCGTGGAGTCTATGGCATGAGTCGCGTTGGAGGAGTAAGTTTCTTTCTTTTTTTTACATTTGTTTGTCTTCTTCCTTTCTAGATTCCATACACATGGGATTGTCCAACCATGCCGAAGGACACGAGATGGATGTTCAGTTCGCTTGTTTCTTCTTTCTTTGTTCATTCCGGGCAAGGGGTCCTAGCCAACTAGGTCCGCTGGGGAAGAAAAAGAAGGGAAAAATAAGAGAACGAGAATGTGGAGAACTGACAACGCCACTAGTGCACCAGTTCTTTGTTCACCAGAACGATCAAATCTATCGCATATTCGGGATGACTGCACGCATCATCGTTGACGCAGCACGAGTTGCATACGCACGAGAACCGGAGTTTGAGCATAACAGCCATTTTGGAGATGAGGAGATGATCGCCAAGTTACGGCGAATGGGGCGATTGAGTGCAGTGCGCAAAGCCTCGGATGAATTGACTCGCGAGACGATGCAGAAGGCAGCCAAGCTTAGTTAAGGGTAAATAGAATCCAAAAAGGGATCAACCCTTGCGCATAGTCCGTTTGGAAATGTGTACGGGTATTATACCTCGTGAGTGGACTCTCCTTGCATATGGACCTATATTATATTATAAAATACTAGAAATATTAATACTAAATATACCCTCTCTTGCCCTTGCTCTTTATCTCTTTGTCCTTGAAAGATATTTTTATACTTCGAGTTCATGTCCCCAACTCATCCATACCGTATGGCTCCTCCAGTCCGTCCATCACGCTCACTAGAAGGACTAGAGCGAGTAATTCCACCACTCTCTCCATCCCAACACTCTCCTCTCTTCCTCAACAAGCCTCTCCCCGCAAAACCTCTCTCGCCAGAATGTTCGGCAATGTGGAGCGACAGTGACTCCCAAATTACCCTCGACAGTATCACCGCCAGCGAACCACGCTACTCAACAGACAGCTACCCCATCTTCGTGAGTTCCGGCCACGACTTCGACGACTTGGATCCCTCCGATCAACTCCTAGTGCCATCACCACCATCCAAGCACACCGACTCCATCAATATCAAGATCAAGATCCACGAGCCCCAAATCACCGAACAGCCCTCAGTCTCCCTCTCATCCTCCTTCGACACCCAATACGGCTCATCACCAGTAACCTGGTCCCAAAACCGAACAGGCACGAACCACTACTTCCGCGAAAAGAAGTGGGACTATTTCCCCGAACTAGCCCCATCACCCCTCCAAGCCAGCGGCCGCATCAGCCCAAACATGTCCCTAAGCAAACCGCGCAAAAAGGGCCTCGCGCTGGATTTCACAAAGGGCAAATGCCGCGGCAGTCTCGGCGGCGTCCGCGACTCAATCAAAACATACGTCCACCGCACCCTCTCCCGCGACTCAACAGAAACTAAAGCCAAGGACCTCCCCCGTCCATCCACTGCACCAATGGACCACCACCTCAACGACGTGGGGAGTATTCTCAGTCGCAGAACAGACACACCTCCGCACACGGGTTTGGCTTTGGACACGGGCATCACGCGCACGGTCTCTGTGGCGACTTCCTCCAGTGAATACGACTATACGAATCATAAATTCCACCTGCAAACGCCCATCTCGCCTACATCGGATTCGCCGGTATTCACGCCCGAGGAACCGATAACTCCCAGGCCTAAACAGCTGGCAGTTCCGCTTTCGCCGTATCAGAAATACGGGGCTGCGATCTGGGAAAAGAAAGAGAAGGCTGGTAAGCGTGTTCTGGCTCCGTATAAGTCGTCGCCGAATCTGGGCGAGAGTTCGTCCTCGGCGCCCGAGCTGTCGTTAACGGGGAGGAGTGTGTTGTTGGCTAAGAAGATGATTGTGGAGGCGAAGGAGGAGAGGAGGAGGGAGCAGCTTAAGGCGAGGATTAAGCTGGTTGGGCCGGTTAATCCGCATACCTATGTTCAGGCTGATCCATGGATTTAGCTGAATACTGTCTTTTGTTGGGTTTGTTTTTGGTTTGTTTTTCAGCACGCACTTCATGACCTCTACGACTATCATCTATCTATACCCGTTGCTTTTAATTGTGCGCTTTGTTTGGAATCTGAGATCTACTGTCTTTTCCATTTGGATTTTGTCAGTTAACTACAATCTTTGATATCTCTCTTTCCTTGTCTCTCTTTATAGAGTCTTCGCTATTATCTAGCAAGTACGTTTTCCGTGCCTTGATTCAAACATCAATGCCGATACTGAACCAGCTACATGAACCCCATACACCAGTGATACATGTCCCTGCACAAGCCTCAGGTCCAGAACATGTACATACGCATTTGCATACATACCGCACAGACCCTACAGCCACCTGCTGCAAACTGCAAACTGCAAACTACACTGCCATATGATCACCACTAGGTACCGGGGCCGACCCAATCCAGTCGGGTTTCAGACACGTCCACCCGACAGTCGCTTAACAACAACACTCGACTCCGATTCGATACCGACAGCTCTGATGCTGATGTGAGTTGGTGTTGAATGTTTGGTTGGTTCTACTAGAGATCTGGACTGGACTGAATAAGTAATTTATAATTCCAATGTTCAAATGGTTGCGAAATAGTATAGGCGTGTATCCTAAAGCTGTTTACATGTAAATCATAAGAAAATATCAGCTCAGGTAAGTTGTCGGTGCTAGATGAACCCGGGTACTGGCATAAGACACGTTGACATTCACTAGTTCACCACTTGACCTGAGCCTTGAAAACTAATCTCCCACGCAATTGAATTCGTCACCGACATTTCCATTAACCTAGTACGCAGTACCAAGGAGACAGAGACGGTTTGTAGCTGCAGGTCACAGGTACCTACAGTTCTGCAGCGCTAGCGCCAGTGTGTCTTGCGTCAATAGTGGATTCCAAGTTTTTTCTAACACTGGATAACTCAGAAGAAGGGAGAAGGAGGTGATAGATCATAAGTCTTAGGATCTAGAATCTTGACCTCATACTGCATTGGGTATGTGGAGGGTGTTTGGTCTGTGATATGTCATTTGGTGTTTGGATCGCTTGGAATGACTGTGGATCTTTGCAGAAGTTAGAAGGGCGCTTGTTTGATACTGAGTTCGATCTTCCGGGAAGGTTTCCATATGGTTTGCAGGTGGCGTTTATGGTGATGCGGTGGGTTCTATCTGAGGACTTGGTATATTTGACAGGTTGATGAGATGGATGGATGGAGTTGAGAATACTGTGTAGTATGGGATGGAAGTTAGGGTTTAGGATGTCAGCTACTATGACCTCATGTGAAACATGACGGTAAACCAAGTAATCGTCTTACTCTTAACTGTTTATCTAGTAAAAGGTCTTCGACTAAAGAAATGGCATAGTGCTTGGAGATATGTGAAGAGGTTCATCGTCGCTCCAATGCCAAGACGATTCCCGCGATTCACCGGAGTTTCGCTTCGGGTCGTACGTAGTACGGGCTGTCAATTGCTCGACATTTCTGACTTCAACTCCTCAATCCTCGTCTCCCTCTTGTCCTGTACTTTATCTGTATACGCCCACTTCTGTATATCCCCCTGCACTATGGCACAAACCCAAATTACGCCCCGCTATCTGTCCGGCGATAAGGCCGGCATCCAGGAGTTCCTGGCCAAGTTCGATGTGAGTAGACCCGATAGCAACGGGAGATGTCACCTAACTGTATCGCAGGTATTCCTCTTCGATTGCGACGGTTTGATCTTCCCCCTCTATCTCGGCTTTCCTCCGTCCACTCCCCCGCAATGACTCCCCGTGACTCCCCGCGTCGCAACACCAGCTGAGATATCATATAGGCGTGCTGTGGTCCGGAGATCACCTCTTTCCAGGAACGGTCGAGACACTAGAGCTTCTCCGAAATAATGGTACACATGAGATATCCGCACAAAAACTGCATGACAAAATTACAGAGTTGACCCTTCGCAGGAAAGCAAGTCGTCTTCGTGACGAATAACAGCACCAAGTCGCGCGCAGACTACCGCAAGAAGCTCGAAGGCTTGGGCATCCCCAGTACAGTAGTAAGTTACAAAGTCCGAATCGATCCAGACCTACCAACTCACAAGCAAACAGGAAGAAATCTTCTCCTCCTCATACAGCGCCTCGATATACATCTCCCGCATCCTGCAGCTCCCAGCCAACAAACGCAAAGTCTACGTCGTCGGCGAAACCGGCATCGAACAAGAGCTCCGATCCGAGAACGTCCCCTTCATCGGCGGCACAGACCCCGCATTACGTCGCGACGTGACAGCCGAAGACTACAAGAAGATCGCAGCGGGCGATGAATCCATGCTGGACCCGGAAGTGGGCGTCGTGCTCGTCGGTCTCGATTTCCATATCAACTATCTCAAGATAGCGCTGGCTTTCCATTACATCAAGCGCGGAGCAGTGTTCCTCGCCACGAATATTGATTCCACGCTGCCGAATTCCGGGACGCTCTTCCCTGGTGCTGGGTCGATGAGTGCGCCGCTGATTATGATGTTGAATCAGGAGCCTGTTGCGCTTGGAAAACCGAGTCAGGCTATGATGGATTCTATTGAGGGGAAGTTCAAGTTTGATCGCAGTCGTGCTTGCATGGTTGGGGATCGGGCTAATACGGATATTCGCTTTGGGTTGGAGGGGAAGCTGGGTGGTACCCTTGGTGTGTTGACGGGTGTTTCTTCTAAGAAGGACTTTGTTGAGGGTGATGTTAGGCCTCATGCTTACTTGGATAAGCTTTCGGATCTGCTAGGCTAGAGGGTCAGTATATGCATTGGAGCCGGTAGATGTTGACATCAGATGAATACGCATACAGAGTTCATACAAGCTCAAGACATAACCCTCTCCACACAACCATCCAACGAAGGCTTCTCCAAATCAAACCCATTCAAATCCAAAAAGAGATTATAATTTGACGCAGAGACATATTCAAGCGTCTCAGGAGTCAAAGCCACACTCCCTTCCATCGTTCCCTCCGTATCGACGCTCTGTCCACCAACAAAAGACGTAGCCGTAGCAGGTGATCCATACCCCATGCTCTCCTCACTATTCATATCATCAGACATATTCCCACAGTCAACATGATCGTCATGCTCTTCGAGAATATTGTCCCCGGGGTTCGGAATTCCCGTATACGTTGACAGCGAGTTATGCAAGATAATAACCTCAGCCAAAATATCCGCAGCCTGCATCAATTTCTCCAAGCATTTATCGTGAAACTGCCGAATACCGAATTTACCAGGTTTAGCCCGCTCGCCTCTCGAGATGTCCTGTAATCGGCTCCGAACGTCTGGCGACATCAGCTCCATCCATCGAGCGACCTCCTCACCGCGATTTAATAATCGGTCAATCTGGGGTCGATGTCTTATAGTCTGAGCAGAACGTGTAGACCCGCTGTGTGACATCCTCCTTGCTTTTTGCGACAAGCCAGCGCTGGTGTCACTGAATTGTGCGTGGTCTCCGGACAGAGCAGACAGATCCGTGTGAGGCGGATGCGACGAGACATTGCGCATCTCTGGGTTCTGATTCCTCGGTCTGCGAGGTCTGGGTTTATGTCTTTGTCTCGCCAGCGGCGCGACACATTCTTTCATGTCGAGTTTGCAGTTCGTGCATGGTGTGCCGTGGTTTAGGGTAAGGGCGTCGCAGCGCACTTTTCGTTTGTGACAGGCGTGACATGCCCATTTTGCACGCTTTGATCGGGGATTTTTGTCTTTTGGTGTTTCTGTTTGTTCTTGGCTGGAGGGAGGTGTCTGTGGAGATGCCGATTGGATACGGGTGGGCTGGACTTCAGGATAGTCTTCGATGGCCATTGTGTCCGTTGACCTTTACGATGCTCGTTGATGTGCTTCTTGTGTCCACGCAGCTAGCGTTTGTATTTTTTTTTTGTGTACAGAAGCAAAAGCAATGGAGGGGTTGAATTAACGTCGTTCTCGGCTCTCGGTACTCGGGAGCCGATGGCCAGGACCATCACCTTCGGAATTGCCGAACGCCGATCCTCTAAGCTCTTCACGGAGAAAGCGAGAGAGTGGACCGAACTGTGTTTTGCAGGACATATTCAAGCTAACCTAAGTTTAGTTATAAAGCCATTGGAACCATGGGCATTGGCTATCTACCACAGTATGACTTGGACAAATTGTACCAGCTCATTAGAACCCTTGACCAGTTCGCCGGTCCGGTACGGGTTGAAAAGGGTATTCAGGGATTGAAACGATGGACCCGATTGAAGTGATTTTCGTAAACCTTTAACCCGGCCATCGGCGCGTCCCAATGCACAACTGCGCTGCGACAATGGTATTGGGCACAGTCTACACAGTAATTTGCCCGAATCGTCAGGCAGACTGTGGGGCTTAAGTTAAGGCAGAAACGCGGGGATGGGCCCACCTTCCCTTTTCAGCGTACTGTCTACAACAGACGTCGATGTACGGAGTACTTTGTACTTCTCCATATCTACGAATCTACTTCATATTCATCGTAAGTGTACGAGTGACAACAACCGTTTCCATGATCTATTCCCACATACCACTACCACTAAAACCAAAGACATTCAATATGTTGTTGAAAAGTGCATCCTACAATGAAAAAAACATCAAACCCACGATGCAGAACCCTGATCGCATCTACCTAACTCCAACACCCCATCCACCACAATACTCCGATGAGTCCGACCCTCCAATGAACCAAGACCATGAACTTTCTACGGAACAACTTACATCATACAGATATCACCATCCCTATCAGGTAAAGCCCTAAGTGTAGCGGCGACAAGTTGTTCCTAATATACCCATGTTAGCGACGACAGGTCCTTAGTACATGGACTCGAAAGCAGGGAGACTTACAATGTCAATTCGGTCGGCAATGGTACTTGGATGGATACCGTGGTCCTTTGAAGTTCCGTGAGCAAATAGAAGGTTAGTCTGGAGGGAGTTAGGGGTATGTACACGATGAAGTCTGTCTAGTGTAGACAGCCAAAGGTAGAACAGTCGACATCTCCTGTGTGAGTGGGTACGCTCGTGGCATAGGAAACATGGGCCTTGTAAGGGGTTCTAATTTACGTTCTTTTGTCAGTTATTGCTTCAAGAATCAATGGAGTAGGTATATCGAGGGAGGTGGAAGGGTGATATGTGAATGTGAATGTAGAGATAATTCTGGACATCAAGGCAACGAGTACGATCTTGTCCCCGAGAATGAGAACGAGGGAAAGGTAAGTAGGCTATTCTTACTTACATGGTTCTGGTTCTGGTTCTGGTTCTGGTTCTGGTTCTGGCTCTGTATCTGCAGCTGATTCTGGTTGTGTTGCTGATGGTGATTCCACTGGCCGCGACCAGCTGTCTGGTCACCTCTCCCACCACGACGCGGGTCACGGCCATTACCAGCGGGGTATTGCCTGCTGAATATACTCCGATCCATATTCAGAAGAAGTCTGAGTCCTGATGAATATGTTGACTGATAGGGGAGTAGGTATGTTGGTGTGAAGAGATGTTGACTAGATAGGTTAGCTAGACAGTTGAATTGGAATGAGGCGACCTCCTGAAGAAAGACTTCGCCAGCCCGTGATCTGGAAGTTTACAGGAAAGAGCCGACTGGAGAAATATCTCTCGTAGCTACAGCTCCACCTACAGGTCCTCCTGTCCACGTGGGCAGCTTGGTTCGTTCGATTTGTTTTGACCATACCTATAGGTATCCATATTGCTGCCGTTCATACAACCAGGATGAAAGAACCCAATGAGAGAGACACAATGCTATTATCAGACCTTGAACAGGAAGGTTATCATCTATCAATCTTGCAGACTGACATGGTTCCGAAGCTTCAAGATCTCGGATATAGTCGATACATCCATCCATGGACTGACTATAGCTCAGGATCAAGTACCTACCATAGTATTGGCAGCTGCGAGGACATGATCGCAGGGTTACTGAACATCGTACGACAAGGAAAAGTCGTGGAAGGGTATCATAGTCATTCCATTTTGACATCTGAATGCTAAAAGTCCAACAACGCCTCACACATGTAGGCTATTCCCAGAACGCCATCTATCTTTCCGGTCAAATCTTAGGAGGCACGCGGTTGAAACCAGGGCTTATTCCAAGCAAATGACCTCTCAACCGCGCAAAATCCCAGCAATGCGTAATGCCAGGTCCAACATAGAAAGGTGCTCATCAGACCCATCAACAAGCCGCTTATCCATTTCAGAAAAGAGCATGACAATCTTGTTCTTCTGGATATCCGGAATGGCTTCACTGAAGACAACACGTTTGTACAGCTATAAACGGTCAGTAGGAGTCACCAGCCACCCAAACGAAAATGAATCACGAACCTGTCCAACAAGCTGCGTAGCACTCCACCCATCAGCGACCAAATCCGTAATAACCTTCGAAACCGCCTCATACACAGACCCCGAGCTCTTAGGCTGCATAGCCTCGACAAGCGAGTCCACAATACCATCCGGCACAACACCAGCAATCTCCTCAACAGTGCGAACAGTAATAACTGCATCACCGACATCCACCATCTCCGCATCATCATCAGCATCCTTAGCCGCCTTCGCAGCACCCACCAACCTCGCCGCACTCTGCAAATAAGTAATCGCCCGTCTCAGATCACCCTCGCCACACCTAATCAGCGTATCGACAACGCCATCTTCAAGCTGCAACCCCTCCTCGCGCGCAATATGCGCAACCCGCTCTCCAGCAGCGCTATTATCCAGCATCTTGAAGCGGAACTTGCTGCACCGACTGGCGAGCGGCTCGATAATGCGCGTGACGTAGTTGCAGACGAGACAGAAGCGCGTGATGCGACTGTATGTTTCCATTGTGCGGCGGAGAGCGGACTGCGCGTCTTGCGTCATGCTGTCTGCCTCGTCGAGGATGATGATCTTGAAGGGTGGGCATGGGTATTGGGCCCGGTATGCGGCGTCTAGGCCTGTGGGTTGGGAGAGCTGGGCGCGGGCGAAGTTCTTTACCTTGTCGCGGACGATGGCGATGCCGCGCTCGTCGGAGGCGTTCAGTTCGAGGATTCGGGAGCGGTAGAGGGCGGGTCCGAAGAGGGATTTGGCCAGGGCGAGGATTGTGGAGGTTTTGCCTGTACCTGGTGGTCCGTAGAAGAGCATGTGAGGGAGCTGGGGTGGGTTAGTTGGTTGCTTTACTTATTGAGGGTTGGGTGGTTCACGTTTGAAGCTTGCAGAGTGCGCTGGAGGACTTGTGTTGTGTGGTCTTGCGCGGCGACGTCGTCCAGAGTCTTTGGGCGGCTGGAATATGTTAGGCAAATGCGCGGTGAGCTTGATCTGAAGCATTGACGTACTATTTTTCAACCCATGGCTGGAGTCGAGTCGAGTCTTCCTTGTCGCCAGCTTTGGGCTTGGAGCTGCTGGATGCTGCGGCGGCAGCGGCACGAGCCTTATTATTGAAAAAAGAGGAAGCCATATTTTGAGTCTGAAACAGCAGGGTCAGTATTCCGGGAGCTGGTCCGCGATGTGTTGAAGGGCTAGCTTGATGCCATCCACTTAAGACGCGTCTACACGTGACACGCGCAGCACTTAAACGCATTGGCCAATAAGAGCTGCTCACTATACTACACGCCAGTACTACACTGTACATACTCCTTCAATGCTGGTTGAATGAATAAAGGTGAAAGATGTAATTTCATGATTGCATGGCATGTCTTTATTGTATGTTCGATTCTATAGCTCGTCTCGGAGGACTGGTTCCGGTATCTCGCCTTCAAACATCCTCTTTTTTGGATTACGAGGAAGTTCTTCGTCTGCACTCTCATCCACAGTGATGTCGTCAAGGTCTATCCCGTGTTGTTTAGCTTGTTCGGCCATTTCTCCAATCTTGTCCATCACACGATCAGTATCAGCCGACGCCGGCGTCTCATGCTCCCATGCGGTGCTAGATGTCCCGGTTGCTGCCATAGCAGCCGTAGCTGTTTGACGAAGAGCGGAAGATATATCACTCGATAGCGATCCGGAAGCAGTCTGTACCGCTGTACTGGAGAGACCGGCAGCACCTAGGGCCGCAAACATAACCCGAGCGATAAGCTTCAAAGGTTGCCATACAAGCCACCAAAGAGGCCCATAGAAAACCCGTCTGAATAGAAGCCAGCTAATTGTCCCGATGAGGATGTAGAATGCGGTCTCAAGATACCATGTATCAGACTTTTGAGAGCGGAGAAGAGAGTTTGCGAGAGTGCGGGATGAGGAGAGAAGCGTATCAAGACTGCTATACGACTCCGATAGTGATGAGATCGCGGCAGTTGATTGTTCTAAAGTGTAATTAGCATCTACCATATCTGCTCGAACGAACGAGAAACTCACCTAGAGTCGATTGAGCAAATTGACTACGGGACAGCTCCGCCTGCATCAGTTGATGTGTCCTGCGTAGCGCAGATGTCACGTCGTTCGAAGCATTCAAAACAAGATCGTCTTGAGTGAACTTTTCCGTCGGCTGCTTCTTCTCGGAGTGCGATCTCGACATTAGCAACTCTCTTTCCTTGCGCTTAGCAAGCTCAGCGTTCCGCTTCGCTTGTAGTTGCGCGGTTCGGAAATCAGCTCGCAACCTGAATACCGACTAGCTGTCAGTGAATATTCAATAGCTCATGCGGCAATCGCCCTGATGCGCAAGTCGTCCAAAGGTACCTACTTCTTCAGTTCCTCCGCCAATCGCCCCGCCATAGAGGCAACCCGCTCTCTCTCGGCCTCTTTTTCTCCATGCACAGCAGACGACCTCCGCCTGTTATCTGCTGTTTCAAGCGCTTCGACCTCAACGCGCAGTAGCTCTAACTCTTGCTCGGCTTCTTTCAACCGCGAATGTATCTCGCTTCCAAGTTCAAGGCGCGCTTCATCGCCCTGGCCGATGGAAGAAGTAAAATCGCGCAGTCGGTCAACTAGGGGCTGTATTTGACCCAGGCATGTCGAGAGCTCTTTCAGGCGGCCCTGTAGCGCGGTCGTGGGGGACATGTTGCGATAAGGGTGTTTCTTATGCAGTGTGACGCATTCACTTGCCGGATATTGAGGATGCCGGTTCGATGTATCCAAAGACAGAAATCGGCAGATATGCCCGTAGGACTTCCGAAAGAACAAGTCGTTGAACAAGTGTCAAGTTGTCCAACTGGAAGTTGGCTATGTTGACGGGCGTCATTCGGCCAAGTGTGTTTGCATCCGAGTCAAACATGCCCCATTTCCTTCAAACCGCAATTCACATCGGAGATCCCAGCTCGTCGCTAGAACTCGCAATCGACTCGCAATTACCTGTCAGACTTGCTGCAGATCGACAGAGACAATATCGTCCCTCTTCTTCTCCGACAAATCTCTCACCGAACATCTCTCATCCGCCCGCTGGAGCATCATCCGTAACCCGACCACCTTTAAAAAATATCCCGAACCTCATACACTCAGGTACGCAAAACATAATAACCAAGCGAGCGCTTGAATAATCCAATTCAATCTATTGAATTCCACTACAACCAGAGACTAACAAACCCATCAGCCCACACACACCTCCTTCCAAGAACCACCACCACAACCCGCAAAAATGACCATCCCCATCGCAACAATAACCTCCTTCCGCACCGCCTACAACCCCTTCTCGCGCGCCTCACGGCCCTGCAGACTCTTCCTCGGCATGCTGCGCACACCCGGAAACCATCCCCGCCAGCAGCCCGACTCACATCGATATCAAGGTCAAGCAATTGCCGCGGAACTCGACCGAGTCGCCGACCATGACGGTTGGGTTTAAGGGTGGGAAGGAGCTTACGCTGGATGTTGGGAAGCGTGGATTGAAGATTGGGGATGTTATTGAGGAGGTTTCGCGTGTTGGTCGGGCTTTGCAGCGAGAGGCTAGTTTGAAGAATTAGGTGTCCAGGGGAGAAGAAGTGTGCATTCGTGTATTATATTACTGCTCATTTTTGTTCCATATGAGTTTGGCGCTTTGAATTGGATTCTTTGGTTATCTTCTGGGACATGTAGAAGGCATATGGTGTTTAGGGTTGGTACGAGTATTTCGGCTTCAGAGCTTATTGTAGACGGGTAGGATGACTACGTAGTGGAGAAACTGGAGATGAAGCACGAGATTGATGTTAAGAGGTGACTGATTCATTGAGTATCCCGGTTTTCTGTGTCCATCCCAGCAGAGACTACCCAGTCGACATTACCCTCTACGCGTGCCGAAGAAGTATTGAAGATTGAATTCGATTTCGCATTTCAGAAATGAGTCCTTTCCTCAGGGAATCGCAGAACGTAGTTGCCGCCAGGCAAACGATCGTACGCTTGACAGAAGGTTTTGTTAGTTTTATTCTTGTGCAGCAGGCATCATTTATACTGCGGCACCTGAAATGAAGAACCACTTGTCAATGCTTCCATCAATAGGGGCAGGGGCCAGGTTCTCGTTACGGGGGATGGCAGCGAGCTGAGCCTGGTCAACGCGGTCGGGAGAGTTCTCGACAGTGGTGTTGGCACTGGTGGTGTGTTAGCGTTAGATTCCTTGAATGCACAGCAACATAGAACTTACAGGCTGATATCACCAGGGGAGGTCTTGCCGGTCATAAGCTTCTCCCAGGCATCGGAGCACTCGCGGATAACATCCTCGGCATACTTCTTATTCTTGCACTCGCCGGAGAAGGCGAACTGGTTCTCGGGCTTTCCGTCGGGGATCTTGTAGATGCGGAACCACTCGTTGGTGGCGCGCATGAGACCAGGCAGCTGGCGCTCGACATCCTCAATGTCGTTGAGCTTGGGAGCGAGGGGGTCGTTGACGTCGATGACGATGATCTTCCAGTCGGTCTCCTCCTCGTCAATCAGGGCCATGACACCAAGGACCTTGACCTGCTTGACCTGGCCGGTGTAGCCGACAAGCTCACCGATCTCGCAGACATCGAGGGGATCGTTGTCACCCTTGGCCTTGGTCTCGGGGTGGACGGAGTTGGGGTCTTCCCAGGTCTAATTCATAGTCAGCTTCATCTGCCCCTCCTTTCCGTATCCGAGGTAGCAAGGCGACTTACGCGAGGGAAGGCACCGTAGTTCCAGAGGTAACCCTTGTGGGGGAAGCAGTTGCGGACGAAGCGGAGCTTGCCCTTCTTGGTATCCTGCTTGATGGGGTTGAGGAAATCATCCTTGGAGATCTGGTGATGACGCAATTAGCATTGAGGGATCAATTGGGTTGGATTGGTGTTCGATCATACCTCCTGCTTGGCGTTGGTCCAGCGGGGGATCTCAACGACCATGTTCAGGATGGTCTGCTGCTCGTTGGCATACAGAGGAATGTCGTGGAAGGGAGAAACGGGGACGCCATCCTTCTCGACGAACACACGGTGCTCGAGGGTGTAGGGGGCACCGATCTTGCGGACGGAATAAGTCATGTTGGGCGAAGTTGACGAAAAGTGTCTGGTAACTTGGGCCACACGGGATAAGGGGGAAGAAATTAAAGAAGAGGGAGAGAGAGGGGCAGTAGAAGTGGGGGGAGCCTGCGTTGATGTGCGCCAAACATGGCGGCAGGCGGTGGAGGTCGCACTTCCCAGTCGGGCCAAAGGAGAACAAGTCATTGGCCGTATTGGAAATGCTTTCAATGGCTTTGTTATGGTCTCTATAATTTTGATACACTTCTGACCTTCAAATTGAATCCTCACGCAGGAAATCTTTTGTTGCGTGGTGGTGTTACCCCTGGTGTTCTGAGTCGGATGTACTGTGTAAAGTAGAAAATTATTTTGATCCGAGATTCGGCATATTTTGTACTGCGCATTGATTTCATATCGATCGACCCCGATGGACATCCCGACCGAAGCACCGACTCAATTGCACGGGAGCAACGGAGCGCCTGTACAATGAGTACACTGTAGTATACTACATACGCTATGTAGCTATCGTTTGACAGGATGTACTGCGTACACTGCATGTACATGTTGGCCGATCCATACTGACATGCCGATGTCGGCAGTGTAGGCCAAGATCCGCCAATTCGAACAGTCTTCAAGTTCTTGTTTCAAATCTACCATTTACGCAGTATAAAAGACCAGAAGCACTGGAAGTACTGCAGAAAGATATTCAGATATGATGTCGTGATCCTTGGCAGGGGCCAGAATCTCTCCTCATTGGCGGGAAACAACTGACCCCAAGCAGCTTGTCAGCTTCACCAAAATGACCACAAATACCACAATTACACGTAATCCAATAACCCACCGCCCTCAAACAGACCGGAACTGCCAACATTAAACCTCACACTATCGCCACTATCTTCACGTGATATTGACTTTTCCATCGGGACCCTCCGAACCAGGCAAAATCCAGGCAAAAAAAGAGGATCCAAACGATAAAACACAACATACACTCCTTTTCTCCCGCAGACCGGGCATGATATGATCAGAACCCTCCGCAAAACAATGGCAACTCTCGCAACAGCACCCACCGCCGCCATGGTGCCTCGCGTGCCCATTCCCCCCAAAGGCGTCGACTACCGCAACAAGATCGTGCTGGCGCCCATGGTCCGCTCCGGCGAACTGCCCTCCCGCCTCCTAGCCCTAAAATACGGCGCCGACCTCGTCTGGGGCCCCGAAACAGTCGACAAATCTCTCATCGGCGCCGAACGCCGCATAAACCCCCGCAACGGCACAGTGGAGTTCACCCGCATGCCCAGCAACGGCGGGCGCCCCGACAAAGCAGTCAAAGAATCCATCATCTACCGATTAGACCCGGTGCGCGAAAAGGGCCGTCTCGTCTTCCAAATGGGAACCGCGAACCCAGATCTCGCGGTCCAGGCAGCCCGCGTCGTGGCGGCTGATGTCTCAGGCATTGATGTGAACTCGGGGTGTCCGAAGCCGTTCTCAACGCACAGCGGAATGGGCGCTGCGCTATTGCGCACGCCGGATCTGCTTGTATCGATTCTTGAGGCTCTCGTTAAGGAAGTCGGCGAACCGTTCCAGATTGGCATCTCGGTTAAAATTCGTATCCTCTCCGATCCGGAAGAAACAAAGACTCTCGTCTCCCGTCTTGTGAAGACAGGTATCACGGGTCTGACAGTCCACTGCCGGACGACTCCCATGCGGCCCCGTGAACGCGCAATCCGCGACCAGCTCCGCATGATAGCTGAGATATGCCATGAAGCCGGCGTAGCATGCGTTATGAACGGCGACGTAACCTCCCGCGACGAGGGATTGGCGCTTATGACCGAGTACGGCGTCGACGGCGCCATGATTGCGACGGCGGCTGAGTCGAATTCATCCTGTTTCCGCACCAAGGCGGACGGCGGTCTCGCGCCGTGGCAGGAGGTTGTTCATGAGTATATGTGTCTCTGCATGGAGGTCGAGAACCGTATGGCGAATACGAAGTATCTACTCAATAACCTGATTCCCGGGAAGAACAAGGAATTCAATAATGCGAAGATGGCAAAGACGTACCTCGATATCTGTCGGGCGTTGAAATTCGACGATCTGCTGCCTGCTGCTGTGCGGACGGATGAGTTGCTGGGTCTTGCGGAGAAGTGGGAGAAAGCGCCTGATCAGCCGGCTGACGTGCAGAGCAAGGAGACTAAGACTAAGGCCGTGCGCGATGCTATGGAGTCGGAGTCTGCGAGGGCGGCAGGTGGTGCTGGTGGTCGTGTTAAGGCTGCCGCGCCGGTTGCGCATGCCGGTGGCCCTGTTCGGCGGGCTTCTGCGCCAAGGCCGAAGGTTGCTGCTGTTAATGCTGAGCAGCCGGCTGTTGAGGCTACTGCTTCGCAGACGCAGACGCAGACCCAGGTGACGGCCTGAAGGGTTTGCGTTGCCGTTTCGTTGCGTTCATCGTCTCTCCATTCTGTGCGCAGTATTTCGCCCATTCCTCACCCCATTTGCATAGCCCTCGGTCTCCTCTCAATGTCTCTCTCCTTCACACGTTTCTTTTGGCTTGTCTCGCATTATTGAGGTGTTTCATGATTTCATGTGTCCTGTTCATAGATATCCCGTTTACATATCTTCCACTTGTCTCTTACAAGTAGGAGTTCTACATTATAATACACATAACTATCAGTTTACTAGGTCTCCACCTATCAGTTTGCTCTACATCCATGTCGGTTCAGTTTGTACGGAATGGCAATGCAATGGATTGTAACCTTCTAATAATAAAGATGCGATTCCCAGAATCGCCATGATGCCCGCCAAACACCCAAACCCATGAACTGGTAGACTGTACCATGATGGTACATAAATTAAACCGTGCTGCATAGCGTCCGCCATGCAAATATTCACCCAAGAAACTCCCAACCTTTTTTTCTTTGTCAGTTTTCTTTCTTTTCGTGGTCTGTCGCTCTCACTTGGCCGCCTTCACCTCCAGCTCGGCCATCATCATTCCCTCAACGACCTTCATACCAGCCTCCTCACTCTTCTTGGAACCGGTCTCGTCTTCCCCTGCCACCGCCTGGTCGAGTGCCAGCTTGGTCTGTCCAAGGGCGTAGATCTGCTCCTCGATGGTGCCTTTGGTCACCAGGCGGTAGATCTCGACCTCCTGCGTCTGGCCGACCCGATGGGCACGGTTTTCGGCCTGCACATCTTCCTGCGGATTGAAGGAAGAGTCGAAGATGACCACGCGATTGGCACAGGCCAAGTTGATTCCGGCACCGCCGGCCTTGGTGGACAGGAGGAAGACGGGGATCTCGGTGCGCTCGTGGAAGGCGTCGAGGATGGACTGGCGGTCCTCCACATTGGTGCGGCCGTCAAGGCGAACGAACTCGATCTTCAGGGTCTCGAGTACGTGTTCAAGAATGTCCATTACCATGGTGAACTGAGAGAAGATGAGGGTGCGATCACCATTGGCGATGAAACGAGTAAGAAGTTCCTTGAGATGCTCGACCTTGCCTGAATCCATCCACTCGTCGTTCTTGAGCTTGAACTTGCCGAGAGAGGACGGGTTCTCCAGGCACATTTGGTGGCATTCAAAGTCGTTGTAGGGCATAAGCTCTTCCAGGATGATTTTGGGGTCAGAGAGAGCCCATTTGTCTTCCTTCAAGCAAGCTTTGGACATCTTCTGCAGAATCTCATCTGTGTAATGCCGACGCGCGAGGAGAGGATGAATGGCGGCTTGACGTAACTTCATGAGAATATTGGCTGATTTCGAGCCTGTCTTCTTTCCAGCAGCACGGTCTGCCAAGAGCTGACGAACCTTTTCCTTCTCATGATCGTAGATGTCGACTTGAGATTCCTTCATTTCACACCAACCGACATGAGAGTGCTTGGCTGGGAGGTCGATGACCTGGTGCTTTTTGCGTCGAAGAATAAAGGGCTTCATCATGGACTTGGCACGCTCAATGCGCTGAGCAGAAAGGAGGGTAGCGTGAGACTCGTCAGTGGTCTTGGCCTTGTTCGAGAAGACTGCTTGAAGATCATCCTTGTGCTCCTGGAAGACGGATGGGAGGATAAACCCGAGAAGAGATGCCAGCTCTTGCAGGTTGTTCTGGAGAGGTGTGCCGGTAAGGAGGAGGCGGAAACGGGCGCGGATGCGAATCAATTTCTCGTACAGCAGGGACTGGTGGTTCTTTAGCATGTGTCCTTCGTCATAGACACAGACAGTGAAATCCATGTCGCGCAAGAACTTGGCGTCAGTCTTTGCCTTGGCGATGGTATAAGTTGTGATGACAACGTTGATTTCGTCGCGTCTTTCCTCAATCTCGTCGCGGATGTGGGCACGCTCGTTGAGGTTGGCGTAGTAGGGCATGACACTGAGAGTCGGACAGAATTTCTGGAATTCACGAAGCCAGTTTTCAATGGTGGAAGAAGGGACGACAATCAGATGAGGGCCCTTGATGCCCTGTTCAAACAGATGCGCGAGGAAACCGATGACCTGGCAAGTCTTGCCGAGGCCCATGTCGTCGGCAAGGATGCAGCTGAGTTCCTGTTCGAACAGCAGCGCCAGCCAGTTGATTCCGACAATTTGGTAATCCTTCATGACCAGGTCATCGGCCATGATAGCGGGTTGAGAAATTAATTGAGATTGAGACTTGCGCTTGGAAACCACCAGCTTGCCATTGTCTTCGTCGCTCTCGGAGGATTGAGATGGAGATCGGCGTTCAGATGAGGGGGTTGCGATGCCGGAGTCATAATCTGTCTTTGAAGGCGCAATGGCGGTAATTTCCAGATCACCTTTCTTTCCAAAGGTGTCGACACCCCACTTCTTCATCGCTTCAGCGACGGGCTTGCCGAGTCCCTCGACCTCGCTGACGAGAGCATCAATTGCCATGTATCCAGTCCACATGTCAACACATTTGTCAACAATCTTGTCTCCAATGGGCTTGGGGGCCTTGCCTCCTCTCTTGCCCTTGGGCTTCGCGGCCGCCTCGACGACTGGAGCTGAAACACCACGCACGTCTTGAAGGGTTCCGTAAGGACGGCTTGAGATGATAATTTGAGCAGTCTCTTCGGGGATCGAGGCAATATCAGCCAAATCGCGAACACTGCAAGTGTTGAAGAACTTTAAGACCTTGGCATCCAAACCGCCAGCGGTGGATCCTTGGGCCTCGGCATCTGAATCATCTGAATCACTCATCTGGGCCTCGGGAGACTCAGATCGATCGGGAGACGGAGCCCTGCGGCCCTTTTGAAGGCGCCCCAGCTTCTTTGGGGGAGCCTCATCGGAGTCAATTGTAGTAGCGCGAACAGGTGAGACAGCGATAGAGGAACTCTCGGACTTTGGTCCACGGACGAGCCGTCGTCGAGGCTTCACTTCGTCATCGATCTCCTGGGGCCTGGGCTGCTTCATTGCGGCCCACTTGTCCTGGATGGTACCGCGAGCCTTGATGTTCTGTTTAGCCATGGGAACGGGTCCTGGGGCCACGGCTGCGCCCAATTCATCATCAGAAGATTCAACATCAACAGCGCCATTGCCTTTGTCGGCACCCATATTGCTAAGGTACCGCAGAGCCACGTCGTGGTTGCCCTTGCTCTTCAGAACCGCATCCATGCAAGTCCTAACCGACATCTCCGGCATGACTTTGAGGATGCGATCAACTTTGATGCGCAGTCGGAAATCTCCGATATCGTGCAGAAAAATGTCTGGAACATCTGCAGGCTGTGCACGAGAGGGCGCATCTTGCCGCGCCTTCTTGACGGCGACCCCCTTTGGCGCGGGGGGATTCATCTCATCTGCGGACCGCTTGACTGCGGTCCCATTCTTCGGATCGTACACGGCGGAGGAGGTTATCTCGCGGAATCGATCCATTGCGGCGGCGTCAGGGCGGCCGGGCGACTCCATGATTTTTTCTTTATCGAGAGTTCTATTGCCTCGCACAAACGTCGAGGGTTTGATGTTGCTTCGTAGATGGGACTCTTCGTCAGAAGACCCACCTCGATATGTCGGACCTTCGTCAAGGTCAAACTTGGGGGTTCGTTTTGTAGGGCCCAATGCAGGAGGTCGGAATTGGGTCCCAGGAGGGGCGATTGAGGCTGAGAGAGGACCGCCTTGGTCACGGCGGGGAGGAGAAGGATGTGGGCCTATGGGTGAAGAGGCCGGGACTTGGATTACGGTGTTGTGTTGTCGAAGGTAAGGGTGTTCAAGTAGTTGCGTGGGTTGGGTGAATCTTTGCGATGGTGTTATCGCAGTCAAAGGAAGCGTGGCAATGGTATCGTAGTCTTCGTCCGGAGGGGTACTCGGAATGGTCTTTATATCTTGAGGCGGAGTATTGGGAACTATATTATCCATTGCTCACAGTCCCAATGCTCATAATCACATTCAATAGAAGGACCCAAAACAGATTGTTCATTCAAGGAACGTTTTTTCTGCCAGAGCGGACACGCGATATGGAACGCGCCCAATCACGTGGGGAGTCTAAGGATTGAGTGGTACGCTGTGTGAAGAGAACAATAAAGTAATAATCTCATTAATCTGAATAGTGAATTACAGGTGATTGGTATGAATAGAAATAGCCCTAATTGGATATTCAAAGGACAATAGAGAGGTTTTGTACCTGTTCGCATGAGATTAAGACAATTCTATACTTCCAACCAATCAGATCTCAGCATGTGACGGGACTAATCATCTCCGCAATAGCTTCCTTTGTCTCCGACGTCAATGCAAACCTTCTTGACGAGGTTACGCCAGTTGATATTTTGACTTCTGAATTACTGCACATTAACCCAATTAAAGTCAGTCCACAAGAATAAGAAGATGTCCGCCCGTCGCCCCCACAATCAGTCCTACGCCGACGTCGCCGCGAAGCCCGCGCCGCAAGCCAGCTCCGATGTGACCCCAGCTGTCCCCGCGTAAGATAATAGCCCTAGCGACTTGACTTGACCCTTGAGGAATGATTCTCATAAGCTTTGGTATCTAGAGATGTGATTTATAAGCTCCTCGGCTTTACAGCGGCCATGGTTGCTGGCCCCATTGGCATGTACTTCTTGACAGTGAACACAATCTTCAACGGTGATTACCTCCCTTGCCTCCAGATTTGAACATTTACTGAATGGATTTTATCTAGGGAGCTCAACACTCGCCGGAGTTACTGCCGCCATCACCGCGAACGTGGTCTTGTTCGCATACATCTATGTCGCTTGGATGGAGGACCAAAGGGATACGAAAGCAGCCGTCGAACCGGAATCAAAGAAGGGCCAGTGATTTGGAAATTCCACAGGACACGTTCACTTTATGGCGTTATGGCATTGTTTGGGATAAGGGACGTTTTGGGATACAATCCTTGGGTGTTGGGATGAAACACCCTGAATCATCTGGAGGACTCGATATCAAATACAGAATGAAGCTATGGAGAAGCTTCCATCTTACCACGCCATCCTTCAGACCCATACCGAACATGCGATGTCCATATTAAAGGTACCGCATATAGAGAAAGCGACCTCGACCCAAGCCCTCGATATAGACAGACTGATACGCCAATATGCAGTGCTGAACAAAGACCACATTTTCCCCACCAAATCACCACCAACCTAGGTAGGTCTGCGCTTAACGAACTCCTCCAAATCCTGCTTAGTAGCGACACCAAGAACGAATTTCCGCGCGACATCAGTAACGACAGCAAATTGCTGCTTCTCGCGCTTCTCGCCATTCGGTCCCGTCTCACTCTCAAAGAACCGCTCCAACTCCTCGAGCGGCGTCTCCATTGTGATAACCTGGTAAATACCGCGTCGACGATTGAACCGCTGCATCGCCGCTGACACCGGGTCGCTCTCTTTCACAGCCCCGCTCTGCAGCAGCTCCTTTAGTCGTGGGATGCTGAGGTAGCCGAGAAGTGAACGCTTGGACGAGGAGATGACAGTCAAGTGGGTGTAATCGCGCTCGTAGGCGGCCATCATGGCGGAGGAAATTGGGTCATTGGACGAGATTGAGAGCGCTGGGGGTGGGTCGAGGTCTTCGATTGTGGCCTGTTAGGTGTTAGTTTGGATTTTCCGTTTTGCGTTGACGTTGAGGCAGAGGGACGGACACCGCGGTACTTATCAGACCAGGCTGCTGTGGATGTGTTTGCGTCGGCTGTGAACTTCTTCTCCTGGGCGAAGGCCTCGCTGCCGGTCAGATATGATGCCATTTTGGTCGCGATGAGGGGTTGGTGAGGGGCAGTTGGTGGATTGGCCGTGGTCGAGGTGGGCAGGTATTAGGAGGTGAATGAGTGATGTTCGTATCAGAATTGGTCTATTTCTGAGTGTTGAGTAGAGGTGTATGGGCGTGTGGACTCTGAAGGTCAAGAGCGAAAGTTCGATGCAAATGACTTTTTGATGTTCTTGGCATCCTATGCTCTTGGCATATTTCCTCCTACGGCCGACGATTGTGGCCAAAATGGAGCTTATCCGATTTGAATACACTTACTTTCGATCTCAGCTATTTTCGTCCCTACTGCTTGTCGATGCTTGACCAAAGCTTGCATATATAGCCAAGGTAATGACGGTCTAAATAAGGAGATGTTCGACTAGAATAGCTCCTCGATCTATTTCCATGACCTCACTCAGTGTCTCAGTCACAACTTTGAATAGAGCCTCGATGAGTCAATGTCTCCATAGATGCACCATCAATTGCAAATAGAAGCGTGCTACGGGCAATATCGGACTCCAAAGACACTGCACTATGCCCATTCCACTGTCCTGCTTCATTTTGGCCCCTAGCCTTGTGGGCCTGGTCACCTGCTTGTACCATTACGGCAACGTCAGAGCACAGACCCAACGGAGTTACGGAGGACAACCCCGAATATCCGGTTACCTATAAGTAGACGTGAACTTCGTTCCTGGAAACATATACCGAGGCGTTAAGCGTTTGAACTAAGCAACAGCCAAACCTCTCTTTGAGACAGAGACCCCTACTCCGTACTTGCTGACACCTGCCATCCGAGGTACGTGCCAAGACCCGCCGCACACGTCACCCCGAGCTCTATGAGCATCACATGATCACTATCCTTTTCCCCCATTGCATTGCGCGCTTTTCGCATTGCGATTCAATTCTCTCATCTAACAGAGTACAGCGTCAGCGTACAGTTGGTAAACACACTCAGCATTCAGCAATTGCCTGCAATCCACCCGGTGGAGATCTCAACTCGGAATATCCCGACTCCACTTCATCTCCACTCTACCCGACGTCATGATTTCTTCCGACGTGATCAACACTATAGCGGCCCAGCACCCGCTGGGTAATTCCAAAAACTCCTCTGTGAAACAGAGACCGTTCCAAGCCTGGAGTGCACTCGATGATGTGAAAAACAAGGCGGATAGCATCGCCAATGAGGCTAGCCGGGAGTTCAATGTCGCTAGCCAGAAGGCCCAGGAGAAGACGGGCAAGATTCAGCCTGGCTCTATGAAGTATTATGCGGCTTGCACATTTGGTGGGATGTTGGCCTGTGTGAGTATTCCCTTCCATCTGGACAATTCTCATAGTTTTGTGGGGGAGACACTCATGCATAACTCTCTCCGCAGGGCCTCACCCATACCGCCGTGACTCCTCTCGATCTGATCAAATGCCGTCGGCAAGTTGATCCCAAGCTTTACCAAAGCAATATACAGGCATATCGTACAATCCGAGCAGCGGAGGGTATTCGCGGCGTTTTCACAGGCTGGAGTCCTACCTTCTTTGGTTACAGCGTAAGTCTCACGGACGACTCGAGCCGACGAGCTACGGCTCGATGCTTGCAATTCCCTTGTATCGGATGCTTATTGTTGAGAACAGGCCCAAGGAGCTTTCAAGTATGGAGGATACGAATACTTCAAGGTCTTCTACAGCGACCTCGTCGGCCAGGAAAATGCGCACCGTTACAAGACTGCCATCTACCTGACGGCCAGTGCCTCTGCCGAGCTCATCGCCGATATTGCGCTGTGCCCATTTGAGTCTGTCAAGGTGCGTGGTCAGACTACCATTCCGCCCGAGATTAGGGGTACGTTCAGCGGCATTTCGAGCGTCGTTGCTAAGGAAGGCGTTGCTGGGTGAGTAGCCAACATACATCACGGCCTAGTTTCCCCACACGCAATAGTTATGTACTAAGCCTCATCCAGTCTGTACAAGGGACTGTACCCACTATGGGGCCGTCAAGTCCCCTACACCATGATGAAGTTCGCTTCCTTTGAGACCATCGTTGAGATGATCTACAACACCCTGCCTGGCCAGAAGTCCGACTACAACAAGGGTGCCCAGACTGCCGTTGCCTTCACGGGCGGTTACCTCGCTGGTATCCTGTGTGCTGCTGTCTCACATCCTGCTGATGTCATGGTCAGCAAGCTTAATGCCAATCGACAGGCCGGTGAGGCCTTTGGTGCTGCTATGAGCCGTATCTATGGTGATATTGGCTTCCGCGGACTGTGGAACGGCCTGCCCGTTCGTATCGTCATGATCGGTACTTTGGTGAGTACCTCTACTCTCACGTATTGTCTACAATTGATGCTAATGAGACTATAGACTGGACTGCAATGGATGATGTATAGCCCCAGTCCCCTTTCTTCTGTCCTCCGGAGATATACTGACTCTGACTTTGCAGCTACGACTCGTTCAAGATCTTTATGGGTCTCCCTACCACCGGTGGCGCCAGCGAGGATAAGAAAAAGGCGAACTAGAGACCTACCGCATATCATTCCGCGCGTAGCATCCCCATCCTTCGTCGTCTCTGCTACGATCTGCGCGACTATTGACTGTGCTCATTTCCAGAACGCCAGAGATATTCTAGCCCATAGTTTTCAACACTCTCCTCTCTTATCATTTCCCTTTCCAAGTAACTTTACTTCGTATACTCCGTACGCAGTACTGCGATCAATATGACAGTCCACGCCAAGCTCGCTATCGGCCAATCACAGTGCGGCATACCCCACCACCAATCGGGGGTGGTTATCTTATCTACGACGTCACCAGTGTTGACAGAAGACGTTCAATAATGCGCTTGAATAACAGCATCAACTTTAATCAAGATAGAGAATGAGCTTACAATATTATCATACAACTCTCTTGGCTCAGGAACCCTAATATAAACCCAGGAACTACTGTGGATTCGTATTTAATACTCTAAATCTCCCCGAAATCCACTCTCTACCTAGACCCCTACATTTCTTTTCGTACATGTTGCCTGAGCTCGATCGCACTAGAGCACGTGGACTATCTCGCCCCCACCTCGTACCTGCATCTATCGCCTCATCGATAAGAACTTCTCGACCTACAACAAACTCATCTTACACTTCATTCACTCCTATCATCCCTCGAGCAGCCGTATAACCAGGAACATCCCTGAACTGTTGTCGCTGAACTGCTGTCGAATCTAGCTTCAATCTAAGCTTATCTGAATATCTCCGAGTTAAACCCGAGAATCCCCAAACATGTCTGCAGTCGAGAAGCCAAAGACCCCAGAGGTGCCGATTGTATCGCACGGCCGTGGAGGTATGGCTCTCCTCTCCTCGATCCAGCTTATGTCCTTTATGCAGTACCGAAGCATCCACTGACTCGATATAAACAGGTCAAGGCAACATTGGCCCGGATAGCACCCCGTATGAACATGGAATTTAACACCACTCACATGTTCATTTTACTGATGTTGGAACAGATATGTCGATGCTGAAATTGTTCGCGAGGGGGTCTACGGTGACCAAGGTGATGGCGCATACTCTGCCGGAGTAAGTAACTCGACCTGTCTTTCAGTCATACATCACCCAAGTTCCCAGAAGATTAACTGATACGATTGAAATTACAGCGTGGTGGAGCAGGAAACATTGGCTCGCCGAATGTCCGGCCAGCTACTAATGTCCCGCATGATGCCGAGGTCGTTCCCGAGCTTGCACTTCGTCCGTCTAATGATGAGACCTATCACACCGGGGTAAGACGGACTTCTATTGGTTTTCATATCTCGCCTTTGCTTTACAGAATCTCATGGCTGACTATTTTTAAACAGCGCGGCGGACAGGGTAATGTCCATCTTGACAAAGAGGCCAAAGAAAAGGATGCAAAGAAGAAGATGGCACACAAGGGCCTGGCTGATAAGCTAAAGGACAAGTTGATGGGACGGAAGTAGAGTCCTGTTCTGTTCATTGTGGCTGTGTTCTGTTTATCTGATTCCCTTTCTCGCGCACACACCTGGGTGATTATTCGAAAGACTAGTGCACTTGTTCAGCTCTTTTCAACTTGAATGCGTACATAGACCAATTTACTATACTCAATAACACCTTTCCCGCATCATCCGGTTATTAGGTACATGCTACTGACCAGGTTCAGTCATACTATATGCACATACACGGTTGAACAATAATTACAAGATATCCAGAAAAAAGGAAATTCATAGGTATCGAGTGGGCACAACCTATGGAAGAGACACTGCCTGGGATGATCCATCCAACAACCCCCTCATAGAACCCTCATGCATCCCTTATCAAAATCTCCAATTCCGGCATACATAGTAAAACTCCGCATTTCCCGTGGATGTAGATCATGCGAATCAGCCCAGCAAAGCTCTCGAACTGGTCTTCTGCAGAGGCTTGGTGAATCCATCCGCCGCATTCTTCTTTCTGTCGACTCGATGAATCTCGACAGGGCCTCCAGCAACCGCGTCCTTGACGAAAGGGCATCGCTGTCTCGCAGAGTAAGCCATCTATTGGCTGACTTTCCGCCTTTCTTTGACAGCAACCGATGAGGGTTGATGTTGTCCGTCTCGGAATCACTCCCGGACACCTAAAGGTGTCTCACCTCGCTAGCGTTCCCGGTTTTCAACATAACTTTCATCTTCGATCACATGTCAGCTTCGAAGACGCAATTTTGGCGCAGGTCACGTAGACCTCATAGCCGGCGTGAGACATCGCCATCACTGAACATCGGTGCGTCAGCAGCAACTATGGAGTAGTACTCCCGCTGTTTCGGATAGGTCTACTCCCATGGAATGAGGAGTCGCCCAAAGCCCACGTCCACGGACCACCAGGCTCTGGAAGTCGTCGGAGTCTAGGTTTAGTCGGACCAGAATGGCGTGATAGCAGCCGATCTTGAACAGTGCCGCACAACTACAAGTGTCTGGGATTGTTTTCCCAGCCTCCTTCATTGTCTTGGCCCAGAAGACAGCATCTTCAAGGTCAGGTTCCCGCTTCTCAAGGCCCTTTGGATTTTCTTGATGAAGGTAGAAGCACCTAATATTGACCGCAGCGGCAAGTCGGGTTGTAGTACACGAACGCCGTCCACGTATCGCACGTACTCGTCCACCTTGTTATACGTAAAGCGGTCGTCGTCGGGCCTACGGGCGATCTCTTCGGAACCGGGGCATCCATAATTGGGGTGCCACGGCGCATTCAGATACCCGAACACCAAGCAATATCACATCCCGCAGACACGCGAGCGCATCAATTCTCGTGAGTCGGTAGGCCAAGTCGTTGGGGCTCACGGACTGCTTCGTCGCGATCCATTCTCAGTTGGTCGCATGGTACCCACAGCCTGGCTAGATAGCTCACTTATGTCCGACTCTTGGGACCATAAGTTTGAATTCCCAAGCATCAGGCGCTCGTTATTTCCTTCGATCTCGCGGTACGCGGCAAGATCCTGTTCGGGGCCCACCGACGAAGTCATCGCCGGTGCGGCAGCGGGATCGGATTGGTGCGAGAGCTGGAGGATCTCTCCTCGTCTATGGAAGGTTGATGGATGCAAGATCGCATGGGTGCCGGCCTTCAACGCCACACCCAATATCACAACGTTTCCTCGAGGACAGCGACGAGCTATGTTTGAGATCGTTTTTCCTCGCTGGCCTTGATGGGGCTCTATGAAGTATGATGAGACCAGCGAAGGTAATGCTAGCCAAGTGCTTTCTGGAGTTTGAGGTGGCTGTCCTCATCTTCGGTTGGTGGGGTATGCGTCCACTATGTGGCGTATCTTGCGGATGACCCAGCATAAGCCAGAGACCTCCAGCTCTGTTGGCCAGTAGTATTTCTCGGCTATTATGAGAGGATGGCCGAGGAACAAGATTGGCTGAATATTGGTAGCTGAGGGATGCGCCTTCCATTGGACGCGTAGCGTCATCCACAATTGGGATCCAGTATTTCTCCCCTTTTGGGCCTAGTGGAGAGATTGCTGGGGTATCGACGTGGAATTTCCACCCAGCATCCTGGTACACGCGCTCCATATGAGGACTCTCTAACGAAGTGAGAGACTCATCGGCTTCTTTGTCGCATGGTCTTCCATTGTACCGGGAGGCGCTGTTCATAGTGTAACCGGCCGAACCAAAGCCTTACATCTGTGGGCGAGTAAGTGGATGTTGCGGACCCTGGGGATTAGTTTAAGTCTCAGGTACAGGCCTCCGCAATGAGAAGGAACGCAAGTCCGGCTAGCAAAGCTGGCACAAGCCTTGGCAAGATGAATGCCAGCACAAACAGGCGCCACATGAGGTGACTGAACCAGGTGTTCCCGGGACATGGGCGGTGGGCCAACCTGGACGCGGGTTTGGATGACCACACGTGTATGTCCAGCCTTTGCCGAGGTGGTTGTGGATGGCACATCCAAGTATTTGGGTACAGGCGTCAGGGGCGATGTACCAGGGGATCCATCTAGATCAGGTAAGGCTTCCAAGAGCGCGGTCATATCGAATGCGCTGTTACCTTCAGCCCCCGCCTCGACGAGTGGGGCGGTCTTGTGTGAATAGCTGCGCCTTCATATCCCTGACAGTAATGCATTGTGAGTCTATGTCTGCATTCGAGGCTTGTCGCCACGGTGTATCCACCTCCTTCGGACCCATATGTACCGTGGAATAAGGGCATTGAAGAGACTGACCTAGTGACGGGAAGAGGAGGAAGCAAGACTGGAGGCAGGAGTGCTGTATATTTCATCGGCTTCACTCTCATCTTGATTCTTGGGTGACGCAGGTAACTCAGCGCATGAGTATTTTGAAGATTGGGAGAGGTGAAAGAAGGAGGAAGAGTCATGAAGAGCCTTACGATTATAATGTGCATTTGATGGAATGAGCATCCTGGGAGGAGTGGAAGAAGGAGGAAGAGAAGTAGGAGACAGATGGCTTGATATAGACTCCTGCTTTTGCAAACGATGCAAACGTGACTAGCGAACAGCCTGTTTGCTACCTAGTCCATCATTGATACCTATCATATGATGCTCTTTGAAGCGGGAAGCGGGAAGCAGGAAGCAGGAAGCAGGAAGCAAATCGTCAAACAGAGTAAGCAAGCAACACAGCAAGCATGTTAAATGTGAACATATCTGATTACCGGGCAGTGGGCGATATGTTCTAGACTGGTCATGCTACACGATATATAGGCCACTCTACTAAAACATACACACGTTAGAGCATCAAAAAGGAGATTGAGATCTAGGGATTATAATGCCACAATGACGATAGACCAGACCTCCTGATCTAGTTGGCTACACTGCACAATCATGGACTGTGATGTGAAAAGACGGCCTTACACACATCAGACTCGCAAATAAAAATATAGGTATGGGAGATGGAAGGACCACACGGTCCACACTCCACACCTAACGTGGGAGATCCAAGAGATCAAACTCCCAACCAAAGACTGTTGTGTTGTGGGTTTGAATAGTTGGCTCACAAGTGGGAACTTCAAGCGAGGTCTAGGTTAGGATTAGGAGAAAACACATTATCAATCCTGGACCATGTTTAGCTTTAGTAGTTCATGATGAACGTCTCATACAGAAGACCGCACTTAGTGGGGCACCATGATGGCCCATGGGGGAGGAAAACAGATACTCCGGACACTGTTGAAGCAGAGCTACCTGGCTCATAATTGGAAGAGCACGGGCGAGACTCAGACAAAGGAACGGAGAGATGGATGAGAAAAAAATAAGAGAAGAGAGAGAGGAGGAGTGAGAGAAGAGGGAGCGAATGGAGGGGAAGGGGTATTTGGTTGGAAAGGGAGCGAATGAAAGGATGGTAATTGGTGACGGATGAGAAGTATCAAGTAAGAGAAGAGGAAGAGGAGGAGGTCTTTGTAGGAATTCTCGGGCAGAACCCGGACTCCCGGAGCCCAGAGAGTAGAGACATGAGCCAGGGGCCTTTCCCAGAATATTTTGTCTCGCATGTCGGTTTCGAACTCGAGACGTCGCGAGGTCAGGTTTGTGGCGACCTCGCGACTTCCCCAGTCGACCACTTGACTGGGGATGTCTGATTCATGCAATTTGCTAGGTATAACCGAACAATAGATTTCCCATTTAGGAAACCGGAGTGCGGGGTGGCAGAATGTAGGCGGCGTAGACACTAATTCGCTATCACATGACATTATGGACCCGCTCACCCGCCTCTAGCATTCTCCCATCATCCATGCAAACACGTAGTGACATAGATGCTGTTAAGTTATGAGAACCGACATTTAGATCATCTAGGGTCATTATTCAGAGCTGGGCCAATGGGCCATCGCCGAGCCGCCGAACGGGGGCATATGTCATGTTACCATGTACGATTTGCTTCCAATCCTACATTCGATCGAAAGATTAAAGAATGCTGAATGACTATCAAAAAGACCGAGAACCTTCACACGAACAACTGGACAGACTGCAAAATCACCTGCAAGAGCGCCATGAGCGAACCAAATGCGCCAAATATGATCACCGCCCAAAATGTCATCCAATTGGCCGAGTTCCTATTATCCCTCCACAACTGAAGCCAAGTCCGTGGCCCCGAAGCAGACAAATACCTTTGTAAAACGACAATGCGATACCGTAAGATGGGAAAGTCATTTGGTAGGTAGTATTTCTCCTTTTCCACCATATTCCAGTCTCGTAGTAGGTCCAGCAAGAACATATTCAGCGAACGCATGCCACACAAACTGAACAAGAGCGAATCCCTCGTGTTCTGTTCCGTGCGGAGAAACGGCTCCATAGACCGAAACAATGATCGGGATTTCTTGGTCTGACCAAACAACAATCGGTAAGAGAGAAGGACTTCGAGTAGAAACTGGTTGATATCCGTCTCTGTTGCCCATTGACATCGGAGACGGCTTGTCGTTGCACAAGCGTGTAGCACGCCTCTACCCTTTCCCTGGTCATAGTTTGCCAGGGAAAATTGGCAGAAGGAAGGGAAGCGGAAAAGGGACATCTCCTTCGTGGCTGAGTTGAATTCCAAATGGCAGGATAATGCATCGGTCCATTTGACTTTGATACCGGCAATATAATGGAGTGCGTATGCGTTGAATGTTTTAGCACCAACTTCCGTCTGCTGTTGGAAAGCGTGATGGATACTTTGATCGTCGTCTAGACAGAGGTTCCTGGATGGCAGAAGAACGCCAAAGCCCATGAGAAGCTCACTAATGGGCTCATGAGCACAGTTTGCGACATCTTGTGTTAGAGATGCGTGCGTATAGTTGCAGCAACCGAGATCTTCGGTGATGCATAATTGCGGTGTTTTGAAAGTTAGATCCAGAACAGGAGAGTAGAGCATGGTTTGGTAGGCCAAAAGGCAGAAGACAAAGTAGCGAGCATAGTTGAGATTCTCCTCCAACGTCTCAGAATCCAAAATATCCTCACCGAGGAGGTTCCCAATTATCCCATCGATGGTGATAGTGCTATCTTGGATGGCGAGTTCCGCCACACAGAGGAATGTGCGAGTGAAGAGGTCCCAGTGCGATTGAAAGGTGCAATGTTCGTGGTTCGCGTGGAAAATGTTGAATGTTTGCGATGGGATTTTAGTTGATTGAGCTTTGAGCCAGCTGGTGTACCAGGGAGCTTCTTTAACATCGAGCTCTAACCCGTTTGGGAGCAGGTGTGATCCTTGGAAAGAGTCAGAGTCATGGGAATTACACGATTTGCTGCCTTTCAACAGTTTCATTGTAATGTCAGTAGTTTCAATGCTGAATGTCAGGTGATATCTAGAAGTAATGAACGATGTCGGAAAAGAAATTGAAGATCAAAAAAGACACCAGAGAAAAGATGGAAGACGGAACGGCAGAGAAATAGTTATATAAGATCATCATATTCATACGCCAGGGGGCCTTTCCGTCGCTCGCTTGAATTCCAGAAATATGAAAATTGGGCGTTTCACTTTGGGCGTCTGGCGTCTTTAGTATCTCCTCGGGCGGCTATGGAAATTAGAATAGGCGACTTTGCATCTGCAGCTCAATGGTAGCGTGGGCGGCAAATGCCATCCAGTGTTCTTGGCTCATAGCAGCAGCTATTTTTAAACTTCCATCCTTAATTAAGCTTATCACTAGATCTCACGCAAGAACCATATTCCATATGTGTATGAAAAGCTTCGTCAATCACCACAGCATCCACGGGACAAGATCCTCAAAATCAGATGCAGCCCCATTCACTAGAACGTAATCTCCATCAAGACTGAGGTCTTTTCTAAGCGAAACCGCCCTCTCGAGATATTTCATGCCTTCTTTGTCCTTCCCGAGATCTCCCAGAACCTGCGATAGCTTATAGTTCGCCCGAGCCAAATGTCCTATGCCCTCAACTAGTGGGAGCCCTTCTGATATCCTGATGCACTCTTCGAGAAGTTGGCCGTTGAATGTCAATACTTGTGGCGGCTTCATGAACTGTGTGGCTGCTTACTGTGCTAGTCCCATGTTTCCCCCTTTCTGTAAAAGGACAGCTACCTGGTAGAGCGAGTCACAGACTTTGAGGCACTCGCCCAAGCATTCCTTTCGAAAGCTCAGGGCCTTGGAAGCAAATCTGAGTGCTTCATCGAGAAGTCCCTGCGCGAATCTAATTCTGCTCAGGAGAACCATATCCCTATCTAGCGTTAGCCTCCATGAAAAGGTTAATCAATGAACAAAGAACGTACCCAGAAAACCTCGGATTTCCGGCCTTGAGAAAGGTCTCATCTGAGAAGTCTTTCAGGGATGGACAGCTCTTAAGCATAGCTTCTGCTTGGTCAGGCTGCCCCATTCTCAGTAACAAGCTGGCCATATTGCTATATGAATTTCCTATTCTGTCGCTGTTGTGCCTCAACCGAATGTTTATTGACTGCTGAAGATAGTCCTGCGCCTTTTCAAGCTCGCCCAGCTCTGTTAACGCAAGACCTATATTGACCTGATTGGCGGCTAGAAAGGAGTGGTTTTCGCCAAGTATCTCTGTGCGTATCTTGTATGCATCTTCGAAAGCCTCCAGGGCAGCTGCAGGATGGCAGATATCGAGGTTGATCAGACCTCGAAGATCAGTTGCACTCGCGTACGCAAGAGAATCCTTACTGGCAAACTTTTTCAGCGCTACATCAATGTATGACTGGGCAATGCTGTAGTTTTCTCTCTCGTAAAGGTACCTGCTTTGGATTAGCAATTGCTTTGTTTCAAACATTGAAGCGACAATGAGAAATACCAAGAACAGCGAAGTAGTAGCTCTGCGAAAGATTGGTTCGCATTCTCAAAGATCTTGAATTCTTCACTCTTTTTCACGATACTTTCAATGTGGGGCAAGCTCCTCTCGCAATAGGTCCAGGAGGCGACCTGGTGGCCAACGTCGGCACTGTAAGTACCTACTCTATCTCATCCCTCATGAACTCCAGAGTGGGGTCATCCACATGAAGAGCGCCATCTTTCAAGAGTGACTCATCTATGTAGTCAGAATCTAGGAAAGAGAGGATCATGTGGAGGACCGTGCCGCTCCCCGAGAGTTGACTTAAAGCCATCTCCCAGACGGTCGCCAGGGTGTGGCTGTAATCCATGCTCATCATGCCCTTAGCATCCACGCTGGTCGAGTTTCGCGTGTATAATGCGAGAATTTTCCCGAGAGGTATTTTTCTCTGAACAATGAATCCACCGATCTGATTAAGGGCTAACGGTAGACCACCGAGCGTTGAGGTGATAGCCTTTGCTTCTCCTTGGTGAATCGTTGACTCCAGGTCTAGCCCAAGAATATTAAGTAATGCTGCTGACCCGGTGTCCGTATCGAAAGGTGTGACTTGGCATCCACCAGAAGCAAGGCTAAAAGCTGCGGTTGAATCTCGACTGGTTATCAGCACAGAACCAGTAGAGGCTGCAGGCCAAGCGTGTTTTAAGACGTTTAAATCTTCGGCATTGTCGTATACGAGAAGCCAACGTATCTCTGAGTCACAATATAATTAGCTCATACAAATCGCAAGGGAAGGAGTAGCACGACTCACTTGTAGATGATAGCCACTGCTTTACTTCTAGCATGACTGCGTTATCATCCGTCTCCGTATCAGGTTTGATCAAGCCAAGTCTCTTCGCAATTTCCCGAAAGCTTTGTCCGATAGTTACCAAGTTCTCAGCTGCGATCCAAAAAGCGCAATCGAATTTTTCACGCGATGCATTGGCATATTTCAGCGCTATCTGTGTCTGCCCAACGCCCCCCATACCGTGCAATGCAAATGATCGCAGGGAGCGGGAATCTGCTAATAAAGCGTCATCTATAAGGGCGAGGATATTCTCTCTGCCCCAGAAGCGGGGGTTTTCTGTAAAAGGTATGTAGTGGGTAATTTTTGGTGCGGCCTCTGGACGTTGAGGGTGGAAGTTCGCCATCAAATTGAGGACCTCGTGGTATTTTTGGTTATCCACTCGCATTCGGCTCAGCTCAACCTCGCTTTCGATGGCGCTAGACAGACGTTTGATTCGCTTAACGGTTCTCTGAAAATCATCGCGGAGCTCTGACCATGCGTTGCGTAGTAAGAACGCTTCTCTGTTTTAGCTTTCACTTCTAGCTGAAGTAGATGCACACCCCAAAGAGACGCACTTACAGTGTTTGTGGCTCCGGAAGAAATGAATCGCACGAGCATAAAAGCAAATGACCTCTTGATAAACAGTAAGAAGGGTCGCCTCCATCTCTGAGTCCATCGACACGATTCTTTCGTAGTGTTTGAGGCGTGGTAGTGTCAGGCTCAGCTCTTCCAGCATATCTGAGACTTCGTGTAAAGTATTGTCCGCTGCGGATGCCAGCTGAGTCCTGTCAGTAAGGGCTTGGAATTGTTCTTGTCAGAGATATTAATATACCGTAAGAATCATTCGGATACTACCCCATACTACCGCTGTCACAGCGGTGCCTGCACCAAAGGAGACTGCCAGTACAACCGAGAAATCATTCAGCAATTTGAAGGTTGGTTTTAATCGATTCATAGAGTCCAATGCCTTTCTGCCCTGCGGCCCAAACGGCTGCAAGATCTGGTTGTCGGCGAGAAGTTCCTCAAGACTACCAGTCTTCAGTATCATTCGGAAGTCATCGTCGGCGACAAGGTCTTCATGATAGCTCTCCAGAGCCTTCTCCCACAAAGGGGACAGCTTCACTTCCGAAGCCTTGTCTCGCATTTCCAATAAACAAGAATACCTTGTTCCTAGAGATGAGGTCAGCTTCAAAAGAAATGAGAATGGCCTCAGGTGCATCGTACATTTCAGTCAACCCGGTTGATTACCTCGTTCTGTGGAGAGGGGTAATGTATTATGTGGAGACTTGCCCATGTCGTAACCTATCACAATTGACAATTCATCAAGGACCGTGACCCGCGGTTATCGAGCCTTTCTTATTGGTGTTGCGACTTGCGAGACTAGGTTGTGGATCTGCACTAATGGGCCCACTGGCCTATGCTTGATGTCATGTAACAAAAGGTCCGGACTCCGGACCGTCAAAGCCTCAAAGGAAAATATGTGGGGACATTATCAGGACAGAATTAGCCAATCAGCTTTCTGTCAACAGCTGGCGGTCGTCGCCCGTATCAGGTCCGATCGCTGTTTATTAGTTACTCCAAAGACGGTTGCTGTTAGATTCCCCATTGATGGAGAGACTTGGATTCTTTTTCTTAACCTCGACAAAGGTCATTCACTTCTGTATCTCCTGACTAATGATAGCCCAGCCTTAATTAACGTCAATCCAAATGGTTCAAAAACAAAAACATACAACAGTGAGGATTCGCTGGTGGTCACCCACCCAACTACTAACTCACCGGCGTGTGGCTTAAGTACGGCTGAGCGGACGGGAAGCCCTGTTTTCCACACCCTATGGTCGTATGTACTATTCTCCTCTACTGCCGCAATACGCCTGCATCTTTATGTGGGATGCAGTCGTATCCCTTAATCTGTCAGGCTAAATCCGTGTAGGTCTGGTGGAATGAAAAATGTGGCGTAAAATCCTACGAATTACAAGACGAAGACTTACATGGAATCCCACTATACGGCTTTTCCTGTTGGTAACGAAGAGCCGGCCACGGTTACCTCAGTTACCTCAGACTATATATCACATGAAATGATCTAGAAATTCTGCCGGACTTTTGGCGCGCTAAACCTAACAAAAAGCCGAGTAATATTATATCCTGAAGTGGCAGGCGGTGGATGGCCATGCCCACCGTGACCGCCCTTTGAAGGGGAACGGCTGAGGTAACTGAGGTAAGGCCAAGGTCCTGAAAGAAATTCAAGTATGCTGCCCAGGCCGCCTGAACCACAGAGCATACAACGACCCGGGAGGACATGTTATTCTAGTCAATCTCCATGGATACTCATCTCGAAAGCTACTGAGGTACTTGCAATATTGTAATACATCTGCTACAAACACACAGGAGGAGAGCTACAACCCAGAACGTCAACATCCGTCTGACTCTATACGCTAAGCCTAGCTAGTGTAGTCCGCCCAAAAGCTCAAATCAATTTTGTCTGTTGAAACTGGGGAAATGAAAACTAGGTTCGCTCCGATGCCGGATACCATGCAACGAGCCCTATTTCCTATATTCTTCGAGGTTGTTGTACGCCCCAGAGCTGGAAAGGTGCGCAGGGTAAGAATTGGTATGTCAAAATTCTTCCTCGGCCCGAGTATATTTTTAGTGTCCGATCGGAGCTTATTTCCAGGCCGTTGGACCTATCAAATGCTCGGGTCGGGATGGCTTTGAAGGTGGTCGGTTCGGCATCGGGCAGTGACTTCGGCTTGGGCTTGGCATTGTATAGTTTGGTCTGCTTGGCGATGGTTAGTACCTCAGCATGCTCAGACGGTATATGGTTCGCTGGGTCATTAAGTGCCCACATCTTTCATCCAACTTTTCGCAAGCTTACGACGCCAGATTTGATCGTCGCGTGATTTGTATCGGCTGCTAGGCCAAGTGCTCATATCCCCATCACTAGCAGCAGTGATGGGGATCACGACCAGGTTATTCCTGGAAGAAGGCATGCTCGTCTTCCCGACTCGCAAGCTCAGGTGAATTCTGATGTGTTCGATAGTGATGATAGAACAGCCAACCGGAGAGTTCTGAAGTGCAAAGGCTGAGATTCGAGGAAAAGAGAGCAAAGCAGTGAGCTGTATGTACGAAGCGACAGATCCGTGATCATGCGGCGATGCCAGTATCGTTATCGTTATCGATAAAGGCCTCCACGATTGGAAAACCAAATATGAAGCACGTGTGCTTCATAGTTCATCTTGTCAACAACTCTCCTCTTGACTTTCGACATACCACTCACTGCTTTGCCTCTTTCTAACTTCTCGTCGATTGTCAGACTTTGATATCATGCCATCTTCAGGGAATACCCCAGTTATGATCCCCATCACTGCTGCTAGTGATGGGGATATAAGCACTTGGCCTAGCAGCCGATACTCCCCACGCGACGATCAAATCTGGCGTCGTAAGCTTGCGAAGAGTTGGATGGAAGATGTGGGCATGCACGAAGAAGGTGAGTCGTCTCAGATGCTCTGGTATAATAAGTTACTGTCCATGTTCTTGTGGCTTGTTTTTTGCGTTTGCTTCTTGTTATGCGCATTGTTACGCGCACACACGGCCGGGTTGCTGCGGCTTATGCTCTGTCCGGCTGTTGTGTTGCCCTTTGTCTTTTGTCTTTCCACCTCCATCCTCTCCTCGCACTTTGAAAGTTTCGTGTCTCTACTTCCTTGCTGACAAGGAACATCAAAGGAGTGACTCATATTATTGAGAAGTTGCCAGACGGATACCGCCTGTTCGAGCTGCCTCGTTCTAGCGCCCCCGCAGTGAGTCTCCCTGAGTTTGATAACTTAGTTCTAGCTAACGGACTTGTGGAAACGTGATTCTTATCTATTCGGACATCCGAGTGGAAAGCCTTTTGACTCGAGTGTTACGTTCTTCCCCCACTTTCTGGCAATAGTCAACGCAACAATCGACAGCTGCCCGTGTAAGCCGTGTGCGGCTTACAAAAAGATGAAAGAAAGGGGCTCAGTTTCGGAGCCAGTGGCAGGGACCGCTGTGCCGACTCCATGTGAGTACTCATTACCCCAGTGGAGCACATCATACACTAACAAGCCCCCGAGCCGACAATACGCGCCAACCCACTGACGCCGAAGTCCCAGACTTCTGGCGAACGTATGTCGTGAAACTGCTAGAGAATGGCGAAATTGACGAACCTGTTCGGGAACCGGTCAGTTTCGACAGCGTTCTGGCTCACAGATGGATTCCTCGTTACGGTATGAAACTGAGCAGTGATCCTGCCTACCTCCCGCGATGCGGTGAGCTTGTTCTCTGGATCTGTGACGGTCTCGAAGACGGTAGTCTGACGCTCAATCCTGCGACTGGCCGTCACGAAATCCCTGGCAACGACCACCTTCGGCATGGTGTCCCTTGTTGGCATGCAGGTGTAGTGACCCAAATTCCTGCAAAAGACATGCACCTGGGAGACATTACGGTAACACCCGACGACCAACCCGGTCTGATTTACTCTGGGTTCCGCGTGGAGGCTCTACCACACCCTCTGGGTAACGACAAGTCCTATTCAAAGCAGTACGCCTACGTTCCCCTGCGGAATATCAGGCCTTTCAACGCCTGGCAAATCATTCTCAAGGACCAGCACTGGGACAAATGGCACCCATCTATTTTAAACGCCATGACGGTGATGTCCTCCTGGAGCGTGGTGCGCAAATACCACATAGTCGGCAAAGACAGAAATTGCAGTATCCACTGCAAGGCCATCTTCATCGGTAGCGAACTCCTGGCTGTCTCGGACGCCATCCGTCTGAAGCCAGAGGGCTTGGAATACTCGGATCTTCAACAAGGCCCAGTCCCAAAGATAACCGATGTGATGGTTATTACGAAGATCCTGTTCCAGCTGATAGACTGCGTCGATAATGACCCGTACCAGCTAGCCAAACACAACGGGCTTCTGATCTCCGGCCGGGTCTATACCAACGACCCATCGCGCGTGCGCAAGTCATGCGCATTCCACGACCCTACTGCCAAGGACAACCCCCAACCGCTCACCCAGCATCAGGTATTCACCGCCTTCCGCCAGGCCAATATGTGCGACTACGGTCCCTGGTACAAGATGGCCAATGGCGAGGAGTGCAACGTCACCCTGGACGCCGTCGTCGGCCGTTGTTACGAGCCTATCGCCGCAGATCTGATGTTCGGCACGCGCAGTCTAGAGTTCGATCTCCTCGGCGTCATGGAGGGCCGCAACTGGTCCGCGCAGACCGACCTTCGCATCCCAGATGGCATGACATGGTTCTGGGGCGAGTGTCGTGCTGAAACACTTGGTGTGACGGAGCTCCTCGGTATCGAGTGCGGGCCTTCAGCTCCGCAGGGCGATGGAAATGGGCAGGCTATCGTGAGTACGGCGCGCGAATCGCGCCGCCGTCAGGATCAGATTCCTGCGTCCGAGCCTCCCGCGACGGCTACTTATTCGTCCTCGGCCCCGCAGGGAGAGCAGAGGGGTGGGCTTGCCCAGTCGAGTAACATTGGTGATGCGTCTGATAATAATGATAATGACTATGACGATCACGAAAATGACTTGACCGATGCGGAGTCTGGTGATATTCCGGAGCTGCCTCCTTCGGCTGGCCACGATGTCGCGACTGAGAGCGACAGCATGGAGGATTTTGCATAGATCGCTTTCCGTTATGATGTACGATTTTATGTCGGTTTTGATTCTTTCGTTTGATGATTCTCCTTGATTTGTGGGGTGCTTTTTTCGTTTCCCTTTCAGCGGCATATCCACGATACCCAGGGTGTTTATGGGGGGTGCTGCTAAGGTCTGTTCATGATTCTGTTCGAGGACCTGTATGTAGTCACAATGAACCACTATTATCATTATTTTTAGCTATGTATCTGCTGATCCTGTTACCTGTAAGCGAGACTGATGTTCCAGCATGACGGGGCTGGCTCTATTCATGCTGGTTGGAGTCCTCAAAGCCTGAACCACAGAGCATACAATGTCCCGGGAGGACATGTTATTCTAGTCAATCTCCATGAATACTCATCTCGAATGACACTGAGGCACTTGCAATACATCTGCTACAAGCACACAGGAGGAGAGCTACAACCCAGAACGTCAACATCCGTCTGACTCTCTACGCTAGTGTAGTATACCCAAAAGCTCACATAAATTTTGTCTGTTGAAACTTGGGAGATGAAAACTCCTCTCCGATGCCGGATACCATGCAACGAGCCCGTCTGGATTGAAGCTGAGCAACCGTGTGAATTGATAGATCCATGTATATAGTTCATCCAAGACGTCTCTTCAATCATGTTTGAATGCTCTAGGGCAATGAGCTTTGACGACACAACAATTTATGCTGCTAAAGAAGACGTAGAGGATGGATGACGATGGTGACTTTTTTGACATTGCGTCGACCGTGTGGATCGTTGATTGACTAGGCAGCTCAAGGCAGTAAACTATTTCGGTCGCAGAGCCGACAATATGCAGCTATTGAATCTTGGGTCTAATTTCAATCCCACATGACATAGAGAATTCACAAAACATCAGTATCGTCGGGTATCATCGAAGCAGTGCGCCTCATATAAGCCCCGTCCAGCATATCCGACCAAACCTCCCACAACGAGGGCAAGGAGCACTTCATCCACCCTTGGAACCAGTCAGATGGATCTACCTCCGCCTCGACGAGTTTCACATAATGATGTCTCCTCTCTTCGTATCTCGAGTTCTCTGGAAAGGGGGCGTTTTGTAAGGTTTGAAAGCTCTCTTCGTCAATGACAATAAACATGCGATAGCCAGGGAAACAATCGAGCACATCACGCTCAATTGCATCGGCCCTGAAATGCTCGCGGAGCTGGTCTATCGATGCTCCGTCGAACCGGGAAGCATCTTCAATTACCCGTGGCTGGTAATTGGGCCAGATTTCATTCCAGGGAGTGATGATGAACTCATTTGCCCTGAAATATTCGCCAAGGGAATTTCTGTAACTGTTGTAGAATTCGTTCTTCATGTACTTAGTGGTGAGGTCGACCATACGCGGGAAAGCGGCATTGGATTGAGGAGTGTAGGTCGTCCGGTAGATGGTGTAGCCCCAGGTAGGCTCAGAGTAATGGAGCCAGTCATAGATGCTTCGCATGTGTTCTGGAAGCCAGGTGTATTGCTTCATCGGCTTCCGAAATAGCGACATAATGGGTCGACTTTGGATGTTGCGGTGGTTTAGGGAGTTGAGTAGGGAGAAAAGTCCAGCCTCATCGGAACCTTGGAAAACCGACACATTAGAGACACATGGACAAAAGCAAGGCGGCGGAGATTCCCAAGTACGGACTAGCGCATTTGAGGTGGAGCCTGTGGGAAACAAAGAGAAAGATTGTTGTCAAAACTGATTTCGAATATCACTGTACCGCACCGCTGTTTGACTGTGTCTATGACACGGGGCGCCCCCCCTGGGTTTTTAGCACGGTGAGACCCAAACAAAGCTCCCACATATTGGAATTCTAGTTTTGCGCTTTGGGAGATATTGACGGCCTGCGTTATTAACCATAGAGATCCGTCGCTCCCTGGAAAATATCGAACTTGGGTAAGGAATACTGGACCTAGTCTCAGGGATAGCTCAGCAAGCTCGGTAGTACTGTTTCCCCCCCCTCTTATTCGAGAGTACAGTACGGGGTCCTGGATATGAATGCGGCAACAAAAACGACTGGATATTGTCTCAAGTTGCCAGAAAGTGTAACACAATATGGGAATGTTTTACCCGTCTGGAAATTTGTGGTTTTTGTACGCTTCAGAGCTGGAAAGGTGCGCAGGGTGAGAATTGGTATGTCAAAATTCTTCCTCGGCCCGAGTATATTTTTAGTGTCCGATCGGAGCTTATTTCCAGACAGTTGGACCTATCAAATGCTCGGTTCGGGATGGCCTTGAAGGTGATCGGTTCGGCATCCAGTGACTTCGGCTTGGGCTTGGCGGTGGCTACCTCAGCATGTTCAGACGGAACATGATTCGCTGGGTCATTAAGTGCCCGCATCTCTGCGCCAGTTCTTAACAAGCGTACGACGCCAGCTTCGGTCGTCACGTTCAGAATCAGAGTGTCGGCTTCTAGGCCAAGTGCTCATATCCTCATCACTAGCAGCAGTGATGGGGATCATAACCGGGGTATTCCCGGAAGACGGCATGATGTCAAAGATCGACAATCGACGAGAAGTTGGAAAGACGCAAAGCAGTGAGTGGTATGTACGAAGCGAAAGATCCGTGATCATGCGGCCATGCCAGTGTCGTTATCGGTTATCGATAAAGGCCTCCACAATGGGAAAACCAAATATGAAGCACGCGTTCTTCATAGTTCATCTTGTCAACAACTCTCCTCTTGACTTTCCACATACCACTCACTGCTTTGCCTCTTTGCAACTTCTCGTCGATTGTCAGACTTTGACATCATGTCGTCTTCCGGGAATACCCCGGTTATGATTCCCATCACTGCTGCTAGTGATGGGGATATGAGCACTTGGCCTAGCCGATACTTCCCACGCGACGACCGAAGCTGGCGTCGTACGCTTGCCAAGAACTGGCGCAGAGATGGAGGCGCGCATGAAGAAGGTTAGTTGTCTCAGATGCTCTGGTATAATAAGTTACTGACCCTGTTCTTGTGGCTTGTTGCTAGGACGAGGAAGCTGGAACAGGCGGTATCCGCCTGGCAACTTCTCAATGATAGGAGTCACGCCTTTGATGTGCTTTGTCAGTAAGGAAGTAGAGACACGAAAATTTCAAAGTGCAAGGAGAGGAGGTGTTTGCGTTTGCTTCTTGTTATGCGCATTGTTATGCGCACACACGCTGGGTTCCTGCGGCTTATGCTCTGTCCGGCTGTTGTGTTGCCCTTTGTGTTTTGTCTTTCCATCTCCATCCTCTCCACGCACTTTGAAAGTTTCGTGGCTCTACTTCCTTACTGACAAAGCCCATCAAATGAGTGACTCACATCATCGAGAAGTTACCAGACGGATACCGCCTGTTCCAGCTGCCTCGTCATAACGCACCCCGCGTGGTTAGTGTCCCTGAGTTTGATAACTTGGTTCTAGCTAACGGACTTTTGAAAGCGCTATCCTTATCTATTCGGGCATCCGAGTGGAAATCCCTTTAACTCCAGTGGCACCTTCTTGCCCCATTTTCTCGCCTCAGTCAAGGGAACACTCGACGGCTGCCCATGCAAGCCGTGTTCCACTTACAAAAAAGTGAAAGAAGGTGACCCAGTTGCGAAGCCAGTGGCAAGCACCGCTGTGCCATGATGGTGCAGTGCCCTTGGTTCTTGGCATACTCTGGAGTTCCTCTTTGCTTTGTCTGCAACGGCCAGTTGCATCCTCGCTTGGCTGTCCGGCTCTCTCGTCATTCTAGTCAAGTGGGGATAACACATGTCCTCCGTGAGATGAGGTCGTGTGTGATCACGAACCAAGAGAACCTGAAGCTGCCTAGCTGCAGTTGCTTTGCTTCGAGCAATCCTTTCATGTTCTCTTGATGAGATGGTGTTTTTTCACGTACCATCCCACCCTGAGCCTTGAGCGTACTGTGTTGCGGGGTTGCAAACTAGGCCTCGACCCACGCCGGCCAGGCAGCCCAGGCCGCGGGTGATGGGGGTGGTCGACAGATCCTTTAACCGAGTCGCCATGGCGGACACCTTCGATCTGAAAGCAGAGGGCTTCGAATACTCGGATCTTAAACAAGGCAAAGTCCCAAAGATAACCGATGTGATGGTCATCACCACAATCCGTTTCCAGCCGATTGACTGCGTCGACAACAACCCATACCAGCTAGCCAAACACAACGGAGTTCTGATCTTTGGCCGGGTGTATACTAACGACCTATCGCGCGTGCGCAAGTCACGCGTATTCCACGACCCTACAGCCGACGACAACCCTCGACCGCTCACCCGGGACCAGGCATTCGCCGCCTTCCGCCAGGTCAGTATATGCGACTACGGCCCCTAGGTAGGCAAGTTTGATACTGAGCATGACTGGCTCTATTCATCCTGGTCGGAGTTCTAGGTTGACGCCTGAACCACAGAGCATACACCGAAGGTACATAGGTTATTGTAGGAGGAAATATCCATATATTGTTCTCCACGCGGCGTCAACGACCGTTGTCATGATCGTATCCCCGGAGCCACTGATGGAAGAGGAGGAGGATGTTATCAAAGCAGGGGCTATGTATGTTGATGCTACTAGTGGAGGAATCTTGGTGTGTATCTCATATATTGGATGGATGAAGAACTCAGAGCAGTCAGGGGCTGAAGAGTGTGTTTCGGCTCGTGCACGGAAGAAAGATTCCTCCGTGCCGGTCACATGCCGTAGCCTCCAACACAACAATGTAAAGGGGGATTGCCGAAGGAGGGACTGTGGAAAGGAGCGACTGTGGAAGGAAGTATGTCGTGCAAGTAGATATGTTGTGGAAGGATGTCCTTCAAAGAAAGTGTCTACCACGTACATAGGTTCTATTCGCCTACTATCTACATGGGTCTATTCGCTATTTCGCATTCGGATTCAGCCTGCGTTTAGGCCCGAAGGGGGGTGGGCACCCTGCCGTAGCTAAATTCGTGAATACGATGCCCAGGCCGCCCCAGAGGTACTCTGCCCTCTCTAACATTCGTGAACACGCCGAGAAAACGATGCCCAGCGGGACTTTGCCCTAGCTAAATGCATGAACGCAATACCCAGCTGGACTCTGCCCTACGACGCTCATGCAGCGTTCGACTTAAGCTTCTGCAGACTGGCGTTTCATGTATTTTCATTTTGTATGACTGGGATACGGATATGGATATACGGGATATGTGCGATGTTAGCTATTATTTGTTTATGCTGGAATGAGATATAATACTTGGATACATGGGCAACGTTGGGATTTCATCTACTCATCTTTTTATCTCCTTGTTTGGCTATTGGTCTCTATCCTCGTTCTTGTCTATTGTATGTGCCTCCTTGTCTATTGTATGTGCCATATACAGCTTTCACCATGGGCAATAGTACCGGCATGTATACGCCCCATATCATTTCCGTAGAAGAGTGTACGCAGTTGGGGAATGATAATATTGTCCGAGGAGCTACGTCATAGTAAAGTATCCGGCAGAATGCTTACTACCCCATCCAGTGCCACTGGGCTTTCCTCCTTACAACTTACACCTACATGTACAACTACATACTGAGAGCTAAGTTACTAATCTCAAAAAGTTCATCCATTCTGCCTCGGCACTGTGAGAGCTGCCGGAATCACAAAAAAAACAAAAGAAAAACACAAAAGAAAAAGGTCCCCATCTGCCTGGAGGCTGGGCCTGGCCGCCTGGCTAGCGGCCTACTGGCCTCTAGCTGTCCAAGTGGCCATCCAAGTGTCCACGGTCTGCTGAACGACGTCAGCAGAGGCCCTCATCGCCACGCAGGCTTCGTTCGTCGCGGCCAACTTCTCCTCAAAAGCGTCGAGAGTCCGCTGCACCTCCTTGATGAAGGTGGTGTGAATAGACAGAGCACACGCCGCCTTCATGGTGTCCTTGGGGAAAGGCGGGGGGCTCAGCTCGCTCACACGAGGGCGACGGGTGGCCGCAGCGGCTCCCTTCTTCTCAGCGTCAGAAGGGGCGGCCTCGTTGTCGGTGGGAGGAGGGGTCGGCTCCTGTAAGAATGTGTTAGTTCAGTCAGAGCACACTGAACGCAATATGAGAGTAAGGTAATATCAATCACGTACCTTGCCGTGCGCGTGTTCGTGGCTGGTCTTTGCCTTGCGGCTCAAAGGAGTGCGAAGGGGGGTGGCAGGCAGGGCAGCTGGGGTGGACGCAACTGCAGGTTGGTCCTGGTGGGTACAGCGCTTTTTTTGCGCTTTGCATTTTGCGCACGCCATCTCAGTGTCGGTCACTGGTTTTGGGTGTCTTGTTAGTTGGGATGGTTGCGTGGTGGGAAAATAAGAAGTGATGGATAGGGGAGATTTACTCATGGCGGTTGGGTTGGGAGATTTCTTAAAAGGTTTTGGATACGGGTCGTCGCGACGGCGTAATGAGTAGGTAGCACGTATCGAAAACGTTGCAAGTGTGAGTGGGAGAGAGCAAAAGAGGAAGAAGTTGAGCAAGCGTCGACGACGTTATATACGACGACCTCGACAATCAAAGGATGTCATGAGACTAGGCAATGCTCTCACACTCAGAAATTGCATCCTTCACACAATATGAAGAGAAGTCATAAGACTAAGCAATGCTCTCACATTGCTCCCACATTGCTCTCACACTCAGAAACTGCATCCCTCACCCAATAGCCAGCAATCAGTTATATTTCGTTACGAAACTCATTGATCAGATTCAGGAGCAGCAATACAACAATGTTCTTTCCAGACTGTAAGGAGAAGCTTTCACAGCTGGAATCGTCGGGTCACGCCATTGAAGCTGTATTCTGTCTGAAGGACCTTTCATATAACTCAGTAGCACATTAAGGCTACAGCATATGCAATCGAAGACCAAAAGCGGGAAAATGAACAGCAAGAAGAAGCATCCAGAGCTGACATAATGAAGTTATTGAGAGTGAAGGGTGGTAATGGACAAGACGTGGAGGGATGGACCTGAGCGAACGCTATCACAAAGTACTTTGCAAACCATTCCCCTGTTGCGAGAGATATGTGTTCTCCATGATCTTGGCTCTCTCATGTCTATATTTGCTCCGTTGAAGATGTTGCAAGATATACCTAGAAAAAGCCCGTCTGTCTTGTCGTTCAAGGCTCATGCCAACTGGTTACTAGGCGATTTCGAAATCCCGTCCAGGATAACTTAGGGTCACGGTGTCCAGCGAACCTGGTCTTGGCCTAGGTAAAAAGGTCGCAGATCTTAATGATCCAGTGGCTAGAGCAAACCTCCGTTTGGTTGGTATAAGGCCGGAAGACGGTGAACGTCTAGACCTTACCGCTTAGGAAGACGGCAAGAGATGGAGTTGGAAGTCAACAGGAGGTAGCTGTGATGAGGATGCTGAAGGGAACCAGAGGGAACTGTGGCCATGGTTTGTACACTAGTCTGGAAAGAACATTGTTGTATTGCTGCTCTTGAATTTGGTCAATGAGTTTCGTAACGAATCGTAACTGATTGCTGGCTATTGTCTGAGGGATGCAGTTTCTGAGTGTGAGAGCATTGCCTAGTCTCATGACATCCTTTGATTGTCGAGGTCGTCGTATATAACGTCGTCGACGCTTGCTCAACTTCTTCCTCTTTTGCTCTCTCCCACTCACACTTGCAACGTTTTCGATACGTGCTACCTACTCATTACGCCGTCGCGACGACCCGTATCCAAAACCTTTTAAGAAATCTCCCAACCCAACCGCCATGAGTAAATCTCCCCTATCCATCACTTCTTATTTTCCCATCACGCAACCATCCCAACTAACAAGACACCCAAAACCAGTGACCGACACTGAGATGGCGTGCGCAAAATGCAAAGCGCAAAAAAAGCGCTGTACCCACCAGGACCAACCTGCAGTTGCATCCACCCCAGCTGCCCTGCCTGCCCTGCCTGCCACCCCACTTCGCACTCCTTTGAGCCGCAAGGCAAAGACCAGCCACGAACACGCGCACGGCAAGGTACGTGATTGATATTACCTTACTACTCTCACATTGCGTTCAGTGTGCTCTGACTGAACTAACACATTCTTACAGGAGCCGACCCCTCCTCCCACCGACAACGAGGCCGCCCCTTCCGACGCTGAGAAGAAGGGAGCCGCTGCGGCCACCCGTCGCCCTCGTGTGAGCGAGCTGAACCCCCCGCCTTTCCCCCCGGAGGACACCATGGAGGCGGCGTGTGCGCTCTCCATTCGCACCACCTTCATCAAGGAGGTGCAGCGGACTCTCGACGCTTTTGAGGAGAAGTTGGCCGCGACGAACGAAGCCTGCGTGGCGATGAGGGCCTCTGCTGACGTCGTTCAGCAGACCGTGGACACTTGGGTGGCCACTTGGACAGCTAGAGGCCAGTAGGCCGCTAGCCAGGCGGCCAGGCCCAGCCTCCAGGCAGATGGGGACCTTTTTCTTTTGTGTTTTTCTTTTGTGTTTTTGTGATTCCGGCAGCTCTCACAGTGCCGAGGCAGAATGGATGAACTTTTTGAGATTAGTAACTTAGCTCTCAGTATGTAGTTGTACATGTAGGTGTAAGTTGTAAGGAGGAAAGCCCAGTGGCACTGGATGGGGTAGTAAGCATTCTGCCGGATACTTTACTATGACGTAGCTCCTCGGACAATATTAGCATGCCCCAACTGCGTACACTCTTCTACGGAAATGATATGGGGCGTATACATGCCGGTACTATTGCCTATGGTGATTGGTGAAAGCTGTATATGGCACATATGATAGACAAGTACGAGGATAGAGACCAATAGCCAAAACAAGGAGATAAAAAGATGAATAGATGAATCCCAACGTTGCCCATGTATCCAAGTATCATATCTCATTACAGCATAAACAAATAATAGGTAACATCGCACATATCCCGCATATCCATATCCATATCCCAGTCATACAAATGAAAAGAAACGAAACGCCAGTCTGCACAAGCTTAAGTCGAACACTGCATGAGCGACAAAATCACAGTCAAGAGGCAACCAAGATATACACCGACCTTGATATCACCGAAACCGAGCTTCAAGATGAATCTCAAATCAGATTCAATCCTTGCTAAACCGGCGCTTGAACCAGCTCTTCCTCTTATCGTCTTTGGACGGCGGAGCAGGAGCATGCGCATTACGCACAGCCGGAGCCGCCCACGCAGCGGCAGCGCCCGAAGGAGGGATCCCTCCGACAGGCCCGCCAATACTCGGGTCACCCACGTGCTGGGCACCTTTGGAGGCGTATCCGTTGTATCCGTAGTCGGCTTGCGCACGCTCGTCCAGCCGCTGTTGCTGCAGGTATTGCTGTTGCAGTTGGTCGTTGGAGCTGCTTAGCGAGCTGGGGTCTGTGGATTGTCCGTATGGATCTGAACCGCCGGACCCGTTTGACGGCGCGAGTACGTTATCAGCTGAGCGCTGGTAGCCGTGGCCCTGGGGATAGCCGTATTGCGCGTTGTTGACGTTGTTGGCGATGTTTGAGTAGCCGTCGGCTGGGGAGAGAGGGGGAGGGGGACCCGCGGGATTGGTGCGGGCGCCTTCTGCCGTTCTGAGCGTGGCCGTTCGTGCTGTAGCCATTCTGGGTATAGGGGTAAGGGTTCTCGGGAGACTGAGGTGTATTTTGGTAGGCGTTTACGATACTGTCTGGTCGGGATGAGGGTTGGCCGTAGTGATTGTTCTGGTCGTAATTTCTGGCTGAGGTTCCGTTTTGACCTAGGAGAACGAAGATTAGCAGCCATTGGCGAAGGAATCCAGATGATGCATACCTCCGTAGTAGCTTGTTCGTCGGCTGTAATCGCCCATCTGTGACGCAGCATCTTCTACCAACTGAATCAGCCCATATTTCTCGCAAGGAGTCCACAAGTAATTGTAAAAAAAAACAAGTACCTGTTCTGGCGTACGACGCACGATTACTGTAAGACCCGTAGATTGCTGCCTCGAACGATCGAATGGTATCCAAAGGGCGCTCCAAACGTGGGCGAGTGGGGTTTGACAGGTCGGGATCGGCTGGAGAACGCAAGGGTTAGCAACAAGCTCACGAACCACCAACGCGAGGGTAGACGAACTGATGATATTTCCAAACTGATCCTTATGCTGGATATCACGTAGCGAACCCAGATTCGACTTTTCCAGCGCCACGGCCACTATCAATGGTGTCAGTTTGAGGGAACAACGGGAAAAGTGCGACCGGGCCAAATCGACGCCCGACCGTTGACAACGTACTAGGCTGAAGTTCGTTCATGGCGACCAGAGGATCTGCTTTGGTGTGGAGATTGCGACGGGCCTTTTCTTCTGATGACTCGGAGGGTCCACGTTTATGTGAGGTTGATCCCGATCGCTCCGACGTTTCTGATCTGTTGGTGAATCCACGACTCCGCTTGGGAGAAGTGGGAGATTGGGGGGAGGCCATTTTTATTAGTTTCCACCGTCTTTTCTTAGCGTCTTCGATTCAAGGCAAGATCTGAAACGGTTGTGATCTGCTTGGAGCTACCGTTGTGGAGCGTAGTGGAGGTCGGATCTGCCAAGAAAGTGGGAAGCAATTTGCTCAGCGGCTTTCTCGTTTGTGATATGAGACAGCAAACGGTGAGGGATGTTGGCTAGTTGGATTTGGATCGGCGTTATGTGCTAAAGATGGTCTGGGGTGTCTGGGGTGTCTGGGGTGATTTTTGATTGAATTGGCCAACTGATGATGAGAGATCAAAAGAGTGGAGCAGATTGCAATTTCAATGAGATGAAGTTGATTAAATCTGTGAATTGTATTCTATCATGGAATTCAAGAGAAGAAGAAAGCGAAGGTAAAGGGGAGAGAGATGGAAATTTTTAATTCTTCGATACTTTGTAAACCTGTTACATACGCCTGCCATTATTATTCTCTAGCCTTTATCCGTGGTACACATCTCGGCTGCCGTCCAGTCGCCATTGGTGATGTTCCTCTTATTTAGGTACGGAGTAGTATGTTGGCATTTGTATATGGTACCAAGACATGTATGGATCATTTTCCTAAAGTAAAGAAAAGTCTCACTTTTCATTTTCCCCAGCCATTCAAGACTGTACTGCAACTCATCCGGACCCTTCCAATTGGCCCGAGCCTAGTTTCATCTCAGGTCTTTATCATGGCTGCCTCGGTATGGAGTGCATTTATCTTCACAATTCACCTTCACCGTCCGAATGCTTCCAGACGAATGGACAATTACAGATATTGCATTGCACCGTATCTTACAATCAATTCTGCTCCCACACGTGTTCATCAAATCTAGACTGCGGCGAGTAAAAAGCGGATATGCGGGTGGGTCGATGTGCGTTCTGTTTTATTAATAGCGCCATTCCACAACTTAGCCTCGGTTTATCCACTTTGGACCGTTAGATTCTACGACAATCCATGGAGAGTAACGAGTTAACTAAGGCATTCACTCAACCGTACGGAGTAGATAGTACTGTCTGTAGACAGTAATTGATACCGGCAAAGGCATTACTCTAGAATCAATTGACCTGTAGGTATTGATCTCTCCAATTTTGTAATGTGACTCAGCCCCCCTCCCTTCTTTGATTGGACACAGCCACAAAGCACAATCCCATGGTTGATTTGAGCGCTAGATCCTCGAGGCCGAAGATATTCCGTACACGTGAGTAAATCAGGCAGGCAGAAATAGGAATTACAGATAGGATTCATTATAGATAGAGACCAATGGCGCCAACTTGGTAGCAGTTGCCAATGTGATAACTTCCTAAGCCTCAAAGAAAGTCCAACCTACCCCTGGAGATCACTAGGTACACATGAGTCATGACACAGACGCAAGGAGGTCGTAGGGCTCGAGGCTATGTACGTTAGCCCCAAATTCCATGTGAACCATGTGGGAAGTGGGGAATGTGGCATCCATATGCGATCGTAGCAACACTACATGTCAACATACATCTACTTCATCAAAAACATGCCATACACTGTACATCGTGTCGAGTGTCGACTAGTACTTACCCAGAACATGGAAATGAGGTTATGACGTATTTCAGGAGCAGGATTGAGATCATCTGGCCTTTCCCGTCAATCCCTGTCGCGCCATCCATATTAAGCAATTCGGCCGTAGACTACTACCCCCCGGTCGGGAGCTTATGCGGGCTGATGTCAAGGTCGCTTCTTGGCAATGAATGTAGTAGTGTTATGTAGGACCGAACCGATATACTTGATTTTCGGTGGAAGTACAGGGTGCTTAATTATGGCATTGGAACACAACATGATTTTCGTGATCATGGGTCGGTGTGGATGCGCCTTAACTTGAGAGGGTATATTAAAGTCACGCGCATAATTCAGTCGACTTAATCAAATACTGCGTACTGGGACAATGGCTATAAACAAAACAAAGAACCTTCGACCCAGTCTGTGGGTTGAAAGTTGATGCATTTTTATACACAACTGGTGCTCGGCGTTGAGTGTGAGCACGGGGTATCTTCTATCTATTAAAACATTATGCATAATGCTCGACGTTGAGTGTGAGCAGGGGGTATCTATCCATATCCATGAAAACAAAGCGCAATAATTGCCAGAATCGAGTCTGGCGAACCATGCAAAACAAATCAAGCAGCGGGAGCATTATCCACAGCCTTGTTATCCAACGCAACATCCGCCGCGGTGACCTTAACCTCATGAGTGTGCTCCAACTCCGAAAGCACAATCCATGTAGGGATGAAGGCAAGAAGCGTGATTCCGAAGTTCAAGCCAATGCTGACGAAGTGGTTCGCATTACCCTCGGACTGCATCGCCCACGCAACCGTCTGTCCAAGCGCTTCGAATCCGCGCAGGATACCGACGTGATATGACAAAGAGGAGATATCGGTCGTGTACTGTCCGATGAGCCAGTAGAGGAATTGTTGGAAGCCCTGGCCGGCAAACGTCCAGAAGAAGACTAGCGCGTAGGACTTGTTGAAGCCACTGGTGAACCAGTCGAAGACGGGGGATTCGGGCATGTCGTAGAATTGCTTTTGCAAAATAGTCGCCCAGATCCAGGTTCCCGTGAGGAGGACGGTGATGGAGCAGAAGGCGATGCGGGCGCGGGTTTTGATGTAGATGGTTTGGCGGTCGAGGAGGGTGGCGAGGAGGAAGGAGGAGGCGATGCCGGCGAAGTTGGTGAAGAAGGAGGAAAAGGCGCGCGACCGGACGGTGAAGTAGGTGGTCAGCCAGGTGCTCACAAAGCCGTTGTAGAAGTAGCTGATGAAGAAGGCGGGGAGAAGGAGGAGGATGCGGCGGGTAGCGAGGAGAGAAATCGCGGCTTTGAACTCCTTGGCCCAGGTAGGCTGCTTGTGCACAACGACGACGGAGCCGTCCTTGCGCTGGGCCTTCTCGGCGGAACTGAGGAAGAGCGCGATCGGGAAGCCGAGACACATGATGACGATGAAGACGATGTACGTCGCCGCGCTGACGGCTCCCTTGCCGGCGGTCTGCGCGTTCAGACCTAGACTGATTGCACCGCCCACGATAGGGCCGGCAGCTTTGGAGGTTTGCCAGATGGCGAGGTAGAAAGCGCGCTCGCCGGGACTGGGATATCCGATGATGATGGCGGCCTCCGCAGCCCAGAGGAACCCGGCGGAGATACCGCACAGCGCGGAACCGAAGAGCATGAACCATGTCGTGGGGTGGTAATTGTTGGTGTACAGACCGGCGCCGTAGATCGGGTAGCCAATGGCACCAATAACCAGACCGTACCGAAGACCGATGCGGTTGTTGATTGCACCAGCGGCAACGCACACAACTGCAAACAAGCCGTAGAGCAGAGCGTTGGCGGCCGAAACCGCGTACGGCTCAGCTGCGCCACCTGCTCCCACGTTGTTCAGCGCATCCCACATGCCAGGAGCGGTAAATGAGACACCGCTAGCAATGGCGATCTGGAAGGGAATGGAGCGATACCACGAGACCCGTGACCTCGTGGCGACGACGGTTCGGTCGTCATCGATGCTTCGCTCGGAAGAGACTTCTGGCTCGAGGGAAGGGGCCATGATGTATGTAGACGCCCTTGGACTCAAAGCCCTTTATACAATGCAAGACAATATGTAGAGAAGAAGAAAAAGTGACTGGGGTTAAGCGGAGAAGATATACGAGAGAAAAAAAATCCCGATGTGGGGCCGCTGCCGATGTCGTGCTTGCCGAGAAATTAAAAGCCTGCAGAACCTAAAAGCTTGACACATCACCGCTGGAGAGGCGAAGCCAATCAGCCACCATACCATAAGCCACACCACTGGCAATGGCACAGAAGAAAATTTGTCACGGCTAGATTCAAGATAACTTTGGCTCAGATCTCGGGCAGCTGAAGCCGCAAGGTCTGACCCAAAATCTGATTAGCATGCGAAATGTCAGATTGTGACAAACAGAGATACTGCTGGAGAAAGTGATGATGGATCCACCCAGGTCGAGCCGTCCCCCAACATCTCAGATCGACTTTGAAGATGGACAAGATGGATCGAACGGTGTGGAGTATGAAAAGCTCTGAAGCATGATCGGTTCATTGCAGATGCTGTACAATTTCTCCCGTCTGAGTCCATATTTCTAGTTCGCCGGGACTTGCAGAATTGTCGAGGCAGGCATTGCAGTGTGTTCGATCCACAGTTCCCGGCTGGAGCATCCGGCAAGATGAGATCTCACTAACTTGTGCAAGATGAACGACAGCCGAGGGATATAATATTGCGAGAATCGAGGTTGCGATGATCTGTCGTGCAAATAATGAAGCCAGCGGCCATTGGCTTAAAACTCTATAATGTGGAATTGGGGGATAAACACCTCCACCCAGACAACCCATGTGTTCCAGAGTCATAACGGCTGTCTGATAACTTCAATATGCAGTCAGCAATTTCCAGCCACAAACATAGCTTCGAGCGATAGAAGAGCATGACGCTAGAGCAGGGCTGATATCATCATCCGAGGACATAGATAACGACAGCGAAAGACGGTGGCTTGTGGTGGTCGGGAAGCGCACTGCGACGCCCGTTTAGCATATCGTTTTCGGTTTCTGGGTCCAGACACGGCCGAATCAAGGGGTTGAACCGACTTGCGGTGGTGAGAATTTGTCGCTGTGCATATGTGCATCACTATGTGACTTGTAGCTCAGTAAAAAGCCGACGGCGTGTAAGTGCAGCGCAAATTTACATGTACTTGAGTGCAACGATCACGGAAATGGGAATCGGGGATGACATTTGCCCCTGGTACAGTATGTGATCTGGATATCGGAGTCCTACGCTACGAGGCGCGGTGCCGATCCGACGGGCCGATGCCACATGCGCCCTGTTCTATTCCGGATGAACACGGGATACTGAATCCATCTTTTTTAAAGGATTGAATGGTAGATGCACAATTGTGGAGCAGAAAAGGTGGTCGCCCTGTTCTCGCCATGCAACCCTTGGCAAGCATTCCAGAGACCCCAGATCCGGCAGCCACTTCAACATCAAACGAGATAAACGAGATAAATGCATTGAATGACGTAACGCTTCATATGTATCGATGTAATGAAAATGAAAAGAAAGAAAGTGCTCATGATCATAATGTGTGGCCTTTCATCCCAAAGTTTTGATGTCAATCTTGTACTCATCAGCCCAGAATGTGACATTCTTGTCGACAGAGTAAGCTTCTGTTCCGAAACTCAGACTGCCGAGATAGTCATTCTTAGCCGGGTAATTATCGCCTGGCAGGTTATAGAGATCAGTGATCAGAGGGTAAATGTCGCCAGTAAACCTCTCTGTCATATTTTCCGTAACCCAGGACAAGACCTGCTGCTGGTGCTCATTCGCGCCGGTGTAAAGTGTACTGAAACATGTTAGCTGGTAGTCCTAAAGTGGATCATGAACGAAGCTCAACTCACAATGTGGTCCCTTCCACATTTCGTTTGATAACTGGTTTCCCCCAACCGTGAGGCTGAGCAGTCTCGGATGACATCCAGAACCACACCATGACCTCGAATTTAGCATTGCTTCCATTCTTGGCGATCTCGGCATCGCTGTCCAAAAACATATCGATGGCGACGTTCGTGGAGAGGTTTTCATCCTTCAACGTCTGCACGTCCGTTGATTCCGCGGGTTCGTCGCCGAGACCGTACGTCCAATGCAAGTCCAGATTCAACTCAGAGATTTCATCCAACGCCTTCGGCAAGACATCGTCAACGCGGATGTTCGGGTATCCATGGACGGGGGCGTTCTCTGGGCCCTGGTCGAATTGCCAAGTTATCGTGAACTGGGGAGCAGTCTGCGGTGCATACGTCTGGTTGTTGAAGGTTGTGACCTAGAGTTGGGCAGTTGTGTTAGTGTCCACTCAATGCCATTGGGGGTAATATGCTCTGTCCGTACATTCATGCAGAGTCCGTTTCCTGTCGTATCCGATGTCACTCCCCATTGATTAGGGTTCACTAGAATCTCGGTCAGTCGTCGTCCAAATCTCCACGGCCAGTAATCCTATCACTAACGGGTATATTGTTCTGTCTTCGACGGTGGCGTGATTCCCCAAGACTTGTCACAGTATTGCTTGATTTGAATGCCATCGCCAGAGGTGCCAGGATGATTGCCGCCGTCACCAGTACTGTCGCTGCCTCCTCCACCACCTCCGTGGCCGATGCTGTCCTCATTATGCCCGGAGAATAGAGGCTTCTGTCCCGTCGCAGCTCGGTGAGCATCAATACCCATCAAAGTCCCAACACTTCCTCCGATCGGAATAGCCACAAGGACCGCATTGACCAATAATCCGAGTCCGAATACCATGACAACCAGAGTGTGTATGCAGCAAAGAAGCAAGTGATAAGCAATTCAATGAGATAGCAAAAACATGAAATGGAAAAAAAAGATCTCAGCAAAGAGATCAACAGCGAATAGCAAAGGCGAGATTCTCGCTATCACATCTCATGTAAAAGAAGAAGATGCATTGGGTTAGATAAAACAGATCGAGACTAAGCGTTGGCGCTTACTGATAAGAACCATGAAAGGGTCCGAGTGGATCTTCGGTCTTAGCGTGGTAATCGTACGCTAATTTGACAGGGGTCACGATTCAGGTACGCCATGTACGGAGTCCGCAGCAGTAGGTATTGAACTCAGGTACTCGATTTCAGGTACAATTCAGGTACCGAAGTGCAACCGGCTGATCCGGAAACTTTCACTTCATGGTATTCTATGGTTGGTCTTATGAGGTGGCAAATTCAAGATAAAAATAACAAAAAATACCTTTTGTCTCATTACCAGGATTTACAGAGAAGGATGAGCAATCCTGCTGAAAACGGAAAGCCAGTGAAAATCCCCAGCGATCGGGTAATAAATCCACCACTTCACTGTGGAACATTACCTGGAAGAGCATTACGTGGAACGAGAAATTAATTATTTTCTTTTCTTTGTAATTCTTTTTTCAAATGTTAGCGGCTCCTCAATGCGGCCCAGCACCTCGGCCTCTTGGCGTGCACTGCTTGGAGGGCTTAACCGGCTTAGCCCAACCCGCTTTTAGATATGAGATTACTTCGAACTGCCTTTCCATCGATCCCACATTCTTCCCATTGCAGCTCTTTGGGCTGGCCACGCTCGTTTTCATACTGATGATCTAACATTCCCTATTCGGATCTAATACCTAAAATTTCCGATCTCAAAATGGACCGACGCTATGCCACCGACCAGGAAGAGAAGGTCGAGTTGAATACCTATCGTAGCTATCATCCAAATCACAGCTTCGAACACCCAGAGCCCTATTCATCTTTACCAGTCTCTCCGAGGCCTCTTACTCCGATCAGACCGGGCCATTTCCCTACGGACGAGTACGGCCAACCCGTTTGGCTTCAACCAACCGCTCGCATGTCGGGGCAATCACAAACCGATTCTTTCTCGAACTCGCCTTGGGAAACGAAGACTGACTATGATTCTCGGTCGGCTTCTCCAACTTTGGTAAGTACCGTCCGATCTCGTTCTTTGGTCTCTATAGATCACGGCCTAACCCGTCTTCCTTTATAGTACCAACACCATGGCGTACAAGAAAGTCACCAAAGTCTTGCTCCCCTCGTGAGTTCACCTGCTTCACCAGGATTCTCAAAGGACTGGGTCAAGTCCGGGTCGATCGCGCAGGTCAACGCTCGAGATGATGCGGATATTTGGAAAGGATGGAAACGATGGGTATTCTTCCTGGTGCCATTCCTCACGTTCGCCAACACTGGGATATACTTGTTCTACCTCGGCCTGAGAATATTCTGCATTGTTATGGCGCAGAGAGTTGCTAAGGTGTCATACGCTGGAGCTTGGGTTTTTGTGGCCATTGAAATCGCCGTTGCCATTCCCTCCCTCATGCACAACTGTTGGACTATGATGGCTCTGAAGAAGAGAGGTCGTGCCAAGCTTAGATTGACCGGCAATGAATGTCCGACGGTGGATGTGTTCATTACGTGCTGCGGAGAAGACGACGAAGTTGTACTGGATACCGTTCGTGGTGCTTGTGATCAGGACTACCCTCGCGACAGCATGAGGGTCATCATTTTGGACGACGCCAAGTCGGCAACCCTCGAGGCTGCCTGCAACCAACTCGCCGTGAACTATCCCAACATCATCTATATGGCTCGTGAGAAGATTCCCGGCAAGCCCCACCACTTCAAGGCGGGTAACCTTAACTACGGTCTGGAGCAAGTCAACCTTTTGCCCGGAGGCGCCAGCCAGTTCATGGCCGCCCTGGACGCCGATATGGTAATTACCACACCCCAGCCCGCTTCGCAATTCAAACTCTTGTTTCTCACTAACAATCTGCAGATTCCCGAACAAGACTGGTTGCGCGCTATCGTTCCCCACTTGCTGGTGGATCCCAAGGTGGCCCTTGCATGCCCGCCGCAGCTTTTCTACAACACCCCTGCATCCGACCCGCTGGCGCAGAGTCTCGACTTCTTCGTGCATGTCATCGAGCCGATCAAAGATGCCCTCGGCGTGGCTTGGTGCACTGGGTCAGGTTACGTTGTCCGACGCGAGGCACTCGAGGAGATTGGCAATTTCCCGCTTGGATCATTGGCCGAGGATGTTGCGACTTCAACATTGATGCTTGGCAAAGGATGGAAGACCGCATACATCCACGAGCCTCTTCAATTCGGCACCGTGCCGGAAGACTTTGGTGGACATCTCAAGCAGCGTACACGATGGGCAATTGGAACCGTCGACACGGCTTTCAAGCTGAAGTTCTGCCTCTTTGGTGACGCGGTGAAGCAGATGACCGCCGCCCAGCGATTCTCTGGCTTCCTCTACGCAACTCTTAGTGTCTATACCATCCTGTTGACCGCCGCGCTGTTTGCGATTCCCATCATCCTTCTATGGGGCAAGCGTCTCGTCGCCTTCGCCACAGAAGAGCAACTTCACTGGCTGATCTGGGCCTGCTTCGCCGCGACCATCTCCAACCGTCTCTGCGAAATGGCCCTCTTCATCCCTGCTGGCTACCACACCGGCCAACGTGGCTCCCGCTACCAACTCTGGATGTCCCCCTACATCGCTCTGTGTCTCGTGCGCGCCTTCTTCCTGCCCACCTGGCTCGGCGGCCAAGCCCAAGCCTTCAAGCCAACCGGATCCCTCGACTCCGCCCTCAACGAGCGCGACGCCAAGAAATCGAAGAATATGTTCGTGCGCATGCGCGTCATCCTCCTCAACTACATGGCCAGCTTCCACCTCCTCTTCGTCTACGTCACGCTCGTCGCAGTCGTCATTTCCTCGTACCGCTGCTGGGCGCAAAACTCCGGCTTCAGAGATATCATCCTCTGTCTCATCACGCACGCTTTCTGGCCCCCGCTCACCTTCCTCTTCATCTGCACGTCGCTTTGGACACCCGTCTCCTACGCCATTGACCCGCCCCACATGCCCGAACGGGAGGATCTCCTCATCCGCGATCCGAAGACTGGCGTTGCACACCCGACGAAAGAGAGTAAGAAGATCGCCTTCGGCGGTCAGGCTGCATGGTTTGAGCTCGAGTACACGGTTGCCACGATCGCGACGATTTTGGTGTTCATTTACTCGTTCATGTTCTAATTATGTGTTAATTATTATGTATGCGAATTTCCGTTGGAAATCTCTCTGTACAGCTAACGTGTCACACGCTCCAATTGCTTTTTTCCTTTCCTTCCTTTCACTATACAGCATACATTTCTTGGGATTGAGTGGCGTTATCATTTTGCTGTGTCTTCATTTCCGGTGTACGATGTGCTGTCCTGCATGTGTGGATCTTATTCTTGTCACACTGTCATATTCAGATACATACCACGTTGATCAACTTTACACATTACATGGAAGAAAAGTGATGTATCGTCTAGGTTGTGTAGGCCCAGTCTAAGCTAAGATTTGGCGTTGTTTAAGCATTTAACGTGTCATATTACTCTTAGGATGAATATGATTCCCTCATCAACAGGCTCTGCTATCTGCCAGGGAGTCTTAGCCTCCCTAGCTTTACATCGCACATTGCTTATCTCGTCACGCTAAACTAGCTCCACTGATCGCCAGTAAGATTGAACTTCTGCAGACTGCAGTACTGGTCATATCTTCGTACGGGGTACGTACTGCGTGTGTATTGCTTCATGGATTGTGTCTTCGCATGGAGTAAGAACTTTTTATCAATCACTTCGAATTGTTTACAATTGTCACCGCTATTTTTCAGAGCTTTGTTGGTCAGTGGAGTCGCAATGGTTGAGTGGAGTATAGAAGTGCCCGGACATGAAGCTAGCGGGCTATCCGCAGTACACATGCATAGCATGCTCAAATTACTTCTAAGATTTGGGACTTATTCAATGGCAAATAAAACATATGCATTCAGGTACATATTTGGGTACGGTTTCGACAGACCTAGACTTCCAGGTGGTATGCAATATTCAGACGAATTCGAAGCAAGTTTGCTCTTTGTTTGTCTTATCCTCATGTATGCAGACTAATGCATGCTGGAGTCCGATCTTCTCTTTGGGATATCCTTGTCCATCCTTGTCCATCCTTGTTCATCCTTGTTTATCCCATATCCGTGCTGGCAAATCTGAAATCACTTCTAAAGGTTTGAGTCCGGGGTGGTCCTGTGTTCTGAGCCAGTGGCAATCTTCATATTGTAATATCACTCCTTTTGTACCTGAATGTGGGAAAACAGTCTACCTTGCTCTGGCCAATATGTTCGCATGCTGCTATCCGAGCGAAGAGGTGGCAATCAACTATCAACAACAATCTTCTGGCAAGCCTCTTATATCTCCAACTTCTTATCTTACTATCTTGGCAAACAATAATCGGCCATCCCAGCCACCAGCAAACAGCCGGTGATCACGGAGTTATACCGAACCGTTCACGGTTCGGAATCGATCAGCTGCCCGTCTGGCAAGCCCATAAGCCTATTTTCATGGGCGAGGCATGGCTGATAACCACCCAACTCCCAAGCCACCCGGTCCGGTCTATAAACCTCCGATCACCTGACCGGTATCGAAGTATATCTTTCGCCAGAAACAGGCACTGAAACCTGTCACCAAGCCTCCAAAGATGTCATCCGATCCGGATTCACAAGGTCGAGAACCGGGCGATAGCTCGGATGGAGTGATGCAAGCTCCGTGTCATAGCAAGATGGCTGTCGTGATGGGCTATATAGAAGAACCAACGTCTCTGGTTTCTAGTATAGTCAAGTCTCAACAGAACAAGTGCAATAGCATCAACAGATAATTCACAATGTCTTTCCTACGAAATTTCTTCGGCACAACACCAACAAAAGAACCAGAAGATGCCAAAGAAGCAAAAACCCCAGTCCGAGCCCTCCCAGCCTCATGGTACACCTCGAAAGAAATGTACCAACTCGAACGCCGCGCCATCTTCTCCCGAAAATGGCTCTTAACCACCCACAAACACCGTCTCCCAACCCCGGGTACCTCGATCCTCTATTCCGCCGCCGACTACGACTTCACCGTAGCAAACACCAACGGCACCATCACCGTCACCCACGACAACAGACCCGCCCACGTGCACATCGACCGAAACGGCTTCATCTGGGTAAACCTCGACGCCAGCGAAATCCCCGAGGTAGCCTGGGATGACGATTTCGCGGGCGTCGACGAGCAACCCCGTTTCCAGCACTACAATTTCGATGACTACGTCTTCGATCATACCTGGGACCAGGAGGGAGAGTTCAACTGGAAGATTTTGGCTGATAACTACAATGAGTGTTATCACTGCCAAGTTGCCCATCCGGATATCCCGACTATTGCGGATCTCAATTCGTATTATGTTAAGACTGAGGCGGGTCATATTCAGCACTATGGTGCGCAGCGCGATGATCAGATTGCAAAGGGGTTCAGAATTGCTACGACGTATTTCTGGCCGAATGCTTCGTTTAATATCTCGTGAGTTTCTTTCCAGTCGCCCTTGTCTACTAGCAGGGCAGCGAGCTAATCGGAGAATACTTGCAGTCCAAACTTCTTCTTCATGCAGCGCTTCACACCTACCGGACCAACCTCCTGTGTCATGCGCTATGAAGTCTACAGACACAAGGAGGCGACGGATGAAGCGTTTAATCTGATCAGTGATATGTATAAGCGGATCATGTCGGAGGACAAGTATTTGTGTGTGCATTCGCAGAAGAATCTCAATGCCGGGATTTTTGTGAATGGGGAGCTGCATCCTGAGATGGAGAAGGGGCCTTTGCACTTCCAGAAGACGGTTAGGGAGGTTGTTGTGGAGCACTTTGAGAAGGAGACGGCTGTTGGACATCAGATTTGGCCTGCTGTTCGGGAGACTGAGGCTGAGGTTGAGACTGAGACTGAGAAAGACGAGAATGTGTACTCTCTTGGTACTGGAGGGTATACGGCGCGGATTGATGCTTTCAAGGATTCTATGGGGTCTGGGCTTTCGACTGTTACGGCGATTGCTGTTTAGGGCTGTTTAATGTTGGACTGTTCTTTTGGTATTTGCTGGGGATTACGATAATAATTATTTTAGCACATCTTTACTGCGTTAGATTTAGCCTTACAGAATGTATACTTTCCCTGATCTTCAGCTACTTCTCCTGGTCTCGAATCATGTAGAAACAGTTCACTGCATAGGGCAAGGAATATATGGACAGGGGGTCAAGTAAGTAGACCCCGCTCGCTTCAATTGAGACTGCCTGGCTAACGACAATAGGTATTCATCTATACAGACTGATGCATCAGTCCGCCCAACCAACGAGAAACTCATCCAGCAAGTCATAACGCCCTCTTCGCTGGTCTCTCCTCTCCCTCCGTCCCCGAAGAAGATCAGCAGCAATATCAAACTTAGCCTCAGACTCGGCCTCTGAAGAGTCCTCTTTCTCCGAGGTATGACTACCGCCCAAAGGCTTGTGCGGCATTTCAATCTCAAAGTCGACCAAGCCAACCCTCTCATTTCGCCCCAGCCCTCGGTCCTCTCTACCAAGAGTAGATCCCGCGACCAGCAGAGACATCTCATTCCCATGCCTCTCCTGCACAACCCGATCCAGCTCCGAAGAAAGCGAATCCAAAGACCCGGGACTCTCAAGCCGACCACTCCGCCCCACAGAATCCAAACTCCGCGGCGACCATGGTATCCCCCTCCCCTCAAACGAACCACCACCCTTCCGACGAGTCCGACCCCTTCCAGACACCCCCTCACACCCGCGATGCAAACACCCCTCATTAACAATTTCCGCAAGAAGCACATTCACCTGCGCAATACGCTTCGCCTGCTTCGTCGGTACATCATCCAGATCCACATCCGGATCGAAATCATCAGTCTGCACCAACTTCCTCTTCCGCCCACTCCTCACCACCTCATCCCTCATACCCATGCCCGCCTCAATCCTGCGCGTCTCTGCCTCGTCATATGCGGCAGCAGCCTTGAACCCGATGCCATGGTCCATCAGCAACTGTTCCAGATATCCCACGCGCGTTTCCAGGAAGGCGAGATAGCTGCGCGGGACTTCCTGCTTTGTGAGTGGGTCGTAGCCGACGCAGCGGACTTGGGCTTTTGAGCATGCTTCGCAGCGTGGGAGGCGTTGGTCGCAGCGGTGTTTGCGGAGGCGGCATCTGTTGCAGGCGGAAACGCTGCGGAAGGGGGGGACTGCTGTTATTGGTGGTGGAGTTGGGGATTTTATGTGGTCTGGAGAGGTTGGTGGTTGTTTTGGCATTTCTTGTGTAGTGTTGTTGAGCTTGGAATCTTGTCTGGAGCTCTGTCACTCTGTGGGGTATGGGTATAGGTGGAGAAGACGGTAATGTCTGAGACTTGGAACTTGGGGCAGTGAGTAGAGCTTTTTTTTTGTTAGATTGCTAATATCTTCGATTTATGGATAATTGAACTCCGAAAGTACTCCGTTAGCTATGGGCGATACAGTTTGAATTCCGGGGAACTCCGTTGTCCGTTGATTTCGAGGCCGTGGGGGTTTTCTATCGGGAGGGGGGTTCGTATTCCTCGACTGTATATATTCGGATCATTTCTGACTCCCTGTCTATTGTTGTATTCGCCCCATATCATTTCCGTAGAAGAGTGTACGCAGTCCAGTTGTGGACTGGTAAATGGTAATATGTCCGAAGAGCAATGTCATGTGATGGCAATTTAGTGTTTACACCGCCTACATTCTGCCACCCCGCACTCCGGTTTCCTAAATGGGAAATCTATTGTTCGGTTATATTTAGCAAATTGCATGAATAATACATCCCCAGTCTGTGGCCGACTGGGAAGGTCGCGAGCCTCGAGATTACCGCTGGCGGCAGACCTCGAATCGCGACGTCTCGTGTTCGAAACCGACATGCGAGACAATAGGTTCCTTGGTAATAGGTATCCCTCTCCGGGCGGGCCCCGGGGTAGCGTGACTCTGTTCCAGGAACTTTCACATGGGCCATCCACCGGAAGGCAAGAATCACGATTCCACTTCCTACTGGGTGGGCGTCTCTATCCGCATATCCGTGTGCATGTATCTTTTCTTTTTGTGCGGGGTAGTGAATGAATGTATTTATGTGTTCTTCCCTATGTTCCATACAGTTCCACGGTTCCACCTTCGCTTGCGTGTAAGACCGTCATTTTCCATCACGGTCCCTGATGGTGCGACCTAAGCTCTTCTACATCCGTCATCCTTCTCCAACACCTCCCAGTAAAACATTAATCAGTTCATTGCTCCTCAACCCACTGTGAATAGCCCACGGAAGATGTAAAGACAAGCAGCGCTCTTTCTCCGCGGGCTTCATACGCGCAATTTGCAAAGGCGAATAAATTCAAGCTGGCCCCTGATGGTGCTGGTGCCAGGCAACTAGGTCAGTCAGTCGACAGTCTGATGTATGGTCGTTGTCGCGTTCTAATCCGTAGATTTCAATCTCCTTTGATGTTTTTATGTGTGTATGTTCTTAGTAGAGTGAGCACTGAGATCTACCCCAAATTGTGTAGCATGACCAGTCTAGGTGGAATCACCTACTGGTAGTCGAATATGTTCACACTTGACATGTCGCTGTGTTGCTTCGTTGAATGATTTGCTTCCTCCTTCAAAGAATATCATCACATGATGAACTAGCAAACAGCCTGTTTGCTATTCACGTTTGCATCGTTTACGAAGTGGGCTATATCAAGCTCTCCGTCTCCTACTTCTCTTCTTCCTTCTTCCACTTCTCTCAGGATGCTCATTCCATCAAATGCACTTTATAATTATATAAGGCTCTTCACCCACATCTCTTCCTTCTTCTTTCCCTTCTCTCAGCCTTCAAAATACTCCTGCGCTAGGTGAGTTACCTATCTGCCTCATCCCAGAATGAGAGTGAGACTGACTGGTATCAGAGCTCTCCTGCATCTAGTGGCCCATTCTTGTTTCTTCCTCTTCCCGCTCCCTCCAATACTCTCATTTGAGGCCACTCTGATCGAAATCATCGATGGTGGAAGAGTTTTTGATTGACGGTACTCACGCAGACCTGTCATGACAAACGAGTCCCGTCGTCAGTCGTTGTACAGACAGCGACATGTCTGTCGCGCGTTGGAAGCGCGAGAAAATAACACTGGGTTTGAGAACCCCACGTCATCCAGCCTTACCCAGCCCCAGCTCAAGACACCGGCTTCAGACTGGGCCTTCGATTCGGTCAGGCCTGTTCCAAGGGCAATCGAAGAGTTCTCCATCAGAAGGGAAGCTGCCCATCGAGCACATCGTCGACGCTCCACGGGCGGATCTGGAGCCTCCTACGGCGGCTACAATTAGCTACTCCCTCTCCAATCGACATTCTGCGGCCTCCGCGCTCTCTCGCATACCCAAGCCACATACTCAACTACCAAACCTCGTCTCATACATATCCTGGGGAATAATGCAGCTCCAGGTAAAGGCAACTGGCTTGAAGAAAAGTTTCTGTTTCTGAGCTACAAAAAACACTCATGCGAGACAAAGAATTTCATGGCAAAGATCCCTGATGTCTCCGGGCCCCAAACCATAGGCCCGACTTCTCATACCCACCGTACGAGACTGTACAACAACTCCATGGTGCCCCACCGGGTGCGCTACTCCTACCCTACCCCCAACCCCCTTTCCTTTTGCGACGTGAGTGGGAGAAATCGAGTCTTCTACGACGAAGGGGTAATAACGAGGCTTCCACGAGGCTAGCAACTCATCAGATCCGCTCCATGGGGCCCCATTTACACCGTTGGAACCGGCACGCTACCTCTGCCACCCGTTTCTCGTCACTGATCAAGGCTTCGGTGGAGCCTCTTCGTCTTTCACCATGAGCAGCAGAATACCCCGCCAGCGGGGGTGTTGAATATGGGCTGGGATTACATTCTCTCTCGTTGTCCGACGTTGTACCGATTCACCAGCTCCTTGGTTCGAACTTGATCCCTCGACATAGCTCGTCGCTGTCCTCGAGGAATCGTGGTGGTATTGGGTGTGGCGTTGAATGCCGGCGCCCAGACGATCTTGCATACTGCCATTGACGAGCAGGGGTCGTCTCTTGTGCAGAATGGAGGCCAAAACAGCGACAAGATTCGACATCAGACATAGCTTGTCGCTGCCCTCGTGGAAACGTGGTGGTAGCTCGTCGGTCAATTTCTCCAGCTTCCTTTGGACGAGATAGCTAAACCTGGCCGAGACGAGAAAGAGCATTGCATTGCCTCGTGCGTGGCTGGCATACTGGGCAGACGGCTCTCGTCGACAGAGAGTCTGACAGCAGCGGGCCTTGATTCGTTAGCCGCGGTTCGCGCTGCGCCCATCTGGGCATCCAGGAACCTGGATGCAGGAATTCATCTCGGCGTTGCTATGCTAAGGCCCAAGGACATGGCGGACACCACGGGAGGACGACCGTTATCCGCCATTTCCGACGTACGTGCAGAGCAGATGCGAGGGGAAGGCGCAGTTACATATCGCCCCTCGCATGCAGAATTGCAACCGCGAGGATATCATCGACACGAAAAACGCGATGACGACATCGCGTTACCTGCACCCGCACTTTGGGTGTTTCGATTTCTCGTTTGAAGGCGGCTGGCAAGGTCGCTATCCAGGTACAGGTCCTTGCTATAGTGACCGCACAGAGCCTATGCAGCGTGCCTTGATGTCTAAAGGTCCTGCCTTCCAGTCATTCGAACTTGTTGTCGCACAAGATGAGTTCATTCTGCTTAACGAAGAGAAGGCTATTGCTCGTGAGAGTAATATCTTCTTGGACTACGAGTTTGACCACGAATCCCAAAACCTGCCACGGCATCGTGATGGTCTCTCTACTATATGCCGTGCGTATAGTAAGACTCCAGGCCGCGAGTTCCTCATACCACTACGTGAAACAGCACCGATCCGTGGTGAGCTTGATGGAAGCTGACTCGGTGAACGCGACCTGGCAGTTTGCCAGCCATCAAGGAGAGAGCCCAACTGAAGGCTCTCAAATTCTTGCCGGAGTCGAGTGAGCAGGGAATCGTTCCATCGAGCCCTCTCCAGCGGCCTATGCTGTTGGAGACCATTCGCGAAGGCAAGGCAGATTTCAATCCGTTCGAGCTGGATTTCGAGCCCTCAGTCAGTCTGGATTTGGTGCCTGTCTGCATTTAGACAACTGGGGGATTTCCACGAGATCCTGTGGTGTGGATTTGTGGAGATTGGACTCCCAGATCACTCGTACTGTTGCTTCACTTGGAATGAAATTGATGAGAACCATATCTGCGTGCGACAGAAATTTGAGGCCGATGTAAACTTGAGGGCCGGCCTTGATATTTTGAACTCGTTCCGGGTTAGTGAGCGGGACACCTCAGGTAGATTTCCAGGACTCCAGGAGTGAATCGGATTTCTTTTGCTATCACACCCACACAGGACTTACAGTAGTAGCCTGCCTTTATCATCTGTTCAGGCTCTAGACGGACTTCTATATTGACTCGGGATATGCTCAGTGGAAGCTGTGTTGATTAACCTAGGCTGTTTTGTAACTATATCCTTTGAATCATTTCCTTTACGAGATGCATATAGAATGTCCTTTGATGCATTCGTCATGGATCAAACGACTGATTTTCCTCTCCGGTCTGCGGCTGGTCTGAGTGTTCTGCTGAGCCGTCTTTCAGCTTCTACTTCAGTTTGAGATGGATGTCAGTACGAAATGTGCACCCCACGGCTCATCGGGACACATTTCACTTGGTCATAAGTCATGGTTGACTGAAACCATTCCATGGCTCTTGTAGTTGGTCCCAATCAATTAGGCAAACTCACCAGTCAACCCAGGACACTCCATAATCCCATGTGTCATGTAGGTAGATACCGGAGTGAAAATGGGAGAAGACCAACCGTTTGAGAAAAGGAAGCTGGTGAGTTCTCCATCTACCTTGGACCCTTGTTCAGACACGAAGGCCACTGGATACGAAGTCGTCGTGAAGTGTGACCCTTGCAAAGCAGCCTCAAAGCACAATGCGACATAACCCTCCAATACACTCGCCTTAAACGATCCGTTCATGTACAAGATAGCAGGCGCTTATGTCGTTCCAAGATGTCATATTCAGTGCGCCCCAATGGTAGCTCTTGCGGTTTGCTGGTCTCGTGATTTGTCTCGTGATTTGTCTCGTGATTTGTCTCGTGCTTTGTTATGCCCTCCCTCCCTCCCTCTCACTTTCCATCACCCCCATTCACCGGCATCCTGTAGCTTTCTATCATAGCTGTAGGCCCTGACACTGCACATGCTGCAGTGAGTGACATGCAGAGACAGCCTGAACCTGAACATCATACCTGTAATAGAGCCTGCGATACATGTTCCCATTTCTTGCTGCAAGCTTGCCATGTTTTTGTCCGACATCCACATCATCCGCATCATGAACCCTTCTCATAGTTGCGGGCCCTGATGCCACAAAGACTGCCTGACTCTTGATATCATACCTGTAACGGAGGCTGCGCTATCTGAGCCTGTCTGCCTGCACGAGCCATTACAAAGTTAATAGCCGATCATTGATATTATAATGCTGCCGTCCGCCACGAAACTATGTAGGCTGATCCCGGTAAAGAGCAGTCGTCCCTTGATGAGTTGCATAGGTAGCTGGGCCAGAAGTGGTTCGGAAAAGCGCTGCCTAGTCCAGAATGACCCTATTCAGCGCGGCTGGGATCACCTCGCCGGCGCTTGCTCCGGACCACATCCTCAGAGGGCTCCCGCCCAATTCGGCGTCGCCTGAATCGCGGCGGCTGGGGCCTCATGACCGGAGCCTTCTCTTTGTCAGTGAGCCAGTGAGGTATATGGACATGGTCAAGAGCTAATGCCCAATTTGGCGTGTGTTCTGCTCGGCGCGGCTGGGACCTCGTGACCGGAGCCATCTCTTTCCTGCTGAGATATATGGACATGGTCAAGAGCTTTTGCCCAATTTGGCGTGTGTTCTGCTCGGCGCGGCTGGGAGGTTACAGCCGGAGCCTTCGCTTTCCCAACGAGGCATGGATATGGTCGAGAGCTGCCGCCATATTTGGCGAGTCTCCCGCCGTATTTGTCAATTCTCATGCGCGCAGATGTGTTGCCTAGTCTGGATCAATCGACATAAATAGAGGATCATCCCCAGTCCAATTCTTTTCTTTCTTCTTCTCCTCCCGTACTCCGTACACACTTTGATCATTGGGCATCTTCTCCTTGACAATCATCCACAAGGAACGGAGCTCCGACTGTTCTCCGTGTGAGCAGCAAATGATGGAAGTCGGCTCACCTACTCGACGGGGATCCGGCGGTAGCCGTCGGACGATGAACGGACTCGATGTAAGTTACCGATACCCATCTGAACTCGAACGACATGAACTGCTTGACGGCTAACGTGTTTGCCCTTTGGTATGACAGGTCGGCACATTTATGACCGTCGGCTGGGGATAGCCATCAAGGGCTGCTGCATGCTCTGCGCGTCCCAGACTCCCAGTACAGGCATCCCGCCTTTCCAATACCAACAGTTGAAGAAGAGGGCCCCAAGACGGCCAACTTGACACCTATCTATGTCGCCGTGGGTCTTGCCGGTCTCGGTGCTGGTGTCTACCGCCACAGCAACACCGCTGTCGCCGAGCCCAAGGAGCACCTGAAGGTCTTCAACGGCGAGGACTGGGTTGACCTCATGCTGGCCAACATTGAGATCCTGAGCAAAAACACCAAGCGTTTCCGCGTCGAGTTCGAAGACAAGGAGGCTGTCTCTGGTCTTCCCGTTGCCTGTGAGTAGCATGACCTTGATCGCGTTCATCAGTTCCTCACTAACGATATACAGCTGCTCTGTTGACCCGATTCAAGCCTGAGGGCGCCGAGAAGGACGTCCTCCATCCCTACACCCCCACCCGATGAATCCCATGTTGGTCGAAGACTTTCCGAAGACTTCCCGAAGCAGACTGGCGAAGCTTATGTGTGGAGCGTGTGGAGTGGTATCTGTAAGCCACACAATTCCGCAGTACTACCCGCTACCACAACTTCAATGTGCTCTATGTCGACTACTGACGGCGGTGTCATCGGCAAGTCAGTTTCCGACGCCTATCAGCAGTTACGAGGAGAAACGTTCCCCACACTCCACTTCAGACCTTCGACGGGAAAACGACGATTGGCGGGGGGTCGCAATCGAGGAGTTCGTCAAGTCGATGACCTCCCTCGGTGACTTGGTCCTGGCGTTCCGAGTCGGACGGGACTGGACCATGCTGACTTAGTCGGCTCTCCAGGTGGATTGCGGATGGATACTTGACGACCCACCGCCCAGCACGGCAGCACCGCATGCTCATCGGCCGCGGCGGCGATACCCGCCGTGGCATCGAGTCCAAGTTCAACGTCACTATGGACATCCCCAAGCAGGGGGGTGTCGTGACTTTTGACCCTAACGAGGGGAAGTTGGAAATGGTGCCCACTAAGGACGCCTGGCGCAACTTCGGGCTGATGTGGGTTTTTATCGCATCGCTGCTGCGGTGTTCATTTATTGGCTTGCTCCTCCAGGATGGCCAATCAGAATGCCTGAAGAAGTGGGACCTTTGGAAAGAGTGGGGCCTTTGGTGGAAAGGACATAGACCTGTGCCACCTCTTTTTCGACATCGCAAGTTCGCAACATTCATCCCAATCCAATTCATGCCGTTGTTCTGACGTGGGTCATTATAAACGTTGCTAGCACTATCAGTCTGTTCGAGATGAGCGGGCTCTTCCGTTGGGGCTATGCATTGCCGTCCAGCGTACCAGGTTTTGATACAGATCTGGTCTGGTGCAATAATAGGCTTTACCAGGCTCTTCCTATTATGTTCTCATGGTGGATCGTTGTTCCTGCTGCGGTTTATGCGATGCGGTTTCATGCGTTTGCATGGACCGAGCATCGAAATGTCTTTCTCGCCTGGTGTACGAATGAATGTACATAGTTCTCCATTCTTGGAATTCTCTTACAATTATCGAGTTGAAGAATTCAAGATTCTATATTCAAATCTCCATTTTGCATACAAGAGAAAAGACCCTAAGCCTAGATCGTGACATAAATGCCTCATACATCTATCTCTGCCATACAAATCCACCAGATTGTCACATGGTCGAGTGCCATGCCATACATTCATGGGAAATTGGTAATGAAACGTTGTAAAATACCATTTAAAAACAGGGTACATTGGAAATCATAGGATGGTTAAATGGTTTAGCTCGTGTGCGAGTAAAGGTAAACTTGAGCATCAAGATAGGGAAGGCAGGAGAAAAGTTAATCGCTTCATACAACGGGATGGGAAGTTCAGGTAATATGGAAAGAGGGAGAGGAAGGGAAAGATGAATAGCATCAAGATGGAAAGAGATAGAGAGGATGAGAGACAAACAATGTCAAGGAAGGAGAAGGGGGAGATGAAGAGCACCAGGATGGGAATATGTGAATAGCATCAAAATGGAAAGAGAGAGAGGTGAGAGGATGGGGATATGTGAATAGCATCAAGATGCAAGAGAAGGAAGTACAGCGAAAGATGAATAGCATCAAAATATACCAAAATGGTAAAAAAGGTCCCCATTACCTACCAGTGGGTAGGCACTCCAGACCGCTCCTGGACCATCAGAATATCCCCGCGGGGGCTACGAGGCTTCTCCAATCTTCATCGCCTGCACCTCCACCCTCTGTACTAATCTACGGCCTCCCTCCTAAGTAACGCCGTCCGCTGCGACAGAAGTCCTTTGGGTCAAAGCGCGGAGGGTTTGCCTAGTGTAGTGCTTCGAGAGAGCTTTGGCACAGACGAATCCAACCGGCAGCGGCTAGCAGAGTAGGATCACGAAGAGGGACTAGCATTAGCCTGGCAATCGTGGTTTCCCATCGAAGGAGCCCTAGACACCCTATTAACCACTAGACCACTGGGGGGGGAAGGTTAAATATAAGTACAATTTCCTCCTCATAATGGAACAAATGGGTCACGGGGAATGTCACTGGGAGTTTTAGATCGGCATCTTGGAGGCCTTATAGGGCGGTTGGGATATTCAAATTTAATACATAGAATCTGGGGATGGCTAGCTACCTGTTTGCGAAGTTATAGATTAATTGCACACGATATGGTGGTGGTTGATGGGAATATAACTTTCTTGGGTACATCCATCTCGAGACAAACATGAGGCTATTCAGAACACAACCTTATGCGGCTGACATATGACCTCAACCTCGAGGCTGTGGGTTCAATTCCCGACGTTGTCGAAATAATTATTCTTTGAGCACATACCATTTCCTGGTTATTATGAGAAAAGCAGAACATCGACACATGACCCACCAGCCAATACAATATCAGAACACCATCAAAGTCCTCTGCCATCCACACCAGTCTTCCCAACTGGGCCAGTGATCAAGTCGAGTCTCGCATGCCTGGCTACAGTACGAATACCCACTAAGCCCTCAACGCTTGACTACAGCCTAGAGTCTAGACGGAGGTCGTTGGACTTCAGTGAAGGTACTAGTTATATGCATTGCCGAATGCACAGCACTCGGCACTCCATGAAGATGGGTCTTCTTCTGAAGTCTGTGATGTCGATAAAGATGCTGAGTCGACCGGGCAGGTATCACTCGTCGTCCTTTCCATGATATTCACAATGCCCGCATTGTCCATTGTTCCTGCCATTGTAAACGTTATCTAGTGAGCCGATAGTCGCTTTAGGTTTCGGCGGGGTTTTCGGCTGGGCTAACGTTACGGGTGGGGGGATATAGGTAAAGGTTTGGAGCTTGAATGGCGTGTGATGGATGGAAGATGTCCATTACAATACTTATGGATGTTCGTATACCTACCTATAGTGAGGTGAGCCTGGTTCTTCGCCAAAATATATACCGGTTCTGATCCGCAATTTTCATGGTTACTAGTAGTACGTTCAAGCAGTTCGATTGTGTCATGATATCATAGCAAACTGGTTTTCAAACTCTCCCGATCCATGGACATGCACACGGTATCTCGCCCATGGGGTGAAACGTGACAATCTAAGTGGATCCCGAAAGACGAAAACAGGTACATCTACTAGACTACTCCGTACATCACAGACACTGCTATCTACACAGCTTCGGTCCGTTTGTGGGGAAGTTGATTTCCATATCGATCGCTCCATTCACGATCTTCCACGTCAATTCGCCTATTCTCATCGAGATGGCTATAGCCTTTCGCCCGCGGCGGCCCGCCCGCCAGCCGGTTCAAAAGAAAGTCCCATTGCATGCCTTCGAGACCCTCAATCTCGATAGCAAAGAGCCCGCCCCACTATATCCATGATATCATTTCTTTTCTACTTATCAACAAAGTCGCCCCCATGATCAATGACTACACAGCATCTCAAGAACAATGACCCAAGATGATACATCCGTGAGTACCAGCACGACAATGGATATAGAACAAACCTCCACGAATGACGAGCACAAGTTTCTCAAGCCAGCGCCCGATGCAGACGAAGCAATTAAAGCTTTTGAGCAACAGCAAGGCCAAACGATCGAAATAGACGAAGCGACTAATCGTCGTCTCGTGAAAATTATCGACTGGCACATGATGCCGTTAATGTGTTCTGTCTATGCCATGAATTACCTCGACAGTATGCATCGTGCAACAGGCTAGGTAGATGTGCAGCTAACGAAGCACAGAAACTACGTTATCATACGCCAGCGTCATGGGTCTCAAAGAGGACCTCGGTCTGGTACATGATCAGTACCAGTGGCTGGGCAGTTTGTTCTACTTTGGTCAGCACTTTCTGCGACTCTGTATAGTGCATGGGTGTTAATGAAGAGCTTAGGATATCTTGCTTGGGAATATCCAACCAATCGGTTGCTACAGCTTTTACCGCTGGGTAAATACTCGGCTGCTTGCATTATCATCTGGGGTACGATTCTTAGCTGCTTCGCGGCGGCCAGGAACTACCCCGGAGCACTTGCGATTCGCTTCTTCCTCGGTGTGTTTGAAGCTGGGGTGACGCCTGGGTTTGCGCTGTTGACTTCTCAGGTAACTTCAACCTATGTTCTGGATGAAATTGAAAAAGAGACGTCCTCTTTTGACACTATACTAACCTCGTACCAGTGGTACACAAGACCCGAGCAAGGCAAACGCGTAAACATCTGGTACAGCTTCAACGGCTGGGGCCAAATAGTCGGCGGCTTAGTAGCCTACGGCATTGCCGTAGGCAGTAAGAACAACGGCTCCCTCATTGCACCCTGGAAGATCGTCTTCCTCTTCACAGGACTGCTTACCGTCGCCCTCGGCTTCCTCTTCCTCTGGGTCATCCCAGACAACCAGCTGAACGCTCGCTGGCTCAAAAAAGAAGATCGCATCCTAGCCATTGCACGTGTGCGTGCCAACCAGCAGGGTATCAACAAAGAGTTCAAATGGTATCAAGTCAAAGAGGCACTAACCGACCCAATGACATGGGCTTTTTTCTTCTTTGCCCTTTTCGCCAATATCCCTAACGGGGGCATTACCAATTTCTTCAGTCAGTTGGTACAGCTTACCCTTTTGACCAGTAGGTTTGGTGCAATATACTGATCACATATGGTGCAGATCACGAGCTTCGGGTATACCAAAGAGGAAAGTCTACTATACGGCACGCCTGCTGGCGCAGTCGAGGTAGTTGCACTTGTGTTGAACGGGTTTATCGGTGACAAGACGCGTCAACGGATCTTGTCTAGTATCGGTGGATTGATAGCTGCTGTTATCGGTATCATTCTCATGGTTTCATTGCCACTGGATAACCACGTCGGCCGGTTGATCGGGTACTACATGACCCAGGCTTACCCTACAGCCTTCGTGGCTCTGTTATCACTGATCTCTTCTAATGTTGCTGGGTATACAAAGAAGACTACCGTTGCTGCACTGTACTTGATTGGATACTGTGTGGGGAATATTATAGGTGAGGAATGGAAGACCCGGATTCATGACTACTTCCAGTCGCCAGAATATGAGAATATGCTAACCTTGTTAGGTCCATTGACGTTCCGTCCTGAGGATGCTCCACGCTATGTCTCGGCTGAGATTGTAATCATAGCCTGTTGGGGTATGTGTCTGTTCATCCTGCTGTTCGTCCGGTGCTGGTATAACAGGGAGAATCGACGCAAGGCAGATCTTGTCTCGCAGTCGGATTATGTCCATGCGGAGAATCGGGGGTAAGTGTTTTGATCTATTGTCTAGCTTTACTAGAGTATTGCTGACTCTCTCAGGTGGCTTGATCTTACGGACCGTGAGAATCATGAATTCATCTACACACTATGAGATTGAGGGAAGGATCTTTTTCCCGCGCAAAATCGGAAGGCCTGATATTTTTCGCCAAAGGCGTGATGGGCAGTAAAATATTTATTAGCGTGGAGGGAGGGTGATTGAATCGATAATACTCGAGATTCTTGAAGTCATCGGTAACATGCTGTCGCTGTGGGATTATTGGGGCGATTCGTAGATGGACTTGCCAGTTGGCTGGTGGTTTGCCAGTTGACGGGAAGCTAGCCAAACACGCACCTGGAACTCGGCACCTACAAGTGGATACTGACAACTGGACAGAACATTATTGTTCATACTTTATTTGAAAGGTATTTATTTGGAATGCCACTCCGAATCAGAACTACAAGTCTTCCTGTTAATGTTAGATGGTAGCTTTGATGCATGTTCTAAGCCGGCAAATCAAGTGCATCGACAAGGCCGCGCAAATACTGTTTGGTAAAGGCTTTCATTAAGGTATCTGAAGAACGCAATTCACGCCTCAATCCCCCGTCGTCTCCTCAGGTCCAAATACTTAGCAGCATAGTCATTAGCCAAGACCGGATCCCCAGTAAGATGCATAACAGTAGCCTTCTTAGCCATCATCTCCGTCTGACCCTTAATATCCTCAATTTCCTCATAATGATCATAAGCCAAATCAATATACCCAAGCGCACGATTGATATGCTCTTTCCTCGTAGACGTCGACTCCCGACCCTTAAGACTCCACAATTCACCCGCCATACCCATATTCGCATCAACGAGCAGTGAATAGCCGCAGGCAATGAGACCGTAGTCTTCCGACTCCAGGATCTGCGGCATGATGCTCTCGACCAGTTCGCCGGAAGCTTCGAATTCCCGCAGACTTAGGAGTACCGAGGCGAGCGTGCAGATGGCTTCCCAGAGGGTGGAGAGGAGTTTTGCGCGGTGTGCGATGCTGGCTGCGCGCATGGCGAGGGAGAAGCCGCGTTGTGGTTGGCCGGATTTGCCGAGGATTTGGGCTTTGAGGCAGAGGAGCTTGACTTGGAAGTGGATGTCGAAGTTCTCCGGTTGCATGGAGTGGGCGGCTTGTTCGACCATTCTTAGGGCGCGGCCGTAGTCGCCTTGGCGGATGGTGAATTCTATCTTGTGGAAGGCTAGAAGGATGCGCATGTCGAATTCGAGGAGTTGTACTGCCTCGAGTTGGGCAATGATGTGTTCCACGGCTACCTTGTCGTCGCTGGGGGTTGTTAGAGATGGATCGAAAGGTATTGGGATGAAAGTACTTACCGGCAGATTTGTCGTCGTAACCGCAGTAGCCCTGAATACCAAGTCCATGCGTTGTTGTACCTGGCAGTTCGGAGTTGTTCTGGGTCGATCTTGTTCATCCTTGTGGATGCTTCCTTGTAGTTACCCTTTTGTGCCAACTGTGGTATAGACTTAGCATGGTTCAACGTGCTTCTAGAGAGTTAACGTACTATGTGGCAGTTTCGAAATGTGATCTTGACACTGTCATCGTTTGATTGTCGTTCTGCATAGCATTCGCGGAATACTTCGGTATTCAGCCAGGCAAGGTGGGTTGCTCCTAACGGGATATCAGTACCATCGCAAGTCAAGAAGAGTCTCATGATTTACCTATTCTCGAGTACATGGAGCCATGCTGCAGCATGTATGCACCCGTGGGAGCCACGAGGCCCTTTGTCACGTTGACGTGGGATGCTCGCACGAATGATTCGACAATGCCGGCTAGACTCTCTCCCTACCACTCATTAGAATCACCGGTTGAGACTAAGAAAGGAGACATGCTTACCTGCTGCATTTGCAATTTAGCCTCGCTCAGCAAGGTGGTACTCATGAGAGACCACATCTCGGTCTCCTTGGCCTTGGCCTTGAGGAAAGCAAGGCCTTCTTTTTCATTACCCAGCATTCCGCTGTTTTGCACGTCCCTCATCTGTTCTGGGAAAGATTTGCTAAAGTGGTACAACCAGCTCATGCAGAAGTTCAAGCAGTGCATATCGTGGGACTCGCGGGCAATGGCAACAGCCTCTTGCACGGCCGAGATAGCCTCGTTGAAGCACTCGAAATCTGCTTGCATGACGGCAAGATTAAGCAGCGCAAATTGGTATGCGCTTCGATCATGGCTCGCGTGCATGTTGTAGTCGAAGTAGCGGTGGAGGTTATCAAAGGCTGAGGTGTAATCTCCAGCTCTCCAGGCGTCGAGATATCTGGTAGTGTCAGCCATGCACATCCTAACTTGATACTCTGATCGACATACCCCAAGTAATGCATCTGTACCGGAACGAAAGTCTCCGCGGTCACGATACGCTTTAGCTGGGCTCTCATTTCGTCCGGAACCCTGCCTCCCATCCCTGTATTTGTTAGCCGATTGTCTCAACAAGCCTGAAGAGAGGTGCATACTTTGCAGTTCACCAACTTGGAATTCAAGTAATCGCTCTGCATCCTTGGCGCTGATTTCCTCTTCATCATTACTTTCCTCAAGATTACCATACACCACCTGCGAGAGGTGGCTGGTTGAATCCAGTCCGAGGTCACGTAGATTGATATCAATGGCAGCCTCCTCAGCCCCACGATGCCTTCGGCTCCAGTAGTGAGCTGTCGGCAGACGATATTTGATGAATCCCGTCCAGAGCTTCACAGAATCATGGAAGTGCAACCGCGTGTACTCAAGGTAAGCTCTCCGGACGAATACACCCAGCGGCGAGCTCCTCGACAGACGTATGCGATCATCATTTTCCAGAACAATCCCATTATCCCTGGCATGAATCAGCTCCTCACGCGACTTCTCCAGAAGCGACAAGACATCAGTGTTGAAGAAAGTCTCCAAAGCATCCAGGGAGTCGATCGCCCACATGTTCCTCAAAAACATGTCCCATAGCGTGCGCCCGGGAATGGAACTTTCATGTTCGGACAGACACTTCTTGAAGTCTTGAATGGTCGGCAGGTAATGCTCCTCCCATTGCTTATCGGCGGCATCTAGTGGGAACAGACCCGCCGTGATGAACGAGAGGACGTGGATAGCTGAAGAATTAGGCACAGCACCATCAGCGTAGAGTGTGACCAGACACAGCAAGGAGACTCTCCAGGGAGTCAAATAACGCGTCATTTTGCCTGCGCTATGGCTGTTCCATCTTTGCTGGTTATTGAGACAGATCTACTGTTGCCAGGGCGCGTGTAGACGGATAAATTGATCGACACCTCAGGCGACAAGGCCGCAATGCGGGACAAGTAAAAAAAAGTGAACGATGACGCATCACGACTGTTCCTCCGCAACTCACCAATTCAACTGCACAATGGCTCAGGCTCTGACGACTACGGATTTGGAGGGCACTTTGCCGCTCATTGCTCGAGGCAAGGTCCGCGACCTCTACGAGGTCGACGATAAGACCCTCCTCTTCGTTGCGAGTGATCGCATCTCCGCCTACGATGTGATTATGGAGAATGTACACTTCCCTTCCGCCATTGCTTAGCTGGTTATGTCTGCTAACGCGCGGTCTTCATAGGGAATCCCCAACAAGGGCGTTCTTCTCACTCTCTGCACGCAAACATGGTTCAAGACCCTGACGGAGGCCAACCCCTCGCTCCGCACCCACTTCATCACCCTCGACCTCCCGCCCCAGATCCCGGAACACCTCCGCCCCGTCCTACAAAACCGCAGTATGCAAGTGCGCAAGCTGCGCATTCTCCCCATCGAGGCAATTGTCCGTGGATACATCACCGGCTCGGCATGGAATGAGTACAAGAAGTCCGGAACCGTGCATGGAATTAAGGTCCCCGCCGGTCTGCAGGAGAGCCAAGCTTTCCCGGACGGCCCTATCTACACCCCCAGCACGAAGGCAGAGCAGGGCGAGCACGATGAAAACATTCATCCCGATCAAGGTATGCTCTTTTTGGACATTATCTGTATAGTATACGAAAGACTCGAACTAACACGATCTTCCTCTCATAGCTGTCGCCATCCTCGGTGAACGCTACGCCGCAATTGTCGCCAAGATGGCTGTTGAGCTCTACAAGACGGCGCATGAGTACGCTCTCAAGCGCGGCGTCATTATCGCCGATACCAAGTTCGAGTTTGGCGTCGACGAGGAGACTGGTGAGGTCGTCTTGGCTGATGAAGTCTTGACGCCTGACTCCTCTCGCTTCTGGCCTAAGGAGTCCTACGAGATTGGTCGTGGACAGGCTAGCTTTGACAAGCAGTTCCTGCGTGACTGGTTGGTGAGCCAGGGTCTGAAGGGTAAAGAGGGTGTGCGCATGCCCGATGACATTGCCCTCAAGACGGCGGAGAAGTACCAGGAAGCTTGGGAGAAGATCACTGGAGGCACTACGAACTAGATGTATATGCCCTGGATGAGGCCAGTTAGCCGTCAGGGATAGAGATAACTTGACTTTAGATTTATGTATTTGTTATGAAGTCAGGACGGGAATGAATTCTAATGTGATGTCCAAAAGTTGCTTTGGCAGATTAATGTACAGATTGTCGGTCTTTGACCTTTACTCCTCCCATTCACCCTTCAACCCCTTGAGACCCTTAGCGGAGCCGCGATCCTGCTGCTTATTCTGCTTGATCTCCTTCACAGGTTTCTCTTGAGGCATATCGGTCCAACCTGACTGGACACCCTCGTCGAGAGGCAGCGCATTCTCACCACAGATACGGCGCTCTTCTTCAAACTCCGCCTCACTAATGCCATTAGTAGCCCAAATCTTATGAATGCGCAAATCAAACGGCCCCTCAACACGATCCGTAAGACCAATTCCAATACTCTTCACACGCTGCCGAGTCAGAGAAGTCTGGGGCTCGATGACGAAACCGTGGTTCGTGCGCACGAACGAGTTGAACGGCAGAAGTACCGTCTCCCACCCGCTCGAGCCAGATGTCGTCGTACTAGTCGACGTAGACATGATAGTTGATTCAGGCGGAACATCCGAGAGCGCAGCAGGCAAGCCGTTGGGATATAACTCGTCAACAGAATCGGGGGAGTCGGCCTGGAAACTATATGCGTCATCCGACGATGTCACTTCGCGCACGCGGTGGTGGCGTGTATATAATCTGTGCTGGTGGATATCGGTCTCTACGACAGCTTCGGTCTGCACGTTGACAGTGTACCGCCGACCATCGGACTTGATCCGCAGTGCGAGATAGGCGTAAGGATCGACGTCCCAAAAGAGCTTGCCGAATAGCCAGTAGCCCCGATCTTGATTGCGGAAGGCAGCGTAGCCTGGAATGCGCGAATTAGTTTGGATTTTAATTTCTGAAACTCTGATGAGTTTGCTCTTAATTGCTCCGTGTATAGCCTATGCCTCGGCATGTTGCAAATGAAACTTACCGGTTCTTTCTACACGCCAGTTGTCTGGAAGTTTGGTTGAGATGCTACCGTGGAAGCGGGCATGTGATGGTGTGTTGGAAGAAGGTTCGGCAGGTTCGTAGTCTAGGCTGGCGGTGCTGAAGCCACCCACTGCACGGTCGGCCATGGTCTTGCATCCTTTGACGGTTTCTTCATCTTCGAAATTAAGGAGGGTATAAGGTTTGGTAGGAGTGTGAAGGGTTTCCGTGTTCCAGGCTGCGCCAAATGTCAGGTGAGCTGCAGGAAACGGTATTGACGTAGCTTAACTTACCAATCCTGGACAGTCGGCCGAACTCGTCGGCACTACGTTTGAAGAATCCGCCCTGGGCTAAGCGTCGGGTTGGGAACATCGTGAGGTAATTGAAATTGTGACGAGAGAAAAAGTCCGGCAGGAGTTCAAGGTCGATGTTTCAATGATGTCGCCCATCCGAGGTGGCGTGCACGGGACCGATAAGATAGCTTTGTTTGGGATGTTTGGGTTGTTTGAATTGTTTGCCAAGATGATCTTCTAGAACGTCAGCTTTACCCTAAGTTGGATCTCCTCTCTCTTTGTATGTCTATACAATGAAGTGTTTTTCTTTGCTTCACTTTTCTCATAGAATCAATGAGTGACATTTGATAGGCATGTACTTTTAGTTGGGAAGATGGCCTTCTTATTAATTACTAAACGTCACTATGTTGCAACTTGCGACTGCCTGTCAGGCTCCTGTGTCCCAGGGATACAATCTCAAGATCAAAGCTAAGTATTCTCGTTTGACAGGCCTAAGCCAGAAACTGGAATTTAATTTCTTCCTGGTGGCTGAAAGCTGAGATCTGGATTGCCGTGCTTAGGTATCAACTGCCATGCCCAGATGCACTTTGCTGGACAACTGACGACATTCTGATCCTCATGGACATATTTTGTCTAGTCATACTTCGCAGTCCGACACCTGAAGAGGCATTACGTGGGATCACTTTCTCTGGATACACTAGGATATCCAGGGTTTGTTGCCAACTCTATCTAAAGAGTCATGGACTTTTCCGCACTATCGATGATGGACCGCTGGTCCAACGGACACTGGATTGCCACAGTATGGGCAGATGCCTGCTGTGACTCAATATCTGATGCTATATGTTTCATTTTAGAGTTTTGCCCCGGACTTTACAGAGATTTGAGGCCCATACTTATGTCGGTGCTGGGCCTACAAAGCGGACAGGTTCATTATCATCCTAATTGGGCGGCGGAGGTCCTTTTCTTCTGTAGTTATAGCTGAACACTACACTCTCTCCGCCTCGACTTTCTCTTACCTCTTTCTCATCCTATCCAAGTTCATAGTCTTACAACACTCTCACTTCTCTCACTCACTACTCTCACTTACTACAGCTTAAATCACATTCGTTCATCCCAGCACACATACCACATATACTGTGCAGTATCGTCTAAAATGGTTCTACATTACGTCGAACCCACTGGCACCGAGTCTATTAGCCCGGAGACTGTCGTCCCAAGGGAAGAAGGCCACGATAATGGCTCTTCGGACACGAGTGAACCTGATACCAATAGCTCGCAGCTCAGCACTCCACAAGAAACTGATTCTGAGCCAGCCAAGCCTAGATTTTCTCCTCGTGCTGATCGTCTGAATCAAAAGCCAAGCAAGGGAAATGCACAGGGACTTTTCCTGCCGGATGCCTGTGTCTTTGTGGGGAAGTAAGTATTGACCCGTCCATTCTGATACTCCAGATATTAACGAAATCCGTCAAGCCTTTCGATTAGGTATACTCTTGAACAGTTAGAGGAAGATCTTACTACCCTGGTCTCTCCCTTTGGAAAGTGCCATGTCAAGGTTCGAATGTCCGCGAAGGATAAGGCACTTCCCGTGGGGTTTGTTCAGTTTGAAGTAAGTGACTCGTGACTCCCATTTGATATGCCTCAGGATAGAGAACACAAAGAAATAATGCAGACTAACATGGACAGGACATAAAATGTGCACAAGCAGCGCTTAGACAAAATGGAGAGTTGAGGCTGCATAATCGTACCTTGAGGTTGGAGTCATCCAAGGCCAGACGTGAGTTCCTTCCCTCTTCTCTCCATTGCACCTTCTCTCTTCTTCCTCTTTCTCCTTCTTCTCTCCTCCATTGCACTTTCTCTCCTCTGCACTTTCTCTTCTGTACCTTCTCACACTTTCTCATAGGAACTGCCTTTTTCGGATATCTCACAGACGCTCCCATTTCTCGAGAAGAGATTCTTGCTGCCCTGCACGATCGTGGCTGTCTCGAGAGCCTCATCATCAAGGACGACTACGTCGACCGCCACGGCAACAAAACTACATATGGTGTTGTGACTTTCGCATATCCTGACGACTTCGCTGATGCCCTTACCGTAAGTATCCACCTTACGAAATTTCCTCATACTTGGCTAACTACTTCCCATTTCAGCACTTCAATAGCAGTCGCAAATACTACATGACCAGAACCGAGATGGATGCCAATGAGGGCCCAGGCTCTCAGGGCTATCCTGCTCCTGGACACAGACCATCCAATCAGCCAACCCGTGGCCATCAGCGCTACAACAGTAACTCTGGCCGCAGGCCTTTCAATCGTCCATGGTTCAGTGGCAACAACAGAGGCAGTTTCCGCAATGGTCCTGGTGCTCCCCCTAGACACAACGCATCTTTCTCAAGCAATGGTGGCCATAGTCAAAATCCAAGCTTCGACGGTCGAGTCCAAGGCCATTCACCTCACGATTCATTCGCGATTACACATCACCACAATGGCAATGGCAATGGCAATAGCTTCCCTCAGGGCTTCAGTGGCAATTTCAACCCGGGTTATCAAAACCCTAACTTCAATATGGGCTACCAGGGCAACAACTTCCCTCAGAACTATCCGGGTCAGTTCCAGCAGGGCTATCCTGCTCCGAACTTCGTGCCTCCTTTCTCGGGTCCGCCTGTGATGATGACCCCAATGCCAATGGCCGAGTTTCAACCTCCCCCATACCCTGCTGATTACACTCCTATGCCAAATCCTGGGTACCCGATGTTCATGGGCAATCAACCTTACCAGCCTCCCAATTATCTGCCTCCTATCGTCACCAACCCTCAGCCTGGAAACGCCGTGGTTCAACGTCGCCGGCGGTTGCCCCCAAATCCTGACAGTCCTTTGATTGTCTCGAGCCAACCGCAATTTGACACCGAAGAGCACATTCGACGCTATTATGAGTACTTGCCTGCCAACAACTACGCTGGTGCTCAGGCAGGCTGGGTCGGTAATCCTGGTGGTTACATGCATCCAGGCTACAATCAGCCGCCGCCGTTCATGCCGAACTTCCAATTCCCTCAGAGTCGTCACTCCAGCATGGAAAGCAACAAGAGAAACTCGCCCTCTCCTCGCACTGTAATTGAACCCGATGGATATGACGAGTCCTCTAATCGGGTTGGCTCTGAGTCAACCCTGGTGCAGACTAGAGTCGACAGCTCTGATTACGAGAGAGGACGTCAACTGGCCCGGCATCGTCATGCGAACACCGATGGAGCCTCATCAGTGCCTGCCTCTGATAAGACAGAGGACCGCCCCGCCCCTGCGCAAGCTCCGGATGATTCTCAGGAAGGAGTCAACCCAACAGATGAGACTCAGTCTGCTGCCCCTGTGACTGACAACAAAACACTCGATTCTCAGGGCAACTCCACCGAGCCTGAGAAAGAGCCTATTCACACTGGAGCCGATGAAAACAAAGAGCAGCCTATCGATGAGGCCATGGCATCGCTCAAGATCGAATCCAAGCATGACGAAAGCACCGGCTCCTCTTCTGAAGCCGGCCCCAAGACCCCAGACACCGATGAGTCCCGAGAGTGCGCCAAGGCCATCCTTGCGGCCTCAGCCGCAGAGAGTTCCGCCGATACCAGGACACCTGACACCGCTGAGACCCTGACACCAACCGACAAGGGTACTCCAAGCAAGGACAAGGGCAAAGGCAAGGCCACTGCCACATCGACTCCCACCAAGCCCGTCGCCAGAAGGCTCGAGCCCGCCCTCCCAGACGACAAACACCTCCTAGCTCGCCACGCTTTCCAACACCGCAAGCCTCTGAAGAAGAAGTATCAGCCCAAGACCGATACTGGCAAGACGGTTGAGCAGTACACCCGTGAGATCAACGCGCAGCGTGCCGCGGCTGATCCTAACTCGCGTGTCCCTGACCATCTCCTGCAAGAGGTCATTATGGAACTTGAAGGGGAGCGTCGTGAGGAATTGCGAGCTCGTCAAGGTTTTGGTCCCAATGACCAGAGCAGCACCGATAGTGGTCCTTCTGCTAAGAAATAAATTTGCGAATGTTACTGATCGAAAGGGGATGATGGCTCCGGCCACTGGTTTCTTATGAGGAAGTGGACGAGGAACCGGGGGATGATGAAGCGGATGAGAATGGAGGAAGTTATGCGGTTTTGTTTTTTCTTTATGGATTTATCTCGTTTGCCTTTCTGTTTCTTCGTGCTTTCTTGTGCTTTCTTGTGCTTTCTTGTGCTTTCTCGTGCTTTCTCGTGCTTTCTCCTGAGTTCTCCTGTTTGGTCCTGTCTTCGTTCTCTCCTCCATTCCACCGCTTCCTCGTTCCCTTTCCTTCTCTCCTTACCTCTCCTGCTTTTCGTTTTATGTTTTTAATCTGCTAGGTTTTCTATTTTATGGTCTTTTACCAGAAAATCACAAAAAAACGAGCTGCCGAGCATGTACGTACAATATGGTCGTGCTTCGAGTCGGTGATGGATCGTCGTTGTATGCAGTTTCAAATTTCAATTCTACAGCCTTCTCTACGAAATAGTGTATTCTCCAATAGCGGAATCATTCGTACCTACTAGACCCTGAACCCCAATAGATATGGAAAGTAGCATACGAAGTATGAAGTACGCGTTGGAAGTATGAAGTTTGAGTACGAAGTATGATAAGCCACACGGCAGAATCCCCATGTAAACGCCGTTAGTAAAAGCCAATGAGATATTTACATAATGCGTGCTCGCAATCTTGCATGCCACGAAAAACAAATGCCGAAGAATAATGTGATGAACGCCGACATATTCCCAAAAGAAAAAGCGCGAAAACAGATAATGAATGAAAGACAAGACAAATTTCCCATATGCGAACGCTCATGGTAATTATAGACGTGATCGTAATGGATGCATTCAATGATCGATGATGGATGAATGAATGGGAGTGAGGAATAGGGTAGACAACAGCGCTGATAGAAGGGATAAATGGAGGAAGAGGGAGATGGAGTATACATAGTGCCAGTTCCACTTCGAAGGAAGAAGAATTTCAAGCCCTTACACGCCTAGCATCGAAATACCCCAAATTAACAGCCGTATCATTAACGCCCAAGAACGGCGCCGCATCTTCGAGCAATTCCCACGGACGGACCTGGTAAGGACCTACGACACGACCACGGTGTTGAAGACGGAGTCGGCTGGCTATGCCGTTCGGGTCATCTGATAAGCCGGTCGATGGGCCGGGGACTGGCATAGATGGTTGCGCCGGTGATGATCCCGGGAAGAGGGCAGAGGCGGGTGTTGATGCTGCCGGGGATGCGACTGAGACTTGTGTGGTGGCTGGGTGGGAGTCGGCGATTGGGCCGAGGAGGTAGATGTAGCGCGGGTCGTTCTGGAAGGGTAGGAAAGGGGGACATTTCTCGCGCAGGAAGCGAGCGCATTGGTGGCGGACTTCGTCCGGGAAGATGTCGATTAGGGAGGCTGCTACGTCCAGGGCGTGGGTTTGGAGGAGGGTTGGGATGGTGAAGGTGTCCCCTGCTTGGGTTATATCTGTGGAGGACGAGGGTGAGAGTTGGGGAGGGTCGCTTGGTAGGCGGGAGAGGGCGATGCAGATGATTGAGGTTAGAATGCGGAGCTGCTCGTGGGTGGGGTTTGTTTTGAGGATTGCGGGTGGTTGGATGAAGGCGGATCGGTGGAGGACGGTTAAGCGGAGGAGAGCGGAGAACCAGAGGGAGAGGGCGCGCTCGAATCTTGCACGGTCTGGATTGGCTGGACCCTTGGGAGGAGTGTTGTTGTGCATAACGATGATCTTGTGGAGGAGGGAGTCCATCTTTTCCACGAGCACTGAAGCAACTGCCGGAGCTCCAGAGTCGGGGATGCTGCTCGCGAGCTCTTCGATGATGGTGAGATACATTCTGGCGGTTTGCAATGATGGCAGCTTGGCAGGCGAATCAGGTATGTCACCTATTGGCTCTTCGAGTATCGGAATAGAGAAGAACTCTTTCTCAGCACGTTCCCGGATTTGGCGGACCGCGTCCGGGCTCATCAGTGCAACCAGGTCAACCCAGTGGAATCTATGAGCACGACAGTCTGTCACTGCAGTCTTGAACATGGCATCAATGATGTTCGTCCGATCTTCCGGCCCTGAGACTGCGTGGAATAACACTTGCAGTTTCAGCTGGCAAAAGGGCAGCGAGAAGTCGTCAGTCATACTGGCAAGTTTTTCGACCTTTGACAGGACCGAGTTGCTGTCGGATTGTGACTCGACACCCAAGAGAAGATCCAGCGCTTTCTGGACAATACCCAGAGCAGCTGGAGTTTGGTCCATGAGCTTTTGCAAGCCATTCTGTGCTGCATAATCAGGGTGTCGCACGAGGAGATCCCGTAACAAGATGACCATAGAGCTTTCCAAATCACTTCGTCCTGTTGAAGCGCAACGGCTGGAAGATGCGGCATCGCAAATGATTCGCAGAGCTTCATCGGAGTTCCTGGTCAGGAATTCCTGCTGTGCCAATTGAAAACGATAGGACACCAGATCAACGGACTTGCTGTATTCGCTGCCAGAGACAAGAAGCTGGACGAGATCGGCTGGCAGTTGGGCGACATTAGGGACTGTTGCTGGGGTGGAGGAAGAGAGCCTCTTTGCAAGAGCCAAAAAAGCCTTGATAGTGACGCATCCAACACCGATCAGCGGGGGCAGGATTCGCAACAAGGTCGAGCGTTCGGGAGATTGCAAATGGCCACAGACCCACCGGGTCAGAATCCCATCGAAATGCTTCGGGTGGAAAGACCTAAGCTGTGCAAGGTAACGGCAGGTATCGTTCGCTGACAGGATGGGATGACCATCATCAGACTCCAGGTGTTTTGCGAGGGCGCGGAACACTGCGTCCAAAGTTGGCTCATCTATGACATTTCCCGATTGCAGGAGTTGGTCCAACTTGTCTCGGATAAGCGGATCAACGTCACCAAGGCCATCAGGGATGTGGTCGGATACCGGGGAACACGCGGCGATGATAGACCTGTTCTCCATGCGAGATAGGTCTTGGCGAAGAATGGATACAGTATTGATCTCACTCGGTATACGCAAACCAAGCTCGATCAAAGAAAATATCAGATCGAGGCTTGGCATTTCATGTCTCTTGATGCTGGCGTATGCATCAATGAGTCTCCGGAAAAGGTCACTTGTAGCGCCAATCACACCAAGGGAGTCGAAATGGCAATTCATGGTATCTGCAACCGAGGCGAGAACTGTGCTGTCGCTGCAACTAGACGAGAACTTCAACACATCTGCCAGCATTGAGATATCTCCAAATGATTCGAGAACCTCGCGGGCCGTATAGAACTCAATGGGAGTCAGTGCAGACACCACAGAAGCATGGTCAACGGGAAAATACGCTTTGCTGGTCGACCTACTTGGGGGTTAGCAAAGGGATTGGCCAAGGAAAGAAAAAAATCAAAGACTTACTCTGCGCTCCGGTTGTGTTCCGCAATTGCACGACGTAGCCACTGGCCAACCTCTGCTTTGACGGCCCAGGGTAGGTCTGGCGGTAGTGAGTCTAGGGCCATTGCGGCAGTTTCGCTAACACCAAAGATACCAGGCAGACGCTGGCTGATGATATTTTTCACGTTTTTGACAGCCATTGTCTCCTCCGAAGGAGAGAGCCCCGTTCGAGCGAGCAGGGTACTGCGCAGATTACCAACGTGTTCTGGGAGACGGCTAACAGGGAGTTGAGCTATCAGCCCGATATCAATTGGCAAGTCCTTTAACTAAGCATTTGTCAGTCATCAGAATACATAAGCTTTGGGTTTGAAGCCTACCTTGCGCACCTCAGCCGAAGACGTATTAGTAACACCTCGCGCCATCAGCCATTGAAGATAGCGGCCAACTGAGAATGTCTGTGACCTGACAAGTTCAGAGACGACATGATAGATCTGCTCCATGCTGAGCTTTTGGTTGGTAACCCCACGCGAGAGGAAAGTAAGTATATGGCTGTCTACATCGACGCCAGCCAATTTCCACTTGCGGAGCAGGCGAACGCCAATGAAAACCCGACAGACCCCATGGCGGAAGGGCGTGGAGACCCATTCCAGTAGTTTGGAAATTACGATAGCCTTATCCTCGAATTCCTCGAGAAAAGTGGAGATAGAGGTGAGATCGTGGGCGGAGCGGATGGAGTCAAGAGGTTGGACGATGCGTTGATGTGGCGAGCGTTGAGCTGTCTTCTTCGAGAGTCTGGATCGTTGTACTCGTGTATTGCGCTCTTTGAGGCCCTCGTAAAGGGCTTTGTCTGCTACATTCCCTGAATCAAGTGCATATAGCACTTGCTCTTTATACGTCTCCCAGCAATTTGGCAGTAGCAACGAGGACGTATGATCACGAACCAGCTTTTTTATAAAGCGAGAAAGGCGGTCGATGAGAGGTTGAAGTTGAGGTAATTTAGCCTCGGACGCCTACCACCAGCTGTCAGTATGTGATCGTCGACACAGGATAAATAGTTGATCTTGACGCACCTGTCGCACTTTTTCTAGCAGTAGTTCCGTCAATCGCCGACCCTGTCGCCGAAAGCGCATTATGCTATTCCAGTATATCCCAAGCATTAATAGCCAGATCGGAACAGTGCCCAGAGAAGCTGCCTCGAAGGAAGACAAGAACCATTCTAGGAATTGGTCATGGTCCAGTAAGCCCTCGGAGAACAAACGAGCAGCTAACCCGGTACTGAAGATGAAAGTCAGGAAATTGCGCGTAATTTACCAATAGTCCAGAGCCACTTACGCGTATGTCATCTTTGCCTTCCAATCCTCGGACTTGGGAGCAGCAAACACCCCTTCGACGAATTGCTGAACATTCGTCGTCCAGTCTCGTACCCATTTCGCCTCTAATCCAAGGGCTAAAGCACCACTTGTACCTTTCCGCTTGAACGCACGAATTTCATTGGCACCAACACATTTCGCCAGCCATATAGCACGTGCAACAGGAATCCATTTGCCAAGACACTGGTCCAGCAGGATCTTGCCACGGATGCCGTGAGGAATGGTTCGACTCAGCCTACGCAGGGGCACAGACGGGTTGGCGAGATCCCGAAGCCATGCCTCGCGCTTGTTGTCGGTTAGGGTAACACGCGGGGGCGGTTTGAAGGTCGACGGAGCGTGAACGGTATTGTGAATTTGTCGTTTCTCCAATGCCGAAGCGAAGACGGATGAGAGAATTTGCATCCCTGTGCGGTGTTTGAGCTGCGCATACAATGCTGGACGCGCTGTATTCGATTCGTTCTGGGAGACTTGCGTGCGGTCATAATAGCCTTGTTTCGCGGTCTGTTCGTTCAGGACATCCTCCGGGTGGTTACCAGTCCATGGGGCGAAATCGGCGGGCTCTAGAATCGGGCATCAGTCCGATAGTTACAACTTGTGAGTCTAAAGTTTTCACTTACTTCGTCCTTGGTAAACTGGGGCGACAGACGGAGTCTCCATGCGATATGGGGTCGTCTGTACCTCCCCGACTGGGGAGCTTTCCCTCGACCTCACGACAGCGCTTGCCTCGGGTTCGGCCACCGGAGGAATCCTCCAAGGCTGGGCCGGCAACGGAGGTGGTGTCGAAGACTTCAATCCTGCGGCGCTATCGCCTCGGTTCTCATTGCTCGGCATTTCCGACACAACAGCCTGGAAAGACCAGACCGGCCGGCCGCGCCAGGAGACTGCAGGTCGCGTTGCGCTTGCAGGTGTATTTCTCGCCTCTATGCTTCCCGCGCCAGTATCCGCCATGCTTGCTCCACTGGGGAGGTCCAATCTCGGTCGTTTCGGGGGTGGTTCTCTCTCTTGCGACTCTGGACCGCCTGCGGTCAGGTCTACAACGCCGGGTTGTCGGGACGGCGGCTGCAAGATGGAGGCTGACCTGTCGGACTGGTGGTCATATTGCCCTAACATCTGCGCATTATCAAGCCGTCCGGGGCCGCCATTGAATGTTCGCAGAGGGTGGCCCCACGATTGGCCGCCGGCAGATGAATGGGGGATCATCTTCAGCTCATGATGTGTCCCGAGGGTGAAGTATTCGGGTCATCCAGGCGACATATAATTTCGAGTAATTCGAGGTCAGAATCAGAATTGATGTAAATTGCGCGAGTTCGATAGGGCTGGTTCGGTCGAAGGATGAACTGATGGCGCGGATCGGGGAGGACCTGGGGCGGGTGTCTGGGGGAGGGTCGATCAATCGGAGATGGGACAGGATACGTTCTGTTAAGTAAAAAAGAAAGGAAAAGGTGAAGTGTAGGGTTGTACAAGTACAGAAGTCCCAGCCTTGGAAGACATAAGATAATCACGTAAGTCAAGGATCGACGGAATGCGCTTGTGTTCCTCTCCGTACTTACGAAGTACTCCGTACACACAGACTACAACATCATATGATTTATGAGTTAGCTAACTAATACTCGGATTTACTACATTCATCTCTTCTATTCACTCTCATTCTTCTATTCTTCTCCATCTGATTTCAATTTGAACGTGACTCCGGGCTTATTTCCCCCTTTTGATCCGACCTCGGGGGTCATTGCCGGAGATCCATTTTATGCCCGGTTAATAGTGCTTTATGGCCTCTATTGTGGCCTAATACTCCCCCCTCATGGCCTAAGATATCTCCGATCATCTATCGGTCCGCGGAATCTCCTCTCTCCCCCTATCTAGTGACAGTAGTGAGTCTGTCTCTCTTTAGTCATTTGCACTATCGCATTGTCCTCAATAGTTACAAGACCTATCTCGTTACGCAATCTAGAGGTCCAAGGGCCGTTCCCCTTCTCTCTTGGCGTAATCCCCGAGGCCTCCAGGACTTTCAAATGGGTCACCAAACCTAAGGCTACATTCCGACTCGGGCCCATCGGAACATTGCATCCTATTCGATTGGTTGCTTGAGTTGAGTATGATCGACGTGAGATGTCACAAACTGCCCTTTTTTTTCGTTATCTGCTGCATCGTGGCGTGTTTGACTCGATCTAGCACAGTAGGCTTATTAGCACCATCAAATGCCGAGGAGTGTCGATCATCGTCTACCCGCTAGCCTATCCCAGATGCCGTGGATCTACATCGACGATGTACGCACATAATCAGGTTCCAAAGTAGTACTGTAGTATGTTAACTGCAAGGGGCAGTGAGTATAATCGACATGCGTTGGCCTACTTACATAGGCTGGACCAGGTTAGATAGCAAGTGATCGATGCACAGGAATCACACCGATCTACAGGCTGCAACATGTCCAGGTCATTACACATGCCCTGTTTGCTCGGTGGGCTGGATTTTGGTGTATGTGAATATCTATTTCTAGACGGGAGTACATCGGTCCTATCATCTGTCAGCGGACGTATCTCGACCTACCTAGATTACCCCGATCACTGCTCCAGCTGGCTATTCTTAAATGAAGTAGATCAATGAAACATAACTAATTATGGGTATATTTCTTATTTCAATACGGAGTAGACAATATGCACTTTGTACATAAATCCTAAGAAGAATGTTCTGACCCGGGGGCCGGAGATATCCAATCCGGGGTACCGGCAAGTCGAGCCCAAATTACGGGCACCGCCTTGGCACGGGGTGGCCAGTTTGATCCTTCTGGACCTCAACCCACCTTCATAATATCACATCTCAACACAATGGCGTCAAAGAAAGATATGCGCAGGGCTGACCTGGGTAGGTCTTGGGATTGTCCCCTCGATCAGTCAGAAGCTAACATTGAGAAGCTCTCCCCTATGTCGATCCTCCCAAGAGCAGCAGCGATGCTGATATCTCCAGTACGCGATATCTTCACTGCAATACGATCCGACCGTACGAGAGACTGTGAAGACTGACTTGAACTACCCTACAGGCACAATGTCGAGCACTCTGCCCATGGCCGCCGTAAGTCGTCCCCCGGGATCCGTCAGCTCAACAGCTCAACAGCTCAACTAACCACGATTCTTTAGATGTTCACACGCAACCGGTAAGCTGCGCATCTTACATGAATTTAGGACACTATTGACGACTCCATGCGACACAGCATGATTGGATGGTAAGCGCAAGACGACCAATTGTCGAGCTCCCAGAACTGTCTGACTCGGACATAGGTTGTCATTCGTCTTCTCCCTTCAGTCTTGGTTGGGTGAATCCCCAGACCAGAAGAAGAACGCCTCTACACCGGCTTATATGTCGGTTTTCATGTCTTGTACGTTGCGCTCCATTGCCCTCTCGTTCTCACAAAACTAACACACGACGTGGTATAGTGATGGCCTTGATTGTGGTATGTATTCCGAACCTACAGCATCGTGATTTTTGCAATCTAACAGATCACTGCAGACCTACTTCCCTCTATTCTTGCCCCCGCAAGCCCCTGGGGGTACCGCTGCGGCCGCATCGCCCTCCTCTTAAACACTCGATCGCCGTCGATACTTGCTTCCTCCAACACGTACTATAATTCCACAAACTTGCTTCAACCACAATGGATCGATTGTTTACGGACCATAATATTCTAAGGCAGTCTGAACTCGTCTGAAGTGATCTCCACCCATTATCTGTTCATAACGCTGTACCAATACACAACCCGAGTTCGCCTTGTGCCCACAAGCAAGGATATACGCGTCTTACTTGCCACCATCTACCTGCCAGTTTGAATTAGAACAAATGTATATGTACACAGTACACTGCGTACAGTATGATTGCCACGTTAAAGATGGTTCCTTATTTAGATGTGTCATGTCCCGGGCATGGTCGCTTAGTCACACACCGCCTTCCCCACAACGTGACTCTTGCCTCAAAAGGCTCTGCCGCTCTTCTCTCCCATTCTTCTACCATAGCATCTCCTCTCTTAACCACACACGCCCCAGTCTTTTACAGAGATATTGAATCTCCCCCTTCGTTCTCTTTACCAATACCCATTTTAAACGCCGTTTTTTACGAAAAGGCCGAGTTTATGTCCATCGAAAACCTCAAGACCTTCGGTGAGTTCGCCACTCTTCCCCTCCTGGGCGCGTGCCTGGTCTCAACCACCCCCCACATGCACGCATATCCACCATTTCGTCACTCGTCATGATGAGAAATGCCTTTTTTTATCGTGTTTAGTGTCGAGACTGGATTTCAGCTCTTCCCCACCTCTGTCCCACCGAGGCTCGCTGCGGCGGGGTAGACATCTCGTACCGAACTGAGGCTGACCTGTACATCTGCCAGACCCCTTCGCCGAAGCCGACGAAGATACCGGCGAGACTAAACAGTCTCAGAACTATATCCACATACGGATTCAGCGTACGTCTTTATTCTCCTAATCTTCTGTCGTCACCGCCTATCGCTATCATTGCGACTCGCCGGCGCTAAAAAGGGACGTACTTGCTAACTACTTGTCACAACAGAGCGCAATGGTCGTAAGACTCTGACCACTGTTCAGGGTCTTCCCAAGAAATTCGACCAGAAGAAGATTCTCAAGGTCATCAAGAAGAAGTTCGGTATGTGCCTTGACCGGTCTTGACTGTCTAATGACCAAATACTAACTGTATTTATAGCTTGCAATGGCACCATCGTCACTGACACTGAGATGGGCGAGGTGATCCAGTTGCAGGGAGATCAGAGAAAGGATGTCCAGGAGTTCCTGACTGACAAGGATGGACTCGAGCTTGATGCCAAGACCATCAAGGTATGTTGCTACCCCGCCTCTCCTTTCGATCACCAAGACCACCGCCTAACGTCTCATCTTTTAGGTCCACGGTTTCTAATCGTCCCACCAACATCATGCCTTGTTCCAGTCCCCTCTTCCCAGTTTATGTCGCCCCGTGAGCGGTGGGGTAGGAAGCATCCTCCATCCGCCGGCCGTACGCAGTACGCAGTACTGGCCTTCACTCGATCGAATGTCTTGCTTTCTCACCCACCACTTTGTGCCTGGCGTGTTCAACCTGGGCCTTTGTCGAAGTGACCCGCTACAGCTGTATGCCCCCTACTGACTATTCCCGCATGGTCGGTTGGAAGAGCGGGCTGGTTCGACAGCTATTCTAGGACGGGATTATGATGGAACGAGGCGTTGGTAGATACCCATATTATCTGCATAGACAGACAATTACTTTTTTTCATTTTCTATGACTTCACGTGTGTTTCGCTTTTTTTCTTCCTTTTGGAAGAGGCCTGTTACCCGTATTGCTCATTGCAATCCAATGGTCACTTTGTCAGTCTGACTTGTCGAGGAGATCCAGCTGAACTGGGGGCATGCTTCTGCTGATTCGTTGTCTCGGTCTTTACCGTCTTCGTTGATCTTGGTGCCATTCTTACTCTTTTTGGCGCCGCAGTTTATTACTTGGAAACAAGGAATCTCAACTGCTATCTAGCGTCACCCTAGCATGGCAACATGAAGTCATTTGTAGAACCCTAACCGATATAAGATGTAACAAGTGTGGTGTAAGTGTGGTGTTTATCCCGGAGCTTTGCACTGCCCAGCCCCAAAAGAGAGTAATAGCTAAATCAGGTCTATCAAAGATCGCCATGTATGAAAAGAAGACATTCCCTAGGCCAGGGGTATAGAGCACAGAAATCAAAGAACTCGACAAGAACTCAAGCTCGTCTTAGAACAAAACCAAATCCCAAAATGTACAAATCCTCAACTGGTCTGGCCAAGAACGCTCATCCAGCTTGTCCGGACTGTGAAACGAAAGCAAATTTATAAGATGGCCTGTAAAGTAAAAGAGAAGGGAAGAATTGGAAACAAGAAAGGACAGGAATATCGCAACAAACCCACAACCAGTAAGCTACAGCTCCCCAACAGGTAGACGGTCATCCGCGACTCGCATACGCATAAAGATAGCCACAGCCCAGTCCCACAGTTTGCGAGTGATAACGAAAACAGGGACTTCGGGTTCATTCTCTCGCGTTAGATGCAGCTGCATTAACAGCGAGGACATGCTTAGGAAGCTTGCGACGGAAACGACCAGTAACGATGCTGCTGTTTCGCGCTTTATCGTTGCATGGTTTTGGGTTGCGTGGTAGACGAAGGTTAGGGACTGTGATGTGGGTCAGCGGTTGTTCTGTTGTTATTTGGGAGAGATATATATAAGTCCCACTCACAGTTGTTATGGAGATCCAGGCTGGTAAAAGGAGTCGGGGGTCTGAGGATGCTCCGGATAGGTAGAGGACCCACGAAGTTATGTATGCAATCAGGCCGTTGGTCGTTAGGAGGCGGATTACGACGGCTGGTGGGGTGTAGTTCAAAAGCCTGGGATAATGTGTGAGTATGGTTATATGCAGCATACCTCCGAGAAAGAGACAAGGACGCACCATCGAGACATCATGCAATCAGCGAAGAAATAGGAAAGATATGCGGATGCACAGCACTGTTGAGTAGTCAGTATCAGATCTGAGTGCATGAACACCAGTAAGTAGTATATTGAAAGAGATATCACTTACCCACATAATAGCCAATGCTACCTCCGTCACACGGAATCTCCTCTCAACATCCCATTCCTGTCCAACACTACCGACAATCGCCGCCGTCCACCCCTCCCGTCCCATCCCAGGTCTGATATGTAGCAACTCAGCGAGGAAAGTAAAAGCGCATCGCAACCCCCACCAAAGCGCCGGCAGCGTACTCAGAGCCCGACATACAAGCAGCGGAATATACCACCTGCGGTCTACGCCCAGGATGACAGCGACGCGCGGGTGCAGCGCAGACGGCGCGCTGTGTCCATCACTGCTGAGTGGGGTATGGGAAGTTGAGGAAGTCGGGGACGGCGGCTCGGGTGTTGAAACAGAATGGGAAGCCACCTCTTTAGCCGATTGGCCCTGTGGTCGTGAAGGGGAAGAGGTATCGAGGTAGCCGGGTGGAGCGGGGGATCGCGCGAAGTTCAAGTCTGGACCGCGCGGGCGTGGGTGTGAGTGGTCGTGGGGGGTGTATGGCGGAGGAGAGGCATTACGTCGAGGAGGAGCCAGCCTTTATTGTGAATCGCGGCATATGCGGCCGCCACGCAAGGAAGAGAAGGGTGGTTCTGAGGGGTGATCGTTGCGATCGAGTTTCGTCTGAGAAAATATTATTCGAGAAGGGTTCGTTGTTGTCAAGCTGTTTTCCGAGGCCCCTAATTGGCAGATATCAGCCCCAGTTGCGTGGGCGGTGTCTTTTTCTCCCCGGGGGGCAGTTTATTTTCTGGGCCTTGGGCTTCGTTGTACGATAAGTTAGTCGGCATCAAGGGGTCCAGAGAGATCAGATGCTGTCCCCTCGACGGAAGCTGTCATCGTAATAAGCCCGAGTTCGTTGCTGTCGACATACGGAGCACGTGACCCGTTCCGCGGATTTCTCGTTCTCCGGCCAGGAACCACTTTCTCTCTCTCTTCTCAACCCGTTTTCGCAATGGCGTCCACACTACGACTGCCCGCGGGCACATCTGCTCGCATTGTCCCATCGGGGACCTTTGTTTCCCCGCTCAGTGTGGCTGGTTTATCCCACTGCCGAACCTTCGCCCAGACATCCCAGCAATTGGCCGGCGCGAGAGCAATGAACTTCCGCCCTCCGAGCCAAGCGCAGCCTTCTTTTAAGACCAAAACTAAGGGCATGAAGCCGAACGAGTTCCCAAACGACATTGGCCTAATGCCGGGTACCTTCATCCGGCCGCTGTGGAGGGATATGCCGTCGATCTTCCTGGCACCGCGCGATAGATGGCATATGGAATGGACCTGGCTCAAGAGCTGGTTCGGAAACTACGCCAGGTCAGTTAGTTCCCTGATCAAGGTTCCGGAATTTCGGACACGACTCCATCGCCCGCGTGTTGCATTGAGCAAGAAGCCGCATATACCATCCACCCATGTACTTGCCGAAAGCATATCTAACTATAAAACAGTGTGCTCGCGTATTGCATAAAGGATGCCAAGCTCCCTCTCGGATTCCTCAAGCGGCGCAAGGCAGCCGCTGAATATCAGCAGAACATGTATAAAGCCTTTGCCGAGTAAGCCTACGCCTTCCTTCCTTCCTCCGTTTCCACCAGCTCGCAACCTAACCAGATTCAAACCTTAGAGGTGACATCGCCCGCATCCGCGCCATCTGCTGTGACGGAATCGCCAACAAACTCATCAAAGAGATTGAACGCCGTCCAAAAGACGAAAAAGTAACCTGGAAGCGACTCAAACTCCTCCGCAAACCCAGCACAAACTTCACCGGTATCCGCGTCATCTCAGACCGCGCATCGACCATTCCCGATATCCCGAAATCCGGCGTCCGCCAGATCGTCGTGCGTATCACGAGCAGACAGTCTACGACAACGACCAAGATCCAGAAGGCCGGCGCACAGGTGGAAGAATCCGTTGTTCTGGCTAAGGAGCAGGACTGCGTCGAGCACGTTATGCTTCAGCATCTGCGCTGGAATAACCAGGATAAGGGCTGGAGAATCTGGGGCACTGTCACCCCTACTATGCTGGAAGATGCTAAGAATGACCCGCATTTCAAGCCGGGATTGGGGACCGCGGAGCGCATAGAGATGATCAAGGAGTCCATGATGAAGAGATAAATCTGAGTCGCACTTCAAACTGTGATTCAAGCAGAATGATCTGCTCTCTGTCTTGAGTCCTCTGCTATTGCAGCTGCAGGACACCATGCCAGGAACTCCATTTGGACCTTACTCTCTCGCTATATCAACGGCGACTGGTTTTGGTTTGGGGCACGGTATCCTCTATTTCGCCCGCTTGTGTTATACTTTGTTTTACCATCGCGTCACGACTGACGGACTCTTTGTCCAGCTCGTCCCATTCCCTTTTCCCTTCTTTGACAGGAAAATCTCCTCATATAGAAAGCATTTGCACCTCTCATGTACCATAGCCCACCTGTTCTGATTGAAATCCGCCTCTTCTGAGCCATTCCCATGTATAAATGAATCTCGATGTCTCAGATTATCTTCTCCACCTCATGAATTGAAGTACTTCCTACAACTAGGTACCATAACGAAGACAAAAGACAACTGTCTTTTAAAGGTTCTCGACCTAATATCAGGAAAACACAATTAACGACGACAGTCCGATATCCTTCAGACTGGGTAGTGTATATACAGAACAGACAGAAAAAGAAACACTGATCAGTGGGCATAGGTATCACTTTAACGAAAACACTGAACACAAGAACGATTGCGAGTGCGGTCAGATGGGAAATCGTCAAATGGGACTACAAAAGGGGAATAGCACCGGTGAAGCAATGCTGTATGGGAAAGGCGATTAATGACAACGCGAGTCCCACGGACACGCCGGTTTCAGGAGTAAAGATATCAGAGAACGAGGGCAGGCGAGTCAGGGGCGAATGATTCAGTCGTCGTCGAAGATCTGGAATGTGTTATTCAGGATCGTTTCGATGACGCGGACCTGCCATCCGGCGTCGGCGATGTTGCCGCCGGAGTTGGCGCCCATCAGGGTTGGACTGTTGAGAGTTAGTTTCGGTATTTCACGAAAGGCCATGCTTTTGGGGAGGGGCCGGGCTTTGCAATGACTTACCCGAAGCAGATGGCGAGATTGCCTGCGTTCATGCGGTTCTGGGTATAGTGTTCTTGGATCTTGTTAAGATGCTGCGACGAGGATTAGTATTCGAGTGAGAGAATCGACGAGAAACCAGTCATACCAGAATGATGGCCCGAAGAGTGGCATAGTGGGCATCGGGCAGGCTGTTGATGAGGGCGTGCAGCGAGTCTCGGCGTTGGATGTCATCGTCGAAGCCTGCAAACTGTTAGCTTCTGAGAGGACCAAACATGAAGCCAAGTCCAATGGGGCATGGATATCACTTACGGGCAGCCTCAATGAACTGGTGGTAGAACTGGTTAGTAAACAGAGGGTCTGGTAGATCCCTGAAGAACTGCTTCACTAGTCCTGCAACACTGTTGACATCATGGTAGAAGTTCTCTGGGTTCGTGAAGTCGACTTGCGATGAGTCTAATCGTGGAATTAGCAAGCAGACCTTGTAATGCCAGTGTCTGAACAAGCTTACCATTGTCGAACAAAGCCTTCATGTGGTTGATATGATTGGCGCTGCCCGAGAGTCGATAAATGCCCTCCAAATCCAGACCAAACAGTTCAACTGCCTGGAAGCACTGGTATACAATGAAGGGAACCGCCGTTCCGTCCCGGGCATATAGGTCGTTCAGCGAGACACCAAACACTGGCTTCAGCGGAGGGAGATTCGCCTGGAAATTCTTATCCATCGGGGGAGGCCCTGCCATTGGCACGTGAACTTGAGATGCAGGTTCGGGTACGGGCGGCCCTGATACCGGGTAAGGAGGTGTGCCAGCCGGGGGTGGAGTGAATGTCTCCGGCTGTGGAGGAGGATAAGGTGATTGCGGCAGTCGATCTCCGTTGTGCGGTTGCGGTTGCGGAGGCGTCGGCGATGAGACGTTACTCGCGGAGAATCCTTGCGGCATGATGGACAAGCGCTTGTTTTGAGAGGCAGGTTGCGCAGGTGCTGCAGGAGCAGAAGCCCCAGTACCACCGAGAACCTAATCACCATGTTAGGATAGCGAAGGAATCTAGAAAAGACGCCTGGACTCACTGGATGGCGCTCATATTTGATTTGTTCTGAAGCCACAGCCCCCGGATTGCCTTCATGACTCAGAATAAACTCGTGAAGATCCTTCTGGTTATCAACCTGGCGAACAACCTCGGCCAGGCTCTTAGGCCCGAAAGAGGCGTTCGCATCATCCTTGAGAGGCTTGATGCAGATACCCTGGCCCAAAAGCAGTTTCTCGCTGAAAGTAGCTGCGAGTCATTAGCCGACGAAACAACGAAACAGGTGTGGGATATCCCATTGCACATACCGAACTTCTGCTGCTGCAGGGTCAAACCAGAGTCGCACTCGGCAATCAATTGCTGAAGATTGAGTACGGCCTGAGGTCGGTGCGTAGACACCAACTCCTGGCGCGCAGTCTGTGCAGCCTGCACCTTAGCGGCATAATCGCTATCCGCATTCTGTACCTTGCGCAACAGCTCCTCCTCGTGCTGCGCAGCAGACTTGTGACCCTTCAGACCAAATTTACCACCCTGCTTGTCCCCCGTGCGGACGCGGTCATACTGTTCTGCCAACGACTCGTACTTAGACTTCGCCTTCTCAGCCAGCGATTCCGCATCGACGACCTTCTTCTCTGCGGCCAACCCCGTCTGCTTCCATTGTTTGCGGCCGCGCTCGATGTTCCCGGCCAGCTCGTGCAGATCGTCCGACATCTGGTGGAGGGAGACGGCGAATTGGAGGCCATGGTCGACCATCCGCTCCTGGATTCGGTGAATTTCTTTGTAGCTGGAACTGTATGTTCCTTGTCGATTCTCCGTGCGTTGCGACGCATCGTTGATCACGCGAGACAGTTTTCGCAGCCCCTGAGCGTGCTCTTCTTCGAGGGACCCGCGCTTTTTCAGGAATGTCGAGAAATCCTGGTTGTGATGTCAGTCCTTGCGATTTGCGATCGTCGTCAGTCCTTCTGCGACTACTTACCCTTGCGGAGGCCACGCTTTGCTTCAACCGAGTCAAGAGGGTGCTGATGCCAATCTGCAGGTACCATGGTTAGTATACCAGCTTTCTTTGTTTTCATGTACATCAACAGGAGGATTTGCCCGTGCTCTCTCACATCAGAATAAATGATCTTGTCGAGGCGAGTCTTCAACTCATCCGAGATAGCCTCCTGGGTCTGGGTCGGCTCTGCCCCATGGCTGGGGGATGAGCGACCGGCGCTCAAAGGCGCATCGGGAAGCGTCGGTAGCGCCGAAGGCTCTTGTAGGGCTGAATCCGACATGGGGAGATCTCAGACTTGAGCGAATGTCAAGAGAGAGGAATCGGGAGTGGAAGGTGTGGTACAGTACGGAAGCGCCTCAACACGGGCCACCTCTATTATTACACGGGAGTGGGGTCGGTCCGTGTACAATGAGGTCAGTCCCAGGAACAAGAAATGCGGCAGCCTGTTAGTTTCACTTGGGCTGAAACTGTGGCGCAAACCAATCATGTCTTGGAGTTGGATGTCTATGAAAATCTTCGGGCTACTGTAGACGGTTCGATGTTGGAAATGGGTTGGGCTTCAATTTGGTTTTGGTTTGCATGTGACATCGACATACTGTGTATGTACTAGTAGTACATAGTAGTAAATTTGCACTTTTATTCTGGTATCGTCGCTTTAAAAAAAAAATCATATAATCGACCATTTGTACAGAAAAGATCATGGATCGACAGTGATTGAGACGTTCATGAAGCTAGAGAACGGGCGGTGCGACAAAGGAGTCGGGAATACCGTCAAAGACCCAATTGAGCGAGTCAAAGACTTCGGAGAAGCCAGATTCGCTGAAGAATGCTCCGCTTTCATCAAATTGAGCAGGCATTAGCATAGATGGATCCTCTAAGGAGTTATCTTGCTGTTGCCGGGTCAGGGGCCCTGTCGGACCTAGTATATCTTGGTTCGCTGCATTGGCAGCAGCTGTAGAACTGTCAGAAAATGGGAGAACAACAATCGAAAAGGAAGACCAACCTTGCATTTCCTCGACGCTTTTAACTGGTCGGAACCGCTGTCGCCAACGCCATACCGTATCATAGACATGGCTCATGCTCATCCGACAACGGACTTTAAGCTGTAAAGCATCCTCTTCGGCAGGTTCCAAGCTCGTGGCATTCCACATCTGAGCGAGAATGTCTGCCAGACGGATAGGTCGGTCATGGTCCATGACGCTAATTCGGCGGATTGCCGAGATCGCGCCGTTGAATAGGATTTTTCCATGGTTAAAATCAAGATTTCGGCTGAAGCTGCTCTTCAACAGCTTCATGAGAGCGAAAGCAGCGGACACAATCATCTGGAGGATGTAGTTGGTCGAGTGGCCGATCAATTCACCTGGTGAAGTCTCGAGGTCTAGCACGCGGGTAAGGAAGGAGGTTGTTGCAGTGTAGAGTTTGATTAGGTCGTCGTTTCGTGCATTAGGTCCTAAAAACATGAAGTATCGGAAGTGCAGTTCTGCGGCACGGAGATGGATCGTGTTGATTGCTGGGGATGAACTTTAGCGCCATTCACTCGCAAGTAATCACCAGTAACTTACCAGACATTCTACCGTCGAACTCAACATCCATCTCTCTCAGCTCATTTTCCAAGATCTGCACAACCAAGAGCTTGTCGGCGCTGATAAATTCCGCAGGCTCCGGCTTACTACTGTACAATGCCTTGGTCACTCGGTCACAGAATTTCTCAATACGCAACCGAATGGCCAGGTCATCGGGCAGTCGGTAGTCGGCATCTCTCATAGAGGCGGGCTCGAGAGCCCAATCGTATATTGTGCTCGGTGGCTGGCCATAACCAGTTGCAACACTGAATTTTCAATCAGTAAAGTGACCCATGGCAGTGGACGAAAGACCTACTTTTGAGCCACGATGTTGCAAATTACCCACGTATGCAGTCGGTCCTTGACAGCTTCGCCTTGCACTTCCATTCGGAAGGTCGTAAACTCCTCCGCCTGTACCGGACGGTGTAGCCCAAGTTGCATGGCAATCTGCATCATCAAGCCGCTCAACATGAAAGTCGCATCGGTGCGCTGACTTGTAGTCGGGAGAGGCCATGTACATAAAACACAAAGGGCCTTGACCACGCGATAATCCTGCGGGACACTGGTAATGGTTGACCAGAGTAGTCTGCTGAACGGTCCGGATAGTGCCACCAAGAGGCCAGGCTCGTATTGAGACCGTCGACTTGCAACACAGATGATCGTCCACGCCAAAAGAGGGCATCGATGGAGATAAACCTCTGGAGGCTTAGGTGGATTTAGAAGAGGGAGGAATGGGTGATAGTATGTGAAGTATCTAGACAAATGTCAATCACAGAAACGGGTCAGATTGGTTAAGAGCTCATACTGTTCATATAGTCGAAGAACACGGGCTCGAGAGAGGGAGATGTCTTCCAATCTCCAGTGGCCCTCGTCCTGTGATACAATGGAACCATCCCTTTTGAGGGTCAAAGGAGTCGCTATTGATGGGTGTGTCTCCACCGGCACCGAGACTGGTCGTGATCGGTCAATTGCGGCCGAGTCACGCCGAGCGAAGACATCCTCTGACGCCTGGGATAGTTCATCACCATGAGCGTCATGAGCCTCTTGCCCTTGCTCATGATCCGAACCGGGTCCCAAGCGACGGCGGAGATCCGCGATCTCTTTTTCCATTTCAGCATTGCGCCTATGATTGAAGTTAATAAATGAAAAACGACAAAACGAAACATGACTTCACCTTCTCTTAGAGATGCGCTTGAACGACTGCTCAACTTTACAGTCAATACCAAGCCTCCGACACCGCGAGCAAGCCTCAGCCGGCGTTTGTACAATATCACATCTCAGCTAGTTACCCGGAAATCAGCCCATCGACACCATATCCCAACACCCCTGTTTACGCCCAGAGGCTTGGGGAGAAAATAGTTTAATAATGGTCGAATGAGGCTCACCTTTTGCTGCTTACATTCATTACAGGCTTTTCGGCTGCCACCCCGACGCTTGCCCGTGACAGGCGGGGTCTTCTCCATCGTGGATTCTGAGCCTCTCTGCATGAAATCGATTACCGGTGGCCGGGGTACTGTGGGGGACCGAAAGTCGCTCGGGGGGATGGAGTAATGCGGCCCATCCGGTGCCAGAATGTTCCGATAACCCAGATCCATCAAGAACAACCTGCTTTTCCTTCCGGTATAAAAACCCCACGAGACGTCAACGAGTGCTCGTGGAGTCCAGGTGCCGTAAATCGGAGAAATTGGTCCGGAGGGGAGGAGATGTGGGGAAGTTTAGGGAGCTCATTGACGCCGCTGATTTGCCGAGTTGGAGATGCCGGGACGAATCTCGGCGGTTGCTGATTCAGCTTGGCGGCCTGAGGTGTTAAGGCCTACAAGCACCGATGATCTAACTATTCCTAATCGGGTAAGGTGTCCTTGGTTCAGTCCCGAGGTCTCGGAGTCTCGGAGATGGCGGACAGTGGATTAGATCTTGACCTACATTCATGTTCGGAGCTGTGTAGCTACTAAGCTACTTGACTTGACAGACTAGCTGATTCTTATGAATTGCATGGGCTCCTATAGTTTTTAAAGTTCTATACTCACAGTTACTTACTCTTGCACAGACCATGCCTACTGTTTGAAGCTGGCGGAAAGTTCTACCTCTGGCATTGCGTTGGTCTCGAGTCTCGAGTCTCGATGCCCTCGAAATCACCTCTCCGACCAAAAATGCAAGACTATGGGAGAAAGGGTAGATGGGCCGTGAGGACCAAGAGGATTTAATGATGAAGAAATCTGCTGTGTACTCCTTCCATATCTTCATCCTGAGAGCCACAATGCCATCGCGGAAACCTCAAGAACACTCACTTTCGGTGACCGTCGCTGTTTGCCTTCCCCGTCCACGATCCATCGTGCTCCGTGCGAAGAGTCATACCATGCATGATAGACAGTTAGGCTCCGCAGCTGCAGCTCCCTTTTCGAAGCAGATCCTACCAGCCTTCGATGGACAGCTTGATATTCGGGGAGCGTGTACGGAGCACGGAGTAGTTGGGGCCGCGACACTGTACTCACTTCTATGATTACTTCTGCTGCGATGTTTGCAAAAGGAGCGAGGTAATTAGCAGGTAGATATGGACTGTTTGGACTAACTGGTTGCTATACGCAGTACAACAACATGCCTAGGTACAGAACTCCTAGCCCCACTTTGCCTGGCCCGAGGCCGAGGTGGATTAATGATCCGCTGTCAAGACTCAATAGTCCATCGAGGGGCCATACTTTATTTAACCCAGTTTGATTCTTGCTCAGAATCTATCTGTCATTCCAATATCCAATCTGCCAAGATATCTGAAATCTGAATAACAATTGTGGGTTGTGTCTATGTCCACGGTTGATTCCCTTCCGCTAACTAACATACCAGCAGTTCACTATGTCCGAAATCAACGTCACTGCGATCTTCTACGCTAAGCCTGAGAAGTTTGATGAGGTCAGTCTAATTGAATTGTCCTCTCTCTATGGTGTACAACGTTCTGGCCAGATCAATATCTGACATATCATGGATCCTCAGCTAGCCAATCTTGTGACCGAAGTCATCAAAGATGTGCAAGAACACGAACCCGACACACTTCTCTACTATGCATTCCAGCTCAGGGAGAAGAACGAGATTGTAATTGTGGAGAGGTAAGTCACACATCTCAACCCACTGTCGATATAGTCCATACATACCCCTCTATCCCCGAGATTATCCCCGACGAGAGAGAAAATGGCGTACCTCGGCACAATCTACTTCGCAACATCTTTGCCTACAAGAAACAAGCAAGTCCTAATCGGTTCTACGGAGTAGATACAAGAACCGGGCCGCAATCCAGACTCACGTCAAATCGCCTTATTTCCGTGCCTTCTCAGGCAAGTTAGCCCCTCTGTTGGCCAAAAAGACCGAGATCAGGGCAGGCGGGTTCCTGAGTGGTTCAAGGGGCGTGTCGCGACTGTAGGTCTGTGAGCTCTGCATTTATCAGTGACCAGTACCAGGCGATATATATAGAGCTGAGGTCTAGTGTGGGGGGTTTATAAATAGGTATTCGTTGATGGATCATGCATAATCACAATTACCTAGTTCCTGGACTTTTGTTCCCTCCAGTGGTTATTGAGTAGACGCCATGGCCCATTACATCGTGGCGTGACTCGTGATTCAATTGTCATGCGATTGGTGCAGTTGTCGGAGCCACCTGCAGTACTAGAGACGAGGTCTGAGGGAGAAATTGAGGCTATCACAGGCTAATTCCTTTGCTCCGTAGAAAGGGAACATGTACGCATACAACACAACGTCTTAGATATTGGTATCTTACAGATCTGATATCAAATGTCCTAAATTCTACAATTTTACTGCAAATACACAGTGTGTATTTTGAAAGTGGAGATCTCTCCAGATTTTATCGATCTCTCGTTGTAAGAGAGTGCCTTAGCTGAGAGACTAGTCCGATCGCCTTCCCTTTCTTTTCTTCAACTTCTTCACTCTCTCTTTCTTTCTCTTTCTCTTTCTTCACTTCTCATTCATTTCTTTCCTCGTTAAGGTGAGTCTAGTTCCAAATCTCACTTTCCTTTGTCTCCACACCATTTCCCACCCCCTCTTTTCCCTTAGCTCCAACCTCTCCTAGCTTCTCTGATGTCCCCCTGAAGCTCAGCTAATAAGAATTCTCCAGATACCCTTGCCATTGTCTCCTTCCACGTTATCGCAGCTATTCGGTCCTTCTTATCGCATTACCCCCCCAACAGTCCCCCCCTGTTGATCTCAGCTTTTGGACTTTGATTACATTACGCGCAAACAATGGCGACGGGTCCAGCTACTCAGTCACTGAAGGTACGCATAGGGCTGATTCCCTGATCCACAGGGATGCGCGGCTAATTGACAACCTGCAGTGTGTGGTGACTGGTGATGGTGCAGTCGGCAAAGTGAGTACACCACCGTTTGCTTATATCCCTACTCTGAATTCATACTGACATTCAATTCACTTCGCAGACATGTCTTCTAATCTCCTACACAACAAATGCCTTCCCGGGTGAATACATCCCTACCGTGTTCGTACCCACCTCTACCCCTCAATGCGACTCAGATCCGAACGGGCAACTGATCTCATAACAGATTCGACAACTACACGGCCAGTGTAATGGTGGACGGCCGACCGATCAGCCTGGGACTGTGGGATACCGCTGGACAAGAAGACTACGATCGTCTGAGACCGCTGTCCTACCCCCAGACCGACGTATTCCTCATCTGTTTCTCCATTGTTAGCCCGCCGTCCTTCGATAACGTCAAAGCGAAGGTATGAAAGACCAGAGTCAACCCAAGCTCCTCCTTCCACTGGTACCCAACTAACTCCCATCCGTTCCTAGTGGTTCCCTGAGATCGAACACCATGCCCCCAACGTCCCCATCATCCTTGTCGGCACCAAGCTCGACCTGAGAGACGACCGCTCGACCACCGAGGCCCTTCGCGCTCGCAAGATGGAGCCCGTCTCCTACGAACAGGCACTGGCAGTTGCAAAAGAAATCCGCGCACACAAGTACCTTGAGTGTTCCGCTCTGACACAGCGGAACCTCAAGAGCGTGTTCGATGAAGCAATCCGGTGCGTCTCTATTTCCCCTGCCTTACTCATGGGGTTCTTTGTTTTGTTCTAACTCTCTCGCAGTGCCGTCCTCAACCCCCGTCCCGCTACGAAGTCCGGGCGAAAGGCTGTCAAATGCAGCATCTTGTAGATATCGTCTGGCTTGACGCGCATGCTACCATGAATATTTTTAGTCAATACGGCGTCTGGGTATCAAGAGGCCTCTTATTTTTAATTCGTCCGCCTCTGGTGCTATTTTATGAAATGATCTGACCATTTTCGCTGGGATATCTTTATCTTTTTCCATTTCAGTTCTTTTTCTTGATGCGTAGTCTATTGTCTACGGATGCACATGTATCCAGAAAGAACATAGTTTGGTATCTTCAAAATCAAGCAATAGAGACATGAAGTTAAGTACTTTTAGAACACAAAAATGTGAACCCGATGTTCCGGGTGAATATGCATGGCGATCATAATGTGCAGCTGCCTGCAGAATGCTCCAGACACCCGCTGTCACCCGTTCCGATCAAGACCAACAAACGCGGGCTTCATAGCCCAAGAGATGCGGTCCTTAAACACGGCCTCTACGGCTAGGGTGCAGACCAGCCCACTGGTCATCAGCCGCACCGTCGGTACCAGCAGGGGCAGCGTTGGCACCAGTAGCACCAGCCTCACCGGTCTTCTTCTCGAACTTCCTCTTATCCTTCTGGATATCCTTAGCCTGACGTTGGCGCTCCTCGTTCAACTTCTCGTTCTTAGCTTGGATCTTGGCGTTACGGTGTTCGGACTTTGCGCCGCCGCCGCCAGCACTGGTGAGAGTTAGTATTTGTATTGAGATAGGATTGCGATTGTAGACGGGAAGTAACTCACGTTAGCTCGACGTTCATGCGTCGGGGAGGGTACTTTCCGTCGTCGAAGGTGGAGTGGTGGTAAAGCTTGAGACAGGTCTTCATGCGGTCGTAGTTGTCGAATTCAATGAAGGCGAAGCCGCGGCATTTCTTAGGGTCTTCTTTCTTCGTGGCAACGCGGATTGTGGCAGGTGGGTTCTTCTCGAAGTGCTTGGTCAGGGACTCGTGGTTGGCGGAGTAGGGAAGGTTGCCTGTACATGGGAATATCGCGCTGGTTAGAATACTATGTAGTCCGGGCGCGGGATGGCCTTTGGGATTGGCTTCTCACCAACGAAGCAGATGAAGCGAGAGGACTTCGGGGCCTGCTCGGCCTCGCCGGACTCAGCGGTCTCGGCGGTAGGCTCTTCTGTGGACTCGGCCTTGGTTTCGGTCTTGTCGGCCTTTTTTGACTGCTTATTTGCGCGCTTCGCCTTCTTCTTTTCTTCCTTAGTCATCTCGGCGGGGACCTCCTTCTCGGCGGGGGTCTCCTTCTCGGCGGGGGTCTCATCCACATCCATTGCGTCCTCGGTGGGAGCGGCGGGCTCAGCAGCGGGCTCGGCGGTCTCTTCGGCCTTGCGCTTCTCCTTCTTGTCCTTCTTCTCCTTCTTGTCGAACTTGTCCTTCTTCTCGGACTTCTCTTTCTTCTCTCTCTTCTCCTTCTTGTCCTTCTTGTCTTTCTTGTCCTTCTTCTCCTTCACCTTTTCTTCGACAGGTGCAGCGACCTCGGGGACAGCGACGGCCTCAGACTTGTCGCGCTTCTCCTTCTTATCCTTCTTATCTTTCTTCTCTTTCTTCATCTTCTTGCCCTCAGGCTCAACGACCTCATCCTGAACGAGTTTGCGCTTGTCACCCATTGCGGCGTGTGTGTGGTAAATGTTGTGGTGAAAAAGAAACAATGGTAAGATAGAAAGATGTTCAAGACAAATAGAGTCTGAGAATGGTATAATGAAAGAGAAAAGAAGTGGATAAAGTTTACAGCAACGAGACTCGAGCTCCAAAAAAAAGTTGGGCGGAGAGAAAAGTGAAATTTAATTTCTGCCGTGGGCCTGGGAGCGGTGAAAACATCCTTCCTGATAAGGCTTTGCTCTTATCTTCGGAGCCAATTTACTTATTTTACAGATCAGAAGACACCACATCATGCTATGGATACATTTATTCTTTTGAGGTACTTGAATCACAAGTACTAGTATAGCTGTTCGTAATCACTTAAAACACCAAGATCTTCACACTCTTCTTAGACGACCCATAGCGCTCACGCAGTTCCGGCCGAGTAAGCAGCTTCAGCAATGGCATATGGGTGTCTTTCATGTCGAAGATGCCCCGTTGCTTCTGGTCAATGTGTGATCCGTCAATAACGATGCGTTCGAGCTCATCCAGCTTGAGGTTTCCTAGAAGATCCACCATTAGTATCTTGTCAAAGAAGCTACTATGCCAAACAGCATTCCAGTAACTCACCAGACTCAATCAAATCAGATATTCTGGTCGGGGTACCAGCCCCAATACCAGACCGAGCCCGGTCAAGGAATTGCTTCGCTTCCTCCAACTTGATGTGCTTCGCGAACAGTTTGCCGACAATGCTTTCCTTCGTTTGAAAAGATCGGAGTGCCCTGATTGAGACCAAATTGTCAGTCCCAGATTCAAGACCAAACTACAGGATAAGAAGTTGTCCACTTACCGTACAACATCAGCAGCCCGCAGAGCAGCACCTGAAATGACGAGAGTATGAGGGGTGCCAGGCTTCTCAGACGATTTTGACAGGTCGCGACCCTTAGGACTGAATGTCTTAAGGAACTCAGGGAGCTGTTCCAGCTTTCTGGACGAGGTGAAGGAAGAGGTATCGAGGAATGCAGAATCTATCGATTCGTTAATATCTAGCACAGCCAGCCACAACCTTGGACGACGGAAACACAAGAGTTATACATACCTGGAACGGAGAGATCACTCAGCTCAACAGCGGAAAGCTCCTTCTCATGTCTCCGGGCCTTCTGCGCAAAGTGATCGCTCAGCAACCGGCCGTCCATCTTGCCAATTGATTCGTCAAGGCCATCTTTGCGCGTTATCTGTCTTTCTTCATGCTCGGCAAGCTTCTTCTTGTTCTTGTTCTTCTTCTGCTTCTTCTTGCTTGTTCCTTCAGCAGGAGTTCCTGCCTCGGGCTTTTCTTGCTGGGGAGCAGCGTCGTCGGCTTGTCTCTTGCGCTTGTTCTGGAGCTTGTTGGAAAGCCCCTTGGGGGCTTCTGTGTCGGTCATTATGATGGTAGTAAGATATGAATTTGACAAAAGTGAGAATTAAAACCCAACGCTTCAATTCGTAAATGTAAATTGCCTCGAAAAGACTTCCAGCGCGGCGCAAAAAAAAGTCGGCTGATTCAGCCAAGCTTATCGATAAGACTGACCAATCAAGCACTGGCCCGCAATCGTTGTCTCGACGCGACAGACAAACATCAACTTCAATCTTGTGTGCACCGCTTGTCACAGCAATCTGGGATTGTGCTGTTGTGATATATATGCGATCCTATATCTCTCACATGACATAGTTGCATTTCAACTTCAGCGCAGTCATGTCTACTTCTACCCCTAATGCGCGTGACCGCAGGTCGCCTTTTAGGACTACTACCCCATCTGGAGATACAACATTAACAGGAGTGAGTGTTATATCCTTCCTTCTGGGGAGCCTGGACACCACTGACATTACAAATTTGCTTGCAGCTTCAACGCCTTCCGAGCCATACTCGCTACCCACTTACCCCAAGCCGACTTATCACCGCAACGACTCCAGGCACACAACGGTCCGCATCCCGATACACACCGCGTGCAAGAGGTGTCGGCGCCCCAGCTACACCATATGGGCTTCGTGCCCGACAACAACGGGCGGCTAATACCCCTGGACGGGATCGCCGACGAAGTGGCAGAATGCAGCGGGAGACTACATTCGATATTCTCAGGAATCTGAGCAAAGGTATGAAGCTTTATCACGTGCCGTTCGACACAAGGATATGCACTAATCACTTTTTGCTCTGTACTAGCCCTTGCTCCAGTATCTAAGCCGATCCAGTCCTCGCCTCAGGAGCTGAAAGAGCCCACCCCAGAGCCAATTGATGAGTTTGAACAGCTTGATAATGAACCGGAGATTCCGCGTCCGCGTTTGTCTCTACCGATCCAGGAGTCGGAGGAAGAAGGCGATGACGCGAGTCCCGAAATGCGCCCACCGAGAATGTCTCTCGCGATTGGGGAGGACGATATGGATATCACGTATCGATCTGTTGAATATCCTCGAGACCTTGCCATAAGAGATCGAGATCGGTTATCGATGATGAGTCGGGCTACCGGTAGGATTAGTGGGGACTTCGACGATACACGGTTGGACAGCGATGAGGCAAATGATACTCGCATCGGTGAAGATGACGAAGAAGATACAATGATGAGTGGAGGTGACTTTGACAGAGGGTAAGATTACAGGTGGAATGCTATGGTACAGATCTTGGCTAATGTTACAAACAGGGGAGAGACGGAGGATCTAGGCCGCTTCCACTTTGACCTCAACTTTCCATCTCCTGCGGCTCCTCCGCTTGAGGACCCCGTTGGTGGGGATATGAATGACATGGAAGATTTCGAGCTGCCCCCCGCGGATATGGAACCACTCCAGGCTCCATCAGATGATGACGACGATGCGGGTGGTGACTTCGGTTTCGGACTTGACCTTCAACCCGCAGGCTCCCCACGTGCAAGCCCTGGCATCGTGGGAGGTGGATTGCGCGATGAAGCTGTTCCAACTCAGGGCAAGCAAAAGAAGATCTCACGGCACGGAATCCCTGTCCCCAACTTGCCTGCAGGTGTAGTAAAGAAGCTGGCCACTCGCTTCGCGCGTTCGGGGGCTGGGTCAAAAGCAAAGGTCAACAAGGCGACGCTGGCTGCGATAGAGCAGGCCTCCGCATGGTACTTTGAGCAAGTAAGCCAAGATTTGGCCGCATATTCGAAGCATGCAGGACGAAAAACCATTGACGAGAGCGACGTCACCACATTGTTGAAAAGGTCAGTTGCGTCAGAATCCACTGGTCTAGTAGAAGTAATTGCTGACCCGTCCCAGACAACGCCATATCGATAAATCAACGACAGTGTTTTCTCTCGCCCAAAAGCATTTACCCAAAGAACTTCAGCAGGATATGAGATTGGCCATGCCCCCTTGAATATGCAGAACAATATCTCTCCATCATAAGAAACGCTTTTAACGCCAATGAAAATGCTAAGCAAATGTTGGAATCCCACTACCTACTACCAGTTTCGGTTCTGGCGAACTCGGCGCATTGCCTCGTTAGGGTTCTTACGCACAACCATCCACAGCATGATGGAAGTGGCCAAAGATAGGCCATACCTGCAAAGTATGAGCTACGATCTCGAGTGGAAAACATGGATCCTAACTTACCAAGTGAATATGTACTGAGAATGGTTGTTCCTCAAGTTGACCTCTGCGGCGCGACCAATCGGAATGCCCTTAGCTTCGCGGTTGTAAGACTCGATAAGATCAGGCACTGTGAAGGAAATACATTGTTAGCCATGTATTAGCAAGATGAATCAACTTAGCATCATTACCCATTGTCTCCTCAATCCACACAGGCTGGCTGCCGCTCAGCTCGGCCATTTGGTGGATATCCGGGAAGTAGAATTTCCCCTCTTCCGGCTTGTTGTCTGGCGTAAACATGTTCTTCTTCCACGGCTCTCGTAGTAGGCCTTCCACCGTAACCTCCTGGTCGAGCACACCCAAAGGCCGGTCTTTCTGGTCCTTGAACTTCCTTGAAATCCAGCCCCTGTTCACAAGTACCGTACTCTGGCCCTCCCGTTCGAGGGGAGTCACCACGACAAACCCATCCTCTCCGTCATGCATGCGAGGTCCGACCAGCATTTCCTTGTCATGACGGAAACGGCCGGTAGCGTACACGCGGCGGTAGTCAAACTCTTCAATGGCATCTGGGTCGATTCGCGGCGGGAGGGGCAGAGGAGGTTTCACAAGACGATCCTCGAACTTGGCCATCAGCTTCGTCTTCCAATCAAGGCGCTGGACCTGCCATGTCCCCAAGCCAAAAGAAATGATAGGAATCAGAGCTACATATATTTAGCGGTCAGTGATTGATCTCCATATCATTGGACACATGTTGTACCGCCTGCTTAGGGGATCTAGCATCGGCCATGGACATGTACATACCCAGAATGATCAGACCAGGCCCATGTTTCTTATTGACCCGAACAAGTCTTGCGGGGTGGTCCACCACATTTAAACCATCAGCCAACTGGCGCGACTGCGAGATGTGCCGGAATTGTGACGCGCGATATTTGGCGGCGATAGAACCGAGCTTCGATGAGACCTGAGCACTTCGAGCAGCTCGAGCAGGTGCTGACCAGGCCCGCGTGGCTGTCTTCTGCAGAGCCGAAAAGATCGGCCGCATGTCGGCGGGTTGGGGAGAGTAAATAGGACTTTTAGGGATTTGAACCGAGTGCCAGTAAAAGCAAGCAATTGACCGTCTTGGAAATGTAAGGAATGAATCGAAGATTGGAGGGTTTAATTGTAGTTGAGGGCGATTGCTAGGTCGATGTCCGCGGCAGATGGGATTTTGGGATCGGAGTTACCGTGACCGCCCGGGCTTCTCCAATCTATACTTGTCTCTCCGCACCGGCCTCCTCATCTACAGATCTTTAATGCGATCATGACGCTTTTTTACCAAGGATCCCTTCAGGATGGCATTTCTGCCGCTGTGAGAGATACCAAAGCTGTTATTTGCTTTGTGCGAGGTCGGTACTATCACCCCGCATCCAACTGACATGCTGCTGATCCGCGATCTGAAACATACAGATGACGAAGAGACCAGCTCTACATGGGAAGAGACGTATTTTGGTGATGAGGAGGTATGTCTGTTGGCTAGGACTACACACGTTCCGATATCTGACTCCTGAAAGGTTGTGCAAGCGCTCAATGCTAAAGCAGTTGTGTTGCGATTGACAGCAGGGTCACAGGAAGCTGGATTTCTGGCCTCATTCTGTCCGATTACGAAATTTCCGACAGTGATCCTTATCAAGTGCGTTTGATTACTCAATTATATTGTCAATACGACAGTGGTTAACTGACCTTGTTCTAGGAATGGCACGTTGAAGGAATACATCGGGCCAGATGTGTCGAATGATGACTTCCGCAGCCGATTGCTTGCAGCTCTGAAGGATGACCAGACACCCATTCCTACGCAGCAACCGCAGGATAGTAACCCTCCCACGGCACCAGTTGACCTTGCACCTGTTCCTGCGCCTGTACCTGCGCCTGTACCTACATCTGCACCTGCACCAGCACCTACCGCACCCACCGCACCCCAAAGTAAACCCCAGGTGCAATCTAAAGCTGGCAAATCGGCCCAATCTGCAAGGAAAGCAGCTGAAGATGCCATCAAGAAAAGAGCTGCATCTAGGGAACCTCCTAAGAAACCCGCAGAACCAGCATCATCAGCGAGCTCCACGCCTCAAACACAGACGGCCAAGCAAGACATTAAAGGCAAAGCACCAATGGGATCCAAAAAACTCACCGAAGAAAGCAGCGCAAAAGCGCAACTAAGTCTACAGTCCCTCGAGGACCCCCTACCGAGTACCGACTACAAGTGCGCCTATTCGACGGAAGCTCTGTACGATCTAGCTTCACACCCACCCAGAGCATCCGCGACGACGTACGGCCTTGGCTCGACGCGAAGATGGAAGGCGACAACCGACCCTACAACCTCAAACACATCCTAACCCCCCTGCCCAGTGAAACTCTGTCCGCCGCCCAGGAGGCGCAAACTCTCCGAGACCTGGGTCTTGGCTCCACTGCAAACTTGGTGATGGTTCCCGTGTCAACGTACACAGATGCCTATGCAGCAGCCGGTAGCCTGCCTGTCCGCGGTATCTCTGCCATCTATAACCTCGCCTCTTCGGCTGCCAGTACGGCGACGGGTATGGTGGGTTCCTTCCTTGGATATGGTTCGGCTGCACCGGCAAGCGACACGGCTTCCTCGGCGCCTCCGGCTGGAAATTCTCAGCGCCCTATAAATGCGGGGCCTAATATACGGACATTGAGGGATCAGCAAGATGGACGTGGGGATAGTCAGCTGTACAATGGGAACCAGGTACGTGGGCTGGGGAGGAATCGTTTTGACTACAATCTTCTAACGTCTTTTCTTAGTTGAACTTCGAGCCGCGAATCGATCAAGGTGACAAGGATAAATGAGTACGGATGGCATTTTTTGGCTGTTCTTGTATTATTCTATGGCGTTGATGGTGTCGATAAGCCCACAGCGCGCTGTAATATGATAAACTCTGGGTTATCAACTTTCCGGTTACTGTAGGACGAATTGCTACAAGTCCTCTATGAATGCACTACTGCTATTGTCTAAACACCATCAGGCTTCCAATGAATCAGGAAACGTAAATTTGGTTTTGTATTGATGCAAATCCTTGATTGGGTAGTCAAGAATTGGTTTCCTATTGAGGAGAGATGGTATAGAATACAAAAAGCGATATGGGAATCGTTATGCAAAAGGGCTTTCTCCGGACGCTGCAACACAAAGATACCCATCACTTATTACGTAGAATGACAGTATCTGTCCTTCCGATCAAGTCCACCAAGGGGGCCGAATGGCATCAAACCCTTAGTATTGCTTAGCAGCAGCCTGGCAAGCTTTCTGCAAGACGTTAGCATAAAGTCAACAAAACCAGACAGTCCAAAAGTGTAAACATACCAGCTGATCGAGGTACCAACCGCAAATGCTGATGTTACCCTGGTTCTCATCCATGCAGGTGCGGAAGTTGCGAACATCAACCTCACAAGCAGGGTTCTCAAACGAGCTCTGGCCAGCGTTGCTCTGGTAGAGGCCGTTGTCCATAGCCTGAGCAGGAGCAGGAGGAGCCTGCTGGGCCTCAGCAGGAGCGCTGGAGCCACCACCGAAGAAGCCACCGATGGCGTGGCCGATAGAAGATCCGACAGCGACACCACTATATGAAAAAAAAAGACCGTTAGCACATGTTCCAGAAACAGTTTGACCTGAACTCCGGATTTTGCCGAGAAAACAGGCTGGATCTGGGCACTTACGCGGCAGTTGAGGCCATCTGGCCGAATAGACCAGGGCCGGCACTCTGTGCGGGAGGAGCCTGGGCGGCTTGTGGGGGGTGGGCGGCGGTCGAGTGAGGCTGCGATTGCTGAGTAGGAGCAGCCGCGGGCCGAGCAGGAGCGGCGGTAGGGCGAGTGGGTGCGCTACGCGCAGGAGTAGGGGCGGCACCACGGCGTTGACGAGGCATTTTGAATGGATGTGTGTGGGATTGAAGGGGATTTGATAGAGAAGAAAGTGAGATATGTGAGTTGAGATAAGTATAAGTTCCTAGTGGAGAAAGAAGAAGCTAGAAGATGAGTAAGTTCGGCCACTGAGGCAAACTCCGATGCAAACCTTGGAGAATTATGGCAGATAATTGGTTGAATATCCTATCACGTGGATCGGAGTTTACTGGTGCCGATTCCCGGCGCGGAGACAGGAACGTGATATCAAATGACTGTTTCCACCGCCTACTTTCTGCCATGTCAATCATTTCTTAATCGGGAAGTATATTGTTCGGTTTTGTTTAGCAAACTACGTGAATCAAATATCCCCAGGTCAAGTGGTCGACTGGGTAAGTGGCGAGGTTGCCACAGACCTGACCTGGGGATGTCTCGCGTTCGAAACCGACATGCGAGATATGTATTACCTGGAGGGGTTCCTCATGTCTCCGGGGAATCGGGGACCCCCAATCCTGAACGAGACTGCCACCGTTCAAATGAGACTGCCAGTGCCGGACTCGCCCACATATGGTGCTCCATCGGCGTCTCTATCCTTTTCTTTTTTTGCGGGGTAGAGAATGTGTTCTCCCCTGTTTCCACTTCGAGTCTTGCGAGTAAGACCGTCATTTTCCATCACGGTCCCTGAACGTGTGACCTAGGCTCTTCTACATCCTTCTCCAACACCTCCTCCCAATAACATTAACTAGTTCATTGCTCCTCAACGCACGTGAATAGCCCACTGAAGATGTAAAGACAAGAAGCGCACTTTCTCCCCGGGCTTCATACCCACAAAGGCAAATGAATACAAGCTGGTCCTTGATTGTGAAGTGGTGCCAACTAGATCAGGAGGTCTGGTCTATGGTCGTTGTCGCGTTATCCCTAGATCTGAATATCCTCTTTGGTATTTTCATGTGTGTATGCTTTAGTAGAGTGATAAGGTACCCCAATCGTGTAGTGTAGAATCACGCACTGATAGTCGAATATGTTCATACTTGACATATTTGCTACTGAGTTTCTTACTCTGTTGAATCATTCGCTTCCTGCTTCTCCTTCAAAGGGCATTATATCAATGACAGTGCTCCCAGCTCACCTAGTATAATGTTTGCTAGTCAGGGACAAGGGAATTACTACCACAGATCTACTCGGTCTACAATATACTTACGCCGTATAACTTCAAAGGATCACACGAAATAAGGATAGGTATAGGTAAGGAGTCTGGGAGGAATCCTGGACAGTCATCGCGTTTCGAGCCATGTGAAGACAAGTCTGGTGATATAGGCACAAAATAGGAGCAATGATATTGATCTACTAGGTAGCTCTTACAAAGATTGTATGTGAAGGATGTTGCAGGGTTTCATTGGGGGAAGGGTATCTTGATTCATGGAGACGTCCGAGTCTCGTACATAGAGTAAGTAATACATAGAACCACTCATTGCGGATCTGAGAAGGCCCAGACATCCATCTGAAGGGATGTCCATAACCTAGCAGGCCGGTGGAAGCCTCGTTTGGATTCGACAACGTATTTCGCGTCGAAAGTAAATTTGTAGGGTAACAGATGGGAGGCGCTGTGTCTCAAGGCTGCCCGGCAGCCTGTCCTTGGCATGAAGTGCATTCAAAAGCAAGGCCGAAGTGAGATCACAATGTCCGAGATGCAAGTAATCACGGGGCCTTTCGAGCCTTTCGAGCCTCTTCTTTTCTCTGCCGTCGCTCCTTCTTTTTCTCCTGCAGTGCCACCTTGTCAAATTTTCCCTTCTTTGGCTTGCGACTGTCCGGTCCCTTGCCATCTTTGGTCTTCTCTTTATTACTCTTCTTCTCGGCCTTGCTGGGGAGATTTGCGTCAACTTGAGGCTCCGCTGCCGGTCCAATATCTACTCCCCCTTCGGAATCATCGTCAGACTCCTCATTGGTTTGTGCAGAAGCATACTCCTCCCAGCTCTTCTTGGCAAGCATATCAGCTTTGAACTGAGCAAGGGCTCGCTCTTTGGCCTGCTTCTCGGCCCGTTCCAAGTCATACTTATCATTGCCAGCCTGTGAAGATATGGTCAGCGGCCATTTGAAAACAGCAATCGTAATTGAGACTTACAAGGCCATGTTTGATAAATCTGCCTGCAGCTGCCTTGTCGAGAGTCATGTTTCGCTCCTCGGGCTCGGTCTCCAGTGCCTTGATCTTATCAAAGTATTGCTTCACACGGGTCAGTTCCCGGAATACCTGGTGCTGCTTCGCATCGACGCCATGAAGTCGCAAATAGGCTGTGATAGACAATTAGCACTATAGAATCGTGAGTTTGGGATATGCGACGTACAGAATATTAGTGATTCGAGAGTGTATGTGATCAACACATGAAGTTTTGCTTTATCCATGAGAGGCAGTTTGTTAGAGCTTTTGGATAGTGAGCTCCTCAAGAGGGGCTGTAGGACCTCCTCCAGATCATCGGTATTATCGTCGAGCTGCGAAAGCAGCTCGAATACGTTTGATTCGTCCATGGTGGTGTAGAAGTGATGTAGTTGGGAAGTCGCTCAAAAGTTGACCCAAGAAAAAAATAGGACGGGCTCAACGAGGCGGTAGGACGGGCGGTGTGAATTCTGGGCCGATTATCATCTGCGCAATTGAGATGCCGCGAACTCATGCGAATCGAAACAATTGCTTGATTGTTCCAGCGAGTTCAGATGGACTTTCAAATCAACCTTGTCTACTGTGATCTACTCTGATACCTCACCAACACCATTGGTACAATCTCCTCCCGCTCGCCAAACATCCACCTGGGCCCTACATCGCATATATCGGGGAGCTATCCCCCAATTCTCTCACAATGCTGTCGGCATTTCAACCTCGCATATTGTCGCGGACTCACACGCTTCAAACCTGCATTCGTTCTCGGTTTCAGTCATGTGGCGGGCCACGGTTTCTTTCAACATGGAGGGAAGAAGTGAGTGAGGCCAAGACCGGATCAGAAGTACCTCTATCGGGACGAGTGCATATACTGGGCATGGGAAACTTAGGTTGTTTCTTTGCCCATTCTCTGGCCGTGAGACGGTCGCCACCGCCAATCACAATTTGCTTGCATAACGACCATCTCTATCAAGCCTTCTTACGGAAACGAGGACAAATATCTGTCAGCACCCATGGCCTCGACGACGTTAGGTCGGGATTCGATGTCGAAACAGTCGACGACCAAGGGAGGTGGTATGCCATGCCGCCAGCAGACAAAAGACCCACGCGTGATGTCGATACTGAGCCCCTGCCGGATGACGGTCCCATCGAGTGTTTGATTATATGCACCAAGGCGCATCACACAGAAATGGCCATAAAAGACATCAGCCATCGCTTGACAAAAGACTCGACAATTTGCTTCGTTCATAATGGCATGGGCGTACTTGACGCCATCAACCAAAATGTTTTCCCGGATCCCCACCAGCGTCCACAATACATCCAGACAGTCTTCACTCATGGTCTGGGCAGAAACGACCCTTTCAAAATCTCACATCTCGGAGTTGGTACCTTAACCCTCAGCCCGGTACCAAATCCTAGTCTCCCCCTACAGTGGCGGAATCCGACTACACATGGGCGCCGTCAACAAAGTATCTAGTACGCCTCTTGACTCTCACGCCGCCCTTGGTGGCCGTGGCCGATACACCGGCGGGTCTGCTTCAATACCAACTTGAGAAATTGGCAGTGAACTGCGTCATCAATCCTCTGACCGCACTGGGTGATTGTACCAATGGCGAGCTCCTTTATTCGTTCAGCTTTACCCGCGTCATGCGGCTGCTGCTCTTCGAGATCTCTGCCGTAATCTGTGCTCTACCTGAACTGCAGGGCATCCCGGGCATCGAAGATCGCTTCTCACCCGAACGCCTGCGACGTTTGGTCGTGAACATTGCTAGTAACACGGGCAAAAACAGCAGCTCAATGCGGCAAGACATCGATGCTAGAAGATTGACAGAGATCGAATACTTCAACGGATGGATTGTGCGTCGCGGCGAAGAATTGGGTATCAAGTGCGCGCTCAACTACATGATCAAGCATCTCGTCTCCGCTAAAGCGGCTACTATTCGGGACAGAGAAGCTGGTGCCATCCCAATTGATCTTGACAACGTTATCTCTACCAACGAGCCTCCCATTTAAGGGCCAGTCACGGACTACCTCCTGCTAGCTTCCTACCACAGCTCCCTACGCCTGAACGGATCATGAGGTTCAATGATTTAATCTCATTTGAGAGAATCCCTATACAGAGACACTCTTGGTTGCACGCTCGCAGAGATCCTTGATCTGCTTCCACCGTCGCAGCAGCGTCTCTGCTTTTGCATGATGTGCCTGGACCACAGGGTCGAGTTCCATGGCTTTGCGCAACGCGGTCATACTTGCATCTGCCTCTGCGGCATATGTCTGAATCCACCTTTTGATGGTTTCCTCAGACTGACTCTCATCGAAGCCCTTTGACTGGCCCTCAAGGACATGGTCCCGCCAGTCCTCCTCCTTCATGTAACTCAGACATGCGGCGATCTCTGTGCGGTAACAGACTCCATGGGAAGTGACTTGGTAGTTACTAGTGCTGTGTTAGTGAACTGTATATATCGCGTGGAGAAATGCACGTGTCATGTAAAAGTATCAAATCAACACCATACCCATAATACTGATTCAACCACAACTCCTCTTGCTGCTCGACGGAATGGACATCTCGAAAGATGATGTCGTCAAGGTAAATAGAATCGGCTTCGTTCTTGTCGAGGAAGAAGCCATCTATACGAGATGTTAGCAAATGACACGCCAGATGATATGGATAAGGACATCTCACATTCAGCTAGTAAAGTATCATTTGGATGGCTACCATAATTCATGTAAACCTCCTCGCCCTCATTATAATCTTCCGTAGCACAGAACACATATTCATTCTCATTGAACTTGACATCTCGCTGTGTTGCAACATTAGCTTAATAAACCTAACACGATAACTCGATGCACATACCGGAACATCCGCATGATTGAAATAATCAGCAAACGGCACCAACCCCATCGCATCATTCGGGTCCTCAGGCGCCTCCTGATCCTTCCCAACCCAATAGAAGCTCCTCGTATTAACAATCAGCCAGTGGTAAGAAAACATCTCCCAGTCGGTATCCGGGAATGCAGAAACGACATCCGTCCACGCCTTGCGCAAGCGCTGGGCCTGTTGTGTCAGGATATTCTGATAATCCGAACTATACTTCCTCGACTTCGGTCCCGGCTGTAGAGTATTCCATCGTCCTGATAGGGACGGGGGAAGTAGATTCGGCTGCTGAGTGTCGGCAGTGGTGTCCTTTGGGCCGTCCGGCAGCTGTGGTCCTCCCAGAACAGCCGGCCAGAGGATGGGCATGCTGTCTTCGAAGTCTTTTCGGCTGGGCCATGAGTTGCGCCATAGATTGTATTTTGACAGTTCGTCTGCCGTGCCGTGGGTTAGATAGGCTGCTAGAAGTGCTTGTACGGCGATGTCTTCTGGTAATTGCGAGGTGAAGGTGGAGGGGATATCTTCCGCTCTTAGCATTAGCTGTGTGGGAACTCGGAGGATGGATTCTCCTTTCTGGATAGAGAGGTGAGTATGTGTATATGATAGAAGCCAGTATGGTTCCCGGCATTGTTGTGCTCATACTTTGATCTTCCGGGTTGCCATCATTCCTAGGCCACGCCCTTGGAACCGGGCTGGGGTCACTGAGGTGATGTCTATGCCATTGGAGACTGCCCATTCAGTGAAGGCCTCGTGCTCTTCTCCTGGCCACCATTCTGGTTTCATATCGGGTGTTTCGGTGCTTATTGGCACACTTAGGTAAGATGTCTGTGCAGGTCAGCATATATATTGGGACAGATCAAGGGTGTGAGGGACCTTATCGGCTGGGACATACCTCCAAAGGAACCTATGGTATTTTGTACGAGCTTTGCTTGTATCTTCGGCAGATAACAAGCTCAATTGGACATACAGCAATAGCAGGAGAGATCAATGCCCGTCTGAAATTCACTTTGTACACTGTGGAGCTGAAGATGTTTATCGGCGATAAGCAGTGTTATCGTGCATATCATGCCTGTACGGCGTAGCACAATGGCCACTAGCGCTGTTCCTGCCGATCAGACAATCATCCCGCGGACGTCGTCTTAGCTTCCGCCCCAGACTATGCACGAGCTTCACTGGATTTCAGATTCATAATGTCTGTCCTCGGGAGACGCGGAGCATCTGAGCTTCGCACTTTAGCTACCAGCTCGAATCGATCAGCGAGCACTCTACGGCCTTTCTCCGTGCTGAACCGCCCGCCACCGAGCTATCCCGGCCATGTCCCATTGACTACGATTGAGCGCGGAGCTCTTGCCGTTGGCTCGGCAATTGGGTCCCTTATAAATCCTCGGAGAGCGGGTACATGGCCAGAAATATCCCGGCAAAATGTAGAATCGTCGAACTGATCGAATACGTTTTATAGATCTCATTGCAGCGCTGGGCGAAGCCACAGCAACGCCATTCTTCATATACCGACTCCGCAATGCCATGCTCTCAGACCCAACCGGACGCCGCATTCTCCGCGATCGACCCCGCATAACCTCCCAAACCCTCAAAATGGACCATCTCCGCGCTCTCCCCGAGAACTCCGTCGGCTGCACATACGCCAAATGGCTAGACCGCGAGGGTGTGTCCCCGGACACCAGAGACAACGTCAAGTACATCGATAATGAAGAATGCGCATATGTTATGCAGCGGTACCGTGAGTGTCACGACTTCTACCACGCAGTGACGGGGCTGCCGATTTTCGTGGAGGGCGAACTGGCTCTCAAGGCGCTGGAGTTCTTGAACACGCTTCTGCCCATGACTGGGTTGAGTTTATTCGCGTTTGTGCGTATGAAGCCTGCCGAGAAAGAGCGCTTCTTGTCTTTACATCTTCCGTGGGCTATTCGCAGTGGGTTGAGGAGCAATGAACTGATTAATGTTTACTGGGAGGAGGTGTTGGAGAAGGATGTGGATGAGCTTAGGGCTGAGTTGAATATTGAGCGTCCACCGGATCTCAGGGAGATCCGGAAGATGATGAGGCAGCAGCAGAAGCGGGAGAAAGAGAGGCAACAGGCGGCTTCGAACTGAGCTGAGCTGAGCGAGCCGAAGTTGGCTCTGCCGGGCCCATGTATAATCGGAGATAGGGAGACATGTATGATTATCGAAACGGGTCGAAGAGTATAGCGAATGCGCAGATGCGTAGAATGCAAGACTGAATACTCTCAATTCAGCCCAGCTGGAAATATTGTAAAGAAGATTCATAACGCCTGGAGTAGGGCTCCCCGACGACCCACACGAGCAGATCAGGAGAGGTATCCGAATGCAATAAAGATAGGGTCGTAGCGCAAGTATTCATAAATCACATTTCCTGTGACTCATAGGTCCAGGAGATCATCATCGTCGTCCCACCCACCTTTGCGACGAGAAATCACAATTTTCTGCTCCTCTTCCTCCTTGCGCTGGTTCTCAGCAATAGCACCCAGCAGGTCCTTGAGCTGCTCCTCGGTCACCTTTTGCCGTAGCTGTCCGGACTGTGCGAGCATAATGAGACGGTTCTCGATATCTATGGCGCGGGATTCTTTGACCATGCGGATACGGCCCAGGCGATCGGCGGCGGCGGGATCGAGGATTTGCATCAATATCGAAGCGCGCTGCTCTGTTGGAGAGTAAGAATATGGTTAGCAATGTGGCGATACGATATGACAGCTTGCACTCCGACCCGCGGACTGGAACGGTAGATCACGAACGTACCCTCAGCTTGTCTATTAAGTCAATTAGTACATGTCCGAGTATTTCTTGAGGTTCTCCTGGTACTCACCTCTTCTGCTGTGCTTGCTCGCCACCGTCCTGGCCACCCCCTCGGGCTCCCTGTTGTTGGAGTTGTGCGAGACGAGCCCGGCGGATCTGTTTCATCTTTCAGTATTGCAATCGATGGCGCAGACCTCTAGCCTTGTTGCTGTGCGACTGACCTCTTCTAGCTCTGCGTCGGCCATGGTGGATATAAGAATACAGGAAAAGCTGGGCTTGTACGCGGTATATGAGGAGATCAAATCTTGAGGGGTCAAAGATTGGTTAACCCCACTTCGGACGTAGGGTACGGGTGGCGATAACGGCCATATGAACTCATGTATAGACAATCGCATTATTGCTCAGCAAGAGTATTGAGTCTACGTAGAAGTATAGTTAGATCATCATCTTTTGAATAAGTAACGCTCAGCAATACTGAAATACATTTTCGCCATCTTCATCAGTTGCAGCCACATCTTCCTTCTCACAAGTGAGCGCTCGTTCAATGAGCTTCTGCAGTTCTACTCAACATCATCCACCCGCTCTCCGTTCGATGTCCCCATTGTGGTTGATAGAACGGGATTCCTGCAGTCAGCACTCCGTGCTGGAGGGCCTTGTCTGTTCTCACTACCAGTACCAGCTCGTACGGCTCAAGCCCGGACTGAGATTTACCCCGAGAGTCTGACTCTGAGCCTTATAAAGAGATGGCAGCCAAGATAGCAAAAGCCCACATAGAAAAAAATACGCAGTACGTAGAGTCAGTAGGGATGAAACAGGTAGACTTAGCGTACTCGACCTTAGCTGCAAGATAGGCGCAAGAATGTCCGACTGCGCCTCACGCGAGGGGCAGTTGAAGAAGTAAATTACCCGGAGTTTCACGAATGTGACGGGTGATTAGCTTCAGATTAGTAGTGTCTTCATCAGAGCCCATCTCCGGTCCGTGTCCGAGTGGCAATGGCAGATTTCTCCCCTCACTTTGGCTTTAAGAACATCCAACCCCCTCTCCTTTGAATACTACATTCCTTCTCCACTTCATCAAGTCTTCTTCTTATCGCGTAGCGGAGCCGATCCTTCAATAGTTCGCGGAGTCCACGGGCTGATACTTGACTAAGCCCCTCGTGGTTCATCTCTCTTTCTCCAACCCCCGACTTCTTGGACACTCTCGACAGGGTCATATTTCCGATCGGTCCTGGTTGTGGCAATTCAATCCTTTGATTTAAATCCAGCGCATTCCTTTTTTTTCAGCCATTCTATACTTATTCGCCAAACCCGGATTCGACCATCTGCCAACTCATTGAACCCGATACGTCGTACAGAATCGCGATATCGACTCGCACGCGCGACCTCTTAATTTCCAATCTATCTTTACGGTGTGAATGGCGCGGACTGCGACTTGTCTACTGGAGCCTATCTAGACGTGATATTGATCTGGCGACCAGCGAACCTCTGATTCTGGCCTTTCACCACCTGAACGCCTTCTACGTCACTCACCATGGCCGAGTAAGTCCACGATCAAGATGTCTCTTTCGGGAAAACCAATCGCTGACCGCTCAGATGGGGTAATCTGATTGCCTTTCAGACCACTAATCACAGTTTCTTTTCTCCATCCAACATGATTCCGCGACACGCCCATAAGAGATCACTTTCGTCCGAGCACCGGTCGTTATCTCCTGACCGGACTGTCATAAAAGCAAAGTCGACCACCAATCTCGCCGAAGTAGCTGCTCCCACTGCAAAATTCACATCATCCAGCTTTGACGAAAGCTGTTTCAGCACCTTGCAGGACCCGCGGTTGATGGTCGCTCCGGAGGTTTCAGATTCGACGTCATCGTCTCCTCACCACCCCGATTTGAGCAACGAGGTTGCAGCCTTGTCTGTAAAACTGATACAGGCCATCAACAATCAAACAAATCTCGATGATAGCTTGGTTGCTACCCGCCAAGAGCTAGAGCTAGCTCAGGGCAAGATCAAAGCCCTCGAGTTTCAGAATGAAAAATACCGACGAGAAATCGAAAACCAAACCTACATCAAGAAATTCGACTCTGACCGTGTGATTTTGCAATTACGGGAGGCATTAGCGGAAGAATGTAGTCAGCGTGCTGCCGTTGAAAAGGGCAAGAAGACTATTGAGCAGGAGCTGGAAAGTCTTACTGCGGCTCTTTTTGAAGAAGCTAATAGGGTTCGTTATATCTATTCATACGATCTCGACGATGCTAACACCTATCTAGATGGTTGCAGCGGCCAAGATTGAACGGGAGGCAGTGGAGAAGAAGAATGAGCAGCTACGTGCACAGGTTAAAGACACGGAGTTGCTCCTGGCGTCTCACCAGGACCAGCTCGCCGAACTCAAGTCTGTCATGCAAGGGATGAACCTTAACAAGAATGACGTTGAATCCCGTCTCAATACTGCCCCACCATCTCCGGCTCGCCCACAAGAGCATGATTCTGCCAAAGAAGAGCTGGAGCTCGAATCCGTCCCTGTGTCGATCAGCGAGCCCGAGGAGCTTAGCCCGGGCCCTTCCTCTAGTTTCCCGCAGCTCATTCGCATGATATGCCGAACGGATTTGCAAGCTTATGAGGACTTCCGCGATCTCCTGATACTCTCTCGGAGCTCCAAACCTCCTAGTCGTGTTGCTAGTGGGTCATATGGTGGTCTGAATGTGATGAGTTTCGCAGGCTTCGCTACCGGCGGAACTTCCTCGGCGACCTCATCGCCCACCAAAGTCTTCAGCCATTCGCCCAATGGGAGCACGTCCTCCATAACCGGGTCGCACATCCCCTTGAAAGAAACTCGTTTCTACAAGCGGGTTCTCATCGAGGACATTGAACCTACGTTGAGATTAGACCTAGCGCCGGGAATCTCATGGCTGACACGGCGTACTGTCTTGAATGGCATCTGCGAAGGCAGCCTTGTCGTAGAGCCAATGCCCTCAGCGTCCAAGGAATTCGAATTCCCCTGCTCTGTCTGTGGTGAACGCAGACCCGGCACGATAAACGAGAGAACTCATCGATTCCGAACATCGGATAATGAAAATGCTCAGAGGTACTCGCTGTGTCTTCTCTGCGTGGAACGAGTGCGGTCGTGTTGCGAATTCACCGGGTATTTGCGGCTCATTCTTGATGGACATCTGCGGGCTGGCGATGCCGAAGAAGAGAAAGAAATTTGGGACGAGACCATCCGCCTCAGAGAGAGAATGTTCTGGTCCCGGATCGGAGGAGGCATCGTTCCATTGTTCAATCGTTCAAGCGCACCAGAGGCACTGCCTGAAGTCCCCGATTCTAATGCGCGTGCCGCTGATGGCAACGATGACCTATATCTCCACCCTGTAGATGTTACCCACATCGACTCCAGAGTGGAGAAAACGTCGCTGACAGTGGATCACACAACCGAAACATCAACCATGGAAGCCTATGCTGATCACTATACCCACGCAGATGCTCCTCGGCCTCAAAGTTCTATCTATGACAGAGAGGACGTCGAATCTCTGCCTGATTCAGCACGCAAACGATTCTCTGTCGAGTCAGCAGTAAGCGTCTACGAAGAAGCAAGCGCTGATGTGGTCGTCGAAGCCATGCAAACCGTCTCCAATGAGCCCTCGGCTCATAATCCCGAGCATGACACAGAACATACCTCCACCCCCATTGCTTTGAGCGTCGATACCACAGAAACTGTCCCTAGAGAACCCTCAGATGTTCAGAATCCCGACAAAGACACAGAACGTACCAAACACATCGGTTTGAGCGACTCTTGACCTCGGTTGGTCCGACGAGCTGATCAACGAGTGAGACGACTACACGCTTCTACCCAGCATTTTATGATCCGGCTGATGTCTTCCCCCATTCCTCGGCGTTGCATTCTTCAAGTCACTTAATTCTCTTTCGCTTCCCTCTAGGTTGTTGTCACACACCTGCTCCTTGGACATGCTGCATCTTCCTTCGCCTCTACCCCCACCTCTACTTTCAATCTCCTACTTGGTTAGGCGATGAATTCCCTGTCGGTTCTGGTTCCTGGGTATACATCTCTTCGCTTCAGCAGCATACCCCTTTTGTATTATTAACACCCCTTCTTCTTGTCTTCTGACTTGTATACATACTAATGTGTTTTGTGCTCCCCTGTCCTTTTTTCTTTCCAGCGGACACTTGGACCTTGGTATCCGGAGTGATTCTATGGATTCACACCTTGATTGCTCTTTTTCTGTTCTCTTTCTGTTCTCTTTCTGCCTTTTCTCTTTTTCCCTTCTCTTTCCCCAACTTCTGACCGCGACGATGCTCCCAGCGACAGAAGCCTTCTGATAAACGATAGATGAATCTGAGTCAATTACACACACAGGAATTCCCCTTATGACACTCACTGTAGAAGATGTCATTTGAGACGCTAGCCACTACCAGATCTGAGTCCTCGACACTTATTGCCTGCGATGGAAACGACCTAAGCGAAAATTAAGAGAGAAGCATCGACCAGACAACACGTTTCATGACGTTAGAGTAAAAGAGGCTATTGTACACAGACAGAAAGACAAAAGTTCATACCTCTCCTCAACTCCATAAATGACAGAAAAATAGCCATTCTACTACAGAACCCGCAAAAACCTCACTTCAAACAGAAAACATCCCAGAACTCAACATCGGGATATCACCGTTTCGCAAGCTGCTGAATATGTCTAAGCTGATCATCGATATTCGTACTAGGCTGATTCGGATTCTGCGGCCCAGCCGAGCCATCACCCGGCAACGCCATACGCTTTCTCCTCGCCTCCTCCTCGGGATCAACAGGCGAAGAATCGAAGACATCGCTGCGCTGACTCGCCAGACGCTTGAGGTTGCTGACGACATCGACGGTAGAAAGATTTGTCGTTGCACTGCGGGATTCCGCCTTTGCGCGCTGCTCTTTCCAGCGCGGATCCAGAAGCTCGATACGGATGTGTTCGTCCAGCTCGGGGGAGGGCACTTTCTGGTTGCAGTACGGGCAGATGGCCATCTGGGCTTGTTGGCGGCGGGCTTGGGCGCGTGGCACGTAGTCGGAGCGGATGCGCATTGGCTGTTGGCCGGGGACGGCTTGGGCGGCTGCTTGGGCGGCGGCGGCGGCATCGCGGGCTTGCATGCGCTCGCGGATGCGTTGGTCTTCTTCGGGGTTGGTGTATTGGCCTGGTGGTTGGTAGGGGCCGGCTTGGTAGGGTGAGACGGAGGGTTGTGGGGATGGCATAGGGGCGGTGGCGTTGTAGTAGATGGGTGATTCGAGGTCTGCGGGCATTCCTTCCTCGATGCGGCGTCTGCTGAGGGATAGGGCTGCTCTCTGCTCGAGGGAGGCGGATTGCAGGTCGTTGGCGGATGTTGGGGGTGGCAATTCCGCGTGCTCGTCGTGTTCGGTGAATTCCACGGTTTCCACCACGACGAAGTCGTGCCAGTCGATTTGTGCATATTCCAACCGCTCTTTCTCGCTCTGCTCTTCTTTCTCTTGTTTTTGCTTCTGTTGGAACTTTACCCATTCGGCTCGCTGCTTGGCGCGCTCCATGACGTTGAACTTGTTCTGCACATTCTTTTCGAGCTCGGCGATTCTTTTCGTGACTGTTGTCGCCTCGTCGATTCCTTCGGTGCGAAAGAGAATGGTGTATTGATCAACCAGTCGTGTGAAGAATGAGTGAAGACTGTGCTGTGGCCGTAAGAAGTCGAATTGGAAATTTCTCGCCTCGCGCTGCGACAGCGCAGTCGTAAACGATTTCCCCCTCTTTGCCACAAACAAGGCCGTAAGCTTGACCACATCAAGATCCTGCGCATTGAGGATAGGCATGCGCGCCGAGAAGTAGAATGGTGTCGGTTCTGGCGGCCCCTTGGGCTTTTCGGGTTGCGCGGCGACTGTCTCGGCTCGGCCTGCTGTCACGTCTGCTCCGCGGCCGGCTGCGATCTCGTCGCAGCGCCATTTGTAGTAGGTGTAGTAAGGGTCTCCTGGTATCAAGAAAGAGAACTTGTAGTTGTTCAACTCCTTGCGAACACGGTTTTCGAACTCGGGTCCATTGCGAACGACATGGGTTGCTGATTTCTCGACAATCGAACGGATATCCTTAGGAGGAACTACCATACCCTCTGGAGCCTTGATATCCTCCTCAGGGCGAGCTGTGTCTCCATTTGACGGCTCCATGATGGTGGTTGAGAATGTGAAGAGGAGAGAGTGTTTCTGGTCTGTCCATCTTGATCGAGCTTAGGCCAAGGGTTGCTGGCCACTGGGCAGTAAAAGGCGGTCACGCAGGATGTGTGGCGCACCTGTGGCGGTGTTTTCAGCCATGTTTTTCAGGTGTCTGCACGTTATTTTTATCGTTCCTCTTCCCCACATGCATTCCGGAATAGTACTGCGTGTGTAGTTCAGAACTGTTTACTTTTTTTTTTCTTATACACAGTAGATGAATGGTCTCCGATATCTCGTAATCTTTAAATGTTATCGCATACAATGCAAATACATGGTAGTCCGACTCTAGAACCCACTAGTAAGACCGTTACAATACCGGGGTCTAAAAAAAACTAAGGGGCCGTTCTTGTCCTCCACCAGGCGCCGTCGATCTGGCCTCAAGGCGGAACTTGGAACTGCACGCTTTCGTCCACTACAGTCCACGTTCTTCTTCATTTTTGTTTGTCGACTTCCCTTTTTTCTTACTCTCTCTTAATCAGCCATTTCTTCATATCTTTTTCACTCTTCCCTGTCATGGGGCCTTTCTCCTCATTGTCATATGATCTTTAATTGGTGTGCCTGAAGCCATCGGCCTGTTGACAGCTCGATATCCGAAAGCGGCTTTCGACAGTATTCAGTCGCCCATTGAACTCGAATAAACCTCTCATTGACGATCATATCATAACCCAACTACAACGCAACTCTCCTATCTTTTCATCGCGGGGTTCCGACTCCCGTGCCGACCTCCTGGACCGCTGCCGTTGTCTCGCATCTAAAACGGACAATTGACCCAACATGGGCCAGAAATCGAACGACTTGCTGGTCGTACGGCCACAAAGCCGCGGCAGACGCTCGCCCAGTCGCTCGCCTAAGCCCAAGAATCGCAAGCCTGTACCCCCGCCGAAGACATATGCCTCGGACGGAGTGAAGAACAATGATATCTTCAAGCTCCCCGGCTCGGACTACAAGCTTCTTGTGCTGGTGACTTTGATTGCTGCTGCTGTTCGTTTATTCAGGATCTACCAGCCCACCAGTGTGGTCTTCGATGAAGTCCAGTACGTTTCCCACTGATCCTATACTATTAACCGAAGAGACAACAAACGGAAACTAACTATCTACGCTTAAACAGCTTCGGTGGATTCGCATCTAAATATATCAAGGGAAAGTTCTTCATGGACGTTCACCCCCCGCTGGCTAAACTGCTGCTTACGCTGGCTGGCTGGTTGGCTGGCTTCGACGGAAACTTCGATTTCAAAGATATTGGCAAGGATTACTTGGAGCCTGGCGTGCCCTATGTGGCAATGCGCATGCTTCCTGCTATCCTAGGTGTTCTGACTGTTCCGTTGATGTTCCTCACCCTCAAAGTCACCGGGTGCCGCACTTCGACTTCACTCCTGGGTGCTGGTCTTGTCCTCTTTGACAATGCCCTGGTTACGCAGTCTCGTCTGATCCTGCTCGATTCTCCCTTGATCTTCTTTACCGCTCTCACGGCTTTGTCATTCAGCTGCTTCACCAACCAACAAGAGCTGGGACCCGCTTATGCCTTCCGTGGCCCGTGGTGGTTCTGGCTGGTGTGCACCGGTCTTTCTCTAGGCGCAACCCTGAGTGTGAAGTGGGTTGGTCTCTTCACCATGGCTTGGGTTGGATCTCTCACAGCTCTTCAGTTGTGGGTGTTGTTGGGCGACGCTAAAAATGTCACACCGGTATGTATCTTCGAGCTCAGATCAAACCGTACTTATTGCTAACAGAACATGATACCCAGCGTCTGTGGTTCAAGCATTTCTTCTCCCGCGTTTTCTGTCTCATTGTCATTCCCCTCGGCTTTTACCTTGCCATGTTTGCCATTCACTTCACGTGTCTGGTTAACCCCGGAGAGGGTGATGGGTTCATGTCATCGGAGTTCCAGGCAACCTTGAACTCAAAGTCTATGCAAGACGTTCCTGCAGATGTTTCATTCGGATCCCGAGTTAGCATCCGCCATCTGAACACCCAGGGCGGCTATCTGCACTCGCACGCTCACATGTATCCCACTGGTAGCAAGCAGCAGCAAATCACGCTGTACCCCCACAAGGATGAGAATAACATTTTCTTGTTGGAGAATACGACTCAGCCTCTTGGCCCCTACGGTGCGGTCGAGGGCCCCTTCGCCTGGGACAACATGACCACTCCTGGTTACATTATGGATGGCTCGATCATCAAACTCTATCACACCATCACTCACCGAAGAATCCACTCACACGACGAGCGTCCTCCGGTGACCGAGGCTGATTGGCAATTTGAGGTCTCTGCCTATGGATACGAAGGCTTCCCTGGTGACGCCAACGATCTGTTCAGGGTTGAGATCGTCAAGTCCATGTCCGAGACCCCAGAGTCTAAGACTCGCCTGCGGACTATCCAGTCCAAGTTCCGGTTGGTCCACGTCATGACTGGCTGTGTCTTGTTTTCCCACAAGGTGAAACTTCCGGACTGGGGATTCGAGCAACAGGAAGTGACCTGCGCAAAGGGCGGTACCCTTCCCAACAGTCTCTGGTACATCGAGTCCAACCAGCACCCTGCACTGCCCGCAGATGCCGAGAGAGTGAACTACAGAAACCCCGGTTTCTTGGGTAAATTCTGGGAATTGCAGAAGGTTATGTGGACCACGAATGCCGGCTTGGTTGAGTCCCACGCCTGGGATTCACGCCCGCCGTCCTGGCCTACCCTTCTCCGCGGCATCAACTTCTGGGGCAAGGACCATCGCCAAATCTACCTTCTTGGAAACCCTCTGATCTGGTGGTCGACCACCCTGGCCATTGGAATCTACTTCGTTTTCAAGGCTCTCTCCGTTATTCGATGGCAGCGAAACTGTGGTGACTACAACCACGTTTCTTTCAAGCGCTTTGACTATGAAGTTGGCACCAGCGTTTTGGGCTGGTTCTTCCACTATTTCCCCTTCTACCTCATGGCTCGCCAGCTCTTCTTGCACCATTATCTCCCTGCCCTCTACTTTGCCATCATGGTCCTGTGCCAGGAGTTTGACTTCCTCACAAACCGCATCAAGAGCCTAGGACTTGCATCGAGACCTGCGATTGGTAAGACTCTGATGGCAGCATTCCTGGGCCTCAGCGTTGTTGTTTTCACTCTCTACGCCCCACTTGTGTACGGCAACCCCTGGACCCGGGATGCCTGCAACAAGGTCAAACTACTAGGATCCTGGGATTTCGACTGCAGCTCCTTCCACAGCGACGTAAGTGTTCCGGAATGGCAGCCTCCTCGTCGAGGCTTCTAAAACCACGAGACCACGACTAACATGGACCTTTAAACGCCACTAGTTGAGTCAGTACATTACTCAATACGTGCCTAACGCCCCTCCCGTGGCTGCCCCTACAACCGCAGCCCAAGCTCCTCCCCCACCACCAGTCCAGGCCCAGGAGCCGGTAGCCGAGCCTGCAGGTGAAGCCGCTCAGGCTTCAGACCCGGCAGCTGTCACCGCGCCCAAGATCCAAGGCTCCGTGGCCCGTGTTGAGTACCGTGACCAGAACGGCAAGGTCCTTGATGAAGCCCTGGTTGCTTCACTCCGCGCGGAAGGTAAAGTCAAGTTCGAGACTCGCTATGACTCTGGTCCTCCCATGCAAAATGCCCACGAGGTTCCTGTCGTTGATGGCCAGCTTGCTCCCCCGCACCCCGATGTCGAGGGCCAGAACCCTGAGACTGGAAAGGAGCCCAAGGACTCCGTGCCTCCTGAGAGCCCTGCTTCTGTGGCCGAGGGCAATGAGCGCTCTGTTGAACAGCCTCGCTCCATGGAGGAAGCTAAGCCTGCCAGCGAGGGTAACGAGGCTACTAGATAGTGGTTGTGGGGAAGCTCAATGTGTAAGAGAGGAGGTTCCGCTATGTATAATGAGACGTCATAGAGTACGCAGTAGTTGTCTGAATCGTTAGCTTGTTTTCAGTGATATGTTAATCGACACTGATATCCACATATTTGGGCAACGTATCGAAGTTATAGAGAACACCGGATAGGTAGATTCCCACTCCATCTAGGATAGCAGGTCATCACAAATTGACGACCAAATGGAACCAGCATAATACGGGCAGATGTAGCGCAAGAAAGAGACCGATTTCCAATTGACTCTTATCTGAATACGAATACTATGCACAATCTCTTGCTATACAAGTAGCAAGTCCACGCAGCTCTCTCCTCCCAAGTCTTTAGTATACAGCAATTGGCCGCAAAAATGGCAACCTGCTTCATTCAACTTCTCAAGACAATCTTCATAGCTAATCAATAGCCATCTAGTAGTCCCACTCCTCCTTGCCGAGCTTGTTGAACTTCTCGTGGAGGTCCTATTAGAAAAAGTCAGCAAATCTCATCAAAGCAGTAAAGGCGAACACGCATGGCACTCTTGACCAAAGCGATCGCGCACGTCACATAGACTGGTCTAGTAAGTTCATACCTCGGGCAGGGTGACATTGGGAACAATGACGGTGTTCATGGCGCTGGGAGCAGCACGGAGGGGCTGGTTCTTGTCACCGTGGGGGTGGTACTGGTACTTGTAGACCTTGCCATCCTCGGACTTGGCCTCCCAGGGCATGGCGCTCTCGGCAATGCGGACGTTGCTCTCGGAGTTGACGGAAGTGGGCTTGCGGCCGAAGTACCTATATCGCGAATCGTTAGCGATCGTCGTGCTTGCTTTGTAACTGGTCGTGTGCGCCATTGAGTGTTGTAGGCCGAGTATATAACATCACGACGAAGCATTGGTACGTCACAATGGCGCATATGGGGCGAATTGTTCCGACACGAGGGGATGTAGGGTATTTTCGGGAGGGATGCTCACCATCCGGCAATCAGGAAAGCGCCAGACATAACACCGAGGAGGACCTAAAGCCATGGTAGTTAGTTTTAAAGCTCTATTGTTGCTCAATGGCTTCGTAGGATCCGTACGTAGAGCTCGGGGTCACGCTTTCCGGCCTTGTCGAGGTCGCCCTGCTCGGCCTTGGTGGAGTTGAAGCGGCGCGGGGGAGCGCGGAAAAGGGACTGGCGGGTCAGAGCCCGGCGGGTAGCCAGAGCAGCAATTGAGGACATTGTTGCAGCAATTTGTGCGTGCGTTGGAAGGTGACTTCGTGGGCGGAGAACTGGAGACGGGGTAGTGGGAGAGAATCATGAACATCGAATGATGTTGCCGGCGTATCAGGTGACCATGAGTCAGCACCCGGATCGAGCTCATCTATGGACGCGACTTTCGAGCTTCCTGTTGGTTGAGATTCTGCGGTTTCAATTATCCCGGCGTGCTGACGCATATACGATCTTTGCGGTGATTGTTTCTGGGATGTAACTGGTCTCTACGAACTGGTTTGGCTTCTCGATCGCTGTTCTACTAAGGTATGTGGTCCCGGTTTTCTCCATCAGGGGCTCTACTCGGCCCCAGTTTTGTGGCATGTTCGTCGGTGGAACTCAGCATTGGAATTGGAAACTAATAATGAGACTATAGGGGCTTGGTTGATCGAATCACTCACTTTCGCTCATTAGACACTGTCTCATCCATCGCCGCTCCTTTTTCTCGCTCTGATCGCTGGCTTGACGCATCCCTTCCATCGCCTACATCGCTCCACTACTTCGCTATTATCAACAAGGAACACAAAATGATAGCGCGCATTACTATCTACCCTTGAAATCGATCATATTCCATAGTCATGTCAAATTCCGCAGAGCGTCCAGCCACCGGCGACACAAATCCAAGCCATGTGTTGGGCATTCCTCGGGCCCCTTCCGTGGGGGGAATTTCATCCCGAATGACAGATGAAGATGGAGAGCGAACACCGTCTTATACGTCACCTCCCGCTACCCTCCAGTCACGCCCGTCCGTTTCTAGGCGTGCACCGCCTCCCACACGCAATTCTATCACTGGGGCCAGCCAAGTGACCAGCAGACCTGGTAGCTCGGCGAGTCGACTGAGTAGAACGCATATCCCGTCCCTGACAGCACAAGCGTTCTTCCGACCTATGAGCTCGCAACGATTGCAGGCACACCGAGGAACACGCCCTATGACCAAAGGAACAGTGTCATCAACCGACGACTGGCCGGAAAATGCAGGGGGGAGCCAGAACCGGAGGAGCTTGATCTCCAATAGCACACTTCCGCAAGGATCTGTACCTCCAGCTGACATGGAAGCACCACCGTCTCGAGGAACAGAGTTCACAGACCCCATACTCCCAGACCGCAATACTTCCAATGCCAGCCCCACTGGTAACACAACAGTCCGGAGCCTAGGTGAAAGTGTGAGACTTCTGCGTGACCGAGATCAAAAGCATAAGCCTCAGCACCTCAACCTTGGTGCCAACTACACCGGGCATTCCGGGCAGGATGCACCGCCGAAATCACCCCTCTCATTCCTGCAGATGCAAAACAGGACGCCAGGATACAATAACGAATCTCGGGCACATCAAGGCCATGAGCATCTTTCTTCTGCCGGGTCCTCTCCAGGTCCACTCGATGTGAAGAGACCCCATCTACCCAAGGCAAACCCGGGAAAGAACTATGAGTATTTCCAAGGAAATACAATCTTCTGCGGCGGTGGCCGCTTCCAGAACTCAAGGGACAAGCCTGTCAATATTGCGACTGGTCTGATGGTCGTTGTACCTGCGGCGTTGTTCTTCGGATTCTCGTATGTGGACCGATCTGATATATCAGTGGCTCATGGCTAACTTGTGAAATTAGGGCTCCCTGGCTGTGGCATAACATCTCCCCTGCCATTCCCATCGTGTTTGCTTACCTTTTCTACGTGTGTTTCTCGTCATTTGTACATGCGTCCGTCGTCGATCCTGGAGTGAGTAGTTCAGTCTTGTTCGGGACTCATACTTGCTAACATGTCAATCTCCAGGTCATGCCTCGGAATATCCAGCCTATGCCTCAACCAGATCCAACACACGACCCATTGGCGCTTGGCCCGCCCACAAACGATTGGGTGATGGTCAAGCTTGCTACGTCTGATGTAGCTGCTATGGATGTTCCTGTGAAGTACTGCAAAACATGTAACATTTGGCGGCCTCCTCGCTGCTATCACTGCCGCGTTTGCAACAACTGCGTCGAAACCCTCGACCATCACTGCGTCTGGCTCAACAATTGTGTTGGCCGACGAAATTATCGCTATTTCTTTACTTTTGTCAGCTCTTGCACTATCCTGTCACTGTTCTTGATCGGTGCTAGTCTCGCCCATATCTTGGTCTTCATGTCTCGAGAGGGCATATCATTCGGGGCTGCGATCTCGAGATGGAGAGTGCCCTTTGCCATGGTAATCTATGGTCTGGTGGCAGTGCCTTACCCTACTTCCCTTTGGGCATACCATATTTTCCTAGTCGGCCGTGGCGAGACCACACGAGAATATCTGAACTCGCACAAGTTCGCCAAGGCTGATCGACACCGGCCATTCACTCAAGGAAATATCCTTAAGAATTGGATTGCTGTTCTGGGACGTCCGCGACCTCCTACCTACGTGCAGTTCAAGAAGCGATACGAAGAAGGTGATCAACGCTTGGGCTCACAAAAGCGCAAGTACCGTGTGCCAGATGTCGAATCCCAAGACATCGAAATGCAACATGTTGATCCCCAACAGGACTAAACCCCCAAAAGTCATTCTTTTGCCTGTCGGTCTTGTCTCGGCGGCTACGACCTGTGAAGATGATATTCATGATTTACAATTCTGTTCTCTCCAATTCCCTCGTTGGGGCCAATTACCATTTACGCCGTTTTCTAATCTTGACTTACACATACCCCTGCTTTCCTTTCTATATCTGTTTTGTTACACCTGCAGACATCATCTTGTCTCCCTTCTGATCTGTCATGATCGATTTCTTTTCCTGTCTTGTTACTTGCGTGACTACCTCGAATGGGCAACCCTACCCACAGCTTTCCCCTTCTTCCATATCCCATTTGCAACAATGATCCTTTGCTCCGACAGGTGAATTAGTATTTATGCAGACCTTTAGAATACTATGTCGTATTTAGATCATCCCATGCGTAGAATCTCTCCTGCGGGGGCGAGAGTGAGGGATTTCGGCATTCCTGCACACGATATCTGAACTTCGTAAGCCCTAGCAGACGCTTACTTTCTCCGTCTCCCTTGCATTTTCATTCTTTTCATTGCATTTTACTTTCGTAACTCGATCTGTAAATTCCGCGATTGGAGAGTTCGAAAGTGTTGTTGCACGCGTCAGATCACGTCCTAAATTGATAAGAAGCGCGCGGGAGGCTGATCCTCTTCGATCCGACCTCTTCCCCTGATATTTCCCCATCTCAGCACGACCACACGCGCCAGTTGCTCTACCTCGACAGAGAAAGGCGGTTCCAACCGGAATTGTCCTTCTCGTTCTCTCATTCGTTCGAATATGACGCCACGAAAGTCCCGATCAAACGCGTCCGCGGTTTCCGATGCCCAGGCTCACGACCCTGCCGATGACAACATGAGCCTCGACGTCCCCGAGCAACTCCTGACACCGGAAAATAGTCGCTCGGAGACTTCAAGCAACAATGAGAACGCGTTGACCGATGAGAAACCCGCAGGACGGCGAAGATCAACACGGGTGGCACGCGCATCATTGCGGACGGATGGATTGAACGGTACGCCCAAGGACGAGGAACCCGCGTCTTCGTCCGCAGCCTATGTCGATAGCCTTGCCAAAGCCAAACGATCACACTCTTCCCTGCGCCACAGTATTGCAGTGATGGAGTCTTCCTTGTGGAAGGGCACTCCAGCGGACGATGGTAATGCGGCCGACAATGCCGTGGCTCCGGATACACCCATCTCGAAGTCTTCACAGGGGGCGCAATCTGAAGATCTGAACACGTCGCTTCAGCAGCGAACGCTACGAAAGCGCGTGGGAAAGACATTGGGTGAAGACGAAGAAACGACCACGGCTGAACCGGTCCCTTCGCAAACTGCTACTCGCAGGTCTCTTCGACGATCAGGTCGCTTCAGTTTGATGGAAAAGGCTTCGGATCTCGTTGATCGGGCCAGTAGTATCTTGGGAAAGCGCACACGAGGTCTGGCAGAGAAGGACCTTGGCCGGCGTGCTAGTCTTCGCCCTCGAAATATTGCCCCCTCGAAGGAGGACACGGCTCGCTCTACCAATGAGCCTGCATCGAAGAAGCGTCGGGTTTCTGAGAGTGATCTCTCCAAGCTTAAAGATCAAGAGTCACCTGCGCCAGAGGATTCGATTGTACCGGCTCCTCCGCGACCTAAGCGTAAGATTTGGCTGTCCCACGGCCTATATGTAGGACAAGAGCCATCGGACTCGCCTCCTAAGCAACGTCGGAGCAAGAACTCCAAAAAGACCGGAACGGGCCCAATGCAACGCACTATCCTTCCCATGCCGATGTTCAAAGGCGCCCGGCTTTTGAAGACTGGGCGGGATTATCAGCTTCCGTTCGACATCTTCTCGCCGCTTCCACCGGGTCAGCCCAAGCCTGACGAGTGGCGTAAGACAAACAAGAGTGAGCGTGATAAGTATCTTACATTGTGGAGTGATGGCTAACAGGAAGTTCAGATGTTTTCGTTGGTGATGCCGGGAGCTTCTGGAAAGCAAACAAGAAGCTCGAGCTGTCTACTTGCATGTGCACCGAGGATACTGGCTGTGATGAGAACTGTCAGAACCGCTACATGTTCTACGAGTGTGACAATGGTAATTGCAGGCTGGGTCCTGAATGCGGTAATCGCAATTTTGAAGGCCTCAAGCACCGGACCAAAGCCGGAGGCAAGTATAACATCGGAGTCGAGGTCATCAAAACGGCAGATCGCGGGTATGGTGTGCGCAGCAACCGTTCCTTCGAGCCCAATCAAATCATCGTCGAGTACACCGGCGAGATCCTCACCCAGCTTGAGTGCGAGAAGAGGATGCGGACTATATACAAGAACAATGAAGTATGTGTTTTTCTCTTGCCGTTGGGCTTCTCCATTCACTGACGTTGACGAACAGTGTTATTATCTCATGTACTTTGATCAAAACATGATCATCGATGCCACTCGCGGGTCTATTGCTCGCTTTGTTAACCACGCCTGTGAACCTAACTGCCGCATGGAGAAATGGACCGTTGCGGGCAAGCCACGCATGGCACTTTTCGCTGGAGATCGAGGGGTCTCGACAGGAGAGGAATTGAGCTATGACTACAACTTCGAGTGAGATATCCACATGTATCGAGCCACTTGATGATTTGCTAATGTTACGGCAGCCCCTACTCCAACAAGAACGTTCAGGAATGCCGCTGTGGATCAGCGAACTGTCGTGGCTTCTTGGGTCCTCGGCTGAGGGAAAAGCAGCAACGGGCCAAAGAACAGGAGAAACGAAAGGCAGAGGGAGGTCCAAAGGCGACGTCAAAAAAGACCACCGGCAAAAAGCGAAAGGTCTCAGACGACGATGAAGATGACAGCGACGCGTCTCCCGAAGGCAAAAAGCGCAAGATAATTACAACCAAGGCCATCAAGGCCGGTGTGAAAAGGGCTGTGGCAACTGTCCGTGGGAAGAAGGTTACCAAGACAACGACAAAAGCCCAATCCACGGCTGCCGGCAAGTCGAAGACCAATGTCAAACTACCAAGCGTGAAAGCCACGGGCCGTATCAAGGCCACGGTTCGTGCTCCTCGATCTACCAAGGCTGTCAAAGCTACCAAGACAACCAAGACAACCAAGACCACGCAAACTATCAAGACAACCAAGCAAGCATCGGCTTCTCCTAAGAAGACAGCATCCCAACTCAAACGACCGTCTGCCGAGACCAAAAAGAAAATCCTCGACGCTGCGTCCAAAGGCTCTAGTGCTTCTCCCCGCAAGTCTTACGCGAGAAAGGCTCCCGCTAAGAGCCCTGTCAAAGCCAAGATGCCTGCCCCCAAGGCCAAAAGCACTGCCAAGGATAGCTTTACCAAGGGAGTCAAACAGACAGCTCGACGTGTTGTCAAATCGGTCAAGGGAGCGAAGAAATGATTGTATTGGTCCAACTTTGGCCATGCGTCACCGACTCAGCCTGTATCCTCTGCTTCGTTCAAGGTCACCGAGTTTTTTATTTCATACCGAGGCCGCCTGGCGATCTTCTTATTACCGACTTTTAGTCTTTAGCTACCAGCCCTGGGGTGGACTCTTATATTCTTATATCCTTTCTGCTATTCTTATCCCATTCTTGGCTGACTTTCATGACCGCAGAGGTCCGAGTCAATATTCGCTAACCATTATCTATACTCTACTTGATAATCTCTTTCTCTTCTTCTTCTTCTTCTTCTCATGTTTCCCCGGTGTACTTCGATTATTCCCCCTTTGCTGATATTCTAACCATTGGTTCTTTCCTCCCTGTATGACATCCCCCGACTAGTTTCCGTGACATGGCGTTTCTTCTCCTTTTCTTCCCGCTTTATCCCTATGTTGGTCTGGCTTCATGTTTCTCGCCTTGGTTTTCGGTCGGTTTATGCATCATGGTCATGAATGTGAGAGGTTGCTCTGGGCCGTTGTTCGTTGTGGGTTATATATTGCGCATGCCACAGCATTGCTATCGTCATTGATATAGCTCCGGTAGATGCTTTCGAATTCAATGTGTTACTTGGCGTCAAATTCCTAGTATCACCAGATATAATAGTGCCAACTTGAATACATACTAGTAGTAGTACAGTGGGGATGCCCAGAGATAGTGGAGACGGAGATTATCCAATAGTATACATCGTAGTAGTGGGGCTCCAATAAGGTTTGGCCTACATAGGTTAAGCGTGACGCAGTACCTACCCGTGGACACAGTTTATCTCGTTTATCTCGTTTATGTTGTTTACGTTGCTTAGTACATATAGCTTCGGTAGGTGCCAGCTCTGTTTTCCTACACATCCTCTGGCCTCTTCTCAGACTCCACGTCTGTTGACGCGTCATTTGAATCTCCATTTATCTTCCTCTTTACCTATTCCCACGCTTCCATGAACCCTTTCCTTTACAAAAACCTTCGTCCATCATGCCACGTAAAGACTTCCTAAGAGATATTGCAGAGGCTGCGGTTCCTGGTCGCTTCTCCCGCATTGTCAATGTCACAGCAGGCGAATGCGATGGATCGATTTCCTTTACCCTTACAGCACCGGGGCTGGACCGCGCACTTGATTTCCAGGCTATAGTGACGGGTAAGAAAGTATCCTGATATACTGTGATTTTCAACTGCCTAGTGCCTGACACCAAACCAGATTGTCAAGATTATCCTAAGTATCACAGCTTTTTGGTCTTCTCGTCATCCGAGGATTGTCCTCAGACAGTCACCGCTGCCTTGGAAAACGAAGTCCCCATGTTGTCTGGCTCAACTATCCATACATTGTTGGCAACCATTGAAGACGTTATTACCCACTCTACAACTGATCCTGGTCTGGCATCGAATGCCTCTGATTCTGATCACCCAAACCCCTCAGAGGAGGACTTCGACGATGATGAGTCCATGGCTGATTACGAGCCAGACTGGGAGTCTGATAATGGAGACACCAAATTCTCATCTGACCGCAATCTAACCGAGCTAAAGGAGAAGATCCGCCGTGATCTTCGTGTGGTCAAAGATGCAGGGTTCAAAGTGGGATACTTGGGCGAAAAATTTGACAGCATCATTGTGTCTGTGTCTTGTCGGATCTCCAAGCTTGGTATTTCCAAAGAAGCTATGCGTGCCTGGGGCGTTGAACCAACAGAGTATTTGGTTTTGCTGATGCGATATCATCCGAACTATCTAGACCTTCGAACAATGCTCGAGGTAACCAACGATTCGAAGAGTCCCTTGCTTCAGATGCATGTTGGTCTTTGCGACTCGTACAAGCCATCTTTCCGACATGCTATCGAGGCCCTAGTGGACCCACTGGGCCTAAAATCAAGTGGGGAAGCTACGTCTTCAGATAACACAATGTGTGGTCAGATCCTGAAACCACTGTTCATTGGAAGATCCCTTAATTCACTTCTCAACAAGCGGCTGCTTGGAATTATCAAGCTTCGACTAAGATATGCCTTTTCATGGACGGCAGCAGAGCTCTTCTTCCACACTAATCAAGGCAAGGTCTTCAGCGTATCAGATGCCACGTCTGAGGAGTATAGTCAACGAGACGTGTGGGCCACTTCAACCCCAGCACTTCTTGCAGCTGACCATGTGGCTGAACGTGATCACGATACTTCTCAAATGTCCTTACCCCTTGCTGCTATGCAGTTTACTCTCCGGCACTTTACCAAGTGTACCGAGTTTTGCCTTGTTTGTCACTGTAAAACCGGTGACACGTTCGAGGCCCTGAAGCCATATGTCTGTTCCAACGAGCTGTGTTTATACCAATACTTGGCACTAGACATGGGCACAAGCCTTGAACACGAGATCAGCTCACAGCCGTCCGTTGTAAATTTACTGATTAGTCTCGCATACGCCAGAGCTGAGTCGGGGCGTCTGACAGACTTTCCGACTGGCCTTCGGCTTCGGGTCCCCGCGAAAATGCTGAGTCGAACAGATGGACAGCCCGCCGACTGTCATACCGGGCTATTGACGGAGGATCTCCTGCTGAGTTCGCAATGTTTGCCAGATTCAGTCAGAGCTGGAGACTGGATTGTCATCATTGGTGCATATAACGATCGGGACTGGCACTGTCGTGTTAAACAAATCATCGACTCCAATCAGTGGCGTATCTCACAGCCAGTCATGGGAGGTCATCAAGTGATAATCCAGCATCTCCAGAATCCTCAGTTTAAATGCCCCACGATAGTGAATTTTGTTGTCTACGACACCAACATGGATGACTTGGATTCTGCACAGAAACAGAAGATAATCTCTACTCTGTTAAGCGAGCTTCCTAGTCTGGATAACATGTTAATGTTCATCCAAAGCCACACAATGGTCAAGGCCCTTTCTTCATGGGAAGACATGATCTCCCCTGCCGGGTTGAACCTTTTACGCTGGATTGTGGCCTCAAACCGATCGTTTATCCAGCGTGGCGATCTTGAGCCACAGCATCAGGTGACTGGGATGGGCAAGTATATCGAATTTCGGCTGGTTCAAGGTGCAGCCGACAAAGAGCAGCGTTTTCTCAACGCTGTCAATTCGATCTCCGCGGCTCAAGATCCTCCACCGGATCATCCTACGCTTTTTGCCTGGCATGGAAGCCCTGTGCACAGTTGGCACAGTATTCTGCGTGAGGGCCTTCATTTCAAATTCATGACTAACGGCCGTGCTTATGGAAATGGTATTTACTTGTCGAACAACTTCGCCACCTCGTTAGGGTACACTGCAGTGCTGACAGCTTCCAAGTTGATATGGCCCGAGAACCGGATGAAGATCTCCACCATGGTTTCTCTAAATGAGATTGTTAATGCTCCCCGCCGATTTGTGAACTGTATACCACACTACGTCGTGCAACACTTGGACTGGATCCAACCAAGATATCTCTTCGTTGAACTCCAAACCACCGAAAATCAGAACAACACCTGGGCCAATCTTATGGCAGCACACCGGGCAGTGCCGAACCATCAAAGTGTCGCGGTGAACCCGCGGTCATCTTCCGAGGACAGTGATATTGTTTACTACAAGCAGGACCAACGCTTCCCAGTCTTTGGGCCTGAGAATACACCAATCGAGATTCCTATCCCAGTATTCAAGCGCAAAAAAGCAGACTATCTGCGTAATGCCGCACAACAAAATGCTGCCGGTGTTGCGCTGCCACCGGAAAGTTCCAGCACAAACCGCAAATACTCAGATGAAGACGAGGATACTAATTCCAGCATCATGACAACCGCTGATGATCTCGATATTCTTCTATCTGACTCTGACGATGAAATACCCGACAGCCCCATGCAGACAGAAAGCATCCCGGATAATGAGCCCAAGACCGATTTCGAGCCTGGAACTCTGTCAAGAGACATACTGCCCGTCCTCGATCCACCGCAGTACGCAACAACCACAGCCACAAAGCTCCTACAGCAACATCTCAACGCCACAATCAAAACCCAGAACAAAGTACCCCTCCACGAGCTCGGCTGGTACGTGGATCCAAACCTGATTACCACAGTCTACCAATGGATCGTCGAGCTGCACTCTTTCGATCCAGATCTCCCCCTAGCAAAAGACCTCAAATCCATCAACCTGAAAAGCATCGTGCTAGAACTCCGCTTCCCACCACAATTCCCCATAGACCCGCCATTCTTCCGCGTCATCCGCCCCCGTTTCCTTCAATTCGCTGCTGGTGGTGGTGGCCATGTCACTGTCGGTGGCGCTATGTGTATGGAACTACTTACCCACTCGGGTTGGCTGCCGACGGCGTCTATTGAGAGTGTTTTGCTGCAGGTTCGGCTGGCTATTACTAGCACTGATCCTAGGCCGGCGCGTCTGGAGAGGGTGTCTATGTCTACTAGGAAGGATTATTCGGTTGCTGAGGCGGTCGAGGATTATCGGAGAGTGGCTATTGTGCATGGGTGGCAGATTTCGAATGATCTTCAGAAACTTGCTTGGTGAGCTTCCTCTTCAGGAGAGGTATGTAGTAGATGTTACCTACTTTCGAGGCTCGTCTAAGGCCCAGTGTTGCTAGTGGTACTAGCTGGAATGAAACATAATTTGCTAATTGCAATGAGAAACGCGTATATAGGTTATGCTGTAGATGTAGAGTGTAGTTTCAAGGTTGAGCTTCGCTTCCGAAGCAAAGCGGGCACCTCGATCCATGTAGACAGTCCTGCACTGAATGATATACAACGATTCAACGATCAAAAAAGCTACCTATACACCACCTACACACACTGATGATAGAAGAAGATCTGTTAGAAACACCGATTGACCAGACCAATTCATTTCAAAACATATTAGGCAACTAGTTGAACAGGAATAAGACTGCCATCTAACCCACACTTTATGTAGACTTAGGTAGATTCAGACGGGGCCGCCTGCGGAGCGGGTTCAGGGACCTGCTCGGGTTCACCAGTAGCCGCCACAACCTCCTGAGGCGGAGAACCCTGTGGTTCAGCTTGGGTTGTTTCTGTGTTTGCGTTTCCGTTTCCGTCAGACGCTAAACCCGGTAGACTGGAATCTGCGGAAGCTACAGCAGATACCTCAGTGGTGGTGACCGGCTCGGCGATGGGCTCAGGCACGTTCTCTGCGGTTGGTAACGGCTGAGGCAAGTCTGAGGGCGCAGTAGTGTGGGCATCTGGCGCGGGGTTTTGTTCCGATGAGGCATCTACCATCTCGGTATCTTGGGCTTCGGCCCCTTGGCTGGGTCCGATGATGGGGGGAGAAGCTGCTTGTGCACTCTCAGAGGCTACTGAGGGCTGGTCTTGTGTGATGGGAGGAAGAGAAGACTCTTTTTGGAGGTCTTGAGGTTGCTGGGCCTTTGCTGAGAGATCTGTCGATACGGCGCCCTCGTCGGGGTTTATCGCTTCTCCGAGTGGTTGCTCAGGTGTATGTGATTGGGGCGAGGGCTGCGTCGCTGGGTTCTCTGAGGGTTGTCTGGGACTGACAGTTGGCGGAGTGGTCGTGGTTTCTCCGCCTGTGTGCTCGGGTTCTTCTTTTGGTGCAAGATCAGACGTAGGAATCTCGGCTGACAAGCTCCCTTGTAGTTCGGTATTTCCATTTTGAGGTTCGCCTGTCACGGCTGTAGGCTCGGTGGGTTCGCTCGTTGCGACATCCTTGTCCTGAGAAAGGCGAGTCTCGTTTGGTTGTGTAATGGCAGCCTCCTCATTCGGATTAGAGACGTCAGCCTGGGAAGGTCCAGGCGCCATCGGCTGTGTTTGCGAACTCAGGTCCTTTTCAGGTAACGAGGATAGCTCGAGGGTATCAGGTTGACCTGAAACGGTATCTGCCATGTCGACATCTATTGGTCGCGCAACGGGCGTTTCGGATGAGCGCCCGGGAGTCTCGGGGGTCTTCGCATCAAGCATGGACTCGTCGCCCTCATCGCTCTCATCACCCTCGTCGCCATCTTCATCGTCTTCCTCTTGACCAGCCTGGTCTTGTGAAGCACCCTCCTGGCGTTCGCCCTTGACAAAGTCACCATTGCTAGCGCTAGGAGCGACCCCATGCACCAGGGCGGCATCGGCTCCTTCGCCCGGGGCAAACATAACCTTCTTCTTCCGACCCTTTCCAATACCCCGACCCTTGCGCTTGGGTGGGGGAGGGCGCCTTTTCGGAGGCGTCATTACAGCCGCCGATCCAGCCTCCGCGACCACAACTCCCTCAGCATTGACAATGCCGACCCCTTCAACGACTGTCCCGGGCGCAGGTGCCTCGGGTTTCACGGGCACTTGGCTCTGTTCGACAATGGTCTGCAAGTCGCCAGTGATCTCTCCTTCGATGCGATGACCCTCCGGCACCCACGCCTCGTAAACGGATATAACTCCAGTTTCAGGGTCGGCTTTCTTGAACTTCGTCCTCCGCATAGGCCCATGAGCCGCACCGAAACTTCCATCTGTACCGGCAGTTGCACCATAGAGAGAGGGAAGACCAGGTCGCCTCTTTGCCAGAAACTCCACCTCCGCCGGCTCGAGATGTTTGGGAAGCGTCATCCATTTGCGAGTAGTGAAACTCCGATCGGCCATATGGGATGCTGTAGCCGAGTCTTCTGCATCTGCGACACTCTTCTCCTCATCTTCACCTGCTCGACTGCCTTGGAGAATGTTTATGCATCCAGCGCGAGCTGCTCGAAGGAGCGCACGACTGATCGGTGGTAATAGCTGGCTGTCTCTTGGCATGGGGATCTCCGGCAGGGTTGGTCCTTCACCTGGGCCTTGAACGCCAAAGTCCGAGTCATTAGGCTTGGGAGCTTGTGAAAAGGTATGTGGCTGTCGGGACCAGCGGCGCACTGGTAATCCCTCAAAGACATCGTGATCGATTTGGCCGGTTCGGGTGCGGTTAGGGGCACCGTCGAGGTGTCGCCCTGAGCGCGAGGCTCTGAACTATGGCAAATCAGTCAGCTAAGTTCGCCAATTTGCAGGATTTGTATATTGAAATGTCCATATGTCCTGGCCTGCAGGTCGGGACCGGTATAAGCAATGACCCTGGGCGCGAGATGCAACGTACAGTGGATGGCATGGCAAATGTCTCAATGGCTCTGTCTCCCTATATCAATTCAGGAAGAATGCGCACAATTGGATTGCTGTATATGTAAAAGAAATGCGGACAAGTTGAAGTGGAGATGGGTTGGTAGGAGTGATGCGACTTGGTCGCGTAACGATGCCTTTCAGTAACATCACGTGATAAAAGCACCCGTACTGATGTTGCAGGCTTGCAGTGCAGCATATTGAAGTGCTGTCTAGGCTACATGTGACCTTAAGTTACGAAAAGCCGAATGGATTTTCTCTCTCTGAAGTGCTGTCTTCTGACGGAACCCCGTTACATGATAGAACTCAACTGCATGCGATTGAAGACGAGAGAGTCATAGTTACGGCGTTTAAGGAAGATTTGCAGCAGCGCACTGGGTGTATAAATACAAAATATGATCCAATTACTCGTATGCCATTGGCAAGTACATGTAGGTAAAGCAGAAACGGGCAGAATTCCCCTTCTCACTTCGGGATTCAGTCCCAACTGCTTGGCGTTAGCATTTGTAGATTGGTAGGATGCTGTCAGGTATCAGACTCACCCAGTGTCCTTCTGGCGAACAATGTCTCCATGGTTCCCAGTTTCTTTTCCCTGTGGAGATAGTGTTAGATCAGAAGCTGAAAGAAGTGAACGAGGTGAGACTTACTGTCTTTTGGCCTTCCACCACCAACTTATCCAACTGGAAGAACTGGCTGATGACTGTTTGTCTCTGTCATGATGTCAGTTTTGTTCTCTTTCGCGTTGTATTTCATTGTTCGCAAGGCAGCGGAGGGGTAGGCGACTTGTCAGTTTGCAGTACGGGCGAATCAAGATGGATACCCCGTATCTTCCACTGATCAAGTTCTGCCTCCAAGCTCCCTATAACATCACTGACCTTCAGCAAACGCAAGCTTTGCAGTCCCTCCTGCATCAGTTCCTGTACTCGCCGTTCCTCCGTGATATGTTGATTCTCGCGGAACGAATCCCTTGTCTTGCGGCGGGCATATTCGCGGAAATTGTAATTCGAAAATTGACCAGAATAGCGCAGAAGGGAGCGAAACTAAAGGGGATAAAGAGACACACGTTAGAAGACTGTTATACAGACAAGGACCGTAGGTCAGAGCGCATGTAACCGGAGAGTGAAAGACATACCAAAGACCGTGCCTGGAAGGCAGTCTCACGATTCAAGGATGCAACAGACATGGTGAAGAGTATGACGAGATTAGGGCGAGAAAGGCACGGAATTCAGCGTCGAAATATCCCGAGCGACACTCTGGCTAAGTTGATCTCAGATTAACACTGTAGACTGCTTGCAGGGTCGACACGAGAGCTATATGACTGGAAAGTTGGGAATGAGAACGTGATCGCGATAGTCAGGCTGCTGATTCACATACGTTTGAGTGCGACCTGTGCCGAAGACGCGGGGGTGGCGACTTCTGATATGAAAAGACTCGATACCAATCTGATACGCAGGACTTGATCGCGTACGGAGTAAGTGTAGGATAGAGAAACGATGTTGAAGGCGAGTGAGTAGGAAGGAAAGCGGGAAATTCCTTAGCGTCGGAGACGAATGACGGAGTTACCGGGGCCGAGCTCCTTTCCAGCGTTTCTCCACGTTTCTTCTTCAACTCGCATTTCTCAGAACTTTTGCAATTGGCAATCTTGCTCGGACTTGGACGTCTTTTCTTTCGCTATGACTCAGATACCTACACCCCCGGCATCCAGACCAGGTTCGCAGGCACCCGAAATTACGAGGCCGGTAGCTTCAGTGGACTTGGCCCGGCGTTTGGACACACTGCTGGAGCAATATTTGCACCTGCTTGATCGGCAGCAAAGACTGCAGTCAAGTCTTGCTAAAGACTTATCGTCGGTATGGATTTGTCAGTCATGGTTGCTGAAACATGCTGAGATAGTGTAGGGGTTTTTGCCCTCGCCCAGGCCAATTTCTCCAGTTCTCCTGCCCGCCGCTATGGCCCTGATTATTACGATGGACGCATGAAAGCGACTAGGACAATGTGAATGCATCCTTTGTCGTCGACTGACCTCATTTTGCTAATCGAGATGGACAGATCAATTGAATCCGAACGGAACGCGGAAGGTCCCATAGGCCATGCGCAAGAAGGAAAGCATAAGATCGGGTCACCTGGCTATAATTACAGTTTCTCCTGCAAATCCACACGCAGTCATCGATCAGAGAAGGCTGACGTGAATGAGGAAAGCCAATCCTCTGATTGGGAGCAAAGTGAACCTCCTGAGGCCACCGAGGATACAACCACCGGCGACGCCACCGGTTCAGTGCCATCCGACCCTTCGGAGATCAAGATTACACCTGAAAAGCCCAAGACCGACCCCAAAACGCTTCGTTCCGATCCAATCAATTGGTATGGGATACTCGTTCCCCAGTCGCTGCGCAGGGCACAAAAGTCTTTCACGAATGTGATCGATAATCAGGTACCCGATCTCGCCAGTACTACTGTCGAAATGCGAGCTTTGGAACAACAGATAAACCAATTGCGAGCGCAACTGGAAGATGAAATCACCAAACCAACTTGTCCTACAGTGAATGATACTTCAGACGTCAAACGACAAGTCGACATTGGCAGTCGCCCAAAGCATTCTATCCCTGAAGTTCGGGTGACCACCTAGATGGCTTTATAATTGAAAGATCAATTGCCAACCTCTATCACCTACATATTCCTCCTTTTCTCACAATCACAGTGCCCATGGCCATACTCCGTACAGATACCACATGATCTAACGTGTCTGATAAGCGAGCTGCCCTAAGCGAGCTGCGCAGGCCCCCAAACATATAGTGAAATATCTACGGAGTACAAACTATGTCTCGCTAGGAGGCAATATGGGGCTGACCCAAAATCTAGACGAGGGCCTCGTATGTCCCCAAATAGTAAAATACTCTAAGTAAAAGTCGGAGCTTTTGAAAGAAAGAATGGGACTGCTACTAGTACTAAATAGGATTAAAGGTGTTTCAGAGCACTGTCATACTACAGTTTATCATGTTATGCATCCGTTATGCTTCATCACATTCTCCAGGTTTCTTTGATCCCTTGCGTTGCATCACACACTGCACATCCACAGTGTCCAACTAACTTAGTTACACATCTACTCCGGTTATGTCACAATATGAATCCATTCAATCGCGTGAACTCCAGGATGGCGCTAAATCTGAGACGTTAGCGTCCCCGGACTGACTCCTGGCCCACAATTTTTGTGACCTACGGAGTACACACATCCTCGAGGTCCGAGTACATTAATATCGGACAGAAGTACTGATTCGCCCGTTTTACTGTCCGGCTGACTTTTGTTTGACTTCCTCGCATCTCACGGGGATGTCGTGTAAAGAGCATGGAGTATCTGCAATGTCAGTACAAATTGCAATCCTAGTCAAAAGAGAATGGGCTAAAGTGATACGACGTCCGTTGACCCTGAGGCCTGAACAATACAAATTACATAGATTGTAGGTTATCAACTCGCCTAAATCCCAGCAGTTCCTAAAAGTGGCCCAGTGGGTTGAGATTAATCCACCGGGTGTTTGAGATACAGACCTCACTAGTGGACTGTGTCAAAGGCTGGGGGGGGTCCCTGGTCAAGTTCTATCTTCGGTTTGACTCCCTTTTTTTCTCTTTCTCTCTCCTATTGATTTCTAACTTTCTCCAAGAGCTTGAGGCTCCTTTTGATTTGTATGATATTCCTACTCAGATGGTGGAAGATTAGGGCTGATGTGTTTTAGCTTTGAACGCCAGTTTGATACTAGCATTCGTTCCTCTCATTTTCCCCTCCGCCCTTCAAGCCAGGTAAGTCCTTTGACAAGTTGACTGCTGGTTCATTCAACTACTGGTTCTGACAATCTATAGTGGCATTGAGTGCCAATACATTCCTTTACAATCCGAATACTGTGGATCTTGCTCTCTAGATCATCTCTATTACTTTACTTACTGTGACCCGGCGTCATTCTCTTATTTCCCAAACTATCAACCAAAGCGACCAATAACTGCCTCTCAGTCTCAATAGTCCAAAGAGAAATCCTCTTTTGGACTGTCATTTCAAACCTACACATGATACTCTGCGGCCTTGACTTATTGTGATACCTCGGCATCCAGCGCAGCATAGTATTTGCACGCTTTCATACGAACAAACAGACACCCAACAATGAGCACGGATATCACTAGCCCCGAACTCAGGGGGGATCCCAAAAGACAAGGATCCGTCAAGCGAGCCAGGCAATTGCTAGAGGCCGGCTTACGCCCAGCACAGCCTCCACCTAATCAGGAGAGAGGCTCGCCTACCACGAGGAAGGTATCGCAGGAGACCCAGTGGCCTCTTACTGATACGAGCCTACCGGCGCATCCGATCAAACATCATCTCAAGCCTCCGCCTCTTCGTGGTCTTCCACCACAAAGACCGCCCCATCCAAATGAAATGCCCTCGCCATCCATCTATTCCGAAAGGGACGGGCAAGACTCAGAAATAGGCTTGGGCCATGAACCCATGCGCCAGCCTTTTATGGACGCCCCTGTCAGTCCAACCAGTACAATCGACATGACTCCGCGAATATCAATTGCGACGGATGAGCTGTTCAGACATTCCACGGCCTCGTCGACACCTTCTATCCCCAATTTGCCCCCCTGTCCGCCCCCTTATGCGCCGCCTTTTGCGCCGGCTATATCTCCCGTTCCAGAGTGGTCGGCGGATCCTCGTTCTACGAAATGCTCTGTCGCGTCAAGCCGAGCCATCCCTTCTAGTTGGGGATCTGGTCCCGCCGAATCGGAGATTCTGGGAGCATACCTCGATATGGAGTCAGACACTGACCAGCGTTCGTCGAGCCTTCGAAAAGATGACATCGTCCTTGTCCGGAATGCCAGTCTTGGAAAGCGAGGAAAGCCTACGATGCGGACTTATCTCAAGCCTGGCCCTGCGCCAGAATCTGCTGCTGTAGATCCACCGGTACTTCCCCAGGCGACACATACCAGGAATGCAGTGGCAGCATCTACGGGGTTGGGAGCTGCCGCAAATCAGACACGAACTACGTCTACTTCGACGGGATCTGAGAAAACTTCGAAGTGCGACAATCCAGAAGAGCCGCCCCGTTCCCAACAGCATGAGTCGATTTGTAGTACCGGTCTCGAGAAAGAGCTCGAGGCATTTGGAGCGCTGCCTAGAGCCGCGCCAACATTGAGCAATACTAGGCCCGGCGGCCGTAAGCCCCCTGCGCTGAATATGCACGCATTGCGAGATGCAGAGGCTCGCGGAAGTCTCTCCAGCTTATCTGATCTGATCCGGCGAGCGACAAAGCTTGCATCCAACCTGGATCGTGGGAAGACCGCCAGCCGCGAGGTCGAATTTAGAGGTGGAATGGGTAAGTTTCTGAAGTTATCCTATCACGGATATAAGATACAGGAATACTAACCTTGGACCTGTTCTGTGCTTAGGAACCCGACGTAATTCTGGCTCTCTCTCGGATATTCTCGCTTCCTTCCCACCACCAGGTTGGGCGACGCCTGAAGGCGGCCGTAGTTCATGGTCCATCTTCTTTGGGCGCTCCAACCTACGCAACGTTGAGCCCCTCGGCTCCGATGCGGACGAGAAAGATGCACCCCGACGCAGAAAGACGTGTTGTGGAATCCCCCGAAAGCTATTTGTACTACTGTGCATCTTACTCTTCATCATTGTCATTCTCGCAGTCCTGCTTCCCGTGTTTCTCATCGCCGTACCTCGCGAGAAAGCGAGCGCATCCTGTGCGCAGAGAAACCCCTGTGAGAATGGAGGCGTGAGCGTCTCAGGCGGCACTGAATGCTCGTGCGTCTGTTCAGATGGCTATACCGGCTCGCGGTGCACTGTTGCGGGTGATGATAGCTGCACCACAGCTCTCATCAAAAACGGATCGAATGCAACTATGGGAAGTGCGCTCCCTACCTTGTTCGATGAGTCCGAGAAGATATACAACATTGCTCTTGACCCGGTCACAATCATGGCGATTTTCAGTATGAATAACGTCTCTTGCAAGACGGAGAATGCATTGGTGTCTTTCAGTGATGTCAAGACCGACGATACCAGCAAGTCTCGCCGATCTGCACCGTTGGCCGACACGAGTGTGTCTGAGGATAGCATAGCCCTCAACGCTTCTCCATCCGTCACGGGAGTGCCAACACCAGCGACGGTCGCAGCCCGCGCCGAGGCCACCGAGAATGGTATCTTATATGAAGACCCAGAGTCAAGCAAGTCCGCTACGGCCACATCGATCCCCACTCGTATTCCGTCGGCGACTGGCACGTCCGCCATGTCCCTATCCTCGCCTGCTGAGGCCCAGGTTTCTAATTCAACTGGCGTCCCTGAGAAGGTTGTTGGGTTTTCAAGGATTGCGGTGTTGTACATTCTACAGAAGACGGGCTCGCTCGACTCGGCAATGTCTTCGGAGGATGCTATCCAAGAATATCTGACCGATTCCTATGCAAAGGCGGCTCACCCTTCCATGGCAGTGGGCGCATTCTCTCTGGATTTCGATAACTTGGTCATCAGTCTTCCCAATAGCACGGCGAAGGCAGAGTGATACACTGGTACTGTGGAAACCGAAAGGGTGTATATAATCATTAGCTAGATGTCCTCATGGATCCGGTGGAAATAGAGTAAAATGTGTGAATTGTAGGTTCTCAGTCTACCATCAATAGGTAAACTTGTAACTACCCGGTACCTGGGTACGATAGTACAACTGGGCTGTGTAGTGTGTAGTGTGTACGGACTACGGAGTATTGAACCTTGGAATGAGAGCGAAATCTAGGTCCTCGATCCTGTGGATCATTTCCTAAGTGGGACTGCGATGTCGTGATCGCACGCGGAGGTTGCGTGCTTTTGTCACGTGATCTCAACCTCTGCAGAAATGGCGTGCGACTAGCCAGTTCTGGATTTTTTATAGTTACTCCAGAGCCGGAGTCTAGGATGCGGCTGTTCTTTTTATATACACACAGTTACACACTCGAAGATTGTAGATATTGTTTGTGTATAACTGCATCACTCTGTACTCGATTGTCATGAAGAGATCGTCTACATGCCCCTGAAAATCCCACAGACGCGTGTACTAGATACATGGTACAGTGTCCTGTTCACAATGTCGCCATTTCCGTTGGCTCTGAGAGGTAGGGAGATATCACAGCCTTAGTACATGTTGGAATGCATAGATAGGAATACAATGTACAAAATCCTTAATCTACAGACCTTGGAGTACTTGGACTTGATACAATGTCCATGGTTGAAACAAGTTCAACAATAAGGCCCAGAGGAACGGAACGACCAAAGCCAAGACTTTCCACAGTCTCCACTGTTGACGACTGTTACTTGATTGCCGTACGGGGAGATGGTGCAATGCGCCCCTCTTAAATTTCTCCCTTCTTTTCTCCTCTTCTCTTTCTATTGTTTTCCTCCCAACGTCCTTTTATATTTAACATTCATTCACAATGGCCAACGCCCCTCACGGTGGTGTCCTCAAGGACCTTCTCGCCCGCGATGCTCCCCGCCACGCTGAGCTCGCCGCTGAGGCCGAGACTCTCCCCTCTGTGGTCCTCACTGAGCGCCAGCTGTGCGATCTCGAGTTGATCATGAACGGAGGTTTCTCCCCTCTCGAGGGTAAGTGCAATTGCGATATTCCCATTCGAAGTCTCATCGGATTGGTCATCTCTTTCCGTTTTCTCTGTTTGGAATTGGCGGTTGGAATAGGCACAGAGGGGCAATAGCTAATGGATGATTTTCATACAGGTTTCATGAACCAGGCAGACTACGACGGGTATGTGGGATGTGGGACGGTCTCGCTGACGTCCGGCGCAAGTATAACAGCGGCAGCTGACAAATGTGCATAGTGTTTGTGAGAACAACCGCCTCGTCGACGGCAATGTGTTCTCGATGCCCATTACTCTCGATGCTAGCCAGGAGGTGATCAATGAGAACAAACTACAGGCTGGCTCTCGCATCACTCTCCGTGACTTCCGCGACGACCGCAACTTGGCCATTCTTACTATTGATGACATTTACCGCCCCGACAAGTGAGTTTCTCCCGACCTGACCTTTTGAACGGGCGCCCTTCCTTCTATTGTCGCTTGCAATACTTCGCACGCCGTTATTGGATTTTTTATTGCCACTATTAGCGTTCGATGTCGCAAACTTCGCAAACCTACACAATCGTTCTCAAGAGGTCCGTGCTTTTTGGTGGGGCTCGCTGACGTGGGCTTCTCCCCAAATTTAGGGCCAAAGAGGCTAAGCTTGTCTTCGGTGGTGACCCCGAGCACCCGGCCATTGTGTACCTGAACCAGACTGTTCAGGAGTTCTACATTGGTGGCAAGATCGAGGCTGTCAACAAGCTGAACCACTACGACTATGTCGCCCTTCGCTGTATGTTACACATCCGTTCCTGCTTTGAATCCAGACTGATAGATCTTAAGACACACCCGCGGAGTTGCGTGTCCACTTCGACAAGCTGGGCTGGTCCCGCGTCGTCGCCTTCCAGACTCGCAACCCTATGCACCGTGCTCACCGTGAGCTGACCGTTCGCGCGGCCCGCTCCCGCCAGGCTAATGTTCTTATTCACCCCGTTGTCGGTCTCACCAAGCCCGGTGACATTGATCACTTCACCCGTGTCCGCGCCTACCAGGCACTCCTTCCCCGTTACCCTAACGGCATGGCCGTTCTGGGTCTGCTTGGTCTGGCCATGCGTATGGGTGGCCCCCGTGAGGCTATCTGGCATGCTATCATTCGTAAGAACCATGGTGCTACTCACTTCATTGTGGGTCGCGACCACGCCGGACCTGGCTCTAACTCCAAGGGCGAGGACTTCTACGGTCCTTACGATGCTCAGCATGCCGTCGAGAAGTACAAGGATGAGCTCGGCATTGAGGTCGTCGAATTCCAGATGGTTACCTATCTTCCCGATACCGATGAGTACCGCCCCATTGATCAGGTTCCCGCTGGCGTCAAGACCCTCAACATCTCCGGTACCGAACTCCGCCGCCGTCTGCGCTCCGGCGCTCACATCCCCGAGTGGTTCTCCTACCCCGAAGTTGTCAAAATCCTGCGCGAGTCCAACCCCCCGCGTGCTACCCAGGGTTTCACTATCTTCTTGACGGGCTACATGAACTCGGGCAAGGACGCCATCGCCCGTGCTCTGCAGGTCACTTTGAACCAGCAGGGTGGACGCTCCGTCTCCCTGCTGCTGGGTGATACCGTCCGCCACGAGCTCTCATCTGAGCTGGGCTTCACCCGCGAGGACCGTCACACCAACACACAGCGTATCGCTTTCGTCGCCACTGAGCTTACCCGCGCCGGTGCCGCCGTCATCGCAGCCCCCATTGCCCCTTACGAGGAGTCTCGCAAGTTCGCTCGTGACGCCGTCAGCCAAGCTGGCTCATTCTTCTTGGTCCACGTTGCCACTCCCCTTGAGTACTGCGAGAAGACCGACAAGCGTGGCATCTACGCCGCTGCCCGTCGCGGTGAGATCAAGGGTTTCACCGGTGTTGATGATCCTTACGAGACCCCTGAGAAGGCCGATCTTGTTGTCGACTTCTCCAAGCAGAGCGTGCGCAGCATCGTGCACGAGATCATTCTCATTCTGGAGAGCCAGGGCTTCTTGGAGCGTCTGTAGATGCTCTTATGAAGTTACGACTCTGTGAGTCTTGTTTGAGTTGATGATACGTTTAAAATTAGCCATGCATAGAACTTAGAAGTATGTGCTGGTTCTTGATTGTGGGCTGTTTGATTTCCCCCTATGGATTCCCCTTGCTAGATAGTTTGAAGTTGCCAATAGATTTGGTTTGGTTTTATGAGTAATGAGTATTGAGCTATGTATTCTACCGATAAAGAGCTGAGTATTCTTGCAAATCGTCACGTACTACTAGTTACTACAATGTGGACATCTCTCAATGTGTGGCGTTGCGTGGGGCCTGCAAGAATGGTCACGTGCCAGACAAACCGAACAAACACCGTGGATCGCCTCGAAAGCAGAAAGGCTTCACCACCTGGGCAGTCGTCACTGGTGTTTCCAGTATCCCACCATGTTACCTCCACGAAGCGCCGTCGGTCGAATACCGGCTCATGTCCGACCGACTCATAGTCGTCCGAATCCAAATTTCAATGTACATTTCCGACCATTCACCCACCGCACTCGCCTTCTTCTACTTTCGCCGGCGCCGGGCCGCCCTCAGCTTCCTTTCCTATCACCTCTCGCGCCCACTCGTCCACTCCCACCACTCTCAATCCACCTTCGACAGCATTTCGGTCGTCTGATTTCCACCGAAAGCCGGGAACATTACAAGCGAAGAGCATCACGAGGCCTCAAGATCGGCCTATCAGTCTGGGGAATCCTGGTCTTGTTCTCCGCGGTCAAGCTCGGCGTCTACCAAGAAAACATCGAACATTCATGGCCCACTCCACCGGAATGGACCTGGAAGAGTCGCTGGTGCCTGCGGTCTGCGCAGGCACTGCAGAATCCCGAGCAGATTGGCAAGTTGATGACCAATTGGCCCATGGTCGCCGGTTATCTTCGTGAGCTGCTAGAGCGTCTGGAGAACCTGGAAGGAGAAGGGAAAGGTCTCGTGGAACAAGACGAGGGTGGATTTTTGGTTGAAGGCATCGGTCGCACTGGGTTCGATATCTCCGCAAAGAGTGAACCCTGGCGTCGCGGATATTTCCAGGCCCTGATGGGAGCTGCCAAGGCCGCTGAGAACCTCGACGGCTGGTTGACTGATCGCAAGCAGAAGATATCAGCGCCTGCGGAGTATGTTGTTGGCCCCTCGAATCCTCGCCCAAAGCCCATGCCTGCCGGTCAGAAAAAGATACCACGGGAAGAGGACTGTGAACCAGCATCTCCCTCTCCGGAGAGCTTCTACATGAAAGTCTTGACAACGAAGGGCTTTAACACAGGGCAAAAACTCGATGCCGCCCTAGCCTACGCCGATTGGCTTGATTTCAAAGGTCTGGGTTCCACGGCGGGTGATATGTATACGTGGGCCTTGGACATCGCTGCCAGCGGGCTGGAGGGAGATGCCAGCAAAATCGTGGACTTGAAAACCGGGCTTCTCAAGAACAATAACGGAGACCTTCCATCAGAGAACATTCTCCGTGTCTCCACTGCCCTTGCCGTCCACAATGCCCGCCAAGAGAATCTCCCTGCAGCCCTGTCCCTCTTCACATCTGTCCTGAAAGCCCGACGCAGCCTCCCTCTGTCATCAGAGTTCGGCACAACCCCCTCACCCCCGTCTTTCCCTGGCTCTGCAAGTGACCCATTCACATATATGTTCAAATCACTCAAAAATGTCCTCGTTCCCGTCGATTACCCAGCACCTCTCCCATCAGGCGACCAGCCTCCACGCCGCACCACAGCATCTGCCTGCGACGAAGCAGGCCTGATGACCTATATCGGCGAAATAATCTACGCATCCTCATCAAAGGAATCAGGCCTTGCCTGGACACGCGACGCAGTCGACATGGCCGAGTTAACGCTCCACCAACTCAGTAACTCTACTGATCAAGCTGCCCGAACACGCTGTGCACAGTGTTTGAAGGTTGGTCTGGAGAACTGGAAAACCATGGTTCATTCTCTGGTTACCCGTGCCTGGCAAGAAGAGCAGCAGAGTAAGGACCAGGCTAAAAGTTCATGGTTTGGCGGCGAACGGCGTGCAGAGGCTAAGTCTCTCGATCGTAGACGTTGGGAGGCTGAGAACGCTATTTTGGAGGACCGGATTCGGCGCCTCTTCCCTCTCCTTGAGGGCGAGTCAGGGCTGGATCTCGTCGCCCCAAATAGTTCTTTGTTTGTCTAGTGCTATATACCTGTTCATATTCCATTCGATTCCTTGGAGTTCATTTCTTGGTAATCGGTTCTTGCTTGATCTCTTACTATCATGAAGCATGTATCTGATTCAGACTTTGGACTTTGTAATTGTACATTTTCATCTTTTAGTGAACCTACCTCTTTCTTCCTGTGATGGTATATTGTTTCATTTCTACAAAAGCCCCAATCAAACCTAAGGAGTCACGTACCTATGCCCTGGCGTGCGACTTACGAACCCCCAGATGAAGGGGGCCAGTGGACTCTCAACAGAAACCCCCAAGACGTCATGTACGCGCTGACGATATGCTGTATGGATAATTGGAGACTTCAATGCCCAGGTGGCTTTCGACGTGTATGGGTTGCCGGTCATACTGGTCCAGTACCTATCACAGATCATCATAACATTGGCCGAGAAGTGCACATCCCTGTTGCGAGGTCCTATGGAAGTAGCTAGTACATGTACTTGGCGGCCATGGCGGGGCCATTTACAATGAAACGCATTGGGTTGTAACAAGATCAACATCAGATTTAGATGAGAACGAACAAAAGAAAGCAGTAGCAGAAATGAACGTTGGCTATCAGTAAGCTTTGCTTCAATTTGTCAACTAGACTCTCAGCCCCCAAACATTTCACTGTGTGGTTATAACTGGGAACGGAAACCGAGGTACATGTACACAGAAATACCGGCCCTGGTGCGCAATCGGTGGCTGTCGGCATTTGAACGAACCCGAGATTATAGGAAGAATCTTGGGAAGGCCATTTAGGTGGCCTTGTCCTTGTTGTGGTAGTTGACTTCGGAGTTCCAGCTATATTCAGTTAGTTAGTCATTCCTTTCCTAACGTGACAACATGGTTGGAGAGCGGTGTTCGGTTGGTTTGCAGGCGGATAATCCGGTTGCAAACTAACTGATGCCACCAGCTTGAAATTGCATTCATACGGGCAGAGGAAGCCCACGCGGGTTTATGGAGGTCGGAACTCACAAGATGGTCTATTTAGGCGGTGATTAGCTCAAGTCAGCATACAGGGAACTCAATTAACATACCTTATCACCGTCTCCCCAGGGGAAGTTCTTCACACGGATGTTCTGGTAAGGGTACTCGGTGCGCTCCTCGAGAGGGGGCATGTGCTCCCAGTGCTCCCAGTGCTCGTTCCAGAGGTTGTAGGCATTGAGACCACCGCCGATCAGGCAGGGAATGACGGCACTGCGTAGTGGTTAGTTCTTCACTTCTGTTTTATCTGACAATCCCTAATCAGATGTCGCCCGTTCCGAAACGTACAAGATGGAAAGCTTGCGCCAGAGGTCTGTGCATTTATCAAGTCAGTAAATAGCAAAAATTACCTCCAATTGCTATCCGCGGATGCAGCGGAGGCCAGTTGGTTGGTGATATCATAGTACGTACCACTGGTGGAAGCAGCATGGTGCTTGACGGCAGCTCTCTCACGGTTGAACTCATTGTCGACGGCCCACGAAGGCTTGGACTCGACACTGTTGAAGCGACGCTGGACAGTGGAACGAACCGGAGTGGAGCGCGTCTGCTGCGAGGCACGCTGGAACAGGCGACCGAGATTGCGCTGAGGGAACATGGTGGGTGGTTCTTATGGGGTTCTTTTGTGACGGGGGTCAAAAGTGGTGCGACGAGGTTGGAACCGCCGTTAGCGTATCTGGGTGTCCCCGTGATCTCCCGGATTATGTAATTGACCTGATGTCATGGAGCCTGATTAATCAGGCGACAATACCCGTCAATGATTAAGCACGTGATAATTCAAGAGACAACATGCATCTGCATACAACCTACAGACGTCGATGAGTCTCAGAAAGACATTAGCTTACGAAACTCTGCGCTTTGCTTAGCCTGAGTGACCGAGTCTATCTGCTGTCATCACTGGCTTTGCAATTTGCTGGAAATGCTGCTTCTTGCGATCCAATAACCTTCAGCATGGGATTCCGCATCACCACCTGGAATGGTAGGTGCTATCTGAATCGCTGGATAGCAATTGGGAGCGTTGGATGAATGCTAACGTTTTATCTTATTCTAGTTAATGGTATCCGGTAGGAGAGGTTTCTGCAATCTTAGCTTGCTCGACACTAACGTAGCCAAAAGCAACCCGTTCTCCTATGAGCCATGGAGAGGGACACGCACGTTCGAGGTAAGTTGCGTATGGCCCCCTTTGCAGGTGTGCCAAGCTTATTCTATTCCAAGTACATGTTTGATACACTTGAAGCGGATATAGTCGTACTTCAAGAAACCAAGATTCAGCGGAAAGATCTCCGAGATGATATGGTCTTAGTGCCTGGGTGGGACTGTTATTTCAGTCTTCCTCGAATCAAAAAGGGCAAGCTACTACTCCCATAATCTTTATACAAATTCTCACAACTTCTAGGTTATTCGGGTGTTGTGATCTATACACGCAATGCCACATGCTCTCCCATCAGGGCAGAAGAGGGTATCACTGGGGTTCTCTGTTCACCGAAATCCGCAGTATCTTTCCGTGACCTTCCTAAAGAGCAGCAGATTGGCGGATACCCGACAGATGATCAGCTTTCCAGGCCTACAGCGGGTTCTGAAGGACTAGATTCTGAAGAAGAGCAAGACAACGTGGGCTCAAATTCTGATACCATCACTGATGCAGCGACCATCGACTCCGAAGGACGCTGCGTCATTCTGGAGTTTCCTGCATTCGTTCTCATTGGTGTCTATTGCCCTGCCAATCGGGATGAGAGTCGCGATAACTTCCGAATGGGTTTCCTCAATGCTCTGGATTCTCGGGTCCGTAACCTGACTGCGATGGGGAAACGTGTGGTTGTGACCGGGGATATCAATATCGCAAAGCAAGCTATTGATGCCGCACATGGAATTGAGGCCATACGGAAAGGTATAATGACAGAAGAGGGTTTTATATCACGCCCTTCTCGACGCTTATTCAACCATTTGATATCGGACGGCGAGGTTGTTGGCGAACGCGACGAAGGCAGGGAAGAGGCCGTCCTTTTTGATATCTGCAGGGCATTCCATCCGGGCCGCACAGGCATGTATACATGCTGGGATCAGAAGCTCAATTCTCGACCAGGGAATTACGGCGCAAGGATTGACTATGTGTTATGCAGCTTAGACATGCAGGACTGGTTCTCTGATGCAAACATCCAAGAGGGATTGATGGTTAGTATCGAACGCCTTGACCCATGGATTCCTTTATTAAAGCTCTCATAGGGATCAGACCACTGTCCTGTATATGCTGTCATCAAGGAGACCGTAAATCAGGCTGGAGGCGAGGTCAATATTCGGGATATTGTCAACCCACCGGGAATGTTCAAATGTGGCGAACGTCAACAGGATCGCTCAGCTGAATGGGCATTGCCCGCCTCTGGGCGCTTACTCCCTGAATTCGACGTTGATAAGCGTAGGAGTATCAAGGACATGTTCACTCGCAAATCTATGAGCGCCCCATCCCAATCAGAATCAGTCAAACCTGCCATCAGTGAGGCTAGCACGCCCACGGCTGAAGCCACAGCATCGATGGTGATGACCACACCGTTCGGATCCAATGACTCGCCCAAACAAGCTTCTGCGTCCACGTCTGAGAGAGATCAATTAACTCAATCCTCTTCCCGTAAGCGCTCGCGGCCATTGACTACGATGTCGGCGAAACGGTCCAAGTCCGCCATATTGCCGTCTCCTGGCGATTCTGCGTCTGGCCAGAAGACATTAACGGGTTTTTTCAAGCCAAAGACTCTGAATGTATGTGAATTCACCCTATTATTCATGCCTTTCTGGGTATTATTGAAACGCCATTGCTGACATCCAGAACATTCAAGTCATCACAAGTGGACGAGAAAGCCCAGGACGCCAGTTCACAATCTCAGAGCACTCCTAGAGAGAACACTGGGACTACTGAATTACCAACTGAAGAAGTTCCCTTGGACAATGATACTGTCGTTGATCCAATTGTCAGCAAAGAAGATTGGTCTAAGCTATTCACAAAGAAGTCTGCTCCGCTATGCGAAGGACACCAAGAGCCGTGTATTAGCCTGACCACGAAGAAACCCGGCATGAACTGTGGCCGTTTGTTTTGGATTTGTCCTCGACCATTGGGCCCCAGTGGAGAAAAGGAACAAGGGACGCAATGGCGGTGTCCCACTTTCATCTGGGCGAGTGATTGGAAGTCCCCAGGCGCGACACACGCGCGGTAGGATGTCTGTGTGCGATCCCGGTGAGAATCTGCAGCAATATCAACAATAGTCAGCATAAAGATGTATTCGTATGTGCTTTCTTGAACAGACTGTACCTGACACTCAACTCTCCATCGATAGCACTGGTTTTCTGACCCACAACGGCATGTAGTTAGTTCTTCTGGTTCTGAATCTGAATTTCTCATAGCGAATGAAAAGCAACTTACCCAAGTCCTCAAATAAGCGTAAAGAAGTCCACCTGCCTTGCATCCGCGTCCGAGTCTTGGCACCAATAGAACACCCATGGTACATCTACAGCACCCTTCCAGATAATTGTCCAACTCCACATTCCGTACTAACCACGATAGGCCTAGCTGTTTGGTAACGATGAGTATTAAGACCAACCCTTTGGTGGTGAGCACTTGATTTTGGCGATATTTGACGCGTTTTATGGTTGTATAAAATACGATCTTACAGTAGCGCGAAACGTGGACTTGAACAATTATCTGGAAGGGTACTGCAAAGCGCATGGTGGCACAGCCCGCATGGCTGCCGCGTGCCAGTCGCATGGCAAGTCGCATGTTGTCGGACGGTCCCAGCTGACCCCAGCATGTCCCCTGCATAGCGTGGCATTCCAAGACCCGTCTCCACGCCCGACTGGTGGATCCGCGGATGCAGTGCATCATTGCATGTCGATCCCAAGGGTCGGCTCCACTAGCGGCGGCTGTCAACAAAGGGTATCGAGACGTCACCTCATCCATAGCAGACAAAGGGGCGAGTATCTGAGCACTACTTGGGGTTGGGACTTCGAGATTGAAGCGTCATAGACGTCTCAAGCATTGGTAGAGCGAAAGTCCGGGGTATATTGGGCTATATGGCTAGGACGATATGGTATTTGGATGAGTCGTTGTGTAGAGCATTCATGTACTGAAGAATACGATGCAAGTAGCATGCAGATAATAGTTATTACTGACCATGCCTACTAACCATTTCTACGTTTTCTACTCGAATCTCTACAATCTAAAGAGGAGAGTAGGTTTTTTGGCATCTTACATATCTTCATTATGGAAAGCTATGGAAAGGCCTGTTGCTCACACGGAAAGAGAAGGTTCAGGAAAAGACCCTCCAGCCTGTAAAACCTGTCCTTGCTCTTGGAAAATTGTCGTGAGAGAGGTAAAGTAAAAATCGTACAAGTATTCAATCCACCTGGAGTGCCGACTAAGTCAGCATCTAGTCCCATCCGCTTTTTCTTTTTTGTTGTTTTTTGTTGTTTTTTTTTGTTTTTTTTTTTGAGGGGGGGATCAATCGAAGGGCAAAGGATCGTCCAAGGGAAGCCAGCCTAGAACATGGTGGGAAGAGGCATTCCCTGGTTGTCTGCGTGCTTGCGCTACAGCTGATCAGCCAACCGAATGTAGCGTTCACGAACTTCAGGGCGCTCGTTGCTCCAGCGATCGATAAGGATGCGGGCTTGCTCAGATGTTAGCTTAGCTCACATGAACTCACGCAGAGATAACTCACTGATCACGTCGTTGGACGCGCCGGGATTGGACTCTTCGACAAGACGCTGGGTGGCCTGACGATACAGAACAAAGCAATTCGGCTTCGGGGGTGTAACCAGGTTGGCAGACCGATAAATAGACTTGCTGACCTCTTTGATGCTGCGAGGAAGCTTAGAATCTTGCAGTTCCAGAGCCGGCGTTCTCTCATTGCGGTACTTGTCTGTGGTGCTAAGACACCAGGCGCCCAAAGACTCGTCGAAGTGCATGTAAGCAGTTCCATTGTTCATATTGCTGTCATGGTCAGTAATATAAGCAAAAGATTCAAGACTCAGACTCACCGCAATCGCCTGTACATCTCCTCGAGGTTATCCATGCCGAGGGCATTCTGGACGATGTTATTGGGGACAAGGATTTGACCCTTAGCGGCCTCGATGTTCAGGATTGCCTCACACCAAAGGGTCTCGAGGCAACGGCTATTGATGCTGCGAGGAAGCTTAGAATCTTGCAGTTCCAGAGCCGGCGTTCTCTCATTGCGGTACTTGTCTGTGGTGCTAAGACACCAGGCGCCCAAAGACTCGTCGAAGTGCATGTAAGCAACTCCATTGTTCATATTGCTGTCATGGTCAGTAATATAAGCAAAAGATTCAAGACTCAGACTCACGCCAATCGCCTGTACATCTCCTCGAGGTTATCCATGCCGAGGACATTCTGGACGATGTTATTGGGGACAAGGATTTGACCCTTAGCGGCCTCGATGTTCTGCATTGCCTCACACCAAAGGATCTCGAGGCAACGGCTAGGAGGCATGTCGTTGGGGTTATTAGTGAGTGGAGAAGTGAACATCTTGAATGACACGCCAGCAATGGAAGTAAAGAAATGCTAGAGAAGGATATGGAGTGATGAGTGGAAGATGGGAGTAGGGAGCGGGTTGAAGAAGTCGAAAGGGGGTGAAGAGAAGAAGAAGAAGAAGAAAGGAAAAACAAAGGGAGAAGATAAACAAATAAATAGTCGAGGGGGAACTGTCATGCCGCTTGGTATCTTAAGCGTTGATCTGACTTCTTTGTCTATGAAAGTCTTTGTCGACTTTCTTTGTTGACCTTGACCTATTTGCTCCTTCCCAGCCTCGGCCTTCTTAATGGTTGCTAGGGAAATCTGTCGTATTTGTTGCGATACTTGCTACTTCCCAGCCTTGTCGATTTTCTTTGTTCACCGTTTGCTCCTTCCCAGCCTCGGTCCTTTTATGGGTTGCTAGGGAAATCTGCTATATTTCTTGCCGTATTTGCTACTGACCAGCCTCTCCTTTTCTCCATTGGCTGTTGAAGACTTTCCGATTTAGGAAGTTCGCCAGCACCAGACAAGTCATATGGTCGTCGGTATAGTAGATTTGAAATAGAGATACATCTCGAGGAGGTACCTCACGACTCTTCAACTAGGTGATCTAGGCCTTATAACTATTCAATGCTTTACTGGAATCCCTTCCCAATTAACCATAAACGGATTAAATGTATTTGTGTAATTGGAAGCTCAATGCGGAATTTAAAGTTGGCCGTAGACGCGGGCGCTAAACCCCGGATCTGCGGCGCCACGTGGGCCGGATCTGCGGCCCGAGTTCTAACAACATGGGTGCCGAACTGGTACCTGACATCGAAGTCACTCTTTGTCTGGAGCTGTAATATCCTATGACATCCGTATTAGACTTCCTTTGTCTGGTGGGTCCTGCGTATTTGTTCTTCGGGGCTGGGTTATGTTTCCTATCCGAACAAAGAAAGCACGCGTTTGGTTTCTGTCCCACTAAACAAAGAAAGAAAGAAAGAAAGAAAGAAAGAAACCACCACCGGCCACCACAGTACCCCCTCGACTATTTATTTGTTTATCTTCTCCCTTTGTTTTTCCTTTCTTCTTCTTCTTCTTCTTCTCTTCACCCCCTTTCGACTTCTTCAACCCGCTCCCCACTCCCATCTTCCACTCATCACTCCATATCCTTCTCTAGCATTTCTTTACTTCCATTGCTGGCGTGTCATTCAAGATGTTCACTTCTCCACTTACTAATGACCCCAACGATATGCCTCCTAGCCGTTGCCTCGAGATCCTTTGGTGTGAGGCAATGCAGAACATCGAGGCCGCTGAGGGTCAAATCCTTGTCCCCGATAACATCGTCGAGAATGTCCTCGGCATGGATAACCTCCAGGAAATGCACAAGCGATTGGCGTGAGTCTGAGTCTCGAATCTTTTGCTTATATTACTGACCATGACAGCAATATGAACAATGGAATTGCTTACATGCACTTCGACGAGTCTTTGGACGCCTGGCGCCTTAGCACCACATGTCATCCTTGCTGCCGCCATTGCCGTCACCAACGCCATTTCTGAGCTGATCAAGGCCGCCACAGAGAGCCAGCAAGAGATTGTCCGTGAAGGCCGTGGCAGCTCATCTCGCACTGCCTTCTACAAGAAGGACAATCGCTGGACAGAGGGTTTGATCTCCGCTGCGAAAGCAGTGGCCTCTTCCGCCAACACATTGATTGAGACTGCCGATGGAGTTATCTCGGGCCGTAACTCGCCCGAGCAGCTGATCGTCGCCTCCAACGATGTCGCTGCCAGCACTGCCCAACTTGTCGCCGCCAGTCGTGTCAAGGCCACATTCATGAGCAAGACCCAGGACCGTCTGGAGACCGCCAGCAAGGCTGTTGGTTCCGCTTGCCGTGCCCTCGTGCGACAAGTGCAGGACATCATCAAAGAGAAGAACCGCGACACCGATGAGGGAGAGGACTATGGAAAGCTGAGCTCGCACGAATTCAAGGTTCGCGAGATGGAACAGCAGGTAAGTGACATTTCCTTCATCATTGCGTCGCACCCATCTCAGAAACTAACGTATATCCCCCGAATAGGTCGAAATCCTTCAACTCGAAAACAATCTCGCTCGTGCACGCCAGCGCCTTGGCGAAATGTGCAAGATCTCATACCAGGAGGAGTAAGGACGTCGTCATTTGTATCTTCCACCCCTTATTGTCTATGCAAATTCCCCATTTCTCTTCCCGGTAGCTTGGTTTTCGTCCGTGTTGCGTTTTGCGCTCTTCGGTCTATTCTCTGCTCCCAAAGGCACGTAGTTAGTTCAAGTTCTGAATTTCCCATAGCGAATTGCAAAGCAAGCTTACTGTTGGAATGTAACTAGCAAGTAGACATGGGGAGTCATGTGACCTACGCGTGTGATGTGTCCTCATGCTTGCATCCCTAGCTAGATTAGACAATAACAACAACGATAACTACACAAGATTACACCGAGCAGGAGCCTCCACGAGAGTAGGCCTTCTGCCCAGTAATCGCCGTAGTCTTCGACGTTTCGCATCCTAGCAATTGCTGTGTGTAAAACCAACACTTACCCAATTCCTCAAATAAGCGTAAAGCAAGTCGGACTCCCCTGCATCTGCATCTGAGTCTTGGCACCAATAGAGCACCCATGTTACATGTAAAGCGCATGGTGGCACAGCCCGCATGGCCGTCGCGTGCTAGGTCGCATGGCAGTCGCACGGTCCCAGCATGTCCCCTGCATAGCGTGGCATGCCAAGACCCGTCTCCACATCCGACTGGTGGATCCGCAGATGCAGTGCATGTCTGGATGAGTCGTTGTGTAGAGCATTCATGTACTGAAGAATAAGATGCAAGTAGCATGCAGATAATAGTTATTACTGACCATGCCTACTAACCATTTCTACGTTTCTACTTGAATCTCTACAATCTAAAGAGGAGAGTAGGTTTTTTGGCATCTTACATATCTTCATTATCGAAAGCTATGGAAAGCCCTGTTGCTCACACGGAAAGAGAAGGTTCAGGAAAAGACCCTACAGCCTGAAAAACCTGTCCTTGCTCTTGGAAAATTGTCGTGAGAGAGGTAAAGTAAAAATCGTACAAGTATTCAATCCACCTGGAGTGCCGACTAAGTCAGCATCCAGTCCCATCCGCTTTTTTTTTTTGTGTTTTTGTTTTTCGTTGTACTTTTTTTTTGTGCGTTTTTTGTTTTTGATCTTTTTTGTTTTTTTTTGAGGGAGGGGGATCAATCGAAGGGCAAAGGATCGTCCAAGGGAAGCCAGCCTAGAACATGGTGGGAAGAGGCATTCCCTGGTTGTCGATGTTCAGATTGAGAGTGCCGTCGAGGGTGACAAGATTGTCACCGGAGGTCAGATCGTTGGCCATGGAGATAAGCTCAGTTTGGCTGTAGCTATCTGGTTCAGGCGCAACTCCATTCGGACCCCAGAGAAGTCCTTTGTCGTTCAGCATGCCCACAAGCTTATCATCGATTTCAATGTACCAATCTTTCCCAATGCGCTCGGAAGACTCTAGTGCATGCTGGAAAGCGGGCTCCTGATCAACGTAACGAATCGTTTCAGCATTGGCACGTGGGCCACGGCGCTTCCGCTCCGAGGGGCGACGAGGAGCATACTGATAATTCGGATGTTTAACTGCGTGCTCGCGCTTCAGCTGATCAGCCAACCGAGTGTAGCGTTCACGAACTTCAGGGCGCTCGTTCTTCCAGCGATTGCCAAGGATTCGAGCTTGTTCAGATGTTAGCTTAGCTCACATGCACTCACGCAGAGATAACTCACAGATTTCGTTGTTGGACACGCCGGGATTGGACTCTTTGACAATATGGTGGTTGGCCTGACGATACAGAATAAAGCAATTCGGCGGACGAGGGACATGGGCGGCGGCAGCAGCACCGGGAACGGGAAGACTCGGGAGTGTACCCAGGTCGGCAGACCGGTAAATAGACTGGCTGACCAGTTTGTGGTCTTTGAAGCTGATAGGAATCTCAGCATCTCGCAGTTCCTGAGCCGGCGTCCTCTCATTGAGGTACTCGTCTGTGGTGCTAAGGCGCCAGGCGTCCAAAGACTCGTCGAAGTGCATGTAAGCAACTCCATTGTTCATATTGCTGTCATGGTCAGTAATATAAGCAAAAGATTTGAGACTCAGACTCACGCCAATCGCTTGTGCATTTCCTGGAGGTTATCCATGCCGAGGACATTCTCGACGATGTTATCGGGGACAAGGATTTGACCCTCAGCGGCCTCGATGTTCTGCATTGCCTCACACCAAAGGATCTCGAGGCAACGGCTAGGAGGCATATCGTTGGGGTCATTAGTAAGTGGAGAAGTGAACATCTTGAATGACACGCCAGCAATGGAAGTAAAGAAATGCTAGAGAAGGATATGGAGTGATGAGTGGAAGATGGGAGTAGGGAGCGGGTTGAAGAAGTCGAAAGGGGGTGAAGAGAAGAAGAAGAAGAAGAAAGGAAAAACAAAGGGAGAAGATAAACAAATAAATAGTCGAGGGGGAACTGTCATGCCGCTTGGTATCTTAAGCGTTGATCTGACTTCTTTGTCTATGAAAGTCTTTGTCGACTTTCTTTGTTGACCTTGACCTATTTGCTCCTTCCCAGCCTCGGCCTTCTTAATGGTTGCTAGGGAAATCTGTCGTATTTGTTGCGATACTTGCTACTTCCCAGCCTTGTCGATTTTCTTTGTTCACCGTTTGCTCCTTCCCAGCCTCGGTCCTTTTATGGGTTGCTAGGGAAATCTGCTATATTTCTTGCCGTATTTGCTACTGACCAGCCTCTCCTTTTCTCCATTGGCTGTTGAAGACTTTCCGATTTAGGAAGTTCGCCAGCACCAGACAAGTCATATGGTCGTCGGTATAGTAGATTTGAAATAGAGATACATCTCGAGGAGGTACCTCACGACTCTTCAACTAGATGATCTAGGCCTTATAACTATTCAATGCTTTACTGGAATCCCTTCCCAATTAACCATAAACGGATTAAATGTATTTGTGTAATTGGAAGCTCAATGCGGAATTTAAAGTTGGCCGTAGACGCGGGCGCTAAACCCCGGATCTGCGGCGCCACGTGGGCCGGATCTGCGGCCCGAGTTCTAACAACATGGGTGCCGAACTGGTACCTGACATCGAAGTCACTCTTTGTCTGGAGCTGTAATATCCTATGACATCCGTATTAGACTTCCTTTGTCTGGTGGGTCCTGCGTATTTGTTCTTCGAGGCTGGGTTATGTTTCCTATCCAACAAAGAAAGCACGCGTTTGGTTTCTGCCCCACTAAACAAAGAAATAGGGCTCCACACGAATCGAATCGAATCCAACTTTTGGTGAATTCGATTCGTTTCGGGAAATTTTTGAAAATAACGGTTCGAATCGAATCGAACTTTGGGTGAATTCGAGTTCGATTCGAACAATTCGCGAACATTTGCTATAATAGGAGGGTGAAATCCTTCCGAGGTTGTAGGGGTAGGGCTATGCGGAGGGCACACATGTGATCTACACTAACCCTTTCCTAATAAGGCTAGATCGGAAGTTCGCGAACACCTCGAACTTGTTCGCGAACACCTCGACCTTGTTCGCGAACACCTCGACCTTGTTCGCGAACACCTCGAATCGAATCGGCCATGGGTTCGAACCCCGATAGTCAAGGTTCGAATTCGCCATTTTTTTCGAACAGTTCGCGAACTTCGAACAGTTCGAAATTCGTGCGGAGCCCTACAAAGAAACAAAGAAAGAAAGAAACCACCACCGGCCACCACAGTACCCCCTCGACTATTTATTTATTTGTCTTCTCCCTTTGTTTTTCCTTTCTTCTTCTTCTTCTTCTTCTCTTCACCCCCTTTCGACTTCTTCAACCCGCTCCCTACTCCCATCTTCCACTCATCACTCCATATCCTTCTCTAGCATTTCTTTACTTCCATTGCTGGCGTGTCATTCAAGATGTTCACTTCTCCACTTACTAATGACCCCAACGATATGCCTCCTAGCCGTTGCCTCGAGATCCTTTGGTGTGAGGCAATGCAGAACATCGAGGCCGCTGAGGGTCAAATCCTTGTCCCCGATAACATCGTCGAGAATGTCCTCGGCATGGATAACCTCCAGGAAATGCACAAGCGATTGGCGTGAGTCTGAGTCTCAAATCTTTTGCTTATATTACTGACCATGACAGCAATATGAACAATGGAGTTGCTTACATGCACTTCGACGAGTCTTTGGACGCCTGGCGCCTTAGCACCACAGACGAGTACCTCAATGAGAGGACGCCGGCTCAGGAACTGCGAGATGCTGAGATTCCTATCAGCTTCAAAGACCACAAACTGGTCAGCCAGTCTATTTACCGGTCTGCCGACCTGGGTACACTCCCGAGTCTTCCCGTTCCCGGTGCTGCTGCCGCCGCCCATGTCCCTCGTCCGCCGAATTGCTTTATTCTGTATCGTCAGGCCAACCACCATATTGTCAAAGAGTCCAATCCCGGCGTGTCCAACAACGAAATCTGTGAGTTATCTCTGCGTGAGTGCATGTGAGCTAAGCTAACATCTGAACAAGCTCGAATCCTTGGCAATCGCTGGAAGAACGAGCGCCCTGAAGTTCGTGAACGCTACACTCGGTTGGCTGATCAGCTGAAGCGCGAGCACGCAGTTAAACATCCGAATTATCAGTATGCTCCTCGTCGCCCCTCGGAGCGGAAGCGCCGTGGCCCACGTGCCAATGCTGAAACGATTCGTTACGTTGATCAGGAGCCCGCTTTCCAGCATGCACTAGAGTCTTCCGAGCGCATTGGGAAAGATTGGTACATTGAAATCGATGATAAGCTTGTGGGCATGCTGAACGACAAAGGACTTCTCTGGGGTCCGAATGGAGTTGCGCCTGAACCAGATAGCTACAGCCAAACTGAGCTTATCTCCATGGCCAACGATCTGACCTCCGGTGACAATCTTGTCACCCTCGACGGCACTCTCAATCTGAACATCGACAACCAGGGAATGCCTCTTCCCACCATGTTCTAGGCTGGCTTCCCTTGGACGATCCTTTGCCCTTCGATTGATCCCCCCCCTCAAAAAAAACAAAAAAAATCAAAAACAAAAAACCGCACAAAAAAAAAGTACAACGAAAAACAAAAACACAAAAAAAAAAGCGGATGGGACTGGATGCTGACTTAGTCGGCACTCCAGGTGGATTGAATACTTGTACGATTCTTACTTTACCTCTCTCACGACAATTTCCCAAGAGCAAGGACAGGTTTTTCAGGCTGTAGGGTCTTTTCTTGAACTTTCTCTTTCCGTGTGAGCAGCAGGCCTTTCCATAGCTTTAGCTAATGAAGATATGTAAGATGCCAAAAAACCTACTCTCCTCTTTAGATTGTAGAGATTCAAGTAGAAACGTAGAAATGAATAGTAGGCATGGTCAGTAATAACTATTATCTGCATGCTACTTGCATCTTATTCTTCAGTACATGAATGCTCTACACAACGACTCATCCAAATACCATATCGTCCTAGCCATATAGCCCAATATACCCCGGACTTTCGCTCTACCAATGCTTGAGACGTCTATGACACTTCGGTTCTGAAGTCCCAACCCCAAGTAGTGCTCAGATACTCGCCCCTTTGTCTGCTATGGATGAGGTGACGTCTCGATACCCTTTGTTGACAGCCGCCGCTAGTGGAGCCCACCCTTGGGATCGACATGCACTGCATCCGCGGATCCACCAGTCAGGTGTGGAAACGGGTCTTGGCATGCCATGATGCCACGCTATGCAGGGGACATGCTGGGTCAGCTGGGACCGTGCGACAACATGCGACTTGCCATGCGACTGGCACGCGGCAGCCATGCGGGCTGTGCCACCATGCGCTTTACAGTACCCTTCCAGATAATTGTTCAAGTCCACGTTTCGCGCTAGTGTAAGATCGTATTTTATACAACCATAAAACGCGTCAAATATCGCCAAAATCAAGTGCTCACCACCAAAGGGTTGGTCTTAATACTCATCGTTACCAAACAGCTAGGCCTATCGTGGGTAGTACGGAATGTGGAGTTGGACAATTATCTGGAAGGGTGCTGTAGATGTACCATGGGTGTTCTATTGGTGCCAAGACTCGGACGCGGATGCAAGGCAGGTGGACTTCTTTACGCTTATTTGAGGACTTGGGTAAGTTGCTCTGCAATTCGCTATGGGAAATTCAGATTCAAAACTTGAAGAACTAACTATGTGCCTTTGTGCCTTTGGAAGCAGAGGATAGACCGAGACTCAGATGCGGATGCAGGGCAGTGTGCCTTGCTTTACGCTTATTTGAGGAATTGGGTAAGTTTGCTTTACATTCACTAACTATGGGAGATTCAGGATTTGAAGAGCTAACTACGTGTCCTTTGGGGGCAGAGAATAGACCGAAGAGCGTAAGACTCGGATTCGGATGCAGGGCAGTTGGACTTGCTTTACGCCTATACGCTTATTTGAGGAATTGGGTAAGCTTGCTTTGCAATTCGCTATGGGAAATTCAGAACTTGAACTAACTACGTGCCTTTGGGAGCAGAGGATAGACCGAAGAGCGCAAGACGCAACACGGACGAAAACCAAGCTACCGGGAAGAGAATTGGGGAATTTGCATGGACAATAAGGGGTGGAAGATACAAATGACGACGTCCTTACTCCTCCTGGTATGAGATCTTGCGCATTTCGCCAAGGCGCTGGCGTGCACGAGCGAGATTGTTTTCGAGTTGAAGGATTTCGACCTATTCGGGGGATATACGTCAGTTTCTGAGATGGGTGCGACGCAATGATGAAGGGAAATCGTCACATACCTGTTGCTCCATCTCGCGAACCTTGAATTCGTGCGAGCTCAGCTTTCCATAGTCCTCTCCCTCATCGGTGTCGCGGTTCTTCTCTTTGATGATGTCCTGCACTTGTCGCACGAGGGCACGGCAAGCGGAACCAACAGCCTTGCTGGCGGTCTCCAGGCGGTCCTGGGTCTTGCTCATGAATGTGGCCTTGACACGACTGGCGGCGACAAGTTGGGCAGTGCTGGCAGCGACATCGTTGGAGGCGACGATCAGCTGCTCGGGCGAGTTACGGCCCGAGATAACTCCATCGGCAGTCTCAATCAATGTGTTGGTGGAAGAGGCCACTGCTTTCGCAGCGGAGATCAAACCCTCTGTCCAGCGATTGTTCTTCTTGTAGAAGGCAGTGCGAGATGAGCTGCCACGGCCTTCACGGACAATCTCTTGCTGGCTCTCTGTGGCGGCCTTGATCAACTCAGAAATGGCGTTGGTGACGGCAATGGCGGCAGCAAGGATGACATCGTTGATGCGCAGCTCGTACGTCGAGTATCCATCACGGGGCTTGTTCTTGAGCTTGGCGAGACGCTGAGAGGCTGCGTCAATAGCATCTGCGGCCTTGAGCAGTTCCTGGTCAACAAGGTCACCTAGATCACCGTTGGTGCTGATCTTGGTGTTCTTGGGCGCGAACGAGTCAACCAGCTTCGACAGCGCCTGCAAGTCACGCTGGACTTCAAGGTTGTTGTTGATAACCACATCAGTCTTCTGCAGGGGCTCCAGGCCTTCGAGACGGAAGGACTGCAAGCCTCGGAAGAATCGCACGGTCGCCTGGGCGGACTTGCGTGCAGCATTCGTAAGTTGATCAGAGCTCTTGTCATCGGTGGCGAAGCGCATGAGACCCTTGGTGTTGCTCAAAACATCGGAGACAGACCCAGAGAAGATGGATACGGTGCGAATAATCTCTGCATGGGGGCTGTTGGGGCCATCGGCGATGAAGTTGTTGAAAGCTGTTGAGAACTCAGTGGCAGATGCTGACGCCTTCTCGATTTGAGACAGCACGTATGGAGGAGAGGCGTTCTGGTTACCCGCCTGCATGGATGAATCGAGTTCATACAAAGCATCATCGACGCGCTGCACACCAGTCTGCAGCACGGAGTCGATGATGTCGTTAATCTTCGCGACTGCGCCGTGCAGCACAGTATCAATCTGGCTGTCCAACGCGTGATCGACATCGCCTTGGCTCTGTTGTATAACATGGTCAGTATGCTCATACCAACAATTGTCGAGGAAAACAACTTACCAGTCTCAGCTCCTCCAGCTCCATGAGAGCTTGCTCCATACCAGACTTGTACACCTCGATCTCCTCGTCCTTCTCACGAAGGGCCAGATCAAGGTCTTCCTGGCGGTCATTGTTGCGGCTGGCGTGTTCTTCCAATGCGCGCGTTTTGAGCTATACTGGTCAGTATGAATCCACATACACAAGCGAGATAAACAGCTACTTACTCGGAGAGACTCTTCTAGGTCGGCCATTTCGCGGTTATACTTAGACAGCATGGACGAAATCTCGGTGCCCTTTGAACGTTCGGCATTCTCAGCACGCTCAAGGGCCATACGGAGCTCGCGCTTGACCTTCTCCAGTTCGTCCTTGTTGGTTCCCGTCACGCGATCCCGGTCATGCAGAGCACGGTCACGTTCCCGGATCATATCGGCCAATTCCAAGTTCTTGGTCTTCAGCTCGCGCTCCAGCTTCTCTCTTCGGTCAATTGCCTCTTGTGCAGATGCTGCCTTGAGCTTGAGGCTCTTTGTGGTCTGCAGAAGATCAAGGTGCTCCTGTCGAAGCTGCGAGTATAGCTTGGCCAGTGCCTCGTACTTGGACCGCCAGGTGTTCACCTGCTCCTGAAGGGATCTAATCTGCTCGTCTTTCGAGGCATTCTGCAAATTCAAGTTCGAGGTCAGATGGGCCATCTGCTCTTCGACCTCCTTGACACGGCGGTCATATTGCTGCAGCATCAGCTGGTCGCGCTCATACTGAGCACGAGCGTTGAGGTTTTCCTGCTCCAGCTCTGCCAGGCGACCCTGGGTTTGTGTCTGATATTGATCGCGGAGAAGCTGCTCCTGAGCAAGTCGCTGCTGTTCCGCCTGCAGACGCTGCTGCTCCTCGAAGTCGTTCTGGGCCTGCTGTTGGGCGAGAACTTGCTGTCGTTGCTGGTCCTCCCACTGTTGCTGCAGACGTCGTTGCTCTGCCTCATACTCTTCTTGCTGGCGTTTGGCCTCGTTCGTCCAGAAATCGTTGATCGGCTCTGGTTCAGCTGCGACCTTCGGTGGTGGAGAAGGCTGGGCTTCCGTTTCTTTGGCAGGCCGTCTGGGAAGAGCTGGCCGTTCATCGTCCTCGGCAAGCAGATTCGGCGGATCTTGTGGCAGCTTTGGGATGGTGATGAGCCCTGTCAAGTAGCGCAGGTTGGAGCACTCATAATAGAACCGGACAAGACGGTGGTGCTGGGCGTCATACCGGCCCCGAAGTGGCTCGAGAGCTTCGTCATCTCCAGTGGCTACGCAAAACATCAGTCAGCGGGCCATTGAACGCGAGCTCCAGGACCAGGGATAACATACTTGTGTGCATAGCTCGCAGCATGCTGGTAATGAACTTATAGATGCCATAACTCTCCTGCACAAGTGGCACCAATGCAGAGATTCGGCATTCATTGTTTGTGCCGGACTGGAAGTTCGAGAAGATGAGCTTTTGGAAAGAATCGATCTGGTCTTGCAGACCCATCAAATCGGTGATGGTCTCGTAGCTATGTGGCTGTCAACATCTCTCCACTGGCAGATATCAGGTATGTACGCACCCTTCATTCGGATCATTGATCGACTTCAAACTAATGTACTCCTCGTATTCGAACAGGCCTGCGACTGTCAGACACCCGCGCTTCGTAGAAACATCCAATCGTGAACGACATACCGTTGAATTCAGGGTGGTTGCGGTGGAAGGCCAGCTTCGACTCGAGGAAGAAGACGTACTCCCGAATGAGCGGCGCATATCCTATACAGAAACGTTACTATCACATCCGTCTGTCGCATGCGTCACCGATCCTCGGGTAAGAGAGCGGGTGCGCAATCGTCCTGCCTGGACTCCATACCTCGAATGCCATCGCCTCCAACTCCTCGCATCAAGCTATCAATCCAGTTGGTATGCTGCTGCGCCTCGCGGACAACCATGGGATGGCCCTCTTGGAGGACCTTGTGTATCGTGATCAAAGCTTTGAACGTTTGGACCTCATCGGCGAGAACAGGCTGCCTGTGAAGAACGAAGGCATGTCAGTCTGACTATCTTAAGATCAACGGGCCCCTTCCGTGCCCGCCAGGTATCTCCCATCACATACACTTTCATGCCAGCCCAGAAAGCCGCTGACGACTTGTGGTCCCACGTATAGACGATGCAGCTCCGCACATGCTTTCCTACAGTCGCGGGGGATGGTCAGCTCAATTCGGACGGGGGCAAAGCCAAGGCGGCATCAATCGGTTCGTAAATTGGCAGCGAAATGCGATCAAGACGTACGTTTAGGAGCGGTTTCCTCTGGTGGTAGTAAACTTGTCAGCGCCCGCTCTCCCGCGTCGGTCTCCCCTCCGGTCAACGGACTTACCAATACTGGTGGCCTTGCGGATATTGATGGCCAAATCGGCCTCGGTCCTTCGCGATACGTTGTCAGACAAGCAAACCTTTGGATCCTGCTTCCGTTTTACTTACCGACTCATCTTGGCCGTTGGGGTACTATCGATATGTGCTCAGGGGGGAGAAGTGGAGGAATGTCGGAGAGGTTCGTCGCGTTGACAGATCTCAAGCCCGGACAGCGCACAGACGATGTGAACAATTTGCGCTGACCGGAAAAGGCGTTTTAATTGAAAAGCGAAGTGAGATTGCTGAAAGCACCGGAAAAAAGCTACACGTGGGAGTTCGCTCAATGACGTTGATGGGGAACGGGAAAGCTGGCGCCTGTCCGAAGTCTTGGCGACGCCTAAGCCGATGCCAGTTGGGCCATGGCGAACTGAACTGAAGGCTTTATCCCTTGATGATGGAGGCTGTGCGTCTCTGTCTACGCGTCAAACATCTGAGAGGCTAGGCAGACCTTCTGACCTCGGGAAAGGTCATGTACCCACGTAAGCGCTTTCTACATGCAGGTTACAATCTACGGGTCTACTTAGTTTACTTCGAAACCAGTTCAGGTCAAATAATACATTCAATATCGGAGAATCAGCTAAAAAGTGAAAGGTATCCACATAAGGCAGTCGGTATAATCTGCGCAGGATATCAATGGTGCAGGGAAACCAGCCCAACATGGAGCCCCCAGTCCTTTCAAAGTGCAATGTGCAACCAGGAAACCAGAAGGCGCAAGGCGGCTCACCGTCCATGCTCATATTTGCATGGATGCATGTGACAGAAGCTTCCGACATCCTCAAGCCTGTGTTTCCTAACCTCCTGTGCGCTGGCATCAGCCGCTACGAGGGGACTTTCACCCTTCCTGCAGATGACAAGGCCTCATGGCTGTCCGGCGTTGGAGGAGGCGCCTGATCAACAGGGCGCAGCGACTCAATACTAGACGACTCATTTGTGTCATCGGGGCCACTTTCAAGCTGTTCAGCCTTCGAAGACGTCTCACTCACGGCAGAAGTTGGAGCCATAAAGTGTTGGTCTGATTCCATGTCCCCACGCGCTGGGCTATTTGGCTCAGAGTCCTGGAGTGCCTCCACCACGAGCAGCTCATCGATGCTTTCGTCAACACGCATTCCATGAGCCGTCGGTTTTCTGCGAGGCAAAGGCGATGGTGAAAGAGGCTGCTCTGTCGCCTTGGAGCGTTCAGCCGTCTTGGGGCGTTCAGGCACGGTGTGCGCTGCCACAGGTTTACGCTTGGGCAAAGTCTCCGCGTTTCTCTTCAAAGCATATTTGTCTGGACGCGGTAAGGGTGTGCCAGGTGGTGGATGAGGATGTCCACGACCAATTGGTTGGGTAGGCATCCCTTGGGGAGTCCGCGATGACGCTTGGCCGGTGCTTGAGTCGCCTTTACCAAACACGCTTAGACTCCACTTCTTAGCGGCAGCAGTGGCTTGCCCAAGAGTCATAGAGCCGGAGAACTTGTCATCAGACGATTTGGCAGTATCGATGATGCTCTCAATTGTACTGCGCCTTCGAGTCGTGTCGCTGACGACAGAGGTCGAGGAACTACCTCTAGAACTTCTCAGGCTGGAGAAGGACCCGCTCTCCATGCGTGTAGAAGAAGGTCTTTGGATAACATTGTCGCGAGCAAAGCTAGAGCTGTCTATAGACTCCGCAATGGATGACTCGCGGCTATGAACCGCATTTTCCGGCATCATCAGGCCAGCTGTGGGAGGTGAGGTGCCCGGAGTCCGGTTGGGAGATGTAGGTGGCGATCGGCTTGAGATCTCGATCATCGCACTGGCTGCGTGGCTCTTTTCATCGCCTTTGCTTTCCGAAATAATCTTATCGACGCTGGCGTTGTCTGCAGTGACCACTGGGTCTGCGGTATGTGCTAAAGTCGGCGACCGGATGGCCCGAGGCAGCGGCGCGCTGTCCGGGCGATCGATACCAGTGGAAGTTGCAGTGGCATCCTTTGATTGCAGGTCCGATAGCGAATGTTTCAGGCCTTTGCGCAATTTATCCTTGGTTGTCATGGGCTCAGAAAGGACAGGCATGCTCATCGTGCGATCATCCTTGGGCTTGAGAACTTCGGCGGGATCACCACCGCCGCTCTTCGGTGGAGGAGCCTCCCCGGACTCGTCGGGTATCTCTGGTATTTCTACCTTGTCACTCGCCTCTGGAGTATCACGCTGCCAAATACCGCCACGGAAAGCCTGGCCGAGGGTATCGTGGAATGGAATGTCATCCCAAAAAGGCAGAACGATGCTCTCTGCCACCACTTCGCGGATTTTACTCTCGATGGTGCGCAGGATCAGACTGTACGTGATTTGCTTCGAGCTGACGATAGGCTGGATGTCCATTTCCATCTTAGGTGTGGTTTCGAAAGACATCCAGATGCGATTGCTCGGTGGAGGTTTGAATCGTACTAGCAGATGGCCTTCGAGCTTTTTCAAGACAACGGCAAGAACGATATCGACCTCTCTCGCCTTGAATCGTTGTCCCAGGTCAATGCGTACCGTTGCGGATATCTCGAGCCGGAAGTTCCCAGTGTACTGCAAATCGGCTTCCACGCAGCAATTACCGTCAACCGTCAAGTCCTTCAACCTTGGATTCGTAATGAATGGAGCACCTTCGCCCATGTCAATCTTCTGCAAGCCGATCTTGCTGATGAAGTTAGGTTTGTTGACGCGAGATATCTTCTTGACAATTTTGCTGCGCACAGATGCTTCCAATTCAGGCGTCCTGTACAGCGCTAAGAACAATCTTCCAAGGAAAGCATTGATCCAGCGCGTCTGCAACTGCTCTTCGGAGGAGTGCAGGCGTTGAACCAATGTGACAATATGCTTGGTGTCGAACTCCTGGTGTTTGGGCGGGCGATCAGCCAAGTCTTGCAGCCGGGTTTGGTTTTGGAGCATGGCGATGTAGAAGTCCTCCTTCTCGGATAAGTTTTCAGAGAAGAGATAAAACGGCGGAGTCGGTCCGCCTAGGTCCCCCAGCGATGCCAGTCGCCGTGAGAGGCAGATGGCGTTCCGTTTGAGCCACAGCTCTCCTTCTGGTATGTCCCCCTCTCCGCCGTCATATATGCTGACAACGTGGTGAGCGAGCGAAATAACATATCGCACCTCCACTTGATTCGCATCGTCATAAAGCATCAAGTGGCCATGTCTGAAGGAATAGCAATCAAGGTCAGCAATCAGCGGCCAGACAACAACCTAGGTCTCTGGATAGAGATGCATACCGAAGAACGATGTAGAACACATTCCGCGCGCGCTTGACAGTCTTGCCGTTCGCCTTCGCCGGGTCAATGCTGGGCGCTTGCTTCCGGTCAAACAGACTCCGATACATAGTCTGGTAGACGCTGGGACTTTCGGCCGCAACGACTTCCCCTGCAGGGGTCGTTCTCTCGGGAGGTTTCCCATTCACACCACCGGGAACATATTCGCGGCAGACGGCGAAGTATCCAGCTGCAACGTCGGACTCATGGGTACTGTGGAACTTCTCCGCCAGCTGGTCGGTGCCGGACTTGAGACTAGAGTCGTCATCGGTAGGCCGGCGGAGGGGATCAGGTGTTTTCGTGCATGACTGCTGCGATTCCGGCGCAGACGGAAGGGTCAGGTATGCATGGAGGAGGATTAGAGAAATTACAAGTGGAATGAAGGTGATTCCACCGAGGGCGTAAACGAAGAGGAAACTAGCGAGCGAACCCATCGGGAACCAGTCGATCAATGCGGGAGGGTCGAAAGCTCCATAGTTTGGGAGAGCGACCTCCAACTGCAGATAAAGAACACGAGACAAGGATAAGAGACCGGCTCCAGGTTGAAACGAGCGCGATAAGACGAGGACAAGGGCTCAGCGCGTAGACAGAGAAAGTTGCAGGAAGTTGCAGCTTCCACAGGCATGACGGGATGACGAAGGTGTGAGTACCTCGGCATTCCTGTTTCGTATTGTTATTTCGCGTAATTAGGTCCACTTCACATGCGTGTAAGTCCGTTATTAACCAGTATTTGGTTTATGTATTGTAAGATTACTTGTAAATCAGTTGGTACCCCTCTTGATACGACCAGCTGTCAGGAACGTCAAAGAAGCCCTGACAACCATGGGTCTCCTGTTGATATTGTATCTATCGACTCGGGCTAGACATAGGGCAAGACAACTATTGCAAGTACTACATTGTAGACGTTGAGGACTCGGATTCTGTACTGAAGGCGTCCTTCTCTTCCAACAGATGCTGTGCAACGGTGACATTTGGGCCATATGCGCTGTGGAGCCAATCTTATACTAATCGTGTGATAGAGGGTCATACCAGGGATATAGGAGCTTTATACCTTGTAGAGCCGATCTATTGTTATACAACAGCGTCACAATATACTGTTCTTTTGGCTTGAGGGCGTATCGACACATTCGAATGACTGTTGATCATCCAGGACATCAACAAAGACCTGAAGCGAAGAGAGTAGAAAATGCATCCACTGGTGAAGACCAAGTATGTATCCAACCATCTAAGACATCTAAATATACACAGGCATCTAGAAAGGAGATCGTAACCTGAAGAAACAACAAAAGGGGGGCGAGCTGAAAGACAAATATGTGTACATGGGAGCAGGGTCTCCTCTACTTTCTCCGGTTCATGGTCTTCTGGCACATCTCAATCAAACCACTCTTGGCATCACTGTCGGGGAAGTCGCTGATGGCAGCAATGGCCTTGTCGGCGTATTCCTGAGCAAGAGCACGGGTCTGCTCAACACCATCGCTGCGGTAGACGAGCTCACGAGCCTAGTAAAAGAAACCAGTCAGTATCACCGTATCAAGCAGAACTCGAGACCAGTTTGACCACTCACCCGCTGCACATCACCCTCCACACGGAACTTGCGTCCAACCAAAGGACCAAGCTCCGGGTTGCTCTTCCAGGCGAAAAGGAGCGGCGCAGTCGCCAGACCAAGCTCCAGGTCGGCACCAACCGGCTTGCCCATCTCAGCCTCAGTAACTGTGTAGTCCAACATATCATCAACCAACTGGAATGCCAGACCCAAATTGCGGCCATAAGCATAAGAAGCCTCGATCACCTCCGGGGCACTCCGGCCCAGAACCGCAGCAGAGCGGCAGGACTTGCTAATCAGACTGGCCGTCTTCAGGTAGGTCTTCTGGAGGTAATAGGCAAGAGTCTCGTCGGTGTAAACGGGCTTCGATTCGTCTTGCGCAGTGTTCTTCAGTTGCATGAATTCACCCTCCACCAAATTGGCGATGACAGTGGCCATGAGTTCCGTGACCTCGGGATCGCGCAGGCGAGCCAGCGCCACCGAGGCACGACCAAGCAAAAAGTCACCTGCCAGCACGGCCATCTTATTTCCGAACGCCAGGTTCGCAGAGCTGTTGGCACGGCGCGTCACGGCATTGTCGATGACATCGTCGTGCAGGAGAGATGCGGTGTGGATCAACTCTGTGATTTCGGCCAGTCGTCGCTGTGAAGGGAGGATGTTGTCATCTCCCGCGACATCGTATTTGCTCTCGGCAGTAGGGGCCACGAGCGGGTTCATTTCTGGGTTGGCATCTTCGAGGATGGAGGGTGCGCTGAAGGAGGAATCGACGGGGCTCGGTTTATCCGTGTAGGTGTGGTGCTTGCGCGGGTCCAAGGCTGTCGCCTGGGACATGAGAAGGACAAGCATTGGCCGCATGTGCTTGCCCTCGCTGTGAGTGTAGTACTTGGCCACCTTGTCTAGTGCGGGATGGCCCGATCCAAGTAATTGTCGGATGTTTTTGGTGAGGAATTTGAGTTCTTTTCCTACCATTCTCAACGGGTCGACGGAGATGCCTGGAGGCGCCTTCGGCATACCCTTGAAGATGGCTTGGGCCGCTGACACGGCAGCTCCAAATGGCGAAGCATCTCGCCGACGTGTTGGGTGATATTTGCGAGATTGGAGAGCAATATGCGTAAAGCGGAGGTCATCGCGGAGGCATTGCGTGCAGACAGTCGTTCGTGATGAGAGGATCAGCCCGGTGGCCGATACGGTTCGAGCGCCCATGCTCAATGCGAGGGCTGTGTGTATATATCAAGAAGATCAAGATAAAAACATAAGAATCCAATGTCAGGAAGCGATCGGTTGTTAGCGGACAAGGACGAACAATCTTGCGGGCGGGAAGATTTCGAGCTCTCTCGGGTCGCACGGACCTGGTCACAGCCAAGTATGGGTTCCGTCTGGGTCTACACAGTACCTGAGAACAACTCAATCTTCAACTCTTTTAGGGTTACAAATGGAAATTGAGTGAATATGATGAGGACACAGTTTATAAGCCTTAGAAAAAATCTGACATACGAATCTAATAAGGCCACAGTACAGGAAATGATAGTATGAAAGATAGACCCTGCACCGAGCATCTTAATCTTAGTCCTGAACGCTCCCCTTCACATCTGAATCAAAAGCCCAAGGACAAGGAGAACGATTTTCACAACACAAAGGTTTGAGGAAGGCCGCTACGAGGTAGAGACCCATGCATGGGACCAGTGCGGTAGAGAAAAAGTATGCTGTATCAATTATGGAAGCTCAACCTTCCCTTTAAATAGCATCAAAATCACCGCCAGCATCCTCATCATCCATGTCTCCCTCCTGTATCTCCTTGGCAAGCTCCCGCTCCCGTTCACGGGCTTCTTGGGCACTCTTGAGCTCCAGGCGGTGCTGATTCATAGGGAAGCGCATGGCCTATAACGATTAAATGCACGTTAGCAAAAACAACACAGGCCAATGCGGATACTAGGAATACATACCTTGACACTCTCGTCGTGAAGAGCAAGGCAGGCGCGGATACGCTCATGGAAGGCTTCGCCGGGTTCTCTGGTAGCGTAGATATCACCCACGTCTTTGCTCTTCATGAATCCATGCTCGTGGTCAAGCGTGGCCTCAATGACGCCATCCCTGATAGCCTTGGCCACAATGTACTCAGCAGACTCTTCACTGTCAAGTCCGAGACGAAGGCAGATATCCCGCAGGGAGATTCGGGAGTAAGAGAGCGACATCATGCGAATACCGGTCTTGATGACATTCTGTCGCAAGCGCAGGATCAAGGTGTATGTGCCATCCTTGCGGAAAGTCTCACTGTGGGTGTTGACAGTGTTGAGGAATCCATCCAGATCACCGACACTGACTGCCTGAGCGAGCAGCAAATAGGGGTGCATGGCCCGTTCCAAAGCTGGCTGGCGGAAGATGGCACGGTCTGGGATATCACCCATCAACAGCTCGACAACGACCAACAGCTTGTGAGAGGCCTGGTAGAATCCACGAGCAACCTGGCTAGCAGGCGACTTGCGGGTAGCCCCAATCAGATGGCCGTGGGCCTCCGTATACTGCAACTGGATGGCACGGATGCGACCAAGGTAGAACATGTAGCGAGCAATCTGGTTGTTAGACGCAGCGACAGGGAACGGATTGTGCGAGATCAGGAGATCTGCCTGTGAGATATGAGATGTAGACAAGTAGTTGCGAAGCAACAGAGTCATCACAGTAGCCTGCGTGTCAACATCTTTTCGGAGCACGGCTGTGCGCAGGGCGACCAGCAATGGCTGACGAATGGTAGTCACTGCCGCTGCGGGGGAAGGAGGAAGCGGGGCGGATTGTTCGAAGAAGAGAGAGTAGTAGAAGTACACACGGGCAGCCAGAGAATCTAGGGTGCGACGATTGAGTGCTCGCAGGCGCTCAATCAAGCTTGTGGAGAACTGCACTCCCTTCTGGATCTCACGTTGGTCGAACAGGTAGATCTGTACGAGAATCGAGAGATACACATCCACCTCGGCGAGTGTTTCCTTGGGGGCAGCCTTCTTCTCCGAGTCCACCTCCATCTCCGAGCTCGCTAGAGCATTCTCGTAGGCCTTGGTTTGCCCAAGAGCTTCAAGCAGGAACGAGGCGGTCGAGCTAGATTCGGGATAAGTTTCCACAATGACTTCGGCGAGGACCTCCGGGGTGAGGTGTTTCCGCATCGACGATATGGATCGCAGGACACGGAGGGTGAATCTGGGGTCAAAGTGGGCGACGGCACGCTCGAGCAAGGTGAAATTGGTCTTGATGTCTAAACCCGCGCGGAACAGACAGGAAATCACGTTAGAGATATGGGCTTCTTCTGGACAAGGAAGGAGATTCGACAAACCTTGAATAGCCTTCGTTGTCGGGTCGACTTCCGGCTCCGTGTTCTCAGCATCACCATCCTCCGCACCATCCATGGTCACGTCCTCCTCCTTATCCTTGCCGGATGATCTGGAACCCTTGGTTGGGGGCACTACAACAGTCATCTTGTCATTTTTGCGGCCCTTGCTGGCGTTGGATGAGGATGTAGGCGCACCTGCCGTACCCTCTCCCATCTCGACATCTTCGGATCCATTCACACCATTCTTGGTGGACTTCGATCCATCCTTATGCGACTGGTCATCTTCCCCCATGTTGTCGTTTGATGCGCCCTTTGCGTCTTTCTTGGTCGGAGCTGACTTGGCCTTGTTGGCGGCGGCACGAGTGGTGGGTGCCGTTGAGTTTGCCTTTTCACCGTTAGTAGATGAGGAGTCGGATTTGTTGTTTGATCGCAGAGAGCGCCTTTCGGCCGGCATATTTCTGAAGCTATCGAGCTCAGCTGGACAGTCACCAAGCTAACGGAAGAAGTAGGGGAAAGGGCGAATGAGCACAAAGAGGAGAGGAAGCAGAAAATCAAGCCCAGGAGAAGCCAATCTGTCGGAAGCACAGATATGATGAAGGGAAACTTGTGCGGACAGGTTGATGAAGCAGATGGGTGATGTGATGTCAAGAGATGGGATGAACGGGCGCAAGAGACGTGGACCAGATGAACGCTTAGTCAGTTGGAGCTTGGGGCCGGCCTCAACCCAGCACCTTTGCCATTAAAGCTGTCAGAAAGACCACAAAGAGCTACGAAAAATGGGCTAAATCGAGGCGTTTAACAGCCTTTAAACTGAAATACAGCAATGCTATTCTTTCCAGTCAATCTTAGCGTGGCAAGGTGGTCCCAATACATAGCCGCCTTCTCAATATAGTGCCTCAGGCATCTCTGCAGCTCTCCCCCAAAGTAAACAATTGCGCAGTGTAGAAGCATTCAACTACACAGTACACATCCTCTACAGCCCAGAGCTTCAGGACATCCGCAGATATGGGCTTACTCAAATCTCACTTAGAGCAAATAACTCTCTCTTCCAATGCTATTGCCGACTTGCCGTTAGTGCTTGCGATGCCCCTCAATTACAATGCTGAAGACTAACGAAGCGTCCAGATTCCCTCCCCCGCGAATTTTCACCACTGCGTTGCTGGGCTCCCACGACATTACAGCCTTGATTCGTGATACCGAAGCTCATGAACGCGCACTCTTTCAAGTCGATCCAGCTGCTAAGGCTCCAGGGTCGCAAAGACGCGCCACACGACGCGGGACCATGTTCCCCACCGAGCCTGAAAGGGAGTCGATGGCAAGCCGCATCTATTCAGCGCGGGACAACCGCAACCAGTCTGCGGTGGCCAGAGTTCTGGGACACGATATGATGGAAGAGATCAAACGATCAGCAGGCACCTCAACCAGAGGGCCCCGCGGGGAAGTTAACATTGAAGTTCTGCTTCGGGGAGCCGAGATCCTCTGTGATGTTTAGTAAGTGATTCAGATCTGGTAAGAAATACTGGCTTGGACTAACCTAGATGAAGTCCGATTCCCGGCGCACAGGAAAAGATTGCCAGTCTTCGCTATCGGCATCAGATCATTAGCGAGTCCATAGCACAATTGGAGGATCGGGTTGCAACGAATACTGCAGAACTGGATCAGATGAGACGCTCCTATGGGGAAGATGAAGAGGACTTTGCACCTGCGCCAGCACAACCGGACATTTCAGATGTTACTGATGAGGATATTGAGCGAGAGCTGGCCGAGATTCGAGGACTGGAACAGCGGAAACGGAGGCTGGAAGAACGGGTCTCAGGCATGGATCGAGATCTGGGGGTTTGATAGGCTGAGACTTATATTTCGCCATGGTGTTTTCCCTACGTGGTGAAAAGCTTCCATCCGATCTCATTCCTACTTCTTGATTCATCTGACCAGCACACCATACTCTGTGGGCACTTCCTCCGAACAAGCCTTGACATCTCAGATTCCATGACTCGTCATCAGGGCTACGCTGTCCCAGGCTCCCAGCTATGTCCCCGGTGGCTAATAGGGAGAAGAGCGTCGGACAAACTAGACTCAGCCAAAGCAAAGCCTTCAGTACTTTCAACTGGTGTCAAACCAGGGCTTCTCCCCGACCAACGCTTGAGCAAAGCCTATTGCTTTATCTTCCAATTATCACCAAATATGCACAGCAGGTACTTGGGTTGCAGTCATTGGTACAGCATCGTCTGTTGCCTGTCTTATCCCTGCTATGCTACCCATGAGACATCTTCAGGATGTGATTCTTTCTGTCTTACGACCACAATGAATATCAAGACTGTTTGTTCACATTTCAATTCGCAAATACGCAGCGTATGTTATTAGGTATATGGCATAGGTATAATAATGGAACCCGATCTGTGGGCTGTGACAATGGCGGAATGATCAAGTGATCATGGATATTTTCATAGCAAGACGACTCCGAAGACCAGATACCTGGATTCTCTAAGAAAGCCGTATTTCTAAAAGATACTCGTCGCCGTACTGTAAAGCAAGAAGTAGGTTCCGCCGTTGCCTAACTACTAGCACGTATATCAAAAGGCGGCTGGGATGCCAAGACCCGGCCCAACCTCTACCAACGTCAAAGTTGCAACCACCAGAACTGCAACATCGGAACCGTCATCGTCCGCCAACTCGTCTGATTCCAGTGACGGAATTCGACTGTGACGTTTAAGAAACCGCCTGTATTCCCATCCACAGACCATTGACGCGCGCGTCGATCCGGTGATCAGCAAGATTCATCCCGACTTCCCCTCAATCCCCCCAGAGAATCATCCCCGCGAAGATGGAGGGAGCTCAGGGCCAAGTCGGACAGCAAATGGCTGCCCCGCAGCCACAGCACTCGAATCTCATCCGGACCGACCAAGTTCAGAAGCTACCGCACCTCAGTGATCAGCAGAAGGCCCAGCACACCCAGCTGGTTCGCAGCCTCTGGGAACTGCTCAACACTCGCGACCCGCAGTCACACGAGTATCAGCAAGCCAACACAAAGCTCTCCCAGCTCTCTCAGAACTTGATGAAGGGTATGCGGATCTTCCAGCAAACCCGACAGCAGGCGTTGCAGCAGCACCAGCAAGCTCAGGCGGCCGTCCAGCAAGGAACACAGCCGCAGCAACCACAGCAGGGACAGCAAGCGCAGCCGGTGCTACAACAGGGGGCTCAGGGTCCACAGGGACAGCCGGTTCAGCGGACACAGTCGAATAATCCGCAGACACTCAACCAGCTTATTCCGCAAATCCAGGCCCGTGTCAGCGCGCTGAATTTTTTCCTCCCACCGAACGTGACCCCCGAGCAGGTGCAGACATGGATCCCCGAGGCTCGGTTGCGATATGGTATTGCGCTTCAGAAGCAGGAGGTTGGACGGGCTCGCATGGCCGATCTCCGTTCGTCGTATGCGCAGCGGCAGGCACAGGGCAATATGACCCAGGAGGAGATGCAGGAATTCAAGAACCGTCAGCTGGCAGCTGAAAAGCTCTTCCGGGAGGGTAGCGAGTTTTTGAACAAGTTCAAAGAACAACAGGAAAGCTTCAAACTTCAGGCGCAACAGAACCCGGGGGGACAAGTGATGAATCAGGCGGGTCAAGGCAATGCGCCTACCGCGTTGAACCAAGCGCCGGCGGCACCTCCCGCGACGACACAGGGTGTACCTGCGCAGGCAGGAACTCCCAATCCTATGCAGGCAGGCCAGGCCCCGGCCCCGCATACAATTAACTCAGCCGTCAACGCAGCCCGCCAAACGGCTATGTCGCCCACTGCTTCCCAGCCTGGTGCTCCTGCCCAATCGGCCGGAAATACACCAGCCCCAATCAATGCTCCGCAACCACAAATACGTCCCCCGCAACCACAACAACAAGGCACCCCAGGCACTCAAGTTACTTTCAGTCAAACTCCCCACCCTGACGGTTCCACCCCCACACCACCTGGTCCATCTCAGCAGGTTAATCAAGGCCCGCCTCGACCCCTCTCTCATCAAGCTGCCATTTCGCAAGCCGCACAAACCTACACAAATCCATCCCCTCAACAGCAAACGATGAATCAGCAAGGTCAGGCCAACCAGCAGGGTCATCCCCAGGGATACCTCGCCAACCGTCCCGGTGAAGCCTCTACCCGAAACACCAACATGGCCATCCCGAAAAACCTCCATGTGTCCACCCCCGAGCCTGTCTCGATGCCTGGCTCCCGTCCCTCGCTGTCCGGTGGCCCCAGCCACGGCGCCATGGGCATGATGGGCCAGCCCGCCATCCAGAAACACCCAGGCTACGTCCTGGAGGGTGAGGGCCAGCGAGTCCTGAGCAAGAAAATGCTCGACATCCTCGTCCGCCAGGTCACCGGTGGCGGCGAGGGAGAAGCGCTTACCCCGGATGCCGAGGAGGTAAGTCCACTACTCTCTCAAGTCCCTCTCAAATGAAAGATAACTAACAAACATACCCAGTTCGTTCTCCAAATGGCCGACGACTTCGTCGACGAAGTCGTTACTCAAGCCTGTCGTCTGGCCAAGCTTCGTCCTTCGGCAACCCTCGAGCTGCGCGATCTCCAACTTGTCCTCGAGCGTAACTACAATATGCGCATTTCCGGTTTCTCTACTGATGACCTGCGCACGGTCAAGAAGCCCCAGCCTACCCAAGGCTGGACTCAGAAGATGTCTGCTATTCAGGCTGCCAAGGTTACCCAGGGCAAGACTGAATAGACGTTCCCTTCTGTCTTCTACGGATTCCCTGCACTCGCGATGCTTTTGCTTCATTGTTTCTTTCGACGGGTGTCATATGGGGGGAAAGGTGTTCTTTTGCTTTACTTTTTGGCTCTCATTTCTTGAGAATATGGCGCTTATGTGGTGAATGGGGGATATGGATTTTTTTTACCAGGGATGAAGAGATGATGGTTTGGCTGGCTAGCTTGCCTGATCCTCCCTGATGGCTATCTTGCAGTCCAGCTTAACTGGAACTGAATAATGAATTGCCCCTACTGGGCTTGATTCCAATATGGTTCCAATTTGGTATGAGTATGAACTTAGCTCTATCGTAGACCTGAACATCGACATAAAATGCCTTCATAACTTCGCTATGGCAACTTTGCTCTACTCAGACACCATACCATCTACTTCATACATCTACAGACACAGCAAAAGTAATAGGAACTTGAACTTCCCATTGGATTCCGCTCACTACCGCTCCCCAGCTAAGAAACCACGAATATGAAGAAAAAGCAGATGGTATAGTGATTGGTACAGGGTATGGAGAGGGACTCGATGAAAAGAAGAAGAAGCACAACAGAATAAAGGGAAAAATAGAAGAAAGAAGAAGATGTTCGATGAACAAGGCGAGAACGCTTTGCGAGTTCAATGGTATTCTTTTCGTCTTCTGAGAACGAGACATAAAAAAGAAAGAGGAAAAGATGACGGGATTGGAAATTATTCCGCTCATGTGTGACATAGCGGGTGGCGCTTATGGTGCTGGAAATGGGTATGATATAGAGAGAGTGTGGGAATATGTTCGATCAATGAGGGCGAAGGGGCCTGTACAGCCGCAGGACGGAGGACTTCATAGCAGTGCTAGAGAGTGGTGGATGTTAAAGACGGAAATGAAAGAGAGAGTGGAAGGGGTTTGGGCTTGAGCTTCGAGCTTGTCCCGACCCAGATGAAGACAGTAGAGAGCATGGAGGATGGAGATGGGTTCGCTCAACAGGCGACGGAAATTATACACATGTCACTCATGAACATCAGTTTCTTTGCGGGAAGTGGTTGCAGAATATGGGAAGATGAGATGCCTCGCGCAGACCCATGCTGGGAAACAAAATAGGTGGTTCTATGAAGAGCAAGAGCAACAAGGGGAATATCTCGCTGAATACAAAGAAAACAAGATAAAGGGACGAATAAAGGTATCAAGGGGGGTTGGCAGCCGCTGCCGAAAGCTAGCGGGAGGCTGAATTTGGATTCATCGGATTGCTTCGGTCGACTTCCTTGCCTTTGCTGGGCGTCGGGGGCGGCGCTTCGTCGGGAACAGGTGGCAGTTCCTTCTCTGATGCTGGATGACCGTGTCGGCTGTGGGAGCTGTGTCCTCCAACACTGCTTGCTTCGCCGGCTTCGTCCACTATGGGCAAAGTGGAAGTCGGGCCGGGGCCATTGGCATCGGCGGGGTCCCAGACAGTGGCGAGTGTTCGAGGATGAGTGACAGACACGTCTTTCGATGCCTCTTTCTCCGCTGCCTGCATAGTCCGCTCGACAGAAGAAGATCTCGAACGTCGCTTGTCGGTTGATTGCTGGGGTGCACCAGAAGCAGAGACTCGAGATTCGCGTCGCCGTTCCGCTTCTTCGTTCGACATCGTGATTCCCTTGATGAAATTGATGAAGCGCTCTCCATAGGGCTGTGGAGGGATTGGGGAGATCTGTGCCCGATCGTGCGAGAGACCTTTGAAGAAGTTCTCGAGCTTCTTCGTGGTGCCATAATGAGTCAAGCAATCAATGATACCGAGGTAGTAGATCTCATCGCCAGGTTGACCGTTCTCGTGGGTGGCCCGGAAACCGCCATCGTCCGCGTAAAAGACATGATATTTCCGTTCGTCGAGAATCTCATCTGGCATCTTCGAAGCTGCTTTGTCCAGCGGAACAGGCCGTTCACGCTTGATGAGCATGCGCAGCTCACGAGCTTTGCGTTCATTCTCCAACTTCGACGGCGTACGCATCAAGTGGTTCTGGTTCGTGTCCTCTTCGCCGCCCGGCTGAAAGACCTGAAGCGTCTTGTCGCGCAACTTCTCTTCGTTGCCCCTCCCTGAGTCATGAATTCCTACCAAAAGGGAATAGTCCATGATCTTCAGTTTCTGCAGCAGCACCACGTCACGTTTTAATTGCTCGAGGAAGAAGTCCCGTTTTATAGGACCACATTCCAAGTGACGATTCCGACGAACCCAGTTCAGGTCCTTCATGGTTGCTCTGGGGTTTCTCTCCAGGTCTGACTCCTGCAGATCACGACCAATGGTCGAGCCCTTCAAATCGAATGTCTGGTGGATGTCTCGGTGGGGCGGAAACAGGTTGTTCATGACGACGAAGTGAATCTTTCGGCCATATGCCATCTTGACTCGGTGCAATCCATAGAATTGTGAAATGAGTGTGTTCGGATTGTTCTCCACATGCCGGTAGTACTCAGGAAGTATCCTCCGGAGAAGCTTATGTTCAGAGTGGTGAATGGTCTTGATGATGTATTTATAGTCGCGCGAGAAGTAAAAGAAGCTTCCGCTCTTGCCAGGAGAGCCCAGCTCGGACAAAATGTACTTGCTTGTAAGAGACATAAGGTAATCGGCGGGATCGAGGCGAAACTTGGCGCGCAGGTGTCGGAAGACCCAAGGTGCGTAGTCTTTGAATTTGAAGTCGTATTTGGCGGAGGGGATCAGTTCGTTCCCGGTGCTGCTCAGCTGTCAGTCATGGTCAAAGCATCAATGCTCCAGCAGATACTCACATGTCAAAGGAGAATTTGTGTTTGGCATCGAAATCCGCCGGGGTGAGTTCTCTGTCCATTTTCGCGTTGATCCTCGAGACCGTGAAGCGGATTCCCGTCAACATGTTATATGCCGTCACATAGTTGACGTGATTCTGGTCCACCTTGGTTCCCACGATCACTCGGTCATCGTCCTCCTCCTCGCGGCGTCGTCGTGAGGCGCGCTTTTGCTTGATGGCTTCCGCCCATCGAGCTGCATCTTCATCTGGCGGTGCCTCGTCCAACGTGATATCTTGTTGCGTGCTGTTTTTCGTTGCCCGTCGAATAAGGCTGATCGATGTGCGTCGGAAGCCAGTCGTCGGCGACATCCGGCCAGTGCTGTACGCCGCATCGTCTGTGTATTCTCGGCTATCCCGCCGCACGCTAGGTGTCCTCGGAACCTGCAAGGAATGTCGTTGTCGAATACTGGAGTTCTGCGACTCTGGCATCGAGACAGCGTCGAGCATTGACGGGGCGGGAGGGGAGGAGTGGCGTTGTGTTCCGGGCCGCGAGTTCGGGTTCAAGCGATCGGGATCTGGTGAATGACGACCAGTCTCATCCTGCTGTGGAATTTGCAAGAGCGATGCGGACGGTGAGATTGACTCGTCGGCGGAAGGCCGCTGTGTATCCCCATTGATCATCAGTTTCCCTGTGGCGGGCTGGCCGTTGGTCGTGCCATTGGGTTGGTGGGCAGATGGAGACGTTGTGGTGGAGATCATTCCAGGTCCATTGTCCGAGAGTTTGCGGTCCAACATGGCGGACGGCCGGCCGTTCTCGCGGGAATCTCTCGTGGACCCATTGGCTACCGAATGCATGCTGCCGTCCTTGGACAGCGGCGGATCGCGTGTGTACGAACTGACACTGGACCGAGGGCCATTCAGCGAGTATGCACTGCCGTTCTTGAGGTCAGTCAACAGGTGTCGGTCATTCTGTTGTGAGTCGTGATTCGCGTCGGTGCCGTTAGGCCAGTTGGTCCAGAGGAAGGTATTTCCGACGGGGGTCTTATCGTGGGACTTTCGAGGCGAGTCAAATGAGCGAGGTTGGGTGACGGTGGCAGTCTGATAAGAGACGTCGTTGAAAGAGGGCATAACGACGAGAGTCCCCAGGGAAGAAGTGACGTGAGTTCTGCGTGGACCGGTAACCCGATGTGACGGCAGTCGCCCTTATTGGCGGAGAACCAGGAAAGTTGTGAACCGGACCGAATTCTGACAAAGAAAGAGGAAATCGAGCCAGTTTGCCCCAAGGGTAGTTCAACCGATCAACATAATTTGTATCAATGGCAAGACGGGAAATAAAGGGTGGGTTGGGGGAGATATGGGGTGGGGAGAGAGGAGTGGAGGAGAAGAAGAGGGAAGAGTTGGTTCACTTGGTTGTCGGGGAGAAAGAGAATTACGACACGTACTGTACCTGGAGTTCTGGACTCCACCGTCAGCTTAATCTCTTTTTGCGTCTTAGTTTTTATAAAAGGTGACTGATTTCGCTAGTAGTTTATCGTAGTAATTTGTTTCGTCTAACTAGTTGTTTCTCCATTACTGCGTACTTGTAACTCTCGTTGAACATGAACTGGTGGCTGGGGGTTATCAGGTACGGAGCACATCTAAACATACATGCAAAAAGTACAAAACTCCTTCACATGATTTCTTCCCTTTTCCCTATTTACACTCTCTGATATGCCAAATGATTCATTGGACCGTATTTATCTTCCTCTAGCCCACTCTGCCCGCAGCCCCTCAGTGGCTACAAGTGTTTATGCAAGTGTTTATGCAAGGAGATTGAGGTTGCACAACGCCACCCTTGTATGGAGTACACAGTATGGATATTGACTCTACAGTCTACACAGTAAGTGAGCAGGAACTGTGTATGGAGTATAACCAGAGAATGCATAAGAATTTTACGGCCTTTGCAGGTCAAGTTAATTACCGAGAGATACGCAGACGGCAAAGGATGCCGAGTGGCCAATTGCGCGTATCGGGACTCAGGAGACTCGGGTCAAGTCAGATCGGTTGAGGAAAAGGAGAAGAGGATAGCACTCTGTCGATAACTACACAATAGACTCCATTCTGTAGGTTGTATACACTTGACACTGTAAATATGTTGTACTGCAAATGTTCCAAAAATAGGGCTCCAGCCTCCCCCATAATGAAATCATCTCAGCGCCACAGGGGAAATTCTCCACCAGGTGACAGGTCACATACGACATAAACATATTACTTTGTACGGAGTACAGACAATACGTTCATCTAGTATGTTTATCGGTCCGAGACATCAAAGGTCAAGAGTCAAGACAATAAAACACCGGACAATACACTGGAAATCGATACTTTGTTTACCCCGAGCTACCCCGAGCTACGCGGACCCTCGACATATCTTCCAGATATTCAGCTTCAAAATCGTCCAAATAGTTTGATTTCCACAAAAGTAACAAGGGAATCGATCGCAATAAGAAAATTAAAGAATAAAAAGACCGCAGTTCCCCATTGCAAACCCACCGCAGGACGCCATCCCTTTGACTTTGAAAAGCAAAGCCAACGTATCCAAGAAAACATATGAAAACAACGCAAAGGAAATCGTCAAGAGCTAGAGAAACCAATGGCCCGACAGAAAGAAGTTACAGAAGAAGAGCAAAGGAAGCAAAGTACCAGACACTCTTCCGGGAAATGCGCACGTGAAAAAGAGGGAGAGAGAGATCCGGCGAAAAAGAGACTGTCAAGATCTCTATTTCTTAGTAGTGCGCTTCTTGGGCGCCGGGGCGGGCGGCGGAGCAGTGGTCTTGGTAATTCTACCAGACTTTGTCTTGCCGAGAATCGTGCGTTGCTCGACAATAGCAGGGGCCTGGAATGTTGGTCAGTGACGATCAAGGGCGAGAGGGATGGAGCATCTGAGGTGAACTTACGGCCGCGGGGGTCTTTCGGACCTTGCTGGAATTGGCCTTGGGCTTGGTCGCAGTCTTCTTGACAGCGGTCTTCTTGGTAGGGGCGGCCTTTGCAGCAGCCTTCTTAGGGGCAGCGGCCTTCTTGGGGGCAGCCTTGGCGGCGGGCTGATATTTGAATCAGCGGAGAACATAAAATCAGATCTGGACGAGAGCTTACCTTGGCAGCGGGCTTCGCAGCCGGCTTTGCGACGGGCTTAGCAGCAGCCTTAGCGGGTGCTTCCTTCTTAGCGAGCTTCAGGGGACCAGAGGGGCCTAAACGCAACGAGTCAGACCGAGTGAAACTAATCCAAAGCGACATACAACATGCAACATGCAACGAGATGCAAATATTGCAAAGCCTCGCACAGAAGATGATAGGATGCATGCGCTTAGGCACGGTGGATGGAACTTACCCTTGGGCTGGGTGAACTCGTTCTTCTCAACACCGGACTTGATAGCCTTGTTGAACTGAGAGTCGAAGACACTCTGAGAAGTCAAGTTGATCTTGTTGTTCATCTGAACATACTTCTTGATAGCCTGGCGACTAAAATGGTGGGCAGTTTCAGTCAGTGACTCGTTCATAAGCATTACGAGGCTCCCGCCGGACCCAGAAGGCAGCGGCGACGAGAGAGGGGAAAACACCAGAAACATACCTGCTACCATTGCGCTCCTTGAGCTATAGACAGAAAGACCAGTCAGCAATTAGGATACATCAAAAATAAGGATTGATTTTGTTGTGGTTGTCCATGCCCAAAGGCAAAGACGTGTCACGGTCGGGCGCGACTCGAATCACAACAACCAGGTTGGCTCGCGCCGGCATTGGTCAACTCACCCCAATAATGGCATCCTTGATCATATCTATATCATTCAAATCAGCAGATGTTCGCGACCAGAAAGATGCCACGAGCGATTTTACGCGATGTGGTGGTCATTCAGGATCAGCAAAGACGTACCACGGTAAGAAGAGTGAGTAGCAGGAGCGGCCTTCTTAGACGCGCTGGTGTCCTTCTTGGGAGGCATGATTGAATATGATTTGATTTAGAGGTAAATGAAAAAGAAGAAGAAGATCTGAGAAAGGATCTGAGTGAAAAGTCTTTTCCTAAAGTCGTGGGAGTTGTGGTAACGGAGGAAGAAGAAAAAGAGCAGGAGGGAAGGGAAGGCCGCGGGGCATCCGCGATTTATAGGCGACCGGTGTTGACACAAGCTCAGGAGAGAAATGGAAAAATGGAAAATCACGTTCTTTACCTCTTATTCACTGTCTATGTTTATTCTTTTAGTAGACTCTTCTTTTGATTACTGTTTTGTGTGTCTATTCTGTTGGACTTTCTACCATCAACTTGTTCTCTCGCGCGTCTTCAAGAGCAAATGCGAACATTCTCTCGTATGCCGTGTCGAATACTACTTCAGAGTTCAGATACTTTATGATTTTGGTAGAATCTGTGTCTGTTATCATTTTCGCGTTCAGTATCATCAACTCCATAGTCTAGTCATGTCCTCGAGTGAGAACATGAACTGGCAGCCTGGTTCCTCTACGCGTGCATTCCCCATCTCCCCTCGGCAAAATCGCGCATATCTATATCTGGAGTTGGCGCTGGCGGCTGGCACATATCTCCCAGAGATTAAGGGATATGTATCTGTCTTTTCAACATTCCACAAAGGTCTAGGTGATCGGCCTGGTCTTCTCTGCTCCGAATCTGGCAAGCCTCCTTTGAGTCCTTTCGGGGTGTGAGATCCAGATCTTCGGAAGAAGAGCTATCACCAGTCCTTCATAGAAAGTGTTTCGTTTTATGTCTTAAATATTGAGAAGAGCGTTATGCCATCAAAGTCATATCGCCTCGTGCAGCCGTCTTATCGACTCCTTGCTTTGGCGTCTCGTGCCTTTAAGTGAATGGAGAATTGGAGATATTCCTAGTTCCAAGGTTCTTACTCGGCTGACTGGTCAAGTTCCATGGAACTGCCGTTCGATGATGTCGACACTTGTTGTTCACGGGTGATGACACGGATTAGGGTAAACTACGTTATTCGCCTCGACGCGTGATGTGTCAGACCACGTAACTATTCGCTGATAGGTACAGATGATTTATTTAGTCTAACATTTTACTCTCCTTAGTTACTGTTTATATTCATTCGTTCATACCTCCTAGTCCAAGTAGCCAGGGATTCATTAAATTTGAGGAAGCAAATGTGGACCTGGACCTGTAGGTAGGCTGCTAGGTACATACCTGTAGACATGAAGCCCTAAAGATGTCAATATATATTTCGACCATCACCTACCTACCTACATCACAAAATATGAAATTTATCTTTTCTTCATTTGATCCTTATGAGTTGGGAACCTATAGAAAGTCTAGGAAAACATGTAACTATCTGGAACTTCCACCTACAGACTAACAACATACTGCGTATGAAGCCTAAGTGATGGCAAGGCCGCAAGTGTACACCAAACACGAAGAGAGGGGAAGATTAATTGACAACGTGCTATGACAACGCCGAACGCCACAACCTGACCTCAAGATCAGCTGATACAACCAATGAAACAAAGCACTCCTAAAGTACCGACAGGACGAGACATGAACTGGACAGGGATTGTATGGTGTACATAATGTCCATCTCCCAGCATAGATATCGAGGGAGCCATCCAAAGAGCAGTGAACGTTCTATCCCAAAGCCAAACACATATCTTACTGAGTATTGAATTGAACGAGGGTTAAGTTCTTATCTTCAAAATCCAACACATGACCCCGATCATTGGCCCTAGTTTTGCAATGGGGATCATCGCATGGACATCTGCAATCGGCGCGTCGAATCAAGGGTCGGACTACTCTCAACGCTGATCCTGCACCACATGGCTTCTTGTTATCTTTTTTGAGAGCAGAAAGTAGTTTGGACCATGATGGACAATATACAATATCTACGTTTGAAGCGTTTGCGACTTTCCTTGGTGAGGATCAGTCGTGGGTTGGGTTGGGAGGCTCGGATAGGCAGCCTCGCTAAGCGGGGCCGGATCTATACAAGTCTCTGAGATCGCTGGATGTCGACACCCTGCAATAGCAGCACCAGAACATGTAAATGTGGAATTTGATGATATACTTGCATGCAGAACGGATGAAAGAGTATGAGAATGTTATTGATGCATATCTCCGTCTCTTGTATCCGCGAGGATCAGACTAAATGTCCATGACTGCTCGACTTGATCTTGTCTGATCCTGACGCTCAAGGGACTGGAAAAGAGTATTGAGACGATGTAGAAGCTTAAGACTATAGGTTCTTCATGTTTCATCTCGAATTAACCCGCCTTTTGCTATGATACATGGAAGTCTCGATCCGATGAAATGAGGGTTCTCCGCATGCAAGTGGCCCATAAGAAATACAGAAAGCAGAAACCACACAACGCCCGCGCCAGTCCACCATGTTAGATCAGCAAAGATAAGTTTGCATCATGCGTTATTTTGACAGGAAACAAAAGCGAGGGAGCCCATCCTGTTGAAAGCACCTCTCGTCATCAACAGATTAGGCCGCTCCACGTGGCTTTGACTTGGCGTCCTTCTTAGCTTTAGCTTCATCCTTCTTTTTCTTCTTTTGCTGCTGCAGCTTCTCATCGTGTTTGCGCTTGAGAGACGCCTTCTCGTCTTCGGTGCGAGCAACGGGTTTGAAGAATCCCTCCAGCCGGGACTGTTGCGCAGTCTTGAGGTGCTTCGACAGACGGGCGGCACCGTTGCGCACACGGTCTTCGTTGAATCCCTTGTCTTTGACCAGGAACTCGATCAAACCCTCAATGTTGGGCGCATCCCATTTAAAGTCGCATTCAGGGTGATCGGCAGGCCGGACGTCCGGGTTGGTGAAAAGTTCACGCGCGTCCTGGTAGGGCCATTCTTCAGGCACAACGTATTTTTTCTTTGGGTCGTTGTTCATGTACTCCAGCACCTTCTCCAGGGACTTGTGCTCTTTGATAAGGTTGAGAGCAGTGTGCGCTCCTACCTTGGGAATGGGTTCAAGGTAGTCACAGCCGAGCAGAATGCAGAGATCAATGAACTGCAAGGTAGAAATGGTCAGCAGTTGTACGCACGCACACTACAATCAGGTACCCGAGTACTGTACCTGTGCACGATCCATATCAAGACCCTCGAGTGCTCGATCCAGGTGAATCTCCTGGATGGGCTCCTTGCGCTGCTCACTGAACGTAAGATGACGGAGGAGAATCGGCGACTCGAAGCACAATGTATCCATATCCTCCGACGCAGCCGCGTACACCTTGCCTGCACGAGCCAGAACAGCACACTGGGCTTCCGCTTCCGTCGGCGCGGTGATGTAAGGAATGCCCATCAGGCTAAGAAGCTTCTTGCACTCCGCGTTGTGTTCACGGGTGACGCGAACAGTCCGCCGTGAGAACTTCTCGACATCCTCCGCAGTTCCGGTTTCTTTGGCCTCTTCGTGGGCTTCGGCTGCTTCGGTTTTACGTGCAACACGCTTCGCCAATTCTCCGGACTTGAGCTTCGGTGGGGCACCGTCGAACACGTAAAGAGGCTTGATGCCGTTGTCTACCATTCGTAGGGTACGGTAGAACATGCCCATCAGGTGGGAAGTGGTCTCGCCGGACTCGCTCATGAGCTGCTGACCCTCCGAGCGCACGGCGATCAGGAAACTGTAGATGCTCATGGACCTGTTCTGGGTTAGCGGCTTGAGATCAGGGTTTATAACGACGACAATTCATGACGTACGCATCCTAGTTGGAGGATTTCGTATGTTAGCAATGGCAAATATATTCAGGGCAAGCAACTTGTGGAAGGCATACAATTGCGACCTTGCGACCAAAATGGTTCTTGATCTCGCCCGTCTTGATCGCATCGGGGGCATTCTCGGAGATCACCTGGTACAGATCTGGTGGACATTAGCATAGATGGCCGTGATATTGGAAGTGATACACTCACGTTTGATACCCATATTGGCTGTGGAATGAGGTTATCTCGCTTGTAATTCAGTGTCTAAGTACTCCGTAGAGAGTCAAGCTTGACCTGCCGCAGTACGCGAACGCGCCGGGCTCGAAGCGCGACCCCATTTAAGCCTAAAGCGGTATAGCGTGACACAGGATCATGTGACCGGCGCAGTCCGGATCTCGATGCCTGATTGAAGCCATGATATGCATGGTTGCCTCAGGCTATCAACCGGCTATGAGTAATTCCCGGGTCCAGAGCGGAGCTGCCCCAACAACCCCCGCCTTTCTGTCTTCCCCGGAATGCGCCATGCGGAGGGTCGAGTAGTAAGACGTCCACACCAACATGAAGCGGAATCGCATACAGTTTGAGGCCAATTGCGATGCCTCGTCTGCTTCTCCTCCGCAAGGTGCTTCCACCACAGAGGAGCGCCCTCATCATGTCCCAAAGATCTCGCGACGGATACGGGCATGCACGGAGTGTAAGCGGCACAAAGTGCGCTGTGACATGGAGGCAAGCGAGTCGATATGCTCGCGGTGTCGGCGCATGGGGCTGGAGTGCGTTGTGAATAAGAGTCTTCAAACATTACTCGAGGATGAAGCCGAGTGGGTGCCTTACCTTCAATGCTTATTGTTGTAATATATCACTAATTGGACTGGCTATGACAGGTGGAAATCAATGATCGAAGCAGCAATGACGGATTTGCTCAGAAAGTCACAACTACCGGAGCTATCATACTATCAAGCAGGTGGTGGTTCGAATGAGACACCTTCGAACAAGAGAGGCCGAAAAGACTCCACCGTTTCGACTGATGATGGTGGATTTGCGCAACACAACAGGGCCGAGACGACTGAGAACACTGTGAAAAATGGCAGTGCTTCAAGGTCAAACTACGGGTTTCCCCAACAACATCCACGCTATGCGTTGGACCGTGAGGAGACAGGCGCAACCTCCTTGGTCACGGCCCCGATGGGCAGTTTATATGAAGTGACGCAGCTCAGTGAGAATCGCGAAAGCTCGCCCGGACAAAAACTGGCCCCAGATCAGGCACTGGTCACTGATATAATCTCACGCGGAGTGGTCGATATACAGGAAGCGGAGGAGCTGTTCTATCAATTCGACCAGGTACTCAACCGCTACCTATGGGATGGAGCCTTACTAGCACACAAAGACTTGACTTCTGTCCGTCGGTCATCGTCGATGCTGTGTGCTGCTATTATGGCCGTCACCGCGCTTCATATGCCGACCAAGGAGCGCACATTTGATACGTGCTACACCGAGTTTGCAAGGTTAGCCTCCGATTCCATGCTAGGCCATCACCATACTCTGGATGATATTCGCGCGCTATGTATTGGAGCATTCTGGCTTGCGGATGTTAGCTGGAAGCTCTCCGGTTATGCAGTTCGAATTGCAACCGAGCGTAATCTGCACCAGTTCTTCCGCAAGGCCACACAGGGATCACCAGAACACATTGAACAGGCTAGGCTATGGTATCTTCTTTACGTGAGTACTTTTGATCCCAAACATCGTTGCTTTTGCTCATGTAACTTAGACACTGGAACACCACTTTTCTATTGCATATGGCCGACCGCCGATGATCCACGAAGACGCCAGTATCACTCAACACAACATATTTACACAAAGCCCGTCAATATCACAAGGAGACCTACGACTTCACAGCCAGGTCGATCTGTTTATAATCCTCACTCGTATATACTTTGCATTCGGCCCCGATGTCGACCTCGAGGTTCCCGAGAGCGATTTCCCCAAGATTGATCAATACGATAATGATATCGGGGAGTGGAAGTCATCATGGCTTCCTCGACTGGGTAAGTCTTAGCCTTCTGCAAACAGAATAGCCCGTCTAACCTATCGCTACAGCGGGGAGTCGATATGTCGGTTCATATCCTTACAAAGCCGTGTACATGCACTATCATTTCTCTCGGCTGCAACTGAACTCAGTCGCCCTACGTACATACCACTCATCTACTTCCTCTGGACAAATGTCATTCGAGCGCAGAAAGCGCGCCAACATCGCCGTCGAATCAGCGATTGGTACTCTCCAGGTTTGTCTGGACGAACGAGATATCCAGCTGGCGCTCGTCGGCGTGCCACTGTATCTCCACAGCATGATCACATTTGCTGCAGTCTTCCTGTTGAAAATAGCAGCTAAAGTCTGCTCAAACGGTGCTATCCCCGGAAGCCACGGCAAACGGACTTCAATCGCCTCGGCAGGCCTCCACGTCGACGTGAGCTACGTGCGTGTCCTGGTTGGGCGGGTTGTCGACCTCATGGTGTCCTGTAGCCAACGAGCGAGCGAGCGCCACCTCAGCCACCACATTGCCCGTGGACTCCGCAAGATGCTGACAGGACTCGAGGAATGGGAGAAGCGCACTGCCGGCCAACAGCCCATGGGGTCCACTTCACAGGAGCCCCCTCTCTTCAAGCCAGTGGTGATTCCCGGTGCTCAGATGCTGGGCGAACGTGACACTATTCTGAATCACCCGCCTCCCCTGCTTGGAGTTGCGCCTTTGTCCGCTGAACGGAGCAATGGGTTCGAACCGCCCCTGACACCGGGGAAGCAGGAGCCGGGACTCTCGGAGGGCTCGATGGACCCGATGATGGCAGATCTGTGGGGCTTTGATGAGGAATATTTCCCCACAGGTGTCTTTGACTTCCTTCAGAGCCAGATGCCGGCTTGATCTACCCCGGACTTTGGATGCTTTTGTCGATTGTCCTTGTACATAGTAATAACGGCCTATGATTGATGAGCACGGGTTGTTCCAGTGAATATGGTGATAGTTACATACATTTAAAATGGAGCGCTAATAAGTTCGAGATGAGCCACGATTGCGATGATCTAGAAGTTCAGGAATCGTACGGAGTTCAATAATCGACCCAATTGTTCAATGTTTAGTATCATATTCAAGAACGAACCAGTTGACGGTCCCCATGGACATGTACGTACCTGCATTCACCTCCTACTGTATACCTATTCAGCTGCCAATGAGATCCAACAGTCCTTCTTTAGGTCTTCTTTAGATACGGCGGTTACCCCCAGATTCTATGATCTTTGTCGAAGCGTAGGTTGGTGCATTTCGGCGCTTGGCATAGTCGAGTCCACTTCAGCTCCACCCGCGACAGACCGAAAATGTCCGAGTCGGTTGGCCACCGGACACAACATTCTCAACTCCTCGGATATTTGGTCGAATCAGATCGGTTAAAATAATCGCAAGTCGGGCCGAGTGTACTGAATCTTGAAATTCAAACCGTTTTGGACTTATCCCACTCGGTGATTCCAGATACCCCAACCCTGCATAACTGCCGAGGTCTCTCCGCCAGTGTATATTTGAATTGAGCTCCCCCCGCAATATTCCCTCGACAACTCTCGGTTCCCTCTCCACTCCACACAACCTCCCTCTCACAATGATGATGAACCGCTCCCTTCTCCGCGCCGCTGCGCGCTCTCTCCAGGCTGGTCCTACCTCCGTGGCAGGCCGCCGTTGCGCCTCTTCGGCTGTCTTCAACTGGGAGGATCCCCTTGCCGCAGCTGAGTTGTACACAGAGGAGGAATTGGCTGTGCAGGATACTGCCCGTCAATACTGCCAGGATAAGCTTGCTCCCCGTGTTTTGGGTATGTCGGTGTCTCGATTGACTTGCGTCATGAAATGGTATACTGACATGAGTTCCCCGCAGAGGCCTACCGCAATGAGAACTACGACCGCCGCATCCTCGAGGAGATGGGTGACCTCGGTCTCCTCGGCGCTCACATTCAGGGATACGGCTGCGCCGGTGTCAGCACTGTTGCATCGGGGTTGATCACCAAGGAAGTCGAGCGTGTCGATTCCGGATACCGATCCGGTATGTCGGTCCAGAGCTCTCTGGCCATGACCGGCATCTACGAGTTCGGCACAGAGGAGCAGAAGGAGCGTTTCCTCCCGGGACTCGCCAAGGGTGTCATCTCCGGCTGCTTCGGTCTGACCGAGCCCAACCACGGCTCCGACCCCGGTTCCATGGAGACCGTGGCTCGCGAGCACCCCACACAGAAGGGCACCTACCTGCTTTCCGGTAGCAAGACATGGATCACCAACTCTCCCATCTCTGATATCGCCCTTGTCTGGGCCAAGCTCGAGTCCACTGGAAAGATCCGTGGTTTCATCGTCGAGCGTTCCCGAGCCACCCCTGGGTCTTACGAGACCCCTGCTATTAAGAACAAGAGCGCCCTGCGTGCTTCCATCACTGGTATGATCCACATGGATAACTGCCCTGTTCCTGCCGAGAACATGCTGCCCGATGTTGAGGGCCTTAAGGGTCCCTTCACATGCTTGAACAGTGCCCGTTTGGGAATTGCTTTCGGTGCCATGGGTGCCCTTGAGGACTCCCTTGCCCGTGCCCGCGAGTACAGTCTCGAGCGCAAGCAATTCAAGGGTAACCCTCTTGCCAAGTACCAGCTCATCCAGATGAAGCTGGCTAATGCCGCTACTGATGCTGCTTACGGTACTCTGGCTGCTGTTCAGGTCGCTCGTCTTAAGGATGAGGGTAAGGCCACTCCTGAGATGATCTCTATGATTAAGCGCCAGAACTGCGATCGTGCTTTGGCCAACTCCCGAATGTAAGTTTCTTTTGTCTTTCGGTTCCGTGTACTCTGCTGACGTTGGTATTAGTCTGCAAGAAGTCTTCGGTGGCAACGCAGCCAGCGACGAGTACCACATTGCCCGCCATGTGGCCAACCTGTTTGTGGTGCAGACTTACGAAGGACAGAGCGATATTCACGGTAAGTTATTCCTGCCAGATTGCGTTGTTGGGCAGGGACTAATGCATTCCTATAGCTTTGATCTTGGGCCGTGCCATCACCGGTGTGCAGGCCTTCTGTTAGACATGTTAAAAAGACGATTTGTATATATAAGATATCCCAATTCAAAGCGCTTTCTAGAGATACCTATATGAATGCTCTGTAGTCAAATATAAGTACTAAGCACATGTATAAGTCAGGGTAAGACATGGTCACGCTACCATACACAGTGTTCCTTCCCATTCGGGTCAAGCGGGATTTTGCGGCGCCGCACCCGCACGTGACATCATCGAGGGGCAGCATCGGGCGTAATACAGTACAGATTTTCAATACGGATGTATAGTGAAGATGAAAGCAACTTCAGATGAGTTGATGTGTAGTATAAAGTTGAGAATTACACTAGTAAGAGATGTACGTTAGGCTCTAGTAACAATATTCAGGTGATTGATAGGCATATAGAGTATGGCCAGGCTGAGATATCTCTCCATCCTCTCTTCTGAATACATACCAATGCCTAACCCCGCTACATTGCACAGTTTGCTCAACTCAGGCACTCGCTCTATTTCTAAAAGGACAATCATGTTTGTATCCGATGACTCCACGTGTTCTTTCTCATTCTGCTTCCTTCTTCACTGATTACTACACCCAAATAAGAGCCATGGGGCTGATTCATGATGTGTCAGTGTGGCGCCCGGTATTGGGCTGTACAATACGACAGAATCGATTCCGCCCACCCTGTGGGCACTTTTCCCCCTCTTGAGACTCTCTTCCTCCCTTCTCTTTTTCACACAAAGACGTTATCGTAAGTCGGACATCTCCTTTTCCTACTTGATATCAACTTTACTGACGATCACCAAGTTCCTTCTTTTTACTTTCTACACTTTCTCCGCAGTCTTCGTCATGGCTCTCAAGCGTATTAACAAGGAACTCACTGACCTCGGCCGGTAAGCCTATCCTGATGCCATCATTTGCGTCTGATTGGGAATGACTCTGACCTCTTCAAGGGATCCACCCTCTTCCTGCTCCGCTGGTCCCGTTGGAGATGATCTGGTATGAATACTCATTCTGTTGCTGGTTGCGCCGTGTGGCGGGGTACCACTTCTTCGCCCAGCGCTGATCAAGCCCGATATCGATGGTATCTTGAAACTGACTTGGATTCTGCAGTTCCACTGGCAAGCGACTATCATGGGTCCTGTAAGTCGTTCTCATCTGTTTTCTGGAAGTCCTCTTGGAAGACAATGTCCATCAGGCCCAGAGATGTGATACATCAGATTCGCAATACTAACAAAGTCAATAGGGTGACTCCCCATACTCTGGCGGTGTCTTCTTCCTTGCCATTCACTTCCCTACCGATTACCCCTTCAAGCCTCCCAAGGTCAACTTCACCACTCGCATCTACCACCCCAACATCAACTCCAACGGCAGCATCTGTCTGGACATTCTGAGAGACCAATGGAGCCCTGCTCTCACCATCTCTAAAGGTGAGCGAAACACCTATTCCTTCTACCAGATACACTCCTAACCGAAATAGTCCTGCTCTCCATCTGCTCGATGCTCACAGACCCCAACCCGGATGATCCTCTTGTGCCCGAAATCGCGCACGTCTACAAGACCGATCGACCCCGGTACGAGGCCACGGCCCGCGAGTGGACGCGCAAGTACGCTATTTGAGTGAAACGACAAATTTGATTCCTTCTTCGCTTCTTCTGTCTTTTTCTTCCTCAATAACCCTTCTTGCGCCTATCTCGCTCGACCACTTTTTCTCCTCGGTGTCATCTTAACCATCGCACTGCATCTTTCCGCTTCTCTCTCTCCCGTCTAGATTCAGAATGCGCGGAAGCCTGGCGTACTCGTGGTCGTAGAACCGTTTTTTACTGTTTTCTCCCCTTTACCAACTCTTGTGTTCATGTCAAATGTCGGCTTTCTTTTCTCTGGCGCTGGCTGTTCTGCCTGTGTCTCGAATGAAGGAAAATCTCATTTGCACGGGGTGTGTTCTCTGTTCTTGGGGTTGAGTTTCTGGGACTTTTCATATCCAACGATCCTTATGACCAAAAATCTTTTGCATTCATGGCAACCGTTTCTCTTTAGTGCTGGCAACTGCCTCTAGGATTGCTTCTGGATGAGTTCTCCTTTTCTACTTTGCGTGAGTTTGAATCTCAGTGGGTAATTGGAGGCGAGTAGACTTGTCTTGCGGTGGTTCGAGTCATGGTAATTGTGTTTCGTGTCTTGCATTAGCAAACAGTAAATAGCACAATCCTGATAGGGCTGTCTACGTGCTTCCTGGGTTATTAGCTTTGTTTCTTCGGTTGTAGTTGTAATTGACGTAGACATTGTATAGAATCCATCCCATGGGTGTCGGACTAGTAGATATCAACTATAGCTTCAAGATCGAACACGAACAAAATGCATTCAATCACCCCAACTCCATATATGTATAGTATGTGTTATGTGTATCTAATAAATGCAAAACGCAAGCAAAGCATCAAAAACGTATCCCATCGGTAAGACCATAAGACCAAAAGACTACATCCAACCTAAACAACCTGACTCCTCCGACTCCCCCTCGAAACCCTACTCTCCCCATCCTTCTCCCGTCTCGACCGATGCGACCGATGCGAATGCGAACTCCTGCCCCCAACCTGACTAATCGAATCCTCCGGAACAACAGACTCAACATCTACACCAACCACACTCTCAGGCAACGGCACATCCCTCGCACTAACATACGAGTCTTTCCTACCAGGGGTAGAATAGTACGACGTCGAGCCAGCCGGAAGCGGGATATTAGCCGTCGAGCGCGAAGCAGAAACAACCGACCGATCATCTCTTTCTTTCTCCTCTCTCGAAGACCGTCTCGAAGAATGTCCACTGCGATGAGAACGGTGCGAGACAACAGTCTCGTTCTCGCCTTCATCATGACTGTGGCGACGGGCAGCTTTGATAGTTGACGAACTATGCACGGAAGCTGCGCGTGGCTCGTGGTAGCTACTGATAAAGGTCGAAGGCTTTGACTTTGAGTGGCGGGTTGAAGTGGTGCTTGGTGGTGGGCCGTACTCGATTGCGCGTAGAGGTGCGTCTTCGGGGATACTGTAGATACTACCTTCTGAAGCGCGGCGGGGGTTATCGTAGAATTCGGTTCCGTCGTAGATTGTGCTTGCGCGCGGGTTTTTGGATGTTACGCTGCGCGTTAGGGTTGAGCGTGGGTTGTTGGCTGAGGCGGATGTGTAGCTGCTGCGTGGTGGGGGTGGTGCTTCGATTGCGCGGTATTGGGATCCGGATTGGGATTGGTCGTCGCTGAAGAAGGATTGGGCGGCTGCTTTGATTTGGGGGAAGGTTGAGGCGAAGGGGATGGTGGTGGATTGTTGGGACTGTGTGTCTTCGGACTGCGAGTCGCCTTTGACCATTGCGTAGGCGATTGCTGCTCCGGCTGCTGCGCCGATGAGGGTGCCGACGATGGTTTTGGCGGCTTTGGTGCCGTCGTCGGGTTTCGGGGCTGGTGCTTGCATTGTGTAGGAGGGTGGTGGGCCTCGGGACTGGGAGACTACGCTTGGTGCGGAGCGGTCGATTGTTGTTGGTGCTTTGGAGGCGCGTGATCTGTCGGATCTGGCGATGGATCCTGCTTCGGATCTGGGTGCGATGCTCTCTGCTTTGATGGTGCTGGCGTTGCTGCTTGCTTTGGAGACTACCGAGCGGCTGGAACTCTCTAGTAGAGCCATTGTTGGTCCGCTGGCTTCTGATGCGATGGAGGCATTGCTGGATCGGTAGACGGCTTCGATGCTGTTGCCGTCGAAGTCGATGACGGCTGCGCTGAAGTACCCGGACTGCGAGTCTCGCATTTTGGGTTCGCCGTGGATCTTCCCGCCGGCTTTGAGGGCACTTATGAAGAAGGAGCCGACGGCGTCTTTTGATGGGGCTGGGAAGGCGACGTGGACTGCGCCGGGAGGGGTTCTTTTACTTCGGTTAGCTTGGGTTTTCGTAGAGGGATGGTGTTTTGTATATCAAACTCACCCAGGCTTAGCTTCGGTCATCCAGAAATCAGCAGGTTCCCCCTGCTTCTGACCGAATCCTATGTAGTCGTCATGTCGACCGATGAACTGGTATCCCAGTGGCTGTAAACATGATAAGAAGAAAGAGGTTGAAGTTGGGAGATGGGAGACGGTTAGGGTGATGTGCGAGACGGGCATTGTTGAAGATAGGAAGTCAATGAGCTAGTGTCCTAGCATGTAGAGTCAAGAACGGAGATGTGAAGAAACAAAGGATAGATGGAAAGGAGAAAGATATTAAATAGAGGTAGAAGACTATATACGGTGAGCGAATATCCAAGTTTATAACAGAGAACGATGACGAGACCACATGAAGCCTGACTCCGTGAGATTAGCAAGCAGTATGACTCTACGGAATCCTGCCCAAGCTGGGAAGAAAAGGGGTCGTCCAGAACACCAAACACCGCATGTCCATTGTTCTGAAGTACGGTGGACACTTGGGACGTGTGATTCCCGTATGGAGGTGGCCCACCCAGCCACTATTGGCCGAGTATCAAGTCAACGTCCCAGTCCCCGATCGGGGCAAAAAAAGAGGATCTGCACAAGTCGGGAAAGTTGAAACATGCTCCAGTCCGAGGCCGAGGCGGATAGCAGCACCACGTTACGATGTGGTGTTCAAGGCCCAGAAAAGAGGATAGGAGGGCAGCTCACAGTCGACGGAAAGCCGAACCTGTCCCTGGCCGTTTTGGGCTATGGTGAGGCCCAATTGTGTGCAAGCCTGAAACGCTCTTTGGCTGGAGGGGCTCCAATGGATCCCTGCCAGGTCATCGCGGGGAGCCAAGGTGGGTTTCTTGCTGGGCGGATGGGGCGTCCGTGAGCGAGCTGCAGGACCCTATCCAGGTTAAGTGGGACTCGTTGGTCTTCAGCAAATGGCGGATGAGTGGAGGAGATGAAGAATGACTGGACTTTTGGGCTTGGGTAGGTGGTGCTGACCGCCATTACACAGTACAACGAGTCTTCTGTTTAACCCGTCCAGGACCAGTCCAGAGGGAATTAGATGAATACTTCTTAGGTGAGTATCATAACTTGATTTATTTGGGCATAATGATAGTCTCATAATTTGTAGAAGGGCAGAAGTGCATCTCATCTCGCCAATCCGATTCGTGCATTCAGAGTGAGGCGAGGCTACTTGCATGCCACGTCGAGAGACTAGTACTTAGTACGTTGTACTCCGTACAGAGAATAGAATAGAAGAAATTCGAACAAAAGAGCCATATTGTACGGAGTATTGAACATAGAAATCGAATATATGTCCCAGGTCCAAATGGTCCCTGAGCTATGTCCTGTTCACTTTTCCTGTCTACACATCACAACAGTCGAACCTGCGTGATGGAAGCAAAATGGATCAAGGACTGGCGAAAAGGAACCAAATGCCATCCGACCCGTAACATATGCTGAAGGGAGAACCCCGGTGCTCTCTCGACACCCCTAGTTAGACGAGGATGAATCCCGCTTGTTAGCTGTCCCGTCCACTATTCAGTATCCCAACAACAAAACAGAGATATATAGAGCAAATGGCCAAAAAGGTGGTTTCTCTGAGAACAGGCAGCCAGAACACTTGACCTGCCAGAGGACCAAGAGAGATTTGACGGTACCCTCATTCCGTGTGCAATTCCATTCCCCATATAATATTGGTAGCATCGTGGTAGACATGTCAGTGTCCACAAGGACGCGCACTCATTGGGTGCGATTATTTTATTCATTTGGCCGATCACAGAATATCCCAGACCTCTTCGGCAGCATGGCAGAACTTGCTGCAAGCCACACTGGCACTGAGACTGTAGTTACTGATACTGATAGTCTCGTCCTTGAAAGAATCGGCAAAATCATCGTGACCCTTGGCCATGGCACCGACGAAGATGGCAATGCTCTCGTTAGGCTTCAGTGTCTCCAAATAGTCCTTGGTGCGGACCACGGGCGCCTCGAAACTCATGGTGACCTTGCGGCAGTTGGGCGGCAGGTGATCGGTAATCGGGTTCTTAATGACCTTGAGGAGCTTCTCTTGCGAGTTGGTGGAGCGGATGGAGAGTCGGTGGAGCAGTTGAACCATCAGACCAGCGAATCGCTTGAAAGTTCTGGGGATGCGGACGGAGGGGTTGACTTCGATCAATACACCCTTGGCCGTGTGGATAAAAATCTGCAGGCGACCGGCCTTGTTCACGGGGGAATCGAGCAGGGTAAGAAGACACTACAGTGGGTTAGTAGGTATACTTTTCCCGTCTTTTTCTTTTTTCTGGTTTTGTTTTTTTTTTCTAGCCACTGGCGATGTTGAATCGTACCTGGTGGGTGATGTCCGGACGGGCTTCACTAATATCACGGTTCATTTTGCGCATGATACCGATGTGCTCATCGCTGTTCAGCAAAGAGAACTTCTCATCTTTGGTTCCGCTCCGTCCACTTGAGACGGCCTTGTAGGTTTCCAAACTGGCATTGGAGAGAACCACAATTAAGCGCTGCGTGTCCTTATCGTGGGAGGGAACGGGAACATGCTGTTCTGCGACAAGCTGGGGAAGCTCTGGAGGAGGGCAGGACTGAGTCCCTACAGGTAAAGGGTTAGACATTTCGTCGAGCTGGTCATGGTCTTTGCCTAGAATTGCAGCGCTGGGAGGGGTAAGGCAGAAAAAAAGGAGGGGCCTGAGACATGAGGCGAAGGAATTTGAGTGGCGCAGGTTACACAGCCCAGATTCAAAGATCAAAGATCAAGAGTCCGATCTAAAGAACTGATCTCGAGGGTCTGCCATCCTTCAATTGCTTCATGCCACTTGTGAATAGGCATTGTGATGGGGAAAGAAGAAGAAGTATCCGCGGGCAAGTGGAAACAGTGCGGGCAATTGGCAAAGGAAAAAACGAGTCACTTACTGGCACGCTTTCTCTTTCCAGCAGCTTGTTCTTGTTCCGACATTGTGAATTGAATGTGAGTTGAAAGGTTGGTGATGGGAAAAGAAGAGAAAACAAAGTTTGGAAAGAAAAAAAAATCTCGCGGGCTAAAGTCGGGGCGGGTCACAGATAAGGGAAAAGCGGAACATCAGTTGGAAGAGAATAGAAGACTGTCTTGAATCACTTGATAGTTGATGGTTGCAGATATGCATATTCTATTACTCTTGTCTCTACATTTATACACGGGACTTGGGAGTAAGCTGATTCTCATTGATCTGGAAAATGATCTTCCGGTGAATTTCAACGGGGCGTTTTTATGTCGGGGACTTTCTAGATGTGGGCTGTGGACAACTATACTCCGACAATAACGAACGGAGTACGGAGTATAGTAATATACACAGTACGGAGACATGTGTATGAATTAGCATATTTGTCCAGTCGTGACTTTAAAGTCTTAGCTTCAACGGCGCCAATCATCTGCACAGAGATCGGCATTCAACTCCCCTCTTTCCAGCCATTCTCACTCTTTCCCGGGCCGGACTCCGGACATCTCGAGAGACTGAAGATTCTAGGAGCTTCCTTTGTGGACTAGCCACAGTCGATCAGCCAAGAAGAGACCCATGAACAGCCACATCAGAGCACCAGATCTCCCTGTAACCAGGTCCCACTATCATAAGCTCTGAACACAACATAGTGTGTCGACCACAGTACTCAGCTGCTTCGGATTATCTCATTCTGAACCAGATCTTGATAGACTGCTGACAATCAAGCCATCTTCAACACTCCCTAGTCCAGGTCGGATACGGCGCATCACTGGAGGAGTTGACAAGACCAGATGATGAGGATGTGTAACACTCTCTGCATCAAGTTACGTTGGTTCCCCAGGATAACCCAATTGGACTGGTCCATGTCCAGAATGACCTCTCGGGTCCAGAATAGACCGCGAGTCCAGAATAAACCGCGACGCTCCTATCCAATGAAGGAGAAGGGTCATCATGAATATGAGGCTTTAATTGCCTCAGAGCAAGGTCGTACAGGGACGCTCTGTCACCGGGGCGGCAAAGCAGGCAAGCTAGCAAACTAGCGAACCAACAGATCTGCTTTGTGAACAGGAGACCTTCTTGAGCCTGGGATGATCTCCAAGGCTAGAGTTCAAAGTTGCAGCTTGTGGTGCCCCTGCCTGTCGCTCAGCCGGGAATCTGAATCCATCCCGAATAGCGACCGGGATGCACGCGTGTCATGTACATCCTAGGCTCTAGCACAACCTCGCCATTTTGTAATCTTTGCACGATGACAGACCAAGAGCTCAATCGCCACCGAATCCCGTACTGAGAACTCTATGCGGTAAGCCCATGCACTGTGAAATCTGGGGGAATAGGCCTCCCGTATTATATTCAACCGATCAGAACGCAGTAGCCTGGAGAACCACTCCAAGCCAATCACTGTACAAGATGGAAAGATGGAAAACCACCCCCGGGTCTTGATCCAATCAGCATGGAACAGTTGATGTTTGGCCCCAAGCGCTGTATTCCCTGTGAACACAAAAGAAATAAACGGGGAGTGAGCTGTAACCTAGAGTTGTAGGCGCTGAACAGTTAGCGAAGCGGTCAATGAAGATCATCACAATTCCAACGTGCGCTTCCTTGCACAATGCAACACGGAGAAGGCTTTACTGGCCATGGTTTGAGGCCTTGCACGCCTTGCCAATAAGAGGCCAAGGGGGGCACCGTCATCTTTAATCTCCCAGCCTGGTTGTCATAGCCCGGTGCAACAAGATAGCCCCATTGGCTGGATTTGGAGATTGGAGCCTTGTCTCGCAAATTTTGTGTTGTATTTTGATTGACCGTAGAAAGGGGGCGAGAAAAAAGAGAGAGTAGTGCCCGACGTCTAGCATACCAACCACAAGAATTTTCACAGAAGGCTGGAGGGTATCTTTCATGCCTACTGTGTACACACTTGACTCATTCATCATCTTCATTCTCCTTTGTGGCCCGGTGCTAATCCCGACTGGTGGCGATAGTTGACTCCTTTTCTTAAACCCCCAGCTCTCCACCAGACTGCTGATCATTCTGCTTCATTCCAATAACCTGATCAGAGACTTTTCAAAAACATCAAGTTTTTCAAGAAAAATCATCCGAGCAAGGGATATCGCCAGCCCTGAGGAGGTGAGAAAACAACCAGCCCATCAACATAATATGACCTAAAAGAGATTAGCGTCCCACGCGTTCCGTCACCAGCAGTAAATTGATCATTGGACCTTCGCCCAACTTCCTCCATCCCACTTGAATGTGTTGAAAATCTTGAGAAAACAAAAGGGTCATGCCGTGGACAGTTACAAATTCATTCAAGAGGTATGTATTGTGCAATTTCAGGCGTGCGCCCACTAACATCTCTACAGAGGCCTCATGAAAACTTACGGAAGACCGACATGGCGCGTCTATGACGATGAGCGCGCCGCGAAAAAAAGACGCGTGGATGATTCCGATGAAGCAGAGGCCAACCTTCAATATGCCATCCGCGAGTCATCAGCCGCCGTACTGTCGAGTCCGTCGCGTCGGAATTCCCTCGTGTTGTCGGAAGGCACGCTCGACGATATTGACGATCTCACCACACCACCATCGTCGCCACCACCACGTTTAAGTCCGCCGCCAGCAAATACGCGCAAGCCGACCTTTGCCTTTCTCAAGCGCAAGCACAAGGATGCGCCGACCGGATCGCCCTTGACCGAAGTCAACTCAAACAGTGTGCGCTCGTCCGTGGACGCGCCCAAGCAAAAGGGCAAGAAGCAGGTCATGCGCCAGATGCAGATCGATCTCGGAAATGACACGCGAAAGACTTGTGCTACCTGCGGCATGGAATATATCCCGTCTAACACAGAGGACGCGGCGTTGCATAAGAAGTTCCACGAGATGAATGCGACTGGAATCGACCTGGGCAAGGCATTTATGCGCGCGAACGCGTCGCGCTGGGTTTACGAAGCGACGCGATTCGAAGAGGGTTATGTGGTAATAGTCGATCGCAAGGCGTCCCCCAGTGCGAAGAGCCAAGCAAAGAAGGTGCTCGAGGTGGTCAGTAAGGAGCTCTCATCGCCCGAGATTGATGACGAGACTCTGTGGAGCCAAACGGAACCACCCAAACATTTGAAGGATGCTTCGACCGAGAAAGTAGACCGATACCGGGTCTTTCTGCATATGAAGGATAGCCGCTGTGTCGGAGTCTGTCTGACCGAGCGCATCTGGGAATCGCGACCGGTGGCGAAGGAAGGCGCGCCTGACGGCTCCTCTGTCTCGACACTAAATGAAACTCATCCGGCGATCGTCGGAGTCTCTCGCATCTGGACCTCTGGGTCTTCGCGACGAAAGGGCATCGCTCTTGATCTCCTTGACTGCGTGGTTATCAACTTTATTTACGGCATGGAAATTCCCAAAGCACAAATTGCATTCAGCCAGCCCACGGAGAGTGGCAAGCGCCTGGCACATAAGTTTTTCGAAGATGAAGAGACATGGCATGTCTATAACGAGCTGTGATGGACATGAATATGGGAGGTTTTCGTTCTTTTTCGTTCTCTTTCATTCTTTTTTGCTTCATTTTCACAGCAATGGGTTCGGCATATTCGAGCTTTGTACTTCACTGGGGGAGCGCCTTTTATTTTTTATACGCTTTGTACCATATATCTTCCCTTTTCCCCTATATAGGGGACTGGGACGCTTTCATTTTAGTATTCCATGATCAATCAATATTTCTTAAGTGATTATTCGCTACACCCGTTGAGCCTGTCGGGGCTGCCGGACGTTAACGTTTGCGGGAAGCGGCGCGTAGGAACCTCATGGATAAGAAATTCGGCGGGGGGAGCCCCTCAATCCCTCACTTTTTCATCTCTTTCATGGCCTCACATATTCATCGCCATGTCTGCATCGAATCCTTTCCGCGCTAAAATATTGGGTCGGTTGTGCTCTTCTCCATCGAGACTCCCCGCAGCTTCCCTCTAGAGGGGGAATGGACAAGGATTCCCGGATGCTAATGAATATGTGAGACAGGCAATACTCCATCTCCTGCGACGCATACAGACAAGGACATTTTTGCCCCTGCCTCGTCTTCCCAGCCTCCATCCGCTCCAGCAATAGCCCCGAACGGTCATCTCGGGAAGTCGTCGATACCACTCGAGCACGTGGATGACGCAACCTCGGACGAAGATACGAACCCATTCAATCCAGACCTATCTGCGAGCGATAGTGAGGACGATGTGACCGGATACAATAGCTCAGTTACCCGTGAATATGATCGACCACGAGCTTCTGGGTCAGCTCCACACCGAGCTCCATCGACAGATGGATCCTCCATATCGACCGACCACAAAATGCGTCCCGCGACGGGAGGAGTAAAGGGCGACAGCGCTCAACATGAAATACGTGCGACTTCAGGGTCGCCTACAGAACTTGGTAGAACTACCTCTGTCAGCAGATCGAAAGACAGGAAGCCGCCGCCTCCGCCCAAGAGTCATCACGGTCGAAGAATCAACTCTGAAGCTACCGAGCAGTCCTCTCCGGTTGCCAGATCCCAGTCTGGTAACCGTCTGTCTATACATGGCTCTTCTAGGAATGTGACGCCTGGCGCCTCGCATCCCAGCTCGGTGTCTCTACCGTCGACCGCGGACTACTTCTCATCCCCGACGGCAGATCAGAGGGCGACAGGGTCCTCGGACTCGCTTCGGCGCAGCAACTCCCAACCTAAGCGGCCCCCGACGCCACCTCTCAGTCGACGACACAGTCAAATGCGGAGGTCGCAGTCGTCCCGGACCAAACCTAGTAGTCGATTAAGCATGTCTTACGATTCAGAGAGCAATGACAGCTCTCAACCTCCGAGTCCTAGCCTTTCCAGTCGACAACTGGAGAACAAGAGGCTCAGCATGCCTCCGCTATCTCCAGGAGATTTCCAGACAGCTTCTCCGCTGGGGGATGTTTCGAACCAAAGTCCTCACACTGACTCCAGGCCGTCATCCCTGAAGGCCGGGCGGCGTATGTCATCTTATGGGAATGTGCCGACTGGCTCTACTGGACCTCCTCCACCACCTCCGCCTCGGCGCACTCGAGACTCTATAAACCGTAGCAGTGATTTGACATCGAAGGAGAATGAGAAGCCGTCTACACAACCACAGCCATCGAATGCGCTTGATATATTGGCTGATCTGACGAAACTCCAAAAAGAAGTGGATGATCTTCGGGGTCATTATGAGCGGAAAGTGGGTCATTGAGCAAAGGGAGCAGCGGGCTGTTTTCTTTTGTCTGTTTTTTGTATAGGCGACTGTTTACATGAATGAACGAATACCTGGCTTTGGTGTAGTGCTTGCCATCGAGCCTTTTGGGCCTTATAAATGATCTTGTTCGACTGATAGCTTTCAAGCAGAGCTAAGAATCCCATTGGCGGGATACGTCTATCAAAGATGTAGAGCTATCACAAGCAAGGCCAAGGATTGAGGAAGTTAAGAACAGAAAACATGTTGATGATGTTGGTTTTCTTTGTATAATTCCTTTGTGGTGTACAGTTGCTTTGTGAATGAGCTAAGAGCATTAGAAGGAGCGAAGTATGAAAATGTGGGGGAGGAACAAAGCTCAGATATGACGACGTTTGATCCGGGGCAAATCAAAGTGACCTCAACTTTCTTCTCTCTCCTTCTCACTCACCTTCCCTCTCAAATTACTTAACTACTTGATTCTTCAATTACTGAGCTGTATCTACCCATCCCCGTCTTTACGGAGTACATCTTATCACCATGAATACTCCCACCCTGATTGACCTCCCCCCTCCCCCCTCGGACCCCGTCACTCCATCGGATATGGGACCGTAAGACCTCTCCAGAACATTGTCTTCCCCGTGTGAATCAATAACATGGAACCCGGTTGACTAACTTGGTTAATGGGGAATATTCAGAGGCACCCCCAATTCCGGTACTACATCGCTCTCCGCGCTCTCGACAACAGCTATCAAAGACGGCCACCAGGGCCAGCCATTACCCCACGGCCGCCACACACACCAGTCTTCCACATCCTCCACCAATACCCTAGAGGCCGAGCGCGCAGACCGCATCTCCCGCCTCGCAGGTCTCGAGCGCGTCGTCGCATCCCGCGCCGGCGGCCCAACTTCCGCAGGCCATGTGCCGCACCAGTTTACACCAGGATACTTCGAAAGCCAAGCGCAGAAGGAGCGCAGCACGGTCGGCAGTGCCAGCGCGACGGGCAGCATTGCCGGGCGCACGACCTGGGCGAGTGGCAGTGACGTCTACGATGCTGACAAAATGAGTGAGGATCATGAGGACGACGGCACTTCTAGCATTGGAAATATCAGTGATGAGGGGAATGCTAGTCTGGTGGGGTTCGGCGAGGGTGCAAATAGTACGATCAGTGGACCGACTTCTCGTCCGGGGGGATTGAACCGTATCTCTTCGACAGGACCTGGTGCTCGACCTACTTCCTTCGGTTCGAATGCCAACCGTCCTAACCCGCTGGCCTCTTATTTACAGCAACAGCAGGACCATGCTGGGGAGAGCTCGATGATGCCAGCTTCTCCAAGTCCGGCCGGTTCGATGACCCCCGAACCGATGAATGAGGATGCTCGCATGGTTGATGGGATGACTTTTGATCCAGATATCGTCGATACTACTGCCAGAACCCCGAGACTGGTTACCCCGTCGGCTGGTAGCAATGGATTTGCCTCGCCAGGCCGGGACTAGAGTCTGGTCCCAGCTTGGTAGATCGGTAGATCAAGAGGTTATGATGGCGTTCTTTCTTGTTTCTTTTAGTAGCTCAATACCTACCTTGGGGAGTTCCTTTTTTTTCTTTCAGAATGAGTCATGACAATGTACTTTTAGGAACCAAGGCTCTTTAATACACGAGAAGTGTGTGTTCTCTATGACTGTTCATATCGCCCTGGATCTTCAGTTTCTGATTTTCCCCTCTAAACATTCGCCACCTGCTTTTGTGTGCAAACAAACTGCTATAACCAGGCATATACAACGTGAAGATTGTAATTTATAGAAAATCAAGGCTACAATGCCCCATAAATCCCCAATCAAAGCATATTGCTGTACACAGTATACATAGTAGAGGCCTCATATACTCCGTACTGCGTACAAAGTCCACCCCCGGTAATATGACGCAGGCGGCCGAGCCACTTCAACCCGAATTTTCTTTCTTCACTCTTCAACCTCACCCCAACTACCTTCTTCGCCCGACCTCTTATTGCTGGCATTGACTTGTCTAGCAGTCTTCTATTCCGTCCGTTCAATTGACTTTGTCTTCTCAATTTAAGCCCAGATCCCCAATTCCCCCACCAAACGTTTCGCTTCGCTTTGTTCGACTCCCCCATTTCACCGGGTCCCGTTCGTTGCGATCTGTTAGGATATTTTTGGCCCTATAACCTTGCTTTGTGATACGCATTCTTCTCGGAAGAACACATTTCACTCTTCCTTTTGGAAAAGCATTTGATTCTCTTCTTTTGGTGGATTCTTCTAGACCGCGAGTCGAATTCAAGATGACAGCTCCTACGCAACTTGCTTGTATGTACTCTCCCAGTGCTTGTCTTTGTTCGCGGACGTCGAGTCGCACCAGGCCCTCGCGGATGGATGAATGGTTGCTGATAGTCGCACAGTCCGCACGCTCAAGGGCATTGGCATCATGGATGCCGCGCCCGTCTATGCGCCCCTGTCTGGGTTTGAGAAGTCAGTTTCAGAGAAGAGTAACGAGAGAATCACGCTGACTTGATTCCCAGACCAGAGGGCAACCTCCGCTGCAGCGCCTACTCGCCATGTGGCCGGTACTACGCGTGGGCATCACCCGAAAAGTAAGTCAACTTTCTGACTCTCATTTTCATGTCCTCAGTTCTAACGTTATGCTAGGGTTACTATTATTGACCCTTCCGTGGGCTCTGTCGTCAGCACCATCCCCGCCGAGAACGTGTTCGAACTGGGTTTCTCCCCGCTCGGCACCTACGTGATCACATGGCAACGCACGTCCAAGGACGAGAACGGAGACGCCGTGAAGAACTTGAAGGTCTGGCGTGCCATTGAGGCCGGAGACAACCACACGGTCGTGGGCAGCTTCGTCCAGAAGTCGCAGACCGGTTGGAACTTGCAGTACACCGCCGATGAGCGGCTGTGCGCTCGCACCGTGACCAACGAGGTCCAGTTTTACCAGAGCGATAATCTGTCCACCGTTTGGAATAAGTTGCGTGTGGAGGGAGTATCGGACTTTGCTCTTTCGCCCGGTCAGACCCAGTCCATCGCTGTGTTTATTCCCGAGCGCAAGGGCCAGCCTGCTCAGGTGAAGGTGTTCATTGTGCCGCAATTCGGTGCGCCTGTTTCCCAGAAGAGCTTCTTCAAGGGTGATAAGGTCCAGCTGAAGTGGAACTCTTCCGGAACTACTTTGATTGTGCTTGCGCAGACCGAGGTGGATCGTACCGGCAAGAGCTACTACGGCGAGACGACCCTGTACTTGCTCAGCGCCAGTGGTGCATTCGACTCGCGCATTGATCTTGGTATGTTTTCTCTTCCCTTTTCTTTAATCTCTGTGTCTGCCTGATACTAACAGTAACCAGATAAGGAAGGCCCTATTCACGATGTTAGCTGGAACCCTAACTCGAAGGAATTCGGTGTGGTGTATGGCTACATGCCCGCTAAGACGACTATTTTCAACTTCCGCGGTGTGGCCAAGCACACCTTCCCCCTCGCCCCTCGCAACACCATCCAGTTCTCGCCTCATGGCCGCTTTGTGCTGGTGGCCGGTTTCGGTAACCTGGCAGGACAGATGGATATTTACGATATGGACAAGAACTACCACAAGATCGTCACCGTCGAGGCCTCTAACGCCAGCGTGTGCGCCTGGTCGCCCGACGGACAATATATCCTGACCGCGACGACCAGCCCCCGCCTGCGCGTCGACAACGGCGTGCGCATCTGGCACGTTACTGGTGGTCTCATGTACAACGAAGATATGACCGAGCTGTACGACGTGACCTGGCGCCCCCAGAGCATCGAGCAGCACCCGCTGGGCGACCCGCTCAGCAAGCTGCCCGTGCCCCACGCCTCCGCCACCGCCTACATGGGCACGCGCAAGGCCCCCGTTAAGCCCGCAGGTGCCTACCGTCCCCCCGGTGCGCGCGGCCAGCTGACCCCGCTCGCCTTCAAGCGTGAAGATGAAGGTGGCGCCGCCTTTGTCCGTGACGGCGTGCCCGGCGCCAGCATGAACGCATTCGGCAAGCCACGCCGCCGTGAGATCCCCGGCGCCGAGCCCGTGGAGGAGTACCTGCCTCCCGGAGCCGCGCCGGGTGGCGGCGTCGCCCTGCCTTCCGAGAACCTGTCCAAGTCTGCCGCGAAGAACAAGAAGAAGCGCGAGGCGGCCAAGAAGGCCAAGGAAGAGGGTGAAAACGCTCCCCCTGCTCATGCCCCCACCGGGCCCAGCCCAGACCGCAACCGTAACCGTAAGAACACTCCTGCGGTGAACGGTAACGGTGTGGCCAAGGCTGCTCCTGCTCCGGCCGCGCCTGAGCCTGTTGCGGTCGAGGATCCCTCTGCGCAGGATAAGAAGATTCGCGGTCTGTTGAAGAAGATTCGGGCTATTGATGAGCTGAAGATGCGTCTTGCTGGCGGTGAGAAGCTGGAGGATACGCAGATGAAGAAGATTCAGACTGAGGATGCGGTGAGAAAGGAGTTGCAGGCTGTTGGGTATGATGGATGATATGAGTGACGACGACTTTGCAAATTGCACTTGCATGGATATACTTAGATTCGACCCTGCATGTATGCATCTGGTATAGGAGTTTGTGATATACCATCAATATCACTCATGGCGGCCTTCTCTTCTCTACTTGTAGTCTAAACAGTACTTCACTTCAACCTCTAGTCTACTCTGTACCTAACATATATAGTCAAATCTAAGTAGAAAACTCATCCAAAATCCCCAAATCCCTCTCCCTCCCCATCCTCTCCCAATTAGCCCTCCACCACCAAACCCCCGTCTCATCCAACCCCTCCACCTCCCCTTCTTTCACACTCTCATGCCACGGCTTCGTAGCAAAAATATAATGCACAGCCTTCACCTCACCATCCCGCCAAATAGCATCATGCACCCCCTTCATCCGCAACGTCTTCAACGCATTATAAACATAAGGCAGCGACACCCACCTGCCCTTAAAGACGTCTGAAAGTAGTTCCTGGTCTGGGAATGTATATTGCTCGATCCGGGCTGTATCGGCTAATCCGGCCTCGATCTCGGCGTAGAACTTCTCTGACGGACGGACGACCAATACGCCGCTGTTGAGCATGCCGACACCCGTATCTGGGGTGGGTGCTGTGGTTTGCGCGGATATGGGATTGGCGTGTTGGGTTGTGTAAGCGCAGTTTTGGGGGATCCTGGGGAGATATTTATATTAGCTTCGCTCTTTTTTCTCTTCTTTCCTTCTTCTCTTCTCCTTTTTTGCTTTTATAACCACTTTCTCTCGACTGTCCAGGACAGTATAATTGTGTGAAAAACATACCAAGTAACAGGATAATGCCCCTTGCCCGCAGGATTACAAGCACAAACATGCGCCGCAGCAAAAACCCTATTCTCATCCAGCTCAATCTCCATAAGCTCATCCATATTGCGTCTAACCAGAATATCCCCGTCAAGGAGGATAACGCGCTCGTACTGCGTCTGCGCGAAAACGACGAGCTTGTTCCATGTCTCCGCGAAGCGCGGGTCTTGCGTGTAGGCGCGTGAGAGGTTGGGTCGGATGCTCGGGACTAATTGGGCTTTTATGTTGCGGGCTTTCAGGATTGCGAGACCTGAGGCTGGGAAGGATGAGGTGTAGAAGGCGACGAAGGGGTATTTTGTTCCCGTGGCTGCGCTGGGGGATGATCGCGTGGTGGAGGGGTCTGGTGTGGGGTTGGTGAGGGAGTGGTGTAGGGTTAGGAGGCCCGGGAGGTAGCTGAGATTTGTTATTAGGGAGGCCCATACTATAAATCAGAGAGAGAGAGAGTGGTTAGTTGAGGGTGTTTGAACAGCTGTGTTCTTGGGTGTTTGGGGATTTACTCCGGGGTGGGGTGGGGGGGTCGTGTTGAGTCATGTTTTGGTCTGCCCAGGTGGTACTTTAAGGTGGGATTTGAGGGTTTGGGGCTTTGAAGATATTCAGAAGGGACAGAGAAGGGACAGAGAAGTAGAGAAGAAAAGAAGATGAAGAGCAATGGCGGGATGGAAGTGATGGCGTTATCGGCCCCACGGAGATGGACAACCGGGCTTACTGTGTTGGATTATGAGAAGAGTAAAATACATGTTGGATAGGATAATGTCTCTAATTGAATACTATTGTCCCTCCAAATCTCCAACCTGAACACCCCAGACCTGCCACTTAGCCTCCTCAATAAAGTCCCTCCGCAACCACAGTCCCGGCTGTGCCGGGAGTCTAGCGGAAAGATGATCACGATCATCACCCTGAGTCCTATCCAACCAATCAAACAGCAGACGAAGCTGCCAGATGCGATCCCGAATCTGATCCGGGTCAGCGCCTCGGCCTCTTGCCGATTGCACGATATTGCGCACTGTATGTGATAGAGCAAGGCGCGCGTCCACGGCCGAGGTACACAACCAAGGCGGCACGGAGACAAGATCGGTGGTGATGCGGGTGGAGCGCATCGGGAAGGAAGATGGGAGGACGAGGGAGCGTTCGCGGACGTCGAGGCCTTGGAGGGTGGGGAGGTGGAAGACCCAATCCCAGGGATCTCGGGATGGATCTGTTGCGGCGGATGACTTGCCGGTGAGTAGGTCGGCGCGGGTTGGCCATGCTGATGGTGGAAGACAGCCCCTGGAATTTGAGAAGGGTCCGGCGGTGGCGGGGATGAGGTCTTGGGCTTCGCTGAGACCGGTCAGGGTGGAGGCGAAGACGGAGGTTGAGGAGCCTGTTGGGCTGTAGGTTGCTTTGCGGCGGAGGTAGATAGAGGGATCGCCGCGTTGGAACTTCTCGCGCAGGACGTCGTTCTGACTGAAGTCTAGAACGAGGGGCCAGTGGTCTGGTCCCCGAATCTCAATGCGGGCTATGCTGCTCAGATCTGGCAGGAGACAAGGGGCATCGAGCGTCTGGGTGGTTTCGTCGTGAGAGATTACGGTCATAGGAATGGAGATTGGGCGGCGGCTGTCAAGATCACGGGGCACGAGGCATCTTGGCTCAGCGGCGAGAACCCAGAGATGACGGAAGGCTTGAAGGTGGCATTTGTTATCGAGGACAGTCGTGGGGAACAGGGGATAGAATGCGCAGATGAGCGAGGCCACAGCGCGGTTGGATGTGCCAAGTGTGTAGCTGCCTCCTCCGAGGAAGAGTACTCCAATAGCCATGTGTGCTGCCATGTGACTGCCATAAGGCGTGTCGGCGTCGATTCGGCCATGGAGCGAGCGCAGCCGCCTGAATAGATCGATATCGCCCGTGCCGGCCATGACTGCGGCGGCGGAAAGGGCCACCACATCCTGGCAGTTCCGAACCGAGTTGCGCGCGAGTTTAGAATCGTAGCTATGCACCGGCAGCCGTGAGATGCGGATCAGCTGGTCGAGGTAGAACAGCAAGAGATCTCGTGCCTGTGTCTGTCCTGATCCTGCATGGCGTAGACCAAGGGCAAAGCAGAGGCCTGCAATGATGTTGAGGAAGGGCATGTCTTCGCTGCGCAACCGACGCACATCGGTAAGCCGTGATCGTCCCCGATAGACCTCGGGCAGACTCTGGCTGATCCACTCAGCGGTGGGCTTGATACTGTCCCACATGATCAGGTGTCGTGCCAGTGTTCGCAACAGGAACAGATCTGGCCGTACGTAGTCAAAGCGAACTGTAGTATCGGGGACGTCGATTTTCTTGGCTAGCACCGAGTCGTTGGTCTTCATGAAGATGATCATGAGGGCAATGGTGGCGCCAGCCGTGGCACGGTCGAGTACATGGGCAATTTCGACGTTCTTGGTGCCCACGGCTATCGACAATAGTCGCTCAACGATGTGCATGTCGCGCATGCCCCGCAAGTCATCGCCCTTGCCAAGGTTAATGAAACCAAGGGCAAACCCTGCCGCTAGACGGTATCCTTCGTCACGGAGTTCCTCTCCGACAGCGGTGGCAGCTTGGTCGTCCTGCTCTCTGTTCTCGATTTCTGAGAGCATGACCTCGCTCATGCGACGATGCTGGGAGTCACAGTAGAGCAAACCAATGCCCATGATTCCAGCAGTCTGGGTCAGCGGCGACAGGTTCAGCTCAGCTGCTCCATGTGGAAGCATTCTGGTAACATGTACCGACAGCAGGCGTGTGATGAGGGTATCCATTGTGCCCAGGTATGATGCAGAGAGACCAAGCAAAAGACCAATGGATGTCATAGTGTGCTTTGGCGTGAGATACTTGAAAGCCACCCACTTGGCCAACGATTTGAGATGACCATTCAGACCCAGAGCTAGCAAGAATCCAGCATGCCGATTGGTGAGGTCCTGTGGTTTGTTGAACAAGATCCATGAGGTGTCGATACCCTTAGAAGCCCTGGAGATTGCCAGACCGGTTGACACTCCGTTGTGGAAGAAGGCCCAGCACACCTTCTCCTCCGAGAATGCAGATCGGTCCGCACTGACCGTCACATTGTCGGGCTTCATAACACACTGCAGGGAGAATGATGGGATCGGTAGTTTTTCGGTCAGCAGAGGGATACGACCACTGAATGCGAGCATTGCACGGCCCGCAGGGGTAGACAACGTTCGAACAGTCACAAGCTGAACAATTTCCTTCTGCGCTTCCAAGAGGTCCGAGTCACTCCAGCCAGGCTCGGCGATGCACTCTGCAACAGGCGCTTTAGACTGGTTGAGTAGTTTGAACGCTTCGGAGAATCGCTTATCCTCTCGGAAGATCAACTTGGTGACCAAGTATCGGTCAGCCTCTGCAGAAGCCTCGAATGCGTTAATGGGTTCGATTTCCAACGCCGAGCTGCTGATTAGATGGAAATCACGGATGGCATTGTGGCCAGGCTTCGCTGGTACTACCAAACCATTGGTTTGAGTGGGGTTCACCGACATGTAAAGGTCCTCTCTGTCAATCAGCTCTAGGAGCGTTGCATTCCAGGACGTGGAGGCTTCGATCTGGCACTGCATCACTGCTTCGTAGAGCGGTGCACTGACACCTTCGGGGAAGCTATCGATCACACTTTTCGTGAATCCCCATCGTTGCAAAAGCTTGATCTTCTCTAGAGGTGTCGATACACTGTGAACCTCGGCGAAGAAGCCATTCAACGCACAGGTCCTTGGTGTGATGCTGAAACACTCACGCCACATTCGCCCTTTCCGGGGAGTTCGCTCGGATGCATTCACAATGTCGAGAAGAGAGAAGAATGGCGTAGGGCTGCGGTGAGCAGCAGCACTCATGAGGAATTCGAAGATGGATGGAGGCGGGAAAGGTTCATGGGGGACCTTCAGCCCAGAGATACGGGTATTCTCCTCGAACTGCCAGCGTTCCATGCTGGCCATTTCGGTGCCGTAATAGGAATCCTCCGTCCAAGTCCAAGACTCCCACCCCAGCCAGCCACCAAGCTGTGCGAGAAGAGGAGCGAGCAAGCCCAAAGGCCTCTGAGACTCCTCTGAGTCGCAGATGGAGAGTTTCTGTTCTTCCCGCAAGAGATGCAAGGCCACGAGAACGCTGCACAATGAGGTACACCTTGTGTTCTCGGAAAACGCTTCAGAGATAGGAAGATAACCATCGTTGCCAGCAGCCCTGAGGCCCTGGGGGCTTTGGAGGAACTCCCGGCTGAGAGCGATGCATCGGATAAGATATGAGTTCTGGCGATATGTCGACCGACTTGCATTACCACCTTTAGGGGCATCCCCTGCCGTGGAAGTCTCAATGGCGTCTTGTTCGACGATCCATCCCCACGAACTGTCCATCATCCATGGAGCTACGACACCAGATGAGCCAGATTCCAAGTCCAGCATGGTCTCCCAGCTTTCAAGGTCTAAGTATCCTCCACTACTCGATCGGAGAAGGCCCTTCTTGCGACGCGTTCGTTTTGGGGTCGGAGTTTGCGGAAGGTTGACGAACGGGACTGCCAGACTCAACAAGACAACGACCATGGCAGTCCACTCAAGGTCCTTTTCTTCCTTCCCTCGAAGCCAATTGATGACCTCCCACCAGGCGACCATGATGCCATCACCTGCTTTCTCGGAATCACGAAGGGCAAACTTGCACACTTTGAGTATTTTCTTCACCAATTCGTTGCGAGGCTCCATGCGGATCTGAAGTCTGTGGCGTTTTTTTTCCGTGTCAACCAGGTCAATCTTACCCCGAGAACAGCCATGATCAAGCTTATTGAAGACAAGGTCGGGATCTGCCATGACCCGATTGACACCACTTTCTCTCGGGCGCGCTTCAAGTTTGTGGGCAGATATGGCATCCGGTTCATAGAGTTGCAGTGGCACAGGGACCTCGACTTTGACCGGACTTCCCCATAGGGTTTGTAATGATAGCTCGAGTCCGTTTCCTGTTTCACTGAGTGAGAGAATTCGTGAAATCTCACCGTCTGAGATCTTGCAAGCATCCAAAACGTTTGACACAGTTTGGATTCTAACCGCACGAACAAGTAATGAACGCTGTTCAGCGTGCTTCGTCTTTTCCTTCTGGCCTTTGGAGAGCGTTTCTCGGTCGGCTCTCAGATTCACAATGGTGAGTTTCTGTGACTCTTGATCCAGGATGTATACAGCCAACGAAGCTGTCCTGCCCTTTTGCGCGCTGCCAAAGTCGGTGGAAGCTAATGTAGAGATCTTCACTCCGCGGGACGCTGGCTCTTTCTCGAAACTGCCGGAGAATTGAGACGAGAAGCTTTCAACTTTGGTCAATAGAAGTTCTTCTGGGAGTCCGGAAGCCGAGTCGCGCAGGGCAAGGTTGTCGAAACCGGGAGCTAGACTGTCAGTGCTGAGCTCCTCGAGTAGCCTGTCCACCGGAGGATCCAAAAAGCTGCCTGCGTTGCTGTAAACAGACCCCGTGCCTGGAGGCAGGGACCCTCGGGGGTTGAATCCGAAGCTTCCACGTGCACTTGCTGCTCCTACAGACTGCCTAAATGAAGCACCATGTGGTATGGTGCTAGATTGACTGCCAGTGGCCAGGTCGGAGAATGTGATGCGGTCCTGGCTAATTGCAAGGTCTGTCCGGGCCAGCAATGAACTGACTCGCCTCGACGCTTTGAGAGGCAAGCCAACATCACCAAAGTCCTGAGCTACTCTCGAGGCCAAGTCATCTTGATCTGTCTTGCCCTCAGTTGGCTGGGTGGAAGGCCTGCTGTCGGACCACGGCCCAAAGCTGTCTCTGGGTCCAGAGCGAGCAGCCGGCGTTGTTGCGCCAGTTGCCATCCCGAAGTGGGAACTCCGCCTTACTGATCGGGTGCCTCCTGTCTCCCGTCTGGTCTTATCTTTCATCAAGCGGCCTGATTCATCATCCTTGTAACGCGCAGTCCAGATCGTATAGATCCCTGTGGTTGTGTTGACGGTAACCACCAGAATCAATGGGGCACTATTTAGTCTGCTGGTGCCCAAAAGTTCATCTCTTGGAGAGATGTATACTATTTCATCCACAGGGTCCAGTACTTCTAGCCCAGACGGCCTTCTTCTGGCGCTATTAACGCTGCTCTGAAGCCATCGGGAAGGTTGCGATGTTACAACCAAGCCCATCTCTGAATGAGGGTCAATAAGAGAAAACACTCGGGGTAAGCCGGCGGTTGAATTGGCCTTTGGCGCCCAGGAAGGACCGGCGGTAGATGACGCTTTGGTCGATGGGCGCTTGTTCCTGCTGTGTGAAAATGACTGAGAGGCACCGGGGTCAAACAACGAAGCAGACAAGAATGAGTTTGGTGGCACATTTGGCTGCTGACTTCCTCCATTGTCGTCCTGGACCTTCCTCTGGAAAATAAGACCTCGGGGCGTAGCAAAGACAGATTCCACTTCAAATGGAAGAGGGACTGTATGGCTATTGCCTGCCACAAAGAAGATATGAGCCTGGGATTTCAGAACAACCACCAAAGCTCTGGAGAGAATCTCGCTGGACTGCTGGGGAGCTACAACAGCCACTCGGGCATCTCCATGTAAATCCAATGTCGAGAAGGTCTCACTCCTCTGGTTTTGAGTACCGGTCGGTCTTTCTGGTCGAACTGGTCCCGTATTCTTGCGTTTGATGTCACCTGCCGCGAACCGAGTAAACAGAGCATGTCGAATCTCTTCTTTCTCGGGGTCCATTCGAAAGACTCGCTTCACCATCCCTGCGCGAAACCATACAACACAGTGTTTCGTCCATACCAGCTCATCGTCCACCGGGCCGGTCAATCCACTGTCGTCAACGCATATTGTCCAGTTGTAATGATCTTCTGAGGGCTCAGGAGGAAGAATTCCCTCTGCGACTAGGAATGGAATGGCGGAGGGTTCGTGGACGCCTAGAGAGCGAACTGACGCCATTGTGTGATTTAACAGCCGGGACAGCGATCAAGGTACACCGTCACAAACAGTTCGGTCGAGATTGTTAAAATCATTTCCATCATTCGTATAAGCGTAAATAGCGTTGCGCCCACAGGCCCGGAGGGGTTGAATGTTGAGGTTGGAAGACGCGCTGGAACGCGGATTGGATCTGCTCGTCTTTGCTCCCGACAAAACAACTTCCTTTCTCCATCTACGCAACCCCAACCCTACCCCAACCCTCTCTACCTCTGATTGCCAATTCTTCGCTTGTCTTTGTTTGAAACGAGCATTCAGCTATTGGATCTCACTCTCTAATCTTTTGGGCTGTTTATTATCCCTGCGGTGCCCTCTGGCGCCTGTGCTCGAAGTTACTAGCTCAACAGCATCGCAATTGGCACAATGCCCTCGTTTCCAACTACCCCCCTAGTGCGGGCAAGACAAGATGGCCTGCAGATTAGGTACGGTGACACCCTTCGGTGATTGCGCCTGAATGGATGCTAATCTTGTTTCGCAAAATCTCTAGCTATCCGTTACCCCATCGCATTCACACAGCAAAAGGCTATCCCCTCCGATCTCCAAATGGCTCTTCGATCATTGTCTACGGCTACGATACTGGTCTCAAAGTAGTATGGAGAGGAGGAAGGCGGTTTGCAGAGCTAAAGTCCTCTGGCCCTCAGGTCAAGCCGAAGGCCGCAGAAAATGCGGACCCCGATTCAGTCATGGTCATTGACTCCGATGAAGAGGAAGAACCCGAACCAGTACAAGAAGAGCCAGTCGTCGAATTCAGTTTGGAGGAGAGCGAGGTTGACCCTGCTGCTCCTTACGAAGAGATTCTGCGACAGTTAGATATTCCCCTTGGATGTCGAGTCTTGGATGTGGCGGTGCCTCGCGTGCTCCCGGAAGAAGCTCGCTCGCCTCTTGACCCCTTTCCGCCTATCCTGAAGACCTCAATTGTTGTCTCAGTGGTCTGTTCCGACCTCTCTACCAGAGTCGTCACACTGCCACTTGTGCCTCCCCACCCAGCGCAAAAGGACTCCTCGAGCTGGGGCATCCAAACTCTCACAGTCAATGGGGCCATCATTCATCAAGATATCCCACGAAATGTAGCTATGACCTTTACTTGTCACGAACATGGCGACGAGCAAGAACACCGAAAGTCGCGGGGCCGGAATGGGAATCTCAGAAAATGGGATCTACTCGTGGCCACACATTCTGCAGAGGGATGTGGCGCACTGTTACTGCATCGCATTCCAATCCGCGAGGGATCTACTTTCCGTCTTGTGGAGGAAGATATCGTCTCCCAGCGACGGTTGTTGCCCGCACCTGCGCAGACGATCGCGTTCAACCCATCCACATGGCCATCCATCCGCCATGCCAACCTGCTCGTCGCTTTCCACCACGGATGTGTCAAAATCTATTCCTGCTTCTCTGTCAAGGTTTCAAAACCCGCACGGCGTGCTTCGTTGCCGCAGGAGGATTATGAGACCGTCGATACGGAAGGACGCTGGTTAATCAGTCTGTACCCTGGCTTCGAGCAAGGACCCAACGGACTCCCCCGGCGGAAGCCAATCATCGATGCCAACTGGGTGTTAGGCGGCCGAGCAGCGATGGTGCTCCTGGAAGACGGTGAATGGGGCGTCTGGGATATCGAAGGTGCTGGTCCTGGTGCCGCCAAGGGCCCACTGCACCGCCAGACGAGCGTCCAAGGTGTCACTGGCGGCTCATTAACCACATACGCAGTCTGCGGCCGTATCATGACGCCACTATCCAATACCAATTCTGAAACGGAGCAAAGATCCCGATTTGCGCCTATGACACCGTCCACAAGACGTGTCCGCGAAGATGGTTTGCTGAAGGGTTCAATGAGCACCGCCAGTCCGTCCCACCGTGGCCAGATTTCTGTCTTGCAGACAAATCCCTCGTCAGACATACTGCCCGATGAATCGATTCTCCTCCGCCACGGCCGTCAGAGCGCAGTCATCCCAAGCTTACTGTCTCTGTGGCGCAACGCTGTCAAGTCCACAGGCACATTTGACTCCTCCAACCGCTGTCGCGTCTCCCCCTTTCAAGACGTGAACCTGATGGGCCAGAACTTCCAGGCCATCGCACACCTACCAGCACCCACCCGCCGTTCCCGACAGGCAGAGCAACAAAGCTTCGATGTCCTCGTGGCAGCGGAGCATCAGATCATGATCCTCGCTCCAGAATTGACCGAGTCTGCCGAGGAACCCGAACCAGCAGTGAAAAAGGAAGAAACATCCGACACCGACCAACTGATGCTCCGACGCGGCGAGCTAGATGTCGAGGGAATGGGCCGTCTACTGAACGGCATGGCTAGCGCTAACGTGCCTATGCGCATGGGCAGTCCTGTCAAGCGGACTCGTGTTTTCGCTTGATTCCAGCCATAGTCTACTAATACCCATTACTTCCAATTTTCTCGCCCTGCTCACGTTTTCTTTGGCCGCTTATAGGATATACTCTTCGCGCTGTAAGGTGGAGCGCAAGGCGAGATCCATGCCTTGAAATTCCCTTCCTTCGGGGTGGGAATAAGCTCTGTATCGGATGCGATATATTAAAGACCATGACAAAAGGTGCCACGGCACGAGCCCTGATATTGCAACTGGATGTTGTTCTGCAATGTTCCGTTGCAAAGTCTCGTATTTGGCTTTGGGTAACCATGTTCGTCTCTGTTTTACTGCGGTTGTCGGTCTGTCTCTTGACGACTCCTACGTCGATAGCCGTGGTAGGCAGAAGCGGTGATGGTCATAGCTGGATGCGATGATTATGGGGATGAATGGGACATTTCAATAAAGCTGTAGATGTCATTGTAGATATAATTGATCTGCTAGATTCATATCTTGCATCTTATGTATGGGAATATTTTTAGTAGAAAGTACAAACTGAAGCCACGCGTATGTACCTATAAAGCTCGCTGCTGTCCATCCTTCAACAACCCACGATCACCACCGCCACCCTGCTGCCATAACCAGATACCCTCAACCGCCCACGCAGCAGCACTAGCATGACGACCAACGCCAGAAGCAAGAGGGAGCTCACTCCTTTCCTCCTGTTCATCCTTGCTCTTATTCCTGCCTTGGGTCTGGCCAGCATTGCCATCGGCTTCGGCAAGCATACCAGCAACAACACCCTCCTTCTCAATAACGAACCACAATCCCTCCGACAATTGCCCGCCGCGCTCTCCGAACTCCCCCCGGCCCAGACGGAACAAGATCCGGCCGATGACCTGCCATGCGATGCATCGCTGAGCGGGGAAGGTCGAGCGGGAGAGAATGGCTAGCTCGGGGATCGTGTAGCCAGCCGCATGTGGGTCTTCGCCGTGGTGGTGTAGACCCATGGTTGTCGGGAGGGCGAGGGATGTTTCGGGTGCGAGGATTGTGCCTGTTAGCGAAAAGCGAATTGCTGAGGGGGCCATTGAGATGGCGTTGCTGGCGGGGTGGTAGGCTGATGTTGAGTCTGGGTCTTCTTCGTCGGCGGATAGGGGCTGCAGCCAGGAGAGTTTTGAGGGGTCCTGGGATATCTCAGGGAAGTAGTGTGACTGCAGATCTGATAGGAAAGATGGCGAGTTTGGGTCCAGGACTGGCATTGGGGTCTTTGGCGTGGGAAAGTGGAAGGTTTCGAGAGTGGCTGGGTCGAGGGAGGGCTGTTGAGAGGCCGGGCGGAGGTCTTGGGGAAGGGTAGGTGGTGCAAGGTCCTGATTTCGAGGATGCGGCTTGGGAGTCGGTTTTGATAGTGAATGGGACTGGGCGCTGGGTTGAGCACAGGCCGGTGCAGATGCAGGGATGTCGAAGGAGACTGATTTTCTGGGTTTGGGTCTTTCTTCTGACTTGGGCTTCGGCTTCGGCAGAGGGGGCTCCAAGTCGGTGTTCTGACCTTCCTCAATATTTGCTCTGCGGAGGAATCTCTCCAGGAGCCCTGGATCCATCTGTTCCATCAGTTCTTCTCGTTCCCGTTGGATCTGCGCGTCCGACATTGCCGCCAGATGACGGCGGTTCTCCTCGTCAATGTGCTTCTTATCATCTTGAATGGTCGGTTGAGCTGTGGCAGGTGCCTCAGAGCTGGTCTGGGACTGGTCTGCTCGTCGTTGTTTGAAGGAAGACGGTTTGCGCTGGCGAGGGGCAGGGAATCCGGTCGACGAGGTCGTCGGCTTAGGGGCGGGAGGGATGGCGGTAGATGGAGCCCGTTCTTGGATCTCTCCGATCAGTGAGAATGGAGAGGGGATTTCTGGAGCACCTTCATCTTCATCCAGGTCGAGAACGAATCGTTCGCCGCGAAAAGCCATGGTGGCGTTGAATGTTGCGAAGGAGGAGAGGAAAAAAGTTTATGTCAGCGCGGGGGTGATGCGGCTCCGAAAGCTAAAAAATGGGGCTGCAGAATGAACTAACCTGATTGGGTTAGTGCAAGAGGTCGGATGTGCTAGTCCCAATTAGGGTTACTCACGCTGATGCGTGGCATCTATACATTTTGGTACGGCGTATACAGCTGGCGTTGTTCTTCTTTACTAGATAGAAGGAGGTAATACGTGCTATATTATCTCCGTAACAGTTATGTAGCTATTGTTGATATCTCGTTTGTAAGGGTGAATGATGTGAATGACGTTAATCGTGATATCCGTTCTAAGCTGCCAATTGGGATACACCAACAAGATCAATGCTACATTGGCTCGTATATCTATTGAATGAGAGGCAAGAGAAGCCTTGGATCTGACAAGCAGATACGAGAACACCTGATCCGAAACCTTCAGGTGTCATATCAGTAGATCAAGGTACAGCTGACGAAGTTACGTCCTATCTAAACGATCCACAGGAGAGAGAGAGAGAGAGAGAGAGAGAGAGAGACTATTGATGTCGGGCTCAATACTCAACGACCTCAATAGAAGAACTCAATGGACTAGAACAACTTTAATAGATCAATAGACGTCTATCTTATGAAGTCACATACTTACCAGTCTACATACTTAATAGAACTCCAATTCCCTTCGGAGCTAGACATATCAACTTGCATGTTCCAAGTACTTTACTTTCAATATCTTTCCCTACTTTTCTCCCCTTTCTTCGCTCTTTTTTTCCTTTTCTTCTTCATTTTCTCCTCTCCCTTTCTTTCCTCTGATCTCATTTCTCCTCCCTTCTTCTTCCGCCTTGTTCTTCCCTGGCTTTTCCCGAATACTACGGTTTTGAAGTTCCCAAGTCTCTCTCTCTCCCTCTTACTTCTTCACCACCAAAGATTTAGTTCTTTCTTGTGTTCCTGTCCCCCGAATTCGGGTTTCGACCTGATACCGACACTCCTCATCCCACCGTCCAACCCCATCTCATTCCTCCATCCGATCAAATATCATCAATCTGTCAAATCGTTCATTTTTGACATTTTGGTTTTCTACCCACCATGTCCACAGATCCCCCAAATATGGATGTGCTCAAAGAAGAGCATATTGAATCTGACGCCAAACCCGGCACAAGCGCCCGACGTGCCTCCGGTACCGCCAGGCGGTCGCGTCGTAAGAAGGAAGACGAACCCGGCACCAAAACAACCAAGAAGGACAAGGAACCCAATACCAAGGAACCTAAAGAAGCCAAGGAAAAACCAGCTCGAGCTCCTCGTCGTCCACGAGAGAAAACGAATAACAACACCTCACGAAAAAAGCCCAAGCTGGAGCCTGCAGTAGAGGCAACGGCTTCTGCTCCGGTAGTCGCCCGAAGCCCTCCAAACGCCCCTGTAGCGCATCAGCCCGCTCATTCTGCGATACCTACTCAACCTACTTTACCTGCTCAATCTGCCCCGACCTCTTACTCATCTCCACAACCTCCTACGGTTCCTACAGCTCCATATCAGCTATCGCAGCCCCCTCGCCCACAATTGCAGTCACCAGCACCACAACAACCTCCCCAAAGAACGAGCGGACAAAACTTCGACCCGATTCGCTCTGCCTTTGACAATCCGTTCCCAGCACCGGCATACAGTCCTCCAGCTCGCCCGGTCTCTCCTCGGAACGCTTATCGCGCTAGTGCATCGCCGGCGATCTCGAGCATCATTGATCCACCCTCCCAAACCTCACAATCGGCCTACACCCCGCTACAACGCTCTTCCTCTGGCCATGTATCTGGCATATCTTCGCCGGTGCCGCCAATGGCTTCCGCACCCTCCCATCCGTCCCTAGCGCACTCACCTCTTCCGACCCCTTCTCCTTCTCATGGCCTCTTGCACACCCCACAGCCAGTGTCTCAGTCCAGCCACTATACCACCCCCTACCCACCCACAGAGCAGCGGCCGACGCCTTTGCAAACCCCCGCACCGGAGCCGTCTCCACCGGCAATGCGCCAGCCTCAACCTCCCGCCCAAACGCAGCCCGAACCCACTGCGCAGCCGACTCCACCCAAGCAACAGCAAGCTGAAGCAATGGAAGTCGACCCCAAGGGGCAACCCGCTGCCAGTGCCAAAAAGGAAAAGAGCACGGCTACTGCGCCGGCCTCAAAGGCTCCATCTCCCAAAGCAGCTAAACCTGCCAAGGAAGCTCCTCAATTGCCTCAGGGATCTGGCTTGATCACCAATGCACTGTTCGGTGGCGTGGATGATTCCGCAAACCCATCTGACTCGCGCACCACCCCCAATATCATCGTTCATATCCCCCTGCAAAAGGGCAATCAGATTGTGAACTTTGCGCGATTGGCAGAAGAGCAATATGGATTTGCTGCCTTGCACCCTCGTCTTGCCGCGCACAAAGCACGTCTGGCCCGCGTGGCAGCTGCAAGCGCCGCGCTGGAACGCAATGATAAGAGTGCTAAAGGAATTTCTGCCGGCGAGACCGACGAGGATCTGAGCCTCGACGCAGAGCGTGATAGCGATGTAGATGGTGATGTCGCCATGGGAGGTACTAGTGCAGGGACTAATGGTGCGCCCTCGGAGGCTAGCGATGGGAAGAAGAAGCGACGCAAGAAGGTTGAGGAGTACGACCGTGACGATCCCTTCGTGGATGACACCGAAATGGTTTGGCAGGAGCAAGCTGCTGCCAGCAAGGACGGGTTCTTTGTCTACAGTGGCCCACTCGTGCCGGAGGGAGAGAAGGTTCAGGTGGAACGGTATGTCTCATCACCGTATCACTGTTATATACAGATTCTAATCTCTTCACAGCGCCGACGGTACGATCAAACGTGGCCGTGGTCGGGGTCGCGGAACAGGTCGCGGTCGATCTGCGGCCTCCCACCCACACGTTCCCATTGCAGCGGCCGTGCCCATCTCTCAAGATACTGGCTTACCATTGCGTGGACCTGGCTCCCGCGGCGGCACTACGCGTCGTCCTCGCGGCAACAAGAAAGCCGACGGCGAGAAACACGCCAACGCTAGCACAGCTTCCGGTCGTGGCGGCAGCTCAGGCTCTAGTCGTGGTGGAAGCAACAGCGCCCGAGGTGGGAAATCATCCGCGTCAGTTCCGATGCCGGACATCGCTCCTTCGCCGTCGACCCCGAGCATTGTCCCTGCGCCTCCTGGTCCTAGTCCGTTGGCAGGTTCGGAGCTTACGATGAAATAGAGATTATGTGGGTTGGGTTTGCGGAGTTCGGTGTTTTCAGGTGTCTGTAGCTGCTCAGGCATCCTCGCTTGCGCTATTTTGCTCTCGGCGTGTTTTATGTTTTATCTATTCGGTCTTGAGAAAGTATTTGCTGTTCCTGGTGCATGGGCTCTCTGTATGTATACCTCGCTTATTGTTACAGCTGCATGTATATCTTGCTTAACTTCCAGCCAGTCATTGAATTGCTTTTCAATAGTAGTTGATGTGACGATCAGGCAGCTTCAGAGTAGGTCGAGAGCATGGACTAGTCATGTGGTTGTTGTCTTGAGTCCTGTGACAACAAGTGGGATAGGTAGCTTCCTGGCCGATTCCCTTCTTGTTCTTCTCTCTTCTTCCTCCATAGTTGTTGTTCTCGTTAAATGCACTCGTTTTCCAAAAGACCTGGCCCGTAAGAGTTGAAGCCCAAGCCCTGAGCCACCTGCCATTCTTGATGTAAACCATCCACAACCTGGAATTGGCGTACTCGAAGGCAAAACTTTTGATCTATGGAGAATGCTCAGTTCCAAGAACCTACCTGTGTTGGCTTTTTCTTCGTAGGTACTTATGGGGACTTGGATGGCTAATACCTATGCCATGGGTGACTGAGGAATTCGATGTACAGACGAGACTGGTTGAATGTATATGTTTCTAGCGCGAAAATGCCGAATATTCCATCGAAGCAGAATGATCGAAACAATCAAAAAATAAGAAAAAGAGGGATATCCGTAGGCAGGGAGAAATAAGAAAAATGCTGGGACATCTAGTCTAGGCTTCTTTTTGACCATGAGAAGCGTGAATATACAGACCGGAACATCAACAAGCCAGCAGAAGATTACAATCAAACCCGAGATCGTTGTTATTTCGGTTTTCTCATGTGAACATGCAAATACATCTGGACCTGGACATGATAGAAAGAAAAAATGATATCATATCCGAGTTCATCAATCAGTCGCCAGATTACCGCGGCGCAGTGCCTGTCTGCGCGCGCCAGTTCCCGCCTGCCGAAACGGGCGGTGGAGGAGGCGGGTTGGTTGGAGGCGCGGTGCGGATAGGCATCGTCGTGGAGTGCAGGTTCGTACGGGGGTTGGAGTTGTTGGAGCTGGAGGAGCGGGGACTCATGAATGGGCGGGAGGGGGCGTCAATGGCAGAGGCAGGCTCGTTCAGATGCTGGCGCATTAGGCGGCGACCGGATCTGTCGTCGTCGTTTCCTTCCAGAGAGAGGTGCTCCAAAGAGGGTGGTGGTGGAGACCGTGTGGTTCGGGACGACGATGATGGGTAGTATTGGGTCTGGGATTGGGGGCTGTAGTGGCGATGGCTGGAGGGAGCCTCATTTGCCATCCTCAGAGGGATTTCGCCTGTTGCCTGGTTCGAGGGGAATGGTGATTGTTGTGGGGTTCGGGTGGACTTGTGGAGGGGAAGGGGCTTGCCCATGGCTGATGTGGAAGCTGCGGAAGAAGAGGTCGAAGTTGAGGTTGGCGTCGTGGTCTCCCTGAGGGAGGGTGGAACTGGCGGTCCTAGGTAGGATTTGCGTTTTTCTCGGTCCATCATGCTCAATGCCCATTGTTCGAGGTCGACTGGTGTGCGCTTCGCGGCCTGCAGGAAGGCATCCTTGTCCTGAAAGGGGTTAGTCAATATATAAGAGAGCGGAATACAGCAAGCCAACGTACGTATAGTTCCCTCGGGGTTGGTCGCTCCTCGGGCTTCTTCAAGAGACACTTCCCAACGAAGTCGTGCAGAATGGGCGGGAAAGCATCGCTCTTGGGCAACTTAGGGGCCGTCTCGTGGACGATTTGCTGCAGTAGATCCAAAATTCCCATGGGGCCTGCGCTGGCACGATTCCCAGCAACAGAGTCGGAGTGATCAAAGGGGAACTTTCCGACGGCCAACTCCATGACCGTCAAACCCACACTCCACACGTCTGATCGGACGGTGTAAGCGCCTCCCTGAATGCGCTCGGGGGCCATGTATGTGGAAGTGCCCACAAATGTATCGGCGATTGAGTTGACAGTCTCGGTAGCGACACCGAAGTCGCAGAGCTTGATGTTGCCGCGGGAGTTGACCAAGATATTGGATGGCTTGATATCGCGATGCATTATGCGGTGGACTTCGTAGAGGTAAACAAGACCAGCCAGGACGGACTCAGTAATCTTTCCCAGTACATCGACGCGAACAGGTCCAAAGTCCTTGGAAACGCGGTCAAGCGCTCTGGTTGCCTGTCAGCTATATTCATCCTCATGGGTTCCCCAGTCCACCTACCCGAGATCCATGTATTCCATGCACAGCACAATATCTCTGGCTTCATTTTGGAATGCACCATAGAAAGTGACGATATTAGGACAATTGCAGTCGTGTCCGACTCGAAGCTCTCGTAGAATCTGTTTCCGCACGTTCTCTTTGGCCTCCACACGGATAATCTGCGGGGGAACGAGGAAATCAGCGCTGGTCAAGAAATCGACGACGAGACACACACCTTTCGAGCCATCACCACCTTGGTAGATGCGTGCATCACCTTGGACACGGTACCGCCATTTCCAGCGCCTAGTTCCTTCAATGTGACCAGGTCTTCACTACGGAGATCGAGTCGAAACTCCAGTCCGATTTCAAGCGTATCTGTGCGGTTGCTTTCGCTATTTCCCACCGCACCGGGAACCTGTGCATCGCCATCAGAAGAATTGGAGATCGTCTTCGGAGCCGCACTGAGAGCGAGACCTTTGACGTTCTTGCGTTTCAACGTCCGAGCCTGGAACTGGTCCGCCATGGCGCTTGGCTGTGGGGGGCGGGGGGTATGTGTTGGGAGCACAATTCGAGGAAGGTGTGAAAGAGAAGAAATCAGAAACCCAGCCGATTGAGAGATATCGAGGGTCGTTGCCCAAGCCGAAGGGATTAGAGTGGTCAGAACAAGCCCCCGAAGTTAACAGCGGGGAAGCCGATATCACCTTGCGACCTTCTTGGCGACGCTGATTGGATCTTTCGGGCGCGTCGATTTGCCAAACTATCACCAAAATGTGCCGGTCGGCGCCAAATAGAAGGCAGAGAGATTCTTGATATAAGGCGAGGAAGAAGAAAAGGAGAGACGATCTTCAAGAGCTATAAAGGCCGCTACTGCGTCAATGAAACAACAGGCGTTCGGGAGTTCCACTAGTCTTGGGTTGTGTTTGGGTACTGATCAAGGCTTCTACATGAAATCTTTCTTGATAGAGGATAATATTAGATGTACAAACTTGGAATCTTGTACTATTGTTAATTGTCCCTCAATGAGTGAGGAGTGTAACAGTTTAATCAAGATATGCATAGCTATTGAGGATTCAACCAGGGCATCGTTGAATGTCCGACACAATCAACACACATAGCACGTGACATCAAACAATCAAGCCACATAGAGTTACCTAATGGGTACTAGTTTTGAGCCACACTAGCACCAGCCAATCACCGCCACCCGTGTCCTCCTTCGCCCGGTGGCCGTGATTCTTCCTCTTTACAACTGTTGCTTCAATCTCGCCTTCCATACTCCATTTCTCACCGCCTCAACGAGCTGCGCACTACCTGGTGTCGCATCTGCGTCTTGACATCTTGAAACTTTAACCCGAAGTCACAATCCCTTTGGTCCCTAGGAACAGGGATCTTCACCTTCGGGCAAGATGAGCCTTCGCGATCTGATCGAGGGTGAGGCGATTATGGATGATGAGGATGACAATGACGAGGGTGTTGCAGACGACTACGATGGCGAGGGCCGCGAGGGTGCGGGCACCCAGATGCACTACAATGACTCAAGTGAGGAAGAAGACGAAGAAGAGGACGACGAGGAGGCTGCTCGCGCCGTGAGATTCCCTCTTGACCTATGTATCTCTTATCACCCTGCTGATTAATTCCTAGGTCCGTGAAGGCTTTATTGTCGATGAGGAAGAGGAGGAGGAACGCGCCGCTCGCAAACACAGGAAACGTTCACGACCCAGCCGTGAAGAAGAGCATCTTGACGAGGAAGATCTGGAGCTCATTGGAGTTACTCCGAGTCAGCAGCGTGGACCCGCCACAGAGGTAGGTAAGGCGCAAACGATGATATGAATATGATCCTGATACTCCGGTTTAGTCAAAATTCAAGCGCTTGAAGCGAGGCAAGGACCGCGAGAGCCAACAACCAGTCCATGGCATCGACGATATCTTCAACTCGGACGAGGAAGAGGAAGCACAGCAGTATGCTCAACCGGGTCAGCGCCGTGGCCTGCGCGATGAGATGGACGACTTCATTGAAGAGGATACCTTCTCTGACGACGAGGCCCAGCTCGAACGAGATGACCTAGGCGTAGCGCCGGCTTCTAGAGTCAACAAGACCGGTCTGATTCCGACGGATACTTCGGGCTTGGATGAAAATGCGCTTGAGGATATGCGTGCTGCGTTCGGTGACGGCACAGAATACGATTTCGCATTGCAGCTGGAGGAGCAAGAGGACGCCGAGAAGCAAACCGAAGAACGCCATCTAGACTTGAAAGATGTCTTCGAACCGTCCGAGCTGGCCGAGAGAATGTTAACGGAGGACGATAATGAGATTCGTCTCCTCGATGAGCCCGAACGTCACCAAGTTGCTCGCAAGCCGTACAAACATGTGACGTTGACCGAGGATCAGTTCCGGGAGGAAGCAGTCTGGATCTCGAACCTGATGTTGCTCAAGAAGCGTATGGATCCCGAACTGCGCGAACCTTTCCAGCGCTCCGTTGCCAAGATGTTGGAGTTCCTGATTACAGATGATTGGGAGGTACCCTTCATCTTCCAGCATCGCAAGGATTACATGATTCATGCTGTCAAGGAGATGGCCAATGGTGCCGATCCTGATGACGAGTCCGCAAAATATGAGCTCCGCGCCGAAAAACTCCTGAACATGACCGATCTATGGGATATTTTCGACCATGATCTCAAGTTCCGTGCTTTGGTCGACAAGCGTGGTACAATCCAGAAGACATATGACAGCCTACAGAGTCTATTCAACATCACTGATCCCATTGTGGAGGATCTACTTGTCGGAGCCGCGACCATGGAGGAACTCCAAGATGTGCAGGATTACATACATTTCCAGTACTCCTCACAGCTGCGTGATCTGAACCAGGTGAACGGTGAGGCCAACGGGGAAACCCAACGCCGAAAAGCGACTAGCAAATCTTTCTTTGAGCGGATCCGGAATGGCAAAGCGTATGGTCTCGTGCGTGCTTTTGGCATCACTGCAGATGCATTCGCTCAGAACGCCTCTAAAGAAGGACGTCGCCAATACACCGAGGATCCCTCCGACCATCCTGACGGGTTGGCAGATCAGTTCGTCGACAACGATTTCTCGAACAGCTCACATGTCCTTAAGGCCGCTAAGTCGATGTTCGCCGAGGAACTTGCCCTTAGCCCGAAAATGCGCAAGGTGATGCGCCAAGCCTACTACATGAATGGAGTTGTCGATTGCTTCCGCACCGAGAAAGGACTGCGCCGGATTGACGAACAACATCCCTATGCCGAGTTCAAATATTTGCGGAATCAGCAGCTCAGTGATATCGCCCGTCGCCCGGAGATGTTCTTGCGCATGCTCAAAGCTGAGGAAGAGGGTCTCGTCGATGTCCGGGTGCGGTTCGAGAACTTTGACCAATTCCGCTCACGTCTTTACGCCGATATCGAATCCGACAATTACAGTGAGCTGGCCGACGCTTGGAACCGCGTTCGCCGCGAGGTTCTGGATTTGGCCCTGGGCAAACTGGAGAAATTGATTAATCGCAGCGTTAAGGAGAATATCCGCCAGGAATGTGAGAACCATGTGGCTAAGGAGTGCCGCGAAGCCTTCGCACAACGTCTCGACCAGGCTCCTTATAAGCCCAAGGGCATGATTCTGGGTACAGTGCCTCGTGTTCTTACACTCTCTACTGGATCTGGACAGGTAGGCCGTGATCCCATTCACTGGGCTTACACAGAAGAAGATGGCCGCGTTCTGGAGAATGGTAAATTCGTCGATCTTTCGTTGGGAGATGAAAGCCGTGGCATAGCCGATGGCGAAAATGTGGCCGCCTTGGTGGATTTGGTAGATCGTCGTCGACCGGATGTCATTGGTGTTTCTGGTATGACGCCGGACACCCGCCGCCTCTACACGCTATTGTGCGACATCGTCGATCGGAAAGATATGCGTGGTGCATCCTACACAAATGACCACGATGAGGAAGTCAGCGATCCCTTAGAGGTGGTCATTGTCAATGACGAGGTCGCCCGTCTGTACCACAACAGTCCCCGCGCCAAAATTGACAACCCAGGCTTTGGTCCTTTGACCCACTACTGTGTGGCCCTAGGCCGGTACTTGCAGAGCCCGCTCAAGGAATATGCGTCATTGGGCCGCGATATTGTGTCCATCCAGTTCAAGCCCGGCCAGCAATTGGTGTCCCAGGATCTGCTCCTCAAGCAGCTCGAGACCGCTCTGGTTGACATGGTCAACTTGGTCGGCGTCGATCTCAACGAGGCTGTGGCCGACACGGCCACGGCCAATCTCCTGCCGTATGTTTGTGGCCTTGGGCCTCGCAAGGCGGCTCACTTGCTTAAGATTGTCAACATGAACGGCGGACTCGTTAATAACCGAGTGGAACTGCTTGGTGTCAACGCGACCTATCCCGCTATGGGTGTGAAGGTCTGGAACAACTGTGCCAGTTTCGTCTACATCGATTTTGAGAATGCTGATCCGGATGCCGATCCACTCGACAACACACGTGTGCATCCTGAAGATTACGATATCGCACGTAAGATGGCTGCCGATGCTCTGGAGTTGGACGAGGAAGATATCAAGGCCGAGACCGATGAAAATGGCACGGGCGCTATTATGCGGAAATTGTTCCGGGAAGAAGCACAGGACCGTGTCAATGATCTGATCTTGGAGGAGTACGCAGAGCAGCTCGAGAGGAATCTGAACCAACGCAAGCGGGCTACCCTCGAGACAATCCGTGCCGAGTTGCAACAGCCTTACGAGGAGCTGCGCAAGCAGTTTGTCTTCCTTGGTACCGATGACATCTTCACAATGCTCACTGGCGAGACGCCTGACTCTTTAATACCTGGAATGGTGGTGCCCATCGCCATCAAGCGAGTATTCGAGGATCACATTGAGGCCAAATTGGACTGCGGAGTTGATGTGCTCGTGGCCGAGACTGAACTCGGTGTCCCTTACGACATCCCTGTACGCAATGCATACCAAGTCCACCAGACTGTTCCAGCGAAGATTCTGTTCTTGAATCGCAAGGGCTTCTCCTGTAATGTCACTCTGCGTGAAGAGCAGGTCAGCCAGCCCCTTCGTCGAAACCAGGCCCATGGCTTTGGCGATTGGGACGATGCCCAAGAGCGAGCCGATAAGGAGTCGCTGCAGGAGAAAACGCAGCGTGGTGGTCAGGCCATGCGTGTCATTAAGCACCCACTCTTCCGGCCGTTCAACTCAACTCAGGCAGAGGAGTTCCTGGGCTCTCAGAGCCGAGGTGACGTTGTTATTCGGCCGTCCTCCCGAGGCCACGATCACCTGGCTATCACCTGGAAGGTGGCACAAGGCGTGTACCAACACATTGACGTTCTTGAGTTGGATAAGGAGAATGAATTCTCCGTCGGCCGTGTTCTGAAAGTCGGAGGTCGCTACACTTACAGCGATTTGGATGATCTCATTGTCAACCACGTCAAAGCGATGGCTAAGAAGGTCGATGAGATGATGCTGAACGAGAAATTCCAGGATGGTAGCAAGACCGAGACCGGTATGTTTTTGTTTCTATCACTTTGTATTCGCTCAACATACTAACCTATGCCAGATCAATGGCTCGAGACCTACACCAAGGCCAATCCTCGCCGTTCAGCATATGCATTCTGCATCAATCCCAAATACCCCGGTTACTTCTTCCTTTGCTTCAAGGCAGGCGAACATGCGCGACTTCAAAACTGGCCTGTCAAGGTCATTCCACAGGGTTACGAACTACAGAAGAACCCATACCCCGACATGCATGCGTTGTGCAATGGCTTCAAGCTGATGTTCAGCAACTTGAGTCAGGGACGGAGGTGAGCGCTTCTCGTCTGTACAGTGTACTATCTTCATTTCTTCAGAAAAAAAGGGGTCCAAGAGGGATGGAATGTCTTTTTTAATTTGATATACCTTGGCATCGGGCATGTAACCATAATTTCTCTTTTTCCAATGGACGATATGATTTCTTCCTACCTTTACAAGTATAGACATGTAAATTACCAGACAGGGGCCTCAATCCTTCTGGGGTGTAAGCATGGTGAGCCCTAACTCAGCTAAGGCTGCTAGTAGCTGCTTAGGTGGACCGCGATGACATGGGGACCCGCCATGTGAACTTCCCCCTCGGCCTCGGTTTCAACTTGTTTCCACTTTGGCCCCTCTCTCTATTTCCTTGGCTAATACAAGTCATAACATTTGCAATATTTAATATAATTTCATCTCCCGAATGTTCCTGTGACATCAACTATTTAAGTGTGGCTTGTCCCCCGGACCCCCCCGCGCCACTCAGCCGCATACTTTGACGGGACACGTTCATTACAACCCAACCATGGCGGCCATGGAGGAGCTGGAGATTCACAGCAAAGTAGGAGAGATCATCCGCTAATATCCAACGGCTCAGCTAACTTCTTGCAGTCTTACTTTGTTCGTTGGATCAATGTCAGCGCGAATCATACAATCTCCTGGAGTATTCAACCTCATAAGAAGTCCGTCAACTTTGGCATCTTCAAACACCCGGGCCAATCTTCTGCTCTGAGCTCCCATATTCCGGCCTCCGATTCCCAGAGCACCGATTCCACTGAGAACCTCCCCGCAACTGCGAACGCCGGGGCGCGACAACAACAGTCCGCTGCTATTGAGAAGCTGACCGCGATCGGGCTCAAAACAATCAAATGGATCGGCAAGTGTGAGGCAGACAGAATTACTCAGGGCACATACGATGTCTCGGCTAGTGAGGGGGGCAATTATGCGCTCGTCTTCGACAACACTTTCTCCAAACAGATCTCGAAGACCTTGACACTTGTCCTACTCACCTATCCGACGGGCCTCCAGCCACATACCTCTGCGTTGACCGTTCCCCCCGGATGCCAGCCAGCGGCGTCGACCGAATCCCTGACGCAACCCCAGACTCGCCGACGAGCGAACAGTCGAGCTACACTCAGCTCGCACCAGGCCGATGTGTCGAACCAGAGTGTTCACACGGGACTGTTGCAGAAGCGGCGACGAAAGCGTCACCAAGGCTGGGCGCGTCGCTTCTTTTCGTTGGACTTTACCTCGAGCACCCTGTCATACTACCATGACCGCAATTCGGCTGCATTACGTGGCGCAATTCCGCTGTCGCTAGCGGCTGTTGCGACTAACGAAAAGTCTCGTGAGATCTCCATTGACTCAGGGGCTGAGATCTGGCATCTGCGTGCCAGTAATGAGCATGAGTTCGGTGCCTGGAAGCGTGCTCTGGAGAAGGCCTCCTCCAAAGCCACTCCCAAGGACAATGGCAGAGCTGCCCCTCCGCAGCTGCGGCTTTATGCTCCTTCGCAACCCTGCCCGGCAGAGGAGCATGAATGGACGCGCGTGGAGAGCCTTGTTAGCCAAGTTTCTGGGTCGCGAGATGCCATCCGCCGCCTTGCCAAGGATACAGACCCGAAGTATCTTGCTTCGCCGCTCCCAACGCCTGTTGACCGGCCTCGTTCGCGGGGTCGATCCCCCAGTCCCCAGCCTAGTGCGCACGAGACTGCGGCCAGTGAAGAGACAAGGCGGCCATTCTGGAAGCGCAAGCCAAGTGGACAGTCGGGTACCGCTAGCAAGCGTGCGCCAGCTAGTACCGCGAACTCTAACTCGTCGCAGTTGGTGGTGCCTCCTGCTGACAGCAAGGCAAAGCCAGCCAGTATCATGAGCCACGCCGATAACATGGATGAGATCCACGATCATCTGATGGCGGTACTGCGCGATCTTGATCACGCTGTATCTGAATTCTCCACGTTGATCGCCCAGAGCAAAGAGCGACGGCATCCGCCTCAGCCATCTATGGTTCCCCGGCGGAGCATGGAATCCGACATCTCGCAGGAATTCTTCGACGCAACAGATGGGGGTGGTGACAGATCTCCCCTCCTGACCATTCAAGACAGCGACGACGAAGGTCCCAAGGAGGACCGCACCACCACCGCTGCCGAGGAAGTCGAGGACGACGCCCCCTCCGACAGCGACGACGAATCCGCAACTCGCCAGGAAAGCGGCACAGCATCAAGCCTGTTCCCAGTGAAAGCAAAATCGCTGACCCCGCTACCTCTGGACCCCGTGAACCGCCGCACAAACATCCTCGCCCCAACAGTCCTGCCGCCAAGCTTGATCGGTTTCCTCCGCAAGAACGTCGGCAAGGACCTGTCCACAATCTCAATGCCCGTATCCGCCAACGAGCCCCTCTCGCTCTTGCAACGAGCCGCCGAGGTCGTAGAGTACTCCACCCTCCTCGACGAAGCCGCCCAATCCTCCGACCCCGTCGAACGCCTGATGTACGTAACCGCCTTCGCCCTGTCCTCCTTCTCCAGCAACCGCGTCCGCGAACGCGCCATCCGCAAACCATTCAACCCCATGCTGGGCGAGACCTACGAGCTCATCCGCGAAGACCGCGGCTTCCGCTTCATCGCCGAGAAAGTCTCCCACCGCCCCGTCCAACTCGCCTACCAAGCCGACAGCAAAGAATGGTCCCTCTCGCAGTCCCCCATGCCCAGCCAGAAATTCTGGGGCAAATCCGCCGAAATCACAACCGAAGGCCGCATCCGCATCTCCCTCCACGCATCCGGCGACCGCTATAGCTGGACACCGGCAACATCCTTCCTGCGCAACATCATCGCCGGCGAGAAATACGTCGAGCCCGTCGGCGAACTGGCTATCACTAACGAATCTACCGGCCACCGATCCATCTCAACTTTCAAAGCTGGCGGCATGTTCTCCGGTCGCAGTGAGGAAGTTACCACCCGTGCTGTCGACGCTAATAATCACCCACTCAGTCTCGGTCTGACTGGCTCATGGCCTGCATCCCTGTCTCTCACCCGCGACGGTAATCCTACTACAACCATCTGGTCTGCCGGTCCGCTGGTCCCTTCCGCGCCAAAACACTACGGTCTTACCGCGTTTGCGGCTGCGTTGAATGAAATCACACCGATTGAGGAGAATCGTCTTCCGCCGACCGACTCGCGATTGCGTCCTGATCAGCGCGCGCTGGAAGATGGGGATCTGGACCGTGCGGAGGAGGTGAAGGTGAGGCTTGAGGAGGGTCAGAGGGCGCGGAGGCGTGAGATGGAGAATGCGGGCGAGAGTTGGGTTCCGAGGTGGTTTACAAGGATTGATGGGGATTCGGATGGGGAGGTTGCTTGGAGACTTAAGGGGGGCAAGGATGGGTATTGGGAGGAGAGGGCTAAGGGGAGCTGGTCTAGTGTTGTGCCTGTTTTTGAGGATCGGGGCTAGACTAGCTAAGGCTTTTCGTAGGATGCTTTTCAATTACTTAGGGTTGTCCTGTTGGGACTGAGATAATACAGGCTCTTCACTCTATAGCGATAAATACTACTTCCGGTCTATTGTTTAGGATTGATCGTGGGATATGGTAAAATTGTAAGATTGCTTAATTCGCGGTATCCATTCGTTAACGACACATGTAGTCAGAGGTTGAATCTTGCAGAAACAATCGAATGGATGAGATAAAAACAAAGAAAATTCAAAAAACATGTCAAAAGGTCACCAAGGACCTTGTTTGGCGGAGGGAAGGAGCCCTCGGCGGGACCACCATTTCCAATTTCCCCTCGTTAAGGTTAACGAGTCACGACGCCCCCCATCATCGTCCTCCTCCTTGTGAGAAACTGATATCCGTGGCATAAAGCCGTATCCTTGTCAGTATCTGACCGCATAACGAAAACCGATTTGAACTAGAATAGAAAGTGAACGAAGAAAGAAGACCATGTAATCCGCCTTGAACTTGAGACTTGAGAGGTAGCCTATTCATCATCTTCCTCAGAGTGCTGAGCAGTCCAACGACGCGCGTTGCGATTCTTGGCCGCTTTGCGTGCACTCTGGCGATCCTGTGAGCTGTAGCCTTGGTCTGGCATGCGCATCATAACAGGAAGACTCTCCAGGACGGCCCGATTACCCTGGAAGTAATGTTCCGGGAAGCCTCCCTGCAGAATGCGGCGCAGAGCAGTAAGACGCATCCACTTCCACCAGCGGTCGATGGTCATGACTCCGTGGCGACCGATCTTGACAGTAAGAGTGCTACCGTAGTGGCGGTTGGTGTTCTGGTTGATGGCGGTATTGTAGCGGGGACCGCGGCGGGGGTTCTCGACAGTGGTGAGAATGGAAGCGAAACTGCTGTGGAGGGACTTCTTGTCGCGCTTGCTGATCGACTTGCCGTGAATGGTGGCCAGGCTCTGCAGCTGGCTCTCCAGCTCGGGGGTGTTGTGGTAGGCGTTGTAGCGCTTCAAGAGCTTGGGACCGGTTGTGGCCTCCATATCATGATCTTCGTCATCGTCTGATTCTCCGCTCGTGTCATCGTCATCCTCCTGGGGAGAGTAACTCTTCTCGTAGAGCAGGGCGATGTTCTCACCTGCTGAGATCTGCACGTTGTGATCGGTGCTGCTGAGCTGATCCATGAAGATCTGGATAGCTTCTTCACTCTCCCCTTCAAAGTCGTCGACTGATGTGGCGAGGAAGCCCCATTGCTGAATCGCAGCAGTGACGACCGTAGCATCATCTGCAGCATCAACGGACTGTCCGTCAGAGGCGACAATGTCCAAGAGGAAGGCCATCTGCTCGAGAATGCCATCTTCACCGGCACCTCCAAAGATAGTGCAAGCACCCAGGCAGTGGATAGCAGCTGTCTTGACTAGAGGAGATGCAGAGTCCCGAACGGTGCGGGTGAGCAAGGGCTCGGTGAGTTCGTAGATAGTTCCGTCGAAAGCAGAAACGGAGAGAAGTTCGATGGCACGCAAGCCAAGAGTAGCTTCACGCACACTGATTTCAGTGCGGACGCTTCGTTCAAAGGCAGCCAGTAGACTTGTCACGACGCCATTCAGTTCTTCGACTGTGTAGTGATACTTGGCCAGACGACAGAAAGCTTGCAGAGCTTCCTCTCGGCCTTGCACACTGCTGCGCTTACGGTCGAGAATCTCTTGAATGCGATCGCTGAGTTCAAGCTCCCAATCGGGATTGTCTTGCTCGGGGTTTTCATCATCGAAAGAGCCGATGCTGTCATTCCCATCTTGGTTAGCGTATGTCGATTGCAAAGAATGGGAACGCCATTGGTAATGACATCATCCCGCCACGGGTGTGGGGACCATGCGAAGATCAAGAAAAGAAAAAAAAATGAGAGAGAGAGAGAGGGGAGGGGGATGAGAGAAAATGTAAGGAAGCTTACCTCATGGAAGTCTCATCGGAGAGATATCCAGTATCTTCTTCGTCTGAAGCGGCTCTGCTGGCATTGCGAGAGCTCTGGCGCGAGGCCGCCTTAGAACTGGCGGGGGAGGCATTGCGGGATGCCTCACGGGAAGCAGCCTTGCGCGAGACGGTCTTGCCGCTCTCGAGTACTTGACGACGAAGATCAGGCATTATGAAGGTTTGAGAGAAAGAGAGGTAGAAAATAGGAAAGTGTCCTCGAGAGAGGAAATAGGAAGTAGAGAGGTTATGGAGGCGTAGTTTGCCAATCTTTGTAGAGAGGACCAGGAAGCCAAGAAAGTGAGATCTTTTTTAACCTATGGGTACAGAACAATAGTCGAGAATCAAGAAAGAGAGAAATAAGTGGTTTAGGTAAAAGATCATGATATCTTTCAAACAGATGAATAGAACAAAGAAAAGAGAACAAAGAAAAAAGTTAACAATGGCAAACGGCCGCTGCTTAAAATGGCGGACTCGTGACTTGGTCGTATGTAAGTTTATCCGATCTGGGCATCGGACTCATTTGAGTCATTTGCTCTTTGTTCCTACTTTCCACCAATCAGTTATTTGTCTGTTCGTTTGAATAAATTCTATTGATCTTACTCCGTAGATCTAAACTCTATTCAATAGAACAATGAAGTCTATTGTTTAGGTTCTTTATTGGCAACCTTCGACTTCTCTTTGCTGTACATCATGTGACTAACTATGGATCGTCGTCATAGTTCACTGCCTTAGCGTCAATAAGATCCTGGTTGAAGATCTTCATATTCATGACAATATACAGCTACTCGTATTAGGTACTACAGTACAGTACATCTACTATCTGGAATTCTGGATACAGCCATGGTGCTGAATGTCAGAAGTCCATGGAACGAAGGACAGTAAGGTTAGAAGATAAACAAGGCTACTTAGAAGCGTAGAACTACCAGATCAATGATCAAGTACACAGTAGACATTCCAGAATGTCCAGTATTCCCTTGTGTTGTTTTAGGGGTATCATTATCATACATCCAAGGAGAACTACCGCATCACATACTGGAGGATCTGCTGGGCTTTAGCACCCTCCAAGTACTCGCGACCTTCCTGTCGCCACTCATCATCCTCATCTTCCTCATCCCCAATCTCCAAATCAACCTCTTGGCTAGCATCGTAGGCTTTCATAACCGTTTCTTCATCGACACGTACTCCATTCTGTACCAGAACCCGAATGCACTGTGCCAACCGCGCAATCTCCCGGCGGGTCTTGGCCGAGATATCCTCGTTTTGGCTGGAGTAGATCGAACTCGATGCCATTTCTTCCAAGCGAGTGATCGAGACGTTCTCAGTAGCAGAAGATGCTGCCTCGGCCCCATCGGCAAGCTTGGAGATATGAATATACCCGTTCACTCCGAGAATGATTTGGATGTCACCACCACCATTGGCACCGGATACGGTCCACACCTGTCGTCGTGATCGCACCACACCACCGGTACCAGAGCCTCCGGGGGCTGCTAGAGAGCTGCCAGCAACCGACTTAGTGCCGCGACCGCCCTTAACACTGGAGCTGGACGCTCCACTACCTCCGGTTCCGCTGACGGCAAGGAAGACGCCGTTCCGCAGCTTTCCGTATTTCAAAGTCCGTGTGTGTAGTGACGCTGATCCATCTTGGTGCACGCTCTGTACTTCGGCAATTACAAGGTCGCCCTCGCTGAAAAATGTTCGGATCTGGAGTTCATCGGCAGTTGTTCGTCGACGCAGAATACCACCGGGAAGATTGATTGCGGAAAGAGGGAGCTGGGCGAGTAATGGAGCGGCGACGTCGACCTTCCACCGTCGGGATTGCACTTCGACGATGCGGCCAACGACTAGGTCGCCAATCTCGGGGATGTAGCGGGCGCGCATGGGGGTCACAGAGAGTAGCTTATTTGTCTTTAGAACTGTGCCGGCGACAGTGGCAATGATAGATGTCGAGAGCGGAGTGGTGTACGTGCCGTGGCCTCTGCAAAATATTAGAGCTGGGAACAAGAAAAGTGACAACGCGAGCCCGCGCCAGTTCCGCCGACTTCAAGGTTGCACCTACCTCATCCATTGCGGATCATCCGTGACCACCTCTCCAGGTGTAACGATTCCTGTGGCGATATTCGACTCTCCTTGTAAACGCTGTCGCTTGTGAGGCCTGGAGGTGCCCGTCATCTCGACATCCTCATCGGAGGCCACGGACAAGGAGTCATCCGAGTCAGCGTTGTAGGGAGCAGCATTCTCCACCACTGGAGCAAGAATAGTAATCGCCATCGTGATTGCGTCTGTTATCGATTGTGGTCGCTCACGAGGTTCTAGTGGTGTCCGGTGCGTGGCAGAGGGAAAAAGTGAGCGCACGTGATTACTCCACTATGGCCGTACTCCGTACTGTCCGTAACGATGTACCCGGCATAATAACTCCCCACCGCCTGTGCGGCGTAGGCGGTGGGGGGTTATTATGCCGGGTACGGAGTACATCACGGACTCCATCCAGCCCTACATCCTACCATATGCAAGCATACAATACACGCTAGATTGATTGAAACTACCTATGTCAACTTCTACACAATGGAAATGATATGTCATGTCATTCTTAATCGGTGAGCCAAGCCAACGCCGCTATTGATACATTCCAAGAATTACTGCTGTGAAGCAGATAAGCTACTCAAGGCTTTTTGGCCCCTTTGCTTGCATTGGGATTGGGCTCTTCCTTCTTCTTTTTTGAACGACTGCTGCCGCCCTTGGGGCGATACCCAGTGTCTTCTTCACGCTTGCGTTTGTTCTTGGGGGTAGGATGGGTCTCCGTTCCATCTTCGTCGAACAGGTCCTCATCTTTGCGCTGGGCCGGCGCTCGCTTGGAAGATCGCTGGTTGGAAGGGCGAGAAGCAGACTTCTCAGAGGCAATCTCGTTATCCTGAAGAGTCTGGGGTTGGTTGCGACGTAGCCAGTTGTACACCGATGCGGGATTTCGGATAGTAAGCTCACGCTCGCGCTCTGCCAGCGTGGGGCGATCTGGAATGCGTGCGAGCTGCACGGCAGCTGCCTCATCACCCAGCTTGGCGTCCAGGGCAAGGTAATATTCAGTTTCATGCTCTGGTGTGAAGTATCCAAGTTGGCGTTCACAGTCATTATCAGGCTTCTTTTCAACGGCATCTGGGCTGATGTGATAGTTTTGAGACAAAGAGCTATACTGCTGGGCCGGTGCAAACGCCTTGTTCCGTTTGATATTGTCTTCAATCGTGCGATAGGCACTTGCATCGATGCTGCCTGCAGCCAAGGCAGCTTTAGCTTCTTTCCAAGCTTGTTTCGCCAGTGTCGCATCATTGATTAGAGGTGCAATTTCCTGCTCGGGGGTGAGTAGCAAGGGAGGAGGGTCGGTTGGCAGGCTAAGGTCGAACCGCAGGTCTGGCGAGACATGTATGCTTTCATTGAACTCGAGCAGAACCTCAAGTAATTGACTAGTACGGAGTATCAGCAATGACGCATCATCCAAGGGGAACTTTGTAGATGTCATACTCATTTTGTTCTCGAATGCGCTTAGACAGGTCCTCAATGCGCAATTCCTCGCGGATCAAATTCTCATTTTCCCGTGTCCCATACTCAAACTTGACTTTGAGCTTGGCATATTTCTTCCTGAATAGAAGAAAGAAGTCAGCATTGTACTACCGGGCTGATTGACAGAACTCGTACTTGAAAGACCGGACCACTTGTTTTGCGGGCCCAGGTCCTGATGCCGGTGCATCTGGCAATGTCTCAGCGACAGACCGGTTGTCGTTTGGTTCCGCCATGATGTGTGAGTGAAAGTAGTTCGGATGGAGGGAGGAAGGGGATGTGTCTAGGTGGTTGGTCACCGCGAGGTCGCGCCAAGGAGCGGACTGCGTGGAAGGCGTGTCCGGACCCCCGTAAAAAATTTAGATTATTGCCGATCTGAGTTTATTGCGAATGTACCTCTTAACTTTTGGTTCAATCAACTATTGTCCTTTAACTTCTTACTTCCTATCATTCACACTGTGAGAACAATGGCCGAAGTTGCTGATGTCAGTCAAAAGAAGCGCAAGCTGCAGGACGGTCCTGAGCTTGAGATCGATATCTCTGCGCCGGAGCCAGTCTCAAAAAAAGCTTTGCGAAAAGCGAAGAAGAGGAAGGAAGATAATGCAGGCGACGCGGGCGACGACGAAAAGCCTAAGTCTGGCAAGCCCAGCAAACCCGAATCCAACGAAGGCGAAACAGACGGCAAGCGGTCCAAATATGGTATCTGGATTGGAAACCTATCTTTCGCAGTGACCAGTGAGGAGCTGCGCATGTTCTTCACAGCCAACTCCGACATTTCTGAGTCGGAGATCACTCGAGTCAACCTCCCCAAGGGCCCCGAGAGATTCGGAAGACCGCAGAACAAAGGCTTTGCCTATGTCGACTTTTCCACCAAGAAGGCCCTGCAAGAAGCAATTGGCCTGAGCGAGCAGCTCATGACTGGCCGTCGCGTGCTCATCAAGGATGCAAATAGCTATGAAGGTCGTCCTGCGAAATCCGAGACTCAAGAGACAACCAAGTCCGGCCATCCTCCATCTAAGCGAATCTTCGTCGGCAACCTCAGCTTCGACGTGACCAAGGAAACCCTCGAGGAAAACTTCTCCAAGTGCGGTACGGTGACCAACGTGCATATGGCTACCTTCCAAGACTCAGGGAAATGCAAGGGATATGCTTGGGTGGAATTTGAAGAACTCGCTGCCGCAGAAGCAGCGGTGAGGGGATTCATGTTGGTAAAGGAGGATGACGGGGAAGAAGATTCCTCCGACAGTGATTCAGACTCGGCGACCGAGAAGAAAAAGTCGAAGAAACTGAAGCCCCGGATGCAAAGGGTTTGGGTCAACCAGCTTATGGGTCGCCGTATGCGCATGGAGTTTGCGGAGGATGCGTCAACACGTTACAAGAAGCGCTTTGGCAAGGACGCCGAGAAGAAGGACGGAGGACCCGCTATCACCGAAGTCGACGACGAAGCACGAGAAAGACCCCGACACAACAAGAAGAGACGTGAATCCATTGACGAGTCTCGCTACTCCAAGGAAACAGTGCAGAAGCTCAGTGGTGCCATTGTGGAAGGCCAGGGTCAAAAGACTACATTCGACTAAGCGGTTCAGCAGTTTTGTGGAGTATCATCTGCGGCTATTTTACGAGCCTTTGCAAATACTATACTCATTGTGTATCAATCCGTCCTTGCCATTGATCTGCAGCCGAGGTGGCAGTAGACTCAACCCCCCGTGGTCTGCCTTGTGACTCGCCAAGGGCCTCCGGGGTATGGTCTCCATATTTGTCATGATCTCTGGAGACATCAGAGGACGCCGAGGCCACTATTTGGTGGCACAGCTTGGATGTTCAAGAAAATGCATGTATATTTCCGGTACAGCATACCACAGCATCCGGCCCGCATGGTAGAGCCACGCAATCTCGGATCTACCAGAAACCATAACCTCCTTTAGGAAAATGGAACGCACATCTTTGCTACAACATTCCGTTCAATCTCAGTGTAGGAGTTCGAGTAGGTAACTGTATCATCGTAGTGTATTGACTTCATCAATATTCAACGTAGCTCACCCGACACTAACCAAATCAAGTAAACAATTCTAGGCCCTATCGTGGCAGAATAAGTTTCACCGCCTGGGCTAGGCCCGATCAGGCCTGACGTCTCTCACGATGTCATGCCCTTCTCTGAACTCGAATCTCTCTGTGCTTCTCATCGCTCTTGGGCTGCATCTTCTTCCTTCTTACCCCTTGCTCTTCTCTTCTTTCTATTTAATTTGCTTTGCTTTGTTGCACGAGGTCTCTCTTTGTTTCTTCTAGCTTCCCATTTCTATTTGATCTTGCTTGATTTCGATCAGTACTCCACCCAGACATCACCCTTGCTCAACGCCAGCCACGCTCACAGTCCGTTTCTTGAAACAATCTTGCTCCGGCATTCCCTCAGTCCAGCCCGGTCAGCAGTGAAATTTTATATAAACTGCCACAAGTGATCAAGCTTTTGCATCTCCAGCATGGCACCTCGACGTCATATTGGGGCAAGCCGTCGAAAGAGACAGGAGGAAGATGGCGAAGACGAGAGTTCAATTGCTGGAGATTTGGGAGATGACTCTTTGAGTGAAGGTTCTGTCGACAGCCACCAAGAGGATGAAGACGCAGATGGAGAAATCAGCGAAGAGGGTGATAGTGAGGTACCTACGTCGGACAAGGTGGACAAGGTCAACGGGGTGGTTCTCGACAAATCTACACGAAAAAGCTCTACATCGCTTAGAAAACGAGGACTCAAGACAACAGTTTCGGATACAGAGGCAACGTTGAATGGCTTGAAGGTCTCAGATCCTACACAAGTCCCTTCCGACGATCCAAAGGAACAGGAACCTCATACCAGAAGAACGCCATCCGCCCCTCCAACCGGACCCAACCGAAACAACCCTGGTTCCAGAAAACGCCGCGAGAATGATAAGCATGTCAAGGAGCGGGAACAGAATCCATCCTTCGTGCCCACCCGTGGGAGCTTTTTCCTTCATGACAAACGATCCGCGGAAAACGGTCATCGGTTGAAGAGCAAATCTCGCCCATACGGCCTCATTGTGGACGGTAGCTCTCGCAGGTACGTTTGGCCCCATTCCATTCCTCGTTCCCCCTTTTACTGACAACGTATCAGGTCTTCCAAGCCTGACTCCAGTGAAGGGCAGTGGGCACACGACCTTCACGATACGGTAGCTGGCGACGATCAACCTGCACCTGCAACCAAGCGCCCAACACCGTCCATGATACCTAACCCCAGCGCACCCGTCCCCACAGCTCCGAGATCCTCCCCACCGAACCGGTCATTTTCTAGCACAACACTGGTCGGCAATGTACCTGTCGTCGTGTCCTTGCCCGGGATGGCTAGTCCGGTTCATTTTCCCGCTGTGCCAAAGCGACTCCACACTCGTTTACCTCAACACCGGCCCCCCTTGCGACGAGATAAACCAGTACGGATCTCTCTTCCCGGCCAGCCGCCCCGATACATCTTCCCTTCGGTCGAACGCTCCTTCATCTTCATTCCTCGCGCACTGCGGCCGAATCAAGTCTCTCGCGGTCGAGGCGGCCGAGGTGGCGGCTGGTACAGTGGACGACGTCCTAGCTATTACCCCAACTCTTCATACACGCCCAGTGTTGTCAGCCGTCGGTCTTCTTTTGGCATGCCACCTTCCCAGGATGGCTGGCCATCCCCGGCTGGATCTGTCTACTCCAGGCAAGCAATACCCACTGACCCCAAACCCGTTGTCCGCCTCCCCCTCCACCTCGTCCAATGGTAGGGATCCCACCATATGGGCCTGCCATGCCCATGTCCCTCCCTCATCCGGCATATCGCGAAAGCCGCCCCGCCCCGATCCCCATGCACCAACCTCGTCCTCAAAAGACTGTCTCTGTCGCGGACATCGAAAGTCCTGCGACCTTCCCATTCCCTTTCAACCCCCCTCAGCCCCAGTATGAGCAACCCTTCCACCATCAGGTCCCTCTTCCAGTCCATGGACCACCTAGTCAGCCGTCGGCCACTCCGCTTTCACAGATCCCGGAGCGAGCGATCCACGCACCGCCCTTCCAACCCTACATCTACCCACAGCCTGGATTCTACCCTCCGACCTATCCTTCGGGGGTTATGTACTACCCGACCTCGGGCCCTGATTACGCGGGTTACAATGGACCCGTTGGGCCCGGAGCCTCCGTGCCACACTTCCCAGGGCAGCAAGTGGCGCCTTATTCAGCTGGCGAGCAGCCCTCTCAGCCAGGCACCGTTGCCCACGAGTCTAATGGCACAGTCTATTTCTATGATACCAATCACATGTACGGAGGTCCCGGCCCAGGATCCGGGCCTGGGGGAGTGGTCGGCATGGGTGGGATGATGACTCCGCCCGGCACAACCTACTTTTACCCCCAACAATCGAGCCAGTACTACGGGGAGTGATTGATGAATGCTCAACGCTTCTCTCTTCTTTTCTTCTACATTCCAGCACTTTCCTCATTCTCGTTCATTTCCTCTCTTTTCTCAGCTCTGTCCAGGATCTGCAGGGCCTTTGGTTTCGCTTTTTCTTAATCTGCATCTATACATTCTCTAGCCTTGTTTTTTTTTTTGTCTTTGCCCTACTTTTCCTAATCTTGTGTTTGTTTTTTGTTTCTACCTGGGTAACCTAGGTAGATTTTATGACTCATTTTGGTCTTGTTAGATCTGAATTTCGATGCATTTGAGCGTTTTTGCCCCCCCTCATGTCTCCGCAACTGTCCCCACATTACTGTACTTCCAAGCTGGAAATCATGGAAGATGATTCTAGCCCTGCCAATTCCATCCAATCGGCCCATCGACTCTCCGTTTTGCATTCACCATTTTGACACATGACCTCATCTTATGCGACTAGTTTTCTACTTTGATGATCTTGACTCTAATGACAGTACACCCCCTCTCGAGGGAAGTTCTAGTGACATGGAAATTCGTAGTCAATTTATCCCGAGGTTGTAACAATAAACAGGCAAATAATTTGCCAATATTTGCGCCCCCGGGCCCCCGGATCAACGTAGTCTTGGCAACCCCAGGCTTTGACGCCATATTAGGTAATGACCGTCCAGAATGAAATCCTCACCGCCTTCCAAGTGAGTCCGCAGCAGCTGACCGATCTCTCCGCTTTTCCCTTCAATTCGACGGCTCTGTACAACTCCCCTCTTTATCTCCCCTGGAGAACTTCTTCTTTCTCATTTTCTTTCCCTTCTTCATCATAATCTTTGTCTTCCCTTCTAGCTTCTCCTTCCCACTGTAGCCCCCTCAGGGTTACATCCTAGTCCTTTATCATAACACCATCTACACTACTGCCCTTATCTCGAAGTCTCCACCCTTGACCTTCCCCTTCACAATCATCACACACGATGGCTACCCCATCTGCTTCATCTCATTCAGGTCCAGATCACCTGGTTACTGTCAAGGTACTCTACAATGACAGTAACCGCCGTTTCAAGATTCCTTTGAAGGACCTGAAGCCCCAGGTGTTCCCCCAGATGGTAAGTCCCCACTCAAGCTCAAGCTCCGACCGGACTAGAGGTCCGACCCCCATCATTCCTTATCTTGAGCGATCATCAGATCGAGTTCTATGATATTTTCCAACCTCAAACGTTCTTAATTTAACAGAATCAATACCCGTCGTTTTCCTGGACTGACTTGATACGTATGATTTAGCTTCGAACCCTCCTCGGCATTCCGGCGGATGTCAACGTCATCCTGGAACGTTATTCGGACAGTGCCGGTTCTTACGTTCGCCTTGATTGTGACAACATCGCAGTCTACAAGCAACTCTATCGGGCTGCAAAGGCGAAGTCCAAGCTTCGTATCAAGGTCACTACCCTCACGTCGCCTGACACATCGGCATCCGCACCCGTACCTTCAGAATCAGAACCCGCTGTGCCGATGGAGTCGACCAACCACACTCGTCACAGTTATCTCGAAACCGTTCTCGGTTCACCTCCTACCAACCCTTACCCCCTCGAGCATAACTCTGGAGTGAATGAGATGTGTCTCGATGCGTCTCGCTACATCACGGCTCGTTCCATGGCCGGCGAAAAAGAGTTACCTCTCGGTCAACCTCGCTACCGCAACTTTGAATTAGACCAAGAGAAACATCAGTTCCCCATCATCTCCCACAACTCTCCCAACGGCATGTTCTGCATTGATTGCAATCACTGCGGTCGCTCTATTGCAAATGCGCATTATCACTGCAGCATTTGCGAGAATGGTGACTATGACCTGTGCCTACAGTGCGTCGATTCCGGCGTGACTTGCCATGACGAAACCCATTGGTTGCTGAAGAGGACCGTCGTCAATGGCGTTGTTACGAACAGCACTACTGAGACGATTCCTCCTCGTGCTCAATCCGCAGTGGAGAGCAAATCTCTAACTGCCCCCCTCGTCCAGCGTGAAGTGATCACCAAGCCGGTGGTCCAAGTCCCCGAATCGGTTCAAGAGTCGGCTCGGGAGTCAACTGGTACAATGGCCCCATCAGCTTCTTTGGACTCAGCCGCTCAGGGCGTCGATAAGCCTATGTGCAATGGATGCTGCCGCGAGGCTGATGAGAGCAACCTTGTTCGCTGCAATGATTGCGAAGATTACGATCTTTGCCTTCGTTGCCTCCTTAGAAACAAGCACGGTCACCACCCCGCTCACACCTTCCAGCTTGGATCCGACCGGAACTTCTGCTTGAAGAACCTCATCACTTCGCGCTGCCTTCCCGGTCGCCAGTTCCGCCACGCCGCTGTCTGCGATGGCTGCGATAAGCGCATCGTTGGGATTCGTCACAAATGTCTATCCTGCCCTGACTGGGACTACTGTCATGAGTGCGTTCTGACCGCTTCCGAGAAGCATCCTGGTCACCGGTTCGTGCAGGTTTACGATAATATTGCCGAACCGCCTCGTGAACAAGAAATCCACTATGGCATTTTCTGTGACGGACCTCTTTGCAAGAACAAACCGGCTCAGAGCTATATCAACGGTGTTCGCTACAAATGCGCTGTCTGTGATGATACCGATTTCTGTGCGAGCTGCGAGGCTCTCCCGACCGATCATCACAACCGCACACACCCACTGGTCAAGTTCAAGACTCCAGTCCGCAGTGTGACCGTGAGCACCATGGGCGACGATGGCTCGCGTGGAGCAATGGCCCTGGGAGACCAACTCCATGCCTCCACTCGAGTGATTGACCAGGCCGAGCTCGAGGAGCAGGAACCAGTTGAGATCGACGGTACCAAGCCCGTGGCGAAGTTCGAGTCTCCTCCTGTCATGAGCAACTCCATCTCCGAATCCAAGGGTCGCGATATGCCGGAGTACAAAGCATTCTTCATCCGCGATACCATCACTGACGGTACCAAGATGGCTCCTAACACCACGTTCAGCCAAACCTGGACTCTCTACAATCCTGGTCCCGCCGCGTGGCCTGTTGGGTGTGATGTACGCTTCGTTGGTGGCGATAAGATGTTCGATGTCGATGTCTGCCACCCATCAAGTGTCGAGTCGATCCGCTCGGCAATGGAAAGCAACAAACTGTTTGCTCCTGTGGAGCCAGGCGACAGTGCTGACTTCACTGTTAACCTGCGCACTCCTCAGCACGAGGGCTCTTCTATTTCCTACTACCGCCTGAAGCTTCCTAACGGCGAGGCCATCGGTCACCGCCTGTGGTGTCACGTGGAGGTGCAGCCTGCTGCTTCGGAAACCGAAACTAGCGAGACATCCCCTGCTGTGTCTGAAATGGCCGGCAGTGGTATGATCTTCCCCAAGCTGGAAAAGGAATCTCCCGAGTCCAGCACTCACCAAGCTGAATCACCTGCGCCTGAGGCACCGACCCTGTCCAACGCTTCGGAAGGGTCTGTTGTAGAGGATGTTGAAAGCCTGACTCTAGATGACGCTTCGACTGATGCCGACGCTGGCTTCCTCACCGACGAGGAATACGATGTTCTTGATGCCAGCGACCAGGAATATCTCGATGCCAAGCAATCCTCAAATTGAACCATTGCAAAGCATTCGAATCATTGACGACGTGAAATGGGACCTGGGAATTTGCACTCTTTCATTGTTTTTTTTTTTTACTTTTCGCTTCATTTTTCGGACTTTGCAGAGGTCTAGTCACCCCCAGCATGACTAGATTTAATCAGTGACTCTTTTTTATCTTCTTTTTTCTTCAGAAACAGACAAAAGCAAGAAAAAAAAAGATCATTTTTCTTCTTTTATGGCCTAGTATAATCTTCAAATGCACTTGCTGTTGGCACCTTCAATACTTTCACATAAACATTTCCTCTCGATCTCCGCTCCATCTCCACTGACTACACCGACAGTCTCCACGATCCGCCGATCTCAATTGGAACACATGCCGAGGTCTACACAGCGTAGGCTTGGCCGAGGACAGAGTCTTTGTGTTTCTAACAACACATTCAGACTGCCATTGTTACACAGTTACTAGTAAGAACGCGTAGAGCGAATACATTGGAGCTGAGGCCTCACATCGAATATTCATAGACATTGATCGCCGAGGTCAAGGCCTCAACTGAGGGGATGTCTCCATAATGTTTCGGGTATTTAACTGTGAGTCTCATGACCTCAGAATCCAATTCTTCATCGTATTTGACTCTGCCGTAGAATCAACACCTCTACGACGGCATGGCATTCGGCACCGCATTTAGCCTCGGCCTCGTCGCCCTGGTCGCCTTTCTAGCTGGTCCAATCGGCCATTTCATCCGAATCACAGGAATCTTCCTAACTCCCAACCCGACAATTCTGGCCGAAGGCCAAGTGCCACTTTACATCGAAGACACAACTCACTGCGAGGATTTACACCACTACCGTCCAGCCAACCTGCTATTCACAGCCTGCGAAGATGACCGGAACACGCGATTCAAATGGTTCCCTCCGCTGGGCAGTTTCGTCCCTGTATCAGCACAAGGCTCGATCCATGTCATTGATCCCAGGGTAAGTTTTCCCACCAAGAGGACATAAATAGCAAAGATTTAGATATTAAAGGGAAAAACAGACACTGAAATCAACCCGCCTGTCATTCGAAGACTTCAAAGGCCCATTCATAACACACGGAATCGACGTCATCGAAGATCCAGAACGACCAGACGCTGTCTACATCTTCGCTGTCAACCATATCCCGAACCCGGACTACACAGCCAGCGAGAAGCCTAAGGGTATTAACAAGTCCAACTCGCAAATCGAGCTCTTCCACCACGTCCTAGACTCCGGCTCTGCTCGCCATATCCGCTCTATCAACCACCCGCTCATCAAAACCCCTAACGATATCTACGCTGAAAGCCCGGTTTCGTTCTATGTTACCAATGACCACTTTTACCGTGATGGACCCATGCGTCTGGTCGAGGATGTCTGGCGCAAAGCTACTTGGTCGGATATCATCCATGTCCAGATTGCGGATTTGAGCAAAGATGGTCCTATTGATGTCTCGGTTGCATTGACTGGTCTGTTCAATAACAATGGTCTAGGTCACGGCCGCACAGAGAAGGAAATCGTCATTTCTAGTGCTATGGGTGGTGAGCTTTACTTAGGCACTTTGGAGGGTAATAGGTCTATCTCGGTTCATACGACGGTTTCGTTTGATACGCTTACGGATAATCCGAGTTACTATGAGGATCCGTATGGCGCTGAGGGGTATGATGCTAGTGGGTTTGTGGTTGCGGGGATTTCGCAGGCTGTTAAGGCGGTTTCGCAGGCTACGGATCCGGATGCTACGGCTGCTGTGCAGGTTTGGTATATGGGTTTGAATAAGGGTACTGGTGTGTGGGAGAAGAGGTTGTTGTTTGAGGATGATGGGAGCAGGATAAGGAGTGCTAGTGCTGCTGTTTTGATTCCTGTTGAGAATGAGGGTGGGAGGAAGTTGGCAAGGTTGTTTGTTACTGGGTTTATGTCGGAGAGGATTCTGGTTGTGCCGGTCGAGTTGTGAGGGATCTCTAGGTTGATGTCAATTTGGAGTTGTGTTGTCTTATTCCACATCAGAAGGCAGCATATCAATACAGAGGTGAATTAGTTTGACAAGCATTTAAAGATCTGAAAATTGAAACTGGCGCCGCTGCAATGCAAACAGTAGAGAAAAAGAAAAACCAAAAGGACGTAAATAACAAAATGAAACCAAAGTATTACACCCCGTTCATCACATCGTTGGATTCTTTTCATCTGTCCGACTTGCCCGGGGTCTGGGCAGAGAAGGAACAGAACTTGTCCTTGATAGCAACAACCTCGTAAGTTCCCTCATCAGAAGTCTTGATGGTCTTGAAGTTTTCGTAGGAAATGTCGTGCTTGATATCAAGGATCTCCGACTTCTTCCCCTTGCGGACATTCGAGCTACGGATGTATCTGTTGGATGTTAGCAGACTGCCCGATAGACTGAGGGGGGATGAGATATTGACTTACGTGAATTCGAATGGTGGCGTGCCCCAGAACTCAAAGTGAAGCTCGGCTTCTCCACCCTCGTGAATATCCACCACTGACTCCTTGCCCTTGCTGATCCGTACGCTCGGCATCGGGTGGATGATCTTGGTGATGTCCTTGTGGGCCTTGCATTTTCCACTGGCTCCGTCACTGACGGCATTGATGGTGAATTCACCGGGAAGTTCGGCAATACGACGGAAGTTGGTGGTCTGGGAAGTGGCCTTGCGCTTGGCACCGTCGAAGGTGTAGAACACGTCGAATGGTGCATGACCGGACAGAGAGAATGAAAGTCGTTCACCCACGCAGTAGTCCACCTTGGACTCAAGTGGGATAATGGTGGGAACGTCGGAAATGGCAACCCGCACCGAAGAGGCATCAAGGTCAGTCGTCTTTTGACATCCGCGTGAATCGCGAACCTTGTAGATGCTGACTTGGTGCTGCCCCAAGTCGAGATGACGACGAGGGATCAGCAGCTTGTGGCGTTTAGAATTGATCTTGGGAATGGTGACAATCTCCGGCTTTGCGTTTGAGTGGTGTTTGATGCTGATCTCCAGTGAGAACGGTGGGACACCCTCCAAGGTGATCGGAATCGATTCCTCGCCGTTGATGTCTTCCTGACAGAAGCCAAAGACATGGCCAGGTTGGTCGAATTTGGCAGACGGCAGCGGGTTCACCTTCTGTGTCACGACCAGAGGTTTACTCTCGGGATCGTGATCGTAGAGGTTGTCGCCGACTTGCGTGAACTTGTAGCTGTATTCTCCAGCCTCCGAGGTATCCATTTCCATCGAAGTCACAGCAAGAGCAGACTTCAAAGCGCGGGGCTTCGCTGCAGAGAATCCCCCACGTTCCGCCTTGCGCCGCTTCTCATATTGAAGGTTGTACGGAGGGTTGCCTGACAGTCGAACCTCGAGGCTATCATCGTCGCCTTGGCAGACCTCGGCCTTGGCAAATTCTGTGGCGGCTCCGATGGGTGAACCGTCGAGGGCAGTGATTTGAGGCCGTGGAATCCAGGAGACCTCGAAATCATTTGCAGACTCATCCACATTTCCGCGACAACCGACGTCAAAGACTTCCGTGATCGTGTAAAGTCCCTGCTTGTCCACGGTGAGGACACTATTTGCATCCCAGAAGATTTTCTGGACGGGTTCAGAGTCGTCAACCTTGTACTTGACAGTCCAAGGGCGCTCGCCACTCAGCCTCAAAGGAATCTCAATCTGGGAGCCCTGCAAGGCCAACACACTCCTCTTCTTATCAATTTGACCGAAAGAGACATGCGGGGGCTGTGAGCGGGCTTCAATGTTGAGGGTATCCTTGAGAGTCCGCTTGCAATTAGATTTGTCCTTGACGCTGGTGAGCGACAAGGTGTATTCACCACCGCTGACCAGTCTGTCAGTAGTGATGGTTGCCACATCAGTATCGGCTTCCAGTGTCTTCTTCGATCGCTTGCCGTTGTGAACGATCTCATATTGCAAGGTCCATGGGGCCTCTCCAACGAAAGCAACTTCCACAGGAACAGTCTCGCCGAAACAGGCGGATCTCAGTTGTCTGGACACGAAATGAGCGGAAGCCGGTGGTTTCACGTCTTGCTCAAGCGCGGGTAGCTTGAGAGTGCGCGGCGAGTAGACGGCGTCTTCAAGGTCCAAGAAACGGTAGGTGTATGAGCCGGCTTCTGAGGGTGTGAAATCGAGCTGTGTACGCATTCCCTCGATATTTTGTACCTTGGAAACGACCCCCTTGGAGCTCTCAATGCTATAGCGCAGAGAGAAAGGAGGCGATCCCGTCAGGTCCAGATCCACGAGTAATCCGATAGCGTTGTTGGCACAGCGGTCAAAGATTTTCTCAGTCTTGACTGCCAGCTCAGGCTCAGGCGGGTTGTGCAAATAGCAAGATGAAGGCTCCAGGATTTCTCCGGAGCAGAACTTGGTAGAGACCGAGGTCAAGGCATACAGACCAGGCTCCTTGATATCCAAAGTCTGGTTCATGTGCTTGAGCTCGGCAGTTTGTTCCTGGGCTGTTACTTCTGTGACGCCTGTGAACGAGTACCCGATCGAGAAAGGACCATCACTCGAGTATGCACGTCCGTCGGGGTGGAAGTTGAGGGGGAACCTCGTGCTATCACCCTTGGCAACTTGTAGCGGATTTTGAGAATTGCAACTCTGCAATGACAGCTGCGGGCGCTCGTGAACGGAGAATTGGTACCACTGAGAGTGTGACTTGGTGGACGGGCGATCTCCTTCATGGTAGAGGGTTGAATAATTGGCTACATTGCCAATGGCATCATGAACCTCCTCGACGGTGTAGAACCATTCTCCTGCGTCATTCAATGATTCATTCAAGGGAACCTCAATCTTCTGGCTCTGGGCCCACGAAACATCGGGCTGGTTGATGCTATAGAGAGCAGCAGTAGTCCTGCCATTGAGCAGCGGAGAGCGCAGGTTGTCCGGCTGAATGTTGAGAACCGAGAATCCGCGATCGAGGTTATTGACTTGGCGACTGTATTTGATCTTCAACGGAGGCGTGCCTTCCACCTCCAACTTGAAGTTAGATAGTTCGCCCTTGCATTTGTCGATGTGTGAGTTTTTGATCAATGCGCGCGGGCAGGAAACCACCAGCGCATCGAATGTTCGCGTGTGAACATCGAGCTGAGACTCATCAACTACTCGTTGAAGACGATAGACACCAGTCTTGCGAACTGGGAAGAGCAAATCTCGGTGGAGTTCCCCCGGAGCATGTTTCTTCTCTGCCTGCTTTTTGAGGGCTTTCAGTTGCTTGGTCGGAATGGTGATTGTTTCATTCTCGCCAGTGTTGAGATCCAGACGCAAAACTTCGATCAAGACTGGGTCGGTCTGGTTGACACGGATGGGCAGATCGATTATAGATTGCTGAGAATCAAGGCAAAGCGAGTTCCGATCCGGATTGAGAATGGCGGATCTATATAAGAGGTCAGCATGATCTCGTCGATATGTAGATAGGATGAAGGCTCACCCCTCTGGCAGAATGTGCACGATCTGCCTTCCCAAGATCAAGGACGAATTGTGAATGATATCGCCAGGCTTGACCCTGCGCTCGGAAATAGACAGTTCGCGGTCATATGCCACCTTTACTAGTCCGGAGAGCCAGGCGCCCAAGGGAATCTGTACTGTTAGCAAGGGTGGGTCGTCCAAAAGAGAAAATTGAAGGAAAAGGAAGACATACCGGGATGCGGAACATCAAGAAGACATTTCCCACGACGTGCAGTAAGAACAGAGTGAGCGTGGTCGGGAATGCCCACTCCAACCAAGGTATGCGCAGAGCCTGCAGCCCGACCAAGAAGATTCCATCTAGCGTAGCCCATTTCAACAACAGCCAAGTAGAATCCAGATCATCGGATGCGGTCAAGGACTCGTAAATGCGCCATGCGTTCAGAGCAATGTATATAGCTACGACATAGAGTCGTTGAGAGGGAGCATCGATTAGGTTGGTGGGGATCAGTGGCACATCGTTCGCGGGAGGTGGTAGTTTTGACAGCTTCGAAGGTGATTTCGTCGCCGATCTGCGTGGCGTCCGCAGACGATTCTCTCGAGGCTGTGATCGCGGAGTTTCAAAGAGCTTCCTCCTTTCGGTTCCAGGAATTGTTTTAGGCGTCTGCGGAAAGGCAGACGAGAGGAGGGGAGTGCCGTTCATGGCATGCTGTGGGCGCCGGAGCTGTGCGCAAGAGGTAATAGAAGGTAGGTAGAGCTAGAGGTAGCAAAGCAATGGCGATGCTGTTAAAGCTGTACGCGGCGTAAGGCGAAGTCCTAAGCTGTGGCAATCTCGTGGGGAAAGAAAAGAAACAAAAGTTGGAGACGCGGGAAGCGCGTCGGAAGAAGCTCGGCCCACCCACGACGTACACGACATTACGGAGTACCTCTTTGAAGGTCACCTGAAGGTCACCTGAATCTACATTCTACAGTCTACACTCCACCTTTTAAACAATTTATACTTGAAGCTTTATCTTCTATTATCTACATCTTTTTGCCTTCAACACTGAAGTGAGCAGCCTAGCTATCATCCCAGGGCCCTTTTCATCATAGCTTCAGCTCTCAATCTCATCTTGAAGCTCTATACAGCTCCTCTGGGTAGCTCTGACCCTAACATATCTCACAATGGGTCCTCGAGTCAAAAGGCGCCGCCTGACAAACCCTGAAGATCTAAGCGATGAGATCTGCCAGCCTGCAACCCGTCTGGATAAAGACAGCTGGAGTGGATTCTGCGAGATTGAATCCGAACCGGTATGTTCACTTAAAGTAGTGACCCGTGCGTCGCTCATGTGTGTTACAGGCTTTATTCAACGTCATGCTACGGGAATTTGGGGTCAAAGGCGTCAAGGTCCAAGAAGTCGTTTCCCTCGACGAAGAGATGATGGCCTTGCTTGAGTATGTTGCTCGGGCTGCTGTGGACAGAGATCTGAAAACTAATACCAAACAGTAAGCCTGTTTACGGCTTGATCTTTCTCTTCCGCTGGCGTGAAGACGAGGATGGAAAGCAAGAAGTCACTTGTCCGGACGGATTGTGGTTCGCAAACCAGGTCAATCATCTCTTCTTCAGTCGATAGATTATCTGCTAATTGACTACAGACTGCCAATAATGCTTGTGCCAGTGTGGCCTTACTGAACATTGTTAACAATATCCCAGATATCGATTTAGGAGAGAATTTGAAGTCCTTCAAGGAGTTTACTATGTCTTTCACCCCAGCCTTGCGTGGGAATGCCATCAACAACTTTGAGTTTGTGAAGAGGATACACAACTCTTTTGCACGGTATAAAAAAAATGGCCCTAAGCTTCTGTTGATTTTCTCCAATACTGATCTGATCTTAGGAAAATGGATATTCTCAATTCAGATATGCAGCTCAAGACTGAAGCATCTGTCAAGAGAAAGGGTAAAGACGATGCCGATGAGGAGTCAGATGCCACCTTCCACTTTATCGCATTTATGCCTGTTATGGGCCAGTTGTGGAAGTTCGACGGTCTAGAGCGTCAACCACGGGCACTTGGTATGTCCACCGTGAGCAAGTCGGGATGACTTTGGCTGACTCTGGTAGGGGAATGTTCTGAACACGACTGGCTGGAACTGGTCAAGCCTAATCTTTTGGACCGAATGGCTGCATACGAAGAAGGTCAGATTGAGTTCTCGATTCTGGGACTCGTGCGCGACCCTCTACCTGATCTCATCAAGGAGTTGGCCACCAACGTGAGAGCCCTGGAGATCTTAAATGGACGTGCCACCGATCCCATTGTCCAGGCTGATACGATAATCGGCCCTGAGCCCTCGTTGTCCCTCACACGCGAAGAGATCGATGCAGTGGTACTCCCCCAAGATACCCTCGATGAGTATCGGACATGTACAGAGGACAAGTTGAAGGAGTACCAGCAGACCCTAATCGGCGGGCAGTGGGAACTTCGAGCACGTATTCGTGAAGAGCAGCAATCCCACCGATCAGATGACGAGCACGCAGCCGGTCGACGATTTGACTATGGACCGGCAGTACGAACGTGGTTGCGACGTTTGGCGCAGAAGAAACGGCTGCAGGAATTATCCACCCTCGTGGGCAATTGATTGGCCTTGATGTTGGCTTGGCTTGACATGATTTGATTCCCGCTGATATCCCCCCTATTCCCCCTTCTCTACTGCACATGAAGCATGTTTGTAATATACCAAGACACTTATCTTGTGTCTCTTCCTTATCGCTTGTCCAATGACGTAGTATCTCTTTCGGAGCTTCAACTGTAGGCCGTAGGGATTTAGGCAGCCATTGAATACCTTCATAACACCATAGTCATGGTGATATCAGTTAGTATGGTTAGGATAGTACCTCCATAAGATATATCACCTTCAAAGAGAACAACTCCACCGAGAAAAAAAAAATAAAAAAAATAAAATTAGCTCACACGTCACCGCCTCGAATGTTGTTGGGAGGGAGCTTCCACTTCTCTCTCGAATACCTTCAAATCTCCATTTTCCTTATTTAACTACTTGAATAAGTGATCTTGACGACTACGCGACTCTTCTGAGTCTTCTTTTGCTGGTACTTTTGACTCTTCTAGAAGATCCTCGTCTCGGCAAGCCACGAGACCATAAGAGCAACCCCTCGCTTTGCCACTTGAACCCATCTCTCTTTGCTTTTCCAATCCTCATCACTCGAAACAAACATGTCAGCGACTCCCGTGCCTGAAAAGGCTCCAGACGACTCCTCAAAACTGAAAACCTTCCTTTCCATCCTTCGAAAGTATGGAAACCCCTTCCTCCACCATGCACCCCTCACCGTGGCGCTCCGCACCCAGACGCTAACATGACGAAACTAGGTTCGTGGGTGTGGCGGATATTGCTTCCGTTCGATTTTCACTGCCGGCGCAACTGTTGGAGCCTCGACCGAACCTGGGTAGGTTCTTGTTCCTTGTTCGCGGGGTGTTCGGAGCTGACTGATGGCGGCAAGAATACTGGCATTACCTTGATCGACCGGAGACCTTTGCGAGGTCAGCAAATGTGCCCATGTTTGGTGGCTTGTGTGCTGACCCAGGAGCTACAGCATCGGCAAATCGGATGATGAGCTAGGTCGGATGTTGGAGGTGTTGCGGTTTTGGTTTACCAAGGATTTGGTATGTTTGGGCTTGCTGGGAAATCAAACGGACTACTTGCTGATCATGTGGGTAGAAATACATCAAAGGGAAACCCTGCAAACCATACAACTCAACACTGGGTGAATTCTTCAGAGTAAGTATACCCGGTGGGCATATACTTTGGCAATCCCGTTGCTAACAACCCCTCAGTGCAGCTGGGACGTCAACGATAACATTCCCGAAGAAGCGAACCTCCCGGGCATCAAAGCAACCAACGGATCCTCCACCGTAACCGACGGCAATGAGAAAGTCAAAGTGTGCTATCTCACCGAACAGACCTCCCACCACCCCCCAGTCTCGGCCTTCTACATTGACTGCCCCGAACGAGGCGTCTCAGCGCGTGGGTTCGATCAGATCAGCGCCAAGTTCACCGGCACCAGCATCCGTGTGAGCCCCGGCCAGCATAACCTCGGAATCTTCGTCAACATCGAGAAGAGAGACAATGAAGAATACCAGTTGACTCACCCAGACGCGCACCTGGGAGGGATATTGCGCGGGGCGCTGTCAGTCACAGTCGCCGACACATGCTACGTCACCTGCCCGAAGACAGGCCTAAAGGCGATTCTGCAGTATATGGAGGAAGGCTGGATCGGCCGGACACAGAACAAGCTCGAGGGCGTGATCTTCCGCTATAACCCGGACAAGGACAAGATCACTCGACTGAAGGATGTGCCAGAGGCTGACATCGTTGCTCGCATCTCCGGCTCCTGGCATGGCAAGATTTATTTCACTCCGACTGGATCCAAGGAACCGCGTCTTCTCATCGATATCACCCCGCTCCACCCCGTCACAAAGGATCTGCCGCCAGATGAAGAACAGCTTTCCAATGAATCATTGAAGTTCTGGTCGGATGTCACGACTGCCATCGTCGATAAGCAGTTCAGCCAGGCCACCAAGCTCAAGCAGGATATTGAGGAACGGCAACGGCAGCGGGCTGCGGAGCGCAAAGAAAAGGGCGTTGAGTGGAATCCGCGCTTCTTCACTGGGGCTGTCACGCCGCTGGGTAAGCCGGAGCTTACGGAGGAGGGACAGAGGGTTCTACAGGGCATTCGCTCGGGCGAGTTTGCGTTGACTGAGAGTACAGTGCAGGGCGCGTAGATTCACATGTATGATTTTGTATTTCCTTTCAGTAAGGCGGCGTATCTGGCATGCGACCATCCCAAACATCGAACTCGGCGCGTCTTTCATTTTTCTGCCTTTTGGTTTGATCTGCGAACTCTTTGGTTCTCGCTACTTTGCTCATATACTTAGACATCACTCTTTAGACTTTTGTTTCCTGGATAGCTCCAGGCAATGCCATTTCACTGCGGTTATGCGATGGAACGAATGAACGATTAAGTCTTATTCAGGAAATTTATACAATGGACTAGGCCCTCCAAACCCGAACCCCAACGCCGCCAGAAACCCAATCATCAAATACATCAATCCATAAATCCATATCAGATCCCAAGGCCAGACTCAGGCACCGGCGCTGACGACCTTGAACCCTGAAGTGACGGTCTTGGCAATCTCCTCGTTCTTATGCGGCAGAAGAGACAAAGCATACGCAACATCGTTCCATTGTCGCTCTGTCTCGCATCGAGGAAGGCGAGCGGCGAGCTTGTCGGCCAGCTGGCGAGCGTGTTTTTCCTGGTGCGACATTAGTACACTTCATTAGTTAGAAAACAGAAATTCAAATATAACATACCTTCTCGACAAAGCCGATTAAGAACTTGACGATGCGGCGGAGAGAGGCCTCATCCAAGTTGGGCTCTGCGCTCAACAGACTGAACATATCGACAAAGTGGTTGTACACGGCGTTGTCCTTGGTTGCCAATTCCGTGAAGAACATACGAGCCAGATCAGCGATCTTCTTGTCTTCGTCTTCCAGACATTTCGCCATCTCGCCTAGCTGTCCCTTGACCTTGACTTGACCAGCCAAGATGAGGAAGGTGAGGGTCATGAGACATGTACGCTTGACAGAAGCATCCTCATCGTTCAAACGACGATAGAGGAAGTCGGTGTTTTCGTCGATGAGGTGGTTAAAGCAAACGGCCATATCGCCCAGCGCAATCACAGCATTGCTCCGGACGATAGGGTCTTCGGACCGCTCCATGATGGTGATGAGCAGCGGTAGGTTTTTCTCACAGTACTCGGCAGACACACACATGAGCTTCGCAATGCACAAAGTGGCAGAAGCCTGAAGGTCACGGTCCGGGTAGGAGTTATTGTTGGCAAGGATCTCCACTACCAGCGGGCCAAATTTGGCCAAGAGAGAGTTTTCCCCATAGAGTAGCTCACGTTCTCGGATATGGGCCATCGCGTCTTGGAAGTCGTCTTCTGTCGTACCGCCGATGAGATCAAGCTCGTCAGCGTCGGCATCGTCTTCCTTTTGAGGAGCAGCGGCTGCCTTGTTCTTCTCTTGTTCGACTTTTCGGCGTTTGAAATCGAGTTCACACAGCTCCAAATGTACAATTTGCTTGATTGCAACGTGGCCAACAACGTACAGCAGCTGTGAGAGTGCAGCGGACGCTGGCTTAGGCTTGGAATCCTGGCCCTCGGTCGATGCGGTCCCGGGTCGCTGCTGCTCCTCTTCTCCGGTAACAGAGGCGTGGGAGGATGCCGGGCGTTGTTGAAGGTGTGGCGCAAAGACAAATCTGGTCTTCCGTCGAAGAATATCGGAGCAAATAACGTCGGGGTGTTTAGATAAGGCGTAAATGGCGTTGAGCGCGTGTTCTGCCACTCCGTACCATTCCTTGCTAGCTGTCTCAATCTCCAGCATGGCTACCAGCTTGAGCAGCACAGAGTGATCGCTGGCGAGCTTAGGAATTCCAACAACTTCCTTCGACTTGGCTTGGCGCCCGGGGATCATGCGCCGCAAAGCAATGCAGGTGTATTTGGCGAGAACGAGGTCAACCCTTCCCAAGTTACCCAGACCGATGCGCAGCATGGCCTCAATCTCCTTAACCACAATTTCCGGATCTGCCAGGGCTAACATGCCGAGGACAATGATCGAACCTCTGCGTTGCGTCCGTGAGATCTCCTTCTTCTGGATACCGTACACCTGCCATAGCTTAGCAATAACAGCGTCTGATACATTTCCAGCCTTCATCATGGTGCTCAGCAACTGCTCGAGGCAGGTGAGCTCCGCAGGGGTTGCACCGAAAGTCAAACTAATCATGTTGCGGGCGATATAGTTTGCAGCATCGTTGGGAGTGAAAGAACCAGGCGCATCGAAGAACAGACCCTTATAGCAATCAATGAGATGGGTTTGGACACCTTTTCCTTCGTCGCTGTTGCCTTTGGTCCAAATCAAACGCAGCATACGACGAATTCCACTCCGGGCAGTCTCAACCTTGTACGCATCCAGGACGACAAAGAAGTCCATGGCTTCGATAACCTCGCTTTTATTCCGAGACGAAAGCAACTGTGTGACGATGGTTGACCCGGAGTGAAGCACTTCGATGAATCGAATGGCCTCATTATAGTATTTCCTCGTCAGTTGAAGACGCGTCATCAATTCGGATGTTGCCGCTTGCTCTGCAGCTTTCCGCACAGCGGCAGCTTTCTCTTCCTCGCTCATCCGAGGTGCCTTGGAGGGAGAGTCATCTGGTAGCTGTGTAGCATCGTCCAACAACTCAGGGTCAACTTGAGTCATGTCGCCTGCCTCAAAGCCAGGCGTCTCAGGAGGTCGCAAGGCATTCAATTCGGCGTCAACCGCGTCGAGTCTCTCGGTCCACCCCTTGAGGGCTAGTTGCCCGCCATGCATAACGCTGAATGGATGTGTCGAGACAAGTTTGGACAGTAGCTTAATCGCATTGCGTCGTACGTTGCTACTTTTGTCCTCCAAACTTCTGGCGGCAAGTTCCGCAGCGGCCTGTCGCCTTTTAGGGAACTTTTGCTCCAAGTCGCAGATTCGCATGAATACTTGAATCGCTCGGCAGCGGCAGTAAGGATTGATATCGAGGAATCTTTCCTCTAGAACGTCGAAAAATGCGTTAATCTGGGTCTTATAATTATCACTGCGTTCTTCCTGCCGGCTGAGATCGGAGATGAGGTTGCCGCAGACTTCGATGACTGCACAACGAAGTGTATATGCCTGCACTTGTCAGCGAAGCGCTTGGAGAACCGAGTATGGTGCATACCTCGCTATCTAACTGTTTGGCCAAAAGAGTCATTTGTTTGATGATCAATCTGGGAGCCAGTTCGGATAGTTTGATAATGAAGGTCGATACAGACTTAGGACCTCTTGTGTCGTTTGAGTTGAACTCCTTGTTTCCAAGCTCCCTATGCATCCGTTAGCAGATATTCGCCAATTCTCCTGATATAGACTTACTTGAGAATCTCATCAGAAAGCTGTGGATAATCGTATTGCTCCGCCAAAATGTGGAGGAACTCGGCCATGGGCTCAGAGAGATGCTCAAAGTAAGTCAAGCTCTGTACAATGGAAGTTTGAGCTCCTGCACCGAAGTCAGCTATGCCTCAGTCCACATTTGTACTAGAATACCCACCAAATGCCTGACCATGGTGCTTGACTGCGATGCAAAGGACCTTGAAAGCATGCATGCGGATGGCCATACTCTTTACCCGCTGCTCGCTCTCGAGAACCAGGTAGATTGTTCGTGTGAAAAGGGTAATAAAGGTGTCACGATCCGAAGTGGTCAGAAATATGCGTCCTAGTTTGAGCTTCATCACCTTGCACATGGTCTCCATGGAAATTTGGATCTGTGGAGTCCAATCCCACTGCCCACTATTGGCAGACTTCTTGGATTTCGGTCCGCCTCTCCGCACGGGTGCCGCATCGGTGGGCTTTTCTGCTGCCTTAACCTCAACAGCGGACAAGGCCCACTGGAGAAGGAACCCGTACATTTCCAGAAGCTGCTTGTGGTGTTGAATGGCATCCTGGTCCTCGGATTCAAGGTCTCCATGGATAATATCTGCCTCCACCGACAGACCGGAAACAACCAAATCCAAGAGTTTGCTCAAATACTTCGCGGGAAGAAGGGTCGCATATCTGCAAGAGTGAAAGGGTTCGTCAGATTCGAGTCCAGGCGGGCGCCAGCCTCCATGGGCAAGTTGGGAAGGGACCGGGGCGCACTTTAATAAAAACTGTAGCGAATCAAACAATGATGCTCGCGTTATTCCTTCCGGGTTCTCCGCGATGGCATCCACGATCGGGTTCAGGACATTGTCAATCAGCGCGGGCGAAATTTGGTCGGGATCCGATTCGCAATCCAGCAGTTCCGGGTCCGCATCAGGGGTAGGAATAGAAGCAGGATCACTCAGGTAATACTTGAGCGATTCATTTATGTTGAATTGTATTCTGTCCTCCATGTTGTTGGGTGTTGGCGGAAAAAGAGGTTGAAAGCGGGGAGAAAAGCCGATTTGTTGATAAGCTCCATTTGTTTGGCTTTTGCCCTTTTCGGGTCGTCCTTAGTAAGGTCGGTCACGATTTTACCGCTAGTCCTGAAGACACCCGTCTTACCGCCTTGTATCGGTCGATTTGCCTAGCAAATGTATTGTAAGTTTGTTACCGCCCTGTAATGACGGTCCGCGTTATGGTTATTTTGGCAATTGCCGGCAAAGAACATTCTACTTTGACTAAAGCGCGTCACGACTTCACTGGAATTTACCTTACCACTTTATTTCCTATAGCTTCAAACTTGGAGCTGAACTTCCCAAACGTCTATCCGTATTGTCACTATGTCAGCTCTTCACGCTGCTCCGGATATCTTTGAGATCAAGCACAACGATTCCGCAGAAGAGCCGCAGTTGAAAGACAAATATTCATTGGGAGAGGATGATGAAGTAGTGTCTCAAAGCGACGCTCCGCAGGAGAGCGACTATGAAGAGGAAGTGGACGAGTCGGTCAGAGAGGATATGAAGAAGCTTGAGAATACATTCCCAGGGATCTCAGATCGGTTTCGATTGGTGAACAGGATTGGAGAAGGTATGAGACTCTAGCTGTTGCTGTCATTGAATACATTTGCTGATGAGATAATCTTGGGTATAGGCACCTTCTCCACAGTCTACAAAGCAGAGGACCTCCACTATGATGCGCACAAGAACGACTGGGATGTCTTGACATCCGCACAAGACAGCTACACAGAGCCTCCATCCAAACGACGACGGGTCGAGGGCGAACAAGCTGGGCGGAAGAAGGCGAAGTATGTCGCTTTGAAAAAGATCTATGTTACAAGTAGCCCGCTCCGTATTCAGAACGAGTTGGAATTGCTACATGATCTCCGGGGATGCAGTTCTGTCTGCCCGCTGATCACTGCTTTCCGATATCAGGATCAAGTGGTCGCTGTGTTGCCCTATTTCCCACATACCGACTTTCGTATTCAATACCGCACATTCATGGTTGCAGACATGCGCCATTATCTACTATCTCTCTTGACTGCCTTGAACGCGGTCCATGATCATGAGATTCTTCACCGTGATATCAAGCCGACGTGAGTATGCCTTCCGGCATTATCTTGAACCATACTAATAGCTTTTAGCAACTTCCTCTACAACCCAGAGTTGAAACAAGGTGTCCTAGTTGACTTTGGGCTTGCAGAGGTATGATTCAGAATTGCGTAGTACGTCGTTCTACTTACTAATTTCGTACCAATAGCGCCAAGGTTCAGAATACGCCAGTCCATGTCTATGTACCCACCAAAGCTATGCCCGGCGAAGCCGGATCCTTTCTAGCTACTTCTCCAAGAACCCTCCGACGAATGGATTGTCGGCCGGTTACCCTAAGAATGATTCACGACCTTCACGACGTGCAAACCGGGCTGGCACTCGAGGCTTCCGTGCCCCCGAAGTTCTATTCAAATGCACCTCACAAACCACAAAGATTGACATGTGGTCAGTGGGTGTTATCCTTTTGACTCTGCTGGGACGTCGGTTCCCGTTCTTCAACTCTGCCGACGATATCGATGCAATGATTGAGATGTCAAGCATCTTCGGCACCCGGCGCATGAAGGCGGCCGCCGCCATGCACGGTCAGATCTTTGAAACCAACATTCCAACCATCGGCGAGAAAGGCTACAGCTGGGAAAAGCTGGTGAAATGGTCCAGCTGTGTGGAAGATTTGACGGAAAGCGAGCTACAAGCAACCCGCCTGTTATCTGGACTGATGGATCTAGATCCGTCCAAGCGACTCAGTGCGGAGGAGGCTTTGCAGCACGAATTCTTTACGGATCCTGTCCACCATGATGTGAAATGGGGTGGCCACCCGGATCCGGATGATAGTGCTGAGTCGGCAGAAGAGGAGGAGGCAGACGAGGCCGATGAGGTTGCCATGCTATGAGACCCAAGATTAGTTGTACGATATTTGATGCCATACACTATGCAATGTATTATTTTACGACAACAAAGTAGAAATCATGTGCTTCAATGAATTCACGACAGGCTATATATGTACACAGTATGCTACGCGTAATGCTATCTCGACTCTCCAAAATCATAATGACCTGTCTCCGCGGCATGTTTGGTAGCACCCTTCTCTCCAGTAAAGGTGCCTCCACAGACGTTGCAGCGAACAGTGAAGCCAGAAGTGTCGGTATAATAATGCTTGCCCTGAAGAACCCGACACAGTTCTTTAGCCTTTTCCAAAACGACAGGGTCAACCGCCTCGAAGATCTTGGTGTCACCATGGGCTAGTGGGTTGGCACGAGTGTAGGGCGGATTGGAGGGGGACAACGCAAGAACATCGTAGTGAATTCCCGAATACACCACGATACACCGCGTAGGTGCGCCTTCGTTGAACTGAAACATGTTCAGAGTCTGTACATCGATGGAGCAAATCTCAATGTTGAAGTATTCACTCAGAATCTTGAGTTCGATGGCGCCGCCCCAGGAGTCTTCATTCTGGATCCAGGCACAATAATCATCCGGCTTTTGGCCCAAAATTGCGGCTGTATATTCTTTTGGGTTCGACTGAATGCTGCCTGCGACGATCGATCGCAGCTCAACCATCGTGTCCATATCGCCCATGACTGCGGCACCCACTGCGCGGAACAGACACGAATTGTCGTCGGGCATCACCCGGAGAACAAAAGTTCCGGCATGTTCTGGGGAAGGTATTTCTGGCGGGTCTTCGGCGCCATTCTCTTGTGGTATATGCGATGTCGATGGCTGTGGTGGCGCTGGGGGTGCTGTTGTCGCATCATCGCTTGCGCCCCGACTAGCACCCTCCTTCTGTGCGACAATGAGTGACTCTCCGTTCAGATTTATTCCAATTTCTGAGATGCGTTGGTCGGGTTGGTATGTGTCAAGCTCAAGTGGCTTGAGAGGGTAGCCGTATTTAACGTCAAAGGTACGAAGGCTGGTCTTCTCCGCAATTTGATCTTGGAGGTCTCTGATAGTTGCGCTGTCGTCCAAGGTGACAGTTGTTTGGCCTGATGGCCCACGGACTCGAATCCTCATTCTATAATGTGAGAGAAGTGTAGGGCAAGAAGAGGCAAATGTAAGGAAGCTAAGGGAAGTGTGATGGGGGGGCAAGGTCCACCGATAAAGATATGACGATTTGCCCGTGTGGGGTATATTCTTGGATGCAATGCAAGCTGATATATAGCTTCCTCTTCTCCCATAAGCAGAACAAGCAAAGCAATTATGTGCTTGATATGTGAATCTTTGTTCGGGTAAAAGAATGTTGAAGTCGCAAGAACCGCAAACAGAGTGAGACAGAGCAAGCTGTAGCCGCCTGTAGATATCAGGCCAATCATAGCAGTCCTGAAGGGCTGCATACTTACATTACTGTAAGTATGCGAAAGTCGGAATAACTTCAACCCCCTTCACTGTATGCTGTTATAGCATGTCTGTCACATAGCCCTCAAATGGGTGGTTTCATTCTGATAGAGATCATCTGAAGTTGACTCGATGTAAAAGAGAACTGAGGTGAAGGGCAAGACCTCTGTCACGAGATGTCACGAGATTACCGTATGTAACGTAAAATAGCCGCTGACTCAGCAGCTGCTTCAAACGCGCTCGTAAAACATTCTCCAACTGTCTCCAGGGCTCCCTACTTGTCTTCACTTAAATTCTGACTTGCTGGCTTTCATTTCTTTGATCCAGTCTGTCGCCCAAACCTCCACATTTTGCGTGGCAACGCGCTTGTCGCCAACAACATGGAGTCCGAGAAAGAGCTGTCGCAACCCCCGCGCGGACAACCCGTCAACTCCATTGAGAATGACGGCGCGATCACCCCCGAGCTATGGAAAATCATGATGGATGTGGTCCTGTCTATTTATGATTACCGAGAAGACGAGTGCGGTTGAGTTTCAACTCTATAATATCTGATCAGTGGCTAACGTTATCTTGCGCAGTGGCCATGATCCATCGCGATTGTTCCATCGCAGTGTCAACAAGCGCTATGTGCCCGACTATTACGAGATCATCAAGGAGCCAATGGCTCTGAGTATTTTGAAAGCGCGCATCAACAAGCGAGAATATAAGCATTTCTCCGAATTTGTTCGCGACTGTGCCTTGGTGAGTATTTGCGCCCCTCCAGGACGCTACTAGCTAACTAACGATCTAGATCCCACACAATGCGCAAACCTACAATAGGCCTAGGTCACAAGCCTACGAAGATGCGCTTGTTGTCAAGGTACGTCTGGCTATACTTCCCTGCCCTCCGGCAACTGAACTGACGGTCTTTAGGAGGTTTTTGCCGCCGAGTTCAGAAAGTTAGCTGAGCAGGGCACGATCCCCGCCGAACAGGCAGAACTACCCGATCTCGGAGAAATCCCCGAGGCTGATCCGTTGCCGGATGAGGATGAGGAAGAGGAAGAGGAGGAAGAAGATGAGGATGACGACTCCGAGGATGAGGGCCGGCGAAGGAAGAAGCCCGGTCCCAAGCCGGGCTTTAAGCGTGGAATGGCTCAGAAGAACGAACCGGACCTTCGCAAGAAACGAGGCCGCCCTCCGCGCGTGGACACGCCTATGGAAATTCGCATCAAGACCATATTGAAGGGTATCCGGAAGTTCAAGGGTGCCGGTGGTCATCTGAAGATTACACACTTCGAACGACTCCCCGACAAGGCCACTTATCCCGACTACTACATGGAGATCAAGGAACCTATCGCCATCGATATCATCAAGCGCAAGTCCAAGCGCAAGAAGTACAACTCTGTTGACCATTTCATGCGCGATCTCGATCTCATGTTCGAGAATGCCAAGGCTTACAACCAGTCTGATAGCGAGATCTTCAAGGATGCCTACGATCTGCAAATCGAGGCACGAAAGCTAGCCGATCAAGAAAAGAAGAAGCCCGACAGCGAGTTCCTGATGGAAGACGGGCGCTTCCCGCTGCCCGATGGTATTCTCCACCGCGGTGAACTGTGGAAGGTTGGTGACTGGGTTCATATTCAGAACCAGAACGATGTGTCCAAGCCCATTGTCGCACAGATCTACCGAACCTGGCAGGACTCTGAAGGAGAGAAATGGATCAACGCATGTTGGTATTATCGCCCCGAGCAGACTGTCCATCACTTCGAGAAGCACTTCTATCCCAACGAGGTTGTGAAGACTGGACAATACCGAGACCACCGGATCGATGAGATCGTGGACCGATGTTTCGTCATGTTCTTCACCCGTTACAGCCGAGGCCGCCCAAGAGATCTCGCACCGGATAAGGAGATCTACGTGTGCGAGGCTCGCTATAACGAGGAGAAACACAAGTTGAATAAGATCAAGACATGGGCCAGCTGTCTTCCCGATGAAGTGCGCGAAAAGGACTACGAGATGGATCTCTTCGATATCCCTCGCAAGATCAAGAAGGTTCCTAGCCCAATCAAACACCTACTGAAAGAGGATGCAAAGGAGACCGATGACCTCCCTCGGCCAACCTGGGGAACCGACAATGCACCCCCTGTTGTCGGCGCCGTCCACCGCCGTCCACGAGATGAGAATGTAAGTTCCAGATTCGACTAAGAAGACCGTTCTGGAAAAGCTAACAGCATTAGGAATCCCCACCACCTGAGCCTACCCCATCCCCACCTCCTCCTTCCTTGCCCCAGGCCGTAGCACCCCGTCAATCACTGAGCCAAGCGCCTCCCGTCTCCGCCATCAGCCTAGCCGCTGCTGCACTGCAATCACACTCACCGGCACCCCCAATGGCCATGCACACCTCTCCCCGGCCCTCACCCGCCTTCGCCCCAGCAATGACCCCAGCCCAAGCCTATCAAGCCTCCCTCCAACGCCGCACCAGCAACTTTGCCACGCCACAAGCCCCAGCAGGCGTATACCAGGCCTCGCCAGTGGCTCAGCCCTACTCAGCAGTCCAGCCACCCTACGCCGGCTACTCCCAGAGCCGTATGCAAGCTCCACCATCAGTGTATAATCCCAACGCTCCCCGCCCCGTGGAAGTCTTCCACCTAAGCGACGCAGCCAACGCCGCCATCCCAGAGGACATCCGCCAACAGTTCCACTGCGACGACCAAGGCCGCGTCCTCTTCTTCTCCACGCCACCGATGGATTTCGTCCCGCCTTCAAACCCGAAGCTCGGCCACTCCCTGAAGTACCTGGCGACCAAAGAGGGGCACCAGAAGAAGGTCGCAGAGAGGAAACGCAAGCTGGCTGATGAGCAGGCCGAGCGTGAAGAGGCGGCGAAACGTCATCAGGCTGATGTCGAGACGGATCTCGCTGCACGTGTTCAGGGCCTGACCGGTAAGGCTTTTGAGACGTTGGTGCAGCGTGTCGTTACCGGTACCGGGCAGTTACTTGATTCTCTTGGGGATCGGTCCGGTGCTGTGGATGTGGATGGACGTGAGCGTGGTGCTTTGGCGGATTCGCTGGCCAGGGAGCAGACCAGAAAGATTCAGGCTCAGTCTACGACGGAGGGACCGGTTAATTTGAAGGGTGATGCTTTGTACCTCGGCAAGGGTCAGTAGTGGACATATTGGGTGGTTTTATGGTCTGGTTCCAAGAGGCGTGGTCTTTGGGGCGTTTGATTAGTCTTAGGAATTTGTATGATTAGAAGGTTACAACATCAAATGGATGGTTTTTATTGAAACTTGTCCTTGCTACATCTTCGTAGTACGGTAGTACCTGCAAGAGTCATGGAATCTGTTTATTTGCATATCTCCAATTTGTACATACTGCAGCCCTGAAACTCAGGACCACCTATTCCGACAGTAGGGAACAAAGAACAAGGGAGAAGATAGAGAAAACACCTAAGAAGCACCAGAGATCGCCGGGTCGTCAAATCATGAAACAAGGGCAGATCGAAGCAAGAGTCGGCGGTCAACCCAGGTGCAGTGCGATGTCCAGGGAAGTCGAATAGAGACAGAGAAAAACGCAGAGATTAGTACAGTAGATAGGGCCCAACCATGAGAAACACATATGACTGGTCTAGATGATTCCGGGTAAATGGAATGAGGAAAGCATGAATGATGTGGCGATGCCAGTCTATGATGAGAGGGGATGAGGTTGTCGTTTCTTTTTTTGTTTTCTTTTTGTTGTCTCTTGCCAGAGAAATTCTCTCACCCCGAAAGAGAGTGTGTGTGTGTGAGAGAGATACGGATGTATTGTCTTGGGCCTTCCTTTTGTTGTATCTCCTGTATGTTAATGCCCGTTGAACTCCATACTCCGTTTTTGTTTGCCTTTTTGTTTTTTGTTGAATATAAACATGTCCAAAGTGGACTCGGCGTCAAGTCGTGAGGATCGGTTCGAAACAAAGAGAGCTTAGGAAGTGCTCTCTTTGTTCTCCCACGAGGCACTGTTTCGCTTGTTGCCAACTTCTTCCTCCATATCGAAAACCAGGTCACTCTGCTCTTCCTCCTCAATCTTGCTTGTGCTGACAGGAGAAGGAATGATTCGGTCAGAGGAAATGAGCCGATCGAGGCGCCCGCTAGGACCAGTCGATGACTGGCGAGCAGAACCAGGGTGAAGAGACAGGCCACCGAGTTGCTCGGAAATCATGGACATAGAAGACTGGCGTCCAGGACTCGAGACAAATGGCGACCCGTCGTGGGAAGCTCGGCGATCACCAATGGGACCCAGACTAGGACTGGTGATCGGGTTCAGCGACGACTCACGCAGAGGTGAGCCGATATGGAAAGAGGAAGAACCGTGAGTCTCCTCTTCCTTGCGCTGACGCTGTTTGGCAAAGAGGGCACCAAATCGGGAGGGGCTGGACGCCAGGGGAGAACCAGTCTTAGAGAAGCTGGTGCTTGACATGCCAAAGCCGCTGCGATGGCTAGAACTCAAGTCGTTGTCGGTACGAGAGAGACGGCGCAGCTTTTCCTGCGGTGTCAGGACGTCATCGTGCAGATTGACCGGCAGATAATCCTCTTCCATAGGGAAATTCTCATCCCAATCCTCAAGAGCCGTGGGACGAGGAACACTGGCGGACAGCATGCGTGGCTTGACAGGACGCGCAGAGTGCATGAAACGGGTGCCAGTCGTATCTTCCGGGGCCGGAGGAGACGATCCAATGTAAGATGAAGGCTTGCGCAAGCTGCTGCCATACCCAATGTCGCGCAGGTTACGGAAAACATCTGCGTGTCCCGGTCTCTGAGCCGGCGGGGACTGTCCAAACTGCGAGGGCATCGAAGCAGCCACCGGACCATAACGCGCAGCATGAGAGATACCCTGACTGTCGAAGGAAGCCGGAAGACCCGCGTCAAGAGCGCTAAGGTGGTTATTATTAGGCGACATCGGGAATCGAACATCCTCTGGGGGCGACCCGTACTTGGAGCCGGCATCGGAGGCCAGGCCCGTATCGATTGTGGGAATTCCATCGTAGGTCGGCTGTTGCTGCCCGGGCAGGGGCCCATACTCCTCCTGCGGGGGGAGCTGCGGGGCAAATCGAGGCTGGTCGTGTCCGTTCATGCGCTGTTGCGAGAGCACCGAGTTGGTCAAGGCGGAGTCCTGGTTAACATAGGCTTGAGGGTTCACACGGCCGCCCAAATTGAGGTGACCGCTTCCCATTCCCATGTTTCCAGACGGCCGGTTGACTCTGCGTCCATCTGGTAAGATATGCGCCAACGCGCATTTTGCGCCGAATTTGCAATTACCCTGAAATCAATATGTCCGTTAACCACCGGTTGCCTCGGAAAACTTGCCACAAAGAAAAACCTCCGGCTGCTAAAATCATACCTTTGCAAAGTATTTGCATGGAGCAAAGTCAATTCCGGCATCGGTAGAGTGTAAGAATGGGCAAGCGGGGCCTGCCTGACAGGCACCTTGGCGGAAGAATTTGCAAGGAACGTGCTTGGTGTCTGTACGATCGAAGAGAAGGAGGTTAGTTAGAGGATCTTCGAAAACAATAGCAGAAATGGAGGAAATTCTCAGAACTTACTCTTATTGCTCTGGTTCGGCGGGCTGCGGGCAACGTCGAGTCCCGAGTGATTGCGAGTGTGTCCACTCTGGGGCTGCGCCCCAGAAGTAACCGGAACAGGTGCACGACCTCTCATCTCTGAATGACTGGTTCGAGGAGACGATGGACGGGAAGACACCTGCAGGAAGTAAGAAGTGGGAGGGGCTTGGAGATTGGAGAGAGGGGAAAGACAAGACTCGGCGGGCGGTGGGGGAGATTCGACACCTTAAAAGTACGTTGAAGAGTGAAGGTGACAAACGAACGTAGTCACGTCGTTGGAGAGTTACATATGGGAATTCTTAATAGCACTATGCTCTTATACGATCTCACAGGCTTCCGTCTCTCGCCATGACAATGTCTGATTGACCAAAGGTTTGCCTTATCGTTGCCTTCATTCAATAGGATTACCTCCATTTAAGAAGTTGTCAAGCTGCATACCATCTCAAATGTCTCTCAATATAAAATACAGCCAGCCTTAGAAGCATGTAAAGTCTCGATAGCTCTCCTAGTGATCACAAGTGTCAAATGATGTGACCGAGTGGGGTGACTAGAGAGATCACCACTCCGCGATGACCTCTTATTGGAGCGTTCCTTCAAGCCCCAAAGATTCCTAGTGACATTTGTCAGAAATCCTCGAGCATTTGACATTCAGAACCCTTGGGGCTAGGTCATTGCTCAAAACTCACCCATAGCTCCGCCGCGGTCATGCCCTCCGGTACAACCTCAGAGCATTGTCCCCATAGCTCACGACAAATTCGATGACGCACGCTCACATGCCGCTGCCATTGTTTCCATGCTTTCTCGAGCTCTTCCCTCTCTGCGGGCGAAACCTGGACAGGGTCCCCCTCGTGGCGGCTTGCCAAGCGCGCCCGGATCGTTGACTCTTCGCTCTCGAGACGGCTGATATCCTGCCGGAGATCGGACACTCGGGGCTTTGCCTGCAAAGCTGCTAAGGCTGTTCGGGCCTTCTTCTCACTTGCTTTCAGGGTTGATAGCTGACCTTCCAGATCCTCAATGTCGAGCTTGAAAGCCGTGGCTGCCTCCGGTGTTGTGATGTCCGGGTCTTGGATAGCATGGTAGACTGTCTGTTTGCCTGTGCATCATTCGGTTTAAGTGTATTCTCTTGTCAGCGAATATGCTTTGCTCACCAGAAACTCGTCCCTCGATTTCCTTCTTCTCATGCAACTCTCGGAGAAGCTTTGCGGCTTGAGCTGAAAAGACATATGTCAGAAAAGCATATCAAAGGCCACACCAGCCTTACTTTTGGTCACCTTATTGTGAAGGTTTGCAGAAACATCAATGGCCTAAAGGTGCTCGGTCAACGGGCTGTTCATCCTATTTGGGAGAAAGAGCGAACCGAATATGGACGACTGCGCCAGGCGATGTTAGCCACTCGTATAACAATGTCAGATCAAAGCTAACAGACTTTTGTTGGCCTGGAATCTCGCCATGTCAGTTGTTGAGACAACGTATGAGCAGGTTGGGATACTTACGGAGGTATTCGCGTATCATGGAAGCATCTTCACAAGAATCAGCCCAGTCAATAGACCTTGAATTGGACCATCTCACCGTCACCTTTGGCAGATGCATCGTTCTGCGGTTTACGCGGAGCCATTGTACATGAGCAGAGATATTGACGGTTGACGTTGACGGCACGAGTTGAGAAAGGTGAGGATTAGAACTCACGTGGAAGCAAATGAGAACAAACACAACTCGACCAAGTTCTCTCAAGGAAACCATTGAAAATGATAAATTCGTGACTACTCCTGATATCTAAGTCGTTCCCAAACTTACAGAGAAACATGAAAACTGAATACAAATGACCATATGCCCAAGAAACCAAAGTAAAGTACCAAAATGACATCCGGGGTACAATGCAGTTATGTGGAAACGAGAAAAGAAAACCCGTCAGAAACCGTTCGCCTCTCGGACGGCGTGAGCTTTTGAAACCCCGAGATTATAATAAGAGAGATGCAAGACAAGAAAACGAGTATAACGCATAAAGACAATGTCAAGAACCCGGGGTATCACATCACAATCTGCAAAAGTTAGCTTGGATTCAAGGTCAATGCGCCAAGAGGTTGTACATACGCAATCACTGTCTTTATTCGCAGCAGGAACACCCATCTCTTCGAATGTCTTGGGTCCTTTGCTCGGTGGCTTAGCAGGCTTCGGCTGTGGCGCGGATGAAGTCGACGACGCAACCGAGGATGGTGGCTGAGGCGTAGAGGCACCCGAGCCATGAGACGGTTGTCGAGACTCCATACGTGGAGGGAATGAGGGAGAGCCAGGCGGCCGAGGAGATGCCAACCCGGGTGAGTGCATCCCGGAGTGACCTGGAACAGGAGTTCTGATGGGCTTGCGCTCCGCCGAGTCAAGGCGAGGTGGGCGTCGCCCTCCGGGGGGCGGCATTGGTGCAGAGTAACCAATATCGAGACGAGGGGTCCCACCAGGACTGTGTATGCTATTAGGCTGCGGGCTTCCTGGTCCAGCAGGGGCGCTGAGAGGGGTTCCAGGACCAGTCTGGCGATAGTTCATGGGTCCGCCAGGTCCATAGGATGGTGTGCGAGATCCAGGGCCAGGAGGAGGGCCGCCATATCCTGGCGGTACATTAGATCGAAGGTTAGGGTTGACGCCGAAAGCAGAGCTTGGCCGGGTATCCGACAGCTGATAACCCTGTTGGGGCCGCGGGCGCGTAGAGTGAGGACGGTCGGGGTAAGGAGCACCCGATGGAGGGCCGTCGGAAAGAGTTATCCTGGAGGGATCTGGCATTTGGATGTTCTCCGGCGCCGCTTCCAAAGATCCGCCCCGCTGATGAGCTGTATACCGGGTCGACTTGATGCGTGAGATGGCGACCTTCTCATGATCCTTCCTGGAGAGAGTTTTGGAGCGCGAGATACTCTCAATACGACCAGACGCATCCTTGTTGCCACTGGCGGCGGCCTTGGCATACCAAGAGCGAGCTTCCTTGATGTCGACCGGCACAAAGATACCAACCTCATAGAAGTAACCCAAAGCAAATTCCGCCGTCGGAAGACCGCTTTGAGCCGCGCGCTGCGCATATGTGAACGCCAGTTCGTCGTTCTTCTCGAATACGCCTTCATGTCCACACAGGAACCACTTGCTGATTGCCATCTCGGCTTCGGGCTCACCCTGACGAGCTGCCAGTGCATTATAGTGCAGAGACAGGGCAGGATTGAAGTCACAGCTCAATTGACAAAGTTCATATGCGGCACCCATCTTGACCTGGGCCTTGGCAAAGCCATGATATGCAGCCTTTTCAATATTGACACGTGCCAACTTAAGATCCAGGGGTAAGAAGGTTTCCGGAACGCTCACTTGAGGGAGCTCCCGGGCTAAAAGCATGCCATATACCTGTTGCGTGTCAGAAGCAATTACAGTGAAAATCTATCTATCTCAAGATAGGTATAAGAGCCGATCACTCACGTATGCACCTTGAGGTGCATTCTGATCGCATGACTGCGCTGCCAGGCGAATGTATTCCAACCCGGTGTTGAAATCCTGGCGCTGACCATGCTGTCCCAAAAGAATCATCATTCCCAGGCGCTGCAAGAATGTTAGTCTCTCTATGTTTGATAAATGCAAGATCAACACCCACATAGTACGAGGCCGAATCCGCCCGCGCAACACCCCGCTCATAATGTTTGATGGCTTTCTCTGGTTCGCCCGAACTCTCAAACTGCATGCCGATCCGATACTCGGCACGCGCATACCCCTTCTCAGCGGATCGCGAATATGATCGGAATGCCTCCTTGCGATCCACTGGGCAGCCAAATTTGCCAAACTCGAGCCACATGCCCTTGATAAATTCCGCTTTGGGGTGGCGCTGTTCGGCTAAGAAGTTGACAATGTTCATCGCGTCGATTCGCAATTGGCGCTCCACCTGCGGGGTCTGCGGGCGCGGGGGCTGAGTCAAACAGAGGCGGGCTTCATTCTGTGCGGCGACCTCGACAAAGGCGAGTGCATCCATGGCCCAGGCTAATTGCATCTCTGGATCGGTGGTTGACAACACAGCCATGCGTGCGCGCTCCAGATTCGCCTCTCTCTGCTCGTCGGTGGGAGGGACGTTAGGTGGGGGATTCCGTAGAACGGGGAAAGGCGAGAAATTGGGGTGATCCATGCTGTCATAGGTCGCAGATTGCGCGTAGGAACTGGGATCGTGAAACTGGCTGTGTTGAGGTGGTCCTTGGGCGGCGGAGGAAGTGCGCTCGGGATACTGAACTTGGGCGCGTTGGTATTGCGCGGGTGGTTGTTGGCCGCGGCGGGGGTCATGAGCGCGGTGTTCCAGTTGAGCAATGTTGTCCTGCATGTTCTCCGGCACCTCTGGCATCACTCTGGGACGAATTAGTACACGTACTTTCGCCATTGCTTTCCAACAATAGTTGTTTCGGATGGTTTAGATAGTTTAGATGTTTTAGCCGTACCGTTGAGGAGATGGGGATATGACCTCTGGCATGTAGAAGTCATCTTGCCCCCTGGATACCATGTTGCACCTAACCGTTGCTGACCGTGACCCTGTGGCGGCCTGTTCATAGTGTAATATTTGATTTATTGGGGGGGGAACTTGAGGCTTGAAGGTAAGGGCAGATTCCCAGGCCCTAGTGCCGATAGTCGGGTAGAAGATTAGAAGGTTAGGTGTTCGAAAAGGAGGGGTGAAATTAAGAAGAAATCAAAAAGAAAAAGAGGAGGCCAAGTGGATTGTTAAAAGCAACCACTTTACTCATACGAAGTACTACAAAATTACCAAAAAACCCCCACCCCCGCCAACACGTTTAACTTTTAAAATTTGAAGTAAAACTGAAAACTGGTACAGTGGTACGGAGTATTAATAACTAGATGTTTAAGTTTATTGATCTCAGCCTCATGTGAGATTGATAGAGTTGAAGTAGATGTACACAGTAAGAACTAAGGTATTCATGTATACGCAAAGTATCTCCCCCTCCTTTTGGACAACCCGGAAGCAATTTAAGATGCAGCGACATACATACGAAGTACATCGTCTGTATCAAATGTCTTACATTTGAAGTGGAAGCCTTATATAGAGACCCCACTATTTTCCTATTTGGACCAGTTGTATTTTTATCTTTTTATCGTTTAATTCCATTTTCTCTCTTCCATTTCCCCTTTCCCTCGGAAACTATACCCAATTAACATCATTAACTTGACGACACTTTTCGCCCTACGTACTCGGGGACAGAGATCGCCCCAGCCTCCCAGGTACAAGTTCTATTTTAAACTTCTTTCATTTCTCCACCATGGAGAATTTCCACCATCCATATACGCCATATGATATTCAACTGCAATTTATGCAGGCATTGTACAACTGCTTGGAAGAAAGCAAGATTGCCGTCTTTGAATCCCCCACTGGTAAGTGCGGAGTGTGCTGGGGCCTTTGCTTTTTAGTCTAATTCATGTAGGTACTGTAAGTGCCCTTTGCCGCCACAATTGTTCACTGCCCCCAAACGGGACCCCTGATGCATCTCTGAATGTTTGTTATATGGAGCTAAGCCTCTCCCAATTAGGGAAAATCTCTTAGCCTAATCTGTGGTTCCCTGACATGGCTGCGAGACCATAAGCGAAAGGCATTCCAAGAAACCGTTGATGCTACAGGTGGGTCCTCCTGTCAAACATCATGAACTATTCGATCATCTAACCATTTCCAAGGTGATGACGATGAGCCAGAATGGATGGTAGAGCATGCCAAACGTGAATCGAGGCGTGTCATCACAGAGAAAAGACAGGAATTCGAGGCCCGTCTGGCTAAGGTTCGACAAGAGGAGGAACGTCTGAAACAGGCTCAAGACAGCACAGAGCGACCCCGTAAAAGACAGGTATGTATATGTTGCTGGGGGCTTAGTATGAGGACACTAAACCAACTAGAAAATAGCGACTTGAAGATTCAGCACCTGAACTGGCTACGGATGATGACCAGTTCGTTCTTGATGACTATGATAGCGACACAGAGAGCCAGAACAAGCAGAAGGGATCTGACGGCTTGTCTGCGAGCACTCTAGCCCTATTGGAAAGATTCAAAGGGAAATTCTCGACACAAAAGAAAGACGAGGAAGGCGAAGGAGATGATGGGATCAAGATCTTTTTCTGCTCACGAACACATTCCCAGCTGAGTCAGTTTGCTGGTGAATTGCGGCGCGTCGCATTCCCATCCAGTATACCCGGCGACCTGGATACAGAAAGCAAAGATGACATCTCTAACCTCGAAGAACGGGTGAAACACCTTTCTCTGGGATCTAGGAAGAACCTCTGCATCAATCCCAAAGTCCGGGCTTTGGAGAACAACACCGCAATCAATGAGAAGTGTTTGGAATTACAACAAGCCGGTGTAGCAGCCGACAAGAAGTGCTCCTTTCTTCCCTCCAAAGATGACGAGGCTTTGGCTCTCGAATTCAGAGACCATGTGTTAGCCACAGTCAAGGACATCGAGGATATTGCCGATGTTGGTAAAAAGCTTGGAATATGCCCCTACTATGCATCCCGTCCAGTGATCAAACACAGCGAGGTTAGTCTCATCCAGTGACAGATTCTCATGCCGATGCTAACACAAGATCAGATTGTGACACTTCCATATCCTTTGTTACTGCAACGGTCTGCTCGTGAGGCCCTCGATATTTCCGTCAAAGGCCATATCGTCATCATCGATGAGGCCCACAATCTCATGGATGCGATATCTGGCATTCATTCAGTGACAGTCTCACTGAGCCAGCTGCAGACTGCGATAGGACAACTGACGACATACGCCCGCAAGTTCAAGAATAGGTTAAAAGGGAAGAATCGAAACTATGTCGCGCAAGTCATCCGCTTGGTGAGCTCCATTGCGGAGCACCTAAAGTTAATGTCCCAGCAGAAGGGTCCAGTGGAAGGTCCAGTACAAGCATCAGATCTTATGGCTGGAAAAGGAGTTGACCAGATCAACCCTTACAAGCTCTCGAGGTATCTACAGGAGAGCAAGCTCGCCCGGAAAGTCGACGGCTACCTGGAGTCCACACAGGAGCCTCAGCCTGGTCACCGCAAGGACAGGACGACAATGCCGGTCTTGTTTCATATCCAGAGCTTCCTTCTGCCTTTGATGAATCCTTCGGAAGAGGGACAGCTCTTCTTTCAAAAGACGCAAGGCGATATCATGTTGAGATACATGCTGCTTGACCCTACGAATCATTTCCGAGAGATTGCTGAAGATGCCAGAGCTGTCATCTTAGCTGGTGGCACTATGTCTCCTGTTAGTCGGCTTGAATTACCCGAAATTGCAGTTCACTAATTCTCCCCGCAGATGTCCGATTATGTCAATCATTTGTTCTCATATCTGCCCCCTGAACGACTGGACACGTTTAGTTACGGTCACGTCATTCCCAAATCCAACCTGGTGGCGCAATCCTTGACTCAAGGGTTGATGGGAACCGAATTTGACTTCACGTATGAGGCGCGAAATTCGGAGAAAATGGTATGTCAATATATTCCATGCATACGAAAGTTCTGTTGCTTTACTGACGAAATAGATCACCGACCTTGGGCGCACGATAACAACCCTCTGTCAGGTCATCCCAGATGGCGTTGTCGCCTTCTTTCCCAGTTATGACTATCTTAGCCAAGTCTTGAGTGTGTGGAAGAAGCCTATCCCCAACGGGAACGGTCAGACCATCCTCAGTCTCTTGGAACGTAAGAAGAAGATCCTCTACGAATCGCGAGAAGCAGTGACTACCACAGATGCTTTGTTGCAAGAGTACACAGAGGCCGTTGACTCTGGATCAGGAGCACTACTTCTGTCTATCGTGGGCGGGAAGTTATCAGAAGGCATCAATTTCTCCGACAAGCTAGGCCGTGGCGTCCTCATCATCGGTCTGCCATTCCCAAATATTCGTAGCGCTGTCTGGCAGGCCAAGATCCAGTACCTCGAGGAAAAGATCTACAAACAGGCCTCTGGCTCGGAGGCGGAAAGGAAAGCAGCAGGCAAGGCAGCGGGTAGGGAGTATTACGAGAATTCGTGCATGCGAGCAGTGAACCAGTGCATTGGGAGAGCCATCAGACATGTGAACGACTATGCCGCCATCGTCATGATTGACCGCCGATATGAGTTGCCACGCATCCAGCAAAAGTTGCCTGGTTGGATTCGAGGGAGCTTGGTCCCAGCGCCTCCCACGCGAGCGGCTCAGATGACCATGCAACGACTGACTAAGTTCTTTGCGGAAAAGAGACAGTAGCGCAGTCGCCGCAATAAAAAGAAAAAACAATACATCTTCTAGTATTATGCACATAGTATTGGGCTCATTTTTGTATCGTATGATTCGTTTCCATGGTCGAGATGTACCGAGGCCCTAAAGACGGCAGAATGGGCAAAAGCGGTGTCCGCGAAGACAAGTTCTGACATAAGCTCTGACAAAGCCAGGGCTAGGGCTTTACGATCACGGGACAAGCGAATTTGCTAGCGCACACTCTAAGCCTGGATTTCAACATCTCGTAGACGGAACGATCCCTTCAACGCCAAACATCAACGGTCTTGTCGAAACAGCCCCGCCGACAAGATGCCTACCCGTTTCTCAAACACCCGGAAGCAGTGAGTCGACACCCTTTCCTGTGCCGTTTGAATCGAGTTCTTTTCTCGTCGATCGCGACCAGAGAAGCGAAATTCGTCATAGCCCGTCGCAACGTCGCAGCAACATCTCACTAACCTCTCTTCTTCTCGCAGCCGCGGCCATGTGTCCGCCGGTTACGGTCGTGTCGGCAAGCACCGCAAGTCGCCCGGTGGTCGTGGTATGGCCGGTGGTCAACACCACCACCGTACCAACATCGACAAGTTCCACCCCGGTTACTTCGGTAAGGTTGGTATGCGGTACTTCCACAAGACCAACCAGCAGTTCTGGAAGCCCACCATCAACGTCGACAAGGTACGTTATACCCTACGATTCGATCCGATATGAAGAAAGCCGAGATTGTGTGGATTGGTGTGGATTATTGTGGATTGGTCGGGTACGAAGCAACGCAGTTTGCGACAGCATGCTAAGAGGAGGGAGGCCAATCGACAAGGGAACGGAGAATTTGGCAATCACGATTATGAAGAAGGATTTTGCTGATCGCCACTCTTTTTACAGCTCTGGTCCCTCGTCCCCGCTGAGCAGCGCGATGCCTACCTGAGCGGCCAGAAGACCGATGTCGCCCCCGTCATCGACCTCCTGCCCCTCGGCTACTCCAAGGTCCTCGGAAAGGGCCGTCTCCCCCAGATCCCCGTCGTCGTCCGTGCCCGCTACGTCAGCCGTGACGCCGAGGAGAAGATCAAGGCCGCCGGTGGTGTTGTTGAGCTCGTCGCATAAGCGTTGATTCGTCGAGATTTCTGGGAAAGGCGGGTGAATAGGGGCAATTTGAAGCCCTAGCTGTGTTCGTTCGACATCGGAGGACGATCGGAACTCAAAATGAGATCTGCCCAAACCGAGACCAACTCGGTTCGAGCGGTCGAAAATAAAAAGGGTTTTTTTGTATGCAATCAGCATAGCATATGGCCTCCGAATGCCCTTACGATTTCATCAGTGTGTTAAACAAATACCATAAGGAGGATTTTTTTCAAATGTTTTGCATGTTCAATGTTGCTCTTTTCGAGGGAGCAGAGTGCGGTGCTCTCGACTCTCGAGTTTGAACCCTGCACATGTAAAACGACGATCGAAGCCTCTATGTGTAGGGACATGAAAGCCTCATGCTGGGCGGTTACAGACTATGGTCACTTTTCGTAGTTTTGGTCTATCTACGATTCGGCGTCAATTGCAGGACAATGGAACTAATTTGGGACATTCAGATCTTATCATATCGCATCTAACTTCATTCTATCTACATAGACTCGAAACAGTCATGACCATCACCCGAATGCTCAGATCTTCGACTCCCGCACGGATCCCCGTCGACCGCTCTGAGTTGGACCCGCACTCAAAGTTTCCCTGATGAAACGAACAGCCTCATCGACCATCTTAGCAGTGACCTCATGGCCCGCCGTCTCATCAATGATGTCCTCGAAGTACACTCCACCATCAGCAAACCATCCGCCGGACGAGATAGTCTGCTTGAACCAGTCCAGGAACAGCTTTCCCCGATGATAAGGAACAAGCTTGTCCGCCCCGCCTGACAGACACATGATGCGCTTGCCAGCCAAAGCCTGAGTCAGGACCGGCCGGAGCACCTTCTGTTCGCTCTCGGAAGCCTGGGGAATTGGCTTTTCGCGCAAAGGACCGGTCGAGGGCCCGCAATCCACATGCTTCAACATCATCCCGGCAGGGTCATATCGGTTCACAGTCTCCAGGAACGATGTCGGCAAAGCCTCTGAGCCAAGGACCTCGGCACCGGGCGGGTCCGTCCTTGTCCATGATGGCAGTTTTGACAGCCGTGCGCGATCAGCCATAAGGTTGATATAGTCTGGACAGCCGATGATGACGACACCGGCGCTGACCCGGGGTTCATGTAGTAAGCAGCTCCAGGTTGCGTGCCCGCCCAGCGAGACTCCCAGAACTAGGTTCTCGGTGATCTGATGCTCGCCATGGGGGAATGTGTAGGATGGAAGGTAGTCCATTAGCAGAGATGTATCTTTTGCAGTGCCCTCTGAGTATAGTTAGTGACTGGTTTGACCTGTCTAATCTTTTGGGGGACTTCACGTACGGAAAATGGAGAACATATCCTGCGCATGTCGGGGGTTACCCTGCCTCCAAGCCTTATTGGCGAGAGGATCGATCTCCCGAGTGCCATGATTTCGCTGGTCGAAGGAAACAGCAATCAGACCCTTGGCTGTTGGGGTATCTTTGGTTTTGGAGATCCAATCTGAGAGAACGGAGTTGGCAATGCCTGTCATACGCTCCTGAGTGGCTAATCTTGGATGCAGAAGCCATAGACACGCGACTTCCGAGGCCTCTTTACGAAGCTCTTCCAATCCAAAAACGGTCACTGAGATGCCAGCGATAGCATAGACTGTCTGGGAAATGGCGGCTGGTTTAGGACGTCCTGCGTCATCGAGGGTTTTCAATGGATCAGTCATAATTTCAAATTATTTAAGAAGAAATTGAATCTGGTTGAATGAAGAGGAGGAGGTTGAATAGCGGGGAGGTTGAGTGTATAAGACTCGGGTCGGGTATCAAACTGCCGAGGCCGTCTTAACACTTAGGACCGTTGGAGTCCCGGCACTGAGGGAAGACTTAAAGAGAGTTGTTTAGCTCATAGTTTAGGTCCAAGTCAATCGTTTCGTTCTTTTTATCTTTAGTGATCTTTTTTATATCACTCTCATTCTTGACTACTTGACTACTTGACTACTAGTCTACTTGGATATGACACTAATTTATATAGTCAATGGCTCATATCTCTCCATCAATAATCCATCTGCTCTTGGGTCGCCCCCTATTGTAAACCCCTGACCGCCCACTTCTCCAGTTGGAGAGGACTCCACATTAATCGGGATGCTCCTTTATTATCAACGGCTTTTTTTTTTTTCTTCAATTCCTTTTGTCTCGGTTTTCTCTTCGAACTTCGTGATTCATTTCCCAGAGGATGACGAGGAGTTCGTGTCATCTCTGACAGATCCCCATCCAGGAACTATGTAATGTGGTTCCTGACCCGCCCCGTGAACTGCAACTGATAAACACCTTGCATTAGCACCAAAACGACAACATGTCGGCCTCTTCAGCTCACAAGGATGTCGAAACGGGCTCCCTCAAGGTCGACTCCAAGAGAACAGAGCCTACGGTGAATTCAAATGGGCCAAACTTGGATTCTCCGTTCCCCTCTCCCACCGAATCCAAGAAACATGCCTCGACCAAACAGAACAGATCTGCAGACGACCATGAAGCTGCTGGAATACTGGGAAACAAGGAAAATGCGCGTCCTTCATCGCTGAAGCATGGCTCGCCAAGGGGCAGGTCATCTTTGGGCGCCCGTCCGCTGAATCGATCCTCCGAGAACCCCCAATCAAAGAATCGCCATCAAGCTCAGTCGTCCAACCCCGGAATGTCCCCTCCATCCCGGGCTCCGAGTGTACAATTCCGAGATACAGACACCGAAGCTCCCGACGCGTCCCAGTCTCGGCCGCAATCGCGACCGGCATCGCAACATGGTGACGATGAAGATCAGGGCCCGAAGGGGAAGCAGTCATTGTTCGGAAAGCTGAAATCACTTGCGGCTGCTCCCAACTTTGGCTCGCACTCACGATCTCCGAGCAGCGCAAGCGCGGATTTCCGCCCAGCGCCAGGTGACATGGCTACACCGGGCTCGGAAAGGGGGGAATTCCGTTTCCCGGCGCCCCTGGAAGAAGAAGGAAGCGAGATTGACGCCGATGCAGAAGAGAGTGGCGGCGAGCAACGTGAACCTCGAACAAAGAGGAAACTACACCGGCGACGGAAACAACGGGAGGAAGAAGGTGGTTCTCACACGGCACCCACAACGCCGAAAACGACGCGCAGACCATCATTCCATTTCTCTTCTTCATTTGCACCGTTTGAGAACTATCGCACTAATCTCTTCCCCCGAAGGGCTAGCACAACGGACTTCACACCTCAACAACGTGAAGGCGTTTCGGAAGATGAGGGCCGTGAGAGGCTCAGCCGGCGCATGCGAAGCCGTCCCTGGACCACCGCTCGAAATGCTAGTTACACTGAGCGGCACCCTGATGGTAATCAAGACGAGCAACGGCCAAGCAATCTGCGACGATTGACTGGGTTTGCCGGACCGTCTGGAAACGATGAAAGCCTAGTGGCTAACTGGAGACGCCATCGAACCGAACGTGGGACCAGCGCCAGCGCCCAACGATGGAAGCAAATCAAAGCTGGTCTCAAGCTCATTGGCCAACGACGAAAGCCAGAAAACACAGTGGACAACAAGAAATCTGCTGAGTTACTTGCTGAGCTTGCTTCGGCGGTGCCGGCTGCCCTTATCCTCGCCAGTGCTTTCCAACGAGATGAGCATGGCAGCAAGAGGATTCCAATTCTCCTGGAGCAATTGAAGGTTCGGGTGACAGACAGCCGGATTGACTCACACTCTGGCGATCGTCATCTGGTCTTCCGAATTGAACTTGAGTACGGAAGTGGCATGACTCGCATGAAATGGATCATCTTCCGCACACTCAGAGACTTTGCCAATCTGCATCTCAAGTACAAGCTTCATCTGGGGACTCAGAAGTACATTCAACTACGGACGAGTGAAAATAGCCCCAGTCTTCCTCGCTTCCCTAGAAGTGCCTTCCCCTACATGCGAGGTGTGCGAGGTCTTGAAAGCGAATTTGAAGACGAAGATGAAGAAGGCGGTTATGAAACTGGTGCAGAGGGCATGAGTGGAACAGAGAGGCCTTCAACAAAGAAAAAGCAAGGGCAACAGCCACACCAGCGTCGGGCCTCTAGCGGTATTATCCGTCGAAGGTCCAGCATCACCAACCAGGAAGGAGACTCAGCCGCAGGACCTTCATCAGTCCACGAAGGATCCAGGAAGGAAACATACCCTGAGAGACAGCGAAAGAAGCTTGAGCTTTACTTGCAAAAGATGATTAGGTTCCTGATCTTTAGGGCTGATAGTAATCGCCTGTGCAAGTTCCTGGAATTGTCGGCCCTCGGTGTCCGTCTAGCTGCGGAAGGCAGTTACCATGGCAAAGAAGGGTTCTTGATTATCCAGTCTTCCAAAGGTCTTGATTTCCGCAAAGCCCTCACACCGTCTTTGGTCAAGAGCCGGCATTCGCCCAAGTGGTTTTTGGTCAGGCACAGTTATGTTGTCTGTGTGGATTCCCCTGAAGAGATGAACATCTATGATGTTTTCTTGGTGGATAGTCATTTCAAGATCCAGACACCCAAACTCAGCCTTCGCAAGCAACATCCGAAGGATCTTGCCAAGTCTGCAAAGCAGTCTGCGAGACACCCTCAACACCACACGCTACGCCTTGAGAACTCTGAACGCAAGCTCAAACTGCTGGCCCGGAATGAGCGTCAACTCCAACAGTTCGAAGACTCGATTCGTTTCATGACTGCTAACACTCCGTGGATACGGCCTAACCGATTCGACAGTTTTGCGCCGGTACGAACCAATTGCTTTGCGCAGTGGCTGGTTGATGCACGCGATCACATGTGGGTTGTTTCACGGGCGATCAATCAGGCAAAGGACGTCATTTATATCCATGACTGGTGGCTGAGCCCAGAGCTGTACATGCGTCGACCTGCTGCCATTAGCCAGAAATGGCGATTGGACCGTCTGTTACAGCAGAAAGCCCGCGAAGGCGTCAAGGTCTTCGTGATCATGTATCGCAACATTAACTCCGCCATTCCCATTGACTCGGAGTATTCTAAATTCTCTCTCCTTGATCTCCACCCCAATATCTTTGTCCAGCGATCGCCGAACCAGTTCCGTCAAAACACTTTCTTCTGGGCGCACCACGAGAAGCTTTGTCTCATTGATCACACCATCGCGTTTGTCGGAGGCATCGATCTATGCTTTGGGCGTTGGGATACTCCTCAGCATCAGCTGACCGATGACAAGCCTACTGGCTTTGAGACTACCGATGGACCCAAAGATGCGGATCACTGTCAGCTTTGGCCGGGCAAGGACTACTCCAATCCCAGAATTCAGGATTTCTATGACCTGGACAAGCCGTATGAGGAGATGTATGATCGCAATGTTGTGCCGCGAATGCCATGGCATGATATCTCCATGCATGTTGTTGGCCAGCCTGCTCGCGACCTGACTCGTCATTTCGTCCAGCGCTGGAACTATATCCTCCGTCAAAGAAAGCCCACGCGGCCTACGCCTTTCCTTTTGCCGCCACCAGATTTCAATCCTGCTGATTTGGAGGCTTTGGGTCTTGATGGAACATGCGAGGTACAGATTCTCCGGTCCAGCAGCATGTGGTCGACGGGAACACCAGACGTTACCGAGCACAGCATTATGAATGCTTACGTCAAATTGATTGAAGAATCTGAACACTTCGTCTATATCGAGAATCAGTTCTTCATCAGTACCTGCGAGATCGAAGGCCGGAAGATTGAGAATCTCATCGGTGATGCCTTGGTTGAACGTATTGTCCGAGCAGCCAAGAACGAGGAAGCATGGCGCGCGGTCATTGTCATCCCACTTATGCCAGGCTTCCAGAACACGGTGGACAGTGAAGGTGGCACAAGTGTCCGTCTCATCATGCAATGTCAATACCGCAGTATCTGCCGTGGAGAGACGTCCATCTTCGGCCGCCTTCGGGCGCTTGGAATCGACCCGGAGGATTATATCCAGTTCTTCAGTCTGCGCACTTGGGGCAAGATTGGACCTCAAAAGCAACTGGTGACTGAGCAACTTTACATTCACGCAAAATGCATGGTTGTTGACGATCGTGCTGCTATCATTGGATCAGCGAACATCAACGAACGATCCATGCTAGGATCGCGTGATTCCGAGGTTGCTTCAATTGTGCGAGACACGGATATGATCATGTCGAGCATGAATGGCAAGCCTTACCTTGTTGGTCGATTCCCGCATACACTGCGTATGCGTCTGATGAGAGAGCATCTCGGAATTGATGTCGACGAGCTCATGGAACATGACTTTGCTACTGAAGAAGAGCTACGCAAGATTCAGGTTGCCGAGGGGGTCGACCCGCAGCGACCCGACAACCGGGAGCGGAGGAACTCAGGCTCTTCGGCCATTGAGCGACAAGACGAGAGAGATATGGTCGAACGTCGCCATCGTGTCCAGGACGAGTTCCTCTCTCGCTCCGAGGCCATGTATAGCTTCAATCATGATGTCGATTGGGAACAGGGTAGTAACCCTAACCTCAAGTCGAACCGCAAGCTCACTGCCGACCCACGCGTCACTGAGAATACCGAGCACAGGAAGGACGTGGATGGTGACGGACCCGATCATCTTACGGCTGCTGTTCAGGCTAACTTGGGAGACGCTCGGGACACCACCATGATAGAGAACCGGAGAGAAGCACTGCTCTCCCCTATCGCTTCGGAGGGCAAAGGGACTATAGAGCGACCGAAAGTATCATCGCAGCGCAAGTCCTCTCAACCACCCTCGACCCTCAAGGAGCACAAGCCCGATTCATCCGGCGAAACCAATCGCGATTCCGAGACTACTACGGATACCCCGTCACAACCTAACGGGCTTTGCGGATCGTCAAGCCGTGAGTCTGAGACTGGCGGTGCCGGTTTGACCATGTCTAAAGAAGAAGATGAATCTTGCAAACACCATCACCCATCTGTTCCAGATCTCAAACGTATCTATATTGACAACGACTGCATGAGAGACCCTGTCATCGATGGCTTCTACCTAGACACATGGCAAGCTGTCGCGGAGAAGAACACCAAGATCTACCGATCTGTGTTCCGCTGCATGCCCGACAACGAGGTGAAGAGCTGGAAGGAGTACAAGGAGTATGCCGCATATGGCGAGCGCTTTGCAGAGATGCAGAGTCAACAGGGTAACAAGCCAGGCCAATCTCAACAAAAGCAGAATGGCCCTTCCCAGCCTAGTGCCAACGTCAACTCTCCTATGTCGATCGCATCTCAATTGAACGCCATCAGTCCCAAGGCCGAAGGACCATCAGCAGATCCGAAGAGCCCTCAGACAATCGATGAGAAACTTGGGTCCGGGAACGAATCGGGCCGTCCTGCTCAGTCTGAGCAGCTAGCGAAACAGGAGACTTTATCCTCCATCGATGAGAAGGCCGCGCTCAAGACGACATCTGACTCGAATTTGCCGGCTGGTGCCGCGAACGGGACCGCTGAGGAGAACGGTGTCGTCGCCGGTGAAGATGCCGAAAAGTCACGATCAGCCTCGGCTCATGTTGATTACTCTGAAGCCGTGAACTTAAACTCGGCGAGTCAGTCTCGGAGACGCAGACGCAGGACTACAATTGGTTCTAAGCGTGACCCCCATGGTACAGACGAGTATCTGGACAAAGGTCGTGCAGAGGATCTCCTTAACAAGACCCAAGGTCATCTCATTATGTGGCCTTATGACTGGTATGTCTTGAATCGCTTATTCAATGTGATGATGTTCGCTAACAAAGCCATCACAGGCTCGAAAAGGAAGAGCAGGGTGGCAACTGGCTCTATGCTTTGGATCAGATCTCGCCTTTGGAGATTTAGTAAGTTGACCGTCTACCATTTCCTTTGAAGCAAGTACTAACGCGGATATATAGTAACTAATCTTGAATTACTTTGCACTTGACGGCGTTTTGTTCTTCCTATAATCATATGTTTGTCTTCGCGTTTGTCTACGTCGGAACTCTCGAGCGCTGCTGTAGCGATTGATGCATTTTCATTTCCTTGGATGTTGTTTTTGCTCTCTGCCTCCAGCGATTGAGGATCATTAACTAGTTATGTGCCCTTTAGGTAGCGCAAAGCATATAACTCGGCAGGTTTTACCATCTTCCAAGCTCCTGGCTGTGATATATATATCGTATCGTTACCTGTACCTTATACAGCTTATCATCTTCCTTGGAACTACACAGGCGGGCATGAAATTGTGCTGTCTTCCATGGGCAACGATGTACTACCTATGTGTGCTCACGCGATGGAAGTAAGCCGGATACCTATAAATATAATGACTAGGTTGATGGAAATGAACAGGGGTTCCAGGTCTTTCAAGGATCTAGGTCTCCTACCGACCTCGGGGGTGACTTGGAATAGCACATGTATGATCAAACGGAGAAATATTGATTGAATATGGATTATATCTATGCTGAGGTAGGCTCTTCTGCAACGTAGTGCAAGTAAGCTCCCAACAGCTTGGTGCCCTCAATGTAGTTACGCTTATCAAGCTTCTCGTTGATGGAGTGGGCAGCATCAGTGGAGCTTCCCATGGGAAGGAGCAAGACGTTCTTGCCGGTGGCCTGCTCAAAGGTCAATGTGACGGGGATACTATCGATGGTCAGCTGCGGAGAATGACTTCAGTGAAAAGAGATATTCTTACCTTCCACCCTCACGGGTCATATCGGGCTCGACACCGAAGACCTGCTGAACAGCCTTGCTGGCGGCGGAGAAGTTCCAGTGCTTGGGGCTAGCGACCCACCACTTGCCGTCGTGCTGCAGCCAAACATCCAAAGTGTTCTTGCTGTTCAGCTTGGCAAACTCGGCCTTGACGTGGTCAAAGACCAGCTTGTTTACATCTTCGCTCTCCATGTTGGGCACTGTACGGATAGAGAATTTACCGATGACCTTGGCAGGAATAACGGTCTTCGCACCGGGAGCCGAGTAAGCACCCTCAACACCGTGGATAGACAGAGAGGGGTATCTCCATCTGGCCATCAGAGTGCGCTCCTTGGTGGGGTGAATGCCAGTCTCGGCACCCAAGGACTCGTGGAGGTTATCCATAGTGTAGCTAATGTTCCCATAGAGGGTCTTCTCCTCCTCAGTCAGAGGCGCAACAAGATCCATGAGACCCGGGATCAGGATGTTGCCCTGGGAATCGACCAGCTTAGACATGACGTTGACCAAATCAGTCATGGGCTCGTGGGCAGAGCCACCAAAGACACCGCTGTGCAAATCTTGAGCGGGGCCGGAAATGCTGATGGAGTAGTAGTTGCAGCCGCGCAGACCGTAGGTAAGACAGGGCTTCTCGGTACCGAGCCAGTAGTTGTCCGAGATACAGACAGCGTCAGTATCCTTGAAGTACTTCTTGCTCTCAGCCTGAATGAAATCATCCAAACCCTCGGATCCATACTCCTCCATTCCCTCGAAGCAGCACAGCAAGTTGACGGGGAATTCAATGCCAGCCTTGCGGTGAGCATCGATCACGTTGAGCCAGCCCAGAACGGGACCCTTGTCGTCGGTGGCGCCACGGCCATACATGCGATCCTTCTCGTCAATGGTCAGCTCAAAGGGCTCGGTGGCCCAGCCGTCCTCCATCAGAGCGGGTTGCACATCGTAGTGTCCATAGACCAAGATTGTGCGCTTGTTCTTATCGTTACCGTATCTCGCAACCACAACCGGGGGCAGCTCGAGGTGCTCTTTGCCGGGCTGCTTGCCCAATGGGCGTTGCTCCACTTCGGCACCGAGGGCTGTGAGCTCATCGGCAAGCCATTGTCCCATCTAGGAACGTTAGAGAAGATCATATTGATAACTAGGTGAATCCTGGGTAACTCACGCGGAACACATCCTTTCGGTTCTCATCTTGCGCGGAAACAGATGGGATAGCAACCGCCTTCCGTAGACCTTGACCAAACATCAGCGACGAGCTTGCAGCAAGGAAGCAGGATTACATACGATCGATGAAGTCGTTGGACGAGGCGTCGACCCTTTAACGGATGTTAATAAGAAGTGTTGGTTTTTTCCCCGCTTGTAGTAGCAACTTACTGCTTGAAGAAGGGCTCTAGCTGGGGAGCCATTTTGGAATCACTGATATAGCCGTAGAAGTAGCGGCGAGAGGAGAGAGGAGATCGAACAACAGGGTAAAGTCGAGAGAAAAGAGATCTCGGAGTAGCGAGAGGAACGCGACGGAGGGGAAAGAGGGGCATTGCCGTCTTTGCCCTGAAGTAACCGCAGAGAGCGTCTCTGGGAGTGTGTTTTATCACGTAATTTTTTCCCGCCTATCACACCGAGCGACATTATAACGGAGCTGCTTAGGCGATTTTAGTATGTTCACTAACTAGTTATTAGTAGGCTCAATATGAGTTACCATTGGTCTAATTCATTTGTACTGCGTGAAGTATTGATAGAATATAAATGGTATGAGGTACATAAACAAATGCTAGATAAGCTAGAATACATGGATTTTTCTTTACAAAAAGCCGACCTTCTCCTAAGAGTCCGACCATGCTACCACTATGCATCACGTCCCCAGGCCTCCCGCCGCAATTGACGGTCTTCTCTGGCCATGCGTCGCTTGGGACCCCAGCGCGACTGCACTGCCTCCAAAACACGGGCCTGGATCTCCCTCTTCTCAGGGCTTGCCTGGCAAACCATGGCAATAAAAACGGGCGAGCAGTCAAAGCGTTTGGCGAGCTTGTTCCGGCTCCAGGTCATGGGATCATTCAAGCGGAGTTTGCGGATTTCTTCAATGTCTGAAGGGGTGAGGTGATATTTTCTTTCGGGCATAGACTTGTAGACTCCGGGGAGTTCGTCAACATTGACCGTTGCGGTGGAAGAAAGACTTGAGGCTTTGCGAACGTCATCGGCAGGCAAAAATTTGGATGGGGTGTGGTAGACATTGGGAGCACTGGATGGCGGGTTGTGGATAATGTGATCATGTTCCAAGGTGGATGGGCTGAAAGAGGAATCTGGTTTCACACGTAGTCGTTGCTTGGTTCGTCGGTATGAAGATTGGTTTCGTCGGAATCCTAATGCCAGTGAATCCGACAACGAGGGAAGAAGAAATGGCAAGGTGAGGAACGGCCGCTTGGTCGCGAGAGAGGCCGCCATTGTTCTGGTCAATTGGGGGTGAGATTGATCAGAGACTAGAGAGCGGGAACAAGCAAGGTTAGTGAATCATCACAGTAATTGGATTTGATGATAAAACTAACCTGAAGGTAAGGCTGACTCGGGGTGAAAGGGTCCGGAGGTGCTGGCATCTTTCGCGCTTCAAACCCGAACTTTTTCCCCCTGGTCCCGTGACCACCCCCTTGGCCAGCACTAGTGTAATTACCATACTGTATTGAAGATAAGGCAGTACACGAAATACGCACCCTGCATAGTCAACTCTCGGCATTGAGAATGTCCTTAATACACGTACTGACGAAGTCCTGTAAGTAAAATAAGGTAAAATCATAACATTTGAACTATTCCGTCGGGCTCCTGTCACCTGGTCTACTTCGTATCAATCTCATGTCATCATAACTGAGACCTTCCATGAACTCACCCCCCCCATCCACCTACTCATATTGTATAGTCACTGAGCATGGCTAGTTGATAGCCGATAGCCCTTACTATCGCGATGTCAGACTTTACTGATCAGAAGCCAAGCGTGGCTGGAAGCACACGAGCTCCGAAGCCTGCTGCTCTTACATGGGACAAGAATCAGATCGACACGGGTTCCAGCCTATCACCTGTAAGATCATCCGAAGCCCTGCGAACACCAAACCGAGATTCAACGAGATACATGAGACACCCTTCGTCGCCCGAGAGCTTATCACAACTGCCGCCTCGTATCCATTCCCCCGCATCCCATATATTCGAACGGGATGTGCAGGAAGACATAGTTCCGGCGCAGGCATCGCCCTCCATCCCTGCGCATATTCGCACCGAGAACTATATCCCACCTGTTCTTGAAGCGTCCTCGGCGGCTATCACGGATGATCACCTCGATCCTGATTCGGTCGAGATTGTCACGCACAGCCTACATCAGCCCGCGGGCGGTACATCGGGAGAACAATCAATGTCGTCCTCGGGCATTGATCAGCTGTTGAGCCAGGCTGATGTCGATGAGCGGGCAACAGGCTATGGAGCACTAGAACCGACAGATATGCGTCGACTGAGCTTCATTTCCTTCGCCGACGTTGTCAACGCGGAGCATGCAGAAACAAACGAATTCCATCCTGGATCACTGTCTCGGGAGCGCCTAGGAGATCTGAACCGGTCCCCCTCTCCATTGTGGTCTCCTTCTTCTTCTCATGGACTCGGCACGTCGCCGCCAACAAGCGTTGAGACCTCTTTCAAGGGACATGACCTGTCGCCAACTCGTTTCCCTGCTGTCAGTTCTCCCCAGAGTCCAGTCGCCTCCGGTTTCGGAGGAGAACTCAATGTGGAGACTATGCGGCAAGCTTTGAGAAAAACTGCCAGTGGAGATCTAGGCATGATAAGCCAGGCCGCGAGTACCATAGGGGATGACCCACAAGATCGTACCTTCTAACGGGTCAATATTCCGGTTTGTTCGGCGTTGGGAAGGCGACTAGCTCGGAGCAGGACCTCCTTTTCTTTAAAGTCAAGTGATATATGTTATGGTTATTTTGTTGTTTATCAAGTTACATATGGCAATCCACAGGTCTGGTTACGCCGAATGAACAACCAGGTAGCTTCTTGTGGGGCACATGCCCACGGTGGAGTATATTTCCGGCAATGCTCGAAAGGGTAGGGTTCAAAACATATGTGCGTCTTCTAGCAGCGTGGACCCCTCGTGTTAGATCTACTCGAGTGTAGTAGACTAAGCACTTGACTGCCGAACACTCTGCACTGCGTCCAAGGCCCGTTGAAATGTAGAGCGCAGATCAGACACCTCCTCCAATCCGACACTGATTCTCACCAAATCGGGATCGACATTGAAGGACCTCGCCTGATACATGTTAGTCATGGCTGCATTAGGTATAAGCAAATATGCGGATGGTGTGGTACATACCCAGTCCAATTCGCCGTAATGAGCCAGGAGGACGTATGGAGAACTGACAAGTTAGCACAAAAGAAACAATCATACCAACATAAATGGCAGTCGAGTGCTTACCTCAAGGTGAAGTTGGTTCCAAGACTGGGACCCTTGAGAACCTCTATGGTGTCGTAGAACGCAATCGCCTCGGCTGTGGAGTGGAACGTGACAGAGAACAAGCCACCATAACCGCCATTGGGATTGCGAAGGCTATCGTATAGTGGCTTTGTTGGACTGTACTTCGGGTAGTAAACCTCTTTGACTGTGAAATGATCAGTAGGGCCCCTGCTTAGGAGAAAGGAATACTTACCGAGAGGGGATTCCTTAAGCATAGCTGTGATATTCTCAGTGGTAACATTGATCTGTCCAATGCGAGCAACAAAGTCACGACTGTTTCTCTCCAGGAAAACTGCGTCCTCTGCCCAGTATATGTCTTCATATTCCTGGTCATAAACCTTTTTAATGGATGTATAGTATTGTGCATGAGGATTGAGAACGGCACCGCCTCCCATGACGTTGCTGTCTCCGCTGAAAATTTTGGTCAAGCTGCTGACAACGATGTCTGCCAGGGGCAAGACATTGATGTTCAAGAAATTGCTGATGGTCTCGTCAACCACTATGGCAAACCCATACTGATCTGCCAATTTGCGTATCCGCTTGAGGTCTGGTGTTTTGAGAAGGGGATTGCCCGGTGCTTCCGTGAAGAGACCAAGGAATCGCTCACCGGCCTTCAATCGAGATTCCAGATCATCCAGATCTTCCGAGGAGCCGTGACCATAGAATACGCAGCCTGGTCCCCACTTCTGGAGAATCTTCAACGTATCCGTGTAAGGAAAGCCGAAACAGATTGACGGCAAGTCACCTCGAGTGGTCAGCAAGGTTTGGTGAGCGTTGAAGATGGCGTTCATGCCCGAAGGGTGAAGGTAGACATCGTCCTCAGAAATGCCAGCGACTCGACCTTCGGATGAAGTTGTCTTCAGTGCTTCCGGCAACTCTACATCAGCTGTCAAGACACCGGCGATACGTTTGCGAACGGCCAACTTGGCCTGGTTAGCGAGAGAAGTACTGAGGTTACGGCCAAAACGCTCCTCGATAAATTGAGCATAATCTCTGCCATCTTCAGTACTTGACTTAGGAGGGAGTCCCCGATGGAGCCCTTTCGCGCCCCACTACCGCTTTGGTATCTGCGGGGGCCCTTGCGAGGACACTGCGAGATCGATTCCGCAGTGGCAAAGCCCTTGTCCTCCACCAGGAATCCATCCTCCAAAGCCCCAAGACAGAACTCACCTCGTCGACTGGAGATGCCACTACCCGAGTGTTGCCATACCTGTTTGGTTATGGAGGCGTATTCTTTGGGGTAAACGACGCACGACAACGAGGAGGTAATGCTTGATCCGGCTTCGGTAGTCGGGGCTGGGATGAAGTTGACGATGCGTGCTTTGTAGGCCTGATCCGCAGGGATTTTGCCAATCAAAAATGAGTGACAGATGCGCGCTGACTTTATCGAAGGGAAGAGGATTGCGGTCTCGAGATTGGGGTCACCGACTCGGCGGACAACTTCTTGGGCGAGCTTTTGTATAATAGGATGGATGAAGAATCGAGGATAACCGCATTGCATCTTTTTCACGACCCAATCTTCTCCTTCCTCGTAGCCAACATTTGCCCTCCATGTTGGGAGTGATACACTGACGGCCTTGTAAATGTTGAATTAGAAGAGTCATAGAGGGGTTGCGGGGGACGAAACATACATGGTCAGTGTTTGGAGGCACAGGTCCTCCCAAAACTTGCATCATTCTTAATTGGGATTAGGGATTTAAAGAGCAATTGAAATGTTCTCATAAGAAGTGCTTCAAGAAGAAATATTTACAGAAAAGAACTTTCTGAGGATTGTCAATGATGTTATTCCTCCCCGCTGCGATTTCGGCGATGCTCCGGGTACCTGAAAATTACAGCTGACTCAGCAATCCGATACCAAATACGATACCCGTTATCGCCAAAAAAAATCTCGAGCAGCTCGACAAAACACTACAACCTCACAAAAATGTCGGACCACACATCAAAGCGCAGGAAGCTCAGCCCTTCGCCGGAAAATGCGACTGCCAGTGCTCCCCCGAAACAGACATCGAAAGTGACCGACAAACGGAACCCGACTCGAGGCAAAGATGAGCGCTCCGCAGAGCTTGCGATGGCCAGCGGCTTCTACAAGTCTAGTTTCTTCAAGCTGCAGATGGACGAGTTGCTGGAAGGGTTGAGACCTAACCACGCGAAGCAATTATCGAAGGTTCAGGATGCACTACACCAGATCAAAAGTGCCATTGAAGCGCTGCCCGACAAGACTCCGCAATCCGTCCCCAATGCCGAGAAGGGGCTGCGCGATGCTGGGTTGGTAGTTCCATGGCCCGAACCGCGACCAAGCAAAGATGTCAAGTACAGCATGGCATTTGCGAAGCCAACGAACATAAACGTGGTGGGTAGCTTTGCTCTCAAGACCGGCGCGCGCAATTTGGAGTCGCGCCCAGTTGATCTGGCCGTGACCATGCCAAGTTCTCTCTTCCAGGAGAAGGACTACGTCAATTTCAGATACTTCCACAAGCGGGCTTACTATGTTGCATGCATGGCACTTGGGATTCAAGAAACGGCGAACACCCTCGGGTTTGATGTCAAATTTGGTCCTCAGGATGGAGACAGCCTTCGTCCTCTCATCTTATTGGAGCCACGTCAAGCTGAATCATCCGGGCCTCAGATCCGCATTATGACTGCAATTGATCCTACACTCTTCCCGATCACCAGGACGCTTCCTCTCAAGAGCAATGTGCGCCAGGCCTCCAATGGCTCGGAGACCGGCGAACCGACCCCGTTCTATAACTCCAGCCTCCGTTCCGATGCCGCGGTCTCTCTATATCATAAGTCTATTTACTCAGCCACAAAAAAGTGCGAGTCTTTCAGTGACGCATGTATTCTCGGCCGCACTTGGCTGCAACAACGAGGCTTCCGCACTCCATTCCAGAATGGAGGCTTTGGTGGATTCGAATGGACGGCACTTCTGTCTTTGCTCTTTGAGGGTGGAGGTCCAGCTGGGCAACCGGTCCTGCTACCGTCGTACAGCTGCTACCAAATCTTCAAAGCTACTATTCAGTTCTTAGCTGGCAGGGATCTAACTACACCTCTGTTCTTTGGTCAGGAAGTCCCAGTTCCTTCTGGAGTGCCTGTTGTCTATGATGGCCGCAGAGGGCTGAACATTCTGTTCAAAATGACGCCTTGGTCATATACGACACTGCGCCATGAAGCTGCCATCACCCTGAAAATGCTCAATGAGTCTCGAGAGGACAACTTTGATAAAGTTTTCATTCTCAAGGTTGACGAACCCACCCTCCGGTTTGACCGTTTGATCTCCTTCCCCAAATCCTTCAACGGAGATACCCTTCGCGCTCTTAATGAACAAAATGCGCTGTACAAGGTTCTCACTCGGGCTTTAGGAGACAGGGTCAAACTTATCTCTATTGCAAGCCATGCCATCGATCCGTGGCCAGTCAAATCCAAGCAGCCCAAGAAGTCGAGCCAGGGTGTGTCCGTGGGGCTGCTATTGAATGCTGAGAACGTTGGACGCATTGTCGACCATGGTCCAGCAGCAGAGGAGAAAGAAGAGTCTGCTTCATTCCAGGCGTTCTGGGGCGAAAAGTCAGAGCTTCGACGGTTCAAGGATGGCAGCATTTTGGAGAGTCTCGTGTGGTCCGACGAATCGGAGGAATCGATCATTTATCAGATTCTAGAATACATCCTCCAACGGCACTTCAAGATCACCGCCGACGAATTTGCCTTTGTTGGTGACGAATATGACGAGCACCTCAAGGAGCATGGCGATGACATTCTGGCATACTCCAGTCCTGCTTTCCAGTCAATCGACGAGGCTTTCAAAGATCTAGAGAGATCCATTCGTGGCATGGATGAAGTGCCACTGGAGGTTCGTCACTTGGCCCCGGCCAGTTCCCTTCTTCGGTATACCGCACTCCGACCAACAGGACCCACCGACGTCGTCCTGCAGTTTGAAAGCTCCTCGCGTTGGCCTGATGATTTCGCCGCTATCCAAATGACGAAGATTGCGTTCCTCTTGAAGATTGGAGACTCCCTTGAATCATCTGGCACTGCTGCCTCGTCCTGCCGTGTCGGCCTCGAGAATGAATCAAGCAAGGTTATCAACAATGCGTTCTTGGAGATTCCTCATTCCTCTGGGGTGTTGTTCCGATTGAGGATTCACCACGAACGTGAACAAACCCTCCTTGAGCGTAACCTCAAGGACCGCAATCTGAGTCCTAGGGAAAGGGAAGAGGCTGCTTACGCTCTCTTCGCCTACAAGAAGACATTCGTTCAGACTCCGCGTTTGACACAAGCACTCCGAAGTCTGTGCACCCGCTTCCCCTTGCTGTCGCCCACCATTCGTTTGACGAAACAATGGTTCAGTTCCCACCTGTTCGCTGCCCAAGTCAGTGAGGAGCTGATCGAATTGCTTGTCGTTCGCACATTCACCCAACCTAACCCCTGGGAGTGCCCTTCCTCTGTCATGACCGGATTCTTGAGGACTCTCCACTCCCTCTCTCGCTGGGATTGGCAGCAGGAACCGTTCATTGTTGACCTGGGAGGCGACCTCACCCCTCAGGTGACGGAAAATATCCGCACTCGCTTCACAGCCTGGCGCAGCATTGACCCGGCGATGAACAGTCTGGCCTTGTTCGTTGCTTCCGACGTTGACACGGAAGGCGTGACCTGGACCCAATACGAGATGCCCTCCAAGGCTGTGGCCGCCCGGATGTCCAGCCTGGCTAAGGCAGCAGTAACGCTGCTGCGGAACAAGTCTCATGATATGGAGGTCGACGACCTCTTTGATACCTCGCTTGCTCCCTACGACTTCGTCATTCATCTCCGTTCAAAGCTGTTCAGCGGTTCCTCAACGCCCAAGTACAAGAACTTGGCTGAACCCCGTGCTGGAATGATGCATACTATCAAGTCATTCGTCTGCGACGTGCAGGCCTGTTACAGCCAGAGTATCCTGCTCTTCCATGGGGATGATCGTTGTCCCGTGATTGCTGGCCTTTGGAACCCGCAGTCTGTCAAGTCACGATCATGGAATCTGAAGATGCCTTACTCGACTGCTCCCTCTGATGCAAAGGGCCAAGTGACCATCAACCAGACTGCGATCCTGAATGAGATTGCGCGGTTGGGTAGTGGGCTCATTGAAAATATTGAGATTCGTGAATAGATCTTGTCCTTAATCTGGATTGATGTACATTTTATCCGCCTATATAGCAGGTTTTCCGATTGCAATGGTATTTTTCCTGCTTCAAGACATGAACGAGACAAGTAATAGGCCATCCTGAGTATTTTAAGTATTTTAGTAGTTCTCTGTACTTCAATTGTCAGTCTCAATCTGAATTAGTTAATGCCTGAGGTGTCAACCACTAATAAACAACCAGCCTGTTTTATCTTCGTCTTCTTACATCTACTTCAATATGGCCAGCATAACTCGAGGCCAACGAGCCCTCCCTCAACTCCAGTGGAGTCGCTCCAATCTCCCCCAATCCCAGCTGCTGCCCTTCTGCGCTCGCTCCCAACTCTTCTCAACCTCCGCTCCAACCCAATCTCGCCGGCCCTCCCCGTCACCACCTCAACCCTCACCCCCGACTACAGTCCCAACACCCTCCAAGAATGAAATCAATCCCCCGATCAGCACTCTCCCCGCCGACCTCACCACCCCCTCCCCATTACCTTCCTCCGCCGGCGCAGCAGACAAGCTGAAACGCTATGTCGAATTCGGCCGCGCATATCTCACCTTCTACAAAACGGGTCTGAAAAACGTATACCACAACTACCGTGCCTCACTCCCGCTACGGAAAAGACTAAGCCTACCAGCCTACATCCCCATATCGCCACCCCGGACAAGCACATACAATGCCCACGAGGCACCATCGATAAGAAAGGAGTCCGAACTGGGTCGCGCGCAATTCCAGCTCGTCCGTCGCTCCGCCAAGGATGTCCGCCGCATGATTCCCTTTACGATGATCCTGATTGTCTGCGGGGAATTCACTCCTCTGATTGTGCCTCTCTTCGGCTCAGCTATTACGCCTGCTACGTGTCGTGTCCCCTCGCAGGTGGAGAAGGAGCGCGTTGCTGCGACGAACCGCAAGCGCGCTGCGCTGGATGTGCATATTGCCCCCTTGGAGGATAAGTCTTTGGCGTTGTTGAAGACGGATGGGGTCGAGCAGTTGCGTCTACTTGCTACGCACTTTGCGGACCATGCCTGGGTGGCCGGTGCAGACCCTGCTTCGGTGTTGCGTGCCTGTGCTGTTTTTGGTTTGGTTAACCGCCACGATAAGACTGCAGGCTCGCTGCTCGCTGGTGTGATCTACCGGCCTCGGTTGGCGCGGTATGTGGAGTACTTGGCTATTGATGACGAGATGATCCGTGTTGGTGGAGGAGTTTCGGCTATGATTGCGGCCGAGGTGCGGACTGCGGTTGAAGAACGCGGTGGTGTGGATGTCTCGTCTGGTACTCAAGACCACAAACAGGCGGAGAAGTTGGAGAGGCGCTGGTTGGAGCAGTGGCTAACTGTTCGTGGAGATTCCACGACTAAGGAACAGTAGTTTCGGGGATTATTCGAATATTGAGGGTCCCCTGCTTGTACAGTATACAAAAGGAGCTCTATGTATGATATCTCGCATCTCTAGTCACGAGAAATGGTGTTTCATCGAGCATTGCGACCTACTGGCCAAGATTTGTGTGCTGAATTAGCAACATGTATTCTGCGTTCTATTGAGCTCCAACGGCATGCTTGCAGATGAGATATGTGCAAAGGAAAAGAAAGAATCCAGCGCCCAAGCGTGCCATTTTGTGTCAATTAGGACATGTTAACACCAACGGGGGTATCTAGAAGTCCTCCAATTCGAGAAGACCAATTTGAAAAAAACAAAATGAACAGAAAGACCCAGACCGTCCAACTCCCACGCTGATGCAATTTTCATCCTGCAATGACCGACGAGGCCTGCGCCTGCGCCTGGCCACGGATCTGCTTGGCCCATCGCAGACCGCAGCTATTGCAAAGATCACGATTTCCACTTGGTCCACGCCGCCATTCGGGAGTATTCTTGGTACTGCACATGGCACATGACTTCTCAATCGTGATAGCACTCTGCTTTCGCTTGCGCTTCTTGCGTCGAGCTAGGAGGCGCTGCAGCTCATCAGCCAAGGTGCGGTTCTGCTTCTGCAGCTCGCGCAGCTCAATCTGCCAGCTCGATCCGCGGGTGGGATTGAGTTCCGTGAAGAAGGTTGCCGGGTCCGCGGAAGGTGAATCGTTGCGATTCCCGGACGGCAGACCGTTGTGCCCAATAAGCTTCGTCGGGCCGGGCATCTGTTGTCCGAGAGCGCCGTACTGGCTGGGCCGAAGAGGGTCATCGGCGGTGAGTGTGGTGTTTTGTGTGGTGCCATTGAGCGAGGCGAGACTCTCGTCTTCGGCGGCTGAGATGGCGGTAGCGGAGGGAGGGATAGCTCGAGCAAATCGTATTTGGGCGACGAGGAAGGTCGGTTTAGTTCCCTTGCTTGCGTCACCAGTGTACAATGTGGTGCGTGCTGAGAGGAGGTGCCCCCTTTTATGCCGCATTTGATGTTTGAACGAGGGTGGGTCTTCGGTGTCTTTGCCGCTGCCCCCAGCAGCGGCCATGCCAGCCCCTTGTCCACGGCACGCTGCCTCCAGGGCTTGCGTGATGACGGCAGCATCATCAGTCTCGGTTTCCATAACCTCTGGCAGACCTTGTCCAATCAGATCATCCGGCGAGCGGCCAAGCACCGGCTTCACCTTGGTCGTGATAAAGATAATTATCCCAGACAAAGAGACCTTGGCCCAGACGTCATTCTCGGCCAGCGCGGCAGATGATCCTAGGCGAGCGATCTGATCCAGCGCGTAGACTGGTCGTGGACGGCCGGTCATGACAAGATGCCTCCGGCCCTGGTTCGGGTCAATGTGCCAGGCCCCATGACTCTCAAACCACATATACCCACTGTATTTTCGTCTGATTCGATACACGACACTCACTGGAGCAGGTGTTGTGCTCGCCCGCAATTCACGGATCACAGGACTAATGTCACTGGGGTGGCAGATAGTGGACAGGGTCTTGCCAACCAGCTCGAGTGGGTCATATTCCAAAATCTTTTGGCAGGAGGGTGACAGGTATAAGAATTCCCCGTGAAATGAAAGCACATGGATCACATCGTCCATATTCTCAACGAGAACGCGATCCAGGTAATGCCGGTTGGCCTCGTTGCCAGGTGCACTCGCAGCGTTCAGAATGGCAGTCACTTCGTCATGCCCATACCGCAACACGAGGTCTGGTCGTGATGAGTAGGCTTCTGCTGGGGGCACAATGTACTGTGGTAGCTGATCACGCTGATAGTTAATGCAATAATTGCCATCTGAGCTATATTAGCAAAGGACTCGCCAGGAAGAACGGAGGAATTCGCACCAGGGTTCCTTCGGGCCACGGCTTCAGGCTTTTCAACCAGATCGACCTGGAAGCCGACATAGTATCGATACACATCCGAGTCCCACTGGATGGGAATCATCGTGACGAGGTTCATGAAGGGTTGTCCACCCTTGCGATAATTAATTATACTGACCTGGATCTCATTGCGAGCATCGACAGTGGACCGCAGCCGATGGACAGCCTGTTCATCAACAAATGTCCGTTTCGCGCCGGCTTTTATATTACCGTCGGGCGCTTGAAGGAATCGGCAGTTCCGGCCAACGATCTCATCTTTGGTGTAGCCTGTCAATCGCTCAAAGGCCTCGGAGACATAGATGATAGGCTGATCCTCGGCCAGGATATCACACATCACAAAGGCGCAGGACAGATCGACGGCGCCAATATTAATTCTAGGGTTTGGCCGCATAGCCACGCGGCCCTATACAAAGGTCAATATGCCACCAGGATACAATCACCATGGGGAGAGAAGACATACCAACGCTCCTAGCACGTCAAAGCCAGTGCTCGAATAGATCCCGGTATGTTCCGTCTTGCCAATCTCAGGCTTTTCTAATCCAGGCGCAAGATCTTCTAATTGCCCCGGCGTCAGTCTCTCCCAGTGGACCAAAGTCAACGGGCTTGAGTGCCCCAGGCACAACTCACTTTTAGCGGGTAGGGGTTTCTTAGGCTTAATAGCCACCGGTTGTGACGGACGGTATGGCTGGGCCGCGGGCTGCAAGCGGCGCTCCGCTTGTCGCTGAGTGCGTGACTGCACCTGCGACTGGTCACTTGTGCGTCCTGAAAAATCCGAATCCTCGAAATTGGCGAAGTCGGTGCCTGTATCATATTCGTTGCGGGATAGCAGTGCTGCTTGCTGAGGGTGCGGGGGAAACGAAATGGTCTGTTGGAAAGCTGGGTATGTGGACTGGAACTGTGACTGATCCATCGGAGGAATGGACATGGTGGACGGGTAAGAGGTCGGAACATTGTAGGCGAAGGCGTTGGTAGTATCCAGGTTCATCGGCATCGACACACTCGAGGTCGGGATCCCATAATTGATCATGACGTTGGACATGCGTCCTTCTAGGTCTGGAGGCTGTGATTGACTGAAATTCTGTAGAGGGAAATCTGGATCCTGGGGTAAGATGCCACTGAACGCATGATTCCCGACCTGGCCGGGAAAGGTCATATAGGAAGCATCAGGAAGCTGTGAGGAATCTTGCGACTCATCATCATATTCAATAAAATTGCTCATGGTCAAATTGCAGATGTTGAGGGGGGTTTGATAGCAACGCCCGAGCTCCAGAGCCCCGGAGTTACCAATCTGTTGGGAATTTGGTGACTTCCACTTTTTTCCCTTTCTTTTTGTAGTTCATATATGTTGTAGTTGGGAGTATATATGTTGGAGGAAAGCTGGTGTCTTGCTTGGTACTGTAGAAGAGAAGAGTGAAGGAGGCAAAAATCGACGTCTCCTCTTTCTCCAGGTACAGATGACTTGAAGTGGAGCCGGAAAAGAACTCGGCGCCAATGGACGTGTGATTGTAGGAATTCCAGTTGGATGTAACTGAATTGCAGCAGAACATTCTTGACCTCTGACTGTCTTCACGACTACAATTCATTCAAGAAGACATATAAACGTGTCGATGTTGTATATAACAGTACAACAAATGTGTATACTTCGTACAGTTAACCCCAGGTTATCGATAAGTAATCTCCTTATCTCCTGAATAACCTCAAATCTCAGTCCGCCTTGTGACCTTCCCCTTTCAATTTCCTCCGATCAATGCGACCCCTGGTCCATGGATAAGATCTCAATCACCATCTGTGGAGATGGTGGATGCGGTAAGCAACCCTTTCCAACCTTTCGTCTCCTGATATCTCGCCACCTGCAACATGATTCGGTACCCCAATCTGGGGTTATCTAATATTATGCAAACGATCGAGATCTGACCAGATCGGCAGGCAAATCCTCCATCGCGATGCGGCTGGTCCGCAGTCAATGGGTTCACGAGTAGGTCATTTCCCCTCTGCACACGAAAATATTCTAACTACCTTCTTGATATGATCCAACTATCGGTATTGCGCCTCCCAATCGCCGCCATTAAACCTTCTAATCCACACCAGAGGATTCTTATTCAGTCACCCGCAACATCGATGGACTCCCCTATATCCTTTCCATCACCGACACCGCCGGTCAGGAGGAGTATCGTGGGTTGTGGCCTGCCTCTACCCTGAGTTCGGATGCTTTCCTTCTGGTCTACGATATCACCAACCCCTCGAGCCTCGGAACGTTGGATTATTTTATGGATATGATCCATTCGGAGACAGAACAACGCGTCGAGGACAACCAGCGGCTACAGAAGGAAGTGGGAAAGCAAGGGGATTTTGGTCCGGTTGGCTTGCCACCACCCATCAAGATCGTTGTAGGCAACAAATGTGATCTCAAAAATGGTCGGGTGGTGACATCTCGCGACGGGCTCGAGTACGCGCGCAAACACGGTTGCGGATTTATGGAGACTAGCGCGCGTGAAACAGTCAACATCGAGGAGACTTTTGCCCGTATGCCGTGTCTGTCGATAAAAGTGACGAGAAAGAAGGCTAATCACTGCATAGACATCGTTCGCCGCGTTGTCGAAGCCCGACTCCAAAGCCAGAATGGTGCTTCTCCCGCGTGCGCCGAGTCAGCAAAGCACACCGTACCAACCGTGGTAGATGCATTTGCAGACGAGACCCAGACTCGACGAAGTCGCGCATGGGAGCTTATCAAATCTGTCAGGCATCGGAACACAACGGAAAGACAGGGTCAGGAACAGACCGAACTCCCGAAGGTGGGACGTCAAAGACGGAAGAAATGTCAAAAATGCTGTCCGGGGGTCGGCCAAATCTGGTGTCTCCACCGTTGTTAAAGAGATCAAGGATTCTGATTTGTAGATATTGTACGGAGTAGATATATATTGAATATATACCATACCACTATCATGATGGCTCGTCGATCTGAGAGATTTGACATTGACCTGACGTTGAAAGAGAACCCTAAAAAAGCAGCCCAAATTTCAACGGGGAATGAATGGACTCGGGATGCGTCTCCGCCTTAGATCCGACCCGGGCCATGCTGCTGGGAGAGGTTCCACGGATCGCAGATGGCTCCAGACCACGGGGGATTGACATCGATCCATCGTCGCATATTTCCAAATGCAGTAAGTTGAGTAAGTAGTCAGCCGTTGCTTAGCCGAGATCAAGTAATGGGTATAATGGTCTGGCCCTGGGAGAGAAACAGGTTGAACAGTTATAGGGAAGTTACAATGTACTTCACGTTTCAGAACATGAATCCGAGGACTCAAGAGAGATAGTTCCTTATTGGGCGAAATATTCGAATGGTCACGTCATGGACTTGGGTTGTCATCTCAAATCGATTACTCCATGAAACGGGTGTGGCTGATCATATCACTAGTTCATTGATGGGGCCTAGGCTCATGAATCACGATGGTGCTGCATGTTTGTAGAGATCCAAATGACCCATCTCGAGTCATTGTGATGCGAGAGTAATGTTACCGTATTTTTGGATTTATCATGGAATGTATGTTTTTAAGCCACAATTTGGTATCAGTCTAATACTCGAGTTAATACTCTATGAGTGAGCATGAATAAACAGTCCTACATAAAAGAATCGAGCGGGTACATCTAATCGGCATAGGCTTGCCGAGTCAGTTGTAATTCCCCTATAGGGGTTATGCAACGTGCCAAGAGTATAGAGATCGGGCATAATTTATGCTTGATCACTAACTACAACTCTTCATTCGTTAATTCTGCGTCAATATCTCCTACATGGTATATGTATACCGATCTAGTAACTCGTATACATGTCGGTATATCAAATATCCATACATCAGTACTTAGATACCGGAAATGCAATCCAGTCGGATCTACGGAGTACGTCAGACTCAGAACGGTTCAAAAGTCTCCGAAGCTCCGTTCTCCGTAAGCCGTAAGAGTTCCTCAATGCCGAGTCTTCCAGATCCACTTGGTAAAGCTCGAGTATTGGGTAATTTTGACTCTCTCATACTTGGAGGGCGCTTCTCTATCAAAATTAAAATTGCAAAAACAAGAAAAGTACCTCCCCTCTTTTTATGAGAGAAGCTTATATAGGTAGGTATATCGACGCTGACCTGGGCTTTTTTTTTTCTTTCTTTTATTACTACATAATCAAGTCTAACCTCGTTTCTTCTTACCTCTTCATGATCCAAGGATCTCGTATCTGCATCCGTCTACTCTATTTTCTCTTTGAACTCAATTCTCCTGTTGGATTCGAAAGATCAGACAATTTCTGACTTGACATCATTATATCATTGACCCCGACTGACGTCGATCATTGGTTCTCGCCGGATCTGGAAGTATAGCTAAAAGAGGGACGAATTCCCCTCCCCCGGAACTTCATATACTCTTCCTATTCTCTATCATCCAACCTTCACACATCATGACAGCACGCCAGTCAACGCCAAGCTCAGAGCACTCGCATTCCGATAGCAATGTTCGCAAAAGAGTATGCAAAGCATGCGATCGATGTCGCCTGAAGAAATCCAAGGTATGTGAAATAGAACCAGGAACGATCAATTGCCCAACATGCACTGACTTGGGACAGTGTGACGGATCTAGTCCTTGTTCTCGATGTCGTGCAGATAATGCCATCTGTGTCTTTGGAGAGCGCAAGAAGGCGCATGACAAAGTGTACCCGAAAGGGTAAGCTATCTATACTTATATTCCAGACCAAAGGAACCCCAAACTAACCCAGATTCTCCATTAGATACGTGGAGATGCTCGAACAGCAACAAACTTGGTTGGTCAATGGCCTCCAGGAACTTTATCGACGCAACATCGAAGGCGAAGGCTGGCCTGGCGAGCACCTGAAACTCGAACCCAACGGACAACCACTTACCCACGACTTACTCATGCGCCTCGGCGCGCTTGACGGTTCCAAAGGCGAGCGCTTTGAAGAGAACCCCGAAGCTTTGCAGCAGGAGCTATGGCACACCAATACCGGCATGCAACGGCAAGAATCTTCCGACGGTAGCTCCGATAGCCCGCAATCACCAGCGGCTCGTTCGCGCTTTTCCTCCGATGCTTTCTCCCAGCAGCATATGCCGCCTACGCCACCGACTTACAGCCCATCTACCCGCACAGTTATCAAGACCGAGCCGGGTCTGATGCCCAGCACTCCACATTTCGCGCAGCCCATGGCCATGCAGGGTGTGGTCAATCCATTGGTTCTGCAAGGCTCGCAACAGTGGCCCAGCAACGGGTTTAATTCTTTTGACGAGATGGATCTGATGTCGACCGCCGATTACTCCAATATGTCTTTCGATGATCAGCAGTTGTCGCCCATGTTCAATCGACAGGTACCCATGAACTGCATATCGCAAGGGTCATATGTCGATTCTAAGACCGACTACGATGATTTCAACCAGTTCCTCAATCCGAACCCCACGGAAATCACCTCGATCTGAGCATCCATCTTGGTGTTATTCTTCCTGTGGTTTCTTTTCCTTTCATTTTGTTCGTTCTAACGCCGTATGACGTGATGCATGTATACTATACATGTGCGATTATCTTCTCTCTCTCCTCTTTTCCTGGCGCTATCTTGCCCCGCGAGAACTTTGGATTCAGGCGCAATTGGGATCCTAATCACATCTGTACAGTGAACTGGGGCTTGGGGTTTGGAGTTTGTTTGGTTTTCTGATTATCTGGAGTTCTAAAATGGGGCAAGGGGGCGTCTTTCTTTACAGTCTAATGGCAAATTAATGAAGTTCATTGCAGACATGTCACCGTTACAGCACCCGAAACGGGCAATGATCTCATTCTGGTGACCTTTTCCTTTGTACACTTTTGACAGTACCCAGGAACATTTACACAGTTCCAGAACATCAGAAAGATATAGGGATCGGAGCAATATGCCGGACAATTGACTCCACTCAAGCCCCAAGGCTCCCCTACATAGAACTGAGGAACAAAACGGGAATAATTCGGAGATAACCAGGGAACAGGTCCATCAAAATTACAAGGCTGATTACGGAGTAATGGATTAGTGATCAAGTTGAGTTCCGATTTGATCTTCTGACTCAGCGGATGATTACCAAGGCGAGATCAAGGTTCGTCTCCACTGAGCGATTTTTGTGTACACAGTACTCCGTATGTTTTCAGTTCTTTGTTTTTTATATTTTTTTCACTTATGTGAGATTCTTTTACAAACGTCAAATCGCTCAAAATGGTCAGATGCTCCGAATCTGCAACCCTAATCGGTTTATCATGTTGTAACACATCTATGGGCTAAGAACCGAATCATGTGCGTATAGATACTCCGTACCCTTGCAGAGATAGTAAGCCTGTATTCGTTTTCGGTCTCGGACAACACACCAAGGTCAAGACCAAGACCATCGTCCATCGACATAATCGCATATTTGAGCTACCCCTGACCCACGGCCCCCAGCATCGTCAAACCTGCTTGCCAACTCGATAGTAACCTTGAAGTGTCTATCACAATGCCAATAGTTTCGAGCCAATGCTTGGATCTTGGCATGTCCCCTTTTTCACTTCTCACTTCTCAGCTATTTCCAAGGTGGGCCTTGACTCTTGAGTCTGGGGGTGAAGATCCTCTCGTTCTTCGGACGCCGGACCCCATTCCCTCCGACCGGATGTTGGCTGATCCTAAACCCGGGGTCTTATGTCCGCTCCATGACAGTCTGACAGTGACAAGTGGTAAAGTAAAATGATGGTTGGATACCAAATATAATCGTGTGGCGGGTTTATTATGAGGGACAACTCACCTACTTGGAGGGAGATTATCATGATTCATGTCCGATAAGTCGATAACCTTGGATTACATAGATCTAGGGCTGATATGGAGTACCAAAGTCACGAGGCGAGCTTACCCTAATTTGGCTACTGGGTAATCTGAGTCCTGTTTAGCCTAAAAACCCCATAATTCAGGTTTCAGGACCCTCCCAGGCACATTGAGAACACCTTGAAACACCAGATATCTCAAGATTTATGCTAAACCCAAGGGAAAAATGGTGAAAGAAGTCGGTGATTGATTCCGCAGATTGCGGGGTTCCAACGTCACGTCGACCCTAAAAACCACCGACTTCCCTTCCTCCCCACCAACTCCCTTCCAGAGGCAAATAAACAATAAATCGAAATCATGTCCGAACAATCCGCATTCAGCTTCCTGCCTTTGGGCGCCATCATCCAAGAGTTCCGTGTCGGTGGCCAGAACATCGTCCTGGGTTTCCCCACGCAGGAGGACTACGTGAAACATAACTCCCCGCATTACGGTGCAACCATCGGTCGCGTTGCCAATCGCATCAAGGATGCCCTGATCCAGGACCTCAATGGCCAGAAGGTTCAGCTGACGAAGAACGATGGCCCCAATTCACTGCATGGCGGTGAGCAAGGTTGGGGCAAACGCGTATTTGACGGTCCCCACGCCGTCCAGCGCAACGGTCAGGACGCCCAGCTGTTCAAATATCTCTGCAAAGATGGCGAGGAGGGGTACCCCGGGACCGTCGAAGTGCGCGTCTGGTACACCGCCAGCAAGGATGACGCCAAGACCGTGCTGACTGCCGAGTACGAGGTGGAATTCATTGGCAACGAGTGCGAGGAGACCGTTGTCAATCTCACCAACCACAGGTAAGTCCAGCCCCGCCAGTTCCCAGGTTGTAGTCAACTTCCCGCTAACGGATATGCCTCGTAGCTACTTCAATATCGGGGATGGTCCTGATATCTCGGGCACCACCGCTCAGCTCGCTACGGCCGACTATCTTCCCATCGACAGCACCGGTATCCCATCAGGCGGAATTGCCAAATTCCCTCGCGATGTGACCACTCCGTTCACGCTCACTGCGACCGGTGCACACATCGATGACGTCTTCGTGTTGGAGACTGAACCCAGTAAGATCCCGCTGGACACTCGTGGCTTGCCGCTTCGTCGCCTGGCGCAGTTCAGCAATGCGGGCACGGGCCTGCATCTCGAGGTGCACAGCACTGAACCGGCGTTCCAGTTCTACACTGGCAAGTACATTAATGTACCCTCGATCAACGGTGCGCCGGCGCACCATGAGGGAGCTGGATTCTGTGTCGAGCCTAGCCGATATGTGAATGCGATCAATGAGCCCGAGTGGCGATCGATGGTCCTGCTGAAGAAGGGGGAGATCTTTGGTTGCAAGACTGTATACAAGGCATGGAAGGCTTGAAGGGAGGGGTATGCATTTGACGGGGATTATGCAGTACATAGTTGATGTATTAAATCCACATTGAGATATTTTACATTCAAAAACCTCGAGTGGAGATTGGCTTGGCCTTGATTCAGAGACTGGGTATCAAAACGTGGAAATCATGTTGTAATACAGCATACAGCATATACATTATTAATAATATTGACGTACAAGTGAGAACCGCAAGATCGTGCCGAAGCCGACCAAGTTATCTCCGTCATCTTTTCCCGATCCGTGGATCCTCGGCAGCCCGTGTTTAGCGTATTCCGAGGTCAAGTCCGAGGTCATGTCCGAGGTCAGGTCCGAGGCTGAATTGCATGATCACATCGGATTAGACATGTGAATATTCAGTAAGATGTACTCTACTACATGTATAGTTATGTAGTGGTTTTTTACGTAGGTTACTACCGCACCTCTGTTATAAATGTAGGTACTTGTGTATATGGTTGGGACACGATCTCTAACAAGCCCCAACTAAGAACAAAAAATAGCATTTCACATAAAAGCTCCGTGACCCCGCTTCGAGAACAATTCGCCTTCGAGACTACCCATAGGGCCATAAGGCCCCACCTTTTGGCATTGGGGAATCTTAAGTCATTTCTCACTATTGGAGTGCCGTTACTGCCGTATTCCCGCTGTGTTTCTGGATTGCGGTACTATACAATATGAGGCTGTATCTGGATGGGCAACATGCTATACTGCATAGCTGGAGAGAAAGGTTCTAAGCACAGCAATATGACACAGCCTCGATGAAGGGATTGCTGCTGTGTATTATTCGAGAAGACTAACTTGGGGCTTGTCCAAGGCTGAGGCTGAATGCGTCCACGTGACATCGGCCGAAATCGGAGGAACCCCGGGCCAAGCCGAGCTTCTTCGCCCCGCGTGGGGGACGCTGATCAACTTGATGAAAGCATTCAATTTCTCCAGTCCGACCATTCGACCGCCCCCATCGATTATCTACAATGGCTTCATCCCACGGAGATCTGCGTCATCTTCTCCCTGGCAACTACAAGCGCCTGGTCACTTCTTGGCTGGAAGAGGACTGTCCCAGCCTGGACTATGGCGGCTTTGTTGTTGGTGAGTCAGAAGGCGAAGCCCGATTGTTGGGAAAGAGTAAGGTGTGTATTGGTGTTGCGCCAAACACAATCAAAGGTCACAGATGCTAATTGATCGGTAGGGCATTGTCGCAGGTGTACCATTCTTCGATGAAGTTTTCTCACAACTAGGCTGCACGTAAGTCTACCTCTTGCCCTCATACTCGCCGAGAAAGCCTACTCAAACCACCTCCCCTGCAGAATCGAATGGCACATCAAGGAAGGTGAAACAATCACCCCGATTCAGCACTGCGCAACCGTGCGCGGGCCCATCCGCAAGATCCTCCTCGGCGAGCGCGTGGCGCTCAACATTCTCGCACGATGCTCGGGCATCGCCAGCAAGAGCGCCTCGATGCTCGCTGCACTGCGTGCGCAGGGGTGGCAAGGAATTCTGGCCGGTACAAGGAAAACGACGCCTGGCTTCCGCCTGGTGGAGAAATACGGGATGCTCGCTGGCGGCGCCGATCCCCACCGACACGACCTAAGCTCGATGACAATGCTGAAGGATAACCATGTATGGGCATGTGCGAACAACCGGGCTGCGGCGGATGGGGGTGTTGCCGACCCCTCATCGATTGACTCGATTGCGGCGGCGATCCCACGCGCTGTGCAGGCTGCAAAGGCTACCGGTGGATTCTCGACCAAGGTTGAAGTTGAGTGTCGGAGTATTGAAGAAGCCAATGCCGCGATAGGGGCTGGGGCAGATATCATTATGCTGGATAACTTCACGCCAGAAGGAGTGCGGGATGCTGCAGCGCACCTTAAGCGTGAATGGTCCTCGAAGAAGGCTTTCTTGATCGAGGTGAGCGGTGGGCTGACAGAAGAGAATGCGCCATCGTACGTCTGTGCCGATGTGGATATCTTGTCTACAAGTTCGATCCACCAGGGCACGGGGATTGTGGATTTCTCACTGAAAGTATCGTTGCGATAATCATACAATTCATTCCAAAGTGCATGTGTATAGACAATGGAGGGAAAGAAATCGAACACCGACATTGGCAAAAGAAACAAAACAAAAACGCCTTTCCTCGTCTCATGCCCTCATGATCATTACAAGCATTGCAGAAGTAAAACAGACGCGGGTATAGTACATAGGCTGGAAGATCAGACTTCAATGTCGACTGTAATGCCCTCTCCTTCACTGGAGCTAGGCGCTTCATCCGAGACAGGAGGGCGACCACCACCAGTGATGGTCGCTGGAGCTCCGCGCCGCGCACGTTCCCGGTTGAGTTGGTCTCGAAGTTTCTGGTTTTCGGCATCGCGTTCCTCCAGTCGTTTGCGAGCACCACTGCGGTCCAAGAGACGCGCCTCGCGCTCAGATTTGACTCGCTTTTCCAGCTCATGCAGCCTGTGAATCCATTTCTCATCTCCACCATCCCAGCCACTGTGCGAGCTGCGCGTACGTGGTATCATCGTCCCGGGATTATTGTTGGTTAATGTGCTACTAGAAGAGGAGTGCGAGGGCTGCGGAAGTCCTGTACTGCTGCGACTGAGACCTTTCTCGGCACGAGACCTTTCAGTGCCAACGACAGAGCTCGCCGCCGACACTAGCGAAGGGGATCGAGGCCCCGATGCCATGACTGCAGCCGCAGGACCCTGTCTGGAGCCGGGTTGGAGTAGGTTGAGCTCAGCCTTGAGAAGACGGTTCTCGCCACGCAGTTTAGATATCTCTGGCGTGGAGCTCGACTGTCCACGGCCGGACCTCATGTTCTTCACGGCTTCTTCGAGGCGCTCGAGCTTCTTGATGCGCCCATTGTATGACGTCTCCAGCGCGTGATACCGCTTGGTCAACTCGTGATCGACACTCTTGATGCGAGTCTTGAATCCCGCCATGACGGCCTCGACAGTCTTCATTGCAAGCAAAAGGTTGCGACTGAAGCCTGGCCAGAACAGAATATTGCCAATAACCTCCTGGCTTGGGAGATTGCCATTGATCAGACTATTGGAGTGCGCCCAATCCGGCCCGCAGAGTCCGGATAATCGTTTCCAAATGTTAAGGAACATGGTATTGCGCTCGCTAAGCTGGTCCTTGAACTGCTGTTCTAGCGCTACATACCTCTTGCGATCCTCGGTTCGCGCCTTTTCCAGGTCTGCAATGCGAGAATTGCTTTGCGCAATCGTCCGGGATGCCTGCTGATGAGATTTGAGTGACGACTCAAAGGATTGTTTGTCGGCTCGGCGGGCGTGCCGTTCACGATCCAACAGTTCTGAGAGTTTGCGTGATTCAAGTCCGTGACTTTCGAGTAAAGCATCGCGGTTCCGAAGCAGAGATTCCTTTTCATCTAGCTGCGAGCGAACGCTCTCCAACTCCAGGGCGGTCGATTCGAGTTCCTTTTGTAGCTTCATGATGTTGGTGATCAAGCTTGACCGACTGCCGCTGAGATCACCTAGAGTTTCTCTCAAATTGTTTTCGAGGTCCATTAACCGTTCTCGCCAAGTGGAGGTTTCAATTTCTTGGGCAGAGAGACTCTTCTTCAACCGTCGGACTTCCTCCTTGGAAGCTGAAGCTTCGCGGTTCAGCTCATTCATGATGCGTTGGACATCTTGCTTCTCCTTGCTCCCAACCATCTCTCGCTGGTGACGTTCGTCGGCCAGTCGCTGCTCAAGCTCTCTGGTCTTATCCTTTTCACTGGACAAACTCATGCGGTAGTTCTTAAGGTCTGATTCTAGGTCCCCGATACGGATCTTGTCGCCATCTTGCTCTTCGCGGAGGAAAGCAATTTCATTCTGGCTCGACTCGATCTGCACCGTGAGTCGCTGCACCTTGGTGTTGGCTTCGAATAGACTCTTTTCCATAGACTCCATCTCACGGTTTGTCTCTTCAAGCTCCCGCTGCACGGACTTGTATGCAGCCAGGTTGTTTTGTGCGTCTTCCTCAAGACGGATGATACCCTCATTCGCAGATCGCATCTCTGCCTGCAGGACCTTGAGATTTTCATCTTGATTTCTCAGGTCCTCGTTCATGCGCTGACACTCAACAATCTTCTGATCGAGCTCATCTCCCAGTGTATCCAACTCTTCCTGTGCCTCGGCCCTTAGGTCTTGGAAGGCCGCATCTCGTTCGTTTGCCATATGCACAGCCTGGTCTCGTTCTTGCTGTAGATTTTGGATCTCTTCTTCAGCTTGGTCAACATCGGCCTGGTATGCCTTATCAAGGGCCTCCAATTCTGCAATATAGTCCTCAAGTTCTGCTCGGATGGCTTGATTTTCAAGCTTGAGGGTCGACACTTGATCGCGAAGTTGTCCATTGCGGGCTTCGAGTTCGTCGCGATCCATGTCGCGAGACATAGTTGTTTTGCTGCTAGCCTGGGAAGATGGCCGAACATGAGCGCGTGAAGCAGAACGATCAAAGATACTGTCTCCAGCTATGGATTGGCCGCCATGTCGGCGTTCTCCGAGCTTTAATTCTTCGATCTCTTGATAGAGACGTTCCTTTTCTCGATTGCGGGACGTCAGCATTGAAGTTTGAGCGCTGACTTCTTTTCGTAGTTCGGCGTTTTCCTGTTTGAGAAGCCCCAGCTCTACAACGAGGGTACTGTTAGGAACACCAGGGAGTCGATTGCCATCTCTATCAAATGTGTAGTCATATTGACCAGACTTCGTGGCAGAATACATCTCACTGCGCAAGCGAATCGTTTCATCCCGAAGTCTGCGGTTCTCCTCTTCGGCTTGCTCACGCGCGGATGTTTCTGCATCAAGCATGTCTTTCCACATTTCCTATCAAGCGGTTAGTTTGCCCGTCGGTCAAAGAGGGTATAAAACTTACTCGCTCCTCTCTTGCGCCTGCATCGGACTCTCCTGCACGATTGTCGCTAAGAGACTTGACCATCTCAGCCAACCGTCGCTTCTCACTTTCCCGTGCGATGGTTTCTGATCTCATGCGCTCAATCTCTAGTTCATAGGTTTCAATCCGTTCCCGCAGAAAGATCATCTCTTCGTCTTGAGCCGAGTCACGTTCACCATCCTCTGACGCTTCAGGGTCATGATTGACCATAGAATCCTTGTCCGATTGATGGTCTTTGACCTGCTTTTCCAAGTCCCGAATCTTGCGCCTTAGGCTCTGGTTGTCCTTGGAGAGTTTGACCTTGTCTGATTTGAGCTCGACATTCTCTGAAATCATCTCCTTGATGCCTTCTTCGGAACGCTTATTGAGTGCCTCATTGAGAAAATGAATTCGCATTTTCAGGTCAAAGTTCTCCTTCGCCAGGCGATCGATGGTACTGCTCTGTTCCTTAAGAGTCAAGTTCCGACCACTTTTCGCAAACGTAGGCGTCGATGCCCCTAGTCGTTTATCTGGTTGAAAGTCTTCCCGAAACCGTTGCGCAAATGTGGTAGGAATCTGAATGCCCTTTATGCGCTCGGTGATTGCTGTATCCGTAGGAAGATTGTTGTCTTGTGGCTTCGCCTTTGGTGTCACCGGCGCCGAGGTGTCTTCGACTGGATCAGCACGAGAACGTGGTGAGCCTTCCTCCTCTAGAGTATGCAGGCCTCCATCCGCTGGACTGGGTTTGATCTTATCGAACGGATTTTCTTCGCTATAGCCAGAGATCCCTGATGCCATGCTCCCCAGACTGGTCGTTCTAGCCATATGCGTATGATTTCTGGCATGTAGACTGCCATAGTTATCGGACGTTGCGCCTCCAGTTTGGAGGGCATAGTCCGCGCCAAGTGTGGCATCGCTGTTGGTTGTTTCGGTGTTATTACTTGCGACCGAGGAGTGTGAGAGACGATGGGCTGATTGGCGGCTAGTCAGGTACTTTGGTCGGCTGGCTTTGCGACTACCAGGGGTACTACTACCACTCTGGTCACTGAACAGGTGCGATGCACCGGGGGACAAGCTGCGGGAGGTATTTCGAAGTTTGGAGGGAGTAAGTTGTGATTCGTTCTCGGTCATAGAAAATCCAGATCTGAAGGGATGCGCGTCCTGAGGGAGCTGGCCGTCTTCTTTCTCCAACGAGGTGGTTTGAGGTTGGCGCAGCTTTGTAGCCGTCGTGGGTGAGGAGTCAGGTAATGGAGTATCCGTAGGCTGTTCCGATTGGCGAGCAGGTGCTGATTCTGTCTGTTCTTGCGCGTTGCCATCTTCGTCATGTATCGAACCTGTCTCGGCTTGTTCTAAGGAAGAGAGCTGTGAGGAATCCTGTGTCGTTTCTGCAACGTCATCTCTTGGGACTCCAACCAAATAAGTATCATCTGCACCAGCAGAAGGCCCGGTCGCAATTGTCGAGGGTTCTGGTAAGAAGCTGGACTCGATGTCCATCAACTTGCGACGCATTTCGTGCTCTTCGATCAGGGTCTGGTTGTTGTCGCGTTCGTCGCCATTTTCGCTTGATGGATGAAAGGGACTACTATCGTCGCGATCTGTCAAAGAAGGAATAAAACTGTGGTCTTCCAGGTCCAGTTGCGATGTTATGGTAAATTCAGGGTCGGGGTCCTCAATATCATCAATGTCCGGCTCGGGGGTTTGCGCGTAATCGGAGTGTGTGACCGAGATCGGGGGGATTACCCCCGGTGCGTCCTCTGCCATGAAGTATTCTGAACTGAGATCATGCGACTGATCTGGAGTCTGAAATATCGAAGAAGTCGAAGTTGTGAGCTGGGACATGACGAGTGTTTGGGTCTCCACTCCCTGCGTCTTACCCGCGTTCATCGGCGAATGAGCGTTCGTCGTGGTCATTGGATGTATCAACTTGAGAGTTGCCAGAGAAACATAAGAAAAGGTAAATGGATTGAAGATGGGATCATGTGAGTAATGAGGAATTAAGGTGTTGAGAGAAATACTGTTACTTTACACCTACGCACTTATTACTTCTGCTCACTTAATAGTAACATCCATCATGGTAGTTATAGCATCTAGCATCAACATCAATATCACCGTGATCAGAGTAACCCATAAACCAGAAAAATAAACAGAAACAATGAATCAAAAGTAAGTTCACTTCTGAGGGGGTATCATGAGTCCCCAATCCGAAAGACTTATATATACAAAACGGTCAGATCGGTTCATTTGGCGGGGGGGGGGGAAAGAGGTAAATCACGCAACGTCGACAGATTCCGTAGTTGCTTTCTCACTCGAGTTGTTCGAAGCGAAGATTCTCTCTTTGGAACTGATGGCACTGCGTAGGGAATCGATGTAGGTACGGAATTTGACAATCTCTCGCAACAGATATGATGATTTTCGTTCCCAATTTGCCATGGCTTTGAGGGCGTTAGGATGGCGTGGGGAGAATGCAAGGTTCATTGCGGAACGCAGCTCATTGTGTCGAGTCAGATCGTCTTCCACGTTCTTCACATAGGCCTGGAGCGCCTTCAATTGTTCCTCCTCTGTCAAATTGGAGGCAACCATGCTCTGCTGCGGCGGGCTCCAGTCGCTGATATTGACCCGATCCGCCGGAAGTCGAGGCCGCACAGATTGTTGGTCGAGAGAGCTTCGGATGGAGCTTTGTATGCTCTGTCGGGCGCCCGATGAAGGCGGCGGAGATCGGCTCTCGCCGCCGACAAGGGCACTATTGATGACACTGTCACTCCATCCATATTCAATGTTGCTGATGCCTCCGACAAGTGGTTGCTTGGACAGCCGTGCGCTCCAATAGTTGGCCGTGGAGACAAACTCTCGGACAATCTCAGGTGTTCCAGCTTGGAAAAGATGAACTGCACCAGTAGGCAAGCTGAGGGCCCAGACATGAGGACGGGACTTGGAGTACCCAGGCGAAGGCAGGGCACTGGCAATGGTCTGGCGCAGCATGAATTTCCAAAGCTCTTCGGCATTTTCAGTCCAGTTACCGCCACCGACCACGAGGCCTCCCCGTTGTTTGGCCTTTTGCCGCATCGTCTTGGTCGTGTTATTGAAGGAGAAAAGGCGCATCCAGCCTTGCTGTATTACCGCAAAGCAGTCATTCCAGTTTCGGTCTTTGGCCCGTTTGTCGACCGCATCCAGGTGATGCTTGTGCTTCAGACTTCCCTCCTTGGCCCAGGGTGCTCCCGCTAGAGCCAACGTGTCATCCTCAAGCAGAGGCGTGGTTCGTTCGGGCTCTTCATAGCTATAAATTGAAGTGGCAGAGTCTTCTCGAATGATAGCCTGACTCAGGGCATTGGCGAAACCGATAGATTGCTGATATTCGCCGCGGGGGAAGTCTGAGCCAAAGGAATCAACCGACGCCGAAGTGAACTTGCCCAGAGAATATTTACTCCAAGTACTGGATCCTGCCGGACTCCAAAGAGATGATTGGTCGTCTAAGCTGGTGCGACTGGATCCCATCATCGAAGGAGGATAGAGTCTTCCAGCTCGGGAGCGGGGTTTGGACGACCATCGTGCAGCCCCATGGCTTGAGTTGGGAGGACGGCCGCGAGGGAATATATCGGAACCACTCTTGCTGATGGTACTGGGGCTCCTACGAAGAGTACCGCTGGAGGGGCCAGGGCCCAAGAAGTTGTTGGATGACATGCGAGAGATCTCTCGTTCTGGCTGGGCCCCGAACAGGGGCAACCTTTCTTTTTGGATGGATGTGTAGAATTCTTTGAGTACAGCTTCCACTTGTTGCTCCCAGGCTCGCACCGTTCCAATGAATGGCGTGTTGACCAAAGGACCGGCATCAACGTTAATTTCGCTGTCTTTGTCCGACGTGGTTCCGGCCTCTGACGGGAAAGTTGCGGATCGTGCGGACGTAGGAGCGGAGTTTGGTTCGTGGGGTTGAGTCTTGGAGCGGTTGATTGGCCGCAAGGTCTCAAAGGCTTCAGGTGCAGCGTCCATGGCCACTCGGTGGATGGTAGGCATGGTATTTCGAACAAACTGTGACTTTGTCATTTTTGACTCGATGTCGGCCAAGTGCAGATCGGTGTTTAGTAGGAGAATCGAATAGCAGATCGTGTGGACAACGTCAGCAGCTTTGAAACCATGCCTTGGGTTACAATCACACCATCTGGTAGAGAAGGCATCCAAAACTCGATCTACTTGTTGAGTTTCTCCCTTGAGCACCAAACGGTCACAAAGAACCCGGAGTGAAGCGACAATGTTGAGATTAGACCAGTTGAACAGCTGCATATATGCCTCCCGGATCATCGCCCGGTCGGGGTCACCTAGCCATGCGGCAGCAGGATCATTGCCCACAACCTGATCCTGACTGTCGAAGAGCTTTTGAGCTTGCTCTCGGTCCGCGGCCGTGGGCCCATCTTCAATGGTCTCGCCCGGTGCCTCGTCGGTTGACGCTGGCTCTTCTTGCTCAATAAGTGGAGTATTCGCAGCAGTCTGGTAGTGTGATACGGTCGATATGGAATCAACAGGAGATTCGCAAGCCTTATCATCTGGTGGAGGCGCTAGCTTAGCTTTATCTGCCTGTGATTTGATGCTGCGCGAGAGGTCTCCCGCAACGGGAGATAACATGGCAGAAGCAACAACATTCTGAGATCTCTCTTGCATAGCAGTGTCTGGGAATTGGCCATTGGAGGATCGATCCTTGTCTGCAAGCGGGGTGAGAGTTTGGCTTTGAGTAGCAGAGAGCTGAGGAGACCCTTTCGGAGCACCAGGAGCTGAGACACTTTCTCTCTTTTTCTGTGCCTGCAAAAATGCAGGTTGCCGAATTTTGGCCTCCCATTCCGCGTTCTCCTTTTGATCTGATTCCTCGTCGAGATAAGGATTCATGACCTGCCGCAAGCTGCTCACCGGACTTGGCGCCGGCATAGCATCCATGACCTGTGATGCAAGATGTTGGGGAATCACAATCGGTGGAGGGGTACGTTCAGCCACCGACCTCTTCCTTCTGCGGAAGAATGAAGATTTCTTGTTCACAACCTGATGAGGTCCTGTGCGAACCGAGGACGGAGAAATACCCACCGGGGGTTTCGTCGCCTGCGGAGCCGATGTCTTCGGGTTGGCAGTAGACCCGTTGATGTCTTTAGTCTCAGGTTCTTGTGGCTGTGATACTTCAGAGGCGATTATACTTGCGGTATCGGCCGGAAGGGGGGATGTATTCTTGGATCCAAACACACGCCGAAAGAAACCCGGCCGTTCCTTGGCTGTGTTTGTAGGAGGATTGTTGGTCATGATGTTGGTATTCACCGTCGGTTCTGGGGGAGGAAAAGCGGGCTTGTTGTAGGAAATTGTCGGGCTAGGAGCAGGAGGTTCCAGCGCTCCCGTGATGGTTGGAGGGGGGCCTAGATCTGCACTGTTTGCTTGGAGATCATCCCGAACTCTCATTGTCCCCGTGCCGATATTGTCAGGCCGAACTTTTCGGACTTGGGGAGCAGGGTGAGCAGATTTCAGGCTGTTTCGTCGCGATGCTAGCGGGGTCCGCGCAGCAGAAAAATCGGGAACCTTTCGTGGCCCTGCTGGCACACTCGGAGTAGGTGCAGCGTCGTGATCTTCGTACAGCATCGAGGTCTCATTGATAGTGGGGTCGGCATATGGTGCAAATGCTCGTTTTGGTCCACAATCAAAACTGGCGGAGCGCCGATCCAAGCCTTGATCTGTCCGTGCCCTGGGTAATGTGTACGAGTAATCTGCAATGGATGATGAGCTTCCTTTGCTGCCTTTTCGAGTCGTGTTTGCTCGTGGCATGGAGGATGTACCACCGCGCGAGCTTCCCACCTGTTTCTGGGTGATTTGGTTGGAACTGCTGTTGCTGCGTCGGCCCTTGGTCATGATGGTTGCATAGCGGTTATTGTCAACTTCATAGCCATAGTCTGGCTCTGAGGACATTGACGACGAAAATGTGTGGCCACGGTACCGGCCCTGTGCGTTGGAATCATGTGAGTAATGACTGTGAAGATCGGCCTCAAAAGCGGAGTTGAATAGCCGGTAGTCATCTAAGACAGAGGAACTAGGAGCGAATTGGTCGAGCGAGAGGAGCATGTTGTCAACGATAGATGTTCGTGCAGCGTGCTGCGGGGAAAGAGACAGATCATGCGGATCTCGATCATCTCCGGACTCGCTGCTTCTGGATCTGTCCATGGCGTCTGGGAAAGCATCTCGGATGGACGGTCGAGTTGAGTGTCCACGCTTGGAGGGTTTGTATTTCGCGGTTTGAGAGGGAGGTGTATGAGGAGAAGATGCCCGCTGGGACATTATCAGACTAAGTAAATCGTCAATTCAGATCATGCTAGAAAGGGAGGTATGTTGTATGGGAATATTCGAACAGGAGCAACGATGGGAGGGGCTGGAATGCGTACCTGGTATGCGCCCAAGGCTTCACTTGGGTTGGGGTTCTGTATAATCTTGACCTGCAATATGACAAATTGAATCTTTCAGCTGGCCAGGGGGAAATGAAACAAAGAAGAAACCAAAAGCCGCAATGGGCTCGAGTGAGCGAGTGAACGAGTGAACGAGTGATGCAGAAGACAAGAACCCGGGGACGGGACGAACTCCTGAAACTCTCAAAAAAAAAGGTTTGGACCTTACACAGTATGAGGATAACGAGTTCACTTTTCTTTTTCCTTCTTTTTTTCTTTCTTTTTTTTCTTTCTTATTTAAAAACGAATATATATCATGTCAATTGATCAAATAGAACAAAAAAAAGAAAAGAGGATAGCAGAGAAGTCGCGACAGGGGAGGTCCTGACTATTTCCAGATCTGCCAACGCATCCTGACCTGCAGATTCAGGGGCATTGCGAATTTCAGTAATATATCGTTGTATGTACATGTCTATATGTACCACAGTATCTATCTAGGTAGATACATCGTTGTAGGTGCACCATGGATCGTAGGTCGTACACAGCTATCTAATTCATATTGAATTTATCCGTACTCCGTATATCCGTAGTTGTGTCCCACTATCATGTTCAGGTGGAGCAGTGGGGGCCTTGGGGAATTCTACTTATCGAGATGGAGTTCAGATATGATGTATCATAGGAAACTCCCTAAGGCTGTCAAGCTAACATTGGATCTATCATCTTTAAAATAGCCCGTCTCACTGTGTCTGCCAGTCTGGCACGAACTATCAAGTATATAGCCCCTTGCAGAGGGAATCTTTTCCGGATCGCCCACCGTAACTTGTTTCGATGTGAGGTGTTCATACTGGGCGCCAGAGAGTCATGGGAAATGATCCAGTAACATTGTTGACTGTTATATATCATCATTATGACTCCAGTTGTTCGGATGACAACACGATTATATGATGGGCCATAGGTAGTGACCTAGTGTGACTACAAGTAGATATGCCCAAGTGTTGTAAGTTGTAACAAAGTACTCTGAAGTACTCCGTACAAAAGTTAAAATGCCTAATCTTGGCACGTGACCGAGATGACATAACGGCACAGGTCGCCAGCATGCGTGGACAAACTTGTGTATGCTCCGAAGATTTCTTAACCTGCGCTCGAAAACGGGCCTTCGATCATGAATCCACATATCTCCGTCCCCCGTCAACATGCCAGCTCTACCAACTTCGGCTCAACGCCCGCAACCCGGTCTAGCGTCCGCATGCCGCGCTTCTTCAAAAGGTAGGACACGAGACGGAGAGAGAGAAGAACAGTCACTCATTTGGAAGTAATAGGCTGTTCAAGTTCCCACAAATGGATTTTGAAATGGCCATTTGGGAGATGACATCGCTATTGATTGCGCCTAAGAAGGTCTTCAAATCGATATACTACCATGTAAGTGGAATCGACTATCCGCTCTCGAACATTATGCTGATCAGATCTTGACATCTAGAAACGTGAGTCAAAGCCAATCCTGGATGTTAATTCCCCGGATGTTCGAGTACATTCGCATCTCCATCCTGACCAACCACTGAGAATTGAATAGAAACTAAAAACACATGGCATCGACCTGACCCTTCGTTCACCTACCTACTATCATTCTTCCTCCTTCTCACAGCCTTTGCCTGGGGCCTCGCTTACAGGCCCGGATTTGGTGCAATCATTCGCCTAACGTTCCTCTTTGTGTTTGTTCATTTTATCGGCTCATCGCTACTCGTGTCAACAATTGGCTACTTCATCATTGGCCGTCTATTCGGTCCGAACGGAGCTGCCGCCTCTTTGGCCGGCCTGCGGGGCTCCCGTGGTCGAAGACGAGGTGCTGCACAAGGCCTATTTACGCAGCCGGGAGAGAAAGACCAGCTAGAGTTTGGATATTGTTTTGATGTGAGAACCCCTCTGGGCTATGTGGAATCTCTCTAACACACTCTCTGTCTGACATAGGTATCTAATCGTGCTTTCTTTCCGCTCTACCTCCACCTCTACGTCGTGCAGTTCATCCTCCTGCCGCTTCTCACCCGCAGTCCGAGTAATTTCCTGGCTACTTTCCTTGGGAACTCCCTCTACCTCTCTGCCCTTACTTATTACACCTATATCACATTCCTGGGGTACAATGCTCTCCCCTTCTTGCACAACACGGAGCTTCTACTTGTGCCCATCCTCATTTTCGCCATTCTGTGGCTTGTTAGTCTGATTGCCGGTTGGGGTATTGTCATGCAAGGCCGCAGCGTTCAGTGGCTATTTTGGGGCATGAGACTGCAGACTTAAGAGCTGTTTTGGGGCATGTGAATTAGCCATAATAGACCTGGACTGTACTTTATGCGTGTGGTTGATCTGAGGCTTCTGCTCTCCTAGACGCCGGAATCTGTGTGGAGGCGGCTGTACATGATCATTTCTCATTACAATGCGAGGAGCTGCAATTCTTTTGTTCTGATTCGACTCCAATATGAGGGAACCACTCCAATGTGAGGGCACCTTTTGACACCCGTCATAGTCACATCTACTATTTATTTCTTCTTGTTGCCAGTCTTCTTAGTCCCCATGGCCGCAGCGCGCATCCGATCTTCACGCTCCTGGATGGCAGCAGCGCGTTCCTTCGCCTGCTCATCCTTCTCCTCCTTCTCCGCCAACTTGCGCAGGCGCTCTGCCTCCCGTTTCTCCCGAATGACTGCAAGACGAGCCAGATCTGCCTTCGCCTCGTCGGTCTTGCCCTCCGCATGCAGCTTCTGGTAACGCTCACGGGCCTGTTGGGCCTGGACGGCCTCGCGCTCGCGTCGTGATAGCTGCGAGATGTCCTTGACCTTGACGGGCTTCTTGGGCTCCGCAGCGGGTTCAGCAGCCTTTTGTGTCTGTGAGCGTGACTTGGCGGTATGGTTGGGGTTGGCGGGGAGATCGGTGTCGAATTCTTCGGAGTCGGAAGGAGGCAAATCACCTGGTTGGGCAGGGCCTTGGCCTCGCTTCTTCAATGCGGCCGCCTTCTTAGCTTTGGCAGCTGCGCGACGCTCTTCACGAGTTCCGCCGGTTTCGGACGACTCGATGGGTTTGGACTCTTCCTCGCTAGATTCCTCGGAGCTCTCTTCTTCGGACGAGGATTCCTCTGAGTTGATCTGTTCTCCAGGCTCCTGTTTGGAAACGCAAATCAACGTAAGCAGGTGTTCAAATTGGATTTAAAAGGACAATCACTTACCCGCCAGAGACCCATTTGGTTACCATCTTTGTCTAATGGTTGGAGATCTCTGCTGAAGTGCTTGCCACCTAAATTCCTGATTAGCGGGGTGTCTCCAGGGTTTGTGTCGTGCCTAACAAACCTCCTCGAGAGGGCTTGGAGAACTTTCCTCCACGACCACGGGGCGCCATATTATACTCTGTTTTCTTTCTTTTGAATCGAACAATATATATCACTCTCTCCCTCTATATTTCAAGATGAAGTTAGCGGCGGGGTTGAATTTTCGGACACACAATGACTTGGCGAGGGGCAAAGCGGGGTGTGGTAATCATGCGCCAACTTCTGACCTACCTGAAGAGCAATACTGTGTAGATGGTGGTAGCAATAGTAGAAAGTGTCGTAGTCTCTGTGAAAAGAAAGATAGAATATGTGGGGAAATCATAAATTCATGTGTGATTTGTTGGACACGGTGAGAGAACCATGGATTCCCTTAACCCTCAGTTATCGAGTTTCCCTTCTTAAAATACAGATATGCAAATATACACAGTAAAGATATACACAGTAACATGTAGGTAATGTACAAAACTTTTCTTTATTTCTCTTCGACTCAAACTCGTGCCAGACCAATGCCCACCTTGGTCACACGAGACCCGATCAATGTCAATCCACCAGCGAGAATCGCCGATCCCATAAACATCTGCGCATACAAGTAATTGCCATTATCGTGAACCACTAGTGCTCCAGCAATGGGAGATCCAATGAGAGCTGCCACCGCCACCACACTCAGTACCATGCCCATGCGGACACCAGTCTTCTTCAGATCGGTGGTGAGGGTGCTGAGGGTTGCCGGAAACAGGGATTGAATACCCGCAGCAAAGAGGCCATAGAATACAGCGAATGCCCACAGGCCGGGCATTCCATCAACAGCCGCCCAGCAATAACCAACCAGGGCGGTTGCAAAACTGAACGGGATCAAGAGGTTGAGAGGACCGGTATACTGATCCGCGAGTAAGTTGGGGACCAATCGCCCGACCAGTCCAACTCCATTCATGACCAGGAGTAGATCAATGGCTCGGTCGTTAGAGACGCCGATGATGTTGCGGCTGAAAGCGCCGATGTAGAAGAAGCCGACATACAGGCCCCAGAAGTTCAGGAACATACCAATGGCAAACAGCAGATAGGGCAGTTCGGTAAAGGCAGCCCACTCAACGAGGGGACCAGTCGTGCGGGGAGGAAGACGTTGCTTGAGGAACAGCACACAGGGGGTTAACGTGGCGAGCGAGATAAAGCCAAGCGTCCGAATGGTCCAGCCATATCCAACCTGGGGCAACATCTTCATAATCACAGCTGGGAAGACCAAACCACCTGTCGCAGAACCAGATGCAGCTATCCCGATAGCAATGCCACGATTCTTGGCGAAATAAGTCGAGATCAGAGCCAAGGTCGGGCAGAACATGAGCCCACATCCGATGCCCTGACCAATACCCTGCGCCAGGAACAGCTGCCAATACTTGGTACAGAGCGATGTCATGAAGATACTGAAACATTCCAAGAGGGCACCGCAAGCCAGAGTTATTTTGAAATAGCCTGCATCGGTGGCCCTGCCAGAGAAAGTACCGATGAAGAACAGCAGAAAGATCTGGATGCTCCCGACCCAGGAGATATCCGATGGCGGGTGTCCCAGCGTCTGGGAATAATAAGTTTGGAAGACACCGAAGCTATTGATATATCCCCAGGTATTGAAGATGACGAAGTGCGCAAGCGCAACCTGTGACCAGGCCTGAAATCCACCGTCTGGGGGCGGACCGATCGCCTTCCCAGACTCGCGCGTGCGTACGATCGATAGCGTGCGGGTCAAGACACTGGCATTGGTAGGTTCGCGGGAGAGGTTATCAGATTCATCGCCAATATTTGATTCCTCGTCGGTAGAGGGCCGACCAGTATAGTCTCGGTCTTGGTCTTGAATGTGCGATTCCTTATTTTCGGGGAGATTGGCCATGACATGTGAATTCGAAGAACTCATGCTTTCATAACAGAAATCCAGGAATTAAAGAATTAAATATCAAACGAATGTAGAAATGAGTCAAATCGATAAGAGCAAAAATTTCGATATCAGGATAGCCGATATAACGGGGACATTGCCGATCAGTCGCAGAGATGGCCGAATGCGTTCCGATAGCCACTTAGGGCGTAGTACTTGTTATGAACACATGTACCGTGCCTAGGTAGAGGCTACATAGGTAATAATTATAGATTTGCACTCAAGCAGAGATGAGGGAATCCCTGTAATCCATGTATATATTACATTGTAGCATTTAGGTTAGGGTTACGGAGTGTAGAGCGGGAAATGCGGGAAATGCGGGAAATTCCTTCGATAGGAAGGTTCCGTCTTCTAGGGTTTTGGTTAACTGTGCTGCCCTAAGACTCGAGACCAGTAAAGCACATCTTCAGACTTCCAAGGGGCATTAATTCTAACTAGGAATCTAGGATACAGGTCAAAAAATTCAGAGAATCAGATTTTTCGTCTTCATTGCTTGACCAAGATCAGTGATCTTGGTTGGCATTGATTAACATCTGAATTGATCCAATAACATCGGCCGGTTCTAACAAATGCCAGCTGGCATCGGTTTGCTTAGAACTGGCGCCTACCGTGACCGAGTAAACATGGTCGCGTGGTAGGTCAAACTTTTGAAGAGCACGGAACATATCTGACTTGTTAGTACAGCGAAACTGAAGGAGGAAAAGGAAACGGCTTACCTTCATCGGTGAAATCATCGCCCAAACAAAGAATAAAGTCAGGGGCGCTCCCTGGGGCCGTACCATACTCATTGACCAACCGAGTGGCAATGGCACCCTTGTTTACAAAGGTGGGCCGAACCTCCAGATTGGCCTTTCCTGCCATGACTTCCACATCCCACCGTTTGGCAACGGTATCCTCCAAAGCCTTGCGGCATTCGCGAGCCTGGAATGCACCGTACTCTGGATCTGCACGTCGATAGTGCCAGGTCAATGCCACCCGTTTCCGTTCTATGAATGAACCCTGTGTTCGCTCCGTGAAGTGTTGGAAAACTTCGACGACTTCCTTCTGCCATCCCATGTCACTTTTCTCGGCCAAGTTCTCCCAGTCTTCCGATCCAGGTTTCCGAATGAAACAGCCGTGCTCAGCACTCAATCCGAGTTCTGGGATATGACCCATCCATTCGTCCAGGAAAACCTGGTCGCGTCCACTGATGATCCACACTGCGTTTCGTGGGTCGGCTGACAAGCTCTTCAGGGTGCGGAGGACCCGATCAGAGGGAATGGCCGCCTGAGGATCCTTGACAATCGGTGTCAATGTGCCGTCATAGTCGAACATGAACAGTCGTCGACGGGCCTTGCGATACTGTTTCACTAATTTCGCGCGATCAAGTGCAGGTGTGGCGACCGACTGGTCAAAGGAGGAAAGGTTGGTCAGTAAGCGATTGAGATACTGCCTGGACCACATTGAAATTGTATTGGTGACCACATGCTTGTATAGCCTCAGATGTTGCTCCTTTCGCTGCTCCGCCGGCATGTTCAGGGCTTGATTAATCGCAGCAGCAACGCCAAACAGATCCCAGGGGTTGATGTGAATGGCGCTGGGCAGGGTACCCGCTGTACCGGAGAATTCAGAGAGGATCAAGGGGCTGTGGTTGTTCTGCTGGCAGACAATATATTCCAGACTGGTGGTGTTCATGCCGTCGCGCACGGTGGTGATCAATCCGACGTCTGCTACCCGCAAGAGAGCAAAGTACTCGCGCGGGGACAAGTATTGTGGATAGTACTGGACCGGCGAGAAACTCAAAGAGCCAAACCTTCCGTTGATGGTCGAGACCAAGTTCGAGATTTGGCCGGCAATTTTGGCATCATCTTCTTTTTCTTCTTCCACGCTGGTTGGACTTGTCACTTGGATAAGGACGACTTTGTCACGCCACTCCGGGTAGCGCTCAAGGAATATTTCAAATGCCTGCAGCTTTTGCGCGACGCCGCGCACGCTGTCCAGCCGGTCGCGGCCAACAATGATTTTTTTCCCTGCATAGAGTTTGCGAATGTTCAATACCGTTTCCTCAATATCGGGGGCCCCAAAGGCGGCCTTTTGTATCGATTGTGCATCAATGCCAATGGGGAAGACATCCACTGCAACATGGGCGCCATAAGCATCCACCCCGGCAGCGTTGGACTCAAAGCCCAAGACGCGCGTACAGCATGAGGTGAAGTGTCGCGAGTAAGAAAAGGTCTGGAATCCAATCATATTGGCGCCGAGAACACCTTCCAAGATTTCCTTGCGCTTTGCGAGGCATCGTACAAATTCGCTGCTCGGGAAGGGTGAATGTAAGAAGAAACCCACGTATATATTGGGGATACGTTGACGCAGCAGACTTGGCAGAAGGAACAAGTGGTAATCGTGAACCCAGACCACGTCTCCTTCTTGGTATTCCTGTACGATGCGATCCGCAAACAGTTGGTTCAAGCGGACATAATCGGCCCACCACCGCCGTTCGGATCGGCCATCTGTGGGGCCATGCTGCTTGTAGTGGAGCAGGGGGTAGAGCTCACGCTCGGCATAGCGACGCCATCTTCCTTGATCCTTCAGAGTAATAGTATCTTCCGGTTCCTCCGATGCGTCTGACAGCCAAACAGGGAGCACCCGACCATGACGACCTTCATTCAGCTGTTCATCAAGCCGTTCTCGGTCTCTCTTGGTGACACTGATTCCTTCCACCAATGGATGAGCGGGCATTTTGGCGGTAGCGTCCACGGGAACTGGCGCAGCGGCCTTATTTAGCGGCTGGCTCGCAACAAGATTAGAAGCCTGAGGTGCTTTGCCGGTAGCGTCAGGGTGTGTTTGCTGTAAGGGTGATTTCAGGTCCACGTCAGGCTCGACTTCTCCTGTCCAGCCTACCAATGTGTGTGACCAGGAAGTTTCATCTGATGCAAGATGCGCGAATGAATCGAACAGGGCTGAAGTTCCGGAGCGTGATTTGAGGGTCTGTTCGTCAGCTTAACCCTGAATGTGAGAAGCTTTGTAGATACATACCCAGTCTGATCCTGATTGGAAGTTGAGCTTGTATGGTATACAGAAAGCGACGCTGATGAGACGACCGCTTAGCTTAAGTCCTGAGTGTCGTGCGCGGGGGTCGGTCTCGGGAGACATGGGAGAATCCGAGGTCAGGCTCAAGCGACGTAGCAATTCTATGCCAGATGACTTTCTTTCCCCTTGGGCGATATGAGATGGTTTTACTCCCGGTAGGTTGTCAAAGTATGAAGGGGCCTCATTGGTTGCCACAGGTGTGGCATTGGTTGCATCAGTATAGGCTTCGCTCTTGAGGGCTTTTAATCCGGACCCAACAATGACGGGGTTCGGCTGGCCGTCGGGCACCTGCGCGGGGCTCTCAGATGCAGACATGTTGAGCGGTTACGGAGAAGATCGAGGATGAGCGTGAAGAGTTGAAATTAGACTGGCAGAGTTAGATCATATTATCACATGCACCCAATTTGACTGACGTCGGTGGGTTTGAGGAATGGTCAAGGTACCTAGGATTTGAGTCGATGGGCAAGATTCGGGTGGAAGTGCACTACCGCAGCAAAGCCATGGATGGTCACAAATAACAAGTTAAGGGTGTGGGATAAAGAGAGTAGAATAAAGAGAACAGTCAGGAACAGGGAATTGAGGGGGGAAAAGAGAATGGAGGGGCAAGCGGTGAAGTTGAAGCCACAGTTCTTATCAAGTTCCAAGGTTATCAAGGAAATGACCAACTGGGAAACCGGTCAAAGGGAGATTTACAGCTTCAAAATGGGGAGATATATGAACTTCTAGAATCTCATGACGAAGCCTTCCAAGATTGTTCGGAACTCTTGGTGGATATTCTCAGTACTACGTCATGTTCTGGATCGTTTCTTTTCAACGGGTACCTTCCTCGTCTAGACACAATTGAAATGCAGGAAATTTGCCTTGTTTTAACTTTTTAAATGTTTTTTTTTCTCAGGTGTCCATCCTGTTCTTTTCTTGCCCCTGTTTTGACCCCTAACAAATATCCATGGTGACTGTCTCGTGAGTTGATCTGTCAGACGTCTATGTCACGTGGCTTTGACCTTACTTTCTGTCAACATGTAGTTACGCAGTACTTCGTACATCGTACATTCTAGTAGCTGCTATCCCACTTCATAGAAGATTGCTATGACGCTCTTCAACTTCCTTCTGCGTCATCAGTCGTGGCATGTACAGAAAGCCAGATCTGTATCGTGTCTATCGACATGTATACACAGTAGGTAATTTCGATTTTGGTGTCGATTCAGTATCGACTATCGACTGATTGTTCCATGTAGAGAGATACCTCATTGTCCATCCGTGGAGACATACATCGGGGTTTCGTCATCAACTGAGCCCGGTGGACGACACTTTTGATACCTCACTATGTAGGTCTTACCTGTGTAATCAAGATGACCATTCAAGAGACATAAAGTCATAAACTGTCATACTTAAAGACTCCTAGTTATCACCTTGAGAATTGATCATGCATGTTTTCGATTATTAGTCGGCTAGTTAACTAACTAACAGGGCTGGTTGGTTAGATAAGTGTCACATGTAGTTTCTGCCTGAGGGGCCCACTTCCGAATGTTAGTTAACTAACGTCGCAATTGATCCTGGAAAGCTGCGTACTCGGCATGGTGGTATCCACTCCGTCCTCGCTCGCAGTCTCCAAATGCCACCTCAAAAAAGCTGTGATGCGGCTTCCAAGCCTCCGGCCCCTATACATACCCCTCTCACACCCCCTTCGCCCATTCCATAGCTCCTCTGCAGCAGCCAAGACCGATGTTTTCACCAACAGCCTCCGGAAGACCCTAGAGGCTCATCGGTCCACCAATCGGTCTCGTCTGGTTCGCAAAGTCCTTGCGAATGAAGATCCAGCGGGGCTTTGGCGGCCTGAAATCCCACCCCAGAGTCGCGCCGACTATCAACCATCAGGCTCGGAACCTTCAACTGATCTTCGACACAACCCAAACTCGGATGATAACCGCCCGAAAAAGCGCACAAAACGCAGAACCCAGGTGGATGTGTCTTCATCCATTTCGCGTGCGATTCAACCTGCAGGCACGAATCCGCAAACTCCGTGGTTGAGGCACTTGGAGCTGCCTCGCGCCAATGCCGAAATAACGCTGGACACAGAAATTCGGGCGTTGGAACAATACCTAACCCCGAATGCACAGGAATCTGAGGTCATAAAGAGCCTCCAGACAACAGTTTCCTTACTTCTCAAGCCAGTGGTTCCACATGTACCGAAAGTCATTGGGTCGCATTGCACGGGCCTTGCACTGGCGCACTCGGATCTTGACTTCATCATACCCTATCCAGACCCCGCTCGATCCCTAGACCGTGACCGAAGACCGAGCCCTACACGGCCTCAGATCCAAGATGTTCACGTTCGCCTTCTGTGTCAAGTCGAAAAAGCCCTACAGCACACCGATACATTCAAGCAAGTCCAATTATCTGACCGAAGCCTGTCTGCTCGCCACCTGCCAACTGGACTGGTACTGCAATTCTACTGTGGTGAGGATGTCCCTGCTATCACGGAGTATTTGCAGGACTATCAGGTCGAGTACGCCGCTTTACGACCACTATACGCAACAACACGTACGTTGCTAGAAACACACGGCCTCTTTGGCACGCCCCAGGCTGGCATTGGTCCGGACGCGCTCGCCATGCTCATTGTGGCATTCCTGAAGTTGAACCATGGCCGGTTTACTAGCCCCAATCAATTGGGTGGCCTGTTCCTTGCTCTGCTGCAATTCTATGGCACTCAGGTTGACATTCAATCCGTCGGTATCGCCGTGGATCCTCCCGGGCTGTTCAGTGCAGATACGCTACCTGTAAATCCCCACGCTCATGACCCCGGCCACCTCCGCGGTCAGCGTTCACTGATCAATGCGAAACGGACTGCTGCGGCAAAGCGGAACTTGCTTGTCGCGCAACGATTATGCATTCAAGACCCTACCCATTATATGAACGATTTAGGCCGGTCATGTACTCGGGCTGCAGAACTGCAATGTACACTTGCAACTGCGTATCAGCAGCTTCGTGGCGCATGCGATGAATGGGCAAATGGCGGCTCCAATAGCCCTAGTATCCTTGCCACTGTCGTACAGGCTAATTTTGATCGCCTAGAGGATATGCGCAATCAAATTATACAGAATAGTGGATGAGTTCAGATGTCAGGATATCATTTATGAAGATATCAGTTGTGGACTATCAATCGAATCTAGTCAATCGCATATAACTGCCTGTCAACGTAGTAATCTTCCAAGGTTTCCTTTGTTTTCCAATAAGAGACTTATTAACGGACTCTCTTGGTGCCTACAGAACGACCGCAGAATAAAGAAGCAACACTGATTACCCTTTTGGCATCCCGCCGAAATTCGTCTTATTCCTCAAGGTTTCTCTTGAAAATCAACTGTGTGCAGATCAAACCCTCGGACATTTAGCGGGTCCACTCACCACTGCACGAGTGGTGATGACCTAGGTCAGGTGAGCTGATTAGTAAGTTTGCTCGACGCGCGGGCGGGAGTAACGCGTCGCGACTATCTCACTAGTTATCTATCCACTTTGTGGGATTAGGAGACTGACGGCTCTACTCGCTATGATAGGTGAAGGATCCAATTGACCAAACCAACAACACTCTTCCTCAATATGCCCTCCCTCAAGCGTGTACAGCTATCTACGGATGATGAGGAAAGCGATGGCTCCGATATGAGTTCTTCAGTACGACTTCCAACACGAGACGACCCCCCAGCAATCCTGGAACTAACAACTTACCAGAGAAAACGACAGCGGGCAAACTCAGGGAGTTCAAGCTCAGACTCACCGTCCTCTCCAGTCCCGCCGGGCGCTGTTAACGGCATCAGTCAATCGTTTCTCGAAGTCCATGACGATGCGCTTCTCGACGACGACGAACTCGACCTTCGCCAGACACAGATCATACAAGAAAAATACTCTCAGTTGATCGATGAAGCCAACGTTCCCGCTGAACATGGCATCCTTGAACGCGTGGAGTGCTACAACTTCATGTGCCATGATCACTTCTACGTCGACCTGGGCCCCCTCATCAACTTCATTGTTGGAAAGAACGGCAGTGGTAAAAGTGCGATTCTGACAGCGATTACTCTTTGTCTCGGTGGCAAAGCATCTGCGACGAACCGTGGACAGAGTTTGAAAAACTTCATCAAAGAGGGCAAAGAAAACGGTACAATCATCGTTCGCATCAAGAATCAAGGTGATGGCGCCTATATGCCTGACGATTTTGGTTCTACTATCATTGTCGAGCGTCACTTCTCCCGAAATGGCACCAGCGGGTTCAAGATCAAGTCAGAGAATGGGCGCATCGTCTCGACTAAGAAAGCCGAGTTGGATGCAATCACTGACTATTTTTCTTTGCAAATCGAGAACCCCATGAACGTACTCTCGCAAGATATGGCCCGTCAGTTTTTGAGTACATCAAGCCCGGCTGAGAAATACAAATTCTTTGTCAAAGGTGTCCAACTGGAACAGCTCGACCACGATTATCGACTGGTTGAGGAATCCCTCGACTCAATTGAAGAGAAAGTCAGGACATCCGTCGAGGATTTACAAATCCTCGAAAATCGTAAAGAATTGGCTAAGAAAAAGCTCGAAATTTCCGACCAACACGACTCTCTCCGAGCGCGGGTGAGAAATATCCGAAGTCAAATGGCTTGGGCTCAAGTTGAGGAGCAAGAACGGGTTAGTCGTGACGATATTATATGATTGGCTATCTGGAACTAACAGATCACAGATGGAATTATCCCTCACCGAGCAGATCGCCGAGGCCAGCCAGAAAATTGCGGCGGCTGAATCCGATCTCACTCGCTTTGATACCGCCTTCGATCAAGTTACCGCTGAGGAGACTGCCGCTGGTGAACACGCCTGGAGGGCTGCTGTGGCAGTCAATACAGCCCAGGAAGAGAGGGACAAAACGCAGGAAACATTGGACGCGGAGGTGAAAAAGCGGCATGACCTACAGGTAAGTTGAACTTGATCTTGTCGGGAATTACATGTCTAATCGTCAGTAGGCAGAGCAACGGCAGATTCGGGCTTACCTAAAAGCTGCCGAATCTAGAATTCGAGATACTCAGCAAAAGATCGATGACGAAAACCAGCGTCTGGCTGATGCGAGCGACGGCGGCTACGCTCGAAAACAAGACGAGTGTGAAAAAGCGGCCAATGACGCCACTGCTGCCCAAAAGGAATATGACGAGCACCGCGCAGGTGCCGCTGGCCTCCAGGAAGCTATTGACCGTGCACAAACAAAGGTAACAGAAGCAGCAGCTCCACTTGGGCGGAAAGAGAGTGAAATTGGACAAGCGGAAGACCAACTGAGGAATCTCATGAAAGAGGGTGGATCAAGACGGTCCGGTTTCAATTCCAAGATCCCTGAGCTCCTCAGGGCGATTCAGCAAGAACGATCTTTCGAGTCACCCCCTGTCGGCCCAATCGGTCATCATGTCACTCTGCTAAAACCGAAGTGGTCATCTATTGTGGAGAGAATGTTTGGTGCCACCCTTACCAGTTTCATCGTCTCATCCAAGAAAGACATGCAACTTCTTTCTAGGATCATGCGCGAGATTCGATGGTGAGTGGCCACAAGCCCGCGGCAACAAAGAGCTAACCGCTGACTTCACAAGCAACTTTCCAATCTTGATCGGCTCTGGTGGCCATCTGGATACCTCGGCCCACGAACCAGACTCCCGATTTGATACTGTGTTGCGAATACTTCAGGTTAGCCCTCTCTTTCTACAGGTGGAACGGCTGCTGACCTCTTCAGATCGACAACGAATTAGTGCGGGGACAACTGATCATCAACCATGGAATAGAACAAACGCTCTTGATCGAGGACGTGAAAGAAGCTTCCTCTGTGCTGTTTGACGGCGCACAGCCACGGAACGTCAAGCGTTGTTACTCCATTGACGCACAAGATAGGCGTCGAGGGTTTTTTCTGTCGTACAATCGAGCCGGAGAACCAAGTCAAGCACCAGTTGCGGGGTGGACCGACGGGCCGCGCATGAAATCCGATGTAGTATTGCAAATCAAGTGAGTAAATAGATGGTTGACTGTGCTGTTGGTTGGTAACTGACTGACATGACATAGTGCACAAAGAGACATCATTAGCGATCTCAAACGTCAAAAATTTGAGATCGAACAAGGATTGGAAACTGCCAAGTCAAACTTGAAAGCCTGTCAAGAGGCAAAACTCCGCCACGCAAAAGCCGAGAAAGAATTGCAAGACCGAATGCAACGAAAGGCTGAGCATGCTGAGGGACTCAGAGATGCTTTGGATAAAGAGAACGCCGAAGACGGACGGCTCGATGCCCTCCAAGCAGCTCTCAAGGAAGCCGAAGATGACAAGCAGATCAACGAGGGCTCTTACAACGACAGCAAAGCGGCCATGGATGCCAAGTTGCAGACGCTCAAAGAATTTCGCCGAGAAATACTTGCTCATGACACCAATCTCGGAACCCTCCGGGAGAAATTACAAGTTGCTGAGAGCGAGCAGAATCTCGTGAAATCGAAAAAGACCGAAATAATCACTCATAAAAACGAAGCTGTCGCACTCATCAACCAAGATAAACAGACAAAAGCCAAAATCGAAACGAGAAGGGAGCAGGTGAGGGCGCGGGTCCGGGAATACAACGAAAAGGCTGGTTTGGTCTCTGCTCGGGTCCCCGTGGATGAAGGAGAAACGCCCACCAGCCTCGACAAAAAGCTTGATCGATTATCCCGTGATCTAGAACGCTACAACTCCGAGTAAGTCCCCAGCTTTCCATCTGCCGTTGACCGAACTGACACCTATGCAGGTTGGGAAGTTCTCGTGAGGAAATTGCAGCCGAGGCAGTAAGGACTGCTGCAGCATATGATCGAGCTCTACGGCAAGTCGAGCAGTTATCGGCACTGAGTCAAGTAGGTCTTCTTTCCCTTTGATTCAGTCAGATCTAACGCCCTTTCTAGGCCCTCAAAGATACTCTCCAAAACCGCAAGAAGCGATGGGAAATTTTCCGATCCCACATTTCCTCTCGAGCCAAAGCACAATTCACCTACCTCTTGAGTGAGAGAAGCTTCCGTGGTCGACTTCTAGCTGACCATATCAATAAACGACTAGAACTACAGGTAAAATCTACCAGCCAGGTGAGAGTGACGGTATACTAACGCTGTCCAGGTTGAACCCGATATCACTAGAAATGATGGCACTGGTAGAGACGCAAAGACACTGTCCGGCGGAGAAAAGTCATTCTCGCAAGTCTGTCTTTTGCTGTCACTCTGGGAAGCAATGGGATCTCCTATTCGCTGTCTTGATGAATTGTAATGTCCCTTGCCTTCTCATGATTGTTCTCTGCTGACATTGAAAGTGATGTGTACATGGATCATATCAACCGAAAGATGGCCATTGATATGCTCGTAAGTATAGCTTCTCCTTGCAGTCAGTAACATTGCTGACTTTTCTTTTTCTTCCTTTCAGATGGTTGCGGCTCGACGATCTATTGGGCGACAATTTATCCTGATCACCCCCGGTACTAAGACCGACATCACCATTTCTGCAGATGTCCGAGTGAAGGAATTAGCAGAGCCTGAGCGTGGTCAGACAACATTATCCTTCCGCTGAAGCCTTAGCTAAATCATAGCAATTCAAATACCCGTTTTTCGTTTTTCTATTTTTCACTTCGGAATCAGAAGCCCCATGCCCCAAGTGTAGATAAACCACGTGACCGCATCTGATTAGCTTCCACCTCAAATCCTCTTCGCTCCCCACTATCATAGTCTCAACCTCTCTCCTACTCTTGTCAGCACCGATTTCTGCCCCGTATCTTATTTGTGATCTCTCTTCAGCAAAAAGACATTCACAGAGGGTCTCATCTCACTCAATAATCAACCCCCCACAGCCCGCCATCCACCTGACTTTTAAGTCTACGAGTCTTGGCTCTCACCTTACCTTCCTCACTTTACCTACATCTCACTGTCTCGTCACCTACAGTCCTCTTTTACAACCTCCTTCTTCCCGGTCTCCTCCTTGCACGCTTCTACACTCCGCATCCTTCTGCGCACACTCCGCACAATCCTGCATAACTCATTTGTTTCCGAACTCCATCCCCTTAGCTCATCGTCACAATGGCTGACGCACTTGCTGCACAGCTCAGCAACACAAAGCTGTAAGTCAACCTTCCAGCGAGGAGAAAAACAACGCTAAATTGGACCAGGGAAGCACCAGAGAAAAGATTGCAGGACACATTGAATCTCCCCCCCAAAGATGCCCGCCCACAAACTGAGGTACCGTCGACCTAAACCTGCATTTGGTTCCTGAATCTGACTGAATAGGATGTCACTGCCACAAAAGGCCTCGAGTTTGAGGATTTCTATATCAAACGTGAACTCATGATGGGTATTTTCGAGGCTGGGTTCGAGAAGCCGTCCCCTATCCAAGAAGAGACAATACCGGTTGCGCTCACAGGAAGAGACATTTTGGCCCGAGCTAAGAATGGCACTGGGAAAACTGCTGCCTTCGTTATCCCCACACTTGAGCGCATCAATCCTAAAAGCACTAAGACCCAGGCCTTGATCTTGGTCCCCACTCGAGAACTCGCTCTCCAGACATCCCAGGTCTGCAAAACCCTCGGCAAACATCTCGGTATCAATGTTATGGTCACCACTGGTGGAACCGGCTTGATGGACGACATCATCCGGTTGAATGACCCTGTTCATATTCTGGTCGGCACCCCCGGTCGAGTCTTGGATTTGGCCAGCAAAGGTGTCGCCGACTTGGCTGAATGCCCAACTTTTGTCATGGATGAGGCAGATAAATTGCTATCGCCCGAGTTCACTCCTGTTATTGAGCAACTGCTCTCTTTCCACCCCAAGGATCGTCAGGTCATGCTTTTCAGTGCTACTTTCCCTTTGATCGTTAAGTCTTTCAAGGACAAGCACATGCGCAACCCCTACGAAATCAACCTCATGGATGAACTGACCCTGCGGGGTATTACTCAATACTATGCTTTCGTTGAGGAAAAACAAAAGGTTCATTGCTTGAATACCCTTTTCTCGAAGCTCCAGATCAACCAGTCCATCATCTTTTGCAACTCGACCAACCGAGTCGAGCTATTGGCGAAAAAGATTACCGAACTCGGCTATTCGTGCTTTTACTCCCATGCCCGGATGCTTCAGCAGCACCGTAATCGAGTGTTCCACGACTTTCGCAATGGCGTGTGCCGCAACTTGGTTTGCTCTGACCTGTTGACTCGCGGTATCGATATCCAAGCAGTCAACGTTGTCATCAACTTCGACTTCCCGAAGAACGCGGAGACGTATCTTCACCGCATCGGTCGTTCGGGTCGATTCGGACACTTGGGTCTCGCTATTAACCTCATCAACTGGGAGGATCGCTTCAATCTCTACAAGATTGAACAGGAATTGGGCACCGAAATTCAACCCATCCCGCAAAACATCGATAAGAAACTTTATGTCTATGATTCTCCAGAGAACATCCCTCGCCCTATCTCCAACCCTCCGCCGGATACTGGAGCTGGGTCCGTAAACACAAACGGAGACCGTCAGCCTCGCCGCAACTACCACAATGGCCAACCTGGTCATCAACACAGTCAGGGTCAACATGGTCAGGGTCAGCACGGCCAATACTACAACCGGGGTCGTGGGTCTTATCGTGGTCGCGGACAGGGTCAACGCCGTGGGACACACAATGACGCCAACCGGATCACCTTTGGTCAGCCGAATCCAGGTCAATCCCAAGCACCAACCTCCTAGGCCAGCATGCCTCTCTTCATGGTTTTCTTTCTTTTGCTTTAGTGGGTTCTCTCTCTGCCGCTCTTATTATAATGATGCGGGTGTTCGTTGTATCATATGTCTTTTCCGTCCTGGTCCTTTTATTCTTCAAGTTGGATCTTTGGGGGAAATGCATTTTCGGCGCCTTGTGCTCTTCCTTTCCGAATACTGCATTTCTGTGTTTCGGGGATTTGCAGGGCAAACGGCGTTAACATTTTGGGGTCGACGTCTCTCTGGCATCCCATGCCACTTTCCTTCTGCAACGAGTGATGATTTCATCCTTTCCTATCCCTCTCACTCTTCCCCATCCTCATCCTCATTCTATCAATCTTTGCGATGGCCAATGTGCCCCCGCAACCGCAACGGAAACAAAAACAAAAAAAACAGAAAAAAACTTTGGAGGAGCACTGGCTACTGAACGGGTCTTGATTCTGTGCAGCTAGTGAATTGACAATTTCCCTCCAGTCTGTTACTATGTAGATTTCTCTAAGTACATGTAGTTACGGTGACCGCTTAATGGTGTAGAAGTTAGGAACTGCTGCGGCAATGGCACGTGCCGAAGGCCGTATATATCTCGGCACCTCCGAGCTTCGGCGACTGCAGTTCTCCAAATCTCCAACCACAAGATGACAGCAAATCAGGATCAAAAAGCAAAGGTACCGTTCTCAAGATCAAGCTATTTTCTGATTTGAAGCTCATCAACAGGCAGCCTAGCGCTCTCCGCTCCATCCTGGCGGGATCCACTGCAGGAGCCGTGGAAATCGGTAAGAGCTCCATCAGTTCCCTATTACTGTAGGCTAAAGCTAACAGTACCTTTACTACAGCAATCACATACCCAGCCGAATGTATGGATTCAATGCCTTTCAACAATCACCACTAACCTTGTGCAGTTGCGAAAACCCGAACCCAACTCAATCGCCAGCTTGCTCACGGTCAAAAGCTACCATGGCCTCCATTCGGAAGCCAGTGGTATGCAGGATGTACAACCCTTATTATCGGAAATTCACTCAAGGCGGGAATTCGTGAGCACCCCCACGACCCACCCCTCCTTGCCATTTATTAGACCGTCTGGCCTACTAACACATACTAGGATTTGTCGCGTTCGATGCCATAAAGTCGGTCCTTCAAGATGAGAATGGCAAGATCTCAGGACCAAGAACGGTTATCGCTGGATTCGGTGCTGGATTCACTGAGTCCCTTCTGGCGGTAACTCCCTTTGAAAGCATCAAGACTCAATTGTAAGTGTATCCACGCAGTCTTGGGCGGGGCCTTCCACTGACCCTGGTATATAGAATCGATGACCGAAAGTCTGCCAACCCTCGAATGCGCGGTTTCTTGCACGGTAGCAAGCTTATTTTCAAGGAACGAGGTGTCAAGGGCTTCTTCCAGGGATTTGTACCCACTACAGCAAGACAGGCTGCCAACTCAGCCACTCGGTTTACAGCCTACACAACATTGAAGCAATTTGCAGAGGGCTACACGGCGCCTGGCGAGAAGCTGGGTACTGCGGCCACCTTTGGCATCGGCGGAATTGCAGGTTTGATCACTGTGTAGGTGTTGACTTCTCAAGAGGCAGTAGATTACAGCTAATTCGAGTTAGTTATGTGACGCAACCGCTGGACACGGTGAAAACGAGGTTAGTACTGTCATCCAGGGGAGTATACACATATACTGATGGTATCAGAATGCAATCCCTCGAGGCCAGCAAGCATTATAAAAACAGCATTGTCTGCGCTACTAAGATCGTCAAGGATGAAGGTATCTTCACCTTGTGGTCTGGCGCCATGCCTCGACTCGCGAGGTTGATCATGAGTGGGGGCATCGTATTCACCATGTTCGTGGCAGACCCAAGTCAAGAAGTACAAGTTACTAACTCTTGGATAGGTATGAGAAGGTTATGGATGGGTTGGACCTCTTGGATCCAGAGCGAAAGTATTTGTAGATCAAAATTGATTGTCTTGATAGAAATAAAATGGTATCTTTTTGTACACTTCACACTTGCGTTCTCATCCTTATAGGATCACTCTCTTGCTTTCGCCATATCCTCGGCTACCATGGCCTCAACCTCGTTATCAGCCATCCAGGTTCGCACGCTCTCCATCACAGTCTCGAGGCCCTCACCGCCATCGAGGACACCATCCAGGTTATGAATGGTAATGCCGGTGCGATGGTCAGTGCAGCGACTTTGACCGAAATTGTAAGTTCGAATCTTATCACCCCGACCCATTTTGGCAACACCACCTAGGACACCTCTTCTGAGCTGCACAAGTTCTTGCTCGCGGGCCTCTTGTCGGGCTTCAGCCAGCTTGGCCCGTAGCACCTGCCACGCCTTTCTTCGGTTGGCTTGCTGAGACCGCTCATCCTGCATGGAAACCACCGTATTTGTAGGGATATGTGTGAGTCGGATGGCGGATTCGGTTTTATTCACGTGTTGCCCGCCAGCACCACCAGCCCTCATTTTTTCGACCCGCACCTCTTGGGGATCAATATAATAGTCGCTATTTGGGTCTTCGAAATTCAAAGCATTATCCATATCGCCACCGGTCTCGGGAAAACTCGGCAGGACCATCACACTGACGGCGCTGGTATGTGTGCGACCTTTAGTCTCGGTTGCGGGCACCCTCTGCACCCTATGTACCCCGGATTCAGTCCGTAGGATATCATATGCTCCATTGGCTTCAATCTCAATCACCGCTTCACTGAGACGATCTTCCGAGGGGCCGACCTCTGTGTCCTGCTTCAAAATAGTTGGGCGGAGGCCTCTTCGGGAGCAAAACGCGACGTACATCCGTAACATCTCAAAGGCGAACAGGCCTGCTTCATCTCCGCCTGCGCCTGGGCGGATTTCAAGCAGGCAAGGCAGATCTGCAAATGGGTGTCGCGGAATGAGAGACTTCTTGAGGCGGTCTGATATCGTTGGCAGGGAATCGTGACTGCTCTCGAGGTCTTCTGTTGCCAAAGCCCGCAATTCGGCATCGGTACTTGGATCGGCTAGCAGGGACTTGAGCTCTGCAATAGACTGGAAACGTTTAGTATAATTTCGGTAGAGGAGGTCACAATGAACCAATGGAGAGGTTCGTAACAGAGAGGTTCTCGGAAACAATCGCATACATCATTGGCCTTGACCCATTCTTTCAAAACATCTGCAATCGGTGCCAATTCCCCAGCTCGTTTGGCAGTTTTTGCGTCGAACGTTTCCGCTAGTCGTTCTGAAAGTTTTGTATGCTCCGCTGCGAGCAAGCGAGCTCTGGTTAAGAGTACTGGAGACAAGCCATCGGATACTTTTGTCGCATTAGCACTGATCGAGAATCTTAACCATAGTAGTATTTACCAGTATGTACGCCTCGCCAAAGCGACTTCAGACCAGGCCTAGGCCAGAGAATACTTCGACATATTGACTTGACAAGCATACTTCAAGTTGCATGGAAAGGTCCAAAAGTGTCGGAGCGAAACCCGGACAAATTCCATGTCACATGACGGTAACGGAACGTGACGAGGCGTAAAGGCCACGGAGTATACAATCATCTCCTCCATTCGTCCTCTCTGGTTTCTTATTTCTTTGAGTGTCCTGATTAGTTTGAGTATTGGACTATGCTCCTCTCTCTTCAGTCCTAGGGAGACTACCTACCTTCATCCAACACCTCTCGTTTATACCTTTACTGCATAACGGCCAAGATGCTCGTTTCTTTAGAATTACTGACGGTCTTTCTGGCTTGTTTCTCGACTGGTTCTGCTCTTCAAATTACCCCAGAAACACCCCTTTCTGAGTTGATTGCTTCTGCCAAACTTCACCTTGCGCAGGGTTCCGCTCGAGACGCTGTGGTATACTTCGATGCCGCCGTCGCACGCGACCCAACCAACTATATAACTATCTTCCAGCGGGGCGCGGCTTATCTCTCAATCGGCAAGAATTCGCAAGCCTCGAATGATTTCGATCGAGTTCTCGAACTCAAACCAGACTTCGAGGGCGCCCTACTCCAGCGGTCCCGTCTGAAGGCACGCTCCGCACATTGGCAAGAGGCCTTGCAGGATCTCGAGCGGGCAGGGAAAAAGTCAACAGATGATTACAAGGACTTAGAACTCGCACGGGACGCGGCTACCTTGGCTCTCAACGCCGAAAAGCAGGGCGCTTGGGAGACCTGTGTCTCGCAGGCGAACGTTGCGATCTTAAAGGCAAACACGGCCCTGCCACTGCGGCAGGCTCGAGCGCATTGTCACTTTGAAAGAGGCGAGACGGAAGAAGGGCTCGGTGATCTGGCACATGTACTACAAATGTCTCCGAACTTAATGGAGCCTCACCTCCAAATGTCGTCCATGTTGTTCTACTCTTTGGGGGACAGTGACCGCGGACTTGCCCAAATCCGCAAATGTCTCCATGCCGATCCTGACTCGAAACCGTGCAATCGCCTCTATCGACGTGAACGCAAGCTTGCCAAGCAGCTTGAGAAATTGCATACCGCCCTGGGTGCACGAAAGTTCAGCAATGCGGCTAATTTGATGGTCGGCGATAGTGAATCCAGTGGTCTAATTGCAGACGTCAGGGCCGACGTTGAAGAAGCAAGGGAGGCTGGCCATATACATCGCCTGGCACCAAACAATCTTTACACATTCCTAGTCGAGAAGACCTGTGAAGCTTACCGTGAAGTGAGTACCATATGTTTCTACTTTGTGCTCTTGTCTCCGATGTCCCTCACTTTACTCACAGACTACAGATGCATATGATGAAAAAGGCTGGTCCTTATTGCACTGAAGCTCTCCAACTTGTTCCTCACTCGCTCGCCGGGCTCCTATATCGGGCCCAAAATGCCCTGGACGAGGATCGATTCGAAGATGCCATACGTACGCTCGACTCGGCCAAGGAACATCATCCGAGTTCCCAAGAGGCTCAATCTCTCCATCAAAAGGCCCATACACTTCTCAAACGTTCCAAGCAGAAGGACTACTACAAAGTCCTGGGAGTTAGCCGTGATGCGGATGACCGGACAATCAAGCGCGCATATAGGCAGCTAGTGAAGCAACATCACCCTGACAAGGCTCACGCTCAGGGTGTCGGCAAGGAAGGGGCAGAAAAGAAGATGGCGGCCATCAATGAAGCCTACGAAGTCCTATCGGACCCTGAACTTCGGGCACGGTTCGACAATGGTGACGACCCCAACGATCCTGAATCACAGCAGCGGGGTTCTCCGTTCCAGGGCAACCCATTCGGTGGTCAACAGTTCTTTTTCCAGCAAGGTGGCCCACAGTTCCAGGGAGGCTTCAAGTTCCCAGGCGGGTTCCGATGATTATTTTGTTTGTAAACCATACCAGGTGTTTCGTGGAGTTTGCAGTCGTTGGAAGGATTTACAGCAAGGGGTTCTACAACAGCACATCCTTTTTTTTTCATTTTTCCCCTCCTGCAAGTCAATCCAATTCATTGCCATTATTAATTGAGCGTAACATCCGAATCTGTAAGCTAATTGTATTGCAGCCTCATTTTGGAGCATCCGTCAGGGGCACGTAGCTGACCTGGAAAACCTTCTCCTTGTGAATGGAACCATCTTCTTTTTTATCAACAACCCAAATATACTGACCACCGTTAAGGCCACCTATGGCACTTCCGTCTTCCTCTGATTCTACAGGGATGAAGAGTCTGCCTGGGGCACGCAGTTGATCCACGAGGCTTGAGTGAAGCGTGTCAGCCGCGGCACCGACGTGGATGGCATCGTACGGTGCATCTTCTTTCCACCCAAGTCGACCATCGCCGGTGATAAACTTGACTGCGGTGGATTTTTGGAGCTCACTTCCCTCTGAAGATTTACCCATGTTGGTGCGAGCCAGGTCAGTCAGCTCGGGGATATGGTCAATACCAATCACTTGTCCCTGAGCGTTGCCAGAAGGGTCGGTTACCAGGTTGGCAAGGACATGGGTCAAGTAGCCCGAGCCAGATCCAATGTCCAATACCCGAGCACCCGGTTTGAGATAGTCAATTAGATACTCACATGCATGACCATGCATGTGGGGTGCTGATATGGTGGCCCCATATCCGATGGGCTGAGGCGAATCAGAGTACGGCCGTGATGGAGCATAATGGGCTCGATCAACCTTGGTCATGTTAAAATCTCAGAGACAAACACAAAAAGATCAAACATGCTCACTCCAATCATGGCCTCTTTCACACGCTCATTCTGTATCAGTCCGGCCTTGAAGAGGTTTTCAATCAACTCGGTATTGGTCGAGCCCGAACAATACCATGCCATGGTGAAAGTGCGTGTTGCTTTGTTGAAGCTAGGTTTATGTTTTAGAAGGCTGAGCATGGGCTAGGGTAGAGGGGGTGGAGGGATAGTGTTTTTGCTCGAGGTGAAAGACCATAGGGTGAGCCTTATTGTCGAAAAGTCAGGTGGATTACCTAGTTCATGCATAATGCCCTTCCTATCTGACTGTATTAGGTAGAAATGACGCCATGATCTTCTCCATATCAGCACGTGGTCTGAGATAACCAGTCACGTGCAATTGCCAATCCCGCCCGCCTTTTCCCTTCTCCACCTCCCCAATCAAACAAACTAAGAAAAGAGATTCAAATAAAACATTCGACACCGCCAAGTTGTCAACTCACATAACTGAGGCAAAGCTACCTTTCTCAAAAGCAGCATGGACAAGCTTAGGACCTTTCCACAAACTCCTTGTCTCATATACACCTATTGACTTCAAAATGGAAGAACCACATAGCACCCAGACCACCGTGGATCTGATGATTTTCGACTACTTCGTCTGCATGGCCATCAGCAGGATCTTCGTAGCGATACGCCAGGGACTTTCGATTGAACATGTTCAATGGTTTGCGGACATGGTTGAACGTCAGCATAAGACCTTCCCCATGGATCTCAATTCATATTTCTTGACTTGGATCAGTTACGCTGACTTGTTCTCTCTCTGACTTTTCTTTTTCTAGTCTTCCACCGGTTGCTTATTCATCGAGGTGCCCTAGAGTCTCCTCTGCCCTGGGACTTAGAACTTAAGCTGCGAATCTTCGACCTAGCCAGTCTCTTTCTGCACTGGGAGCCTCCCAAAGATCGCGAACTCGATTTATTCACGCCTTTGTCCGATATTGCAGTTGATTTCATGGACCTCTGCCACTCCGCTATTGACAATGTATCCAACACACGCTGGTTCGATCTGGGGGCCCATCTCATGGTTCACGCGATGCTAGAAGAAGACGTTCGCTTCCCAGACCAACTACGCAGACTCTACAACTGGACAGCCAACGACCTTGAACTTGATGCGCATTGGGAGATGAGCCGTGCATCGGTCTTGAAGCACATGCCACCCCCACACGGTACCGCGGGACCAGTCAGCCGAGAGGGGCTTCATGAGACGTTCTCCATGGATTTCCTACAGGAACATTTCGTCGAGTTCTTCGAAGATCTTATGGAGGGGTTAGATGTACCTGTTATTCTGCAGCTAGAGTGTGGTCAACTAGAAGGTTTGACCCGGGAGGAGACCCAGCGGATTCGAGACCAGTGTGGTGTCTTCTAATTGCCATACCAAATAACAAGAAATCAACATCACTACATCATCAGTCTCATAGCAATATACACAATAATCAACGCAATGCAATTTTCAACCTTTCGAGAGCTGCTCGGAAGTTATGCACTTAAATCCACCCAATGATACTTGAAGTCCACTGAAAGATCTGTCCATGACATTGGCATTTATATCTTGGAGCATAATAATTTACAAACGGCTCAAGACCGCTCTAGGTACGAGAATAAAGAAACCAAACAGCATGAGCTATCTAGCCGAGCAGCATGCGCCGGGGGTCCTCGATGTACTCCTTGACCTGCGATGGAGTAAGTATCTGATTTCAGGGGGCATGGGGATCGGACATACCTTGACAAGGAAAGTGACAGCCTCACGACCATCCAGAAGACGATGATCATAGGTGAGAGCGAGGTACATCATCTGCAAAAAAATTAGTGACCAGATAGAGATGGGGATAGAGAGGAACCAATTTGTACGTACGGGGCGAATTTCAACCTTGCCGTTCACAGCAACAGGCTTGTCCTTGATGGCGTGGAGACCCAAAACAGCTAGATGACTAGGTTAGACTCTGACCTCAACGATTGACAAGAGAGAAGACATACCTGTCTGGGGTGCGTTGATAATTGGGGTACCCATCAACGAGCCGAAGACACCGCCCTACGTTGAGTTAGCTTTGCTGATATCGAGGCATACATAAGAATAGGGAACGTACGTTGCTGATCGTGAAAGTACCACCTGCCATGTCTTCGATGGTCAACTTGTTATCGCGGGCCTATGATTTTGGTTAGCAAATTGGACACAATACTCAAGAGAAGAAGGATGCTAACCTTCTTTCCGAGATCAGCGATGGCCTGCTCAATTCCAACGAGATCCTTGCCCTCGGTGTTGCGGACAACAGGGGTCACAAGACCCTTCTCGGTGGCAACCGCAACGCTGATGTCAACGTAGTCGCGGTAAACAATGGTATCACCGCCGTTGGGACCCTCAATAGAGGCGTTGACAGCGGGGATATCCTTCATGGCGAGCACACAAGCACGCGAAAAGGCGCTCATGAAACCCAGCTTCACTCCGGTCTTTTTGAGCACGTCATCCTTGTAGAGTTTCCGGAACTCCATCAATGAGGACATGTCAACCTCGTTGAAAGTGGTGAGAGAAGCGGCGGTGTTCTGAGACTGCTTCAAGCGCTCAGCAATACGCAGACGCATGCGGTTCATTTTGACCTAACTCAGGATTAGCTATAGATCAATACCCGAGACCCGTAAATCAACATACTCTGCGTTCCTCACGACCACCAAGAGTTGGCTGCTCAGCGGCTTGGGGCTTGGAGTCCGCCTTAGGAGCTTGTTTGGGGGGAGCAGGCTTCTGGGACTCAGCCTCCTTGGGAGGAGCAGGCTTCTTGGGTTCGGCCTCCTTGGGTTGAGACTCCTTGGCTTCAGGCTCCTTCTTGGCTTCGGGCTCCTTCTTGGACTCGGGCTCCGCAGGCTTCTCGGCGCCTTCCGCCTTCTTGCCTCCTTCGGGAGCGGCTCCAAGCTCGAGTTTGACAAGATCCTGACCGACGGTGACAGTATCTTCCTCATTCACAAGGAACTCCTTGATAGTACCGGACTCCGGGGCATTGACGGAAACATCAATCTAGCAAGCGACAGAAAAAAAAACAGGTTAGCGATAGCCGCTAGACGACATGGCAAAAAGAAAGGTTGACGCCTACTTTGTCCGTTTCAATTGTCGCGATTTCCTCATCACGCTCGACAAAATCGCCAACCTCTGTGGAGCGAGATCAGCAAATGCGAAATGGTCCAACCATAATAATAAGATACTTACGTTTCGAGAACTGCTTAAGGGTACCCTCTGTGATAGATTCAGCCATGCTGGGGACCTTGACGATGGAGTCGGCTAGACTAGATCAGCAATTGACCAACAAGGTGCATCGAACGATCGATTTACCATAAGTGCGAAGTTGGTGGCCCCCAAGAGGAGTAAGGTTCAGTCGCGAGACATTGATGCTAAAACTGCATGAGCGAAGGTTGTGATCGAGAATGCCATGCATGCTTACCCGGACGAGGAGACCTGCAGCAAGCCCGAAGCTGATCGAGCTGAAGCCTTGCGCGTAAGTGTAGACAGTCCCTTGACGTTGCGGAACTGAGTTGATGCCCGAGGAGTGACTCTGGACACGGCTGTGAAGCGCTGGGCCGAGAGGCGCGCAATGGAGATTCGAGAAGCCATGATCAAGGCAGATTCTGTCAACTAGAACGAAGAAAAAGCCGAACCGAATGTGTAGATAATAGGGAAAGCTTCAACCCTAGAACAAATTAGAGTAAATAAGAGAAGATCAAGCTCGGATTAGGTCGGGACCCAAGGTAAACCGGTCGCCCTTCCGGCAGAGGCGGACTAATCTTCTTCACTACGGTGGCGGGGAAAGACCATTCGAGCACTTTTGTCCGAACGAATTAGGATAGAACAGTCAACCTGACGACATTGGAACCTTCACTTGAACCCATTGTCCACCAAGAATCCCCCCAACAGCCTTCAGTGCGGGAAATTCCTGTTCTACAACTCCTCTCTTTTTCCTCTCGTTTTTGACATCTCCAACTGGCTGGGATTGGACCGGGAACGAGATTCGTACACGATGTCCACCTCCGCCGTTACGTGAGTAGGGCCGGATACTTTTAACTTGGAGTACCACTCACTGACCTGATCTAGATCGCTTTACCGGCGGTCTTTGAAATTGTCTCTTGACTGGGCCGTCCACCGACAGATATGGCGTGGACAAGCTGTGTACATCCGATCCCTCTTCGAAGCCAATAAGGATGTCCGCGATCCTCGCCAGCAACAGGTAATGCGAAACCAGGTTCCTTCACTGAACAACGTTCTTAACACATGTCTTAGATTTTGCTGCGGGAGACAGAGAAGCTCCTGGAGAGCTGGAAGCACCCCGACCCATACCGCGCACCTACTGCACCCGGTGGTAACAAATGGGAGCGCAACTTGCCCGCCCGTATCTTGCCATGTACGTTCATGCCTTCCATATGATGCTGGGATTACACTAACTCAAAGAAAGATGCGCAACCCCCCTGGCGCACACTGAGATAGTTTGCAAGACGCGACATGTGAGGATCGATGCCATAAGGCAATTACACATCAATATGAATAGAATAACTATTGGTATATTTTTCAACAGTTGTAGACTACGGAGACAGGAACCATAATCAAACGTGGTAAATAAGCAGATTGCGACTACAAATCAGTCAAAACACCCAGATATATATAACGTACATATCCCGTCTATATATCATCATATCCACGAACGTTTTCTCCGCTTCTTGTCTACACATAGACCACAGGATAAACATTACAACAAGGGGTGCAGAGAGCAACAGCACTTGATAAGACCTGGAGTTTTTCATTGAATAGGGCTTATACCCGTGGCTAGTATCCGATAGTTAAAATGCCTCAAGCAAGTTAAGGTCGTCGGTATCATTCCATGTCCGTAGACATAATGTACAACCAGGAAATTGATGGAAAAAAAATAAGAAAACGCAGAGCCATAACGTGCCCGTCCCATAACCCCATTATCGTGTCAAAGAACCAATCCGCGCCGGAAAAGAAAACAAACAACCCGCGAAAGAAAAGAAACCCCCTTACAGCTCCTGGCTGCCCTTGCCGGCCTTCGGGGTCTTCTTGGGCAGAAGGTCTGGAAACGATGTAAGCAAGATGAACCCGAAACTGGAATTGCAGGATGACACGTACTCTGGTGAATGTTGGGGAGGACACCACCCTGGGCAATGGTGACGTGGCCCAGGAGCTTGTTCAACTCCTCGTCGTTGCGGATAGCAAGCTGAAGGTGACGGGGAATGATACGGGTCTTCTTGTTGTCACGGGCGGCGTTGCCAGCCAACTCGAGAATCTCAGCAGCCAAGTACTCAAGGACGGCGGCGAGGTACACGGGAGCACCAGCACCAACACGCTGAGCGTAGTTGCCCTTGCGGAGCAAACGATGAACACGGCCAACGGGGAAGGCCAAGCCAGCCTTGGAGGAACGGCTAGAGATTTCAAGTCAGTATATTGAATCATAGGGTAGGTAGCGCAAAGACGCGCGGATTGTAAACAACTTACGACTGCGCGTTCTTGCTGCCGCTAGCCTTGCCGCCGGACTTTCCGCCAGTCATTTTGATGGTTGGATTTAAAGAGAAAGGGGGAGATGTTTTGAAAGAGGTTTGTTGAGAATCTGAAGATGGAGAGCTTGGGTTATGGTAGAAAGTCGCAAGAGCAGGTGGGAGAGCGTGCGGAAGTGGAGGACCTTTATAAGAACGCGGTGAGGGTGACGTTGGGCGGCATCAATGACCTTCCAGATCACGGTCTCGCTTAGATTGTACAGCCAATGATCAATCAGATCAGACATTCCATTTTGGGAAAGGTGTGGTACCATAACTCTATTACCATACGTTACGCATAGTTGTGAGGAGATGTGACCCCACTTTTACCGCATTAAGACGCGTCGATGTTGGTTTGATCATACAGATCATACAATAATGTTACCGTATTGAAATTCCGTCTCCTTTGCGCCCCCCAGGATCAACCGGCCTTTGGAACACGAGTATAAAGACGGTGTCTCCCCTCGTCACCGCGTCTCTCTTATTTTCCTTTCCCCATTCCATCTCCGTTTTCCATCCACACGCTTCATCTATCTTCAGCTTTAAACCCTTCTAACTCTTTTCTTATCACCTACTTTTCAACTACACATTCAAAATGCCCCCTAAGGCCGCTGAGAAGAAGCCCTCCACCGGTGGCAAGGCCCCCGTTGGCGGCAAGGCCCCTGCTGAGAAGAAGGAGGCTGGCAAGAAGACTGCCACCGCTGCCACTGGCGAGAAGAAGAAGCGCGGCAAGACCCGCAAGGAGACCTACTCTTCCTACATCTACAAGGGTGAGTCGATCCTCGACACCAATCACAAAAAAACGCGTCCATACTGACTTTCATTTCCAGTCCTCAAGCAGGTCCACCCTGATACTGGTATCTCCACTCGCGCCATGTCTATCCTCAACTCCTTTGTCAACGGTATGTTTCCCCTGCTTTGAGCAACGCGTCGACGCGTCCAAGTACATCTTCTGACTTATTCATTTCATAGACATCTTCGAGCGTGTCGCTACTGAGGCCTCTAAGCTGGCTGCTTACAACAAGAAGTCTACCATCTCCTCTCGGGAGATTCAGACCTCCGTGCGCCTCATCCTTCCCGGTGAGCTGGCCAAGCACGCCGTCTCTGAGGGCACCAAGGCTGTGACCAAGTACTCTTCTTCCGCTAAATAAGCGGTTTCTTTTTTACGTTTTTCCTTCGAGCTTGCTTTTTTTACTGCCTCTTGATCTGTTATGGGCTCTCCGAGGCGGTCGGTTATGGGTGTTTTGCGGGTTTCTAATGCGTCATGGGATGGCTTGAATTTTCTTTTCCCCGATGGGTGATTTTTTTTGAATGGTTACCACTCGATACGTGAATGCGATGTAACATAACTCGGGTCTGGGGCAGGCATGGATTGGCCTCCCCCTACTAGAACGCGAAATTCCAAATGCTTAATTGCATTGCATCATGAATCTATTCCTGCTTCCTAGTAAAGACAACGATATCCATATTTAAAAACTAACACTCCATTTCTGAATCGTCCAGCACCTCGACTTCATCAAGCGCTTCGGCGCGGGTATAACCACGAGCTGGCTGATTCTGACCTAGGATGATGTGTACAATGGGCCGTCCAGTCGTGGATTGAATCCGATTCTTCCAGTCAGCCCAGTCATCTTCATCCTTGATGAGAAACCCAATCAACATGCTAGGATCCATATCCTTGATATGGATTCTCCGCAGCCGGTTGGTATAGTAGCTATCCAATTCCTCTTGGCTATAGAGCTCATCTGGCCGGTATGACGTTGCAGGTCGGGTTGTATGAGGATCAAGGAAAAAGAGGTGGGAGTCTTGGGCGCCTACAAAGTAATGTGATGCTAATGGGCGTCCACTGTTCTCGAGTTAGCGCGAACTTCACATCAGATCAGCGCAAGTGGGGGGAAGGAAGGTTCTGACCCTGCGATGCCGACCGATTGGGGATATGTCAGTGCAGCTCGAAGACCGTCCCAGTACACGGGAGTGACATGATCGATCCCCAGTCTAGTTCCAATCAAGATCAGTGTTGGCTGGATTTTGCCAGCTTTGTCGTGGGCCACATGTGCAAATTTCTCTTCGTAGACATCCGATGTGTCATTGGTCACATATACCCTGAGTGGAGGGGACTCGCTTTGGGTTGAGAGAAGCCTACTACCATCAGCATCACCTCTAGCTTTCATTGTGCATTTCTTTTTTTTTTTTTTTCCCGTGGGTGGCTTCGATAAGACGCACTGTATACATTTGGCAGTTGCCGACGGTCCAAACCATTCCCCTGGATATTTGCCACATGATTCTGCGCCGCAGTCAACGAATCGATGTATTGAGAAGAGAGCGTCCGGGTGATCGGCGAACATGGAGATTAGCTGCGACTCCTCTGTCGGTTTCTCTCCACGGCGCCAGTCTAATGTATCATATTAGCTTCATTCAGTTCAGAATCATGGGCTACACTATATCTCATCTTCCTTACCTCGCCCTAGTAATAGCACCGAGAACGTATTCGCCAAAAGGCTTTGTCCAGATCTAATCATGCAGCCCCACCCTGTGTCTGATGTGAAGCCCTGGGGGTCCATTAACTGACTTCTCAGGCGTACCCCCAGTGTCAACGAAGATGTTGCTTCTGGTGTATTTGAACGTGGTATCGGTATGAAGTTTGATCGGTATGTTATCCAGATTCTCGATCCGAAGTCAGAGAGGAATGCCTTTGGCCATGCCGTGTCATTCGATGTACTGGCCTGGGAATGGCTTGGGAAACTCTGTCGGTCGCTGGCTATTTGTATGTAAACATGCGGGATCAAATATCATCATTCGACATTCAGGGCACAGCAGAACAAGACTTACTGGCTTCGCCACTCCCGGTTTGCGGGGGCGCATACTCTCTGCCCAGGCACCATATTGAAGCGGCAGGTGCATCGTTCCTGGGTTCTGGGTCCCAGAAATATTGGACTAGGCGTTTGCATCTTTCCATGTCCACGGTCATGGTTGGTGGTGTCTTGTTGCTGATTATGGGGATGATATGGTGTCACAGTGATGGGAGGGAGTGGATAGATATATATCCAAACTAGGGAGTTTCAGACCAAGTGATCAACGTCACCATATCAAATAGACGAGAGTTCGTGAAGGCTTAGAAAAGAAGGAACCAAAGGAAGAGAATAAGGAGATAAGGAAACGAGGAAACTGCTCCTAGCTTTACATAGAGGTCGAAGCTTCCCATCATAATGAGGGGGTTCGTCACGAGCCAAGACGTCACCGACTAGTTACATCCTACGAATTGTAATATTGAAGTTGTACTGTGGTGGAAACGATATAATGGAATGAAAAAAAAAAAGAAAGAAAGAAAGCAATCAATACCAATACCCATTGGAATCAGTAACTAGTTATTGTTTATTTAACTAATCCCGAGAATACAATCATATCATAGTTACTTCCAGGGGCTACTGTGTACAAATCTCCCCATATATTGCAGTCACCGCCCCCGGACCTGAAAGACCCAAAGACCGCGCCCCTCACGCCACACCCCCCAAAAAAACCGATCTCCCCCCCAAAGTCTCGGAATACATTTCTTCACCCAAGAACTCATATCACCATCCATGGCCCGCCATGGGAAGTTCAAGGCCCGTACGAGGGTCCCATCGGGCAGAGGCAGAGGTAAATAAATCGACAACCTACGATTTTTTGAATATTTCCGAGGTTGCTAACCTTTGCTTCCCCTCGGGGAAAATCAAAGACCCATCGCCACACCAATTCACAATGCAGCAAGAAGCTCGTAATACTGAAAGCCATCAACGGACCTGGTCAGATAACAACCTTCGTTATAAGGCCATCCACTTTGTGAGCGCGGGAAGTTTGGCACCGACGCTAGAACAAGAAGACGAGGGCAAGATAACGTCAGAGGCGGGATTGGAAGCATCAAACGCCGAGAACGTAACGGACGGGACAGCAAAAGATACCGAGAATCTGTTCTTTTTTGACTCGAAGGGAGAAAAACATACCGACACAGGGCACCCAGATCCAATAATACGGCTGGACTCGACGGAACCAGACGATTCGAGCGAGGATGAGGTTGTGTTCACAGGTCGCAGGAAGAACACGAAACCTACACTCATTGAAACCCATCAGAACGAGATCCAACAGATAGTACAGAAAACCACCGCTGCCTCATCACAGGCGCCATGCATATCCACGCTGCCTCCCACCCCCGGAACCCCTCGCCGGCTGTTATATCAACAGACAACACGTGCTCCAAGCCAGAGACGCCAGTCTGGCCACCCGAAGAGGCCGAAGAGACCGACCCGCTAGCCGACTATATTGCCAACATTGACAATGACTACCACGACGAAATGCCCTTTGGTGCAAACTTGGATCTAGACGCGGGCATCGATGTTGACAAGGCTGCGACGCAACTGGATTTGTCGGCCTCTAGCTCCACAGGATCTTTCATCAAGTCACCAAGATCACCAGCTCAAAATCCAACGCAGATTGGGCTTGATTATTCCCCAGAGTCAAGCGAAGAGGACGAGAGCGACTTGGTCATATCTGGCTCCGATGATGATGCCCTTGAAGATTTCGTGCTCCTCGAGGACCTGGTGAATGGATATCCCGTGTCTCGCCATGGAAAGCCTTCTTTCCCATCAGCATCCGCATTTGCCGATGCTCTCGAGTCCGACCCATACTTTGGGTTTGATATTATGGACTTCGACCGACCAAGTTTACGGAAAAAGTCAAAGGGCAAGAAATCCGCCCCTGATCTGGTACTATCCGGCAGCGAATTCGAGCTCGAGCTACAGGCAACATGGCAGAACGATCGGACCAAAAAGAAGATCAGGAAGAAGGAACGGGAAGAGCTCCGTGCACAGGGACTACTGGGCAGAAAAGCAGGAAACCCAGATCTCGCGGTCAAGTATCCCAAAGAGATGAACATGGAGCAATTTATGACCGAGCTTCGATCATTTCTGTTGTCCACGAAGAGCAGGTCGGTCTTATATTTCCGTGAATTTGTGTTCCCACTGACCTAGCTAACCCTTGGATCTAGCCTCCCATTACCGCCTATGACCAAGCAGCGCAGAAAGCTGATACACGAATTGGCAAACGCACTGAATCTGAAATCACAGTCTCGTGGTCATGGACCTTCTCGCTTCCCCGTTCTCAACAAGACATCACGCACTCCCCAACACACACCAAAGACCATCTCGGCCGTTGACGAGCTCTTATCTGGAAGAAAGTTCAATCGACGGCTGTTCAAGTCATGGGGTACGGAAGCACCGAAACTGCCTCACGCCAAGCGGGGGAAGTCTGGTGCAGCATCTTATATGGATGGAGATGTGGTCGGCGCCTCTGCCCCAGAAATCGGAGCTGATAATCGAGGGCGGGCTATGTTGGAGAAGATGGGGTGGAGTACAGGAACTGCCCTGGGTGCCGCTGACAACAAGGGGATCCTACAGCCTGTTGCGCAGGTTGTGAAGAACTCGCGGGCTGGACTGGGGTAGGGAATGCTGGAAATGATAGCGACCCAGCCGCTTACTTACGTTTGTCTTTTGAGAAGAAAATAATCAAATAGGAAATATTGACACCAGGCGGGGCCCCGACATAATATCTTAAAGTCCCAATCATATTCTATTGCTCACTGTTGTTTTCTCCCCTTCTTAGCAACTGATCGCATCTGGGGTTGGGCGTGATCGAGTGCTTTAATGTGATCGAACAGCTTAGACTTGGATACGAAGGACTCTTGACAAGTTGCACAAACACATCCTGTGGACAGAGTTGCTTGTTTGGCGGCCTTCTTTGCGCGTTTCTGCTTTGCTTTCCCCAACCTGGGAGTCGGCGACTGCTCGATAATACCGGAAGATGACGGTTGGTCAGGAGTTTCAAGCTCCCCGGCGCCCGTAGACAGAGTATCCATGTCATCACAAAGCCTCGTCTCGACATATTCTCTGGAGGCATAATCGCCGTCCTCTGAAACTTCCAGGGAGATCGGATTGGAGAAAGGAATTGCTTCACCCAGACCGTGGGGGCTTCCTTGCTCCTCAGCGTCGGGGCTTTCTTGACTCTTCAGGATAGCATCACCCAATGCGGGATCGTGTAGAGTGACCTCCACCGCATGCTTATCATGCTCAACATCAAGGGGCTGCTGAGTCGTAGCTGAATTGGTACTTGTGGTATGCATAGACTCCAAATCCAATTCGTCGTTCTGCATTCGCATCTCCCAGCATAGTTGTTTGACTGCCTTCAGATGCTTTTTGCTACGTTCATGCGCCTCATATTGCTTTTGGCTTTTGAAATATTTGTGGCATACGACACATTCAAAACTCTCAACTTCGCTCTCCTCGCTTTCTTCGTCTTCATCCGTCAATGATTGCTCCGACTGTGCCCACGCAGGGAGGACATGATCCCGCATTCTGGCTTGATGAATGGCTCGTGATCTTGCAGCCTGTGCAGCCACGGATTGGCGAAGAGTCTCCTGGCGTTGTGCCTCACTCTGGGCATTGATCTTATAGCGCGGGTCACGTTTTTTGACAAAAGCCACGAGAGACCTGACAGCATCGTTGAATCCCCGGATACCCTCCTCTCGGAGTCTCTTATTTTCCTTTTCCATCATGCGCCGCACCCGACGATCAGGCGCTTCTGAGTAGCGATGGACATCCCTCCATGCAAAAGATTTTTGGGTGGAGAACCCGGTCCATGCCGCATAGAAGGGCCGCACGACGTTCTCGAAATCATCACCCGCAAGGCCAAAAGTCGGATAGTCGATAGGGTCACGATTTTCCCACTGGCAGGCTAGACTTTCCTCTAGCGCAAGTTGTGCGAACTGTTCTCGCAGACCACCAAAGAATCCAGTTGGAGCGTCGGAGAACTCCATTCGAGGACTGAACTTCGAAAACAGCTTGAGAACATCTTCGGCCGTTGTGATTCGGACATTATAGGAGTGTTGATCATTGGTACTTCCGTCGGTCCCTAGAAACGCATCGCTATGGGAGTCATACCAAGCTCGTTCTTGGGGATCGGCCAGTACTTCGTATGCAGATTGGATTTCGGCAAAGAGTTTGGTGGCTTCTTCAACATTCCCATAATTTCGATCAGGATGGAGCACTAAAGCTTTCTTTCTGTATGCTTTCTTAATCCTAGCAAATCGGGTTAACAAGAGTAGGAAAAAAATAAACCAAGTTTAGTTATGCCCCGTGTCAATTCATGCGTGTGTACTTACTCCTCGTCTGTCGCACCACGTTCTAGCCCGAGTAACTCATAATAGTCCGTTTTCTGGTCCTTTTTCTCTGGCGTATCGGAGGTCGCCTGGCTAGTTGAATGAAATTGCCCCATGGCTTTATATAGCTTAGGGGAAGAAAAGAGAGCATGCGAGGGATATTGTGAACACCGGCAAAGGTCACCTGGGTTCCAACAGATCAACAGTTCATGATAGTTAGAGAACGTTAGGGCGTAAGCATATCTGGCAAGCAGCCAAATAAAAGAACAGGAAGAGACGAAGAGACGAAGAGATGGAGGAAACGAAGAAGCACAAACACAAAAAGCTCGAGGCTTGGCGCGTCGATAGCGGGGAGATAAGAAAGATAACTAATCATCTCAGACCTGGACATCACATCCCTCCCAAGGTCAACCGCCAATCCTCGTCAGTGTCCCGCACTACGTACGAAAAGAGATGATACTCTGATGATTGCTTCTGAGCACCATTTATCCCCTCTATCTTTTTCCTCCCCTCAGCATCGAGGAAAGTGAACTGGCTTCCTTTCACAATCTCCTATTGTCTTCTTCCCCGACTTCATCATTTATCTTCAGGGATGGTTCGGTCTTTAATCCATCTTCCAGACGAGATTTTGAATTCTATTTTATGTTATTCCTCCCCCCATACTTGCGTCGCCGTTGAGGAAACCAACACCCGATTTCGAAACGTAACGAATGAACCATTACTATGGCGTCACCATTGTGAGTCGCATTACAAGTTTTGGGACGGACGACATGAGTTGCCTCGAAGACTCGTTTCCCCAGTGCACTTGACCGATTGGAAGGCGCTCTTTGTATTCAAGTATCAGGTCGACCGATCCGTCACTCGGCTTCTCGATAGTATACTTGGTAGTCAGACGGGCCGCATCGAGAAGTTTCGTCGTGTTATCAATCTGGGAAACGATGCAAAAGATACTCTTTTGCGCCATAGCCTAGTAGAGTCCGGGGATGATCATTTGGCTAGAAGGTGGGCTACTGATTCTATGCAAATTGGCATCTTGTTTTTTTCCCTTGTTTCTTTCTTCCTTTGTTTTACCTTAAATTGACCAGTGCCTTGTGCCACTCTATAAAAGGTACTATGCCCGCGCGCTCTTGACTTGCTTGCACCGAAGCATTGCCATACCAGAATGGGTGAAACTGAGGCACGGAGAACCTGTTTCCCTCGACCGAGCCTTGGGTTGCTTTGATCTCTTTATAACTGAAACTGGGACTGGGGGTTTGGATGAAGTAGGTGATACCCCATTCCGTAATCTTCTGCACACCTATTTGTCTCCTCCGCTCTGACAATCAATCCAGATTCGAGAAGCTCTCAATGTGGTTCTCGAACGCTTTGTGAGGTCTCATCCTGATCTCCAACTCTCCACCCCTCGTGAGAAGGCACTGGCTATAGCATCCTGGCTAGAGGCAAATGATCTCACGGGAATCGATCCGGAGCGAGAATATCATGCTTTGGAGCATAATTTTCTAGGGCTGGCTCTAAGGAGCCCAGGGCATAACTCTCTCCCACTGGTGTCTGCTGCGATATACTGCTTTGTCGCGCAGGGTATCAGCCTTGACGCCCATCCTTGTGGGTTCCCATTCCATGTGCATGTGATTGTCAGACCAGAGCCCGGTTCAGACATCGACGGCAATGTGTTGTCGGGGATGGAGCCAGGCGAGCCCCTTTACTTGGATCCGTTTCGGGGCGCGAGGGAGACTCCCATTTCTACCCTGCGCAGCCAATTGACATTCTTAGGAATGTCTGACGCTGACCAAGACACAACCTTGGGCGAAGCTTTGACTTCGGGCGTTGTTCTGCGCTGTGGTAGGAACATATTGAACTCAATTCGCGCCGAATCCCAAGTCCCCAACCTACATACCAATTCCATAGATGTCGTCAGCGCAAAGTATGCAGCACTTTGGTCTGTGATGCTTCTATCCATTGACTCAAGGCCCACGGATCTACGTCGTCAGTTGCCATGGCTCATGGAAATGTTCGCTGCAGACTTCCCTTTCGATCTATTTCTAATCGAGCAGCATATTGCTCCTCTATTTCACGGGTTGTTTGAGCACGAGCACATTCTAGAGAGTCTTCATGTGATGAGAGCTGCAGATGAGATTCCGAAGCAGGTTCGGAGGCGAGGCGATGGCAGTGGTAACATACGATACATGGTGGGCCAGGTTTTCCGCCATCGTCGTTATCATTACGAGGCTATTATTACCGGCTGGGACTCAGAATGCGGCGCCGGTGAACAGTGGATGAGGAGAATGGGCATCGATAGGCTGGAAGCGGGCAGGAACCAAAGCTTCTATCATGTGCTGTAAGGACCTTTTGATTCTATTCGGACCTGCTGTGTTGCTAACAGTCGGCGTAATAGGGTGGCGGATCGGAGTGTCCGATACGTGGCTGAGGAAAATATTGAGGTGATTCGGTCTGACTTTACGGAATTGCCTGATAGCCTGATTTCTATCGCTGGTAAACATTTTAAACGGTGGGATCCGAACAGAAGGTTGTTTGTGAGTAATATGAAGGATGAATACCCAGATGACTAGGTACCTACCTGGTGGAAAAAGAATGAGACTCTGGTTTACTGGAGTAAATACTTCACTTACATATGAAAGAGAGAAGTCATCTACCCCAGGGATCAAGATATCAATATCCAACGACCAGGAGCTAGTAATTGAGTGTTACAGGTCGTGGAGGACTTGGGGGCTATTGTTACGCGTAGCCGACTGGTCACTGTGAGTTAGAATGTCCACGGGTTATACTTGCCTAGTTCCAACTGCGGATTCCAAGAGTATCTCGCAACCGTACCGTTGCTATGCAAAGCCTTACGTCGGGTTCGGGTCCTGTTGAGTATCTTGCAGAACGTGCCAGAAGTGCGCGCCAAGTAAGTCAATCACTGAGTGTTACCACTAGGTGAATCCCCTACCTGTAGGTTGGGTTGTCTTGAAGGTGAACTGTGAAGTGCAAAGTACTAAAGGTAGTAACCGAGTAACAATGTGCAATTGATCGCGAAGAACTAAATACATGATGCTGAAATGAGTGTCCTTATATATCCAGTCCTTCGTGTTGTGGTCTACAGTTGGGAATGATCGATGGTATACCGGACAGGGTATTCCCGTAGTCCGAGTGGTATACCCAACTGTATACCCCGGGTGTCACGTGCGGGTGTGGCTGTTTCCTGCGTTGTGCCAACCGTCCCATCGTGTAAGCGGGTATTGTTTGTGACGGTTAGTCGCAGGCCTTTTCTGGCTTCTCTTGTCGAAGAGCCTCCTTGGGGCCTTCCGGGGCTTGCCCAAGTATACCGAAACGCACGTGATGACGCTAGTGCCTGGCGTCCGTAGAATGATTGGTTCACGGTTGCCCCTCAAATAGCTGCGGCCCCCGCGCCTCTTTGAGGTTCGTAACAGCTATGAGGCATGTGACTTGAGGGAGACGGACACGTAACGATAAGGGAAGGGCACGTGCTGCTTATCGGACAAGATATCAGCACGTCCTGGCGGAGATGTTTTCCTTCCTTTCTTCTCTCCTCATGCTTGGTTGCTTTGTTTAATGCCACTACATTGGTCGATCTTCTTCATCATTCGTAACTGGGCGTAACATACAACTAAGCATCCTACTCTCGAAGGCCAGAGTGTAGTATTGGCATCGACGTGAGGCAAGCTATGACAACGCTGCACCGACGTGGGCAAGCTACGATAAGGCTGCAAGGACGTGAGGCAAGCTACGATAAGGCTGCACCGACGTGGGCAAGCTACGATAAGGCTGCATCGCCGTGAGGCAAGCTACGACAACGCTGCACCGACGTGGGAAAGCTACGATAAGGCTGCAAGGACGTGAGCAAGCCACGACAACGCTGCATCGACGTGAGCAAGCTACGATAAGGCTGCATCGATCTCCGTTACCGCACCGATGGATTTTGATCTTTCGCCTGACGCCTGGCACAACCTGCGAAGCATCTGTGTAACCCGAGCCCGTGTAAAGCCTGTGAGGTAACGGTACGGTTGCGAGATCGTTCGAGGTGTCTACCTGGCACAAGGCTGCAAGGACGTGGGCAAGCTATGATAAGGCTACACCGACCGTGTTGAGGGCACGATGGACACCCCTCACGAACCAAACGAGAAGCGTGTTGAGGGCACGGCGGACATTCCTCAAAGGAACCCCAATGCAAACGACCTGGTGGGCCAGGTCCTCTTAAGGAGGAGGGTAATGTTACAGGTCGTGGAGGACTTGGGGCTATGAGGCATGTGACTTGAGGGAGACGGACACGTAACAAATCTAACAATAAGGGAGGGGCACGTGCTGCTTATCGGACAGGATATCAGCACGTCCTGGCGGAGATGTTTTCCTTCCTTCCTTCTCTCCTCATGCTTAGTTCTTCGTTTAATACCACTACATTGGTCGATCTTCTTCATCATTCGTAACTGGGCGTAACACTATCAACATGCAGAAATATATCTTTCATGTATACAGAAGTAGGCGCACTTTTCTGTTGAAGTATCATGTAACCTATGACATCTTTGATGGCCGTCTTCATGATTTGTAGGTTTATCATTGAAACTCATATCACAAGATAGCTAATCTTTCTGTTTTTACGGAAACGCGATATTCCAGCTATGCGAGAGGGGTCCAAAGAGCTCCAACAATGTTCCGAGCTTCTGTCCGTAAGGGCTAAAGCCAAATTAACTCAATACTGACTAGGCCACATGCAGTGAACAAAAAGCACGGAGAAGAGAATAAGCGGAACAAACAGAACAACAGCAGAAGTAGCGGGCAGGGCGGTGGCAGAACGGGAGCGTGGGGGGAATGGCCCTGCTATTAGTTGTGAGAAGCGGGTATAATTTTAGACAGTGGATGTCTTCCTCCCTCCTCATTCCGAATCTCTGATAGTACGCCCGATTCCCGAAGCCTCCATCTTCTGACTTGCTACGGGATCCTCCCCTCTGGGCCCGGCCCCTCACATCACTCAGGCTTGCCGGCTTTGACCCCCGGATGATTGTCGGATAGTCTGTAGACCATGTCCATGAGGGACTGACTATAATGTTGTATGGAAGGATTCTTCCGCCTTCGTCCCACTTCGTTATGCGAATTGGTAGTTGCACGGCATTTAGCTGCAACTATTGTTTCCGTACATGTCAAAATACTTCGACTTAGAGAGGGCCATGAGGACTCCCCAAGATTCAGTTTCGTTTCAATCTGACCAAATCATTCCTAAACCTCACATTTCTTCTTCCTACCTAGCCAGTAGTCCTCTGTTCTATAGCTGCCCTTTAACATCTGCCTATTCGAACAAGACTTGAATGTCATCAGAGCTAAAGGACTGCTCAAATTCCATCTGTTACGGCACGCTGGCCTGACACCACCTGCCTAACGTAAGTCCAGGCGTTAACCAAAAAGACCACTATGACAACTAACTAGTTGCCATGTCAGATTTCCAATTAATACCCACAATACAGGATCTTAATACCCTCGCATCCTGCCGCAAACTTGCGCCTCAAGGTCAACCCATCATTCACAAAGACACAGCGTCAACTATTCAATGGCGCGGGACTTCAAGGAGCCACGGCGATAGTGCCAAATATCTCGCGCAGTGTTGAGCAGGCGTTCCACCCCAGCGCCCGTTGCTGGGATGGAAAGAAATCTTGCAAGTGCAACAATAGCTGGGAAAAAGGACTTGATTCTCTCTCCAAAGGGAGAGCGGCTCTAAATAACTCGAGTCATGTCAAAAGGCAGCTATTGGCTAGGTAAGTGTGAAGGGAAATTGTCTTTGAGTATTTTGACTCTTTGTTACCAGGCCCACTGGCCTTGACTGGGGCATGCGGGAGACCCTGACAGGTCCCCGGTACTCCGACATTGCTTTCCACCCATTGTCAAGCGTGTCATGACGCGTGTCATGTCATGACATGTCATGTGAACCTTATCTGTATTAGTGTTTGGTTCGCCTCCCCGGACTATCCGGGCGGGCCGTTCTGGATCGTCTCCGCTTGACTGGTGTACTACGTTAGATAGTGAGAGAGGCTTGAGGATAAAAGACCCAGACACTTCGGGTTCTTGTTAGATCCTCAAGAATCAATTGATGTTTCTACCCACACTAAGATATCTTGATTCGTATCACCTACCTTATTGTCTTCAGCTACAAACTCCCAGTATTACCACCCATCCTCTTATCTTATCGATTCACCATCTTCTACCTGACCTTAGTCCTTTGCTATTGGGTCGTCCACTACCACCCAGTATCTTGGGTCTCCCCTCCTTACAGTAAGACGAAGCAAGATGTGAGGTTCAGAAATGATTAAGTCAGATTGAAACGAAACTGAACCCTGGAGAGTCCTCATGGCCCTCTCCAAGTCGAAGTATTTGACGTGGAAGGAAACAATAGTTACAACTCAATGCCGTGCAACTACCAATTCGCATAACGAAGTGAGGGGAAGGCGGGGAAATCCCCCATACAACATGATAATCCGGCGATCATCCGGGGTCCAAGCTGTTATGGCGATGCCAGGAACGGTTCAAACAAGAAGAGTATACAGAGCATTCAAACAGTTTTATCAAAGGTGGAAGGGAAACAGAAGGATGAAGAGAAGTGGAAGATGATGAGTTGATGTAAACCTGCCACCTCATCGTTATCCGAATGCATCCCTGAGATCCGCCTTGTAGACCCTTCTCAGCTGAGTTACAAACCTATGCCACTAGCCCGTGACACAAGCCCTAAGTGATGTCAAGGGTCCAGAGTGGAGGACCCTGTAACAACACCCACTCCTAACACATCCCTATGGCTAATGGGACAACCCCTGCCCGATTCTGCCTGACTTATACCTCATTACACCTTACATATCAGGTATCAAATTATTCTGCCGGAGATTGAATTCTCTCAAGTCCTCAACCAACCTGACTTACGAGGTCTCCCGGCACCCGATGGTCTTGGGATTTAACTGCGACGTTCAGCTTCGCCTATGCCGAAAAAGGCAGGCGGAAAGTCGCCGGAAAGGAAAAGCTATCCGTAACTTCCGAAATAGACATCCGTAACTCCCGAACGAACGACAACCAATCGGAGGGAAAGAATTCAGGCCGAATTATCTCCGAAGTCGTTTTGGCCGTAAGTGAGGCGACGCTTCACGTCGCAATCAGATATAAATCTGGCGCGACCAATCAAGTCGCTCGATTTTCATAATTTTATGATGCACAATTCTCATTAGATTTTTTGCTGATTTCCATGCTTCTTCTACTTATACATAATGTCAGGACTCGGGGGTCCAAGGATGAGGGCCCCGTTAACGAGGAGGATCGAAAGAAAGTAAGACAAAAAATGGACTTAAAAGGCGCAAGAGATGTGACACTGCAGGTGGGTTCCGCCAGGCCTGTCCAGGCGGTGAGTCGATTCAGGTCATGTGACAGGAGGAGGAGAGACGAGGGACTTGTTTTGTTGCGCGCCTCTTTAGTTTTCTTTCTTTTCTTTCTTTCTTCTTCCTTTCCTTAGACTAGTTATCTTGTCGAATTGGACTCCTTTTCAAGAATTGCCTACGGTCACAAGAGAGGTTGAAATTGAAGC